TCGCTTCTAATCCACCCGATCTGCCGAATGTTCTCATCTCGCCTATGAAATGTCGCATTACCAAACCGTCAATGTCAAGGCAAGATGTCACATACCTCACAACAAAGACGACATCCACACCCGATGAGGACGCCATGCAGGAGGCTCTCATTGTGAAAGCAGCAGCAGCAGATTACTACAAGGAGCAGGCGATCCGTATGCAATCCATGCTCGTGTTGCAGCGATTATACTGCAACAAACTGCGTCGTCAGCTTCAAGCGAAGGAAGGAAAGGCAGAGAGGAAGAAGAAGGGGCGAGGAGGTATTCTACGAGACGGCTTACCTCGTTTGATGACACATTCCGCCGTGATTCGAGCCGTCAAGGAGCACGAGGATGCGAAGGCAAAGGAGGCGCGCGACAAGGAGGAGAGGGCTGCCCAGCAGCTTGAATACGAGGAGCGGATGGCAGCATGGCAGGCACATGAGGATGGTCGGGAGGCTAGGAATGCAGCACTGTATCGCCAGTTTCAGGAGGATGCAAACAAGTGGACAGCAGCGCGAGTAGCAGCGAAGGAGGCGGGCCGCAAGCTGAAGGTTTGGGACAAAGCCCATCCAAAGCCTTTGCGTTCGAATTACAAGGAGACCCGGGTAAAACCCCCAACCAAGAAGGCGCGGAAAGATCCTGAGGAGGATCCTGAGGAGGATGTGGGTGGCGACGGTACGATAGACGAAGAATAGAACAAGTGTTTATCGATTGATCGCATCGGACCGAAGATAACTGAGCTGCGTGACACAGCCACCGGCAACGGCGTGACACTGTACAACTGCCCGGTTTTGCCCAAAAAGGGTACCCCGGCACGGATTTACTGACAGCGTGTCCATTTCTCACCCGACGGCGTTCAAATCGCACACCGACCTAGTTTCGACATATAGGCAGCTCATATATACAGAAATGAACAAGAGTTTCATCTATGACGAACAGTAGAGGGCATTTTCATTTTTGCTGTACAAGAAGGCAGTGAATTACTGTACAACACCCATCGTCCAGTACATCTTATATACCACAAGCCTGCGAAGGTAATCGAAACCCAGGTACGTACGTCAATGTATTGCAATTAATGCGCAGCGACTCTTTCGGACAAGTAACTTTACGTTGCGGGAGTTCGCGGTCCGCTTTATCCTGGTCCACTATTTTTTTTTTGCTTCCTGGACGTAAGTATTTCGCGCAGATGGATTCACCGAAGCTTCCTCAACGCACGTTTCTTGCATTTCGACTCCTCGAAATGTTCCTCTTGTTTTAAATTCCTGGAGGTCTGTTGTCGCACTGGTGGCATTATTCGCGCACTGTGCTCGGCACCGCCGATGAACAGCCTTCAACTTCCCGGTCGTCCTCTACAGATCTTGGCAGCTTTGGCGGACGGTCATGCGTTCGATGCAGTGTACTTGGATTACGTGACGAACGGCTCATTCTTGGGGAGCTTGTTTTTATTTAACTCCCGCTACCACACCGATACCTGCTAACAGCTTCTAACACCGGAACGCTACTGCCAGCGAAGTCACGAGTGAACTCGAAGGCCTACCTGTTCAAATTTCTCGTATTCGGGTCATTAAACTCAACGTCTGAGAAACGTTGCTTAATATTTAGACAGCTCCTTATCGATCACGCTCGATACAAATCCTAGTCCTCGTCTCGTTTCTGCGCGGGGAGAAATGTTCAAATGCGGGATTTCTGGAAAACTACATCCTGTCATTTTCTCTTTCAGTGTTGTAGTGCCAGCGAGCGGACGTGGGACAATAAATTATTGGAAACCTTAAGAGGGTGAGCACTGCGCTGAATCCAATTTGTTGACCTGTGAAAATGCTGTCAAAGTACCATCGTTGTGTCTAACCATAAGTATAAGGTTACTCTATTCATAAATCGTTCATCAGATCCTTCAATGCAGTCCAGATTACTCTGATAATTGGTGGGGTAGGGTCGGCTGGTGTATTGATTTCAACTTCCAAGTTCAATTTCAGCCAATAGACATCATTGCAACTGTTCTCCGCTATCCAATATATCCCCACGAGAGACCTTTCTTCGCTCATGCCATGCATTTTACGCCAGCTTCATCATCATCTTGCCAGTCACAGCGTTGGATAAAGTACATGGATGTGTAATCCTCGACGTGTATCGGCTCACAGCTGCTGAAATATGTGCACAGCCATCGCTTTCCTGACCTCACTCATCAGAGACGCTTCGAAGGAACGGCAGTCACCGGCTCCATAATCCCAGTCGATTGGCAAAGATCTGATGGTGTGGCGCAAGAGGCGGCAATATCTATATCAGGCAAGACCATAAACAATTCGAATTTTGCAGGAACGAAGCAACAAAGGAGAACCGCAACAATCGTAGGACTTAAAAGACGACAGTTCACCGACTTTCAGCAGATGCTCAGGATGAATGTCTGTTGGGTGGTGGGCGCTTTCGTTGCGTTCTTGTGCGTCACGAGAACATGTGATCGGGTATTCGGTCATTACGCCAGGCCGTTGGAATCTCTCATGGAGCTCGGGCAGTCTTATCCCTAGCCTCGGTAAATGTCAAGGGTAGCATTTGCCTACAGAGAATTCCGTCCCTATGTTCTTCTGAAGATGCCCGCAATTTCCAATGGTGCTTCCAAGGTTGCGTGTTACTCTCGTGCCTTGTTCCGGAAATTCTTCTATCTCCGGACAAAGATGCCTTCTTATACCCTATCATAGTACCAGTCTCTTCTCAAGAGATATTTCTAATGCAACATCTCCCACAGGCGCATCCCTGCGGCAATCACTTGAAGAAGGCATGATGTTGGAAGCTGTGAGAGAAATTCATACTCGTGTCAATGAAGGAAAGACAAAAACAAGCGTTTCGGGATGGCCTCTCGAGCAAGTCAATGCTAGAATAGGAACGAACGATGATCATCCCCGTAAAGCGAGAGTATTCTCTCTTGTAAATAATCTTACCAGCACGCTCGGACACGAACGATGGCGATTCAACACGTCCACGCGTTTGTAATTTGGAATGAGTGGACTCACGCTGGGAAATCCGGTAAGTGAAATTTACATACCTCGGTACTCGGGGAAGTAACCTCGATTCCTAGACTGTGCGCAGTGGCCGTTGGGAGGCATACTCAGGGAATGGAGGCCTCGGCCTATAAATAACTCTCAATGAACAGAAATAGCCAGACGGGGGAAGTATCAGCAACGAAAATGCGCACTTCGAGGGTTTGAAGATCTGGTTATTCGGGCCCTTAGTCATCGACTTATTGCTTCCCTTCCCTTCTGTCTTCGGGGCCCGGAAAGGTAGTACATTTCGTAGATAGCTATTTACAGATGGTCTGATCGTCGTACAATGGAAATTGGGCTGAGAACAAGCAGTAATTATACGTATGCAAGCAGAACAGGGTACTGAGGTAAAATATGAAGGTGGAGTAAATCAAGCGTGTAGCAAATGGTAGCAAGATGGTGTACAACAAAGGTCCATGAAGAATGTTCCTGTAGTAAAAATGAAGCAGTGTCAAAAATACATATAAGGCATTACGAACAAGATGAGCCTCAAAATCGTACATTGGCCATGGAGTAGAGAATCATAATAGGCCTAGGAGCGCCTTGCCATTGTGCTCAAGTTGTTTGTCGCGTCGGTCGGCACGAATCCTGGTGGGGGATCCAACTCTGGAGGTTGTGCGGGTAATTGCACAACCGTGTCTTCCTCGGTTTCAGGTCGTGGTCCATTTTCTCTCCTTGTTGGAATACCAGCATCGCCAGCTACCGGGTTCTCAGGGCCTTCGTCAGGCGAATGTATCCCGCTTCCCACAGAGAATAACCGAGCCTGCATTTCCACTTCGTTATACTTCGGTGGTCCGCCGAAATGCTCGTAGGCTGGGAGGACGTCCTTATCGCCTAACTCTCCATCATGGTCGAGCTCAGCATGGCGATCGGCTCCTCTGCGACCGCTGGCGTCGATATCGGCGGCGCGTGTTCTGCGGGAGGTATATCCCGTGTATGCGGTCGGAATGCCTGCTAGAAGGGGATCCGGATATGGATATGAGGGCCCGAGATTGACGGCAGGTATCCCCGTTGTTCGAGGAAAAGTACGGGAACCACGAGAAGTCGTCGACCTGTTGCCTGTATCGAAGTTGAAGAACGAGGAGGCAGGCCGGTTTGCTCGTTTCAGGTTTCTCAATCTATTTCAAAAGGTGAGCAGCGGTTCTGAATGTTATGTTCCCACTAGGCTACCTCCTGTAGATGATTGCCAGAATTATGGCGAGCGCTACACCCAAAAATAAGTATTCGAGCACCGCCTGCTTCGACCGCGAGGTCAGACCAAACATCAAGCACAATAAATTGGCAAGCAAATGACATGCCTTCGCCAGTCCACCTCCACTGTCTGAGTCCTCGTCGGTTGGTTGTGAAGGGCTCGGAGATGGAGATGAGGATGGAGTTGGGGCGATATCAGTGGTCTCCTGAGGTACTCGAGCCTCAATCTCGTTGAACTTGAAGATAGATAGGTGCCTCGCACCCGAGTCCGAGTCCGAGTTATCTGATAGTAGTATAGGACTCATTGTCCCCGACAGCTGGAAAGAACTCTTGGACTTGACGTCCAGGATGACTGCGGTTTAGAGTGGTGCTTGAGGTCATTATTTGCGACTGCTTATCGACAGCTTCCCAGCCTACTTACGTCATCCTGTCGGATGAACGCGTTGTTCTGAACAGCAACTAACCACCATGCGGCCCAGTCAAGCCCTGCTGAAGTCCGGACGTTCAGCGTGGAAGGGTAAGTGAATTTTTACCTTTGCAAAAGCATCCTTATCTTTTATAGGACCTTATTTCGTACCATTTCCTGGTCTCCGGGAGGCACTGACGAACCATGTCCCTATAAAGACTCAAGCTCGGTCCTGCACTATTCTTCCTAATTTCGTCGGGTGCGTATCTCGCAAGGTCACCAGATTTATGGTTTAACGCTGGCTCGACAGGGTGCGATTCTTGGTTCATAACGGCAAAGATTATCAACCAGTACTCGTCACACAAGATATGGTTGGGCACAAATTGGGAGAATTTTCGTTTACGAAGAAGAGGTTCACATTTAGGTGCGTCAGGTCATTTTTATACTACTCTGCTTCTTGTCTGACTACTTCTGCAGAGCAACCAAGCGGTAGTCATTCTCTGCACTTGTATTACCTTCTATGCTACCCTACGCCCAAATCGCTATTCGTGTCCAACACCTGAACAATCCTGCGTTGGGGGACATTGGCGCATACCGGACGATTTTATTCTACTTTTTCCTTCTCAGAGGCGGGGTATTGATCGAATTATGCCTTCAACTCGGCCCTCAACATGACACATCTGCAAAATAAAGGATGACCTATTGGCCACGAACTGAAGACAGGTCCGAGGAATTCCAAAATTCGCTTTTGTCCGTCTCCGATTTTATAAGCCACATCTCCTGACATCTCCTGCGGACTTCACTCATCGACTTTGAGCCACTCTCTGGCTCACTTCCGTTGTTGCCAAGAATTTTATGGAGTCGTTCTGGATGCTGAGAAAATGCCCGCCTTGAGGAGGAATATATTTACTGCGCAGACGCCAGTTTTTTTTTGCCCCCACCCAATTCAATAGGCTTTCGGGGTCACTCCGGTCTCCTTTACATCGTGAGCTCTTTTAATCTTGCGCTTACAACCCACTTAGAATCCGAAATAGTGCGCTACTCTCAGCTTTCAAGCACCTCAAGGATGTGTTTTCGGTTCAACAGTTGTGCGACATCATATTTTCTGGCTGGCCAATCCTTTTTCCTCTTTCTGCGGGTGCAAATTCCTGTTTGCCCCCGGACACATTCTCAACAACAGAATCATTTCCACGATAGAGCCGATTCCGTGCGAGTAGCTGTGCGATACTTGAGAGCGGTCTTAACGGTAACTGACATACCGATGGGTGTCGACCAGAGGTGTGGTTTCAAATCAAATACCGAAATACCCTGTATCTTGACGTATAGCGGGGCTCCAGGCTCACGAGTGTGTTCTGGATGAACGCCGCCCACTTGCATCCTTCACACAAGCACCCGAAAACATCGTGGTCATGTCAAAAATAGACAACCTTTCGACCGCTGGTCCGTCGACTGTTCCGAACCCGATTCACACCTCCCAATTTGATGCCAGCTTTGAACACCTGCATTTGATTCTCTTGCTCGCACGGTATAAGTAACCGTCTCTGGCCGGTATTGCTTTCTCTGGCGAAGGTCATTCTGAGTCAGGTATTGGGCAATCATTCTGCATCTGAGCGCGCGCAACAAATCAGAATTCGACAGTTTGTCACCTGCCTACGGCTTTAGCGCTACCCGCCATGGGCGTAGCTTTACATCTTCTGGTAGACCACGGTCTCGGATCCCACTTTCTCAAATTTCTGACTCATATGGTCCTGCGTCCAAGCACTCCCAGGATAAAATATGAGTTTGTTTGACGCCACTGCTAAAAGCGGTAAGGGTGCATAGAGCGAGCTATAAAAGCTCGTTGCAAAGGCCTGCTAGTCCTCAGGAGGCCCTTGTGTTCCCCTCATTCAATAGGAGCAGCAACAGCATCTTATAACCATGCTTTTTGCCCGACTTTCTACCGTGGTTACTATCGCTCTTGGTACCTCTCTGTCTAACGCGGCTCTGACGAAGCGCGTGACTTGCGCGACTGGCCAGGTTACTGCACACGCTGCTTGCTGTGGTCTGTATTCGTTCAGCAGTTTGAATGTAACAATCGTCTGATCTATTGGTCTGTAGCTCTCTTCCCTGTTGTTGACCTCCTCCAGGATCAACTATTCGACGGTGCCGAGTGTGGCGAGGAGGCCCATTCTGCCCTCCGTCTCGCATTCCACGATGCCATTGGGTTCTCTATCCACGGCGGCAAGGGTGGAGGTGCTGACGGCTCCATCTTGGCCTTCAACAGCACTGAGCTTCAATTTCGTAAGTCGTTTGAAGACATTTTACTCTCCCCGTATTTTCTCACTTTCTTCCAGACGCGAACGGCGGCATCGACGAGATTATCGAGGGTCAATTCCCTGTCTTCCAACAGACAAAACTGAGCGCCGGCGACTTGTAGGAAACTGGCAACTCTTTCTTGTGAATCATGCTGATTTCGACGTAGCGTTCACCTTGCTGCCGCTGTAGGCACTGCCAATTGCCCAGGTGCCCCCCGCCTTCAGTTCATGCTTGGTCGTCCGCCCCCCAGGGTTGCTGCACCAGACCTCACTGTTCCTGAACCTACCGACGACGTTACTACTATACTGGCTCGTTTCGCTGATGCAGGCTTCTCTCCTCGCGAGGCTGTCGCTCTCCTATCCTCGCATACCGTCGCTGCTGCTGTATGTTTTGCTCGCTTTTCATTGCCTCGTGCCGAGACTAATGATTAATGTGAATAGGACGTTGTCGATGTTACCATCCCCGGAACGCCCTTCGACTCGACTCCGTTCACTTTCGACACGCAGATCTTCTTGGAAGTTCTCCTCAAAGGCAGTCTCTTCCCCGGTAACGGCTCTCAACCTGGAGAAGTCCTCTCTCCTCTCGCTGGGGAGATGCGCCTCCAATCCGATTTCGTCATCTCTCAGGACCCACGCACTGCCTGCTTCTGGCAGGCTTTGGTTGGTTAGTACTGTTCATACGCTCCACCAACCTGCAATAGGAAGTTCACGTTGAATATTGTGAAACTTTTGCAGCCAATGAGAATCGTATGGTCAGGGAGTTCAAGGACGCGATGGCGAAGCTGCAAGTTCTTGGGCAAGACACTCGCCGCCTGATCGACTGTTCCGACGTCGTTCCTCAGCCTCCGCAGCTCAAGACCGCGATCACGTTCCCGGCTTCTTTCTCTCAGGAAGATGTTCAGATCGCTTGCCCCCAGCTCCCCTTCCCTAGTATTGCGACGGTCGCCGGTCCCGCCCCTACAGTCCCCCCTGTTCTTGGATCGTAAAACAGAAGTATATTTCTTGCTCAAGATATGTAACTATTTTCTCGCTTTCTTCGGAGCCGGATAGATTGAGAACGCCTGCTTACTGATATGTATACTTTAACCTTGTTCAAAGATGATTCATTATTAGCAAGCTACATGTGCAAAGCTACAGACAGAAATAATCATAAATCACAGCCCTCCCTCCAAGAAGGAACGATGAGAAGAACAACCAACAATCATGGTCATCGAGGGATGTCGTTGCTGAATCTGTTGTCTAGCAGTATCATTGAATTCCAAGGTAGTACAGTAACCCAGTTGTTGCGCTCGGTATCAAAAGCGCCTCCACGCCGGGGCGATCCCCGGTCGAAGGAAGACGATAAGATGGGAAGGAAGAGGAGTCGAAGGCGATGGTGCAATAGAAGGTTAAAATGCGGATAAATGGCGCGAGGTGACAACGGCGTAAGTCAAAGGGTATGCTGTGGATAAAGAATGACACTATTGAACTACATGTCGAGAAGGACAACCGCCAACGATAACACCAAAAGAACAAGCTTAAAAAAGAAAAGAAGACATCAGAAGAAAGGAGAGGAGGGAGGTATAAAGCACTCGAGAAGGCCGTACATGCAAAGAGGTGGTGAAAGTTTAAAGAGATCGCGAGACTGTTCCAGCAAATGAGAGCAAAAGGTCTGGAATGCGTGACAGGCGTTACATATGATGCCTGACGGACAATACATTAAGGAGAGTTCAGCGAGTGTTTGGTCGTAGAGGTTGAGCAGTAAGGAGGGGCCAGGCGTAGGGGGACGGTGATGGTGACGATTAACCCTGCTTGCCCGTCTTGAATCGTAATAGCGGTGCGAGGCCGGACGCCGCACAGGCCTTCTTTAGGAACTCATGCTGGAAAACGAGAAACCAAGTATCAGAAACGATCCAACAGAAAGAAAGTGTATCGGGGGAGAAATCTTTTCACCTCGAGCAGCTCATTCGCCGTCGCTCGACTAGCCACATCCACACACAAGCACACCGCTAAGAAGCCCTTTAGCTCTCGGCTCAGTGCCTCAGGCTTCTTCAACGTCGGCGTGCCGTTCGTAGCAATTAAATACAATGCCTTGAGCGGCTCCTCATCTAAGTACGGAGGTTCATTTTCGATCATCTCGATGGCCATGATGCCGAGAGACCAGATGTCGACCTTTGCACCGTATTCTTTTTGTTTGACGACTTCGGGTGCCATCCAGTAGGGTGTCCCGACCATGGTAGCACGTTTGGATTTTTGGTCTGTTAGTTTGGCACAGAAACCAAAATCGGCTGTTGAGAGACCGTCAGTAACGGAGATCAGGAATGAACAGAAATAAACGTACTGATCTTGACCCGTCCTTGAGCATCCAGAAGAACGTTGTCGGACTTGATATCACGATGGATGATGCTCTGACTATGCAGATGACCAAGACCCTTGCACGTCTGCAGGGAAAGAACGCACATTAGCAACGTAGGCTCGAGACAAAAGAGCAAACGACGCACCTCGAAGCAGATGCTCGAAATCTGGTCCTCCTCCAAGGTGTTGTTCTCGATGATATCCGTCAACGCGCCACCCTCCATGTACTCCATGACAACCCATAGCTCAGTACTCTTGACGAGATACGAATCAAGGAAGTTGACGATGTTGGGGTGTTGCGACTCCTTCATCACCAAGATTTCGTTCACAATTAGCTCCTTTCGCGGCTGGTGTGACAGGTCCATCTCCTTGATCGCCACCTTCTTCCCTGTCGCGAGTGTTTTGGCGACGTACACGTGTCCAGAGGCACTGTGGGCGGTGGATCGAAGCGTAAGCAAGAATGTCGCGAGGCATGGCAGAGACAAAAGAGAGAAACAAAAGCATGAGCGTCGGCGGTCTGGTATAGAAACGATCTTGCAGGCCGCAGCATCCGGAAGATCAGCAGGCACAGTACTAATAGAAAGGTACGGATAAGAGTATTCAGACGATGCACTTACCCCTGCCCAACCTTCTTGATCTTGCTATAAAGCAACTTGGGATCGTCGTCCGACACCACCTGCCTCAGCTTCTCCATAATTTGAACCTCCGTCATTGTGCTGATCCGTTTTTCCTTCTCCTTGGGCTTCTCAAGCGCAGCGGCAGCGGCAGCGACACCACCACCAGCGGCCGGCGCACTGGGCTTCACGGGCTTGTCCTGCGCCTGGATCTGCACCTTCTTAGTTGGCTGGAGGGGCAGGACTGGCGGTGGGCCTGCCGTGGCGCCTGCGGCACCCCCGACGGGCATTGTGGCGGGCGTCGATGTTGCAGGAGATGATTTGGACGGCGGAAGTTGTGGTCGCGAAGATTCTTGATAATTGTTCTGCTGAGATTGCTGTTGCTGGATCTGCTGTTGGCGTTTCTCTTCTTCTCTTTGCCACTGTTGCTCTTGTTGCCATTGCTGTTCTTGCCTTTCTTGCTGCCTCTGCTGCTCCGACGGTAGAGACTCGCTGCGCTGAGGTATTATTCCGCCAGCTGTTGTTGTGGGTGGTCCTTGAGCTTTCGCACGTGCACGTAGGTCAGACGCAAGTGGCGTTATGTCAGGCTTAAGGTTTGCAGAAGGAGGAGCAGGCGGTGCAGGTCTAGTGGCGGATATGAGAGGTCGAGGAGGAGCTGCACGAGAAGCTTGCGGAAGTGTGGGGTTGGGAAGGGCTCGTGGTCCTTGCACAGTCGAAATAGCACTGGCGACATGCGACTCCTTGACTATTTCGGCTGCTCGCGCTGCGGCACTGGGAAGGTTGTCGCTATCTCCTCCAAGGCCCGGTGGTGACGTTTCTTGCCGCTTTGCGCCTGATCTCCCATTCTCACTCGAGAGTTTGGCAGCGCCGCCAAATCCAGTCCCTGCCCCAAAGCGAGCGGGCGCACCTATGAACTCAATTTGAGCGGTTGTCGATTTCTTGGCCACGGATCTGGCGTACCTAAAGACATGTCCTCCAATTCGCGTTTCTGATGATCCGTGTAGAACTCCAAAACGTCAAGCACAGCTTGGGGATCCTTTGCGTAATCTTCCCTTGTTATCGCTGATTTTGTCAGAAGTTTGCTCCATTGTTCGGGCATGCCCTGAAAACGCGTCAGCAAGTCACAGAAGAGGGTATCTGCAGTCTCGGTCGAAGTCTGCTGCTTTAACCGATAAAAGTCCACTTTGCCTGAGGAGCTCGAACAGCGGTGCAGATAGACCCAGAAAAGCATAAAACACTCACAGTGAATGCTCCGGACACAGGGTCGAAACCAACGTGCACCTTGTGAACAAAATTCGTTGGGTTGCTAACCCCCATTAACGGGCTTCTCGAGTAAACGTCGTCAAGCCACCCATACAGCTCTTCGTCGTTCTTCAACGATATGAAATATCGACGGTCCTTGGACTCTAGCAGAAGACAGTATGGTTTCATGTCTATCCGCTCAATATTCGCGATGTCACGAAGGTGTATTATCACTTGTGGCGGCCCCGACTGCACAACCCCAAAAACGTCAATGTCCAGTGACATGCTGAGCCATGCGGCAGATGGAATGGATTACGAAACGCACCTCGCTTTTATGAATTGACAACGTCTGATCCTTGAGGATGAGGTGCTTACGCTGGAAGAGCCAATTGCCAAAGCTGTCCTCCTTCAAGCTCACCGACCCGCTCCTCACTATCGAATCGCCCATTCCCTCCAGCCCCCGATTCGGCGACCCACCGATCCCAGAGTACGCAGACGCATAAGACGACCCAGATGGCGATGCTGGCGTGAAATTGAAGGACGAACTGTAGCCAGAGGTGCCTAGGGAGTTGTTGGAGATGTAGTTGGGTGTGTCTACGCCGCGCCGCCCTGGTGCTGGCGGTGCTGGGCGCGATGGAGTGAGCGATGTGGCGGTGACCTGGTTGAAAGACATCGTCCACGGAAATGCTGGAGGATATAGAGACGAGGGCTCGCGGTATTGGAGTGAGATCAATGCAGAGGATAGCCGAGGCTATCAAAATGCAAGGATGGGGACTCCACCAGGGTACTTCTGGACAGGACGTCGTCGTCGGCCTCGCTGTCTTCGCCTGATGTGGTCAGAAGTCGATATTCCTGGACGTCGTGGTGAGCGATGACGAGAGATGTCTGAGACCGCCTTTGGATGGTCCTTGTTTACAAACATTACGGATCTATCCGGCCCACCAATTGTCTCTAAGGAAACGGCAGCGTCGACTAAACAAAAAGATAATGAACATCAGCATTCATAGAGAAATCTCTTCATCGTTTCATCACCTCCACTTGGATCAGACGTGTCTGGAGACTCCGAGAGAGCTTCACTGGCGGGAAGCTTCAGTCGACATTCGATGCGTCAACAAACCAAGTTCCATACGCCTTCGGTGTGACTCGACTATCAAAGTGTTCGAGGGCTGTACCAGTTGCCACTTGCTTCCAAGGCTTCAGACTTTCGGACTATGTACGCATGCGTAAGTACGAAAGCGCAGTGGGTGATTTAGACAGCGTTGATGTCTCTCTTCCGCATATATGCGCGTTTCATGATGTGGGTGAGCAAGAGTAGCGATTTGATATCTTCTGTAACTGATACTTCTGCGTAGGCAATCATGTAGGTTTCAGTGTTCACAGAACACTCGATTTCGGATCCTACGTCACGTGCTTCTACGTTGGTTTCAACTCTCAAGGCGTCGTACAAATGAGGCCCAGGGGTAAGTACTATGGTCTTCAAGATAAGCATCCCGAGTTCTTTGCATAGTATTCTAGCTACCTTCCGTTTCGCGGCAAAATTCCATGGTGATGGAGGTGCCATCCCAAGCCAGGTCCTTCTCGCCAACTTTGAGTCGCTATTTTTCTTCTCGTGCGCAAGAACATCTTGAGAACATCCTCCCAGAATCCCAGATCATTGGTCAACCAGAAGGGTAGTTGGACTGGAGGACTTGTCCTGAAGAGACTATATGGCCCTTCACTTCGCTACATCTACCGCATCGTCGAAGAAGAGCAAGTAAGCACCGACCGATCAATTGATCATGGCTTGCCAGAAGTACGCGGTACGAGGGTCTAGCGAGATGACGAAGTCTGATTGAACTCGCATTTCCCTGCGAGTGGAGAAAGAACATCACCAGGCTGCGAGCCGTTCCCAAAGACTTTAGCAAGACCACAAGAAATTCAGCGTGCGTCGAAGGTGAAGGGCGTCGAATCGAAGGACGTTCTGGGAATGGTAGCATCAACGACGTCCTAAAGACTATGTTGCATATTCATATGATGAATGAAGAACAATACATATTACGCCAGCAGAGGTGTGAGAAGACAAGAGCGCAAAGCTGTTATTTGTCCGTCTACTCTGGCGTGGTGAGATCAGGAGCAGGAGCGACCGGTGGAGATCATCCAAACATGAGTTAAAGGCGAGGGCCGTTAGGAGTACCACCAGGCTAACAACAAATGTCACCGTTGCCGTCTGTTCAGCCCGCTTTTGGCTGCAATTTCCAAGCGTTTTGAAATCGCGCTGTTGAATGCCGAGATGGAGCCGTCAGCTCCTCCACCTTGCCGTCGTGGACGGAGAGACCAATTGCATCGCGAAATGCTAGATGGAGTGGATCTCTTCACCGCACTCTGCGCCATCGAAACGACAGGAACAAGAGCTACGGGTGACTCATGAATCAACGCTGAGCGCTGATCGAGATCAGTGATAGATGGACGACCTGCATGAAAAGAGCAACTGGACCTACTTACACACCGCAGCACGTGGCGCCACCGACGCGCTGAGTATCGGCGCTTAAGAGCAACGGGCGATGAGCAAATAAATTATGTCCATAATGCCATTCATTGACTCCAGTCCAATGCAACGGACCTGGTTCAGACTCCTGAGTCATACTATGTGGGAAGGACTGAAAGTTGCAAATTCCGAAATGGCCTCTCGAATAAAAAATAGGAGCAGCGCCAAAGTTGTCGAGGTTGTAGCCCTGAGATAAGGAAATCAGTTCACTCTGATTGGGGTGTGAGTACACCACCCCACATCGCAACCTGATGGGACATGGTGGCAAGTACCGGAACATAGAGGTCTGAACCGCATTCGTCTATTCGAGGGAAGGCATTTCGAGACACGCAGTTGCCAAGTGTTGGAAAGAGTGAGAAAAGGAAACGGATTCTGACATAACATGGAGTCTGCCACACCGAAGGATATGGTTGTTCAGAAAAGCAAAGAGAGATTTATCATACAAGCAGGTGCACGGTAAGATCAAATACTTACTCGAACCACGTAGTACGAATAGTTTACAAAATACAAATACAATAATAAATACACAGCTGTCCATCATTCGTTACCGTACGAGAAAATTGTATGTAGAAGAAACAAAAGAGAGAGGCTCAAAGTTCATCTATGTAGATAGGGAGCAAACTAGCCTACTAAGGCCATGTGGAGGGCTATCATGCCCATCGCCCCGGCGAGCCCGACCAGTGTTGTTGCTGCCCTACTACGCTTGGCTTTAGGATAATACTCGAAGGTGTCGTCTTCCCGATCACGCTTGGTTCCTTTCCGAGTAGGGCCACTCATCACAGGATTTGTTTCACTTGGGGGCACCCCGAAGAACCTCACGATGTCGGTCGAGCTGAAGCGGGGGCGTGGCTGGCATTGGCGGCGAGTTGTTGTGTGAACGTGCTGGAGCGGTGGTTGCACGACGGGTTGAGGGGGAGGCACAGGTGACAGTACGGGCAGGCCATGAGCAGAAAATGGCGGGGGAAATGGGAAATGGTTCGATAGGGTGTTCTGGAAAGTGGGTTGGACCTGATGAATGGGAGGCTGCTGCGCATGAACAGGGACATGAGGTCGTTGGCGTTGGTAACAGATCTCTAGGAAAGAGACTCTGGTGGCGAAGGGAACCTCGTTATCGGCTAGGAGAGGTGGTTCCACTTTATGGCCCCAACCGAAGATTGCATAGGTTTGCGTCGAGGTGCTGGTGACCTTCGACCTCACAATGATGATGCTGTCTTTAGGGGGCAACTCTTCTCCATCGTAGAGCGAGAAGACGCGGGGGGTTCTAAATGTAAAGGAGTTTCAGTCGGGCACAAAAATAAAGGTAGGGCAGAGAAATGCACTGACGCAAGATCTTTAGTCCACTTGTAGACCAAACGGTGTCGCAGCGTCGCCGTCGCGTCTGGCCTCGAACAGATAACCTTGTCCCTCGGAAGGGGTGAAGTCGGGGTCGGACCAGTTTGCAGGTAGGTGATCTTGTACACAAAGCGCTTCGCCATGGTGCTGTTGGTGTGTGTCTGAGAGAATTGCGATCCGAGTCAGAGGGAGACAAAAGACGGAAGTTGGTTGGGAAAAGGATCAGACCTAACTCTTTTATCTGCGGCACAAGCACAGCAATCCGAGTCAGATGCAACGCTGTAGCCTGTGGGCGATGTCAAAGCGCGCTGCTAATGTTTCTAAAAGAGGGCATGAGCAACGGTGTGGGCGTGCATCGCCAGTCGCATGCATTCCTTCCGGCTCCATCTTGTCCTCAACATCGGCCACGAGGCGGAAACTGACAGGACAGAGGCACGGAAAAGCATGTTTGGAAGTCGATGGAGAGAAAAAGTTTTTTCTTCGTCTGCGAGATCACTTGAAAGTCTGATGGGAGTCGTATGGTGATGGATGAAGGTCAAATTCGTCCATGGGACAAAAGGAAGGCGAACCAGATAGAATGTCGTTGATAGATGTAGGAAACAGAGGGATTTGTCGAGTTGGTTTTTAACAATAAAAAAGAGTACCCTGGGCAAATGCAAAATAATCAATCCTGGAATTCCAACTCCGACAGCACAAAAAAACGCTTACCGAACCAATTGTCCTACCGTTGCTTTGAACAGCAAGATCACATGTAGCAGGCAACCTAGGTCGTAAAAATGACAGAAGCTACTGCACTCTTGAAAGGAGACAAATGCTCTTGTCTGGTTCCACGCCCGGGGTCCCGGCCCGCAAGGTAAGCTAGTAACAAGTCAGATGCTCGTAGGTAGCACTCCCAAATCCTGCAGTAATGAAGGAAAATCGCAAGGTGGCGGGGGAAATACAAGTCACAATTTCGAAACAAACTTGACAAATTGCACGAAAGGTCTTCATCGCGAGCTGAGGCATCGAACAACCTTAGCCAGACTATTTGCTGGAAAAGGTGATCCAGAATGCATAGGATGACGCTAGAGAAGCCCATGCCGACTGACAGTGCAAGGGAGCAACTGGGAATGTTATTTTCGTTCTTCATGGGGGATCTCAGGGTATTGGTACACGTGCAATTATAGAGTCGACTGGAGGTACAGTGGCATCTGTATCGACATTTATTATCATAAATGTCGAGGAGAAGCCACGATATGACTCACGATCTTCGTTAACTGGGGAGAAAAAAAACATCGTGAAGGTTCATGATTCAAATTTGACCCTTTCCCTGTCAACCCTCTTCCCTTTCTCTCGTTTGCGGCCTTCTTCCGGCACATTCTTGATGCGAACCTCGCCAGCGCCAGCGACCGTGGTTTCTTGGTCCTCCGATCTGAGTTGAACCGCATTCAGAATGACGCGGCAAAGTAGGCGTCCCGCGAGGCCCAGCACTCCGCCAGTGATGCAGGCTACCCCACAGAAGACATAGAGCGGAAAGAGGGCGTCCAGAAGGTAAGATACGATGCGGTACGGTGATCGTACGAAAACTGTCGCAAGGATATCGAGAAAGACCGTTACAGGAGCGAAGAGGTAGAGAAGAACCGGAAGAGGAGAGAGGAGAAGAACAGGTCGTAAGGATGATAGCAAGAATTTCGATGTTGAGACGAGAATTGTGAATCCACGAGTGATGTATGGGATAAACTTCGATATTGGCGCATTGGCGTCTGTTAGTCCTGTTGTTGCTGTGGTTGTCTCTGCCGTCATATTCGACATAGTTGCGAGGTTTGGAGGCTCGATGCGTTTTGTACAGGTGGATATCTGAGGGCTGAACGTTAACAAGTAATGGAATGGGCTGCAGCGTGCAGCGCAGTGTACTCACGGTGGAAGTACCTAAGCGTAAGACAGTTATTATGTCAGCATGTTGAACTCAACTGCGGCAGGCTGTCTAACTTGGCAGAACTTGGCCCTCCTACCACGACACATCCGCCGTCTCACTATCTCGATAGGAAACACGCAAAATGCCCTCCTGAGTCCTCCTTACAGCTACATATTTTGATCAGACATGAAGAGGCCCCAGATTTATTTATCCGTCGGTTTGGAGTGCCTCCCCAACGAACTCCTCCAGAAGATCTTCGTGTTTGCTCAACTCGAGATCTCTCTAGGATGGCGTTAACCAGCAGGCGTTTGTCGAGCTCTGCATATCTGCTGATTTATCGCAATATCTCTGAATTAAAAGGGTCCAAGGCCGTCGAATTCCTTGCCTCGATTTGCTTCTACCCCCACTGCCAGTCCGGGCTTTGCATGTGAACGTCGAGGTGCATGCATTACGGGGGCCCTTCACAAACCTTTAATACCAAAGCGTCCCTCAAAGCTCGGATCTCGTGACGGCGTCTTAAAACGACGCGTTCTGGACACCATTTTCTCTCTCCTTGTCGAAGCTTTGAAGAAGGTAACCAACTTGGTCGACCCACGCCTTTATATTCAAGAACACGAAAGCAACGATTTTTGCGAATAATTACACGTTCCAGCTGAACAGTTTCGAGATATCTTTCGATTTTGGTCCCGGCGCTTTCTTGCTGAAGCAGCGCACTCTCGTCGATTTTCAGTTCCACACCGCGCGTCGAGTGGCGCCAACCAACACATCCACGGTTCCATCTGGCTGTCTTCCGAACCTCATTACTCTAGGTTGGTCGCGTAGGGCTCCTGTGGCTCTCGTCAAGCTGCTCGTCGAAGACCGTCCATCACAAACATATCTGTGTACCTGGACCGCATGACCGTCAATCTCAAGCACATCCTCGATATCGGCCAAGCATCCCTACGCATCAAGTCGGCTTGCTTCTTGTACGAATTGGCCCAACTGCCGAGCATATGACGGCCATTGCTACCCACTTCCCAAACCCCCTTCTCTTACGTACTGTATAGAGGTTCCCGAGATTACTGAGGTAAATCATCGGCTCTATCTCCTCTTATTTCAAGTTGGTCGTATTAATATTCTTTGCAGGAGACCGTGAACGCGCTTACTCCCTCGTTCGGGCGCTTCATCAACGTCGCGCAGATGACCATACCTGGCTGCGACGTTTTCATCCCAAAAGATCCAATCACTCTCCCGCCAACGTTCAGGAATTGGCTCAAAAGTTCCCCACCTTGAAATACGTTGTTGTTCCTCGCTACGGACTGAGCGTCGTCAGAAAGTCGTGGTACAGAGGGTTGTGTGTCCATATTCGGAGTTTAAATAGTGGATGGACCGACGCCCACTGGCATGAACTTTATTGTTCTAGCTGCGGGATCCTATTGTCGGAAAACAAATGGAGGCAACCTACATAAAATAATTGTTGCGACATCTTTTCAACATCTTTGGAGACATTTCTGTCTTTTATGTGGCTTCTTTTGGATTTTTATGTTACGAGGCGTTCTCTTTTTTAGACTTAAGTATATGTAATCATAAGAGGTGCGTCAAAGTGCCATGCTTGTTTCGCTCCGTTCCCGAGTCAAATAATTACTCACACCGTCTTGCGGTCATATGGCTGTGCTTGAGGCCTCGTGGAACTACTCCGAATCGTCTAAGGAAGGGGGGCGAGGTGTCAGTATGACAAAAACTCCATTGGCTCGGAAACATTACCTAGAGGTACCTTATCCCATCTAACACTTGGAAGCAACATTAACCACCTAGTGGCTTGGTATTGGCTGGCCATGCATTGGTGCTCCAGAATTGGGTTGGGCAGAAATGATCGGTGGGCGCCAATCAACCTTCAAGTTGGTGCTATATCAAGTCGTTCCTTAAAGTATGCGTTTCCACAACATCTGAATTCCTGATATTCTTGACGAGCTGTGCCTCTCTCCCCAAAACTTATGCGATGCAGAAGGAACGGTATAACATGTTCAGAATACAGTGTGCGCGGGATAGTGACCAGGATTTTCGCAGCCTATCTGTCTTCATAACGGAAACATCGCGAAACCGTAGACATAATTAATCGTATTAAGCAATAAATACCGCCTCTTTTTTACCCAGAAGTACTAGTATGTTGCTACGAGTCGATTGTGGATCGACCGGGAATTGACCAGAAATATGTATTTCGTTGGTATTTCGAGTCCTTGACGGATATCATGCAAAAATGGAAATAATTATAGTCTTAAAGCTTGTAGCTTCGGGCTTGAGAAGGGCCTCGCGGCAAGAAATAGGCGCCCCACAAGATGTACAAACCTGGAACAAGGCAATCCCCAAAAGGATTTGTACCTGCTTTTTCCATCCTGGCGCCGAGGTGGCAGGTGGAATTTGGGTGGAATTTGTTTTTTATCGAGGACTAAAGTTTCAGCAAGACTGGAGATACATGCCTCGTATAATTGTGGAACGTCTGTTCCTCGAATCCGGTTCAAAATGAGTCCACTGGCAAGGTCATTCTTGACTTTTGCTGCTGGTTCCCGAGTTCGGTGATCGGCACCGGAGGGCAGTTTGATTACATAATCAGTATATAACGTTGACTTGTTGAAGAGTGGTTGGTCTGCGCTGTTCTTAACTTTGGGCATGCAGCCATATCACCCGCGGCCAGCGAGCACGACGTTGTCGACGACGACCAAGGTGGCGCCGTCGCCAGCGCCGTACCCTCCATTAACGACGGGCGATCCCATACGCGCATCCGTCAACCACCTCCTCACCAAGGCCTTCTCTTTGCCGTGCTCGACCGCCGCCCAGGCGTTCACCCAGCTCGTCCAGCCGACCTCGCGATTTCAGCTGGCACTCGACGCGTTATTGCCTGTACTTGACTCGGACACGTCTGCGGAGGTGTGTTCCTGATATCTGCAATGATGGTCAGAACAGGGGTTGATGCGATTTTAGTTGGCACAACGCATTCTAGTTTCTTTCATCCTCTACTCACTATATGCGCCCCACCCTGTCACCATAAACCCTTTCAAGTCGGCGTTGTTGGTCGTTTATCTCAAGGAGCGCGAGAAGGCTGTCAGCATCGCTAACGAAGGTGGCATCAGTCCTAACGAGCAGTTCGTGTGGGTGTTATGGAAAATCCTGAAAGGTGACGGCAACGATGTAAGTGTCTTGCCGTGGGTCCACGGAAAAATAGCTGATAACCCACAGATTGGCCCTTATTCCCCTAGTACTCTGTCGCGCTGTCCTCTTCCACCTAAATTACGAGCAATTAATCTGGTCCTCGATGAAGAACTGTACCATAGTATTTCTGACATGTCAGTATCTGTTTTTAACCCTCAAACTTTACCTCTGATGCCGTTTCAGAGACGATTCTACTTATTTTTATTTCCAAGACCAAAACAGGCGGTCGGCCTCCTCCGATACTAACGACTCCAAGTATACCACTATTCACGATATCCCGCCCCTTTCGCGTCCTCCAAGCAGTCTCGAGGAAGATAGGAGGAATGAACGCCTCGTCCATGGCATGAAACTCCTGATGACCGCCCGCGACCGTGTCCTAACCCTCTCTGAACAACGGATGCTCGCCCCCATTATCACGGACCTTGCCACTTCGAAGATTATAACCTCGACCGACCTGACCCACATCATCGCCTATAACCCAATTATAGCCCACCCCATCCTCGTCAGTCTTCTCACCAATGCCAACCCGGACAACAACAATCCCAGACCGTTCATCGACATCCTACCTTTCTTGCCACCTACCCTACCGACCTTCGATCTTTACGGTCGTCTATTGAGGGATCAAACCCAGGTCACGGTCCCGGGATTCTCTACTGTTGCGGACTTGGTACTCCTGGAGGTCCTTGGCCGGTTTATCCACGAATGCATCAACTGGGTTGATCGTGCTGAGAGAGAGGAGAGGAATGGCAACATCAGTGATGATCGTGTGGCGAAGGGTATACAGAACGTAGGTGTCCCCGTTCTGTATATATGTCCAAACGGTTGACATTATTTCCATTAGCTGTGCCGTTTCTACGCCTCCCTCATCAAGCTTAGGCTTGTGGATCCTGCATGTGATGCAGACTCGACCGAAATGGCCCACTTCACTTTGGCCCATTCTCGCTTCGAGGAGGCTAACGCGCTCTATCGGATTATCGCTACCTCCAGGTTCTAGTTCGGCGATCACAGCCTCTACATTACTCACACTGGCTCGGTTTATCGACTTCGGCTTATCTATTCTGTATCTGATTATTACTCCTTACTCGACAGTCTCATCAACTTCCCGGTTCTCACACAAATTCTGTCTGGCACGCATGCAACTTATAGAACGAAGAAAACGAAGAAAAAACCACAGGAAGAAATTACGATATGGATGTCTTTTATGATATGTTCTGGATATGAATATGGTTGCGGCGGTCTGGTATCGTAGCGGACGCCGTGGGTAGTGGTACGATACTCAAGGGAGATGATTGGGTGACGAACGGCTGGGGTGGGACGATGTATGCCCAACACTACTATGATCGGTTGACTCTTCTTTCTCGGCTTTGTTCTTCCCTGTATGTACTTATATCTTTCAAGTATGTGCACTCTTCTCGCTCTTGTTTCTGGACCAACGCTGTGTTTTCAAAACCTTTAGGCGAGACCTCTCATCGTGCCTACCTTTCATTCTCCTTTCTCTGTTTGCGTCAGCTCCACTTAGTACCCTCCTTTCTAGTTTATCAAGCCTTCAACACACGAGCCACACCTACTCTGCCTTCTCTCGCCCCTCGCCTTCTCGATGTTGTATTTCCTATTTCGTCACTGGTCCTCATAACTTTGCCCCAAAAGTCGCGCGCAAAGGCCACCCCGCCACCGAGTTCGCGATAGAATACCCTCATTATCATACATCCTCCCCCTGTCACCATGTAATTCCCGGAATCAACAATGCAGACTGGATATTCCTCAATGTATTCAATGTATTCGTTCTGATATTTCTATTCTATCCCACTGTCTTGCAGGGTTGTTTGGAGATCTTCACAAGTAGACAGTCTGCTTTTCCCTCCCGAAACCCCTTTGGCAAGCATTCTCTGTCGCTTTCGCCTATGAGCACTTTCATCTTGTCCGCCCCGGTTAAACGGTGTATCAGAGGTTTGCCTGTATTTCGCAAGGAAAAAAGCCTCTTGAGCTATAATCACAGCCGGTTCCTGCTGCAGCGAACACAGGCAAGCAGTGAGCAGCCTCGGCAAATCTGAGGATTTGGTCAGTGAAGAGAATGGGTAAAAGGAGGCAGACGCGAACCAAAAGGAAATTGGGTAGATTGAAGTGACACTCCTCGCAGCGACCGCCGCCATGACGGTATGTCCAATTATGACGGTCACAATGATGATTATCCCTTAATGTCTCCACCCTCTGCTGCACACGTTCCGCGAAGACGTTAGGCAGTACATTCCGCACTGCCTGAGGGCCCATCTCATTCTCGACACGTTGTTGCGCCGCAGCCACAAGCCGCGCCTCCTCCCATTGAGGGCATTGGCACCCCTTCCATGGAACCGCGCACAAGTAACAGAACTCAGTGCGGCAGCGGCAGGTCATGTGGTAGCACCCGACGTTGAGCTCAACGACCGCGTAGCACCCCGGGCAGGTCTGCCAGCCTTCACGTCTAGCGAGTGCGCGCAGCTCGATGGTGGATTTATTGACAGAACAGTCGGGGTCGTTGGGGTGTCCAGCTTGCTTGCACTGGGGGCAAGTCGACATGCCGCATTGAGGGCAGTTCATTTCAGTGCCAGTGCTGCCGTTTCCTGATCCCAGAAAAGCTGAGCAAGTCGGCGAGACACAATAGACACGATCCTTGGAGAGGACACTGAATTCGGCGTGTTTAGCCTCGAAGAGCCGGCGTAGGCCAATAGCAATGAAAGGGAAGATGTTGGTAATGGGAATAGGCGTTTGGCAGCAGCGGATTGGGAAAAGGGACTCGTCACGAGTACACAGTTCAACCAGGCTGCGAATGCAATCTTTGCAGTAGTTGTGATTGCAAGGGGTTTGAAGGGCGTCTACATAAGGGAGGGTGTCGTTGCAAATAATGCAGTGAACTCTGTAACAACATTAGATATATTGACTGTGCCTAAACGCGGAATGGTAGCATCGTACTTTTTGTTTCGATTGATGCTAGGCCCTGGAGCTACAGAGTTCTTGCTGAAGGAATTCCTAATTTTGACCGAGTTGACAATAGCTGCCTGTTTGTTGGAGTCGAAGTCGCCGAAGACGGTGTCATCATCATCCGAAAGCAGGACATCCTCGTCATCACTGTCTACAACGGCAACGGTCTTCTCAGATCCTTTATCGTCGAGCATCTGCCTGGGAAATTCTCGTAAACATAGAAAGGAGGAAATGGACGGTAGAAGGGGGCTCACTTCGGTGGCTCAGGATGCATGATGAAGCCCGGGGTTTCCAGGCGAATCTGACAATCCTTCTGGGGCGGAAGCTGTTCTCCACGAGACAGCATCTCGGCGGCGCGCCTGTCTTCTCTCGCTGCTTCCTCAGCAAGCATAAGCGCCTCGATGTAGGCGATATCAGTCTCCACTGCACCTCGAAGGCTCGCAGCTATCTTGGCGTCTTGGGCAACAGTGAGCAGCTCTTCATACTGCTCGCGCTGAACTTGAATCGCGTACTCCTCATCCGACAGAACAGCCCTTGCGCGTCCTTTCCCCTTACGTCTGGACAGACTGTCCTCGATGTCTTCCAGCTGGAGCTTCGCGATAAGGGCGGCAGTTTCGACATCGATGTCGAGATCGAATACCGAGAAAGCCGCGCGGGATCGCGAAGGAGCAGATTGGCGATGGCGGCTACTTGATGATGCCGACAAGGTGGCAAGAGGGAGGAACGACATTGATTAAAAGACGAGTGGAAGGGCTGATTTACATAGGAAACTGTCTCGCTTTTCAAGAGCACCGGCGCGAACAAAGGGAGGTTCGAATGCGATGGGGCTCTGGAAAGCGGGACAAAGTCCTGTCGAGGATCCTTTGTTCCCTCGGTAGGTTTATATATTCCTACGATAGACGCCCAACCCCCAGAAAACGTGCCCGTAATCGATGGATAACCAAATCGAGTTTCCTCTGCTGGTCCTCCTTCGTGAGATATGAGCTTAGTTGATGGTTCTGCGATCTGAAATTACCTTGAGGCAGATGATCGGACTAGCTGGTCCTGTGGCAGTATGTATGTGCCTCGTATGTTGTGCTCGTACTAGGACGTGAGAAACCGTAGAAAGTCGATCTACAACAGTGGATATGAATATCGGTTGCAGGGGAGGAAGCGAGAAATAATTCACGAGATCAGTGATCTTCCGCTGCGAGGAAAGATTGGACACCCAGGCCATGCATCCTCGAATCTAACGGGTAATGCCACGGTCGTGCATGGCCGCCCCTCGTTTTCTTGGTTAGCAATTCTCCAGGACGAGGTGGAAATACGAAGCCATCGTAATTTTCGACGTTACATTCCAGAGGAGAGAGCTGTTCCAGGAAGCGAAACACCAGCCCTGGATTTTCTCGGTGTTCAGGCAACGTTGACATCTCGAATCGGGCCTTGAACAGTCCTGGAATACGAATCAGAAGGGAAGAAAACGAAGAGTAAGCTTCTTACCACGATAAGGGGTTATCCGACGGCCGCGCTGTTGGCAGAACAGGGATGTAAGGCGCAGTGAGTAGAAACTTTTCCGAGTCAGCAAACAGAATGTTAATGATTTTTTCTCGACGTCGACAACGAAAGGTTGGTCCAGCCTGTAAAGAAGTCTGGAATCTATGGCCCGAAGAGGAAGCTTTGCGACGTCGGATACCAATGACTTGTCGACTAAGCATTCATCAAGCAGCAGGTCGCGTATCGCGGCCCATATTGAATACTTGCTTAGGTGGTACAGAGGCACATTCCAAGGCTCTCCTATGCCGTTGTGGAGGTCGGTGCCGCTTTTAAATCGTGCAGGAGTGTTGCAGAGGCGAAAGCGCAACTCTCCGGAAATGGGTGGGTAAGTAGGATCACGATGGTAGTAGAATACCCCTCTCGTGTCCTTCGGGAAGGGGACAGGAGTGCCTGTTGGTTTACCAGTGTCGGAGTCCTTGCGTCTCGTGAATACAAAACGGGCCTTGAGGTCATTTCGCCTGCTGGTTGGTACTGAGAAATAGTGGACTGTCTTCCCAGAGAGGTCGCATATTCTTTGTCCCTTTCTCGCCATTCTGGCGGGGTTTAGGCTCACTATTTTTTCTCCTGATACGTAGCGAGTCGACTATAGAGCGAAATGGTCATGAATCAGTGTCAGAGAGCGAGAAGTGACACGTACCGAGAATGACCTTTTCCATACTTTATTCAGCCCATGAATTGGTGACGCAATAAATTTGCTGAAGGTCATGAAAAGGTTCAAGTTCAATGGCCAACTAAAAGCAGCCGAATTTGGCACGAACCAGCCGTGGCTGTACTACTGTTATGCACCAGTCACTGAATCAAGCACACTAATGTCGAATCCCGAGCTTGATGAGGGTTTCCACCTTTAACTCCATCCCTAAAGACATGTTTCGGACGGCTTCTCGACTGGTAAGCAATACCGTATACCGCTTACTGCAAATAAGCAGTAAATCCTATTTCAGCCCAGAAGAACATTATTCTCTGCAACAGTCGCAGGCACGGCTGTCGGATTGCATGAACGAGAGAAGGTATGATTCCCTCAATTTATCTCGAAATATGTTCTTACTACTCGTCTGTTAGTTGTCGATATACCCCTCACCGACACCGGACACCGTTCTAGTTGATTCTCCATCAGAATTGGAGAAACAGATCGGCAATGTTCGCAGAACAGCACAAGATACATATGCTGGCGCACACGCACACGTCCAAGGCTGGGTATCAAAATGGATTGGCGTAGAACACGCAGTGGAAAGTGTGTAACGGCCCCTTGATCATATTTGACTCTCTTAACATACCTGCAGACCGTGTTAAATCTATCGTCACTCCCGAGGAGCCTCTCACTCCCAATTTGCTCTACGTCGGCGTGGCTACACTGACTGGCTCCATTCTGGCACGAAATCGCGGCCTTGCTACCCGCTTCCTCCTTCCACCCTTCCTCCTTATCGCCTCTGCTCAACACTTCCTGCCCAGAACAACGGGGAACCTTTCCGACTACCTTGGCAGCCTGGAGGACGCCTACTTCCCTACGTTTGCCGAGAAACATGAGATATCGAAGGCGCATTCGGCCATGACCTGGGAACGCATCAAGGATGCGACGAAGAACGGGCGAGAGCGAATTAATCACGGGGCGGTCGTAGTCGTCGACAAAGTGCAAGAGCTTACGGGCTTGAAGCTCAAGGAGACCATTGGCTTGCAGAAGGCCAAGGCTGAGGAAGTCACGCGGAGCACAGAGGCTGTCGCTGTCAATGTAGAAAAGAAGGTGGAAGAAGCGGAGAAGGTGGAGGAGAAGGAGGCGAAGGATGCAAAGAGATTGGTATAAATGTCGCCCTTTACCTTTACCATTATATAGACGCCACCCCAGTCGATTCGACCTGCCCCACCACCCCTTCACCACCCCCTAGCCATAGCTTACACAGCAATCCAACGTTGCCCGCGGCCCTCTTGCTCTCTAAGCGGCGTCCATAAGCAAGGTGCGTGCACGCGGGCTCTTGCCATGCTGGTATTTGTAGAGAAGATAGCTTCGGTAACTAACATCAAGATGGAATACGGAGAAATATAATAAGTATTGTGGTGTAAATTTACAAATGAGTGTTGATTGTGTGCCTTCTAACAATATCTGCTGGATTGAAAGATGAGGAGGTCGTGGGTGCAGGGGGATCGCGTAAGACATCACGTCGTAAAAGTTGGCGAGAGGAGAAAGTTGGAAAAAGCTACAACTACTACGGGAGAAGGTGGCCATGAGTGAATGAGGATTGTTGATGGTGTATGCAAAAAAAGTGAAGCAGTAAGGAAAGCGGGAGCGCAATGCGGTGGGTGAAAAATCAGATGAGGATGAGCTTGAGAGACGATTCCGGATAAATAAGAGATGAGGGAACGATCAACGCCTCGCAACGCGTTTCCGCTCCCGCCCATCTTCCTCCACGTCCATCGCCTCTGAGCCCAGGTTGATGTTCTGGTTCTGCAATTGCGCGATGTTTCGCGAGCTACGCGTGCGGCGCCTACCCAGGCTCGAACCCGCTATGCCACAGGACGCGCCCAGCGTGCCTCCAGGGCTCGACACGGTGCTCGAAGGGCCGCCGATATTGACAGGCGCTGCCGATTCGATCATCATCATCATAGCGTGCCGCCGTTTGGCGCCCGCACCGATGTTGATTGGTGCCTCAGCGCTGAACGGTGCAGCAGCAGTTGGAAAGGGCTCGGAGAGGAAGGGCGACGGTGGCAGGTTGCTTGATTGGAGTGATGGCTGGAAGGCTTCTCGGGCAGGCGGCGTATGTCGTGACTTGGCAGGTCGTGCAGCACATGTCGAGGAGCTGGATGCGGGTGGCGAGGGTGATGAGGGCTCCGGAGGTGGTGGATGGGAACTCGGGTGGGTCACAGGCGAGCTCGGCGTCGGTAGTGATAGCCCCTTCGCGAAAACACCAAAGAACGTCAGCCTTCAATGCCCCAGGAAACCCAAGGGGGTTGGAACTCACCGATTCCTTAGACCGTTGAACTGAGGCTGCTGGAACGGCCTTCTTACCCTCCGACTTCGGCGCAACATGGGCGGCCACAGGGGGTCCTGAGCGGGGCTGGGCACGTTCCTTCTCTTCTTCCTCATCCTCCTCCTCTTCCCGGGCTTTGATTGCCTCTAATCTTGCTTCTGTCCAATCCATAACCCTTCCTATCGTCAGGCCACCACCCTCAACAGCAGTCGAGCCAGAAGGTGCTTGGCCGACGTCGCTGGTGGAGACGCCTTGCTGGATAAAATTGAGCAGATCCTGGCATGCTGCTAGATACCCTGCGTTGTATGCGCGCTTGGATGTCTTTCTTGAGGAGCGATATAGTGTTGTTATGCTCAAAGCAGCAGCTGTAATACAGCGGACCCGGCACAGCGTGAAGTCAGAAATCACGGGCGAAATTGCCAATAAAAAGGCAACCCACCTTTAAAATCGTTCAGGAGCTCTTTCTCCGCGTTCTGCTGGGCCGTTGGCAGCGAGTTGGCGAGCGTGTTCAGGTTTAAGGATTCCATTACGGACAAAGGTGAGGGGAGATGGTGAGAGGAGATGCCAACCTTAGGAGCTTAGCTAACCTAATAAAGTCAAGATTTCATCACTTACGTAATACTATCGTAATGCTTCCGCATTGATCTCTCCCCTCGAAACTTCGGGAAGATTTTTGCAAAGCAGTTCTTTGGGGGGCAAATTTTGTGTGAGCACTCGAGATTGTAAGGCTCACAGAGTGTATCTTGCAGCTTTCTCTCCCTGCTTCAGCCTATCCACCTGACGCAACACAAATCGGAGATCGCTCTAAATCAGGAAGCCTGATAAAAATAAGCATCAGATTGCACCTGTTAGGCTGAGAGGGTATTGCGGGATGCGGCGTTTCGGGCCGTGCTTCCTTTCTTGCAAGTTGCTCCTGACCTCCAGGTCTTCCTTCTGAACTTCGCGTCTCACCAGCTCTTTCAGAAATTCGTCCAAGCTATCCGGACCTCGCATTTATCTAGGTTGCTTCATTCTCCGTCCTTGAAAGCAGGCAAGGCCGACAACCTAGCATTGAACGACGCGACGAATCTTACTACAGTCAATAATGAACATCGACGTCGGTTGAATGGCGCCTTGCTCTCCCTTTGAATGTTTGGGATTAGACAACACATTCTCAAAAATGGAACCACGGTGCTCGCCGTGTCTCTTTCGTTGGATTACGCGCGGAAGGAGCTCTTATCTTCATCTCATTCCAACATCCTCACCGCCGTTAACTCTCAGGGAATCTCAGGCATGCATGCTTCTAGATCATGTGTCTTCGTTGACGGACCGTTGCAAGACTATTTTATATCAACTTCGAGGGAATTGATACTTTATGAGTTCCCCAGCATGTGGTTGCTTCGTCTCGTCTCCGTGTTCATGTCGTTGGCCAGTAGCTGCTCTGCTTTGGCACCCAGCGGTGCTTGGGATAGGTTCAACCTTGCGCCCGCATCACGAACGGTCTACCCGACGGCCATCCATTCCATGAATGGGACTGTAAAAGAGGCAAATCTTCTCATTGATAACAAGGGTAAAGCGACGTTCATCGGAATAGGCTCTTGGGTCGCGTTGGATTTTGGCATCGAAGTGAGTCTCTTCCATTTAAGTTTTCTAACGCTCTAACAAGGAAACTTTCTAGGTCGGAGGATTGATATCGATGAACTTCGACTCAGTCACCTCAACATCCTCACTCGTTCTTTCCTTCACTGAATCACCGCTCTTCATACGGCCGACTGCCTCCGACGACTCTTCCTATCCTTCTGCAAATACGACCTACGACGGAGTGCTCCAGGTGAATGCACCATTGAAAACTGGCGATTGGATCCAACCTGCTGCAGCACTTCGAGGTGGTTTTCGATATCTAACGATAGTATCCATGTCGACTGCACCCACAACCGTATCCAATATTTCTTGCTCTATTTCCTTCATGCCACACGTTGACGACATGAAAGCATATTCTGGATACTTTTTTGCATCCGACCCTCTATCGCAGGATGAGGACTTTCTGACCAAAGGTAGCAATCCTTCAACCTTCACCCATTTGTGTTCCACTAAGAATTTTTTTGCAGTTTGGTATGCTGGCGCATATACGGTGCAGACTAACACGGTGCCTCTCGACACCGGCCGGCGCGTGCCGTTTGCGCCTGCAGGATGTGCGTTACTCTCTCGAGCGACCTCTCCAGCCAAGTGACACGATTTGGTTAGCTTGGGCGAACGATGCAAGATTAGGTGTTGCTGGACCCATCATCGTCGACGGTGCGAAGCGAGATCGGTATGTTCATATATGCGTTATTTTCATCCAAAATACACCATCGGAGTAGTGCAGTATGGCCAGGTGCCCATAGCGGATACCTTTGAAGTCGTCGTTGCTCAGCCGTCTTTCTAGGCGATATGGGCATTGCCGTCCCGGCCCAGTTCGTATCGACGAACGACCTCATCTCGACGCGTAATGCCCTTTCTACTATGTTCGCTGCGATCAACCCACGAACAGGCGCACTTCCGGAGTCTGGCCCGCCTCTCAGTCAGCAGGGATCGGATACGTACCATGCATGGACACTCATCGGAACGCGTATGCACCCTTTGAATCATCTGTCTAATTTTCTTTGGCTCATGAGTCGCACAGACAATTACTTCTTATATTCCGGAGACAGTGCCTGGCTGCAGGCTGTCTGGGCGAATTACACGAAAGCAGTAGCGTTCCTCGAGGCAAAAGTGGACAATACTGGCCTGATGAATGTCACTGGTCTACGCGACTGGGCAAGACTGGGCGGAGGTGGATATAACTCCGAAGGAAACGCCCTTCTCTACAAGGTTAGGTCAAACTGGCGTCACCGTTCCGGTACTATGTTTGACGCCTTTCCCTAGGTGCTCACCACAGCTGCGGACCTCGCAAACCATCTCAACAATACCAACCTCTCAGCGGCATGGGCCACAAATGCGACATTGTTGAAGCAACGATTTAACGAAGCGTTTTGGCTTCAGAGTGCCGGCATGTACCGCGATAACTTAACGACGACACTCTGCCCTCAAGATGCCAATTCCTTTGCAATACTCTACAATCTGACTACGTCGCAAGACCAGGCGAAGAAAATAAGCGATGGTTTGAGGCAAAATTGGAATGGGCTTGGGCCTGTGGCGCTGGAGCTGCCAGATACTATCAGTCCATTTATTAGTGGGTTTGAGGTGAGCAAATGACTTCCTTGCGCCACGGTCTATAGCCGTCTGAACGTCGTTATTAGATACAGGCGCATTTCGAAGCTGGAAATGATGGACGAGCTCTCGATTTAATTCGACGAACCTGGGGTTATATGCTCTATACGAACATATCCGTTCAGAGCACTTTTCTTGAAGGCTTTACTGCCAACGGATCTCTTGCGTACGTCATACACTATTTCGTTTGACAGTCTGGTAATTCTGATATCCTTCCTCCTTCGATTAGCTACCGATATTATCGAGGATACAACAATGACCCCGCGTATACGTCGCACAGTCACGGTTGGAGCGCCGGCCCCACCTCTGCGCTCACGTTCTACGTCCTCGGGTTGACTGTCACGTCGCCGCAAGGAAGAACCTGGACTGTCGCACCCCATATCGATGGTGGCCTGCCGAGTGCAGAAGGCGGCTTTTCGACTCCGCTTGGGTGGTTCGGAGTCAAATGGGCGTTGATGAGGACAGAAGATGGGCAAATCGAGCGTTTTGAGTTGGAAGTGGACACCCCGATTGGGACTTTAGGTAGTGTCATACTGCCTGAAAGTTTGCGAGGGAAGGGGTGTCTCGTTGATGGCACGAAGCATCCTGGGCTTGAGTGCTCTATCATCAGCCTCAGTGGAGGCAGTCATTCTGTTGCCACTGGAACCTAGGTGTGCTTTCGATTTCTGACTGAACTCTTTGCATCTCATGTACTTACCTCCGCAACGCAACCTCAGTGGTTTTATCCAAGTTTTGGCTCTTTTGAACTGTTGACCGTGGACTTGTTGGCTGCAGTATGTTGTGAATCGGGCGTGGGGATCGGCAAGCCCATTCGACAAAGCACTCGACAAAACACTCGACAAAACACTCGATACAACACTTGACACAACACTATGCACCGAACGCGGTCACTAGTCTCTAGTCACTAGCACTGGTCAGTCACTCGACACCACTACTTAACACCAGACATTCGGCAAGCTCTGCCGTTTGAATTGCTGGAGTCCAGTCAGCAGGCCAGGTGTGTCCAGCGTTCTTCGAAGTTAACGGTGGTGTGCCCAAATTAGCTCTATCCACCTGAAGAATCATCAGAAAAAATACCTGGAAATCGCACCCCCTACCGCTACACGACATCGCTCACTTCAACCGTGCAAGTCGGGTTTCGGAACCTCCGCTCTTCTTCCGAATCCCGACCCGAGCCAGCCCAAAAATGGTACCTGAACTCAACAGTTGTTTTCAAGGTCGAAATACATCAGGAAACCCTCTAGATGAACGTCATGACTTCCAGCTGGTAGTGCCTCGTCTACGGTCTGCCGACTCAAGATGAGATTTGGTACTCGATATAAAGGTCAGCACCATCATCGTACCCTTCCACCAAACTGAACATGCCCTCCACGACACAGAGCTCCATCACTGCGTACTTCAAGCCTGTCGTCGCAAGTCGCGGCGCAACAGACGACGACGTCGTCACTCGCGGTGGCGAAAGACTGCCCACTCAAGATACACTTGAAGAACACCGTGAGTATTGACCTCATCCACTTGCCTGAATCCAGAACGCCGATCAAGGATTGTCTTCTTTTTTCTTTCTGTCTATCCTTTTCAAAGCAGAAGGTGACCAGAAGACGACTATCTCTGACAATGAGCACGACAATGGAAATATTGTGGACATTGCTCCCGCGGTGCCTCGATCCTCAGTCGCCAATCGCAAGGCGAACGTGAACGCTAGCTCATCTCCTCACGATATTCAGCAAGTGGGAGTCTTCGATGATGCTCCCTCCGAGTCCGAAAAGGAGAGTCGAACCCCTTATTTTAACTTTATCAAGGGTGTCGTCTCGTGCTCATGGAATTTACAGCTGCCAACGTTGGCCAGTGGTCATAAACGTGCCAGCTCCCAGACCACATCCATGGCGAAGGCGAGAAAAATCAAGCAAAGTGTCCTTAACTTCCCAAAGACGGTTTCTTTGCCGAGGCATTCAGTCTCGACTCCCGAGTATCAAAGAAAGGCCAACCCCAGTCGAGGGCGACACCACACCTCCACTCAGACGATCCTCGATCGGTATTATACGCCGACGCCAACAAGCACGGGAAACGTCCGAGTAAAGGGGGAATTCTATTCACGAACCCCTCAAATTTGCGAACCCCTCATGAACCCCCAAATTACGGGAACTTTCCGGCGAGCCTCCGGGATGACAAATAGAGTCACAACTGTGACAACATGGTCTTGCGTTGCTCCTTGCACCCACCTCCGCCAAATATCTTCGTAGAGATCCTTCGTGTTGCCATTCGCCCCATACACTAACCCTCTTGGTGAACTGCGCGAATAAATAAAGGTAAGTGATAATGCGCCCTTCCTGGGCCCTATCATTGATGGCAAGGACTGACCTTCGCACAACTTTAGGCCCTGCCCCTCATGAGTCGCCTTTTGATGGCCCTACTTCGCTGACTCAACCCAGGCCGTCGTCGTGGCCATGGGTGTCGCCGGAGATAGGGCAAACACATACCCCGACGTCAAACCTTGTGGGAGTATGCATCATCAGGGTGCGTCAAGACACGACTTACCGTGCTGTCGTACACTGACCGCGGTGACCTGTTGAGAGGTGAGGCTGCGCTGTCAGAGGTAGAGAAAGAGGTGAGATTGAGAAAGAAGAAGAGAGGAACGCGAGCCGATCTCGAGTGGATAAGGGCACGGCTGGAAGGGAGGTGGTGAGAGCCATTGTCAATCCACCACCACTTTATCCGCCGTCACCGGCGACTCACTGCTGCCCGATCTCAAGGAAATGAGACATGCACTGCACTTGTCTTCAAGATCGTCTATTATATTAGATACATACTTCCTCGTAGAAGCCATAGTAAGTTCTAACAAAGGACAATTGAGCGTACAGTACCGAAGCCAGCACCAACTTGAATGACTTGCAGTTAGATAGAGAAATGTTTGACTAAAATGCAGTAGTGCTAGAAACTGCGCATGTTTCCCCCGAATTTTTGTGTGCTGATACTCGGTTTTCCCTTTCCGCTGAAGATTGAGCACAACAACGAGAAACATGATCGTCGAGTGGGAGATGATCACGCTCATCGTTCTCATCTCTATACACGGTTATCGAGGCAGGTGGAAGCATTACAGGCTACGTCTGCACGGGCGACGGCGGCGAGGTCTAACGGGCGTCTAGAATACAGTCTGTCACACCTCCTACCTCTTTGGTATGACCGGCCGGAAGTTCCGTTAAACTTTGATCCACCGGAGGGGTTCGCAACTCGGAGGGGTTCGTCAATAGAATTCCCCCGAGTAAAGACCATTGACCGAGGAAAGGTGTAAAAGCTTGTCGAATGGGTTGCAAAGGACGCCACCTGATTATGTTAACTTCTCTCTCTACTCAGAACGTTGATTCTTGTAAATTAGTTGAACGATGTCGACAAGCTAGTACTGGAGAATCTGTGCGTCGTAAACTTTCGTCGAGATTTCATAAGAGATGCGGCAAGCGCCGAGTCGGAGATTAAAATATGCCGAGCAAGCATTTAGACGAAGCTCGTGGGAATTGTCAAGAGTTACCTCTTGACTCCTACTACGATGGCCAAGCGTCCTAGATCCCCCTCCCAACCCCCTAGGCTCGAGAATTACCTCTTTCTAGCGAAGAAACGTCGTCTCAATGCTGCAGCTGACTCCAAAACCGCTGTCAGTGCCGGCGGCCCCACTGAACCCGGTGAGTAACGTGCTCCGATCGTAGTGCCGATCGTTGATCTCATTTGCTTCCATTTTGATCAGGTCTCCCCACGTTCTCCATCGCGTCCAGTTCCTCGGTGACCGTGACTGTCGTAGACGATGCTCAAGTTGATGTCTCCTCGTCGACTTCGCCGCCCCAGACAGAAGGCTGTGCACCGGGTGGTCCGTGCGCCACCTACAACTTCGAGGACTTATTCAAGCCCAATAACTTCGGTGTCGTCGCCTCGTACATCGACGATATCCTGACCACAAATGAGAGCGCATATTTAGTACCAGAGGGTACCCCTGTGAGTATATGGGCTTGTCATCTTTTCTTCAAACACCTCTAACTTTCTCTACAGATTGTCCAGCCTAATCTCGCAAACGTCTACTATCTCGAGGGTACCTACTTGACAGCAGTCCGCCGCCTGAAAGTGAAGTGAGTGATGAATCTCCATCATGGTTTCTGTATCCTGCTCACAGGTACACCTTCAGGTCCAGCGTCAAGAATGCTGCTGCCCTCAATTGCATGCAGGCATACTCTGCACGAAGTGCTGAAGAGCAGGCATGGAAGATGCATGGAGGTCGCAACCAATTCGTCGCATTGTGAGTACATACTGTCCTCTTTTCCCGCCCAATTCTGACGCTGACTTGACGGACTGCTCAGCTTGTGCAAAGGCATGTTAGCCTGGGAGAAACAAAACCCGGGCAACGCATTCAAAATGCCAGTATACTACAGATCCGTCGTGAAAAGCCTACGAGAACGGCTAGTGAAGAGCAAAGATGCAGGAATATCTTCCCAGTCACAAACTGCGAGAAGTTCTGAACATTAAGTGTTTCTCAGTGTGTCCTATACCTTGCTTGCTGACGTGGAATATCTTCACAGTGATCGAAAGACGAAACTCCGGTGACTAGTTCATTAATTTTATAATTTGTATGCCTATGCTGACATTTTTAATGAGAAACCATTGTTACGAACCTCCGAAATGATTATGACCTTGAGAAGAGGATGGTCGTGTTTTTTTTTTCGAAAAGGCCAGGACCATCGTTCGGATCATGGAATTGGGACATAAACTATACCAGAAAACCCTGTCTGTCGAAACAATAATGAAATAAATACACCATTTCCCCCCAGTTATCCTCGACCTCGCCGTCATGGATGCCTCCGTCAGCGACGAGAGCTGATGCGCTCCTCTTCAACCCTTCCGGTGGTCGTCGGTACTCAACGTTAGAGGCCAGTTACCCTGCCACTGCAAACGCCTTCGCTGGCTGCCGCACTTATGCCAAGGAAAACATTCTTAGTGGTTTTTCTGTGCTTATGCGCATGGATATTGATCGAATATTGATCCTCCGAGTCAGACCCCAACTCATCGGGGAGGGTATTTCCTCAAAGAGCTGCAAATCCTTGACGAGGATTGAATGACGAGTACACCCGGAATCTGGAAATATTCTGGGCCAGCCGCAACGTATGCAATCAAGACATGAATATGATAGCTCCCTACGTGTTATCTAGAACAAAATGACATGTATACACCAGTCCAAAGCCCTTGAGCCCATGAAGATGAACAGAATAATCCAAATGGAACGCGTCTGAGTGGCGACGAATAAAACCTCGTCCAAACTGGGCAGTCCCTTCACTACCAGCGCCAATGAAGGCAATCAGCCAAAACGCCTCGAACTCCCAATGGAGCACATACCATACTCCTTTATATACGCATATCTCCACTGCTTAAACTTGTCCTTCAGAAGTCTAGTCGCTTCGTCCCGACTGCACCGACGGCCTTCCACCGCGAGATATTCCTGAACGCCCTCGGTTTCTCGAAGGATAGTATGCAGCAGCCACCATTGCCATGTCCAGTATCGAGAATTCAACCAGAAATGCCACCAATAGTGCTTCTGCACGTCTTGTAATAGCTTCACGATCGACGACAGCCTCAGTTCAAATTTGGTTTCTTTCCTGCAGGGATTCTCGCCGGCATTGAATTGGACCTGCAGGATGCTTTGACCAACATAGGATTCACGGACGGTCCGTTCTGTGCCGCCATCTCTGAAGATTCTGACTTCATCGCATTCAAGGCGATGAGGAGTCCAGAAGAACGAGAGATAATGGAGCCAACCAGCGTGCACGGCAGACGGTCCAGTGATATGGATATTATAGCTCACGTTTCGATGCGAAAAAGAGACGAGGACGATTTCCTTTCCCGACCTTTCATGAAAGAGTTCGATAGAGCGCAATGACGAAGACAAGATGTCCGAAGTAAGGGTTCCAGCTGTGGAAGTGCGTTCTTGAATGAATGCCGGTAGGCTGGAGGTGAGCATAGAGGTCGGATCCGAGGGGAGGGAGAGAGCCGTGGTGGAAGCATGCAACGTCCTTGCCAAGGTGCTTATGTTGGCCCATAGCCATCCTTCGCAGCTAAATTGTTGATATCTAATCTCGGAATCGCTGAAATGGTATATTCACTCACAAAGTATTCGTCCAGTAGAGGATACAGCCAGTTGCACTGAAGGCGAGAGAGATGTACGTGCCTCCCAGATACGCAGAACTCCCGACCTCGAACAGCAGAAGCGACATGAGTACCCAATCGATCGTTCCGATAGGTCTTCGTGCCACGACTATCTAAATGATCGCTTGTTGAGCTTACGCCGCAGCAGATGTTATATGGAAAGTGTAGGATCGATTTACTTACCTTAATCGACGCTGACCGAGGTGTATGCAGTCGTCCTGGATAAGAATGGGCCCAAAGAGCGATCATGTCTCCATGCTTGATTTTTCCGGTGAAGTCGTCGTCTGAATCGAAGACGTGGATCGCACTGTATTCAACTGCGGAGCGACTTTCGGCTACACCACGAGGAGCTGCATTGAGCCGCACACCGCCCGTAGCTACCTCGATCAGCTCCCCATCGTCCTCTGAGCGTCTGATGATGCCGCATGAGAGCCAGCTGGAGGAATCTTGGCTTGCATTCCCCTCGTGTCTATCACCTGGATCGTCAGACGTCGCTCCAAATGCTTGGATATGGACGGATGACACCAGAAGAGAAGACGTATATACGGGAGAAGTCAGGAGGTAAAGAAATCGTCCGGGCTGACAGAAAGAGCTGGGAATGGGGTAATCCATGTGCCCTGGGACTACCGGGATGAAATCAGTGAAGCTGGGGTGCAGTGGGAGGAAGGTGCAGTCTCGCCCCTTTGTTGAGCCTTCAAGAGTCCGGTCGTGGTACACGAGCATCGTTCGAAGGCAGGTCGTCCAGTTAGACGGTCCTATTATCATGTTCTTCAACTGTACGAGACTGTGAAGGATTGAATACAACAGCAAGACGATCCGGATCGCATATGGGTTCAGGAACTCTGGAAAGGCTCTGCTTCGATGTTGAGCATAGTAATCATCTATTATAAGAAGTCAGCTTTCGAACGAGCGGGGTAATATGAAATATACCGGAGGAAAAATGCAAGAGCAATCGTCCGTACGCGCCGTACTCGGTGAGCATATAGAGCTTCATCTCTTCAACTGTTATTGGAACCATTTCTCTACCGTTGGTTTTCAAAATCTCCGATACAGCCCTAGCAGCCTGTGGACGGCGGATTACGTCGAGTAGAAGGCTGCGGGACCATGCCCAACAATTGGCAGAGAATAGGCCGTATCTTGGGTACTTCTCCTCATAAGACTCGTCTTTCAAGATTTTGGCAAGATCTTTGAGTGTGAATGGTTCGACTTCAGGAGATGATCTGAGTTTGATTTCGAAAACTTTTCTTGGTATTCAGTTGATGCCGGCTTGTCCCAAGTCACTCAGTCACTCACCTGCTTTAGTCCAAGACCTCGTCTCTACGTCTTTTTCGCTACCGCGTTCGTGAAACATGAGGATATCGAGTGCAGGTCCTCTGAAAAGTTCCCGTGCAAACGCAGCCTTGGCCTTCAACCCTTCGACGTCTTCGTCCAGTTCACGTTCGAAGTACAGGTAGAGTTCCTGATCTTCATGGGCTATAGTGAACACGAGGAACTCGTGGCGCCAGTGATCCACCGTGCGAGTATCCTTCAGCAGCTCGATCCTGGATACTGGTTTAGAGGCATTCTTCCTGAGACCTTTGTCCAAGATAGCGTCGGAGAACTGCTTGGGAGAGTAGCTGCTCAACAATGGATCTGCCGACATGGCGAGCGATGGTAGTGTGAGGTTTGGGTTCGTTCACAACACACAGTACTGGAATGATATCTGTGACAAAAGCAGGTGTTATGGCTGGACGTGCGAAGGAGGTGTGGCAGCTACACAGCTTGATCCTGACGTCTCCTAGTCCGAAGCGCTACGGTTCTTGTTCTTTTCTTCGCTTGCCAACATGGATTGCCCCTCACAAATCTCCCCCGTCGATGATATTTCACTCAAGGCGAGCCTTTCATCGGAGGTTACAGGGCACAGAAGTATGACTGAAGAACCTTTAAATTGTCGGATTGGCGTTCTCGACGAGTCATCGTCACACATCCGAGCTCGACCTCCTCACGATCAGTCCCGTCGGCGATGTGGAAGGATTACCCAACAGTTGCGAAAACCCCTCCAGAGGCATCACTCAATATCAATTCCCCAACTTCAAGTTGCCGAGTCTGACCGCGAGTCTTCCGACTTTAATTTATTCTGGAACGGATTTTTGCACATATCATGGCGCATCTTCGACAATATCATACTCCTTCAGATGGGGTCGGCCTACTTGATACGATTTCACGAGCTCGCACTGGTAGCTGGTGGAGGAAATGATCTCGTATCGATTGACGCCTGGAGGAAGGAGCAACAAGCGGAGTGGAATCGACTGGCCCCAACGGTACGTCTGTAATGGGTTTCTCACTCCCTGGCTCACACAGCGGACATCTTATTCGTTATCTCGACCTTAACAGCTCGGGCTGCTGGCCGCAATGCACGCAGCCATCCTGGCCATCAGTCCGGAGCCGCCAAAGCTGGCATATTCTTTATGGCTGGGCGGTGGGACACTGAGCGTTTGTGGGCTCTTCACCGTGCAGTACTTCCCAATCAGAGCCTTTTCGATGACTGATGAAGACGTGGGGTTCATCGTCGAAAATGGGAACGATTTTTTCAACGTTACTCTCCTCGCTACAGCGGTTGCCAGCCCAGTCGTCATATGTCTCTGGGCTGCGGTTCTCTTTGTAGCTGGGATGGTCGACTACATCCTCGAGAGCGATTTGGGAGGCTGCAAGTATCGCATTTTTGCGGCGCTTCCTGTATGCTTTGGTATCGTCACCGTCGTGATGACATTGGTCATTGGGGAAACTATTGATAGGAGGATGAGGCAAAAGGTGCTCTATCGGTGCTTTCTGGGTTCGACCTGTCACTGACGACATCTTACGGCCTGTAGTACTATCCACGAGGACTGCAGATGAGCCCGATCGAGGAAAAGAGGCGGAAACATGAGTCATCATAACGACCTGGCGCTCGTGTGGTCAACTTTCCGGATCCTTCAGACAGCTTCCTATCTGACATGTCAACTTCTCCGGCTGAGCGCGTCCATATTTCCCCTATGATCGTTGAGTTTACATACCCACCGATTGTCACAGTTTCATTTCAATTTCATTTTAGTTTTATGCGAGTGTGCCAAACGCCCACCTCCCATCTACCCCGAATTCAGATTCGAATAAGCTCAAAGGCGGTACATTGGATTTTTATGGGTACTACTTATATTTACAAATCCAAGTTTAAGTCCAAGACTCAATCATGATCCTCCCTCCCTGAGGAGGACCCAAGCAAGTTACATAGTCCGAAAAGGAAGAACACCGCCAACAGGACGAAGATGACCACATAAGCTAGAGAGGTTATCGCGAAGAGTGTCCAAAGGGTTACGGGTCTCTCCTCATCTTTCTCTACCGCCTGAAGCCTTTGCTTCTCTTTGAACCGCGAAGGCGGAGGCGATATTAGGGCTTTGGGCGGCAACAATCGCGGGAACGGTACTGGGAAGGTTTGTGCAGTTTGTTGCGCTGAGATCGACATGAATGTGGGAGGCTGGTGTACGTCGAGGCTCGTTGCTGCCTCAGGCTTCGAGATAGTGTGGGCTAGATTTGGGCTATCACCGGTCTTTGCCAACACTACCCTGCGGTCGTGCTCCAGCAAATTCGCCTGATACCCAGCGATTCGAGTAGCTGGACGCGGCTAGGATAACGTCGATCGGTGAGCATCAAATCGTCCCGCCAGGAAGGGATAGAAACTAACCTGATTCACTCTGCTCTCACCAGACGATTGGTTGCTAGTTCTCGTGTCCGTCAACTGTGACGTCTGGAGTCCAGCGTGAAGGGACGAGTGTGGATGCGAGTACGAGTGCCAGGAGTGACGGTTAAGCTCCTTCTTCCTTTCCGGAAAAGGTACAGGCAGAGGTTCTGTTGGGGTTGGTGGAGAAACTACCAAGGTCGGTAGAGATCGTCGGCGCTCGTGTAGCGAAGTCCAGATCTTCTTCGGCGACAGGGATGGGAGAGAGACTGTCCGAGGTTGGCGGCTACCTGAGTGAGGAGACGAGGCTATCGCAGCTGTGCTCTTAGGCACGCGTTCTTCAACACAAGGCGGGGTCAAAGACGACGGCGGGAGGTAATTCGCGTGCACCAGCCAATCAAGGACCCTCTTCTGCGCTTCATTCGGCCCACTGTCTTGTACATTATCTGCTCCATTTTCCTTTCCCTTTCCCTTTCTCAGTCGGTTTTCCTCTTGCCAAGCTACTTGTGCGCCGCTGTACGCGTCCGCGACCATCTGCATAAGCGCCATTGTGGCGCACGCGTCGACGCGCCCAGCGGGAGTGTCGCACCATGCAGTAGTTTGCTACAGTAGGCGTTTAGATAGGCGTTTAGAAGCAGGATAGGGAAGGCCTACCGTGTAGTTGAAGAACACCATCTCTGCCGAATTACGGGATGTTTGCCAATAGGGGTGCAATTAGGAATATTTAGCTTTCATGGAGGTTTGCAAAGATAATTTTGACGCATCCTGGGTTCTTATAACCACCCGGTCGAAATGTTGAAATGCTCGATGTGACTGTGCACCGTTGCCCGCACGCCGCCGCAGCCAGGGAATTCCCTGAAAAGGCAAATCATGCGCACTTGGCGCCGACGGCCCGGACCAGAGTGGGCGATCTTATCCTTCGGGCCCCGGCCCAGATAGGGACCGGCGGGCGAGGTTTACGAGTCCCGATTTACTTACGCTGTCGCAAGGAGGCCGTTCCCTCTTGCACGAAGGATGGCCATGGTCGGAGGACCTGGACGCCAGTTGGGCAGTGTGTCGACGAAGTCCTCGAGCTTCAACTGGACCGGAACAAAGAACAGTGAAAACATTTATTTACACAAGCCCAGCAAGCGAAGAAGTAGGAAACCGACACCCTCGAATAAACAATAAATAAAGCACAAAGGGCCAAATAATCAGGTAGAGACAGTGTAGGGGGAAGGCAAGTGGAGTAAAGACCGAAACGTACAATAGAACGAGCACTATTTATGTACGTGTACGCGTAAACGTACTAGTAGGGGCGGAAGTGCAGGTATTCTGTAGCACCAACATATATGTAAGTGGGTTTGAATAACGTCGTCAGTGGGTCGTCAGTAACCGGCTAGGGTGGTATAGATGCAAGGTGTTGTACATGGATGGGCCGGTGGCGTTAGCTCGAGAAGAAGTTCCTGGAGTAGTTTTGTTTGAAGATATCGCAGATGGACGAGCACTATCGACCGTCGGTGAAGCAGGTCCTCCTGGTCATGCTGCCCGGTGGTCGAGGAGGCTGGGCGTAGAGGGGTCAAGAACGGCAAGAACGAGCTCGAGAACCAGACATGCTTAAAGGAGGTATAGGGAATGATCCTAAGGCGGCAGACGGACATCGACTTGAGTCAGTGTCATAGCTTGCCGTCGACCCGATCCTCGATGAGCTGGGCTACAGTTGGGCCATGGACAGGGATGGCATTGCCCTGGAAGCCCTCTGGGTAGTCCACGCGGGGTTTGTTTGGGTATGTGTGGTGTCTATGGAGGAAGTATCAGTAACATGCGTTGAAACGGTATTGAAACGGTAAGAGTCCAGTCAAAGGAAAGCGGACTAAAAAAAGGTTTAAATAGACCTCAACGGGAAAAAAAGGGACCATGGGCAGACACGAAGTGAAAATAAAAATAAAATCAAAAAGAAACGTGCACTCACGTATCATTCCAGACAGCGAAGTGGCTCATGCCCAACGCCCTTGACGTCCATTGGTAGTCGTGCGCGAAGCCGCCAGGGAAGAAGAGCTCAATGACAGTCGACGCACGCGTTGGCGGCATGAAGACGAGCGAGGTGAGGCCGTTTCCGTGCACACCAAGCATGATCTGTTTGTATCAGCAGGTCCGTGGGCCAGGGGTTGGGGCGAAGGGTGGTGGTGGAGTCAATTTGTAGGTTCGCGACAACGATGACAAAATGGGGTAGTGTGGCGCATGTGGAGCATCGATGGAGATCGTAGGCCCGAGAAGAGGCACGTCGAAGACATGCATGGAGACGAGACATGGTGAATGGAGCGGTGGCGAGCAAAAAGAAGTATGGATAAAACTCATCAGCAACCATTCCAATCAAAAGGACGACAAGTGGAAAAAAGATAAATGGGGGAAGGCAAACTCACCGTCGACCTTGACGCCGCCCGCACCTGCTCGTCCTTGGTCAACCTCTCCGCCAGCAGCTCATGGAACTCCCAAGACGGGGGCAGAGCGAAGCCGTCCGCCCGCTTCCTCCGCTCGTCATCGTCCATCCCGTCCAGCGCGTCCAGCACCTTCTTCCTCTCGGTGTTCTTCCGCTCTACGAGCTCCTTAATCGCCGCGACCAGACCCTCGTGGTCCTCCTTAATCAACTTGCGGTTACGTGCACTCTGCCGCGAGATGTATGTGATCACGATGTTCGATGGTGCTGGTAGCTGGGCCTGCGAGGCAGTGGACACGTCGACCGCGACGACGTCCGTTCCTGAGGCGGAGGTGGGGGATGAGATGCCTGGGACGTCTGGATCGTCAGCAGCTGCTGCTGCCCAACCTGGGAGGGAAGCGCCCATCGGTACTTGGTCGTTCGCCTTCTTCTCCTTGCTGACGCCCTTGTCCTCCTTCAGCCCTTTCAGCCCCTCCTCCGCCCCCGCGAATCGCCACATTGCCTCTCGTACAGGCGCCCACCACCCACCAGCGTGTAGGCCTCTCAGCTTGCCCTTGCCCCGCATGTACTCCCAGGCCTCAGCTGCCGTTCTCTGCGTCTGCGAGCCGCACACCGGTCCCCGGTGGGCGGCACTGCGGTCTGTGAGCAGAGCAAGGGGGAAATGGAACGCCCGCTCGCCGTCGTTTGCGTCGAGGTTCGAAGTGGCCACGACACGGTCCGCCCAGTCCTCTTCGTGCTCGATTGCAAGTGAGGGGAAGACCCCGCGCAGGAAGTACCGGTTGAAGCCTGGATCGTCCCTCCAGCCGTCCGCATCCGAGTGGATGAAGATCGCGCGGTGCAGCGGCGGCGGTGCAGGGTGTTCCGTTGTGAAGTGTGCCTGGGTGTCGGAGGCGGGTGTGGGGGCTGAGAAGGCGCCGTGCCAGAACGCCTGCACGCCAAAGAACAGCTCGGCGACGAGGTGGTAGTAGTGCCGCAAAAATTGCTTCGGGTCATTGAACAGTAGCTATCCGCATATCAGCTTCTCGTCCCAACACAACCTTTTCGACTCACCGTGTTTCCCTCGACGCTCCAAACCCGGTTCACCCCGCTCTCCTTGTCGACCCACCGCCGCTGCGCCTCCTCTATCCCGATCACTTGCATGTCCCGCGACGTCGGCTCTCTCAGCGCGATGTTCTCTGGGGTGTTGAACGCCTCCAGCCCCGTGCTCGTCATCATCCGAACTTCAGGGTACGCCATTCGCGTTGCGCTGTCCTTCGCCGCCAGGAAGAGCGTACCGTTCGACATGTATAGGTTGCGGAAGAGCGTCCAGCCGGGTGCATGTGCCAGGACCTCCGTTGGTGGGAGCGGGGTGTAAGGTGAGAGGGCTTGGGGTTTTGACGTGGGTGTGCTGAGTGCTGTCGTCGTGATCGTCGCTGTTGCTGTTGCTGTATCCGTCTGGGTGTGTGCGATCGTCTTCGTGCGTAATTCACGTACGGTTGTCGTCAGCGCTGCAGGTACGTGTTGGTGGGCGGAAGCATCGAGGTCGGTGGAAAGGGAGTGGTGGCTAAATAGCAGCGACCAAAGGTGCATTGACGAGGCACCGACGAGGAGGAGGATGGCATCCCGCCGCGAGAGCGCTCCATGTCGGAAGAGCATACTTTGTCGTTGTGTGCTAGTAGGTTGTACGTGTGGAGGTCAGAGGTTGTCGATGGGCTGTGAACAAGATACCTGCCGTCAGATTACAATACCCATGGCGCTATGATCTGACGGACCTGACAAGATCTGCTTTTCAAAGTTTCGAGAGCTTCAATGATCGTGTTGTGGGTATGTGGGGTGTCCAAAGGCGAATGCGGTAGCAGGGCAAGGACTTTATCAGCGTAGAACGGTGAAAGGCCGACGAGGGATGTGCAGTTGGCGTAGAAGGCCCGTTAATGACCTGGAAATAACTCGTTGTCAACTCCAAAGCTTCAGCCCAGCTCTCCCTGTGCGGCCGTGTGTGGATTCCAACGTGTATCTGTCAAGCTCAATTTAGCACGGGCGGTGTTGGGGTGGATGTCGATGCCGATATTGCTGATATCGACAGCCTTCAAGCACTGGGGAGAAAGGGAGGAGGAGGTGGAGATTTGTAAGAGGTCCGTAAAGAGTGTCAGAGAACAAGAGTGTTCTGTCGGTCAGAAAGTCTTCCAGGAGAGCGTCCCTGCCTGTCCCTTCTGCTAGCCTCGGAAGCGGAAGAGATCATGGTCCAATCACAGCCATCCTTGGCGAAAAATCAGATCAACAAATAGGCTATCACGACGCCGGCCGAAGGACTCGGAGGCCTTCGCCTCCATCCTCCATTCAACGTAACTCTTCCGCCCTCCATTTCCTCCCCCTTTTCCGACACACCCTCAAATCTTTGCCTATGTATCCAAATGCCTCCTGAAATAATTCTACTACAACACTAGCGCCTCTTTTCCTCCATGCCGACTCGGCACCGCCTTGCAGCTCTGTCAGACTTTGATTCTTTGACCCCAATTTGACCCATCCATCCCCTCTTATCCTTAATCATGCATCATGATCCTTCCCAAATCCTTACATATCACAGCTATTTCTATCTTCAAGTTCTGCTTCTATCATCCACCTATGGGTCTCAGAAGGTCGAGGCTATTTGTGACACCCGGATTCTCGACCTTTCGCTGCGCTGTGTACGGGGAATTAGTCAGTACGATTTCTCTCCAGTTTTGAAGTTTTGACATCCAGTTGTCTTCCTCATAGGCCGAATAGGTGCTGCCAGATTAGCTCCGACAAACGCCAGCGCCCACCTCAAGCCGAACGGGGAGTCCAACAGCAAGTTGGTACATAACTCGTCGACCTCTATACACACCAGGCCCTCGGACTCTCCCTTATCCCTACTCGGGAGGCCAATGTTACTCTTTCTCCGGATCGGCAGTCACTAAGTACTCGCTGCTTGACACGTCTCGGTGCTTCAAACCCGTCGCCTCACAACCTCTCATTTACTTAGCATGCTACGGCACGAAAGCAGCACATCCTCCGTCGCTTCGCCTCCGAAACATTGTATCCGCAAGCACGCTCAGTTGCCAATGGCGAGTTCAAGGACAGCCCTCTAAAGCAGGAATCCGTTGCTGACAATCCTGGTACACGAGGATGACTGATGCTCCACACGCTGGGAAACGCGACGGATTCTTATCCTTATACGTTACCCCGATCCCCGTTTAGACGCCTTCCGTTCGCCGACACTTCAGCCTCGTCTTTCGCTCGCCTCCATGAAACGAGTTCGTCCTGCCGTGCGGCTCTCCAGGGCGCTGAACCACATTGAGGGATTGAACGCGCCAGATATTCTCTCCGAAACCTGCGGTGCATAGAACACTCAAAGGGATCTCAACAGTCAGGGAGGACTACCACTCGCTCGACATTCTGTGGATCGTGCCTTCGATTCGCACGAAGTGGAGTGACCTCGGATTGGGCCTTGGCGAGCGAACAGGCTCAACTCGGAATGTCAACTGGGCTCTTCACCCAGTACAACAGACCGTATATATACACGTATGACCCTCTACTTGCGTTGTCGCTTCTGTGCTGACGTCTTTCCATGGACATTTCAGGACACCTATCTCCCAGCTGCGGTCGCTGTGTTCCGATAGGCTTGGGATTTCGATGACAAATCTCGTCGTCTTTCATCCTTTCTCTTCGCCCAAAGGCTCGATACACTTGTTCCTATTCTCCTCACAAGAACCTGCTTATTCCCCTCAAACAAAAGCCCATCAATCGTCTAACAACGCAGTCAAGTCCCAACACTCCCTTCCATTCCTTGTACACTCGCACTTACACCCCAATTGACTTCTTCTGCATCCCAACACCGCCCACCATTCCCCTTCCTTTTTTCGTCCATCTCTCGCTTCATAATAGCTCATACTTATCTCGGGGGAGGAGTGACAACTCCAAGAATGGCCCAAAAAGCCCAAGCGCACACATCCTGCCGGAAAAGGCAATTGTGCACAAAGGACTCATAGGAGAGCCACTGAGAGCCACAATCCGGTCGCTTATAAGTAGCAGCGGGCTTTGATTTCATTGGGTGGCACCGCGCGCAGCTTGTACTTCAACTTGTACCACGAACGCACTCGAACTTGGTTTTCCACCTCAACGCAACCAACAACGTCGACGACTGAAAGACTTGATTTCATTCTCAATCTATCAAACCAGGTTTATCTGAACGCGATGGTATTCTTCAATTACGCTGTACGTTCTGCTACCTTTGCGCGCTTGATTTTGTCTGACGAACCTCACATCACATTTAGCAAACGAACTCCTGGCACGACACTCCCGCCGGCCTGGTCGATGCAGGGGCGACGCGCTCGCTGATGCAGATGGTCGCAGACGCGTATGTAGGTGCGCTCGTCGTGTGGGAGGAAAATGAAATCAACAGGCTTGGGAATCTGGAGCGAGCTGCCACTCGCAGCGACGAGCAATCACGACGAAGCAAAGGAGGCGAGAACGGAAAAGGGAAAAGAAAGCAGAGCGTTCCAGGTGAGGTACGTGATTTTTCTACTTATTCATGATCAGCGGGGCGCTGACTGACTGGACTGCAGGACCCCTTCGACCTCGGACCGAACGAAGCCCAGCGAAAGGTACTCGATTGGCTCGTGGAGGCGCGCTACCTCCCGTCTCCATCCCGTTCTCCTCCCCTTTCCCCTTCCGTAAACACAATTCCAACCTACGACGAAAACGAGCTAGAAGACATCTGGGCCAACCTCCCACAAACGCCCACGAAAGCCAAAGCCCAACGACAAAGAGGAGGGTGGAACTCGCCTTCTACCAGCTCAAGTACCCAGCCGAAGTGTACACCAAGCAAGGCATCTGCATCAACCCTTCCGTCCCCCTTCTCGCTGAAGCTGCTCAATCAACGGCCTGCCACACCCCGCTCGCACTCAACCCCGTGCCCAAGCTCGGACCCAAAAAATGACAATAACACGAGCGCTTCGCCTTGGAGGCTGGCCCTCTCCCGCTCGAACACTTCCACCTCGGCGAAAACCCTCCCGGCGTCGTTCCCGGTGCCAGGCTCGCCGTCAATGTCGCCCAAGAAGATGTGGGCAGCGCTGAAGACGCGCGTGCGCATGCGCGAGGGGTTGAGGTCGGCGCCGGCGCTAGCAGTAGCTTTGGAGGGCTTGACGGAGGAAGGGGTGGCTGGTATTGTAAATGCACGATTGCCCGAACCGCCCGCGTCGCCTTCGCCTGCTCCCAGGAGGACGGCGAAGAGGAGAAATACGACGGCGGCGGTGGAAGCGCGAGCGGTGGATGGGCCAGAGGGTGTTGGTCTGTTTCCCGAGGCTGCGAGAGTGAGTGTAAGAGCAGAGACAAAGACGATGGGAGGGCCGGCTGAGCTCAGGGTGCGTTCCTCCGCTTCGTGCGTATCCCGAGATTTCGTTTCTGATGATTTCGTTTTTGAATTACAGCCACGCCGCTTGGCGCCTCCGCCTCCCCCATCTCCAGCTGCACGAACCGTCAGTGGAAAGATACTACCTCTCCGCGATCTTAGGTCCCAAGGGGAGGGCGAAGGCGTGGATATACCTGGAGGCAACACGCCGACGCGCGACGCGCGGCTGGGACTTGGGCCTCAAGCGCCCATAAACCCCAAACTCAACGCTCAATTCCCGATCGTCGTCGAATGCTCATCGCCGACACCGTGTACTCGCTCGGCCCGGCCTTTCCTTCCTCATCCCAGCACACCCAAAACACCTATGTCCTCTCTGTCCATGCCGAGCTTGCTATCGGCGACACCATCGGACTACGAGTCCCCCTTCTCCCCTTCCCCTTCCCCTTTCCCTTCCTCCGCCTTATCCTTTTCCTCCTCGCTGGCCTCGCCACCAACCTTCACCCTCACCACCACCTCGCCGCCCCGCGCCCGCCCCACCTCAGGTCCGGAACGGCGCCTCAATAACAACAACATAAATAAAAAGAAAAAGGAAAAGGAAAACGTAAAGGAAAAGGAAAAGGAAAAGGAAGAAGAAGACCCCGTGACGCTCTGGACCCTGTTCGTCCTCACAGCTTTTGGGTACCTGGCGTTTTTCGTGTTCTTCGCGGTGTGTTTGTGCGTGGGCGTGTGGAGGATGGTTGGGTGCTTTGGGACGAAGGATGATGAGGATTAATCGATTAGTGAGGATACTTGGGGCACATGCCGGCTGATGCCTGCAGACTCGAAGTGGAGGGTTGAATGAACGAACGAACTTAATGTCGAGCGCTAGCGCTAGCGCCTTGAAAGAGACTTCTAGCCCTGTGTTTATTCGAGGAAGGAAGGGTGGGCGCCTATGCCGGACTCCACTGTACCACCCCGAGTCTATAGCAGAACTCAACTCTGCCGGTTACTTAGCAGACGTCGTGCATATACTTAATCACATCCTGGCGCAAGGGCTTATGCATGTGTGCCATCCATTATACAGCGCGTTTTCGTCTACTTAAAAGTGATGTATTATTAATACAAGTAAATGCACCTTATCATCTTTCGCTACATACCAGTGGAATTCCCTTCGTGATGTTTATGATCATGCAAAATCTTGGCGTACGGACATTCGCCCAATATGGCGAGACGATCACCTAAGATGGACCTGTCTTCTCAACCTACTTAGTAACCGCTGAGCGCTGATTTCTTGAATAAGCAACGCATAATGCATAAGCGCTAAGCGCTTGTCCGGGTGGCTATCAGCCTCTATCAGCCTATGGAACGGGTTTTCAACCGCATGGAACGCTCACCGTTAGAAGAAATAGAGTGGTCGCCGAAGTTTAACGTTTAGTACTTAGTCCTAGGCTACCGCCTGCGCTCCCGCTTCCAGCTGCCAAGAAGGGATGGCACACTTCGGACTTCTGGGCAACCCACTGCGCCTCTACCCCCCACGTCCAAGAGTGCTCAGTCCGACTCGACCAACTCTACGTCGTCGTAAGTCCCACTCCTTCAACCCAACCCAACCCAACCCAGCCCACTCGAGTCAACTCTCCCAGATCCCTCCTCTGTTGTGGTCCGACTCCAAGCCATCGTTCTCGTTCGAGACGTTCCGGGTCATGTCGTCGCCCTCACCGTCACCGTCACCGTCACCCGCGTCACCCGGTGGCCTTCGCCCGCATCGCTCTCATCGCCACTCGCTACCTTCGATGTCTTCGCCGTAGCCTGGCCGACTCGGAATAAGACGGGGATGTGGGACGGCAATACCTGCCTCCTTCCCCCTTTCCGCTGGCGTTGGCGTTTAAATATCGAGGACTTGTCGCAAACCCGTCGTCGTCGTCGTCGTCTCGTTCTTGTTGTCGCTGAAGAGGATCCCGGAAGGTGCATGCCATGGGCTGGGCTGCAATGGGCTGACGATGATGATAATAGGACACGACGCGCACGGGGGTGGGGGGTCGGGGTGCGTATGTGTGCCGTCCCGACTCCTGTAGTGCATGTAGATCCCCTCGCTCTCGTCTCTCGCTCTCATCCCAGTCATCGTCATCGCCCAAGTCCCGACACCCTATCGATATCGATACCGCCGACTCGGAACAGCTTCGAGGGTGTTGCAACATAGAGTGTCACTCAGGGCTGTCCCCGAACGTGGGCGTGAATTGAAGGCGCCGGTGCGCGCAGCGCTGAGACCCGGGATGCGTGCGGAGGCGGAGCAGGGGCGGAAAGTCGAAGTCGAAGTCGGCGGGTGCCGGGCGGAGGTGCGTAAGGCGGAGGGGCGGGGTGCAATATCTCCAATGCGCAACAGGCGGATGGAGCGGAGGAGCGGAAGAGCGGAGACGCAAGGCGGAGGGATGGGGAGAGGGGGGGTGGGAAGTAGGAAAGCCTGAAAGCCTGAAAACCTAAGGGAAAGACACCCGTATGCCAGTGCACGAGGTAACGTTACAGTGCGCGCGGGATGGGTCGGGGTCGGATTGGGGCTCGAGGGCTGGGTGGCAGAGTTGGGCAGAGTGGGAGACGTTGGAGGGTGGCGCGGATAGGGGCTGTAGCACAAGAAGAGCCCAATATCCTCCATCTAGACGAAGTCCATGTGAGTACGACGGAGGGAGGACACGAACTCGTGATGATCGAGCTCGTGTGTCATCGCGCTGAGGCCTGAGGGTGCCGGTGCCTGCTTGCTAGGGACGGGACACGATCTTCCAATATCTCCACGGACAGGAACTTCAACTCGGCCGGAGAAACTTGAAGATGGGCCGTGCGCGTGCGCGTGAACTGCACCGACTCGAGACTGAGTGGTGCTTGAAGCTGCAGAGAGCGAGAAAGAGCGAGAAAGAGAGGAACTCGAAGAGGCGGGCGGCGAGGTTGAGCGAACGGTAGAGGATGCGCGGGGCCAAGGGCATCTGATCTTCTGATTGGTGGACCAGGAAGCGGGCTACGTCATACCCCTCCTCTTCCTCCCTCGAGCACTGGACAGCGAGCGCTTCGTGCCGATCTATGGGTTGCATCAAGCGAGTCACTGGGCACTGTACTTACCCTCCGAGTCTTAGCTGCGATTGACAGTCGAATTCGAATTCGGTCTTCGCGCCTCTTCCCGGCTCCTCGGCGCTCGTCCTCAGCATGCACATGCGTACTCCTAATCTCTCTCTCTGACGTCGGAACGTTGCCGTTGGCCTCTTACTGGTGGCAGCGGCCTTCCTTCCCTCTTGCTCATCCTCAGCATAGGTGCCGGCGGCGGCGGCGGTCCCTCCCGAGGATCACAACGTCGTAACACGCCCTGCCAGTGCTGGGCTCTCAGCGAGCTCGAGCGATCTACTAATGGGTTGCATCGAGTGAGTGGCTTAGCTGGTAGCATTGACACTGACCCCAATAGCCATCCCTCCATGACATTTACAGTGGCAGCCCTTCCCCGTGCCGTCCTGCATGGGGGATGGGGGACCGCAGAACGTCGACACGCTTCTCCGAGTCTCTCTCCGTGTTGCGTACATTGAGCGCCTTGTCGACCGTCTCTTCGCCTAAGCCAGGGCCTATCCTCTCCTCTCCTCATGCCCGGCCGCGGACTCCTCCCTCCCTCCCTACCTCATCCTCCCGCCTCCCCGCTCGCCCTTCCTCCAAGACACCGCACCGAGGGCCGAGGGCCGAGCCGTCCGTGCGACTGTCGCGCACCTCTTCCTCCCCATTCCCTCTCCCTCCACCCCCACCTGCACACACTCTTGCCCTTGGGATACCAGTTGTGTCGTGTCTACCCCGGCCCTCGCCTTTACCCTCGCCCTCATGTCACCCTCGCCTTCACCTTCACCCTCGCCTTTACCCTCGCCCTCGCCCTCGCCATCGCCATCGCCTCACCCTCACCCTCACCTCACCCTAGCCCTCAGCGCGATCTGGGAGCAAACCAAGTCATCATTTCATGTATTGGCTAAACGTCTACTACTTATATCGAACCCTCTTCGTCGTGCTCCACCAGCCCTGACTCTCAATCATGATCATTAACCTACCTCGGCCGCTGAGACGAGGCGAGAAAAGGGGAAGGCGTGGTATATGGTGGGGAGTAGGTTCGTGATTCCAGCATGTAAGTATATCGATCGGGGAAAGACGGCCTGGGGCGTTAGTCGACCATCGCTCCAATAATAAGTCCTGTATTTATTCAAGGAGGGACTCTAGGCAGACGCTTCTCTGTGGGTCATATTATCTAAGCATCGTCCATACCATCCCATAGAGCAAGCAATACATTAGACCATCAACTTCCTCAGCATGCTCGTGGCAGCTACCAATGGCCATCTTTGCTGCCCGTACTTCGCAAATTATTCAATCATTTCGTCGACTCGCTGTGTGGTCAAATTCTCCCTGTGCCCGACCGTCGCTTACCGGTCCGTGCGCACATCTGAGACATTTCTCCGACGCCTCCCTCAAGCCCTCGTACTGTCAGATAATCATTATTCGTAGATCTGTGAATCATGTCTCATGGCCATCAGTCCCCTACAACGGCTCAAGGACTTCAAGCTCGCCTCCCGCATGCACACACCTTTCACCATTCAAGCTCAAGATAGAGGTAGCAAAATACAGTTTACCTCATCCGCCAATTGCACATGAGGACGACTTCTTTGTCCTCATCGCAACTCCTAAGGCCTGTCGACATCGGTCATGCAACACACCTTTCTGCGCGGCGCACATTCCGCCGTCGCGCAATAAGCACCCTCGAGCCTCGAGCCAACAGGCTCCAAGCCTCCCAACACGACAACTTGCAGTCCCCTGTAGCTCATTTGTCCTCCAGGAGGCCGCCGTCACCTTTGGTTGATAATTGAAGGGCAAGAAACGAGTCCCGACATAAGCGCGCCTCCACTGCCCTTGTGCTTCCCAAAGCATTGTTTCATCGCACGGGGACCCTCTACTCGACATCCGGATGCGTGGCCAACTCTGTCGTCACTCGTCTCTGAACCATCTATCTAAAGCCTCGTACCTGCGCCTTATTCGACCACTTCCCTCTGATCGCCACCTCCTCCGACTGCTCGTGGCGGACATTTGAGTCTTTCATCGATCATCCGGCATGCTTGCAAGCTGTTGTTGTTGGTTCTACTGTACCATTCGATACTTAGATAGTTCCTCCCCTCCATTGTCCCGTAGATCCCGAGTGGGTCCTGGCGGTGTATATTATTATTATTATTATTATTATTAGTGGAGGTCCCCATTCCATAGACCCAACTCTGCCGATTAGCAGACAACGCGCATATAATCATGCCGGCAAGTCTCAGGGAAGAATCACAGCGTGCTTTCGTCTCGAAAGTGAGGTACATATTATGAGCAAATGCGGTGTGATCTACCAGCAGAATTCCCTTCTTAACCACCCAAACAGTAAGATGGACCTGTCATAGCGACTCGGCCGCTGATTATTTGAGTAAGCAACGCATAATGCATAAGCGCTGGTCATCTTCGTGACCGTGCTGGGTTATACACAGGATAGAGTATATTATATGGAAGCACTAGGGTTGTATGTAGTACGTTATTCCCCCCCACTTCGAGTTCATAAAACCCGCAGCCTGCAGCAGCTTCTCTGTCCCCGTCCCCGTCCCTCGAATTCGCCCGAACCATGCGTTTTACAAACATTTTCGCCGCCGCCGCCGCCGCCTCCCCGTCCCCGTCCCCGTCCCCGTTCGTGGCTGGGGCCGGGGCCAAGTGCTCAACGAGGGCTCCAGCGACGGACCGGGGTACACTCGAGTCTCGGCTCTCGAACGAGAGCAGAGAGTTATGTAAAAGGTGGTGCAGGAAGGGCGAGAGCGGGCGAGTACTGTACTTTAGAGAGGGCCCGGGAGGGGCCCGGGGTTGGTACACGGTTAAGTACATGTGTGAGGATGCGGTGAGGACGGAGGGCGGCGCCGTCGTCGAGGGGAGTGCACCTGGGGGGAGTGGAAGGAGTGGGCAGAACGGAGGAATGAAAGGAACGGGTGGAGGACAGCCACACGAGATGGGCATGGGAGCGGCTGCGCGCACCTGAGGGCTGGTCATGGAGGAGTGCGGACGAGGAGACACCCCAGGGTTACGGACCACGGTTACCCTTGTCAATCACTAAGGATTGGAGGGGGAGGATGACGGCAGTGAGAATGCAAAATGCAAGTTCGTCAAGCTACCGCGTTGTATGTATCCCTTGTTTTCAGGCTAATATACATACATCAAGGTGCTAACCCTCAGCGCCAGCACCAACCTGTGCAGGGTACACCCGGGCCCTTGACAAACCCGCACCAACCTAATCATCGTCAGGGACTTCCGGGTAGAGGAAGCAGCCAGGCAAGGTCTTCTGGATGTGCGGCTCAAGCTCATACCACGCAGTCCCAAAGGTGACATCGGTCTCATCAGCCGTGCCGCCACCCCCAGTGAGCACAGCAACAATACGGCCTTCTCTGTCAAGGACGACAGCACCAGAGTCGCCTTGGCCAGAAAAGGCGCCACGCCCTTGACTGTAGGGCACAACCGTGGTCTCGAGGCCGTAAACTCGAGGCCGCAGTCGATGTAATGGTGACGAACGAGGGATTTGAGTCCGTTTACCCAGCCGACGGTGGCGCCTGTGGTCATGCCGTTCTTGATAACGGGCATCGCGTTGTCGCCGTTGGCGTTGAGCTGCGTGGGCTGGTGGATCTCGCTCTCGGGCATGACGCCGTAGATCTGGAGGAGGCCATCCTTCGGGTACTCGTAGCCAGCCCGGTCCGTGTGGTTGGGGAACATGAGGTCGCGGTATTCTTCCTCCTTGATCTTACCCCCTGTGTGATAATTAACAGATTATTTATCAGTCAGGAATTGCGGGACGAGGCAGCGAGATGGGAGACGTACCGATATAGACTTTGTTTCCCTTGAATTCACCCAAGTAGAAAGCGTCTTTGTTGAGTTGGATGACGGCCCAGTCGATCGTGTATCCGTCGGGTTCCGAGGAGGAGACGCCGATGGGGTCGGCGTGCAGAACGAAGCCAATGCGTCGCTGCTTCGGCATTGTCAAGAACTTTGTAACCTCACCATGAAGGCGATCTAGCCGTTTTATATTCCTCGTCGCCCTAACCACATCCTGCCTCAGGAGCGCCGAAGCGACCGTCTCAGCATCTCCCCTGCCTTCGGCCTGCAGCCGTTCCAGCCTACTGATCTTCTCCTCCAACGAAGCGTTGGTTTTGTGGAGGGTGCCGCTTCTAGAGATAATATTGGTGGTGGCGTCCTCGTAGGCCTTGCTGCCGAGGGCAATGATCTCATCGCGATGCTGGCTGCTACCCTTGTGCGTCAAGCCCGTGTTGGGGTGCATGGGAGGAGGGCGAGCAACATGGGCAGCCGTTAAAGCGAGGATGTCGTCGCTGTCATTGCTGCGGCGGAGGTAAAGGCCGACGGTGCCCTCGTAGTAGGGCATCTTGAGGGGTGCTATGTAGAGGTCGAGCGTGGACGCAAAAGGATGGCGGAACTCGGTGGTTCGTCCGTCGACGAGGGGATGGAGGGACGGGAGCTTGGGGCCACTACCTGACAGGCTCGTCGTCCACTCGCGGATGGCGACTTCAATGTCGTGGAAGCCGGCTTGGCCAAGGATGGTACCCTTTACGTGCTCGGCAGCGGCCTTGGCCTCCTCGAAGGCGACAGTCCTGGGCGCCACGCCGATGGTCACCAGGAGCGGGCAGAAGGGGGTCTTGTCTCGAGCGTTGGCGAAGCCAAAGCCTGTGATCGCCGTGAACTTGACCCCGCGATCCTCAAGATATGCCTCGGTATCCCTGAGGATCTTGGGCCAGGAGGATGTGATGGGGTGGTTGTGAACGGGGCGGATCTCGCGGATGTATGGCTGCGCTTCCAGTCCACGCTCGCGTTTAGGCCAAGCAGGGCCCGTCTTGTAAATGAATGGAGCCCCGCTGACCGTGCCGTAAGTGTCGGTAAAGGCGTCTGGGTAGTTGTCTGTGAGACGGGACCGTTCAGAGACGACGTCGGGCTTGTCGAACATTAAGCTAAGTGTGGAGCTGCCAGGTTTCACTGTTTCCTTCGGGATATCCAGGCAGAGCTCGAGAAAAACAGGATCAAACTAAGTAATACTGGGAAGGAACGGTCAGTAACGAGCGTCGAGGTCAGATCAAAAAGAAAGAGTCAAAGGGCTTACCAGGAGGAAGCAGCCAGATGGAAGCAGAAGTAGAAGCGCTGAAGTGGGGCACATAGGAGAATGGACGGTTTTAAAACTCCGTCATGAGGTTCCAAAATAATCCCGCCCTTGTTTGTTCGCAAAGTCTCCCCGCCAATCGCCAGAACGGAGAAGACAGTCACGATCGGCTCCTGGTCTCCTCTTGCCAACACACGATTGGTTCGGTGTGTTGAAATCCAGCAGCGTCTCGGGGCTAGAATGTGTCTTGGCTCCTTGTGAGCTGCTTGTCTATCGTCGCTGCTAAGGGCTGTGGGCACGATTAGGCTACGAGTGTGCGCCACTTGCGGCAGAGTGCTGCATATCACGGTAAGTACCTCTCTTACTGCTCGAATACTTCTCAGACTTACTTCTAGCCTTCCACTCGAGCCATTGCCCACCTCCGCCGTCGATGTTCATGTTCAAGCTCGAACTTGAGAAGGCGAAGCGTCCTATCGATTCTGGGCTGTTTTCGCAGTTCTGCACGTTCGTGTACGTGTTATAGGTCGAGTACCCCGTGTATTCGAGCAGTCATTTGAAGATGCATACGTGAATCCAATGAAGGTCCCGATCTTTGCAGGCCGTTTGAGCGGTCGCAGGTGGAACCATTGATGCATGCTGTATGCGTCACGGTGTTGAATAGGGTATAGAGACAATGGAGGATGGTATCGCGAAGACACGGTAGGGGGGGAATGAACTTGCTCGTCGCTGCTGGCAGATGCATCGCCGTTTTAGATGAAGTTCTGATTCTCAGGAGAGAGACACCACAGCGGCTAGCCAGCAACGCAGCGACTGCAAAGAGGAAGGAGGAGGAGGAGGAGAGGAAGGCCAATGTGTACCACTGTCGTTGTCACTGTCTGACGCGGAGGATGACGGTCAACAGGACCATCGGTATGACGTAGGGCGCTTAAGCCAGCGGCATGCCGGGCCGGGTCGGGTTTATCCTCGTAACTCTCCCCTTTCAAGAGAGTTCTCTACGCCTCAAGCTCAAGCTCATGAACAACTGGCGCCGTTCTGGAGACGATCTAGAAATCCTGAATCAAGATATGTGTACTTAGTCCGAAACCGTCCCCCAAATAGACATTCCCAAGCGCTTGGTCACCGAATCGGTGTCGGGTCTGTACCACATTCTCAAGCATTTTATATGCGTCTTACCCACCAGTGTCTACTACCATTTCTCGAAAGAGGATACACCACGATGGACACTTTTTCAAGGGTGGGTGTAGACGGTGCGCTCTAGTTTTCCGAATCGTCTCAATGACTTCCGTGTGCTAAACGTTGCTGGTTATTCTTCGCGTGCCATTTCGTTCCATAATAGCCACTACCGGGTGAACATCTTCGACGTCGACCTCATCGGTCCTGCGATCATCTCGCAGGCGCAGACTCATAGGCACCTTCCTCAGATTCGGAACGTCGTACGAAGAATCACGAGGAGCTCATGCGAGTTCGTGCTCGCGTCTTCCCCTCACTTTAGCGCTTGCGTGCGCACACTCACCCAACATTCCACCACCTAATCAACTTGGCTGCAGAAACGGTTTTACCTCAAAGCGCAACATGCACACCGAGACCATCACCCCTCGAGTTCTCCGTGGGATGGCGCACCCTGCCACCTACGCGTCCTCGTTGTCTTCGACTTCGGCTCCCTTATTCTCGTGCCACTCTTCTTCCTCTTCCTTCTCATCAGCCCCTCCTTCAGCTCCACCCTCATCCTCACCTCCTTACCTCACTTCTGAGCTTCGAAGACGCTAAAGACTCAGAGGATGTCGATTAAGAACCAGTAACACTCTGTACACTCTTCGTGATCACACGACTCTCGGATATCTTATTTTCTTCCTCCTATTCGTCTTCTTCGAATTTCTCGTGGTGGTTTTGAGGGTGGTAGGAGGATTTTTGGGGAGGAGGAAGATTGAGGATTTATAAAAATTTGACAGCCCATGTACGACGAATTGTTTAAATAATTTGGATTGAGTAACCCAGCCTATGCTGATAAATAGATATGGTTGAGAAATTCGAAAGCACGGTTCGGATTGGATGGTGTACGTATAAAAAATCGTCCGCATTGAGATACACACGAAAAGAACCACTCCCAATTCTGCCAGTCTTTCGCTCACCGGCGCGAAAGACTCCAACCCCCTCGATCGAGACGACCCCTCGTTCAGGCGCACCCTATGGCTGCGAGTTCACCACGAACTAGGCGGCAGGCTGAGCCGCTCCCCCCTCCTGGGCACGCACGCACAGCTTTGCCGATTCTGCCCTCTCCAACTCCTCGAGCGGCTCCTTGTAGAATTTCGGCACAGGAAACTCGAGGTCTTCAGCCCGTTTCTTCTTCGAGTATTGCTTAACATACGCCGTTTTGCGTTCGAGGAGGCTAGGAAGGAAGGAATGAGTGAGTCAGCTAGTCACATTTGTAGTCGAACAAGAATTAGGGCGAAAGGCAGGGGATGAATACGTACTAATTCAGAAATCGACGGTACCCGCCATACACCCGCCACGCGGCAAGCTCGACGTCTCCTTCGCGGTAGAGGTATATGCGGATGTTGTGCCTCTCGCCTGGGCCCTTCCCTGGTACCTCTCGCTCGCTGTGGGTTGAAAAAAGGTCTTCTATTGTTACCGGTGGTGTAACGGAGGCACGTACTAGGATTTGTATACTGGGATGTCCTCGAGTTGCTTAGCCTCGATGCGGTAAAGCTTCTTAGCGTCCGTCTTTGTGATCTAGTTCAGTGAAGGAAAGTCAGAACTGGATAATACATGATAGAGGGAGCCGTTGAGTACTTACGAGTAAAGGTTCCTTTCCCTCCTTCTCCAGACACGGTATCAGCGACGGATCGTCACGAAGCTCTTTATCATCCTGGATGAACACAGGCGAGGGACTTCGAGCCTGGGTATGCTCCTTCTGCTGTGTCTTGCGCCGTTTGGACCCGGACGGCCTAGAGTTGGGAGATGGAGAGCGGCTCTTGCTCTTCTTCCGCTTTCCTCGTTTGACGGACTGGGTGGAGGGTTGGCTCGGTGCCGGTCCGGCGTCTCCTGCCTTCGCGTTGGTGGGGATAGAAGTAGAGGCGACGGCGGCATGTCAACATCTGCGTCAGCGTCGGGGACCGCCCTCTGAATCGCGCTGTGTTGAACAGCTAAGGTCGGCGGTGGTTGTGTGGGCATTGGGGCCGTAGCCTCGTCGTCGTCGGATGGCAGCTCGGGTGGGAGCATTTCGACATCTACGACATCCATCGGTCGCGATGCGCTCGCCGGGCGCACCTCTGAAGCTTGGATCTGCCCTCCTGTTCCTCCTCCTCCTCCACTTGCCCTACCTTCCCCGCTTCCGTCTCTCCCTGACGCAGTCGGCGCCTGCGAGGACTCAAGGCCCAGTACGGTGCGGGCACCGTAGCCGATGACGACGATGCCTTCTTCACGCACAACCCCGTCAAGTCCAGCGTGCTCTGCTTCAGCCCCGCCGCGAGCCCAGTCGCGGAATCTCGGGCCCTGAGGCGGCGGCGGGGCGCTTGCTTCTTTGGGCTTGGAGTACGCACGGCAGTGGGGCCCTGTATTTGGCAATGAATATGACGGATTTAGAAAAGAAGGAATGGTGATCGAAGAATGATGATCGAGCGCTCACCTGTGAGGCGGTTTGCTGGGTGTTGGGAGAGGGATGGGCCTCTCTTGATGCGGCGATCGTGGCCATGAGTTGAGCCGTACTCAAAGGCAGGGCTGTACTCGAGCTCAGAGCAGGTGGTACTATTCATGGAAAGCGAAGGAGGGGAAGGAAAGGGGTTAATGATCTGAATACAAATCCCCAAGATCAATCCAAGCAAGAGATACTACTCACCATTCGCACCATTATCATCGTTCCTCTGCCCGCTCACATCCTCGGGCACCTGGACTCCCATATCGCTCTTGCTAACACCAGCCGCACTTTGGCAGCAAGCGAACCTTCTGTAGACGGCGTGTTTCCGAGTCTCGATTCGGTCCGGATGTTGTTTCGAAGTCCTGATGTCGCCGGCGGCATGCGACGGAGGGGAAAGGTAAGGAAGCCGTGAGATTCAGAAGGATCCAAGGAGCTTATAGGGCGCACGGACAGCCACGTGATAGATGCCTGGGACCTGTCGCGAAATGACAGGCTTCGACTGTAATCGAGTTTTGGATTCATAGCCGCAGGCTTCGAAAGGTAAACGTTTCGAAGTTGGGAACCATGATTTGGATGAGCAAATCAGCGGCCTGTCGACTACCATGCGGGTATAATCAGGATCGTCTGGGTTCTCGAGGTGTGTCTCCTTGGGGTATTCGCGTTTCTCTTTGGGGTACTTGCGTTTCTCCCTGGAGTATGCGTTACCGTTGGCTGTAGCGAGCAGGTCTATGGAGGCAGTTGATTGGTCGGTGAGGCGCTTCTTCTGAGGTGCCCACGGTGGAGGCTGGGGATCCTGGCACCGCTGTGTCAACCGTAAGAATCCTAGGAACGTCGGGATTCCATTCCTCGAACCCTCGGGTGTCACTTTGCCCCTGGTGTCCCCTCCTTAAGGTGTCTCCTGGAAGATATGTTTTTGTAGCCTAGGTCTTAATCAAGCCCTTTTTTTGCATGATTTCGTATGCTTTCTAGGTGTGAAAATGGATGGAAAACTTTTCCCCTCGTCCGCACTACGACAATTCGCATTTTCTTTGAGAGAGCTCTTGGAAAATAGATACGGCATCAACCGCAGTTGCCCACTGGTTGTCTTTGTCTCTCGTTATTCCCTGGCTTTTGTGGTAAATCCAGCACCGCGAGTCACTCACAACTATACTGATATGTACTATCCCTTTCTTATCAAATCATGTAAAGGAATTTCCGCAAAGATTCCGAAGCGCTCCAAGGTGGTGAAGCGCGCGTCCTTGATCAAGCTATAAGCGCCCGTGAAAACACAATTGATTCACCTATTTTAACCAAGCTATAAATTCTCTCTCCACAAGAAATAAGACTCGGGAGCTTGCTTCTGTCGAGGTGAACCCAATCCCCAAAATAGATTCCACCCATCACCAATCCCAACTGACGCCGGGAAGGTTCTACTTGACGGTCACTGAAGCTTTCTGTATGAGAAAACAATTATAAAAGGGTATTTTCATGGAATATAATGTCTGAATTATTTTCTAAGAGGACATCATATGCCATTGGTAAGAGGAACACACAAGGAACATGGTATGAGTGAAATCCAAATGAAATCCTAAGAAGCAGCGGACAAGAGGAAGACTGGACCAGGACCCCATCAACGGGCAGACAGCTCAACGACAGCTAACCATAGACCTGCTCGCTGCAGCCAACGGTAATGCGTGTTTCTCCTGGGAGTAGTGCTTCAAGCTTCAAGGCCGAACTAGACGTATCTAGGCGCGTTTATGCTTCATGGGGTAGGCGTCCAGGCGTGGGAACCAGGAAATCACGCTGCTCTCACTCCAATCGACGCATTTGCGCACATCCCCCCCCTCGAGGACCTCGCCGAATCTCTTTTATCTGCACTCCGAGATGCCGTCCTCCATATATGTGGCACTGACACGACACAACCAAGTTCAAGCACGAGCGAAAGCCCAGCAACACAACACGACCTGCAGGTGGTGTTTGAAAGCGTTCAACGACCCTGACGCGGTCCGAACTGTAGAGATTCGACAGGAAAGCAGGCGCCAACGTGGTGCCTTGACCCACGGTGAATTCATTCGAGCCTTTTGATGAGAGGATTCTTTATATTGACTGTAACCAATGGTATATCCAAAGGAAATATATTGGCCTGGGCCGTGACCAAGATTGTTGGGAAACTGACGACCAGACGAAGGGATGGCTAACTAGTTCTGAACCAAACCGAAGATTCTACGGAGCGGGGCGATATATATTACAAGGTAAAACAATGTACCTGTACAGGGAAAAAACAATTAAACGACACGGCGAAACTAGAATAATTTAAATTAGACACATCATAGGCGAAGGACTGAAAATACACGCCTACCTTGCCTGTAGTGAGGTCATGGACCCATCCTGTGAGGACTGTCCCCTCGAGAACAAGAGGGCTCTCCTTCAAGAACTTGACTTCCTCTTTCCCGCTCTCTTCCACATATGAGAAAGGAAGGAAATCGATGGCGTCAACAGCTGCTGCGACAGCTGCATTACCCGGTGCCTCTGCCTTGACCTTATCATGGAGTTGCTCGTTTGTGAAAGTGAGCATTCCGCAGTCTGTGTGATGGAACACGGCGATCTCTCGGGTACCAAGCTGCCGCTGAGAGATGATAATATTTCTGAGGGCTTCTTTGCTGCGTAGACGTTGAACAAAGGTGTCAATGACAATGGGGTTTCGCACGCACGCAGAACCGCCACCGTTGCGAATAATGTGAGTTTCGCCGAGATTCATGCCCAGTAGAGCAGCTGGCCTGAATAGCATCGTCAACACGGCGGAACGGAAGTATCAGCACGAGCAGCATCTACTCGACGCGGGCATCCATGCACGCAACTGGCAGAAATAAGGAATCTTAATATATCGTTCATCTGCACAAGAGTAGAAGGTGGACACGTACCAACCACAAGTTTCTTCGACGGGGGAATGGGCAAATGTCCCTTGTCAAAAGTCGAGACATAGAGCTCGTTTGCAAAGATGAAATCTTGGTGAGCAGACATTGGAAAGTGTTGATGTGGGTTGTAGAATGAAAAAAGCGGTAGGATGTACGCTTTTAAATAAGTGCAAGTCCTGAGGCTTATGGAAGAGCTTATTGATCCAGCACACTTGGGATGGCGCAATTATACGCCGCCATTGTGATGTCCTCGGCCAAAAGTACGGAACTTGCAGTTGTGCAGCGCCGGCGAAGATGGAACAGCGAAGAGAGAGCCTGATGACGTAGGGAATAGACACGCTGCTGAAGTGAGAGTATTTGCCGTGCCAGTCGTCACGCGCGATGACATGCCTGAAGTGTTGCTCAGCTCTCTTCACCTCTTTTGTGCAGGTCGCGCGACCTTGAGCTTGTTCAAAGTTTTAAATCAGCTTCTTCCGACTTGTTCTTCGCATGTCGTCGTTTAAGTTTGAGGAGGCTAGGTGATGACATTTCGTATCAAATTTCGTGAATAGAAAATAGGAAAGGTGTAAATACTCACTACCTCAAAAAGCGCTCGTCGCCTCCATGCACCTTCCACGCCAAAAATTCGATCTTGCGTTCCTCGTACAAATGAACGGGGCGTGGATTGCCGTTTTCGTCAAATTCTGTCTTGCTATCCCTGATTTCAAAATTCGATAGGTAAATAAGAACTGAAGGGAAGAAGAGGGAGCACCCACACTATCTCATAGGGCTTCAGGTGCTCAATCCGGTCTTTGTCGAGCCGACATAACTTCTTGATGTCGCTCTTGATAATCTAGTCAAAAGCACATCCTGTCAGACCAGAAGTCAAGAGGAGAGAGCTAACAGAATACACGTACACATATAGGCTTCTTCGAACTCCCTGGAACGAACTCAGGAATCTGCGAAGGCATTTGGCGAAGAACACTCTCGTCCGTGATCTTTTCGGGTGATGGGCTCCGCTCCACCTCCTTAGCCCTGCCCTTTCCTTTGTCCTTCTTCGGCGTACCAGACCATTCACCGGCTGCTCCGCCTTCATGGCTCGTGGCTTTCTTCTTCCTTCCACGAGGCTTCTTTAGTGTTTGAGTCGATGTTGACCTTTCTTGATTAGCATCTGGCGGAGTCATTTCGACGTCTTCAACATCGTTTGTGGTGTCCTGAGTAGCTTGAGATAGATAAAAAGGCGCTGCGGTCGTCTGGGTTGGCTGAAATGACATCTGGGGTGCGCCGAAGCCAACCGCAGTTGCTTGTGTTGATGCCGGAGTGGGCAATTGCTGAACATTATTGAGTGGAACATCGTCGTGCGAGGCAGCTCTGTGGCTTGGTGCCATGGCGTTGTCGGTAGGGAAGGAATCCGGCGGGGCCATCTCCACATCCATCGTCTGAGTGGCCTGAGATATGTACGATGGAGATGGGTCAGCATGGGAGGTCGATGCCTGAGGCTCATCACCATCGCCGCGGCCACGGCCACGGCGTCCACCTCTGCCCCTTCCGCGACCGCGACCTCCCCTCCCTCCGCCAGGCTGCCCCCTCCCTCTTGAATTGCCTTCACCTCTTGAACCTCCGCTCGAGCTGCCTTCACCCCTACCACGTCCTCTCCCCCTGCCACTAGAGGCACCTCGCTGGGCACCCCGGCCACGTTCTCCCCTTCCTGCTCCTCTCCCTCGACCTGCTCTTGCTGCTGCCTGACTCGGTCCAGCTTGACTTCCGCTGGCCTGACCCGCTCCACCCGCTCCAGGTTGGGTTCCTCCGTTCGGGACGCCATCAGAGTCCACGTTCTGACTTTGTTAGCTCGATGGGCGTTCGATACCCAGAACGCGAGATGTCGATGCACCATCGTTCCTCAGGAAGGCCCCGAGACGCGACTGTGTGAGGCCAGCGGCGAGTCCGGTTGCGGAGTCCTTGCGCAGACGTGGAGCTATCGTTCTCTTCGGCGGGCTGGCGCTCGTCGTCGGGGTGGAGACAGGACTGGGGCTGGGACTTGGGTCGGGACTCAAGGCTCTAGTGCCGAACTGAATCCAATAAGAAGAGACGAATGAGGATCATATTTACATAGGTTGAGGAGAGAAAGCAACGAACCTGAGGCGAGGTCAACAGAGTAGAGCTTCCGCTTCCACTTCCGGCGACTGCGCCACTTGGAGTCGGCAGCGTCGGATGATCGTCGGCGATGATATTTACACTGATAGATGCCGGCGGCGACGCTACAAAGGGGGAAGAGGAACACATCAGGCGATTGCAACGTGTTCCGGATCTCTCATCTTATACCGATGACACCTGGATCTTCATTATTTCGACTATCGCTATCGACATGCGTAAGATCGATAAATTCAGATTCGGAATCAGCAGCTCTTCTTTCTCCATCGCCGCTCGTACTGGCTGTGGGGTGGGTGTCGGAAGGTCGCGAACTAGGAGGCGAGTTCCTCCGAGTGTTTCCTGATTTAGGCATTGTGTGGGTGTGCTATGAAAACGTGGGGTGAGTTGTGGGGAAGAAAGTGGGAATCTGCAATCCTTATAACCCTTGGGCGAACGGGTTAGGGTTGCTGTGACTCACGACGAGCAACGCCACAAGAGGTCGACAAAGTTCTAGAAAGTATCTTACATAATCCTTCAGAAAATGTGCACACAAAATTCAACGAAACATGATTTTCTCGAGAAATTAGGGAGAAATCCAGCTTCATTTAACGTAGGTGCCACAAGCACTACGCTTCAAAACTATCCAATGTGATATTTACGTAGATTGTTCCTCTTCAGTCCAAGAAGCATCATCCACGCGCTGAGACGTAGATTTACTTCTCGCGACCTTTGCCCTTATCTTTCTTCGGGGTGGCAGGCTGAGAGGAAGAGGCAGCCTCTCGTTCAGCGACTCCATTCTGCACAGCTTCGATGGCCGCCTGCACCTCATCGCATAGAAGGTTCTCCTCCTTCTTCTCCTCGTCCTCCAGAACTCCCTTGTAGTGCACAGAAACTGGGAATTCGTATGTGGCTGGGCGAGTTGCTTCAGGGTACTTTTTATCATAGGTACACTTAAGCTTGCGGAGACTTAGAGACACGAATAGGATGAGTTGGCTTGTCGGTGGTTAAGCAGGGTGAGAGGCACGTACTGTCTGACGAAACGGGTGTAACCACCATATGCCCTCCACGCCTCGAACTCGACGAGGTCCTCGCGATAGAGGTAGACTTTCAAGGGACGTCCGTCGTCATCCTTCGTCTCGACGACTCGAAACACTGGGATGGTATCTATCTGTTTGTCTTTGAGACGATAGAGCTTCTTCACGTTGGACTTTGTGATCTAGCGCAGCATTCAGCAATGGAGACATGGAGCAGCAGAGAGACGCGCCAGAATGGGATCCTGTTTACTGCCTTCCGGAGTTCGAGGAATACGCGATGGCATCTGGCGAAGGACGTCCGGGTCCCGAACGAACTCGGGAGACAGGCTCCTCTCCGGCTTTGCCTTCTTGACCGGAGATGGTGCTGTTACTACCCCCTCACCCTCGCCCTGTTTCCTCTTCTTGCCCCGCCTTGGTTTGGTAGAGGACGATGGCATCGAAGGTGGCAGATTGACCGTATCGACTACGAGCTGAGTCGCCTGCATCTGCGGAGGGTCAGGGCCTGCCATCTCTACGTCCCCTCCCGTCTCGGTTGGGGGTGATAGCGCTGTGTTCTGAGTGGCTCCAGGGCCCGTCGAAGCAGGTAGTGTCAGCGCGGGAGGAGGAGGTACCTGCGTACCTCCTCCCTGAGTTCCTCCAGGGAGTACAGCCATAAACCTCGATAACGTTGCTTGCTTGAGGCCGGCGGCGAGTCCAGTTGCGGAGTCCTTGCGCATCCGGCGGGGCGTGTCGTCCTTGGTCTTCCTGGACGGGGCAGGAGCCCCCGAGCTGGGCTAAAGGAGACGGAAAGAGAAGAGGTAGTAGCATTTGTTACAGCCATGACGAACAAGAGGAAAATGAAAGATGACTCGCCTGTGTGGCGCTTCCGATCATATTGGCGCCACCGATCGCCAAGTGTGGGGTTGATAATGTTCCGCTCTTAAGCGCCGGGGAGGAAAGGACGGTCAACGTAGGGAATATCATCAATGAGGTAACATTGTTCTGAACACCAACACTGTCATTATCAATATTGTTTTCACTGTCATATTTCTGCTCTGTATCATTTCTAATTGTCATATCGAGCACTTGGACCCCATTGCTCACGCTGCCTCCGTTGCTGGAGGCAGCCTTCACAAGTGGGAGGCCCATGTTGCTCGCTGTGTGCATGGTTTCGATGTGGGAGGAATTCGACATGGCGTGGGAAAGAGGGTTTGTTGATTGCAGGAAACAAGAAAGTGGGCGAAATTCGTCCTCCTTATATATGACGCGCACGGACCTGCACAGCCACACTGTCACACGTTCATCAGATAAGATAAGATAAGATCGACTTCTGAAAAAAAAGGTGACCAGCCTCGAAGGTAGAAGGAAGGCAAGGATATAGGAGGAAGCAGCCAGATGCTGAAGAACGATCGTGATCATGATGGTCGAGAAAAGGAAGCCATCGTTGTTTGTTTGCTATCCGTCTCCACCTCTCTTTCTCTCACCACTATCTCGTCTGCGCGCCCTGATTGACCTGCTAACCCCAAAACTCACAATGTCAGAATCACAAGAACCCTCATCTAGCACCACCCGCGGTCGGGGTCGAGGCAGGGGCAAATCACGCGGTGGACTAGGCAAATACCTGCGTGCTCGCGGACGCGGGCGGGGAATGGGGCGCCCTGCCCAATTCACTGAACGTCTCCTGCTCGAGGGTGAAGGGAAACCAAGTCTCACGGAGGAGGAAGAGGCGGAGCTCGCCAAGGAGCTCAGGGAGAAGTATAGCCGGAGGAACCTGGGCACAAACGCAGATCGGTATAAGGAGGAGCAACCTGAGTTAGATTCGGATGGTGCGTGTGCCTCCATCGACTCTAGAGGGCTATCTTACTCGAATTGTGAACTGAGACGCGATTTTGTTTGCTGTGTCCACAGGGGAGCCTATTCTAGAGCCGGAAGTCGATCTATCCTCCTTCCTCGAGAAACAGCGCATCTCAGAGGACGTCGGCCCTACATTGAAAGTCGCGGAGGCGAAAGATTATGACGAGGCCGACGTCGACACATCTCTGGCTCACATTTCTTCAAACCCTACGCGATACAAGCTCGAGGCACTGTCGAAGAAGGGTAAGGTCGAGCAGATCGAGTGGGATGGGGAACTGGATCAGATGAGCAAGGAGAAGAAGGCTGCAGAAGCAACTTGGGGTGCGTGGAATCTGCTTGTTTTTTTGTGACTTCATTGCATCTGACGCATTGAACTTGATATGTAGATCTCAAAGACAGGTTCAAGGCCAAATCAGAAAAGCTACGAACGAAACCAGTTACACCCACCACAACCTCCGCGCGTCGAAAACAAGGTACGTTTCCAGCTTCTTGTTGATTGCCATGGCACTAATTGAATAGCTGCAGGAGAGTACCAGGAAGCACCTGCCCTCCCACTTCCTGACGGCGTCAAACCAAAATCACAGATGGAGGAAATGGAAGATTTTCTTGACGAACTGCTTACCTGACCTGGCTGCCTTGTCCAAGATCTCCAACATTCTTCGCCCACTCCTACCATGTCCTTCGCGACTTCGATCAGCCTCTAAGCGTCCTCCCGTTGACATCCTCAACTCTAGGTTTTCCTACTGCACACCACCTATGTTGATCCTCCTTGAAGGCTCGTCGTTCTGCCTCTTGTGCAGGAGTCTTTGGGAGCGTCGCATGGCTACAAGTTTGGCAAACAATCCAAGCTCTCGAACCCCTCTGAGCCCGATCGCTTGATTCTGATGCCCGTTCGACGAAGAATGGACGAGGGTAAAAGAGCTCTGCCTTCACAAGCTATTTCTTCAGAAGGCCAAGTCAGCATTCAGTCCTTTCAAACGCCAAATCAATGGCGCGTTCGATTTGCTCTTGTACGTACGTGTAGCGTAGAAAATACATTATGTATGGTCATCGGATCATGGAGAAAAAGACACACTGAGGAGGGAGATGAAGACGAAAAAGACTTGGATATAGACACAGGAAAACGAAACAAGATAAGTAAGCGGCCATGTTGACATAGATCCAGCGTGTAAAGTAAGGAACGTGAGTAGCGTCCAGGTCAACGGCTGTAAGGTAGGAGGTATCATGGAGGATGGCCGGACGACGTCGTGGAATAGGTCGTTGATGGAGAGAGAAGAGGTGCTGCCGCCACTAACGGCAGATGCAGATAAATATACAAGGATGGAGAGAGAGGATTATTGATACAGGGTGCCGCTTTTCAGCACTATAGGCTGGCATGCGTTCTAATCGGAAGTCCATGCCGTGCAATGGTTGACGAGCCGCGTTCGTCGATGAAGTTGAGAGCGTTGTAGTCAGAGGAAGGAAGAAACTCCATCATAGTGTTTCCGTCGAGCGCACTTCCGTCTTGTACACCATCACCTGAATGGCCCTCCCGGACACCGCGCCCTCACTACTCCCAGCAGGCGACGCTGTAGACGTGAATGGGCGGGGCGACTCGGGTGTCTGTGCTCGCTCGCCGCCCTCAGAAACGATATAGAACCGATCACGATCTGGCGAGGTCATCGTCCGCATCGAGCCGTTTGAGGTCTTCGTCTTGGGAGCGTACGGATGTAGGTGGAGGTTGGGCAGGGGATGCGACTGGCTTTGCGACGGCGAGTATGAGTGAGAATGTAGGCTGGTGGTACTTGACGATTTGGAGTGCGAGGGCACCTGGAGATGAGGTATGACAGCGTGCGCGTGTACGTCAAGCGCGCTTGGTGTCGGTGCACGAGCAAGGGCGACAGCTGCTTCTGACGGAGCGTCCATCTCGTACATATCCGTGTCGGCCTCAGAAGAATGGCCGAACCTTGATGACGCCGACGAAGAAGAGCCGAACGACCATGGCGAAGGCAACGGTGTCTCGCCCACATCATCTGGAACCTGACTTGGTTTCCGACAAATGTGGTACACAGGCGACTCAGACTCTGCGTACAGAGTCCTCGCCTCCGAGTCATAGCCAGCGCTTGTGCTCGTCAGCGGCGACAGGCCGGCATTCTTCTCGAGGTCGATGTACTGCGAGTGCAAGTATGTCGACTTGTTGTAGGGGCTGAGCTCGAGGTCATCGTCGCGTCCAGCGTGCGTCGAGGCGGAGGTGGAGAAGGAGTGCGACCGGTACGGCCTTTTAGAGGTGCTGTCGAAGGATGTGGGGGACGTGGGCAATTTAGGGACGTAGGCAGGTGGAGAGCCGATCGTCGTCTCGGTGGCAATGGTGCTGGTGTTCTTGGAGGGCTTGTTCCAGCTTCTGAAGTAGAAAATCTAGTTGGTCTATACTCCGAAACGAAAGTTTGAGAAGAAATGCTTACCCAAGTGAAAGTGTCTTCAGGCCTGCCTTCGAAGGCGTGGCGGGAGCAGGTTTCACACCAAACACCCCCATGACGCGCCAGAACGCGATCTTGTAGCACCTCTGCGCCTCCGAGGCGAACCCAAAGAGTGCAAAGAACAGGAACGCGCACAGGACGGGCAGCCACCTTGTCAGCTCGACTGAGGTCGCTCGCGAACGATCACTACGCCAGATGAGGGCAGGTACGAGGGCAACGCGGGAGAAATTGAAGTGGGTGTCCTCCCAGGAGATCCATGGAGCGAGGCCAACGCCTCGGTTACCTAACCAGATTGTGTAGATGCCGAGAGGGACGGTGCACGTCATGTCGATGATGGCAAGGAGAACAAGGCGGAGATATCGGCTGACGCTCATTGAGGAGTTGGAGGTAATGAGTTGGTTGAATTGGAGACGGCGAATCCAGAAGGAGCGGAGGGTGAGGGCTACGAAAACTGTTGGAATGCAATCAAGGGGAGAAATGGAAGCCACGAACCAGAGAAGACAAAAGAGATCACGCCAAGGACGACTGGCCACATGAAATATAGGAAGTATGCAGGAAGCGTATTGTAAACGACAGGATAGCAGCCAATGTCTTCAAGAATGTCAAATCGGTGTCCTTGGACGACGTAGTCTGCATTCCGAGTTAGTGAGGGCTTGCTGCGCAAGGAATGGAGACTCACGAAGAGTCATAATAACAACAGGTATTCCGACGGCAATACACAGGTCGATAATGACCATCCGGCGTTTCTGACGAGAGTTCAGTGGGCGATGAAAGGAACAAAAACACCAAACACACATCTTCGTGAGTAATTGAGACAGTAGTTCCGGAGGTGAGGTAGTAGAGCCGGCGGCTGATGCAGAGAGTCGCAGCTGGGGCGCCCACACTGACGCCAATGATGATTTTGGAGGCTAAAAGGCATCGACAATTAGACGGTTGGAACTTGGGAGAGAAATGAACAACGAAAGCGAGACGCACAGATATCACACCAGACAGGGGATGGGTTCCTGAGATTACCACTCCATATGATAGAGTTCACGAATCCGATAAGGCAGGATATAGCGGTCCATAGCATGAAAGCACAGGTACCCGAATTCCATGCTTGGATATGCCAGGGGAGCGGGATCAAGCTAAGGACGAACCCGAGAAAAGCGAAGGTCGGGAAGAGAGGGTACATAGGATCGCGAGAGGGCACGGCGGACAGACGGAGGGAAAGGCAGGGATACTGGATAGTGCACCATCCTTTCCTTTATTCAACTTGCTTTCAGACGGTTGACAATGGGCGGAAGTCAAACACAAGAACCGCGTCGACACTGTTGTCACATGTGACTTGTCACACTCTATTGTTCGCCCATTTTGGTCTTGGCACTTGTGCCGTTTCGGGGGGACCTCCAGACAGTGCCCAAGCGCATAGTGGGTCGAACTGGCGCAACTTTATAGCAACAATGGCCAGAGGGCAATCAAGAGCAAATATGCTTGGACCCGCGATATAAATACCCGGGGTCCTCGTTGTCTCGATCCCCAGCACCTTTCGTTCAGCACCTGCGAGACCCGTTTGAAAGCCCCAGGGCTCTATCTATTTATCTATTCACCGCGCGCTACCCCAATACACACCAAACGTACCAATGGACTCCTTTGCCACTATGTTCCCCTCCGCCGACTTTTCGGCCTCTCCCTCCTTCGAGGAACTCGCTGCACAACTGGGCATCGAATTCACCTGCGACACCTCCGATGTCCCTCTCAACGAGGATTCTCCCTACCGCCCTGCGACGTGGTGCACAATTGCGTAAGTCTAACCGTCCTGATTTGATTTTCACTCGCCGATCTAATCAATTATTCAGTTAAGCAAGCCCACGCCCCTTCCACATCACCTTCTTAACTCTCTATTTATCATTTTTGGCCTGTGTGTGCGCCTTTACGGTGCGTAGCGCTCTCGGCGCTGTTACAACCTTTTCGCTGACGCCCATCCTAGCCCCTCGTCATGTCACTCCTTCAGTCCTTCCTTGCCTCCATGTTTATTATTATGATGCCGCCATTTCAGAGTCGACAATTCCTCTTGTATAACAATTTCGGTCTTTGTATTTGTAGCATTATCCTTTCTTCTTATATTTTTATTGGCATAATACCCCAAACGCGTAGTAGTACGTGACAAATATAACGTCCTGCAGCGACGCTATCTATCCATCTGAAACTCTTCAGTTTGAGCGTGATTAATCTTGCAGCACTTTATTTATCAGTGAGTCTAGTTACCCCTGAACGCGTCCTCGTCACCGATACGCCCAAACCGACCTTTCAAGTTCTCCCTCTATTTCTTAAGTTCGCCACGCTCGCCTCAGGGAAGCGCCCGCTGCTGAGTTTGCCAAAATACGAACTCCACCCATCATCTCCTACCTTGTGCTCAGAATAAAGTTGGGCGGTAAGCCAGTAAGACATCCGCACGAGCCGTAAGGACGAATTCAGCCACTGGCCTTGTGCGCTTGGTCTCAGTAGCACTCGATTTCTAGAATCGCGCATGAGTCATTCGGATTCGCATCGCCTCCTCGTCCCGCGCATACGCTCTTCGACGCAGAAATCGTCCACTCCGTGAAGTCAATTGTTTTCGTCGGGGGACGCCCTCTTGTCCCCACCCCATTGTTGCCGGCAATTGACGCCTGTGGATCCGTTTGCCCATTGTGGCCTTTATTTGTATCGCCTGCCGGACCCCGGCTGATGGGGCCGATCAGGCTGTCTGATGCAGCCACGCGGGAGGACGGAACCTGCCATTGTTCGCTATTTTTGGAATAGGGGCTTTTCGCTCGGTACCGCCGGTACTGTATGTCAGTTGAAGGAAGCGCCGGTATGAGGGAAGGGATGAAAGAAAAGAAAAGGAGACCCTTTGGCGTGCGCGTAAGGCACCTCTGTTCAGAATTCCAGAATTCCAGAGTATAAATGGAGTAGCTTATCTCGGAGTAATAGTAAAAAAAACTGACGGTAAGACCGAATCCGCAGAGCACGGTTACTATTAGATCCAGTCAGACCTTATAGGACTCTACTAACGTTTAGGAATTCGAGCGACATACAAGGTGTTTTGGCGGATGGATTACTGTCTTGAGTCTCGTCAACTCGTTGACGTGACGAGGACGCTGTGTCATCTTTCCCTTTTAAGATGAAGGACTGTAGGTGGATATTACTTTTCCGTATAGACATCGAATTAGTATATAATACAAGGCGCGGTCATACAGTTCATCAAATACATAGGTATACTGAGCGTCGTCATCATCATACAATAACAAAGCAAGTCTATTGGCACCGTGGCGGCGCGCTATGTTGGTACGCCGTGGCGGGGCTTCCGCGCGTCGTGAGTGGGATGCTAATCCCATTTTGTGAAGGGATGTTACCATTGCGGGAGGAGCGGCTTAGTCGTTTGCGTATGCGCTCGTCGACCCATTTGCCCGTGCGGAGGACTCCGACCACGAACGCGATTTCGAGAGCCAATACACCAAGGGCTTGGGTAGGAATGTGCCATGGAGGGACGGCTTCAGCGACCGGAGCCTCAATCCCTAACGCTTTTGGGACGTCTCTTCGAGTAAATTTGACGTCTAAAGATGCTGTGATTAGTCACTAATGACACCAGTTATATGCTGATGGGATTGTACCTAGGGCGTCGTTCAGACTGCGGTCGAAGACTGAAAACTCCCTCAGAACCTTGTGGGAGTTATCGTTTGCAGGTATACTCGGGGATAAAGCCCAATCATACACGGCCAATACTGGCGCAGCTTTGGCACAGCAGAGAAATGCGGTGTACGCTGGACAGAGGCGCCCGTCGCATCAGCTATATCCGTACGCGCATGAGATACCAGCGATCTTACTTAATATCAAGAGATATGCCGTGAAAGATAATGAGGTCATTTGTCAAGGTTAATTTGAAGAAAGAGGCAGCAGGAGCCAAGTGACCACAACGATGCTCGTACAGCTTTAAACGGAAGGAACAATGCGCGACTTGAATTTGCGGCTCACGTGCCGGCAATATTTCCATATTCGGCGAACAAAGCCCGCCAAGTTGGACGTTAGCTTAGAAGCCTCATACGGCTCTCGTCTATAACTTTGTTTCCATACTCTCGTTTTTGTTCCGCATCTTGGTACTCGCTTGCCACGGTGAGGGACGAGGCACTTATCACCAACCAGCGGACGTCTGTGACACCTCCTGAAAGAAACTCCTTTCACGGCTTCGCTATGCCCAACAAACCCAAACTCACTGAGAAGGTGACGATTTTTTTTTCTCTCAGTCAAAGCTATGTCTTATTTGGTTCTCGTCGACAGTGTCTTTCTGAATGTGAACCTATTCGGATGAATATTCAGATGGTAGTTACCATTCTGGACTTGTCTTTTCTTTTTTTAGGTTACGTCGGAGCTTGCAGGCGGCCTCTTCTGCTGACGCACACAACTCTAAGGAAGATCCCGGCCCATGCCGCCAAAGCCCTCGAACTCAGGATCTACCATCGAGGAATATCCTTCCGTCAGTTCCAGCTAAGTAGCCAAGGAGCACCCGATTGCCTTCTTTGTCTTCTTGTGTTGCATTGTCTGCCTTTCGGTTTATGACAATAGACTTGACCAGAGAAAATAATTTCACATATGTATTGCATAATTTATTTTAAGTAAGGATATAAGTCCTTAAATTATTTTCGTCGAGACCAACTTCAGGGGCCCGCTTCCTTCAAGGCGGGAAAGTAACGGGCCATTCGAATGCCAAGCCCGTGTGCCGGGAGGTTTGTCCGAATGTCCGCCGGAGAGCCATTGTCTAGTAGCCGCCCTCAGGTACAAACAGTGCCAATCAATTTACAGTGGCGCCAAAACGTATAAATGCTCAAGGAACAGGACGAAGAATCGTTACCTTGTGCCCTTCCTCCGTCCTCGCGTTGAACCAATTCCTCCGACCGCGACACCCCCTACCTCACCTTCGCGCATATAATGGACGCCTTCACTTCATTTGACCTTGAGAACATCCTCTCTTCCATCGACTTCTCAGAAGTCAACCTGACTCTGTCACAATCTGAACCAAATGACGGCCCCTTAGTGGACGAGGAGCGCTACGGCTCTGGAACGACCAGGGCTTTTTGCGTAATCTCGTAACCCTCGTAACCCGTGAGTACCTGGTATTTTTCCCCTTTGACCTCTCATTCCTGGGCGTCACCACTGACATACCACGCTAACAGAACTCTACGCGTTACCCCTACCACCATACTACCCGACTTGTACGTATTAGCTTCTTCATTGTAAGTCCCCGATCGCCCTGATCGCGACCGCTACATCCGCTGATTTGGCTGTGCAGATTATTTCCTATTTATACCCTTTGCTGCTTTGCAAGCCGCCCTTGGCATATTTATCACTTCGTTTTCGCCATATTATACCGCCTTTTTTCTTGAACACCAACACTTTTTCGACGATCGACCGTCACGCCTTTCATTAACCCTTCGACCATTGTATCTGTCTATCGTCTCTTCCTCTTCCACCGCCTTTATAAAGCGCGTGTACTATACATACCTACAGCGGTCTATTTATATAGTCACTATCGTCAGGATAACGACCCATATACCAATGTCTGTGTGTAGCTATAGTAATGTAACAAACGCCATGTACACCAATCCACTTTTCCTTGCGCTTCGTGTATCTCTTCGCGTGAATGGCGTCTTCAGAGGTCAAATCAGTATCAGAGAAGGGAGCGCGTCGACCGCGACAATGATAAACGAAGACCACGACTCCCTCGCTGCTCATAAATTTCATTAGCCGTACCCAAATAATTTTCAGCGTCGCCGAGAATGTGTTGAGTCTCCGGAAGGCGAGGTAGGCAAGTTCGCGGGCCCGTTCTTGCGCCGCACCTAAGTCCCACAATGGTGTAGCCACACAATGCGCTACGCGGAGTTATAATAGTGTGCATTGTTCTGACTCATAGGACGACAATGCGCAGACTTTGCATTGTCCGACGTTCCATTATGATTCGGGCCATGAGTGCGCCACTGTTGGACTTGGCAGTAGGCCTCTTCGTCAGGACTTTTTTTTTTTGTTCAAGTTAGCCAAGTGGACGCGTCAGAGACACTTGGCTTGTTCGATTTTGAGTGTGAATAAAGTACTTCATTGCGTGCATGATTTATAAAAATACAAAGGAACGAATTACAATGTACATCGTAACGTTAAGGAGAGTGGTCGAGCGCCTGGGCTACGAAATGGACGAAAAAGATGGCTGTACAAATAATTATGAAAAGAAATGGGGCCGGGGGAAAATGCATCGGTCGCAAAGGTATCACGGGAGCGCAATCTTAAAGAGCGGAGGGAAGCGCGGAATGTCTAGATTGTCGAACGTGAGAGTCGAGAAGAGGTCGGTGTCGGCGGCCATTGAGAGAAGTCGACCTTCTTGTCGGACGATGTGTGGGGTGAGTACAGGGTGGCGGTGTCATCGCTTGTGTGGCCACTGGCGTGAGACATCGTCGAATGGAAGGAATCGCGTCTTGTGGGCGCTGATTCAGATTTTTGAGGTACGAAGACAGGGAGGGTACTGTTTGTGTTATTCTTCAGAGGATGAACGAGTCCCTTGAGTCTAAATGGAGATGTCAGTCAGCAATACATGGGGGCCGTGAGCGAGACGTACTGCGATGTCTTCGGGTCTGCACTAGGGGGCACAAAGCCGAAGCGTTTGACGACCGCCCAATAGGCGCGCTTGTAGTTCTTACGTGCTTCATCGGCGAAACCGAAGAAACCGAAGAAGACAAGTACACAGAGGATCAAGGACCATCTACCGAGCTCGAGCGTGACGACGGCGACGCGGCTGGATCGCCAAAGAATACCGGGGTACGTGTCGATTACATACCAGGCGTGATGAATATCTGCCCAGCTCTTCCAGGGATAAATCGGTCTTGAAGTGATATTGAGGTAGAGTCCGTAGCTGGACAGGGGGACAGTAAAGAACACCTCCGAGGTCGCAAGACACATCAGACGGAAATATCGATTAATGGAGAGGGACGTGTTCGATGAGACGAATTGGCTGAACTGGGCGCGACGCATCATAAATGCACGCAAGGTCAGAACTAGGGGACTTGCTCAGCTGGTCTCACGGGTCACATTTAGTAAAAACTCACTGCAATAAATCACCGAGATAAGACAAATGGCATTCGGCCACACGAAAGATAGGGGATAGGCAGCCGGTGTATTGACCGTAGTCGGATAGCATCCAATATCTTCAAAAATATCATATCGATGACCTTGGACGACGAATTCTAGAAGGTATTGAAGTCAGGGTGGGGAAACAGAAGCGATGGAACGAGAGGACGCACGGAGTACCATCTGAAGAGCGGGGATGCCAAGGCCAATAGCCAGATCGACCATAACAGCGCGCCGCTTCTAAATGGATAGGGGCATCAAAAAAGAGGGTCGGAGAATGGGGACCGGGACGAACATGAGCACGAGTTATCGTGACAGTCTGGCATGTAGCGATCATGTAGAGCCGGCGGTTAATGCACAGGGAGGCAGCGGGAATCGCCACAGAAATTCCGACCATGAGGCGCGTCGCTGAAGGTGGACATGACTCACATGAGTGACCATTGAAGAAGGTGAGGCGTCGATGACTCACAGATATCGCACCATACCGGCGCCCAGTCGATGGCATTGCCGTGCCATACGATGGAATTGATAAACTGGTTAAGGCAGCCGACCGCCGTCCATATCATGAAAAGGCATGTCCCCGAATTCCAAGCTTGAAGATGCCAGGGAAGAGGGATAAGAACGAGTAAAAGGCTGAGGAACGCGAAGATTGGAAAGGCGGGATAGGAAGGGTCCATGGAGTCCATTGCGTGAGAGACACGGCGCGTGAGTGGGAGGGAGCTGTGCCATTGAGCTCACAAGGTGCTTTGAAGTACGCATCGACAATGTGTAGGAGACAATGAGCGGAGTTTCTGTCACCACCCTTTGTGACTGCTTATGTAATAGTCTCTCCGGAGGTCTTGGGCCGTTTGCCGGAAGGGGCCAAGCGATCAGCGGAAAACGAGTCCAAATGTGGATGTTTGCACATGCTTGTAGGAAGAACGTACACTTGGCATCCTGGTGAACAATGACAAAGCGAAGCAGCCACTTAGGAGCTTTGGCCATTGTCTGAGAAGAATGCGGACCTCGGACAGAAGCGACTATAAAACGCGGGACAAAGAACAAGTTGCCCCCTATTCATTTTCGAAACCGCCGCACCTCGAACCCGACGCACTTGCGCCTTGCAGCCCATCTCTTGCCCTTGCTCATCGACCTAGGCAGCGATCACACACCCCGCCGACACCCAACCAACACTTACACAATGGATGACCTCTTCAATCTCCTCTCTCTCGAGGCCACCGCGCTCTCAGCCGACCCCTTATCTGCGCCGACACTAGCTTCCGTGCCTACTTCTTCTCCTATACCTGTCAATGGCGACCGCCCCGACTACACCTACGGCGGCTTCTGCGTGATTTCGTAATTATCGGTGAGCTTTCTTGTTTCTTCATGCTTCTGTAGTTGAGGCTGACAGAATGGCGTAGACGCATTCCCTATACACACCCCCATTCCTGCGTTACCCACCATTATCCACCAATCAGCGATACCACGTCAACCGAATTTTTCCCTTCTTCAGTTACGCCGCCAATGCTCTGGCAATCCACTCCTTTTTAAGTTATCTCTAACTTTTTGCTACTGGTAGCCCCTGTGTAGGCCTTTAATCCCTCCTCTTGTTTTCGTTCTATTGACGTCTTCCTTGCAGATTGCTTAACTTTATTTCACCTTCGACATTCTTCTGGGCAGAAACATAGGTCTATGTCCTAGTGTATGCATTACTAGCCCTATTTATCTTTGCACCGTCAATACGACGACGAAACTCCAAATAGATGTACATTTAGGACTGCCCTCTTCATCGCTATCGGAGCAGCGCTCGCTCTCTATGTCTGTGCGACCGTCCCTAGCACGGCCATTTAGGTCGCTGCCTCGAGATTTTCGCCGCTAAATCGATGGGAAGTAACTCAATGGAAGAGAGCGGCGAATGTTTCTCCTCGTCTTCTACCCCGCATAGGTTCCTTTATTATATTAGAACCAAGTGTACTTTCAGTTTTCACCCAGGCCACTACAAAGGGATCTGCAAGTTAGAGACACTTACCGTTGGCTGTAGCGAGGCTGGGGGTCCTGGCACCACTATGTCAACTGTAAGAATCCTAGGAACGTCGGGATTCCATTCCTTGAACCATTGGGTCACTTGTGTCTGGTGTCCCCTCCTGATGTCTTCTGGAAGATGTGTTTTTGTAGCCTAGGTCTCAATCGAGCCCTTTTTTGTGTGATTGCGTATGTTTCTAGATGTGAAAATGGATGACAAACTTTTCTTGTCGTCTGCACTACGAATATTCGTATGTTCTTTGAGAGAGCTCTTGGAAAATAGATACGGCATCCAACCGGAGTTACCCATTGGTTGTCTTTGTCTTTCGCGATTCCCTGGCTTTTGTGGTAAACCCAACGCCGCGAGCGACTCACAGCTATATTTATATGTACTATACGTTTCTTATCAAATCATGTAAAAGAATTTCCGCAAAGATTCCGAAGCGCCCCAAGGTGGTGAAGCGCGCGTCCTCGATCAAGCTATAAGCGCCCGTGAAAATACAATTGATTCGCCTACTTTAATCATATTATAAATTCTCTCTCCACAAGAAATAAGACTCGGAAACTTGCATCTGTCGAGGTGAACCCAATCCCAAAAATGGATTCCACCCACCACCAATCCCAACTGACGCCGGGAAGATTCTACTTGACGGTCACTGAAGCCTTCTGTATGAGAAAACAATTATAAAGGCATATTTTTATGGAATATAATGTCTGAATTATTTTCTAGGAGGACATCATACGCCATTGGTAAGAGGAACACACAAGGGATATGGTATGAGTGAAATCCAAATGAAATCCTAAGAAGCAGCGGACAAGAGGAAGACTGGACCAGGACCCCATCAACGGGCAGACAGCTCAACGACAGCTATCCATAGACCTGCTCGCTACAGCCAACGGTAGACACTGTCAACGACTAGCATGAATGTGTACGCACTGCCACCGACAGCAAGAGCGGCCTAGATCATCGAGAACAGCATTCGTAGCTGTAGAAGGCCATTGTGCTGAATTTGTACAACAATGGTGATCCATCTGCATTGTTGGCGTCCGAGGACCTCGAAGTACGTCATTCGTGGTACAGTATACCGGTGGGCGAGATTTACAGACTTCTCGTTCAAACAAGGAATCGCACCACATAGAGTAGCGATGAAGGTGGTAGCTCGACTCGACAGTGAAGAAATCAGGGCGCATGTATAGATTTTGGAATGGGATACAATACAGTAGGGTGTCCGTGAGATAGACGTGACGGTATAGAAAACGAATGTACTGTATGTTGGAGAGCGTAGCATTGAGCATCAAGCTTCGTAAATAAGAAACGCGAAAGATTGCACAAAAAGATGCTGAATGGAGAAAGAGATGAACGTCCTTAAGGTTATGTACTATCTTGTGAACTTCGAGGGATCGAAGGAGGTGTGTGTGGGGTCGTTGGAGGGATACGTGAAGGGGCGTGGTGAGACTGGCGTCAGGTTTCCTGGCATATGGCCGCGAATTCGCGGGTGGGAGATGGGAGGTGTGATTGGGGATGGCGTTGGCGGGAACTCGGTCCTGATTTGCATCACCTCCTGGTAGTCAGGAGCGGCGGTCGAGGGTGTCACAGGCGAAATAAGTTCGCTGACGGATCCGAGCGCCTTCACGCCGGCGTGTCCGTAGGGAGAAGTGTAGTGAGATGCTTCGGAGAAGGTATCGCAGTCAGGCGAGTCGCCGAAGGAGAGTGATTTATCTATCGAGGAAGGAGTCTGAGGGTCCTTCGACGAAGATAAAGTGAGCATGGTGATGGCCGTGCCGTCATTTGAGGATGAAATAAGAGTAGGCGAAGATATGGGGCTTCGTTCTTTTCTGCAGGACGATTTATTAGACACCATCGTCCCGGCATACATGGTAAAAAAACGTACCTGGAGAAAGGTAGAGAGAAGAATTGTCCTTTCGACGATTTGCTGCTTTCAGGACGACGAAGAACACGTATCTTGAACCACGAGATGCACCTCTTATACTCGTCCATCGCGTCTTTCCCGAAGGAGAAGAAGCCAACAAAGAGAAATGTCGAGACGGGTACAACCCACCACAGAACGTAAAACGCGCTCTCAATGAACGGTGGCATGAACCGAGCGGGGAAGAGATCGATGCGTAGCCAGTCCGAATGGACGTCGTCCCATGTTGTCCAAGGACGAATGGGTATAGCAGCGGCGGTAAACCAAAGGTTGCAGGCTGTAAAAGCGAGGGACCAGAACATCTCGAGCGCCGACATGACCATGAGGCGAAGGTATCGGGAAGGCGTCAGAGCTGAGTTAGAGGAAGTGAGATGGGAGGCGAAAGAAAGTCGTCGGATCATGAAGTGCCTCAGGGCGAGGGCTATAAGAGAGAGAAGAATGGGAACCACGAACTTGAGAGAAATTAGAGTAGACATACCGGCAAAGACAAGGGCGCCAATAGCAATCAGAATAGGCGGCAGCCAGACAATGAAGATAGCTGGGATCGAGAAGTAGGTCGTTGGGCGGCACCCGTAGTTTTCGATGATATCAAATCGATGACCCTGGACAACGTAGTCTAAGAAAGAAGAGTGAGAATGAGACGGCATTTAAAAACCATGAACGACATACGAAGGGCCATAAAAATCACAGGGAGCCCCAGGCACATGAGGGCCTCGAAGTATTGTCGTCGCCGTTTATCCGAGAGACTTGTACGCGCGAGGCGGACGGAAGAGACTTGCTCGAGATGGATACAAATACAAAGACATGCTGCTGGAAGAGAGAAATTTGCGCCGATGATGAGTTTGGTCGCTATCGAGACGAAAATAGGTCAGTGCGCTCAGCAAAGAAACCAAAGAAGTAAAAACGCACTGATGTCGCACCATACAGGCGCAACGATGTCGACGCTATTGGCCCATACAACAGCGTCGATGGCGTAGATCATGTTGATGACGAAGAGCCAGCCTATGATAGAGAGGGTAGCGACATTACCCGCTCGCCAGTGCCAAGGCAAGGGGAGGAGGAGAGAGAAAGCTGCGATGAAGGACACAGGGGCGAATTCGGGATGCATAACGGCGGCGATGGATGGGAATCAGAGGGTTGTCGAAACACTATCGGCGTATGTATTTGAATCATCTTTCGCGAGGCCATTATGCTGGTTGAATGGACAAAGGATGAGGAGGACAATGGACAAAGACTCGGAGTGACTTGCCTTTCTTGGCCCTCAGTTGGAACCCGCGTGACATCCGCTGTGACCATTGTAGACTGTCACATACGTTGAAGTAGTGTGCCCTATTACGAGTAATGACCGTGCTTCATTATTTCTCCACATACTTCATTGGCTCTGTAACAATAAGTGCATAGGAGGAGGAACACTTATGTTTCGATTCATTGGCATTTTTAAGCAGACTTCCAGAAAATCCAATAAGATTTTTTCAGACAAATTTCAGGCCTTTCTCCTCATGCCGTCCATGCCTTCGTATACTCCAAGTCATCAATAATATCCTCCATCGTCTTTACTGGAGAGATGTACTCTTTGATACCCAAAACCTGCTGCGCCTTTGACCCATCCAGAGTCGACAGGGGACCAGGGAAGTCGGCGAAAGCCTCTTGTGGGGGTACATCGAGTTCTGGCCTTGTCTTCTGTAGGTGAGCAGCGAGCTCCTTCCAGGAATAATTTCCGGCATTGACGATGAAGCGCTTCGAGCCAATATTAGACGACGGCGGAAGGTCGATCGCGTTGACGTGCGCGCGGCCGACGTCGCGTCCGTCCACGACGAATGGAGGGCCGAAAGGTGGGATTAGGCCGTTTGCGACCATGTACGGGAAGGTGTTAGTTCCCATTTCCGCGAGACTGCTTGGCTTCGGGAGATTCTTTGAATATGGGCCATATACGAAGCCGGGAAGAACTAGTCACATCTCGTTATCAGCTCAAACTTGCGGGTAAGAACGCAGCGAAAAATAGACGCACTGGTTGTGATATCGAGATGAGGGTGTTCGCGGGCGAAATTCCAAAGCGCCCGCTCTCCGAGATTTTTACCGCCGAAGTAGCAGTAGAAGATGTCGGTGTCGCGGTCAAGAATCTCTTCTTTGGATGTAGCGCCCCAGTCTATATTGATTCACCGCTGAGCAGGGAGAATGCATCTCCAAGGGCAGTACTACTTGTTACATACCAGAATCCTTGAAGGTATTTCCCGTAAACGCAGGAACCAAAGAAGCTGAAGAACCTAAGTTTGGTGTGGGTAAAGGAAGAAGAGTGACATGAACATACGATCCATGAGGGCACCGAAGGTAGACGTAACTATGATCTTCGTGATTCCGAATTTCTCTGCCTGACGAACAACATTCAGAGGTCCTTCCATAGCAATCTAGGCAACAACCTCGGAGGTTAGAGCAGGAACCCTGCAGGAACCATTAGATGGGCGCCCACCTTGAGCGAATCTTCCACTGTCGCCTTGCTGGGAAGCGGGGCGGCAACATGAATGACGATATCGATGCCTACGAAAAGCACCAAAATTAGTGCGCTGCATACACTGCCTTCATTGTCACAGGAAGGGACCCACCGTTCAGCACATCGGTCAAGTCGGCGGTCACAATGTCGTTTACTTCAACGAACTCTAGGCCGGGAACTGTAACAGCCTTGAGCTTGTCCAACTTGGCCGTCTGCACTGTCCTGCGGGTGGAAGGGAGGCAGACTATTTTAGCAGTGCCCAGCAATTATGAGCACACCATGGCGGTGTATATACGTACCCGCGAACGCGATACCCAGCTTCTAAGGCATGGTCGATGATTTGGCCCGCTATGAATCCGGTAGCGCCTGTGACCTATGTTATTGATTCGTTAGAAGCTTGTTCGGCTTGCTCGGAATTGAAGCGGTTCTCCGAATCACGGAAGCCGACGTACGAGAATAAGTTTCCCAGACATGGTCTGTCTTGCTGGAGCTGCGTTTAGGGATCTCAAGAAGAGTCTAAGGTGATGGTCGCCAGTAGAATTTGCGAGGAGGCTTATTTATGCACCTTAGAGAACCAGGGTAGATGTCGATCTGTGTTTCAAGAACTTGAAGACAAACATACGCGTCTGCTGCACTAGACATCGACACTGTCACCGACAGACCAGAAGTTCACGGACGAGCAGATAGGCAGATATCCACTGGTGCATCAATCACAATCCAACAACACCATCGCGTGACGGTAGAAGAACACTCTGATGCAATGCAAGCAGTCTTGGGGGGCTCTTCATTGCCGTACATATCAGTGAATCGTGTCACGACTGAGATCGAATAAGAACGTTGTGAGGACCAGACGTTTATGGCTTGGCTTGATGGGTGAGGGCCTCAGTCGCATCGCCCCACCCAAGCAACGCGAGTGGCACGGAGGCAGTGGAAGACCAGAAACTCCTAGTAGAAGTTATCCAGATTGACAGTGCTATAACCACCTAGATAGGGCGCACACAAGGCTAAAAATTCCTGGCGCTATGTTGATGTTGAGGAGGGTCAAGGGTTGAAGCGAAGAGTGAGTGATGGCACAATGTTTTGTGGCCTTCGGGGAAAGCCGGCATCCTCACGTGACCATTACCATGTGTGGCGCACGCGTTTGATTTCGAATAGTAAAAACCAAACGCGTGGAGTCCTGTGGAGTCCCTGCTCAAGTGTCGAAGCCGGAATCCTCTCATCTTCAAAGACTTGGGCACACATTATTCCTCTATGCGCTGGCTAATGTGCTACTCTCGAAATCCGATGCAAATTCGGATTCCTGGAACATGCTGGTACTTAAGCGTGCAACTGAAGTTCCTCAATTCCATTCTGATTTCCGTTGGCTTCGGTTTCAAACGATCCTTTGGTCTAAAACGATTTCCATTTGGTCTGTTCTCCTCTGAGGGCAGTCTAACAATGTGCCTAGATACAATAACTAATATCGAACAGGCGCTCGTTTACGAGCAGAAATTTCCGGAATGAACACGGCTAAAGCTACAGTGAGGGGAAGAGTACTAGTAATACAGTTGCGTGGTATAACGAAGCAATAAACAAGAAAAGGTCTGATGAATGCGACAGAGTTGGGGAAAATCAGACAACGTCATGTGTGTGGGCCTTTTCAACGGGCGTTGGTGATGAGGCAGGTGAAGAAGAGATGGGAGAATCGCATCGGAGAGATGAGATCTCGATGTTGGCGTCGGAGTTCTGGCGTGTAATAGCGGGTGAAGGTGATGAGATGCTTGAGGCCGATGATGATCCCGATGAAGGAGCAGGCGAGTAGGGGCCGTCCTGGTAGTCTGCAAGGGTGCCGCCGACATCGGTAAGGGTGATGCCGCCGTAGGAAAGGGTAGTAGAGAAGGCGACCTCGGACTTCTCGTCTCCCTTCTTCTCGTTGAGGGTGCCTCCGACGTCGGCAATTGAGAGCGACATATTCGAGAACGAGTCGAGCGAATCGTGGCGCTGGAGCATCTCGCGGTGGACGAAGACGGGAATGGTAGGGCGGACCTTGCCGCTCGAAGACGTGACGCCCTTGCTCTTCTCTCCGTTCGAGCTGACGGCGCCGGTCGAAGACTGGCCGGCGCTGAACGACCCGATAGTGGAGATGCCGACCTTCTTGGCGACGGACTGGATGGCGGAGCGATAGTTCTTGCGCGCCTCGTCAGCGAAGCCGAAGAACGCGAAAAAGACGGCGGCGCATATGACGCAGAGCCAACGGGTAAGCTCGAGCGAAATCTCGGTGATGTGGTCGCGACGCCAGAGCATGGCCGGGAACTGGTCGACGCGGGAGAATCCAGCGTGGGTGTCAGCCCAGCCCTTCCAGGGACGGATACCGTGGTCGGCGGCGTTGAGGTATACAGCGTAGGCACCAAGCGGGACGGTGCAGAGCACTTCGATGCCAGCGAGGCACATGAGGCGGAAGTAACGGCTCGACGTGAGGTTGCTGTGGTTCGAGAGGAGCTCGTTAAACTGCGAGCGGGTCTTGTTGAAGGCGATGATACTCATGATGGCGTAGACGGCAGATACGAGGCCAATGGCGATGGGAGGGAAGGAGACAAGGAGGTAGGCGACCCAGGTGTCGTAGGTGAAGGGATAGCAGCCAATATTCTCGAAGATGTTGAAGCGATGACCTTGAGGGATGTATTCTGGAAGACTGTTAGGAACACGTTGGACAGTTCAAAAGATGAGGACGCACGGAGGATCATCTCCAAGATGGGCAAACCGAGACCGATAGCAAGGTCAACCATGATCGCACGACGCTTCTCCGCCTTGGTAATGGTCACAGAGCGGACCGACGCGATGTGGTACAGACGGCGATTGATGCAAAGCGAGGCGGCGGGAATTGCAACCGCGGTTCCGACGATGAATTTGGCGGCTGGACAAAATCGTTAAGAGGATGTCGGAGTAGACGGTGAGAAGAGAAACGCACAGATGTCGCACCAAACTGGTGCCCAGTTAATGGCATTGTCATTCCAGATGATGGAATTGATAAACTGGTTGAGGCAGGCAAGGCCTGTCCAGGCCATGTAGAGACAAGTTCCAGTGTTCCATGCTAGAGAAGGAAATGTCGACAGTGGGGGAGAGCGCGGGATGTAGCTACCTTCAAAGTGCCATGGGAACGGAATCGCGCACATGAGGAAGCCAATGAAGGCGAAGGCGGTGAAGACTTCGTTGGGGTAAGTCATCTTCAAATCCTCTGGTGGTAAGACGCTGGAATGTCTGGATTGCCCGAAGCAGCTGGGGAGGACTCCTCTCAAGTACAAGAAGGTAGATCAGCTGGAGGCGGTGACTCGAAAAGCCCACGGCACACCCCCAGCTATAAGAGCGACTGATCTTGATTTCCCTCCTTGTACGCAATTGGGGCCTCCCCTTGTCCATGGGCGCGGAAGCGTACAGGGCCTCAAGAAGTAGCTTCCCAGAATAGATGTGACCTTGTCCTGACCCAAAAGCTGGTGCCATCACGGTGTCAATCCTGTCATCCCGATTCGGAAGTCCCCTTGTTCTCCCGGTCACACTGCCCACCTTTCCACGCTAAAATTGCCCCGGCTGGAAGAGATGTCGTAAAACGGCGGAACGGGTGGGGACACGAGAACGGGCGGCTGGGACAGACGGGGAAAATCCCGAAAGGCGCACAAACGAATGGATAAATTTGGCAGGGAACGTGGGCTGATTTGTCCGATAAAGTCACGTGTCGGCATTTCTAGGGGCGACCGAAGATATCGAGCACAAGGGGGTGACCGAAAAGCGCATCGCGCAAGAAATCCAAGTGAAAATTGGTGGGGATGGCGAGAGAAGGACGCGAAATGGATGAAGGGTTCGGGATTCTTGGCCGATTGGAATAAGAGGAACTCCCAATGCAGCGCGTCATTCAAAACCGCTACGCGGTAATGATAGACGATGTCCTGGTGAAAGGAGGGACTTGAATGAGCTAGAAAGCTTGTGAGGACAAACTACGCACCAAAGCGACCCAGAGTCCGCGACCCTACCCAGACCATCCCAGCCCGCGACAACCGTCCGCCAATCCCATCTCCAACCCATCCCGCGATTTCTGCGTTGTTTCGTGTCCAAGGGGGTAGTCGGGGCGGTGTTCAGAGAGGAAGCGACATGGTAGTAAGGAAGAAAGAGGATGGGCGTCTTCAGCCTCCCACTGTTGTACTTGTATGACTGTTGGTTTCGCCGTCCCCATTGTCCTTATTGTCTTCAGTCGGAAGATGCCGGATTACATAATCCAGAAGAACATCACGCGCCCGTTAGAGAACAATAAGGCGGAGAAAACGGGCCTATCTCTCCACCCACAAATCCTTTTTTTTTGAGGAAGTGTAAGCGTATTCACTCGCAGTGCTTTCAGCAATTTTGGCAAGTGGAGGAAGCGCTCGGTGTCGCGCTTTTGTGCTGTGTGGCGCACGCGTCTCAAACTACCAAACTTGAACAAATATATATTCTCAACAACGTCAACAAAAAATGCATAGGTGCATATGAGATGCCGCATGGTAACGGAGGTAAGCTACAATGATGAAGGTATGCTACATGGGGGATAGGACTGTCGCACGAGAGTCAGGTTGAATGGATACAGTGGAGGTAAACAATTAAATCCGTGAATATGAAAAATAAGTGAGATGGGTTGAAATGAAAAGAGTCGAGGAAAGTACAGAGGTTTGACGCAAGCCCCACTTGGTCCATTTTACAGTGCATGCACCACCATCCTCACCTCGCCACTCGAAAAGCGTCAAGCTCAGACGGTCTCCTGGACCACCGTCATATGAATCACATCCGCTTGCCCATACCCATGCCCGATACGCTCCTTGCTAGAGCTCCGTTTGATATTCTTGATGCTCGGACGCATGATCACTGACCTCAAGCTCCCATTCGACCCCTTGCGCGTTGCCGCGTGTGGCGGAATGCACGTAGGCGAGGGCACCCGCACACCCGCAATGGCAGCCACCTCAGCCTCGCCTTCGAACGGCCGGCTGCGCATGTACGGAGGGGTGATGCTCGGTCCAAGTGGGTACCCGAAAGACGGCGCAGGAGACGGGGATGGAGGGACAGGTGGCGCGGGTCGTGGGTTGATATAGGTCGTGGAAGGAGCTGGAGAGGCAGGGCCATCGGTGTAGAATGACTCTGTCGCAGGAGAATGAGACGGAGAAGGAGATCCTCGCCGCGAATGCGACCTTGTCGGAGACGAATGGGATGGCGAGCGATTTCCGCCCCTCGAAGGTCCGAGGCTCGGGGTCGGAGAAGCGGGCGGGAGGGGCCAGGACGCCTCGAACACGGACGAGATGCTTGAGGGTACGTCGACGTTGATTGGCTTGGGTGACGCGAGGTAGAGGACATTATTGCTCGACGTGGGTGTGGGCACCTGAATCAGGGGTATCGATGGTTTCGCTTTCGGCGCCATGGGCGGAGGAGACACGGGACGTGGTGGGATAGTGAGTTCCATTGCACGGCGAGGAGGCGAGCCGAGAGCCGCTGGTATGGGAGACGCGATGCCCAACGTCTTCGCCGTGGGCGATCCGAGGTATGTCAGAGTTGAGTTCATGAAGGCCTGGTCGTCCTCCGCTACAGAGCGGTCGCTCGGGGTTGGGCTGGAGCAAGCAGAGGACACGCTCTTTTCGCTGGTCTGAGTCCTCTGCTTCGGGGCCTTCACGTTGAGCATGTCGTCCCAGCCAGACTTGAGTTCGACGGTGAGAGGTCGTAATTGGGGCTTCATCAGGGAAGGCGAATAGGAGACCATAGGCGATTGAGTCGTCTTCACGTTGCTGAACCCAAGGTGAGTTTAGGTTCGAAAGAAAATAAGTGAGAGTGAGCGCGGGACTTACTAGGTAGGTAGCGTGAACTTAGGAAGCTCCCTCTTGCGAGTAGCCTGCTCCTTGACCCACTTGAACAGATCCCTCGTCTCCTCTCCCAAACCTAAGACAAGTATGATGTACAGCACAGACAGACCAAAGATAGACCACCATGCCATCTCTACAACCTTGATATCCGATGAAGACTTGAGGACGTCAATTTTGCCCATCGACGCGTGTACAGAGGCCCATGACACCCAGGGCTGGAAAACCGGAACAGAGAAAAACGAAAACACGCCGATGAGGGCAAGGGCACCGCTCATGATCATGGTTGTGGCGAGCCGGCGAACAAATATCGAGGGGGTCATCGTTGAACGCGATTCGACGTGGACGACAAATCGCGAGGAGGAATTGCGGTGAGCGTGATGGATGGAGATACCTAAGATGGCAGTCAGTGGGTCCTCCCATGCCAGTTGTGATGGAAACGTAGACACACCAGATAAAACGAGTGAAAGAATGCAAATAAGGAGTGGAGGGATCGAAATGATTAAGAAACTCAAAGTTGAAGGATGTATCGAAGCGGAGCAGCCGAAGTTCTTGACGAGATCAAACCGGTGATCTTGGGCGACCACGTCTTTCAAAGGCAGGAAATGTCAATGAGCGAATACGAGACGTCAGAGAGAAGCAAACGCACGCAAAGACATGTAAAGAATAGGTATCGCGTAACAAAGAGTAAGATCTAAAATCGTGCGGTTTCGTATGACTTTCTTATCTAAGGAAATCATCCTTGAGGAAGAAACGAGTTCCAAGTGGCGTGAAATGCATAAGAATGCTCCAGGCAGTGCTATATTAGCGCCCAACATTAGTTTCGTGACTGAATCGAGTCGATTATCGATGAGTTTTGGTCTTCAAGTAGAGGGGATAGGAATGAGCATACCAATATCGCACCAGACAGGTACGTGGGTATGAGCGTTGCCATTCCACACCACTGCGTTGATCCCATGCACCACATTGTATCCACCTAGCCATAGCAAGATCGCCAAGTTGGGGACGCTACCGCTTATGCGTTTCACCGGGAGGAACACGACGAGAATGGCGGCACACGCGAAGGACACGATGGAGAGCTCAACGGCCATATTAGATTGGAATATCCTAGCCAGGGAGCAGGCAGAGAAGATAGCGACGCAGGATGAAATACAGTGCGTCGTAGGCAAATAGCGTTGGAGGAGCACAGCCTGAAGGGAAACCGCAGAAAGAGGACATTATTGGGACAAGGGGCAGTGTATATATTAAGGATTCAAAGAACAAGGAGGCCGTTCACCTGCGTTAATAGGGAAAATTTAGCGCAGAAAAGAATATTCGCCCGTCATAGCTCGCACCGGATTCCGCCCTGTGCGTTTACGTTGATAAGAGGGGCGCCACTTTGGAAACAAGGACGCCTACCGCACAATGATGAGTGTGGGGTGAACAACACCTCTTGCCTTAACGAATGCGGTAGTGTTTTCGGGTGAGAACTGACTTTTGACGTCTGCGCACAAGGGGAAGTGCATATGCGGAATTGTCAAGCAGCTAGATTCTGAGAACAGGCTGAGTGCAACCAGACGGGCGTGTCCAAAAGAAGACGAGTGTAAGTCTTTGCTGTATTCGATTGTGGCTGTGTACTCATCCAGCCCTCGTCTCTTCGACAGAGTTGTGAGGTATTGTACGAGTTAAAGACTCTGAATCATGTGGGAAGAGAAGACATTCAAATCAGATTATTAACAAGAGGATCACAAAACTGACGATGAACAAATGATATGGTTGCTGCAACTTTCGAACAGGCTTCATGATCACTCCAGAGCACCATGACATGCAAGACCACCTGCTGAAAGGATTCGAAACCAAAACAAGCAGAGAGCAGATTAAGGCCACGCACACGGATTTATACAGATATTCTCGGTTCTAGCGACATTTCACTCCACCGACCAGAAGGCTCCGATCGCCACTGAAGGATCCTCTAGGATAAAGGCGACCGTAGACAAGGACTAGCGTCGGTAGCATTCAAGATGCCCCGAGTCAGCTAGAGTGGTGGCTGAGAATATCTCCCGCTGTAGGTCAGGGCTACTCTCGCTGCCATTGCCGGAGAAATACAACAGCACTTCCAAGATGGGGAGGCGAGCGGTGTCTGTCATTCAGTCACTCACGTAGTCTCACGCCATCGTCGCCACCAACCCTTACGTTCACTGAAGCGGTCCATTGCCTTCCATAAGACGTGAGTGTTCCTGTCATCGAGGATTTTGTCATTCGTCAAGATACCAAGGGCCCAAAGTTCTGAAGTGAAGCATCAAGAATTGTGACGTCACCTTGGGACAAGGAGAAAAGACGATGCCTTGAACATCCGTCGAGCACATTCGAAGGTATTAGCGGGACGTTTCGGCTTCCAGTAGAGGTTTCTCTTGTTGAAATAAGATGCATACTTTGAACTTTGAAGCCGCAATCGTGAAAAGACCCGAGGAAGAATTACTGCCCGCTGCCCGTGGACACGTGGACAGCAGACAGCACGAAATAAGTAGTGATGACGTAATGTGATTATGTAGCCTCTCCCACAGGTGTACAGCCCCTGTCTGAACAACTTTTCCAATGGTCTTTCCGATTCCATCAACCCAAATACGACCTTTCGTCGTACGTGTACTGCATCGGGTTATAGAAGTATCACTACTGACTCGAACTTCATAGGATCTATCAAGGGGATACGAGAAACCCGAATACCAGGAGACATGTGCCGCCTCCCTGGTCGATAAAAGGACGCTGGTAAGTCTCCAAATCGTTGGTATTCAAATCGACGCCCCCTTTCTTTTACCTCAGGCGACACACCACTCATCCTGCGATGCCAGTTCATTTTGACATAGCGTCCCACCCTTCCAAGCCCGTTTCATCGTCCCATTATCCGCTTGCCAACCCAGACCATCTCCTTCAGCAGACCTGGGGTGCTGCAGGCGAGAGTGGAGCAAACAAATACCAGGAACTGCTCCAGAGTTCCTTTGCGCGAAGCGACTTATCTAGGATCCAGCCTCGTCAGAATGGATTGATAGACACGGTGGTCGAAGCATACTGCCGTCACCATCATCTTGTTCTAAGGTAAGAGTCAGTGCCCACGGTGGTCATTGAATATCGCTCAGATCTACTACGCTAGGCCCGATGACGTCTGGACTGCGATCCTTTGCCAGTTCAACTTATAGTCCGCCCCTCGCTAGTTCGACGGGGTGAAAAGAATCTGACTTTCCCGCTCACAGCGTCAACGCACACTCAGAGGAGCTCCGTGCCCATTTTGTGGCGCATGAGGACAAGAAGACGCTCACTGTCCGGGCGAGTGGGACTCGGTACACGGTGGATTTTGGCAACATGGCCCGACAAATGGCCGAAGAAATTCACAAGAACGTCAGTCGTATTATCCCCTCGAATTCGCGTCGAAATTTTGAACTTGCGCAGGTCGTAGACGAAAAGCTGAAAGATTGGATATTGCCAGATTTCACCACGACATCCCATCATGATACTGTCGTTGCTGCCGTTATGATGATGGCCACCCTGAAAGCGTTAGTGCTCCCATTCGAAGTTCTGAATCGGCGACGCAATTCAATCCCTCATACAAATTGTCCCTAGATATTTCGACTATGTCTTCTTTCTCGACTGTGGTATTCCTTCCATTACATTAGAGGGCGAGAAAGAGGACTGGGAGAACATCCTCCGCCGCCTCGACAAATTAGATGAGTTCGGCCAGGAGCCAACAGCTTGGGCAAGGATGCTCCGTCCCATCCTCAAACGATTCGTCGACGCCTTCGACGGTGGCAAGCGTGATGCGGAGTTCTGGGGCCGCATTTGCCACTACGAGGAGGTTCTGGGGTTGCCTACATCAGCGGCTGGATCACGGCCTTTTGCTACTGGGACACCAAGGGCAAGAGCCTCGCGGGATCGGATGATTCGAGGCTACAAGTTGACGGCGTGCGGTACCACACCGTTGACATTAAATCTGTCCCGGTTGGTTACTGCGAGGTGGACGTGCTCCTCATCGACAACGGCGATAAATTTGAGTGCATGATGGTTGCGGGGCATGTTGGGAGCACCATCGAAGGCCAGCATGACACTCTCAAGCCTTTGAGTGGTTGGTTTATGTTCATCAAGGCTGGTTGCAAGGTTCCCCCGATCGATGCGAAGCAGGAGTGCCGTCTAGCGCTGGGCGAAAGTCCGGCAAGTGGTGTCTCGTACGGCGCCAAAGAGAAGCGAACGTCGTGGATTGGAAAGCTGGCTGCACACTTACAGAATAGGTTGTCTAGACGATGATTTTTGCATTTTGGATATCATAGGGTATTCGGTATTCGTATTTTGAACGGTCCTTCATCGTTTAAATAGGACCCAAGGAATATTCGAGATGGCTTTCCTTTCACTAAGATGGCAGTGTAAATTCCAAACATTCGAGCACTTCTTTGTAGATCGCCTTCCAATTTCACACTATTTATGCGCCTTTGCCTTCGTCGTCCGTCGCAGAAATTATGTGATAAAACCCATGCACTCCACACCTAGAAATACGCAATCGGGTTGGTTTCATCCCCCGTTATCGGCTGGATAACGTCCCAGTGTTCCACAATGCAAGTTCCGTTGAAGCCGAACCGGTCCATGACCGCCCAGTCAGCCTGACCGGGAATCGTCAAGCGATGGTGGATGAACCCGAAGCCCTGCCCAACAACGATCGACGCGATGGTGGACTTGAGATCCGGATTGCTAAATATGGGCCTGAGAAACGCCAAAGCGTTCTCGCGTCCAGATACGACATCAGCATTGTGGTTGATGTAGCTTCTACGCGTTGAGCACGTTAGGATACTGAGAATAGGTATAAACAAAAGGCGAGAAGTGCATACCCAGGAATCCAGTCATCGTATGCCTTTTGCACATTCTTCTCAACAAAGAGGGAATTCGCGAAGTCCTTGAGGGTCCAAAGCTGTGATCGGTCTGTTGCCGGAGCTGTCCTTGAGCATTTGGCTGCAAATGAGGAGGTGATGGTGAGAGCGGCGGCTGCAACAATAGCGAAAACGCTTGCAAAATGCATGGTGGCTCCAAAAAGTTACTGTGGGCGTGAGGAAGTGGGTGGCACTGTGGCAGGTTGGACTAGCGGGTTATATGTATGCTCTACGTGACGAAGATGACCCGCGCTGATGCTATGCTTACTCGATAATCAACAGTCACCCCGAGATGACAGGTCCACATTAGGCGATTGCCTCACCATATTGGGTAAACGTCTGTGGGTCAAGAATATCGACCCACGTGCTTCCTCGTCCTTGAGTTTGCATGATCACTAACAATGTTACCAACAAGAAGAGAATTTCGCTGATGCTGAAAGATCTCACAGGACACTTACTCATAATAATACTGCCGACCGCATAAGCCTTTTGACCCGAATCTGATTACATGCTCAGCGCTCATGGCCTACAAATCGGCAGATTTGGTTGCTATTGTTATGGATCACGGGAATTGTGCATGTAGATCGGGCGGTGTCTATGACTACAACGAGGCGCTATGGGGCGCCTTGGAGTGCTAAGTAATGTCCCGTCGTACCAAAATCAAATCTCTGGCGTCCGCTGGCTCCAAGCAGAAGTGAAAGTCCGGGATTGGGGAACATAAGGATAACTTCCAGTCGTCTGCGGGATGGTGCATACATTTGAGAGGGTGCCAAATATTCGGCCGCTAATTTGGATGGTCATTTCTTTAGGCAACGGGGCTTCAAGCTTCAAGCTTCAAGCTCGAGTCTTCCGCCCGTTACTCATACATACTGAAGGAAAATACTGACCAATTTTTTATTCACCCTCTCCAAACCCTCTCATTGTCGGCATTGGTCTGCGCCTTCCTTTTCAGAAGACCCAGTTCGAAATCGAAAACTTCAAGCATTCACAGACCGCCTTTTCTCCGTTCTGCACGATTTATGCTCCTTTGAATTGCCGGGAAGGTGGCCAAGTGCTTCTCCTTCTTCCGCTACTTATCGGTTGCAATAAAAATGTGGGGTAGATAAATCCGACCGTTTCCCACGTGGGAGCCGTGCAGCCTCGGTCCGGCATGCACCACACCGAGTACCGACACCATCTTGGACACAAACACCTTGCACGATGAGCACGACAACGACGACAGTCCAAAGCGAAACATCCCTGCGGCGCAGGACTCATGCCCTTGAGCGGGCTCACTCGCGTTCAAGCTTGGACACTCCTAACGGCAAGGGCAAGGCCACAGTGGAAGAGCCAGAGGGCTCGAAGCACAACCAAACACTGGGACAGGCAGGCCCCTCATCGCCAGTAGACAATAACAGCGATTCCGGCTACAGCGTAGAAGAGAAGGACTCTTCTGATGGTGAAGATAGTGGTGGCAGCAAGGGGCGAGAGGGCAATGGCGAGGCAGCGCAGCGCACGCGCCTTAGGCTCCACACCAATGTCCGCCGCCCGTCATCGAAGGAACGCAGCCCAATGTCGCCGACGACGCGGGCGTGGTATGAGTTCGATCTTGCCGTTGTGGTTGCACTCGTATCGCCCATTGGGAACTGGCTGACAGGGGGCGACCATGTCAAGAACCTGGTGCTCATCATTCTGCTCATATTCTACCTGCACCAGATCATCGAAAGTGAGTTAGCTATTTTTTCTTGAATATATGCTAACAAAATGACAGTTCCTTGGGCGCTTTACCAGAAATCGAGACCTCGAACTCGAGTACCGCACATTCCTTCAGAAGACCCAACCTCGCCCCAGGCACGTTACTCACAAATCGCAGCTTCAGAGCTGCACAAATTCGAGCTCTTTTTCCTTTTCCTTACATTCTTATCTCCTCTACTCGGTGCCCTACTTCTCCGTTACGCAAGCGAAGCTATCCTCGGCCCAGAGGCCGTCTCGTGGTTCAGCACGGGCCTGTTCGTCCTCGCGACAGGGGTGCGGCCGTGGGCCCACCTCATTGACCGGCTCAACCAGCGTACTGCCGAGCTGCACGACTTCGTGCTCTATCCCCCGCCCACTCTTTCCGTCTCTGAGGAGGCGCACCAGCAGCTCGAGCAACGTGTCGCCCAGCTCGAGAAGGCACTCGGGAAGATGCGCACCAAGGTCGCACATGCAACCGAGGACGTATACGAGTATGTCGACGACGCGGTCGATGCAGTCGAGCATGCCATGCGCAAGCAGGAGCGGAAGTGGGATAAGTACGAGGGCAAGGTCAATGAGGTCGAGCAGGTGGTTGGGCAGCTGCACGCGGTAACGACGAGGAAGGAGCACGCGACCACGTTGTATGCCTCTCTTTTGGCAGACATTTCAGCGTTCAAGTCTGGGTTCTTGTCGACTATCGATTACTTCACGAGCCCGGCCCCCCACAAGACTCTGTGCAGAGGACCTGCGTTGAAGACGCCCATGAGGTCGCTCTCGGGCACCTCTACTCCTCTCGAGACGATCGTCGAGGAAGAACACGCCGTTGACACTTACCCCTTGCTCGGCCGCCTATCTTCGATCACCTCAAGCCTGGTCTACCGTGCAGGCTACCTCGCCACATTACCTCTCAGAGCTGTTGCCCGCATGGTCTTCAGAAACTATTAGGTTCAGACTACACTACCCTTTTCCATTCCTGCATTTTCATCATCCCTGCATTCTAGTTTTATCTGCATGTGTATCCAGTCATCCAGCCTCAAAGTGTATCCCATGTAATTATATATTGTCTCCAAGGGCTCATCATGTTTAGTAGTTGCACAATTCCTTGAAATGACAATCTCCTTGTGAATGGTTTACTTGTCGCAAAGGGTGGAGGCTCCGTTTGTAAGCAATTGGGATGGGGGACGAAAATATACAATTCGGAAGAACAACGATGTATGCCCAAGAATACATACTCAAGAACCTTGGGCCAACACCTCTGGTGCAATCCTCTCCTCGACCTGGTTGAGTTTGTTAACCCATTGCTCGAGCCTCTTCGCTAGTCCGCCAATCTGCTCCCTCGACAGCACGCGTGGTTGCACCCAGGTGATCTGCGCCTTTGCATCGACTTGGTCCAGGGAGCCCTTGATGAGCTTCAAGCTGAGCGCCTTCATCACAAGATGCTCAACCTCATTAACGGGTAGCCGGGTCTCCTCTGCGATCGTCTGGAAACTCATCGTCCGATTGTTGGCGTTGCGCTTGAAGACAGCTTCAATGAGCGCCATCAGACAAATCTTCTGTCGTAGGAAAGCGTAGTTCTCTTGAAGGATTGGCTGTGAGGAACGTTAGAGTGGTGAAGGAAGATGAAAGATGATGAATATATGCACCTCCTTGGGGAAGAGTGGGGCGAGAGCCTCGAACTTGCCGATGCTGCCCTCGTTGAATGTGAAGAGCAGCTTCTTGAGCCACTCATGCTGGGTACCATTGAGTGAGTCCAGAATGGGGTGCATGAGCTACTTGACAATCAGTAAACGAAGAAAGTGATTCGAGAAGATGAACGTACCAGTTCTCCGAAGTTGTAAATCGTGTCTCCTAGCAGAGCAGAGATACCAAGGTCGTGTGCTCTTGCAAGACGCTCCTCAGGCGACATGCCCGTCTCGACATCAACGCAGGCGAGGTAGAGCAGGGAATTCTTGTAGTATGGTGCATACTCGGCCTTGGCCTGGTTAACCGCGAGGTTAGTATCTTCTTCAAAACACAAGAAACTTATGAACTTGCCTTGAAGTAATCCGCAGAGACGCTGTAGTACGCAGCATTCACCCCGTTATCCACATTTTCTAGGGTATCGAGGAGCTTCTGAGCGGCGTCCATGTCCGATCTTGTCCCCTCCAGATCGCCATAGAGCAACTTAGCATGTGCTATTGAAGCAAGCAAGAGAACGCTCGCTTCTTGCGACTGCTTCGTGTCTATCCGTGATGATAGAGATGTGAGGAATGTGAGATGGACCTGAGGGTCTGAACTAACGGTGATCAGATGGCTTTCCATACAAAGTGCTCCAGCAAACGTACTGTCAATATTCTTGGCTACAATTACACCCATTTCTGCTAGCCGTAGCTGGTTGATCTTCCCCTCGAAGTCGCGCACGAATCTCTCGAAGACATCTACCCGATACGGGGGTGATAGTGGATGGTTGAAGAACTCGAACAGCTTTTTCGTTAGTTGATGCCATAGCCTGTTGTCATAAAGAGCTATTAGCGAAAACTCAAACAAACTAGAAATTGTCGACGAACTTGCGTGTATACAGTGTTCTAAAGGACTCGAACAATGGATGCAGTTCGGCCGGGGTAGCAGACAGCGCCGTACCGATAAATTCGTCCAATACAAGCTTCGGTGGTTGGGGTAATGTCATTGCAGCAGCCAGCGTAGTTTCAAGGTGGGTGGACGGAGGAAAGCTAGACTATTGAGTTGCTGAACGCGACGCGCGTCGTCCTCACGTTGATTGTAGTTGGCAACGACGTGACAAGCAAACAAGAGCTAGAAGCCGGCCCGGGGTCCGATGCATCTCCCCAACTTTGGCCAGGCGGTGCCTCTGGCATTTTCTGAACACTTTTTTTCTGGAAATATTGATCACGAACCGCAGCACATGGAAATGAAATGGAGAACCCATGCGAGGCCTCCTATACTGTAGGAGAGAGAGGTTGGCTACGATGCGATTACGGTCCCGCTCTATGATTAGATTAGATAAGGACACGGTACTAGTACGTGTAGCCACTTGTCCCTTTGTTCTCCAGCTCACTCTTGTACGACGACAGAGGCAACGACGCACATTAGCGTTACGGTCCCTAACGAGAGGCTACAAGACATTCCGCTCACACGATCCGACCCCACACTCATCAGCATCCTTTCAATACTTAGGTGCTGCTGCTTCAGTTTCACCATCTTCTGTCCCATTTTTGCAATCTCCGATAGCTTCAGACATGAAGGATAATCATGACCTCTTCCACAACCCCTGGGAAGACCGTGTTCCGATTCGCGAACTATCAGGTCAAACCGACACTTTATTTAAACCCCCGTCGCGGGCAGCAAAAAATCGCCAGCGACGTCGTTCGCTTCCCTGCTACCCTCTTTGCGTATGGGACATTACAGGTGCCCCACGTCCTTCGTTCAGTCTTGAATGTCGAGAAGGCACTCTGTCCAGCTGCTGTCCACGGATATGCCGTCAAGTAAGCCACTCCTACGTTATCCCTAAGAAAGATCTTCCAATCTGCGCACTAGGATGTGGGGACCATACCCAGCTCTCGTAAAAACCCCGGGCCCAGAAGAGTCGACAGTGCATGGGATGCTCTTTCTCGTCATGAACGAAGAGGAGCTCAAGAGACTAATCCGATACGAAACCGAGAACTATCGTTTGGAACAAACAGAGATCACAGCATTCTACGGCGAGAACAAATCCATGACTTCGCCTGGATATATTTTCGTCTGGAATGGGTATCCTGAGGCGTTACAAGAAGGCGTATTTGATCCTACTCAGTTCCAGCAAAGACATGGAAGTGGGTGACGATGTAATTTGGGATACCCGCGGGTGTAGTACGTATGCGTCATTGTTACATGTTCGCCATTGTCGTTTCTGGGCTCGTTAAGCGAGTGGGTTTAGCGGTTTCAAAGCCGGAAACCATGCCTGTTTAGGCGAATGCGCCACACACTTGTATTAACTGAGAAACTAGACTGATAATAGATCGCGAGCATTAGATCTACAGATAATCACCGATGTGGATATAAGTTCAATCCCGCCCTCCGCGCCCTCGATATATTCTACCGAAGGCGAGAGGGCCCAGCCGCTGCATTTACCTCGTTGGCCCGCCTTACTGGCAAGCTAATCGTACTTCCATCCCTCATCTCCACATCCCCTTCTGCATTACCCTCATCGCGCGGCAACAAGAACTCGATGTCCTCAAACATATGCGGGAACAGAATCGCCAGCATATCGTCCAGGCGGTGGATGAAATCCCCCTTCTGGAGGAGCGCACGCTCCCACTTGTTCATCTTCGCCTGCCGGAACTCGTGATCGTCGAGCCCATCGACGGTTTGTCCTTCGGGCTCGGAACTGAGGAATGGAGAGACGTTGACGGTGCCCGAGGAGTTGTCTTTGGTGTAGAGGGAGAGACCTTTGCGTGCGGCGAGGTCGAGGATGTTGCGCTCGATGGTGTCCATTGCGTAGTAGCAGTAGACTTCCGTGGGGCGAGTTTGGCCCAGACGGTCGATACGAGCAATGGCTAAGAGATGAATTAGTGAAGCGCCCGTAGAATCGAGATTCAATTTTACCTTGAATCTCGAAGCTGTGGTGGACAACACTTTCAAGGAGGAAGACGCGTGACGCGCAAGTGATATTTAGACCGGCGTTCTCCCGCTCCCTATGCACAGAAATTAGCGAGGCACAACATGATACCACAAATGCGACAAACCCGTGCAGCAGTAAGACCAAGGTATCTTTATCCTTCCTGAACTTATGAACGGCATGTTCGCCTCGCGAAGTTTGGTCGATGCGCAAACACTTGATCCCATTGTCTTGCAGCGCCAACTCGACAACTTGAGGCAAACATCAGAATGGACCAATAAAGAATATCTGGAGATAAACTCACTGTGTAACGAATCTGCCCATGCAGAGAAAACGATGCTCTTCGCTCCAGGGTCGGCTTGCTTTAGGTAAAGCAGGTGCCGAACAAGCGTCTGGATTTTGCTACCGAAGTCACCGTAAGTCTCCATGTTTTGGATTTTATCGAAAGTATGGGTGCCTGAGCGGAGTAGTTAGCACGTATCTACGTTTTATTTTATGCACGCCTCCTTACCGATAGTATTATAAACGATCCGCCGTCTTGATTGCGGAGCAGGTTCGCCTGCTACCGGTTGCGGAGGTGCTTCATTCTCATTGATGGTGAAACGCTGAACGGTCTTGGGATCCACGGGGACGCTGAGAAGTCACGTTCAGGAAAACTTCACCAGAAGCAACTTCAAGAATACTCGCCGACACACTGGGCACGTTTTGCCTTCTCGTCGGTTCAGCCACTGCTTCATGCAAATCTCGCAGAACACATGGGCGCTACAGGGTTAAGTCAGCGGCGGAAAAAATAAATATCTTAGGCCAAGGGATATACCATTGAGTTATGAATCCTCGGGCGAAATCATAACGGCACAGAATACATGTCTGGTCATTCTCGTCCTCGTTTGCCGCTCCAACGCCTTTCTCCGAAAGGTTGTCCAGGTACCGCTGACGAGCGCGGCTCATCTTTATCTTAGCTTCCAGTTCCGTCTTCTCATCTTCATAGGCCTGGAGGGCCTCAGGGATGGTGCGGTCTCCCCATTCTATCTCTCCTACGGAATCGGATATTTCTTGCAGTTGGCGGAAATAAACAATGCGACGGTTGAATGCTTTGCGGAGAAGAGCGATGTCTGCGTCCAACTTGGTGTGCAGCGCATCTAGAAGAAATATGGGTCATTATCGATGCACTTCGGAAATGTTATTACGCCTACTTTGTTCAGACATGTAACGCCGTGTCTTCTCTATTGCATCTTTCACCAAAATCCTTTCCGGATGGGTATCGGGCAGGATTTTTGCAGCTACAGCGGTAAGGTCCACCAGAACCTAAATGTAGGCGTGAGCAAACGTTCGTCCTGCTGGGGATGTTAGACTGACACTTTTGATCGCTCTTTCGTGTAACTTCTTTAAGAATTTCTTCCGTTCAGCAACTAATTCCTGATGTAATTCGACGTTCTTTGCCAGCGCGTCCAAGTCTTCTGCATCCAGCTGATCGTCCAATACCCCCGGCGGTTGGACAGAGTTCTCCCGATCGTCCAGGGTGGCGAGCAAAGATCGCTCGTTCATCAAAGCCTGACGACGATCAGCGAGAAGACCAGCATACGCTTGAATGTAAGTCTCGACTTCGCCCTGATCATCCAACGTGCGCTGGTACTCTTGACCGTCCACCTCATCTTCAGGGTTCAACGGTCGTGTCACAAGCTCGACGATCTTCGTTCTCCAGTGCCACATGAGTACAGCCTGCTCGTCAAGGACGTTCTTTATGAGGAAGTTAACTTCGACCATCTACGTTTGACCATGTCAGCATCATGATTTAGGAAGGGGAGACGATAAGTACCAAATCGGAGGACCTGATTCCTCCTTGTCCAAGGAGATTAGAATCGAGGACAAGATCGCTGAGCGACACTTTCTTCGATTTTGAACCGCTGAACACGCCCATCGCCTTGTTAGCTTCATCCTCGGTAGCTATGTGCGAACAAAAGGCAGCTAATGAGGAGAACACCCGAGGAGTCATGAATACAGAATGTGCATACCTTTCAGGATCTGACGCCGAAGTTTCTCGGCAGCATTGTAGGCAGCGTCTTCATCAGCCGTGTTTCCAAGGACATGGTACATATCTCCCTGGAAGAACTTCGCCTGATGGAGGATGAGGAGACCTTCACGAAGTCGCTGACGGATGGCCCTTCGTTATTACGATGCTCCTCTCCCGCCGGGGTCTTGGGCAATTTCTTCTCCTCAGAGTCTTCACCATCTTGCACCTCTCCATCGTCTTCATCATCCGATTCGACTTCTCGCTCCTTTCCTTTCCCTTTGATCTTAGGTACGGGATCTGACTCCTGTCGTTGTTGACGCAGTAAAGCAGGTTCTTCAATCAAGATCTTCCCTTTGGCGTCGTGTTGGGCCAGTATATCCTTAATTTCGTTAACGTGTTGCTGAGCGTCCTCTTCGGCATCCTTCAACGCTTCCAAGGAGTGCTGATACCGCTTCATGTCGGTGTCGACCTTTTGAAGAAGCCGCGCCGTTCGAAGAATGGATTCGACCTGCATGAGCGTTTAATACCAATTGTCGTAGCAGAAGAAGTTCTACGGCACCTTAAGCTTCCAATCTTCCATGAGGTTTCTCCAATTTTGATCTCTCATGGACTGAAGTAGCGTTGGGCGTCCATATCCGAGCTAAAAGCGAAAGAAGGAAAACCTACTTGCAGAACGGCATCCATGGTCTTCAGTGCGCCTGGCTTAAAGACCCCGTCACCCTTCCTCTGCAGCTGACCAACCTACATAACCCGTCAGTTTGGCAGAGACTAATGGAGTTGTTTCGATGACGAACTTGGGGGTGGGTACAGAAACCTCGCAGACGACGAATCGAAGTCCGGAGTAGATTGCTGTTTACCGCCCACCCGTTGGAGGCGGCAACTCCTCTGGCGTCGAGGCCCAGTTCCAGGAGGATGGCTTCAAGGTTCTGGTCGTATACCTGGACGGGGTAAGCTGCATAACGGTATCGACAGAGCCCGTGAAACGTACATGACGCTCGACTTTTCCCAATTCGATCCCGACCAGATATCTGGTCTGCGGTGGAATTGTGAGCTCGGAAGTGACGTTCGCTTTCGCAGTCCTGGACACACAATTAGGTCATGTTGTCGTGTGGAGGGTGCAGTCATACCGTATTCCGTAATGCTGCAGGAATGCAGTGAACTCCATGGAAAATCCAGGTTTTAGTAACCTGTTCCAGAGCTTGAGGCCACCAACTAGCTGGTCGATTCGTAAGAATCTATGATGGCATTGTAAACATATTGTCAGAGAGGCGAAAAAGAACAATACTACGGACTTCAAGACATGGATCAAATCCGACATCTGCGCTTTGGCGGGCGTACCAGACACGGCCAATGAAGAGAGACGAGGGATAAGGGAAACCATTTCTCTGGTAAGTTCAGCCTGTTAGATGAATATACCCGAGATTGTGCTCGACAAACTTACGCAGCATTGCCTCCTCCGACCATCTGAACCTCGTCCATGACAACACGCTTCCATTCGACCATGACCAAAGGGCTCCGTGCGCGACCAGATGGGCAATACGCAGCATCGTCTCGTCGAGGACGGTCAGGTGCGGGACGTGCGACGTAGATCTCAGACCGGAGGACATTGTACGTGATTAATACCACGTCAAACTGGTGCACGTAATCGCACCATTCCAATAGCTCGCCGGCATCATCGCGGGTGCTAGGAATGCTGGCTTCGTCGACATCCATGTCATCATCGTCTCCAGCGGCCTTGCCCTTGCCTTTCGCCCTTCGCTTCTTCTTGGGCTTGTCGTCGAGCGCGAGCTTTGCGAGGCGGTCAAATTCCCTCTCGTTCTTCAGGGCGGGGACTTTGAGTTTGGTCCAACCATCGTATATCAATACCTTGAGGGACGGGGCATGAGTTGCCAACTCGTCTCTCCATTGCGAAATGAGCGATGGGGGTGTGACGATAAGAGTTGTCTGTAGATAAAAAGCCATCAGGACATGGCGGTGCTTATGGAACAAAAAAGGTTTACCTTGACCGCCTTCACGTCTAAACAGGCGATAGGGTCCCATCGCGTCAGCGACGGGTTCCAATCCGGTAGTGCGGGGTTCAGCAGAATCAACGAGATCGTCTCGACGGTTTTACCCAAACCCGGCTCCTCAGCCAACATACCACCGTAGATGTCAGGCATTGCTGGCTGTTCATCCACGAGTTCGCCGCTGAGAAGATTCAAAAACCACATATGGTTTCCCTCTTGGATCTCTCTCCAGAAAGAAAAGTTGTGGTTTGAGGTATCAGCGATGACAGTGCCGTCTTCTGACACTGTCATTCCTTCCTTCTGAAGGAGCCAGGCTACACTTCGACGCTGGAACGGCAGGAGGGTGGGTCGCAGGAGGTCTGGCTGCATTGTATCCATAGCCAGTTTTGACGGTAGTTCTGGAGCTGGTCCCATGATGGTATAGAAGGTCGAAACAGTGACAGGATCGCAAACAGCGGTTGATGCAAGTCCCCCGTCAACATACACGGCATGAAGAAGACGCCGCTGAGCATCTTCCAGCGCTATCCGTTGAGCCTTCTTCGAGACAACCTTGGGTGGCTCGAAATCGAGGGTTGCAGGAAGAGCTAAGGAGACGGTTATCTCGATGTGTAAAAGGAATGGAAGGTCTGGACGCTCTGTGTCAGTGGAAGCATTTGGCTGGATTTCAATGGTGAGCCGCGCATCAAGATGAACCTTGCCAACCGACTGGAGGGTGCAGCATGCTGACAGAAAGTCCGATGAAGACGACAAATCGTTCGAGTCACCGTCGATCGTGAGAGCGGGAACGAGAAACAGCCACATGTCCCCCTCAATGTGAAAACGAGGGTCAGCTGAAACGCCCACAATACGACCATTGTGTTCTGCGAGACGTATTTCGCCCAGGTCTATGGCTTTCGGAGAAGTTAAAGGTTCGCTTAACGAATACAGGAGCTCTTGCAATGCACCATCCTCTTCGTCCCACTTTTTACGTGTCTTAATGTCTGGGGTAGCGGAGCCGCTGTTCGGTGGTTTGCCCTTCAGGTACTGGATCTGAATGGTATGATGCAAGATAGGAACGAGTTCGGTTTCTGATTCGGTGCGGTTTCGTAATCCATAAAGACCAGGATACTTCTCAGCAACCGCCGAGCTGGCGCTTTCGTCACTTGAGTCTCCCGTGTCATCGTTTTCCTGCAGACCGAGTGATGTCCGCGTCCTTTTTGTTGCACGTGTTGTCGGAGAGGATTGCCTGGACTTTCGTTTTCCTGCCTTCACCGGAGCATCCGGGTCTTCCCCCGACGCGATAGACGCGATTTTCGTAACGAGAGGGACATTCAAATTGGGCCTAAAGGCTTGAGTGGAGCATGTCGACCATACGCTGTTAGCTTGAGTGCGGATGGACGCGGTGTGGCTAGACGATGTATTTCGCATGTAATTCGAAGTCTGGTCCCAAAGGCGCGAAGCTAGCAGCAGATATGTGGGTGATGATGGTGGTACAGAGGAAAGGCGTGTTTTATTGCTATTGCCGAAAGGAGTACGCGAGGGAATCACGGCTAAATCATGTGATACGTGACTCATTAGCAGACGATACGCGTCGCGTCGCGGCTCCGACAATCGAATTATCTACTCCTCAAATAGACATACATACCTAGGATCTAGACAACAAAAATTCGAAAACATCAAAACGCACTACATGGACGCCTTGCCTCGCGGCTCATAAGGAAGAAGCAAGGCCAAGCTTCCAGCGAAAATGACCAAAGCGCCGGCAACATAGACAGGAACCTCACTGGTCAAGTCAGCGTAGAGTGCGATTATTGGCGCCTGTGGGAATTCCGCAGGTTATAACAAATAAATTTCTTGCAAGGGCAAGAAAACATACCATGAGGCCGAAGACGCGAGAAGCGGTGGAGACCAATCCGTTACCAGTACCTCTATCTTTGGCAGGGAATATCTCTGGAGAGATGGCATATAGAACGCCATACATGATCTGAGGCGCACAATTAGCATTATGTAAATCAAATTCCTACAGCTCCAACGTACATTGCTGTTCAAAGCATACCCACAGTTCCACCCGAGCAGCGCATTACTGCTTCGGGCGGTTGTGCTAGCGAGCAAAAAGGCCCCGGTGAGCCCTATCTTTCGCGAGGGGTCGTTGAATAATGAAACTCTGGAAAGAGAAGGTGTCACTTGCCCGATGAAAGTGCGAGAGCTCCCCTGCGACCGAGGAAGGGAATTTCGACGAGGATTGTCGCAAGGAAAGCTGAAGGAATACCGACAACGCTGATTATCAAGTTCTGCAGCACTTTTCATGAGAAGGATATCGCGAGATTTGTTCGATATCCTACATTGCGATAGGTAATATTCAAAGATGCGTCGCCGAAACGCGCTCCGCGGTTGACGAGACTATGAGACCGGTAAGGACACACCAAAAAGATAGAAAAGGCGAAGGCCCCTCACAGATAAGGAAGGAAGTTGTTATACAACGTCGATGCCAGTCCAATAATACCTACACATATGGATTAAATTGTTTGAACATTGGGAATGGTATAGTAAAGACAGAACTTACCCCAGACCGCGATCAACAGGCTCGTCGAATAGGCAATCTTCGGCGTTCGGAACAGAGACTTGATGTGCTCGAATGTGTATACTGACGTCCTGCTCAAGATTCCCTTCGGACTCTCCTTCGTGCCGCTTTCACCATGCAATTTCCCAACAGATGCCAGTTGATCCACAGTCAAAGTTGACGTTGTGCCATTATACTCCGCAATTTTGTGGATGATTTTCACGGCATCTTCGTCTTTGCCCTTTCCGACGAGGTACCGAGGACTTTCCATGAGATCGAAGACGAAGAAGCGAATGCTCCAGAGAAGGATGGTAAGACCGCCTAGGGCAAAGAGCAGGTACCTCCAGCCCATGTTTTCGGAACGTTGGCACGTCGTAGCCGTGAATGAACAAGAAAAGTTCGCGATCAAGGGCCAGGCGATCTGAGAGAGACTCATGAACAATACACAATCAGGAGATGGTGGGAAGGACGGACCAAATTAACAAAGATTTGTCCTAGACACCAGAACACTGACATGAAGGTCAACAAGTACTGATGCGATGCCGGAGCGAGATCTGCAAAATAGTTGGGTCAAGGCTCTTTCTCGGCGATGGGTCTGGAGCTTTACCCAAGAAAACGGCAGAATCAACGGGCAGGTTGCCTAAGAATGGTCTGTCAGCATAAGCCAGAGGTAGAGAGGATGAAACCCACCTCCAACGCCAACACCCATGACAGCCAGCAGGGAAGCCACAGTAACGAAATTCGGCGACCCCCCGGATGCAAGCCCGAAGACGCCTGCAATGAACAACGTTACGTTGAAGCACAATCTACATTGATTTGTCAGGAAAAAGAGGAGTCAGGACATGACAGGGAGGGAAACACTGACTTTCTGCCCCAGATGTCGCAGCCAAGTCCCCAAAATATCGCTCCGACCAATAAGCCAGCATTCACAGCCAAGCTAAGGAACGGAGGGTTGAACTTAAACTCAGCGACGATTGGTGCGAGAACTAATCCGGTGATGAGCTATTCGTATTTATGAGAACTGAATATGCGGAGGTCAGAAAGTCGTTAGGGGAACTCACAGGCCAGACGCTATCTCTGTGGAATACCAAACGTCAGCAAGGATGAGAAGACATTCTGGACATGGAACGTACGCGAACCATCCAAAGCCGGCGATGAAAAAGAGCATGTACTGATCACACAAAATATTTGAGAATTGTCAAAACTGATGAGATCGCGCGGGCTCACTAGCACTACCCACCTGATACTTGCCCATCCCCAACTCCTGTACAGCACGGTTTAAAACCAAGGTTTTTGCATGATACACTGGATCCAAGACACCATCTTCGTATAGGTTCTCTACAGAGTTATTGGCAGTGCCGACGTCAACAATAACATCCACCTTCTCGTCCTGCCGATCGGGGGATTTGCGGGACATGGCAGGCTCAAAGAGGCGACTTGGGAGAATGGAGGAAAGGAAGGGACGTATACGGTTCTTCGCGAAGCTCGGGCTTTAAATAAGTAGTCATCCGGGGTTATTGAAGTCCTGGCGGCGCAGCTCCTCCGTTGAACGGGATGGCGGAGGAATGTGATTGGCTCTTCTCAAAGATTGACAAGCCGATTGGCTGAATAGAAAGTCTTATCATACATATGGTTGAGCCGAGTAAGTAGATAGGATCGCAAGGACAGAGGAGAGGCGCTTCTCAGAGGCGCTGTGGAAAGATAAGCGCCTCATGATTCCTTTCAATCATAAAGAATCTGAGACTCGAGCCTTAGGAGTCGGTTACCTATCGATAGCGCATATAGCAATTGAGAGGGCACCGAGCTATTGACCCCTACCCTGGTGGTGTGAGCATGTAAGTTGGACGGACGGAAGGCTGTCTGGCAAATAATTCAGTCGAACGACGCCTCAGGAGAGTCAGAAGAGGTCGAGCCTTCTCAAACGCCCAACAAGATATTAGGTAATACATACTGCGATTCGAGGGAATAGGATTGCTATTGACCGCTTTCGCTGCCAACTGCGAGCCTTGCTGCCTCCTTTTCACGGCGTTCTCTTCTTCGTTTTACGTCCCAATTGTATACCCGAGCCGTGTTCACCTCCATAATGGTTGTTTGCTCCCTCAAAAATTCGAGATCCTCGATGGTGTTATTCAGACTTGTCTGGGCTGCTTCCAATTTCGATTTAAGCAGGACGACGGCGGCCGGTAGTTTGTAGGATAGCATGACGTTTGCCTAGAAAGAAATCAATTCTTGGCCAGACAAAGTTCAGGTTCTGAGACGCACTCCAAGCCACAAGTAGACTGTATCAGTATCTTCGAGCTCAGCTTCAGCATATAGTGTATCGTTCAGCTCGAACGTTGTCCTAAGAGGTTTTGGCGATCCCTCCTCTTCTAGATCATCCATATCATCTTCGTCTTCATTGGCTTTGCTTTTGCCTTCCTGTATCGATAAGTCACATCGACGCGCAATCGCGAACAGAACTTGACTCACCCTCCTCTCCTGAAGGTACTCAACCATATCCAGAGTCTTTTTTATGTCAGGTATTTTCTCCTCTAGGCTTGCTCGACGTTGAGTTAGGCTCGAGTCCATATAACGGTACTTCCTGTGCTTCCAGAAAACAACCATCTTTATTGGAACCAGGCACACTGAAGAGGGAACGCGTACGCCAGTGCCTCCTGGAAGCTTGCCAGAGTTGATTCGACGTCTCCGTCAGGCCCGCCCATGTATTCATCGACGTTTGCCTATCAACTTTTAAGTAAGACTTGTGCAAAGTCAGGGCGGACACGTACGATAAACGGGGCCTTCGGGATGCCACGAGGGTTCTTTTCTTCAGAGAACACAGATTTGATTTTAGGAGGCATTGTGAAGGATTGAAAGACGTGGGTAGAGTGTACAGTTCGCGTTCAAGCTGCAAAACCCCAAGCGGACCGGCGACGACCGGTCGGAGTTTGAAACCAGAAAGGATACAAAATCGATTTATTTTTTCATCTGTTCAAACTTCCTCAGGTCTGCACTTAACACCGTCTCATCTCCTCAGATTCTAATTCTTGTTTATATTCTTTAAACTTAGCCCATGTCGCGGTTAATCGTCAAAAATTTACCGCCATATGTTACGCCAGCAAAACTCAAGGAACACTTCGAGCGGAGAGGTGCTCCTTCAGGAACTCTTACAGATGTGAAAGTTTCTTCAAAGCCTGATGGGACCTCTCGAAGGTTTGGGTTTGTTGGATTCAAATCCGACCAGGAGGCTCTTGCTGCACAGAAATACTTCGATCGGACCTTCATCGACTCGACGCGGATTAGCGTCCAAGTTACTGAGGTTTATTCATTCTCCCTTCACTCTTCTTAGCTGACACTTTTTCAGGGGGCGAAAGGTGCACCCGCACCCCGTCCCAACAAGCGTCGGCGACTTGACCCTCCAGAAGCCAACTCGAAGGCCCATTTAGCTCCTACATCTGACCCAAAGACATCCAAGTCAGTGCAAGCGCCACACTGGACGGGAAGCTTGAAGAATTCATGAAGGTCATGAAGCCGAAGAAAGGACCTGCTTGGGCCAACGAAGCTGCATCTCAACCGCCTGTCATTTCCTCAAATGACGAAGCCATGCCAAGCCCCGAACCTGAGCAGCCGCAAGGGGAGCTCAGCGATCTCGAATGGATGCGACAACGGATGTCGAAAGCTGTGGACGAGAAAGAGCAAGTGTTCGAGCAATCGGATGACGATGAACCACAACTTAAAGCATCAAGCACTGTGAGTTTATCTTCGACACTTTTTGTTGAACCCTCCTCACCTTTGCCTCAGCAGGAACCCGCACCGGAACCGGGTACTTCAAAAGACCCCACGAAGGAAACAATCCTCGAGACCTCTCGTTTATTTGTTCGAAATCTGTCCTTTGCATGTACCAATGAAGAGCTTGCGGACCTTTTCAAGCCATTTGGCGAGATATCTCAGGTGTGTTTCATCTCCTTTCGGACATCCCAGGCATTTCAGTTTGCGAGCGAGATGAAAAGATAAATAGGGACATCAGACTCATTACGAGCATGTTGATCTCCTGTGGAATATTGATAGTAGACATTTTCTGACTCTTCTGCAACCTGTCTGGCTTGCTCTCGTACTTGCGCTGACTCCTCTTCCTCGCTAGGTAAACAAACATCCACACTTGTTTTTCTGTGCAAGCGAGGTTGTCGAGATGAACAACTCCATAGGGACATCAGACCGTCAGGAATGTTGAGCCCAGGGAAATCGATAGTAGATACTGATTCTTCCTCTTTTTGCCGTCCTTGCGCACCATGAGAAAATTCATCGCTAACCCTTAATCGATAGGTCCATATACCCCTTGATTCGACAACGAAACAGCACAAGGGAGTTGCCTACGTCACTTTTGCTCGACCAGCGAATGCCCTAGCTGCTTATGAGGCACTCGACAAGAAGTCGTTCCAAGGTCGACTATTGCACATCCTGGCTGCCGTCGATCGGAGACCAAAGGTGGAAGTTGTGGAGGGCGAGGGTAGGAAAAAGACGGTCAAAGATGAGAAGGCGGCGAAGAGGAAAGCAGTTGCAGGCAAAGAGTTCAATTGGAGTATGCTTTACATGAATGTACGTACATCATCGCCGTCCAATAAATCCGGTTTCGCCCATCTCATCAACTTCATTTGGTAGAGCGATGCTGTTGCCTCGTCCATCGCTGCACGGATGAACATCGATAAATCGGATATCCTAAACCCGGAAGCTGGAGACAACGCCGCTGTGAAACTCGCACTCGCGGAAACACATATCATTCAAGAAACTAAGTCGTACCTGGAAAGCGAGGGTGTCCTGCTGTCCTCGTTCTCGTCGAAAGCACGGTCAGACACGACGATTCTCGTGAAGAACATCCCGTATGGAACGACAGTAGAGCAAATTCGCGAACTCTTCGAACCTCATGGGACACTCTCGCGGGTCTTGGTGCCTCCGGCTGGCACGATGGCCGTCGTGGAATATGAAAGGGCAGACGAGGCTGCCAAGGGGTTCCGCGCTGTGGCGTACAGGCGATTAGGGAACACGATCATCTACTTGGAAAAAGGCCCTCTCGGAATGTTCAGCGACAGTCCCTCATCGTCTCAAGCCCCAGAATTATCAACAAAGGTCACTGGTCCATCAACAGCGGTTACTCCAATACGAACATCGGACCAAACTCTCAACGACGATGAGAACGGAGAACAGAGTATACACGGCGGCACTACCCTCTACGTGAAGAACCTCTCGTTCGCAACGACTCAAGATCGGCTCACGAAGGTCTTTTCACACCTACCTTCATTCTCGTTTGCGCGGGTCCAGACGAAGCCCGACCCGAAACGCCCCGAGGCACGCCTCAGCATGGGCTATGGGTTTATTGGGTTCAAGGATGGTGAGGGGGCGAAGAAGGCGCTGAAGAGCATGAATGGCTTCGTACTAGATGGGCACTCCCTGAATGTTTCGTTTGCTGGCAGGGGTACAGAAGACGCGAAGACGCGGGATACTACTGGCTCGTCCTCGCAGAGCCGAACAACGAAAATGATCGTGAAGAACGTCCCCTTCGAAGCTACGAAGAAGGATATCCGGGATTTGTTTGGGTACATCGTCGTCCATGTTCGTCGCTGCCATTGGTCTGATTCCTTATTTTATTAGATCGCATGGGCACCTCAAGTCCGTTCGCCTTCCGAAGAAATTCGACTCTCGCTCAAGAGGTTTCGCCTTCCTCGAATTCGTGTCGCGCCACGAAGCGGAGAATGCATATGCTACCCTTCGACATACACATTTGCTTGGTCGGCACTTGGTCTTGGAGTGGGCAGAGGAAGCTGAGCAGGATCTGGATGTGCTCAGGAAGAAGGCGGGCGTAGGATATGGAGGAGGTAAGGCCCTGCCTGGGCAGAAGCGCAAGTTGGATTTAGGCACGACGGGTGAAGAGGATGTTGAAGACTTGGAGGCATAACTTTGGACTGGAGCCCTGCGTCTGTTCTTTCATGCACCGTAAGGGCTGGCTATCTTGCTATGAACCAGTCTTCCGAACCAGGTATTCTGGTTCTATTACAATCCTCGCTGTCATCCCTTATCTTCAAGAGAATTTCTGGATAGCCACGTCGTCAACCTAGAAATCTATGATTTCATCGTGAAGAACTCAACCCGAAACTACATTTGTGGCAAATTTGTCCAGATTGATCGAGGCGGCTGGAGTCTGGTTATACCGCCCTCTTTGTAGCAAACTGGGAGACTGTTTTGGAAGCTGGGCACTCCGTCGACATAGCATTTCGTTCATTGTCAAGCGACATTATAACTCTAAGCCTCGACTCCAGTTGCATAAATGGGCCCCTTGATCAATGTTCAATACCACCATTTTATGAAAGGTAAGTTTCCTATAACTTTTTTTGCATCTGACCGCGCCATTCAGATCACACATGCTGTTTGACTGCTGCTCACAGCAGCTGGATGCTTGCTGCATGGCAACTTGTGAAACAACACGCCATCATGGCAGCCCATTACCTCAGACCTGATTGCATCTCCTGGAACAAGCAGCACAGAAGTTGAGACCGATGATCATGTCAGGGTTGCAGTGCCGACTGTTCAACGCCCGCATATCGCGCCTCGACTTGCACAAACAGCCTCAAATGCCGGGGATGGATATTGGCAGTGGGTCCCTCAAGGTGCACACACCGCACCAGACCCACTTGAACCCTCGTCAGGTCATCGAAGATTCACCCCGAGGCGTCACCCTTCATTTCCTTCATGTCAGGATCGTACGTCTTGCTGTGGTACTTTGTTTCACTCATATTCTTGCAAGTTTGCACTGCTGTCATGGTTCTGTATATCCAGCCTCCATATAAATGAATCCCAACTCCTGACCCAACAGGCGCAAGCATCTGTTCGTTGGCCTGACGAAGAAACGAGAGTACGGTGGTATTGATCAGGCCTAGGTCACTGTTCTGGTCTTTACATAACATTTCTCGCCTACAAATTGTGTCACGACATGGGCCGCCTACATTATTGTACAGCTTTGCTGGCTCAATGACAAACGAGAAATCATCTTGCTGTGGACGACGACATGATGGTCTTTGACGTGTTTCGGCGTTTTCGAGAGCGGCCAGGCTCCCACGACGGGAATTGGCTTGGTTACCGTGACGAGCGGAGTCAATTATAGCTGCTAACCTGTAAACCATCCTCCGTTTCGAATTCTGCCGTCCTCAACCTCAGTGGGGCGCTCATCATGGCGACTTATACGCCCTCCCCCCCTCTACGAACTAAACGCAACTTCAAGGCCCTCGTGCTCCCTGATGATCCTATTATACCGGCAGGGGGTGATCCAGTTGCCACAAGACCTGCGCCGGTCCCCGCAGGCAAACGACGGCCACCACCACTCGGTGACGACCAAGCTGTCAAAGGTTTTGTTCTTGATCCTACAATACCTGTCGAAAGCCCGGCAACAGGTCGACGCAGTGCAATACAGGCAACATTAACAAACACGCTGGCGAAATTAGACCTGAGGAAGGATGCACCGCGGCTAGACCTCAAGAACGAGGATCTGAAGAAGCTTGCGGATCTCGGTCAAGGAAATGGAGGAAGCGTGGTGAAAGTAGAGCACATCCCGACGGGAACTATCATGGCAAAGAAGGTTGGAATTCTCCTCTGGATCGTCCTCGGCTCTAACAGCGGGGGTTGTTTTTTCATGTAGATCGTCCTAATTGACGCGAAGTCCTCAGTCCGGAAGCAAATACTTCGTGAACTACAAATCATGCACGAATGCCACTCAGAGTACATCATTTCATGCTTTGGATCCTTCCTTGCGGAACCGAATATCTGCATCTGCATGGAGTTCATGGACAAGGGTTCATTTGACGGAATCTACAGAAAGATTGGCGCCATCGACATTAACGTCGTTTGTCTAGTGGCCCACTCGGTGCTGGAAGGGTTGACGTATCTGTACGACGTCCATCGGATTATCCATCGAGGTGAGTTGCAATGGCCTTGCCCTACATTTGATCTCAGCTCTTTCAAAGACATCAAACCGTCCAACATCCTGTTAAACTCAGAAGGCTCGATCAAGTTGTGCGATTTCGGTGTGTCGGGCGAACTCATTAACTCCATTGCCAATACTTTCGTCGGAACGTCAATTTACATGAGCGTGAGTCGATCGTCTTCTTACCCTCCCCCAAAACGCGTGTTTACACTCGTCTTTCAGCCGGAACGTATCCAAGGTGCCGAGTACTCGGTCAAATCGGACGTCTGGTCACTCGGCATCACTCTCGTGGAGCTCGCAACTGGCAGCTTCCCTTTCTGTGATGTAGAAGACGACGACGACAATCTCTCCGACCTCGACGATCAATACGGTACCACACCAACACACCGCGATTCTTTCGCGTTCAACAAGAAGAAAGAGAAAAGGCTTAGCAAGCGACGTAGTGAAGGGGCTGATCTGCAAGGCGAAATGTCCTTGAGTATCATCGAGCTCATGCATCAAATCGTACGAGAACCCGCACCAAGGATAGGACCCCAATTTTGCGAGGAAGCACAAGAATTTGTGGATGCTTGTCTGGCGAAAGACCCTGATGAGAGACACAGTCCGAAAACACTCTTGGTATGACTGCATTTGGATCGTGATGCTCTGGGACTGAATCTTCTGCAGGAATACCGATGGATGGACGACGCGAGAGATTCGACTTTTGATCTAAAGACGTGGACGAGCACATTCTAGTCACCATCCTTTCGTTCCCTTCAGCACCCATCATCACCTGCTCTCCTGTGCTATTATCTGGGGTCCTTTGTGCCATACCTAGGTGAGTCCAGTGAAGTCATTCACCGGAGGTGTTTGTGGTAATGACGTCCATTAAAGCCTTTCGGCCTGTAATTTCCGTAAGCCCCTCGTCCCAATCCACTTGATCTTGCAATGCATATCGATATCCTGTGCTTTGTATGTACCGCACATTTATAAGGTCATTTCTTCCTCAGTTGGAACCCCGAATCCATGAAGGCTGTGCACACGTCGGGATGATCTACTATATCAGGATTCAGCAGGTTAGCATCAAAACACGTTCGGGTACGAAGGCTCCTTATTTTTGATTGCCATGCTTCAGGATATGTTAGGATTCGTGTTGGTCTCCCCTCGTGTGGTTTCCGAACAGCCACACACTTTGATCCGTTCTTGTCGTCAACTCCGATGCCATCAAGTGGCTCCGCCTGCAGCGTGGCGTGCCAACTCGGGCGTCGTAACTGAGTCCACTGGCGTCCTGGCTTAAGCCTCGGGGCTATGTATATATGTTGCACAGGAGGGCACACCCCTTGAGGTGAGAAGAGATACTTTTGGTGAATTGTTGGGCCACCGTTGAGAAACTCGTAATGCTGTGCATCAGCGATATCATCGACTATGTTTTTGATGAACAGATGTACAATATTCTCAAGTCCGGATGTGGCTTCTCCGACGAGGCCCCGTCATTTCGCAGTTCATATTTCATCAGAGTGCGAATCAGGGGGCTCTCAAGAGCGTATGCACACTTCGATCACTTTCTTCGAAAACTTCTGGCACGACGAGCCCGACAAGGAGTTGATCACTTGCCGAAGTCTTAAAACCTAACACACCATCCCCCCAGGCTGCGTGTGGCAATCATTTGCGGTACTTATGATGACACAAGATGAGGTGCTCGAGAAGACCTGCTGACAGAATCATGAATCATGACAGCCACGAGTCCAAGAAGTCTGCTGGCAATGTTATTTCCGAGTGATTGACTTATCCATCAAGTCGGCATGCTGGCTAACTGTTGTGTTCTGACCAAAACTAGCGCTCAGAAGCAATGACGCGAGATTAATTAAATTGTCCAGAGTCCAAACAACTTTGCAGCCTCACTTGGTGTATGAAATCTTCATAGGTGTTCTAGGCAGCAACGTCGCTGTTTCAGCAGTAGATTATCACATACTTTTTGCAGCTCGGCGAGTTATCTGTGTAGAAGATCGATGCTATGGATCGAAGGATGCGAAGTGTGAAAGTTAAATATCGAGTACCCTTTGTCATGAATCAATCCTAGTCATCACAGCCACCGCTTATTTCTCCCCAGGAAAAGGAAAAGCTGTGCGACGCAGGCATTTCTACGTGTTTGACTGGACGCAAGTATGGTAATATGAATACCGCGTTGCCTCAGATGTCCGATCGAGGACTCAGCAACTTTGATGGCGGAGTTCGCGAAAAATTTCCTTCTTAGGTAGGTGTTTGCGTTGAGGCGCATCACGCGCTAGTGCGTTCCTGTAGCGTGCATTTCGTGGGCATCATCGGTAGTTTCGAGTCGGTATATCATAAGCTAACGGTTAGTTCCCGCTGCACATGGGAACTTTGAACAGGCAATCTTAGACACTGTAGGTGTCCTCCGAGTTAATCCATAGACTCCTGAGAGTAACCGAAGGGTAATTGGGCAAATTATGCAAATCCTCTATTTCAATCCCACTCTGTCATCTTCATGGTGTCTTCGCAGCACAACCTCCTATTTTACCAACTGCCGACTACCCACTTGGAGTGATGGATAAGTCTATCTGGACCTGAACACAGCCTCTGGATTTAGCCGATGGTGCCGCAAGGAAGATCGGGCCTTGAGATTCCACGATTCAAGGCGTAAGATCTCTGTCAGTGCTGATCCTATGTCCAGTTTGGATACCCGTAAGGATTCCTGAAGATTCTTGAAGATCGCGATTCTCCTTTCAACAATGCTTGATAATAGTCGGGAATTGAGTTAAAATGTGTGATAATAAATCTATGGGAAACGATCTCCACGCAAGGTGAATTCATTTCTACCTCAATCTGACAATCGGACACGAGAGGAACACGAGAGTGCGTCTCTCCTTCGTTGTCCAAGGGCTGTGCCAATGTCACACTTGGCGTCACAAGTCAAGAATACGCTTTGCAAGTTCTCGCAGAGCTTTCTGCTAGCTTTCTGAGGACAAGCAGGCGGGTGGTTCGAGGGTGGAATCGACCTCAAATCTAGTGACGTAATTTTAGTCACCTCCTCAGCGGTCGACAGGGCGACCTCGTTCCCTTCATAATTAGCCCTACTCCAAAGGATTCGGGGAATTGTCGCTCAAATGGGCTTGAAAGGATTTGTGATGGTTTGTTTACGAACTTTCCTTGCACCTCGACCAAAGGACGAAAAGAAAGGTTGAACCGACGTACACAAGAAAGAAATATCGAGGACTTGGAAAATATGACTACCTGTACGTCCAAAAGAAAGAATGAGCGCTCACGCATTTTATAATGTATACTCAGCGCCTTATCAGCCCAAGTGCGGCAGGCACGGGATTCAGAATCCGGATAGCAACCGCATCTTCGTTGAATCCAGAAGGCTTGCCGATTTTAAGTTGGGGAATACGCATCACAGCTCTTTCCCTTCGCCCCCGTCCCTTCCTACCGTTATATTTTATCCCTCCTTCATCTCCCTCCTCCCTCCTTCCTACTACCCCTTAACGTCGTTTCCTTTACTTCCTTGCCTTATCGGGAAAAAGGGTACCTGTGCACCCCTAGAGAAGCCTGCCATCCTCCTACTTACACCGATCGTTTATTGGACGTCTTCGACCGAATTAAACGACCGAACGTGGCTCATTGGAACAACGTGAAATCAAAGAACTAGGAGTTAGGGACCACACACAGTGAGTAGTCGATACACGCGTCCGAGGCCCTGCGTTGCCGCGGCCTGCACGTAGGCATCCTGCAGCTGCGCAACGTACCATTTGATTCGTGATACAACCGTTGGATTCTCCATTTGCTATCATAGGGTGCTTTTATATTTGCTAACGAACCGTCTCTTCACCCTTCCAGATTTTCTACTCTTGTGTGCCACTTGGGTTGCGCCATCGATCCAGCGACATGGACCAGCAGCTCGATGCTTCGTCGACACAGCAACCACGTTCTTTTGGGCATTACATTGATTCAAATCCATCGTCAACGCATTCATCGCCACGCACGTACCCCGCCGATCTAGAGCCATACTACCCACCAACCCAGCATGCCTCGAATGTGGTGCATTCGCAAACATACCCTATTCCAGCGGGAGTCAGCGTACACCCTTATATTCCAGCCCAACAGCGCCGACCGCATCCAATGCAAAATAGCCGAAGTTCATCGTATTCGTCATATCCAGGACCTGTGCCACTCCAGGTCAGCACATCGACATCTTCGGCTCACGAGCACGACCCCAACGAACGCACCGCGAGGCCTGGGAACGCCCATCGCCATGCCCAGTTCCATTCTACCATTGCGCAAGCTACCAGCTCTTCGACACCTTCTGCTTCTACGTCGAACTTATCGCAAGCAGCGTCGACATCAGCCAGCGTTGGACCCAGCCAGAATGATGGTGGTGGAGATGGTGACGGGGCGGGCCAGCAGCATGAACCCTATGTGTCCTCGACGCCAGGAGTGCAAATGGGCTTGAGCCGACCGTTGAAGCCGATAGAGCAGGAGCGCCTGAACCACCTAGATCGGCTTAAATTTTTCCTCGCCACCGCTCCGTCAAGATGGGATTCCGCCGCCACGAATGCGAATCCGACAGGAATAACATCAGCAGGAGCCCAAGGTGAAGAATTTGGTGCCCCTTACTCATCGGCCATTGGCGGTTATGGCGCCGGAGCGGGATTTTCGGGGATGGGACTAGGATTGGAGCCAGCGTACCACCATGCACCGCCTCATCCAGCCCTCAACCGCTTCCTTCTTCCTAACCAGGAATTTGTTACCTGTGTGCTCTGGAATGGACTGTACCACATCACCGGAACTGACATCGTGCGAGCTTTGGTGTTCCGATTTGAGGTAGGTGACTCCCTTTTGCGATCTGACGGCGAGGCTGACAGGCACTGATCAGGCATTTGGACGACCGGTGAAGAACATGAAAAAGTTCGAGGAGGGCGTGTTCAGCGACCTGAGGAATTTGAAACCAGGAGTGGATGCATGCCTAGAAGAACCAAAGGTGAGTCTTGTTTTCATTGTGAATGGCAATGCCTTGGTTGGATGGGTGTTTGTCGGTTGCATTTTCAGTAGCCAAAGCATCATTGTTTGTCAAGACCTTTACTAACCATCGTTTCGTCTCTAGAGTCCTTTCCTCGACCTACTCTTCAAATACCAATGCATTCGAACGCAAAAGAAACAGAAAGTGTTCTACTGGTATGCATTTCCGACCATCATGATGGTTATCAATTATCTCACAATTATGTAGGTTCTCTGTACCCCATGACCGCCTGTTCCTCGATGCACTCGAGCGCGATCTCAAGAGAGAGAAAATGGGACTTGAGCCTACAACGCAAATTGTTGGGGAACCCGCCCTTTCCTTCACGTACGATCCGAAGAGAAGCCTCTACGAACAATTCAGCAAGGCTCAGGGTGCTCGTGAAGGCGAAGGCGAGCTCGAGACTGCGATTCGCATTGCCGAGAGATCGAAAGATGCTGAGGGTGCTGATGGGGGTGATAGTGCCATGGACGAGAGCGACGCAAGTGAGGTGGATGACGCCATGAGTGGTGGCGATGAAGGCAAGCGGCGACCATCAAGCGGTGCGAATGCCCTCCCAGGGTCTCAGTATCTCAATCTGTTCACGCTGTTCGAGGGCAGCCCGACTTACAAGCAACGGCGAAAGAAGGTGAACAAGTCAAGTGCTCTGAGCAAGAGCGGCGACGAATACGGGGATGAGTACGATCGTGGCCGTAGCATGGACCCCTCGTCGATACGGTATTCGAGCCAAAGCCGAGAACGGCGGCACCTCCCCCTTCCGCGACATCCTAGCATGATGGACGAGTTCGGGCCTAACTCAGAGTCGGCGAACACGAGCGAGGTGATGAGTGCTGCAGACATGTTCCTGAAGCAGGCCCGCGGCGAGCTGGTCCCTGCTGACGGTGTCGTTCGCAAGCCGAAGCCGCAGCCTATCGTCGGCGATGTTGGGGTTTTCTACAGCGAAGGTGCACCTTCAGATCAGCAATCGGCCCACACGAGAGGGAGGAGCTTCGATCTCGTGCGCGACGGGCCTGTGGCTCGTCCGCCGGGGAGCTTGTCTGCTGGGTACACCGCATCGACGTTCGCTGAGGCTGGACAGCAGCAGGTGGTGCACCCAGGTCAGATGGCTACGGGGATGGCGCAGTACGAGGCTGTTTCCGAGGATGGGAAGGTTCGGGCGTTCGTGTGCCCGCTGTACTCGTGTGGGCGGCTGTTCAAACGGATGGAGCACCTGAAACGACACCTACGGACGCACACGATGGAACGACCGTTCACGTGTAACCGGTGCAACAAGAAGTTCTCTCGGAGCGACAACCTGACACAGCACCTGCGGACACACGAGCGAACCTGGGCATGGATCGTTGGCTGGGAGCAGCGGCGGAAACGAGTGGATTGAAGGGGTCGAGGACGCCGACGCGAGCGGCAACGAAAGTGCAAACGAAGGAGGCAGTGTGGCGGACAGCGAAGATGACGGCGGCCTACACGGGATGACGAACTTCCACCAGATTCCTGGCGGGCTGGAAATGTTCGGGGAAGGGATGATGCCGATGGACTTTGTGATGTCGGAAGGTGCTGGGTTCCCGATGAACAACCTGGACGCGCAGATGTGCGAGGTGGAGGTGCCTGCGAGTATGCAGGACGTGACCGGGGACGAGGAGGGGCTGCTGATGCGTACGGCTGGACAGCCCTCTGGATCGGACAGCTTCTTCTCGAGCATGGGCTCCTCTGCGCCGAGCAGCGGGATGCTGTTCTCGTCGAACTCGGAGTTCACTGATTCGGCACAATGGATCGACCACCCGCAACCCAGCCCATTCAATGCTATCAGCGCGCCATTGCGGAACATGCGTGGTGTGCAAGGACACCAGTCGCATTCTTCAACGTCGTCGACGTCGTCTGGCTTTGGTGACGAGTACTCTGCGGCCTCGCTCTCAGCACCGTCACACAAGCAGTCGTTTGACCACTCGGTGTTGTATCCTCCCGGTATGATGGACAGTGTTGGTCCCATGAGGCGGCACCGGAGCATGACCCCCTCACTCATCCGCAACGGGGAGCCTATCCGACGACCGATGACATCGAACAGCAATGAGTTCCCTGGGACGAGTGGGTCACCAGCGAGCCTGAGCTCGTCGATTGGGAGCTCGCGAGGGTACCACCCGTACGCGTACAGTGGGAGCAACTCTCGTGCCAACTCGACGCACAACAGCCCGCGGGTGCAACCAGTTCCACTCGGCCCCGATTATGCGCCGATCAGGCGGTCGGACTCTCGAAGCTCGAACTACAGCACGAATGGGCTGAACGACCAGATGCGGCAGATGATGAGCATGGATCCGTCATCGTCGATGGTGGAGACGATGTTCCGGAGCGACTCGCCTGCATCATTCCATCAAACCGAGTCTCCAGCTGCGTTCAACATGGATTTACCTTTACAATACTCGGCGACTGGGCCCTTCATGCCATCACAACCCCAACCTCTCCATGCGTCGACCATGCCTGTACAATACCCCCAACAGCAGCAGCAGCAACAGCAGTTCGAGGGATACTACACTCAGCCACATGCGACGCTATAAAGCTTCTCAATGCACGAGCACACCACGTTTAACATACATTTCATGATCGTCTTTCCTTTTATTTATTGCTCTCGAGCGCTATCTATTATACGATCTTATCCCACGAGCATCCTCTTTGAACAGATCTTATTTATCTTCGTCCACAACTAATTTGCTCGAGCGAAATCTGATGCACGTCCTGCATATTATTTTCATCTTAATTATAAGCCTTATCCACGCTCTTTGTTGTTTTGTGCTGTCCTATTATTCCCTCTCACTGGGGCTTCAAGTGCAATTTAGTTTCATTGGCTTTAGGCTTCTGTCAATATGACTGTAAATTTAAAGACCATCCACGCAGTTGGGTGTACAACTACAAAGAATGGAATTCCTAAAGTTTGTTAACCTCGAGAGCTGAATTTGAGAGTGCTTCTGTAAGTACGGTAAGATATGATATGATAGTACACCGCTTGGACCCAGGGATGAGAATGAGTTTTGTGGTGGAGGTTGAGGGAGGGAGATCAGACAGCAGTGTTTGGCTCCGGAAGGCACAGCACACGAGCGTCGAGTGAGCTCGAGACGGTCAGTGGCGGAAATATTGTCGAATACTCCTGCGTCGCCTGCAATAACAGCGGCATAAATGACATGGAGCCAAGTATGTAAGCATAAAGGTCAAATTCAAGCCTTTTGTTGACTGTCAGAACTTCAACCTTTTCTAGCCCGACGCACTTCCTTATATAGTAATTCCGCCTGCAGGCTTCGTCCCAAAAAGGCAATCCCGCCGCACTTTCGTAGTCGCGCTATGATATCCTTTGTGTGTTGGGGCATCTGTTAATCAAGCACTCTCTCAAATATTTCCGAGCATTTCATCTCATCCTCAGCCAGCCTCAGCCTCAAAAAATAGCCTCCAGAAAGGGGCTCCGGGGGCCTAGAGCAGCTAAAATGGAGCTATCACGTAAGGATTTTCCGTGAGATTTCCTTGTCGGTTCCTTTTATGACGCTGGTGCCCCTCATCTTTCTCCCGAATTCTGTTCGCAGCGGCCGACGATAAGCCATGGCGTCTGGTGAGTCTTCCGCCATTTTCTTGACTTTTATGTGCGTAGAGGCGTTTATGGTACCGGCGGCTAGGGATGAATACAAAGCCGTAGCGGCAAGCGTGCCGGTGTAGCTCCTCGGGGAGTGGTAAAACGTTCAAGACTGGTTATGGTTGGGTTGTGACTTCAGCGGACCCAGCTTAGGTTTTTCTTCTTTCGACGAAGCCGCCTCGAGGCAAAGCTAAGCTCAGCTAAGCCACGCCCCTGCCACTTGCCTTTCGATTTATTCTGCTTGGACCTTATCTTTCGTTTCCCAATGTCGTCCTTACCGTCGGACCCCCCATTACCGCCGCCGACGTCCTCTTCTTCCTCTGGTTCATTCCCGGGCTCTTCTTCTCGTTTTCCATCTACTAATGCTCTGCCCTCAGTTACACCGACGCCGCCACCCACTTCGTCGTCGACAAGTGATGTCTCATCGACAATTTCCTCAACGAGCGAGAGTTCTTCCAGCTCCAGCTCCGACAGCAGCTCTTCCAGCAGCAGCTCCAGTTCGACGACATCGGAGACGACATCAGAGACGACTTCCGTACCGCCAACAACGCTGTCTACACCGTCTACAAGCGTATACCAGTCCGCATCTGTGTGAGTGTCTTGTCCTCGCCTTTGGCACGCTCTTTCCTCTCTTGTGGGGCCCGACCATGATTGCAGTGGTTGTTCTGCGACGTCATTTCCTCTCTCCGAGGTTTATCCGACGTTGCTCGCTGGCATGCTCGCTGGCGTGTCGCTGGCGTGCTGCTGGAGCACTCAGCAAAGGACGAGAACATCGAGGATGCTTCCGCTGTTATCGCTGGCATGATGAAGTCCATCTGGATTCCCATTGCATGCCCGGCGGATAACCGTCTCTCCCATTACAAACGATGCCTTTGCGGTCGGACTTGTTTTCTTTCGAGCTATCAGCGTTGGACGATGTTATGGCATAGGGCCTGAATATTTTTCCCCGCAGGTTATCGTCCGATGGACAGGTGTACACGACGATGATCACTGTCACAACGGTGATAGCACCTGGAACGGTGGTCACGCCTTCAATAAATACGCAGAATGAAGACTCGGGCAGCAACACAGGTGCCATTGTCGGAGGCGTGGTCGGAGGTGCGTGCTTTCCTTCTCTTGAACGACATTACGCTAATTTGGTACAGGTGTTGCTGGATTGGCGGCTATTCTTGCACTCATCTGGTTTCTGCTTCGGAGGCGACGATCGCACGACGAGTTCGACGGTAACTTCGATCCTGCACGTCTCGCGTCAGGCAAGGCAGGCGGGGGCGGGGGCGGGACACTTCCGCAAATTGATCTCGAAGACGAAGATGACGGCATGGGCGGGCGATTGAACACGGGGGTCAACGGAGGGGGCGTCATCAGCCCTTACACATACACTCCAACTCCACAAATGTCGCATGTCGCATCAGCACCTTTGGTCGGAACAGCTGCTGGCGTTGGAGCCGCTGCTGCGGCCGGAGCTGCCTACTCCAACGAGAAGCGACATGGGAGCCAGAGCCAGTACAGTAACGGTCCAAGCTCTGCATCATACTATCCACCAACTTCTACCGATGGCCATGTCCCAACTTCGCCCATCACATCTAGCGAGGGAGGGTACCCTCCAACTTCTATGACTTCATCGTCCGGGTATTATCCTCCAAATCAGTATGCTTCACCGTTTGGACGCGGGCCGTCTCCAGGCCCCAGTGTGGCGACTTCGCCGTATCACAACAGTGGCAGCTCCGACCATTCCTCTGCAGGAGCGCCTTCAGCCGCTGTTGGCGGTGTCTACAACCCGCGTAGCGCCAAGGAGATGGAGGCGATGGGCCTTCATGCTCAGCCCCACGTCACGAACCCTGACGAGGGCTACTACCAACCCCACGTTCAGCAGCAGATACACCATCATGGTATACACCCTGGCACACCAGTGCATCAAGCCTATCTCCAATACGGCCCTGGCGGTGCACCGGCTGCGACTCCACCAGTACTAGGCCAGCAGTATGGTGCCTCATCGCAAACCAACGTACCCGATACCTTGCGGCCAGGGCATTCTGCTGATTCGCACGCTCATTCCGGACCGGGCTCGTCTGCTGCTGGCGCTGCGGTGGTCGTTCATGAGGACGGCGGAAGGGTGGTTATGCGCAAGGGTGAGGCGGTCGACGAAGAGGAAGAGCAGCCACCCGAGATACCACCGACCTACGATAGCTTGCCCGCTGATGTGAGGCGTTAAACCCAACGAGCCCTACTGGGACGGGGACATAAGTAGCGTCGCAGCTGGCACACTTGTTCTTGAAGGATTGCGAGGAGAGAAAGTTTTTGCCACCGTTGCCTGGGCTTTGGCCTTTATCATCGACCATTATCATCGACCTTGTCCTGGCAACTTTCTATCTTCTTTTTTTTTACCTGACTTCCGATGCGTCTGTTGCTCACGTTTTCTCTGAGACGAACCAACCACCACGGCCAGCCCTTTTTTTTCACTGCCGTGCGCATGCCCTGTCTTTGGCGTTCGCTTCTGGCTATCCCTTTTAAATTGGGCCCAGCGCTATCTACCTTCATGTAACATCGAACCTTTCTGGTACGAGTTTCGACAGTGACGACCAAGGACTTTATATTGCGTTTCCATACAAGTAACTTAACTTCTGTAAGTAGTTGTATAACAGTTTCTACTTTACATTTTTGGAAGGGTAGAGCGCTAAAACGTTAGCGCGTTACCCGAAATAAGTACGTCATGACTGAGATTCCTCAGTCCCAAAGCTTTCAACAAACGTCGGAACCGATGACCCTACTACTTATTGGACGAGAGCTGGACGCGAACAACTGCTGACATCACAAGCGGCAGTTTGAAGATGCCCATGAGGGAACGCACAGGGCACGCGACAGACTTTCAGTAGAGGCAATCCGCCTGCGTTGTGCAAATGCCTTTCGGAGGCTCACTGCGGCCGGTCATCAAATATAAGGAATCGAGCTCCCTGCTACAGTCGAGTTTGAGCTTCTAACACGAGGTGAGTTCAACGCTTTCAAGCGGAGACAGTCGTCGCGGACTTACCACCACGTCGTGGGCCCCGTCCCCTTCCTTCTTCCATCTGCGGTCCGAGCCCTACTTCATAAACGCCGAACAATTGGTCGGACATAGCGTATACTGTTGAAGCAGCATGGCGTTAATCACGCATTTGTCCAATCGTGGTGAGTTGAACTATTTCTGATTGCGGTCATAGTCATTTCTTGAAGGTGATTCTTGCAGCAGGACGGGGAGTAAGTAGCTTGGCTGCAGCGTGGTGACTGTGGATCGCATCGTGATCCTATACATGCACTGGGTCTGGAATTTATATCGTGATTTTAAGGTTTTGGGAGCTTTTTGTTGAGAAAACACGTTCTGCGGCCGTCGGGCGATGGTGTGATGGTGAGAGTATCGTAGCCAAGCCGATGTCGAGTTGTCAAGGCTTTGCTGACCTTGCGATAAAAAATGCAGAACAATGCCCGGCCCTATCAACGGATGTCCAACTGCTCGGCAAGAGTATCAAGATGGGTCGATGCTACGCGCTGTTTCCTCGATGCTGCTTCTTGCCTGCCACCACCACCTCCTCGCCGCCAGCACGTCTTGATTTCATTGACCTCACGCTCGTTTGCCCCTCAAGGCTACCACACTCTTCAAAGCCGCGTTGAACGCGCCTGCAAGCCTTCTTTTCCCAGTGGACTTTTGTAAACTATGCCATTCGATTTGCCGATTTTGCGGATAGGGCTTTATGGAGCACTGGCAAGCGGTTTCTTCCACCTGGGTGCCCCATTTCGCTGTTGACCTATCTTCGCTCTGCAGACCCTCTTCTCCTTCATCTTGTTCTGTCTCTGCGCCGCAAGACTGAACTACACAACCCACCTCCCACCAAGTGATACCCTCAACGGCGGAAGACCTTTTTATGGTGAGTGAGGCCTCTATCGCAGTGCATCCACTTGTCCACTTGAGCTCACGCCCTGGACTACGAACAGATCCTGTTGTTGTGGAACTCCTCGTTTCGACCTTGATGACCATGCCGTGGTCTCTTTTCATGTCAGTCGCTTATCGCAAATCTCAAGTCATTCTCGTAACCTTTGTAACCCATATCGCAGCATTTACTCCATACATACGCGCTATGAGAACAAATACGTCTCGACTTTCCTTTCGGAGATCATCGGGCTGGCGATATTGTGGCTCTTCTGGATAGCAGGGGCAGCGGTGGCAACGGTGCGACCTTCCTTCAGATCGCGAAGGTCACAGCCTGGGCTAACACCACTCAATTCGAAAAGAACATTTGGGGAGATTTGACATTCTGCCAACAGTTTGCAGCTTGCCAAATCCTGTCTGCGCTTCTCGCTTTCGCTTGGCTCGGATGGATTATTCTTACCGCGCTGCTTGGAATTGCGCTCCTATTCGCCTTCGCGAACAGCGCTCTTACTGAGCCCCTTCATGGACGATGGAACCCTCGAGAAAGCCAGTACGTGGATAACGTGAGCAGAGCCTAGGTGGAGGTCTATGTACTCGACGTGTAAGCGATAGCATTATCTTGGGCAGCCGTCGCGTGATCCTGACCTCTCCTTTCTGCCTCAGACTTTGTAGCACTAGTTTCATCTGAATTGATGACTTTTTCTTTTGCGTTTCTCTTGTGGGAATGCAGATGAAGATCCGGAGAGAAATGGAGGTCGACCATAAGCATAAGTGCGAATGTTCTTATTCAGCCAACGACGACGATGCTGTAGCGATAAAATGCGCCGAGCTCCCTGGCCGACCGATGAAATGGAAAAGCCACGCTGTCAAGGTTCTTGTTGTTGCGTCGGTGAGCATGTAATGATTCAGATTGTCTATCCTCGATCGTCAATGACGCCAGCAACCCTGGCTTTAGAGATAATTCTATCGGTTCCGTTGTTCCACACAGGCGATCGAGAAATGACGCACAACTTGTCCTGTTGTAGAATTCACCCTATCCAGTTGTTTAAAACCTATTAGTCCTGCGGAGGCAATTTGTGGCGCTTCTTCGGACAGTATAAGGCATCCGTCGTCCCGTCGCTCTACCTCGTCTTGCCTGAGACACCCCACATCGACTTCCATCCCCACCTTCCCACCTTGCCAACATGATGTACATCATCCGGGCTATCTTATACATCCTACTTGTGAGTCTATAGCGTCTCGTTCTCGTGGTCCTTGGAGTCTGATTCCCCCCAGTTCGCTTGCTCCAGCACTCTGCTCGGATTAACAGCATATCGAATCAACTACACAGGGAGGCTGAACACTGGAGATATTTTGACATTCAGACGACGCTTCTATGGTGCGCCTCTTCGGTTTCGTGCATTCGTTCGTCATGCTAAAGTGTTCGTCGTAGACCCCGTGGTCGTCGAATTGCTCGTGACGGCCTGTCTTGGTATCATAATTTCCGTGGCTTTGTACGTTTGTTTTACTCCTTTTCATAAAGGTGTCTCAATATTTTTCAGTCTGGCGTCTATCCTCGCGCGCGCCGGCAAGGACGCGTTGACCTATGCTCTGGAGCACATCTGCTTGATCACGCTGTGGATCCTCTTCCTAGTTGGTTCGGGTGTCTTTACCGTACGCTCCCTTTCCTTAACAGCATCGACACTTCCTAACAAAATCATTTTTGCAGTCGAGATGGAGCAACCTTGGCTGGTGCAGGGGCTACAAGAGTTGCAGGATCCTAGAGACCATCAAGGCGTTTTCGTGGATCTGTTGGGCCCTCGTCACGCTTCTCATACTTTCCAGCTTGTACAACATGATCCAACGGAAGAGTGGCTGGTGGTCAGCTGCGGATGGGAGGAAGGAGCGGGAAGTATCCGGCAACTATCCAGAGACACGCGCGACGACCACGACCACAGCCTCGCATACGGAGCCTCTTACGGCGTAATCGACGTAAACTAGTAGTGCTACCCATCGAACGTTTTCCGTCGTGTTTTTTTTTATTGTAATTTTTAATAGTAGAAAGCATTCTGTATAGTCTCGAATCACACTGTACTTTCATCCTCTTCTTCACTAGGCGCGCCATGAGGAGAACAGTACCAAGAAGTTGTTACATTTATGTTAACAAAAGTCAATTCGTTCCGTCGCTTTCCTGCATCTTGACCCATAGTCCACCCTGACGACGTCGACTGTGAGAATACAAGCCAGCAATGACAAAGGGGGTCAACGTACATTGGTATACATTGTCAAATGCATCTTCGGGAATAATTTCTCGACAGCCTTTCTACCGGCTGTCTCAGCCCATTCTGCAGGAGGATGGGCCTCGGGAGGAGCAGAGCTTAGATCTAACTCGATTGATCTGAAGCTCTGAAGCAGGCGGATGATCATGAAGGACATCTCGTTATATGCGAACTAGATTTACGATAAGAGGTTAGCTATGAAATGGAGGAACAATAGAGAGGTCTCACTTGTTGACCGAGACAGATTCGAGGACCAGCATTGAAAGGAAGGAAAATGAATGGGTTCTTCGAGACGTAAGTTTTGAGACGCTCGTCGAGCCAGCGGTCAGGATCGAATTCCTCGGCTGTTTGCATCATCAGCCTATTCCAGCTGGACGAGAGTTGGAGGACCCTTACCGTCAGGGCCCCAGAGATCCTTGCGTCTGTGCATCATGAAGACGGAGTAAGCGGTTCTACATAGAAGCAAATCAGGTTAGCCGCGCAATAGGCAGAAGCTTGGAAAGGGTATTCACTTAGTTCCTGCAGGAATGAAGTAAGGCTTCTGGGTGGGGTCATCGGACTGCCAAGTGGTTGCATTGACGCTCTCGCGGACGTTGAATGGACTGTCGGGGTATCAGAGAAACTCCACATTCCGGACTCTAGCCATGCACGCACACAATAGGGTAAAGGCGTAAGGTTTCTATCTCAGAGATAAGAAGCGAGTAAATGACACGATTGAGAAAGCATACCGTTGAGGACAGCTCGGAGGTACTTCATGTCTCTGACGTCGTCATAATCTGGCCGGCGAGAGTGGCCAACTTTGGCGAGAATTTCTTCTCGGAGACGTGTCATCACTTGAGGGTACAGAGCAAGGAAGTATATAATAAAGGTAAGAGTGGCCGCGGTCGTGTCCCTTCCAGCTGGGGGTTAAAAAAAATTAGATGCGTTACTCGTTCTGTCGACAGAGAACTTACCTATCATGATGTTCAAGCTAGTGTCATCAGACAATCAGTACTCTGGCATCCCAGAACGGGGAATGACACCTACATCTCATCTTTCAGCACGACAGGATCTATGTGGACACCAGATCAGCGAAACGATGATAGATAATCGGTCAAACTAGTATACCGTCAGTCACGCGAACCAGATGGTCTAAAAGAGTGGCGTTGTCACTCTCCTCCAATTTCTCTTGGTTGGAAGAAGCCCGTTTCTTGGTCAAAGCCTCCTTGACTATGGGCTCGATGTAAGAGTTAACGATACGCATCGGCTCAGCGCTCTTATCCTCGAAGATTTCGGCCAGAGGCCAGACCCAGCCGTAGCGTTCTCTGATAGAAATAATCGCCTGAGCCTCAAGGAAAGCTGTCGCGAATGCGTTGGCAGCATCGCCGCGGGCAGTTCGGGGTAAGGGAGGAGGGTAGACAGCATTGTGGGGGTATGGAAGACCGGCGGAGAGGCTCTCAACACAATTGCCGAAGAGGAACTCTGTCGCGGAGTCGAGGGTGAATCGGGACATCACATCCTGTGGACATTGTCAAAATGGCTACATGAAAGGAAACTGAAGACAATGCACCTGGAAGTCAACTGCGTAACCCTCTCGTAGACGCTCACGCATCTTCGAGATCACTTGCATGGCCTTCCGGTCGAACAACTCGAAGTGACTGATTCGTTCGCGCCTGAACATTGGCCGTGTAATCGACCGATGGAATCTTGTGTGACGTTCATGAGTGGAACGTGTGTTTACAGTCAGGGAAGACGCCTACTTCCACATTTCGCCTTGACGCAAGTGAGAACTGTTGACTAGCCACCGAGAGAAGAGAACTCAACTTACCATCTGAGTTGAAGACACCAGTGCCCAACACTGATTCCATGTTAAAATGGAAGCGTTCGCCTGACGATATATGGTTAGCATTCTGAGACGAGAATCATGAAGTTATTAATCGGAGACCTTTGACGTAATTCTGAAAATCTGTGGCCAGGATCGTCTTGATATGTTGCGGAGACGCCGTGAAAATGAGGTCCGACCACAGAACCCGCAAATTCACAACAGGTCCCCGCAGTTCGAGCAATTCCAGTAAACCATCACCTGAAAACGAATTTTGTCAACCGAAGCACATATAATTCTTGAACGCAGCGCACCTGGATAACCCGTCTTTAGCTTCTCCATCATCTGCTGAAGAACGTCGAGGTTTCCGATGACCTTTCCTTGGGCCTCGGGTACGATTCGCGCCCCGTAAGTTGCTGCCTGACGACTTTTCCTAATCTTCAAGAAGATGACGTAGATTGAGGAGAGAACCGGGACGCTGAGAGCTGTTCCAGCGACAAGAGTCCATGTTGGAGGTTCGTAGGAAAAGTGAGCTGCCGCGACGGAGCTCAGGGCGAACGTAACACCCCCGTAGGCACCTAGCACAGGAGTCCACTTGGCTAGAAATCGAACGCCCGGTGTGATTATACCCATGGTTGAAGAGGCAGAATCTGGGGACGTGATAAAGGCCGATAGAGGACTACCCCGCATTACACCCTCATGATATATATTTTGGGCAACAGTGCCGCAACACGACATCTTGGCTCGAATCGAGCGGTTGCCTTCTAACCGAGGCAGGGCGATTGGAGGTTCAATTTTGGAGATTCCCAGACGGTTCCGTCAGCACGTGTGGCTGAATTTGAACGTGCACTGTGCTGCAGGAGTCCATCACCAGGTGGATTTATACTAAATTATAGAATCACAGACCTCCAGACAGCGGTCACAGGACCTGTAGGCCTGAATATAGTTAGGGAAGATTAGCAGCATCTCTTCAGGAAATGGAGATGGCCAAGCAAGGAGAGGAAACAATTATGAGAGCAGAGGATGAGGTCAAGCTGTCAAACCTTCGCGAAGACAAGAAGCACCAAGCTTCCAAGCCTCCAAGGCCAATTCTGATAAGGCAATATATTCTCTCACACAGCCACATTGAACGATGGAAGTCTGTCTTTGACTTCATACACTCTAATCATCAAAGACCATCGCGTTGTCGTTGCCATTCGCGCTGAATCAGATCATGAGAGAGGTCTCTGGTGAGTGAGTAACGTGTGATAATCTCCTTTTTATCTACTGAGCACCGTCTTAGACTGGGAGGACGCGCCATCTGAGGAGTCGGGAAGCGAGGACCAAACCAGCGAAGAGGAACTAGAGGAGTCAGAAAGTGAAGAAGGGGAAGAGCTCGCAAGTGTCGAGGAGGCCGAGGCGGAGCAAGCTATTGAAGGCGATTTTGAGTGCGTATCGTTGATCTGCATACTATTCAACTGAAATCTGACAAGAGCAGTCGCCTAGTCAAGGACATCCGACTCAGGGATGGATCGACGTCGACGAGCGGCAGTATCCTGACCAAAGATTGGGACTTCTACATTGACGAAAGGGAAGCTGAGTTCAAGGATGATCTGCGGGAGGCTTCAGGGATTGGCCGTAGACGGAAGAAGGTATGCCGGTGTATCTCCAGTTTTCTCTTTGCTGATAATTCACAGAGAGGACGCGCGACAGGCCCTGTTCTATCCCAACAGGTCAAGTCCCTCATCGGGGAAGGCAATCAAGCATATGTCGATAACAATCTTCCTGATGCTATTCGCCTTATGCAAGAAGTCATCCGCATCGAGCCGCGCGCCGTAGGAGCTTGGACTGTCCTTGCTCAAAGTTACGAGGACATGCACGAAAGCCTCAAGGCACTGCAACTTCGCATCATGGTTGCACACCTACAGCACGACGCGGAGGAGTGGGAGCGTCTTGCACGGCAGTCACGCGAACACGGATACAACCAGCAGGCTTTGTACTGCTACCGCAAGGTGAATAGCCTCGATCCGGCGAACGTCGACGCGTGGTGGGACCGCGCCTCGCTTGCGAAAGAGATTGGCGAGCTCAGGACTGCTAGAAACGCGTACCTCGCTATCCTCAAACGCTTTCCACACGATCTCACGGTCCTGCACGAACTCCATCCAATACTCGTTGAGTTGAACGAGCTTGCACTGTGTGCCCGGCTTCTACAAGAAGCATTGGAACACTACATGAAATTCAACCCCGTTGGTGGCAAATTTGGCATGATGCACCTCCTTCTCCTCGCCGACCTGTACAATGTTCTGGAGGAATACAAGCCTGCTATTGACACCATTCGCCGAGGGACTCGCTGGCTGCAGGGTAGATCCGAGCAGAATTTTTGGGATATGTGTGAAGATGACAGAGAATACGACGTGGAAGGATGGCCTCCACGTCCTAGTGGTGCGGAAGGCGACACAACGCAGGCGGGCAAATATGAGCTGGATGTCAATGCCCGACATCGCCTTGCCGTAGCTCGTATTAAAATGGGCGACATCGACGAGGGAAAGGTATTTTATTTCTTATCGTGATATATGCATCTTCTTACTCTTCGAAAAGCTACATGCTGGCATAGTCTTGTCGGAGGACGTGCTCGACTACTCTGTTCTGTTCGCTGAGATAGCGGATGCGTATTTTGAGCGGGAAATGTATGCAGAAGCCAAACCTATTTACGAGCTACTTGGTGGAGACCCTGCGGTGCGTTCCTAATTCAATCGTCTCGAATTTGAACTCTGACATGAGGATAGACCAGTAGTGTCGATATTTTGATGAGAACAGCTGCATGTATGCGGAATCTTGACGAGTTCCGGGATGCAGCGGAGGTCTACGAACATGGTATGCGACTCGACCACGTCTTATGCTTAGACATATGCTTATCCGGTTTTTGCAGTCCGATTGGCTGACCCAGGCAACAATGACGCGAAATGGCATCTGGCGCAGGTCTACGAGGTCATTGGAGAGACGAGAAAGGCCCTCGACCTTGTCTATGAAGGTAGGCCACGACTCAGCCCGTTTGACTTTCCTCACTTGTCTTTCAGTCATCGACTCCAGAAAGAAGCGAAGAGGTACCGCTGCAGCCCCAACTGAGGAACCCAGCAACACCCAGTCTACGTCCTTATTTGCTGAAGATAGAGCCACCGCAAAATCAAAAGCAGCTGCAGCCCGCCAAAATCGACTGACGCACGCGCAACTCAAGGAGTTAGAGGCACAGAAGGAGAAGCAGGTGGTCAAGGGCTATCGCAGATTGAAAGATCTCTGGCCGGGTATGCTGGCAGGCGATCCCGACTCGGAGAGGGAATGGCTTGCCATTGCAGATACATTGGTTGATATGTTTCGAGAGACAAGAAACCTTTTCCTTACGAGTCGGGTGTGTGCGCAGTTCTTGACCATTTGTTCACTTGCTGATTGAAGCAGAACAATCCCTTCCGTGGTATGTTCCCCAGGAGAACGAGGATGCGGAAACGTGGTGCTGCAGAGATCGAGGCGGATGAAGAGCGTATGGCATCTCGCCTACAACTCGACTTAGGTATGTGTCTTTATCCCCACAGTGATGCCTTTGCTTATTAGTAGCATAGAAAGGGATAGTCCAGGCCGAAAATCGTCTAGAACAGGGGAAAGAGGCCGCGCTGTTGATGTCTTCCGTGGTGTTTCCTTCGACGACTGGCTGAAGCTCTTTATGCAGGTCTGTTATCCCTCCTTTTCTATCTCGTGGTTCTACCTATGACGGAATTTCGTAGTATTGCTTCATGTTAACCAAACGCGATCAGTTTGAGACTGCCGACGAAATCCTACGGCACATCATGGCATCGAACGCATACCAAGCGAAAGAACGGCAAGATTCCATTCGTCTTGCTCTCATAAGTATGTTTCTACCCCCTTGATGGTTTGTTCATTGACAATATCACTAGCATGTGCAATCTCAGCCGAGAGGCCGGAGATCGTAGTAGAGCAAGCCCGAAAAATCATCACGCAGCACCAATTCAATAACGAACCTCTGCGCATCCTAATTGCATCGCTGGCGAGTGGTTTGCGTGCCACAGACGCTTTTATTACCTCCAACCTCCAAAAGCATCTTTTCCGCGAGGTGAAGCTCGCTGATGCTGCCGCCAACCATCCTGAAATTTTGAGATGGAACCCGCTCAACAAACGCTATGCCCCAACGGGCCAAGGCAAAGCTGCAGAGCAAGACGAAGAGGATAACGATGAGATGGATCGCGGAAGTGATCATGAACCACCCTCGACATCGACTTCGCACGACAAGTCAGGTCTTCCTCCCATCCCTACGAAAGAGAATGCGGTTGTTGTGACGATTTATGGGCAAATCTGTATCGCGGCGAAGAGCTACCAGAGTGCTATCTGTACGTTGAAGGGACATCGTTCGTGGGTTGTCCCCGGCTGATACCTTGTTGGCACTAGTCTACCTCCTCCATGCATATGACTATCACTCCGACGATCCGGTGATTTGCTTGTGTCTGGCGATTGCCTCAGTTGGCCGTGCTATGCAGCGACAATCCGATAATCGACACCACCTGGTGGTCCAGGTCACTCGACATTGCTTTTTACTTATGAAGGGTCCTGACAATGTTGGCATAGGCAATGGCGTTCCTTACGAAGTACCGCAGGTTGCGTGGCTCGACTGTACCGGAAGTACGCGAGGTAGAGTATAACTTTGCGAGGACATTTCATCAGCTTGGTACGCCAAAACCTTCTTCGTACCCTGGAAAGAAACCAGGTTAAGTTTCTCCTGCAGGCTTGTACTCACACGCAGTGAAGCACTACGAGCGAGTTCTTGAGATGGCAGACAAGGCGGGAGTATGTATACCCTCCTCCTGCTTTTTCGGTCCCACTGACATCGAAGCAGGACGATCTGTTCGCGCGAGAGGCAGCTTACAACCTTTCTCTTATTTTTGTGATTACTGGCGCGGTGCCCTTCGCTGATGCTTTGTACCGACGGTGGCTGTCTATTTGAATGCATAGTTCTTTTCAATCACTGATGCCCGTTGCTCCGTGTTGTATGAAGCTTGTAAGATCTGCAGCTGACTCCACCGCATTTGTGACATCAAGTTTTCGATATGAATATTCAACACGTTTTGGTCGATCGCGTTTACTCATTCCTCCTATCTCACCTCTCCAGCTTCGACGTCCTTTCATATCCCGTTTGACGCTTCTTTTCCCCAATGACCGCCTCAAGGCAGTATTCTTTATTGCATTTCGGCATGCGGAATCCCATTGGATGCGTTCCGATCAGCAGGGTCGCGGAAAGTTCCTGTCGGTTCTTTGGCATCAGAACCAGAAAGGTGAAAGTCAACGTCAACGTCCACGACGACGACGACGCCGTCTCGACGACTTCGCCATGCTCGTTGCCTTGCCTTGACTGGAGTAGATCGTTCCCCGACAGTTCTGGTGTCCTCTAGCCAGTAGAGGATTCGCCAAGGCAATGGCAGCTCTTCGTTCTCCCAGCACCCCCTCGAACATATCATCGCAGTCCAAGAAAGGGGTTTTTTCATCTTCCAGTTCCTCACGGCGCTCTTCGACAAGCAGCGGTGCCATTGTCAACTCAAGCCCGCATATTCCTCTGGGAATAGGCTACTCGCCAGGTCCAATCAACACCCCAACTACCCCTGCTGGCTCAGGAATACCAGCTTTCCGCACTCTACGCTCCCTTTTACCTTTCGGACCTGGCAAGAATGCCACTCCCATATCTACGTCAGCTTCTCCAAACACTTCGAGGAGCCCCTTCTCGAACTTTGGTTCCGTCCGACGGTCGATGACCCGCGAACGCGAGCGAAAGTCGTCCCTTTCCAATGACGCGATGTCGCCAGTCATAGCAATTGGACCGGTGCCGGACGAATCAGCCATTCGACGTTCAGTGTCCTTGCCGCGGTTAGAGAAACCGCTTCCTTCGGAACCGCTATTTGAAGACAGTCCGAACGCATTTCAGCACGGAAGTAGTGCTTTGGGATCTGGTATGTCGTCGACATTCGTTTTTGCAATCGCTATCCTCAACCAGATCGCAGCGTTCATTCTACGAACACCCTCTCCTGGCCCCGCATTGTCTGCTGAATTATCGACTATCATCGAGGCCGACAGTTCAGGGGTATCCAAGCATGGGCTGTTGGGCGTCATCTCTCAAGAACCCTCTTCCAGCTCGCACTCAAAGCAAAGTTCAACTTCGCAAACAGATTATGGTACGGAAGACGATGATGCCGACAACTCAGCCCTCGATTTGTCGACTAGCCACTTGGCTGACCAAGTTCGACATGCCATGCTCGAAAGCAACGTTTCTCCGAACACCGTAAAGCAGTGGCACGATGGAGACAAAGAGGTAGTCATTATTGACGCGGACGAGCACCCAGAAGCTGATACGACGTTCGCGCTGGAATCGGCTGACCCTGAACTCCTCGCCCTCCTCAGTCCTAACGCTGTTTCAAAACCTGGAGCTACTCAATCGAACCAACCATCACCCACCACACCGACTTTCCCATCATCGTCCACCTCTCGTCTTCCTCGTTCCCGCCAATCCTTGTCGCTTCTGCCTCGCCCGCGTGCCTCCAATTCCCCATCTCCATCGCCCATATCGCGTCACTTCCCCACCTCGACTCCATCTCCTACATCAACTACTGCAACAACTTCTGCGTTAGCCACGCCGAAGCCATCCTCTGCCAAAGATGGTTCGCCAGCGACAACGGCCGCCAACGGAAGCGACTACTCGCCGACATCTTCTCCAGCACCTTCTTCGCCCTGTCTGGCTTCCGCTTCTTCGTCCACTCCTGCTCGTCGGAGAACGTTGGGTCTGGCACGGCCTGCAAGAATGTTTGGTCATTCGGCTTCTGCATCGTTGTCCCAGCCGCGTACGAACACGTTTGCGACCCCGGGCAAGGCTGGCGAGGAGTCGGCGCAAGTTTCAATGATGAATGGATCACGACTTGCGACGCGTACTCTCCGTCAGGTCATGCTTGGTGGAAGTACTAGGAAAAGTCCTAAGAATGATGAATCCTCGTCTCCGTCCCTCGAGGCCGCGAGACCCCGAGGTTCGTTGGATTCGCGCCGACTACCGTCTAATGCCAACGACATCGGCCTTGGTCGACCGTCGTTAGAGGTACGGAGAGGTGCGTCATTTGACTCCCGTCGGCCCTCTACTGCCTACAACTCTCGTTCTTCGACCTCGCCGGAACGAACGGATCGAACCACTCCAGAAGCCGACTCCTCGCCATCGCCTGAAGCTACGCACCAGGAAGCCCACTTCCGTCCGTCACTCGACTCCTCGCGACCGTCTTTCGACAGTAGTCATCGCCCTGGTTCATCAACCCGGCTGCGAGAGAAGGAGAGACATAATACGCCTTCTTTGCGAGTTATCGACGCGTCCGGCGACAGCACTAACAGGTCTGTGTCTCCGATCCCTCGAGGCCCACCTCCAAATCGTATCAGAAAGCGGAGCATGAGCGTGCAGGAGCGTTTTGGCAAGGGGCGATATCCTGGGGCAGTGGCAGAACAGGGTATAGCCCGGCCGGGAAGCAGCCTCTCTGTCCATGGTGGTCGCGCGTCAAGAGGTGGTCTCGGAGTTGACGGAGGAGCAACTCCAAACGAATTTGGAAGCGGTGGTTCAGGTCCGAAGCTCGAGTGGCTCGGCCCAAGGACAGCTAAGGCTTTTCGTGCGGCGGGATTGCTCGACTTTGACCGAGAGAAGGAGAAAGAGCGGGACAACAGCGGTGAGGCGTTCGAGAGGTCGCGAGAAAGAGGTGGTAGCATCAGTGGGATGCTGGCTCCGTCTCCTCTTGGAGCGAGTGTCAGTAGTGGAAGTGTCTCTTCGGCGCTCAATCGGTTCGCCTCGTTAAGGAGTGCTTCAGAGTATAATCCCACGCCTTCCAGGGCCCATTCGCGGATGGCCTTCTCTGATGTTGGAGGTGGCTCCGGAAGGCGAGGCAGCGGGACGTTCTCGGCCTATGGTAGTAGTAGTGCTTACGGTGGGATGTCCACGTATGGTCAGCCAGGTTTGATGGAGAGCCCGACGTTCACTGTCTCTAGCAGCAGCAGAGATAGAGATACGCCCAAGTCATCGACTTCGACTGCCCCTACGAGCGTCTCTGAATCTTTTGGATATCTTGGCCGAGACAGGGTGGAACGAGAACGGGAGAGGGAGAGGGACGAGTTTCGGGAGTTGAAGGAGAAGCACGCGACGGAGATGGCTGCTCTACTCGGGGCGTTGTCGGACTCGCAGAGAACAGCTCGTGTTCTTCGCGAGGAGAACGCAGAACTTAGGGAAAGGCTCGACCGCTTTGCTGGTGTAGTCCAGCAGAACAACGAGCTCCACCAAGCGTGTGGCGAGATGCAGCAAGAATGCAGTGACTTACGCAGACAGTGCGTGGATTTGCGGCGGGAACTTGCGGCTGTGAAGACGTTCAAGTCGCCTAGCGGGCTTGTCCCAAGCTGGAGTGGGAACAGCACCAGTAGTGGCTTCCGGACGCCTCTGCCTCGGCCAGGGAATAGCAGTCCTCTGGCCAACGATGTTACGCCTCGGTATGACGAAGAAGAGTATAATGATACCATGATCATCCATGACGATCTCGACGACCGCTCTCAGGACACGCCGCGACGACAGACCGACCGACAGGACCATGAACACGACGCCGGTCCTTTGGACGCGATAAATCCGTCTTCATCTTCTACCCCTTCCCTCAAACGGCGCCTTAGCGGCGCATCATCGGTATTCCCAATACCTCCTGCAAATATGACGATGCTTCTTCATGACGATGCAGCGTCGCAGTTAGGCGATAGCAACAGGAGCAGCGCGGACCATTCTCAATATCCCTTCTTTGTGCCCCCTCTTTCCTACCCCTCATCCTCGACTAAGCCGATCCCAACATCAAAAGCGAACACAAATTCCCACGTACGCTCCCTATCACGTTCTCCTCCTGCCAACTACCAGAGCTTCGCAGCCTCTGGCGGGCACAAGGCCAACAAGTCTATCGCGTCGGCGGTCAGCATCTCGCCGACGACGGCGAACTTCTCCATGGTCACTGGTAGTCCAGGTAGCCTTTCACTACGACCAGAGCATGAGCTTCTGCTAGGTGATATGGAGTCTTTGGACCTTGGAGTGCGCGGGCTCGACCTCGAGGCTGATCTCGTAAGAGCGAACAGCGATGAGTGGTAACACTCAAAATACCATTCAGGACACGATTCACGTTGCATAACACCCGCTTCGTCTCATCTTGGGTTGAACTTGTATGCACACTTTTTTTTTACTCGTTCATTCGTTTCATCCTTCGTTCATTTTACTTGACTAGCCTCCAGACACCCTATTTTCTACTCTTACTATTCAATCTACATGTACAGTCATCACTCCTGCCCTAACTAGCTTTTAACCTGTTCACTCTTACTCTGCCTGTTGGCATTTCCCGTTACGGTTGTCTTGTTTCTCGTCTTGTTGCTTTCGCTTTTTCGCCAGGCTCATATTGCTAACTCGTGCTCAAACGCTTTCTACTGCTCCGCTAAAATATATCGTATCTGTATAGTACATCGCATTCCTCGTCTGTAGACTCTAGGATCTATTTTTCCCTCTCGCAAGTCGTGAGCCGAAGAAGTGTGACCACCAAGTAGCCACGCCGGCGGTAATGAGCGGCCAAACAACTTGAAGCTAACATGCGTGCAGGCTGCTTGCACCTGACTTCTTCCATCTTCCCTCAAAAATCGTTCATCTGCGATACCTAGAGATGATACGCTTGCCTTCCTTCTCCCTTTTGCAACCCTCACATATGGAAAGCAGGGTCAACATTGTTGGTGGTAGTCTGGAATCGTGAAACAGCTAAAAGCCCTCAATGGTATAAAGCATCGCTTGCGTTTTATTGCGTATTCGGTCATGGAGCGATTGGTTTCGAAGTAAAATTGAACAGGTGAGTTGAATTCATGGCATCGATCTTGGAGCTTGAACCCAAACTAGCATGAGCTCTCGTTTGAACGTCAGATTCCAGTCGTCAGTGAGGCGAAGGTTGCAACCCCGGATTCGTCAAACATGCCTCTTACATGTGGGTAGACGCCGGTACGTATTTCACCGCTCATGGCAAGCTGGTTGTCGTTTTATAAGAATACGCGATTCCAGTGAGCAAAGATTTGGTACACATACCTTCCTCGATTCCGAATATCCGCCCGCGACGTAAGCAAACACAAGTCTCTGCGCCTGCTTGCCTACTGAAAACCATCCAGGCAACATGTCCGCGACACCTGACTCGACACCAACTGCGTTGATCTCCGCTGCGAAAGAACCCATAGGCACCGTGGTATGGTTCCCGTGAAGGGGTCTCACAACTAGAGCTGACAAAGAGCGGCCCGTAGATTCCTCCGACGCTGGAGAGACCCGTCGTCTCTTTGGTGCAAAATGTTCAGAAGGTCATGGAAGCCGCATACAATGTCCACAAAGTATTGCTCGACAAAAACATGAAGTCGTCCAAGAAGGTCATGGAACACTTCCTCCAGGTCAAGCATATTTTTAGGATGGAGTGCGAAAGCATTCGACAAATCCTTCAGAGTGGTTATCGTCATGCATCCGACTACGCTGCCTCGAGTCAACGTGCCCCCAATGACCGGTCAATATCTCCCAAGCATTGTTATCTCTCCGCCAAAAGCGTCCTCCAGGATGTCCAAGATGTCGTGCAGGGATATGAAAAACCTCTCCACGAATTCAAGAACCAAAGGAATGATTTGACGGAAGCTCTCAAGTCCAGCGCACAAGGTATGCTTCCCAATGCAGGACCGTTTTTCAGTTGTTAATTACTGTGTATCACTCTAGAGCGACAACCGCCGCAAGGGGATCCAGACATCTCTGCTTCGACGCCATTCGTCAATTTGTCTTCAAGAGCTCAAGATCCGGTTGGGGCGTTTTACAATTCTCTGGAAGACGTGCACTCGTCACTTCAAGACATTCTGGGATTCTGGGATCACCACGTCAGCTATCTCGTCCTGCTTGTTAACCGGCAGACAAATTTTCCAACCCCGGGAGAGGAGACGAAGGCAGTAGTCAAGTTGTGGGTCTCATATCAAGCTGCGTTGCTTCAGGCCAGCAGTTCGATATCTGAATCGGCGGATGCGATGAGCGTGGATCCGGTGGTTGCCGAAGGACCCTTTCAAAAACACACTTTCCCTCCGTCTAACTTAGGCCAACGGGACCAACGGTTAGCCCCCAGTGTCCACGAGCATCCCCATGCTATGAATCCAGGTCGGAAACCAGCTGGTACTCATGCCGAAACCACCAAATTATTTAGGTCCTGGATGAAGGGTTTCTTCCATTTTTTCTCAAGGAAGGCGCAGTAAGGCACTGTATGTGTTTATTCTTGTACTATAGGCTCTACTGGACTCATTTGACGATTACCTCTGTAGAACCCGCTTCTGATCAAGTCATACCTACTATGAGCAACAGACAAGACCTTCGACTTATGTTTAAACATTGGACATACGTATGGACACGAGTAGAGTGGACGATATGAAGGATGCAAAACTACCAAGTGATGTGTAAGACGCGCATTAGAGCGCTTAGGACAGAAGTCCTCAATGGAGCTCCCTGCCTACTCGCTCCCTCGCGCAGATGATTTCTTGTGGTCGACCATACGGCATAATTTACTCGGCATGGATGATTCAGCCCTTACTTTTCTGGATTCTTTGAAAGACTTCGATACCGTTACTCTGGCTCGCAAGACTACATAGAGGGCACAGGAAATTATTTTTCCTTGGTGTTGCGTCAACATGCCTCGTAAGAATGGTTCGGTGAACGCCTCTTATTCTCTGAAAGCCGACGTCGGTGCATAGACTGGCCATCGCGCGGGACATAAGGCGAAAGGCATTCCTCAGGGGTTCGTAAATGTTCGCTCGAAAGTGCAAGATCTCCCTCCTGCAACAATTGTTGATCACCAGGCAGTTTCTTGTCTGGGCCAAAAGTGAAGTGAGAGGATTGAGCGACGGCAGGCAATCGAGCCATAGCAAGGCATGCACGATCTCGAAGAGTTCAGCAACACTTTATCGAAGTTCGTGACAAGCAGGTAGGTAGGGTTCGATGCCAACGGTTGAACGGGAAAGGGGCGTGCGAAGGAGTTTCATCTTGCGTGTGCCGGCTGGGGCCGGCTGCCCCTGTCTTTCGATTTGACCAACATGCGCACTCATTGTCAAGTCGTTTGAAACGTTCAGCATAAGCTGAACTCTGCCTGCTGGGATGCTCTTAAAGGATTACCTTGCGGAGTCGGCAGACTTTGTCTCTCTCACTTCCAACGGCGTCCAGAGCACTTGTTCGGACGCAAGCGACATAGAAGTTCTCAGATTGCTCCCTGAGAAGCCTACCTCTGCTCATCATGACCTTCACTCAATCGCCACACTCATACAGGTCCTTGAGGACTCCATCCAAGATGTTCAACTTCCGGAGAACCGAGCGAATCACTTTGAATCTCTGCGTTGTACATCAACTCTTACTTGAGTTCGAAACGACACGGAGTCGCAGGTGTCTCTCGTCATCGAGAACACAAGGGGAACACACTGAATCCTCTAGGCGAATAAAATGGTATGTTCTGGTACTCTTCTGTCAGCTTGGGTGTTCGCCTCCACCATTGGCTATTCTTTCGTCTGTAGCGAGGAAGAAGGGACAGCCGATATCAATTCGTAGGTCCATTATCTTCTACTTAGCCATAAAAAGAACAAGGTCGTGGTCGAGATCAAGAGCCCAAGTGTCTTCGCGTTTGCGGAGCTTGCGCTCTTCAGCAGACTTAGAGCGTTTAAATTCGATTCAAGGTCGAATGCTGAGAGCGTTGCAGCAAAAGTAATAAAAAAGGTTAGTCGCCTTACCTTTTCATGCGGGATTTCTCCTCATTCTCTCCGTTCCAGCTATGTTTGCGTATGGCCGCTCACCAGTCGGAATACGGCGCGCTGACGTGCCACGACAAATGGGTATTTGTTCGATTCCATAAAGTCAGAAACACACAGCATGCATGCATCACTTACTCGGCAGTCGAAAAGCAAGCAGATAATATTTAGCCATTCCGCGGCCTACTGGGCATGGTGCTAGCCGCTGACTCAGGTCAAAATGTCGAATCCCATGCTGGCCTAGAAATACCGCTTGTGACGATAAAGGGAGAAAGTTTATCAAACCTTCAGTCGCGACTCGCGAGGGCCCGACATCGCTGTAAGTCGATCGGTCAAATGTAGAAGACAGATTTAATGATGTGCTTGGAGCTAAGATGGTCACCAAACGTCACGTTGGCACATGGATGACTCAATTTCTCCCCCCTTCCTGGTGCGGGTCGTTCCTCGTTGTTGGATCCTGCGTCGACTCGACTGTGACTCTTCAGCATAAGACTGGTGCTGGCTCAACAGGCTGTGTGTATGGGGCAAAGCTGGATGTCTACGGACAAAATCCTCTGTCGTACGCCATCAAGACTGTGGAGAAAGGTGGTTCCGATGTGACGAACCGTATTTCACGCTTGAACCAAGAAACCAAGGTCTATCAGGTTCTCGGGCAAGAGACGAACAAGTTGACATGGTGCCGCGCTGCTATGGTTTATATGAAACAAATGCAACTCTGGCGCTAGTCATGGACTACGTTGGAGAATCTCTTTCTGAAGCGGAGTTCAGCGAACTTCAGTACACTCATAAGTGTGTCGTTTGGGTTTCATATTCTTCTTGTAGGCAATGACAAGAGCCCTAGGGTTTTCCTATTTCGCTCTATTACTGGCCTTCGCAAACTCGGAATTACTCATCGCGACCTCGAGCCGCGTAATGTTGCCCGCACTGCTGATGGCACATTGAAAATTATCGACTTCACCCAAAGTAAGTTGCACCATTGTCCTGGACTTCCGATGGTTAGTTTCGCACCAAAGTTCGCTTACTGCCGGCATCTCATCTCAGAAAATAGGTGGATGGAACGCGAAAGCGCGACCGAGTGTGCAAAGAGTTGAATCGAATGTGGAAGACCGTGGTAAAGGTAGAACCATTCCTGTCGAAGTAGAATCATTTTACAGTTAGTGTACTACTCTAAGGCTGGAGAATGGTCCATTGTTGTCTATTCCTTCATTCTGTCCCTTGAATTTTATTTTCGTGCTGACCACATTTGCTGGGCCACTCAATAAAATGGGGATGTGTACCCTGTAATTGGGCGTGTGCCATAGGTAGATGCTTGTCATAGGTAGATGCTTACGCGTACGAAGATCACTCTTACGGAGCGCCGGAACGATGATGGACATTCGGCTAACTACCACCCAGGTTGGCACCCACACACACTACACCTCGTACACTACCGCCATGGGCCTCTGTGGTGACTATGGGCCTCTCGACTTTCGAAGCTCGTGCATACGTGCATCCTGGAGCGCCCTATTACCTGCCGCATTCGTATTCATCCTCTGTCTGTGCTCAACTCCGGTTCCACGCCCTTTTCGACGACTTTTGACGATTTTCTCAAGGCCGTTCCAACCATTTGTGACTCTTCACGAAGCAGAGGCGATTGACGTTAAGGTAGATGTGGTGGACACGATATTGGACGAAGAAGACGCGCTTGAGGTCTCGAAATTCGTGCCAATGTGGCGTACGGTCGTATTCGCATTTATTGGGACGGCAGAGGCACTTTACTGGGTCTTTGAAGGGTCATACAGGCTTTACAACTATGAAGAGATGGCATGGAGAGGATTACTTGCGTTTCTTATGGCGGCTTCATGGCTCTACAGTGTCGTCCGGCCAATTGCTCGACCGACTGCGACTCCACCGTACGACCTTTTCTCCCTTTATCTTGCCCTCCTGGTCGCTTCTCTCCTACAAATCGGAGGTGTTATATATGACCACACAGTGCTAGACCTTCCCTTCCCATCGACTTTTTCAATTTTGGCACATGTCGCAGATTTACTTGCCATTCTAGTGCTACTCGTTGTTGTGGTCACTATGCCTTTGGCAGTTCCCAGCAATCGGGTGGACAAAAAGGAGATTGTGAGTCTTTTTAAATATCTTCTCACGACCAGCCTTACGCGCTCCCATAGGGACGAACACTATCTCCTGAAGATTATACTAGTTTGTGGGGATGGATCTCTTTCCAATGGGTTTATCCTCTTGTTTCACGTGTAAGCATTCTTCTTCTCGCTTGTTTCTCTCTCCATTGAATTCTCTTCTAGGGAAGGTACGCGACACTGGACGAGAAAGATGTCTGGGACCTAAGTCCGACTATGCAATCTCGGCCTGTATTCTCCAAGTTTAACTCTGTCCAGTTGAGTGCAGACGCAGTCTGCTTGGTATCTTGTCTAAGTTTCTGTGCAGTCAGCCGACTCTACTGCGTCGCCTTTGGATTGCTAATTCATTAGACCTCATGTGCGTTGCAAGCGACACGGTATTTCATCGAGGCACTGCTTACATGCACTATTATATTTTTAGTCTCGATTTCTCCCTCACATTTGTCAGCGTTATCTTCAATTACTCTGGGCCATTCTTCCTCAAGTGGGTAATTTTTATTCGCTTCGTCTTACGTTTCGGTTCAACTGCCATGCCAGACGCATCTTGGATGCGATTGATTTGAAGAAGCCTACTCCGGAAAGCCGCGCCCAAGCATATATTTACGCCTTTCTGGCATTCGCATGTTCTTGTTTAAAGGCAAGCAGTTACTTTTCGAGTGCAATAACTGTCTCATGTCGAGTATTAGGCCCAAGCGGACCTCCAACACTTGTGGTTCGGCCGTCGTGCCTCAACGAGGATTCGTTCGGAGCTCATGGCTGCTATTTACGACAAGGCCCTCAAGAGGAAAGACTTTTCCGGAATTGTCAACAAGGACAAGAAGGCAGAAGAATCCAAGGAGCCCTCGAATGGTGTAGACACGAAGGAATCTAAACGTGAGTTTTTTTTTTTTTCATCGGCCCAAGTACAACGTTCTCAGGGCGTGTCAGGAAAGAGCAAGGCGAAAAAGAAGGAGAAAGACGCGAAGGCCGACGATCCTAAGGCTGGTGCTGACGTAGGCAAAATTGTGAACCTCATGGCTGGCGATGCCAATAGGGTGTGTATGCTGTTGTCAGTGAGCTCTGGCTGATATCTGACACTTTCCCGTAGATCTCCCAGATGGTTTCTGGTGCTTATTTCATATATGGAGGCAGGTCTATTCCGACCAATTTGGCCCTTCGAATGTCACTGACCATCATTTAGCCCCATTCGAGATCGTCATCGCCGGCTTCTTCTTATACCAGTTCGTCTCCTTGTACTCGCTACATATGCAGTTCCTGACACCCAACCCAGGTTGCTCGGTCTGAGTGCTTTCGCTGGCTTCATCGTCCTTGTTGCTGGATGGCCACTGAACAGTTTCATCGCCCGCCGCAGTGTCAGGATTCAGAAGGGAGTTCTGGCGGCCCGTGACAAGCGAATGGGTGTGCTCAATGAATTGATTGGTGCTGTCGGTATCTCCTTTTCATTCGGTTCGGCCTCTACTGAATATGCTGTCCAGGTCAAATTTATCAAGTTTTTTGCATGGGAGGAACGGTGGATTGGAAGGGCACTGGACGCACGCGAAGCTGAGATGAAATGGATGGTCAAAGGTTCATCTTCGACTTCTTTTATGCTCTCAAAGGTGACTAACCTAGTAATGCTGTAGCTCGGGTCAATTCAGTCATGTTCTATCTTCTCTGGACTTGCGCCCCGATCTTGGTCTCCATTATTTCGTTCTTCACTTATGTCATGCGAGGCAATGTGCTGACTATCAGTACTGCTTTCACGGTATGACGGAATTTTCATGTAATTTAAATTTCAATGCTGACTTGACGTCCTGTAGGCTATCGCTCTCTTCGGAATGATTCGGTGCGTTCTCGATTGTATTCCCCTTACGATTATACTTAATGATCTATCAGCGCCCCTCTAAACGTTATTCCAGCCTGGATTGTTCAAATTCTCCAAGTACGCATAGTTCCCTTCTCCATACTTCGCACCCTTTTACATTTCATGTAGACCGGTGTTGCCCTGAAACGTATCGCTGTTTACCTCGACGAAGAAGAGGTCACAGATCAAGTCTCTTCCCTGAAGAAAGACTATTCCGAGCCGCACCTCCCTGGGGCCGAAGACGACGGATTAGGTTTAGAAAATGCGAGCTTCAAGTGGAACGAAGTCGCAGAGAATGTCGCGGGCGAGGAAAGCGATCAGCAACGTAACGGACACCCGTCTCCCAGCGAGTCGGAGTTTACTGAGGAAACACCATCTACTATCAATGATGCTACTTCGGAACGCAGTGTCCTGGATGCCGGAGAACGTCGGTTCGAGCTTAAGGATCTGTCCGTCAAGTTTCCTGAAGGGGAGTTAACCATTGTTACTGGACCTACAGCATCCGGAAAGACTGCACTTCTTGTACGTTTCCCTTTTTGCTCGTGCTGTTATGTATCACTCACCCCTTTCTTCGTAGATGGCGGTCCTTGGTGAAATGACCTTGCTCAGTGGCAGGATCATCATGTCGAAAGAACCTTCCCGCGTTGACGAACATGGGCTGATGCATGCTGTCTCCTATGCAGCACAGTCGCCTTGGTTGAGGCACCAGTCAATCAAGGATAACATTCTCTTCGGTTACCCATTCGACGAAGAAAGGTATAATGCCGTTGTTGAGTGTTGTGCTCTCCGACCGGACCTCGAGATGCTCGAGGATGGTGATTCAACAGAAATTGGGGCCAGGTAATTTTGTGGTCTGAGACTCAGTAGAATTGAAGTATGCTGAACGACGTTTGCTAGAGGTGTGAGTTTGTCGGGAGGCCAGAAGGCGAGGTAAGGATCATCCTTTCTGTGCGGTCATAAATTAGATTTATTTTTTTAGAGTGGCGCTCGCTCGAGCTGTTTATGCTCGTACGAAATATGTCTTGCTTGATGATCCTCTGAGTGCAGTTGTATGTCTTTCAGGTCCTCCATGGTCCTTTAATTCTAACGTTTATTCAGGACAGCCACACATCAAGATTCCTATATGAGCGACTGCTACGCGGGTCTCTCTTGGCACATCGAACGGTCGTTCTAGTCACCCATCATGTTGAACTCGTCCTCCCAGGGGCGTATTACCTTGTGCGCATGTTAGACGGACGTATCGATACCCAAGGCACCGTCAAGGATCTTCGAGAGCAAGGAGTTCTGGAAGGAATAGAACAAGACGCTGCTGTTGACGCCCACAAGGAGGACCTGATTGTCGCTGAAGCCAGTGCCATAGAAGAACTAGCAGACGCTTCACCAAAGTCATCCGAGTCCAAGAAACCGAGAAAGCTTGTGAAGGACGAACATCGGGAAACTGGTGGCGTTAAATGGTCGATATATAAGACCTATTTAAAAGCCTCGTGAGCATGATACATAACAATGTGGCTACTATTGATTCGTTTTCCAGGTCATATTGGACATGGGCATTCTTGGGGTTCATTGTTCTTCTGGTCCAGCTTCTAGGAATCAGCGAAAAACTTTGGATCAAGGTGAGATCATTCCTTTTCTTCCGTCACTGTTTATCTGATATCTATGTTTCTCAAGACCTGGGGCGAGGCATACAAGGATTCAGTTCCCTCATTCTTCTCTTTCCGCACTTTCGCCACTCCTGAACACGAAGTCCCGATGGATGGGTACCTGCTACATCATCAACAGTTGCACCCCTACCAGAACGTTGCCACAATGCCTACCCTTTTTGGTATTGACTGGCCACGAGCATCTGAACACCCAATGTTTTACGTTGGAATTTATGCCGCTATCGGACTCGCCAATGCTCTCGCCAATGTTCTTTCTGTCACTGCCCAGTATACGGGTGCTCTTCGTGCTTCGCGAATTCTTTTCAAGTGCGTATGTCGCTCTGAAAGTTGTGCTTTCAGTCTAACGATGTTTGATAGACAACTCTTGGTCACTGTTGTTCGAGCTACTTTCAGATTCCATGATACGACGCCGCAAGGTTGACCTCGTTTTCCTGTTGATACCTGCTGGCTGACGCCATTACCTAGGTCGTATGCTCAATCGCTTCGGTAAAGTATGATGACGCGCTAATGTTTCTTGGCATTTATTGACCTCCTTTCATCAGGATATAGAAACGATCGACTCTTCCCTCGCTGGATCCCTTCAAGCTGTGAATTCTTCCCTTGCTAGCTTCTTTGCAGCCATCTTGACTGTTGCGTGAGCCTGCCCACCACCTTCCCACTTGCGGAAGCCTTGCTGACAGCCCCATGCAGTGTGATTTTCCCTTATTTCCTCGTTCCAGCGGCCTTCATTGGGTTCGCCTACCGCGAGCTAGCCATCGGCTACCTAAACACTGGGCGAGATCTCCGTAGAATGGAGTCCAACACCAGGTCACCCATTTTTTCGGACTTCGGCGAGTTACTAGAAGGCATTGTTACTGTCAGAGCGTTCTCTGCGGAGAGACGATTCCTGAATAACCTTCACACTAAGATTGACACAACTACCAAGGTATGATTTTGTCGTAGCCTTCAATCTTTCAGCATATTCATGTTGATTCAGATGTGGTATACGTTTTGGATGACCAACCGATGGCTGTTACTCAACTTTGATGTCCTCGGGGCGCTAAGTGTCCTTGTCACTATGCTGCTCTCCATCGCCAGCCTGTCAAATGGAGCAGGCCTGGCAGGTCTTTGTATCACAAGTGCTATGGCGTTTACATCTTCCGGTAATAATTTATCCTTAATCCGGCAACTACTAACACTGAATGTATACATTCAGTTTATTGGGCTTGCCGCTTCTGGACTGCACTTGAACTTGACCTCAAGTACGCTTCGAAATACCTTCAAACGAACTCTTTCTGACCTCTTTGTTCCAGCTCCGTCGAGCGAGTAGTTGAATAGTGGGTTTTAGCGTTCATCACCCTGTGACATCATTCCAATGTCTTCATAGTTTGGATTTGCCACAAGAGCCCCCGGCAGTCATCGAATCCAACCGAGTTCCTGCGTATTGGCCATCCGGCTCCAACAACGACTCTTTGATCGTAGTCGAGAATCTGGAAGTCAAATATGCCCCTGACCTCCCCGCAGTCCTTCACGACGTATCTTTCACTCTCAAAGCTGGCGAGAGGGTTGGGCTTCTGGGTCGTACAGGTTTGGATTGTTTCGAGCCATATAGTGCTGCCTTTGGTGTTGAATCTGATGTCGTCTAGGAAGCGGCAAGTCTACTCTTGCCATGAGCATCCTTCGTTTCGTGGGTTTCTTCAACTTCTTTCGCGCTCTCTCTTTGATCAGGATTGTTTAGGTCGACCCCACTAGTGGCAGAATAGTGATCGATGGGATCGACATTTCGACCATCGGCATCCATGATCTCCGTTCTCGATTAGTATGCTCTTCTCTTTCAGCCCTGTTGTTTCCACTCTAATTGGCGAATGCTTTTAAAGACATTTATACCACAAGTTAGCCAGATTTTTTCTGCGGAGAAACATGTTGCTGATTCGTTTAGGATGCAACATTGTTCTCGGGCACTCTTAGAGACAACTTGGATCTATTCGGTCTGTGGAATTCTTTCAGCTGGCAGATGTATTCTAACCCAAGTTTTAGGCGAACATGATGATGCCGAATGCCTCGATGTACTCTATCGAGTCCATATGATCAGTGAAAGCTCACAGAATTCTCAAAGAACCTCTCGTGAACACAGCGCGTCTTCATCACGCAATCAATCCCGAGCTCCATCAGTCCATGGCATAGAACGTGAAGAAACCATCGACTCACTATCCACAACAACCACCGATGTCGATAGCAAAACCTCGGTCTCATTAGATACAAAAGTGTCTGCTGGAGGAACCAATTTCTCTCAAGGTCAACGACAGCTTATTGCCATGGCGCGAGCCCTCCTTCGGCGTAGCTCGATCATTGTTCTTGACGAGGCGACCAGTAGCATCGATTTTGCTACCGATGCCAAGATCCAGAAGACCATTCGCGAGGAGTTCAATGATTCGCTCCTTCTCACTGGTGTGTTCTTATCACCGTGTTCTCCTCGCTCATGCTGACTCTTCTTTAGTTGCACATCGTCTCCGCACAGTTATTGATTATGATCGGTTGATTGTCTTGGATAAAGGCCAAGTACGTTATTGGGGGATGGCAGCTTTCTGACCAGTGAAGACTAACGAGCCTCTTCCATAGATTGTGGAATGTGATACTCCCTGGAACCTCATTAACAAATCGGATGGCATCTTTAGAAGCATGTGCTTGAAGAGCGGATCCTTCACCGAATTAGAGAGTTCTGCAAAGGCCAAGGCATCCTTAGTCGATCAATAATCCTCTCAGCTTCTCTGCAAATTCTTTGGGTGCCCTTTCCCAGCGATCATATTAAAGTATTTATGCCTCATCTAGCTAGACGATCTTTGCACCTCGCTTTCTTTGTAACACGATCTGAAGAATAAAATCTTGAGCCCGCAACCGTTCTGTCGCAGCCCGTCCGATGTGTACAACCTTGGTAATCCTGGGAACAAATCATCAGTCAAGCTTCTGGAGTTCTTTGTTGGTTTTATTCCTAAACATGCCCTACGGGCGCGCCTGGACACTACCTGCTCAGTGAAGTTTCTATTTCACTCATCTTCATGCAAATATAACTGGACGAGACTTCATATAGCAGCAAATATCCACGAAATCTAATTTGCGCCAATACCGCTGTGCAGAATACAATATAGCGGGCAAAAATCTTTATGCAATATCGTCTCCGGACAAAGATCCCTGGGATGTCGTATACTCGATCAAATACACATACACCCAATTAAAAACTAGATCCTGCTCCTCTTAGGCCTTCCGTGACGCGGAGGTGCGCCTTTTGCCAGGCAGGAATTCCCAGCGTGTTCATTAGTCAAATTTCCACCAAGGAACATATTCGAAAAGTGTCCATTGATGGTTGACCTGTATACCTTCAGAGGGCCTCTTTATCTTGTACAACAGCGAATTGGCACAGCGGGGGGTGCAATAATGACTTGAAGAAAAGAATTAAACTGACTCCCGCCTGAACCGGCCCGTTGGCGTCGGGTCCACCCGTAGGCCGGGATGTCCCGTACAGTCTATAAACGGTCATTTGGACGCCGAAAAGATGAATTTTAAATATCTAATGAAGGGCGCAGTGTCTCGGTTTGAAACTTGGCATACACACTCTCACTACACTTTTCAGTGCCTGTGTATGTTATTAAGTTTATCTAACGACATATGAAGCGTCCGCTGGCAAATTACAGGTGTACAAACCACCGATCAAAGAAAATTCGGACTCCGCTCGAAATCACCCATTTTCATGTCCTCAATTGCGGGGCCAAAACACCTCTATGTCTATCAAATTTTGCATTAATCTTGAGTTCAGAAGCACCGGTTTATGAGAATATTATTTAGGTGATGAAAAGCAAAAGGGAGGTGGAGATATCTGGATGCTAAAAGTGTCCAAACGACCGATTATGTACAATTGACCGTTTATAGACTGTAGATCACGAAATTTCCCTTCTCAACAGGAAAGAGTGCACTTTTTCCCACGCCGTGCTGTAGTAAGACCTGGACACAAGTGTCCAGGCATACCGTGGCTCCAGGCTGCTCAAGATCAGGCTTGAAATCTCCTGCTTCCTGCGTTCCATGATTGCTTGACACGCAGCTACTACAATGTGGGTCATAGATAGGGTTCTAGGGCAGCTTGGCCCAGGTGCGTGTTTGCTCCAGCTGTACTATTATAGAGCTCACGACCCGTTTGTAGGCTTGACCATATTATGCACGTATATTGTTCATGCAAATATTCGCTTCACGAAATCCTTCGGCGCCGCGGAAGATGTCTCTCCATCCATGTGTTTCCAAACATCCAACACAGTCGAATCTCTTGCGACATGTTTTGATAAATTTACTGTTCCATGGGCTTATTACGACCTCCCGACATACAACCTCGCGCAGCCGTCAGACCGCCAGCGCCAGGATTGGAGAAAAGCCGTCTATGCGCTACTCAGTGTGGATGGAAACTGCTCAGACCTTCGAGTTCTCCTTCCAGAGTCGATCCAATCCTTCTATACAATGGCGTCTTTCCAAGACTTCTGCGTTCTGTACGAGAAGATTGCACCTGGTGGCGTCTACTCCAAGGGATGGGGTTTCATGATTGTTCCCGCCACCCAAGCGGGAGTATCGCGAGCCGTTCATTTCTCAGCACCACATCCGCAGTACGACTTGGGCACGGTCGAACAGGCTGCATCGTTATTCAGGTCAACAGGTTCAAGGAGTCTTCTCGTAGCCGGACGGACACGGACGGCTTTCTTGGACCCATCGGATTGCACAGCGCCTACATCTGGCTCGCAGGTGTATTACAAGACAGATCCTGCGCACAACAATGTACAGCAACTTTCATACTAGCACGCGTTGTTGACTAACCAGATTATCTCGTTGTCGTTTCTAGTTGGAGCCATTCTTCGACGCCAGCATTGTCATCTATGACTGGCAGCGCATACACGGCGGCTGCCCATCATCCTCGTGCGCCTTCATCCAGATGCACGGTAAAGGTACCTCAACATGCTCAAATGACACGGTATTTCTGTCGTCCGGTCTTGGTACGTCTCCCCAGGCTCCAGTGAATGATCGAATCCTTGCTAAATCCTCGATTCAGGAAACTCGTATGCCTCGTGGTATACAGATAGCACGGATCGACCTATCAAACGACTACAGCATAATTTACGACTGGCCTTCCCTTTGTGGAATGTTTCTCTCCCTTCGGAAAGCGATTGCCTGCTGACGGCCACGAGAAATGTTGTTGGAAGACGTATCAATGGAATCAACCCTCAACATGTGTGCAGTGTGGCCGCGGACAGCGATGGCGCAACAGGGGAATGGGTCCACATCGAGCAGGCAACGATAGCTCGGATAGGCGACAGCTTTGAAGGATGGTCGCAGGCTATCACACACAGCTTCCCCTCGCATCCCTCGCATGCCGCTCTCCAACCAATCACTCTGCCTTCTATCATACAGGAAAACAAGCACTTAGTCCTACGACCGTAGAAGGGCGCCTAAGGGGAATAATTGCCCGTTTACGCGTAAGGACTGCCATCGTGGCTAACCTTACATGACTGCACACTGGCGCCAAGGACAGCACCTTTCATTCTGGCTGTCCTGTCTGTGGGATTGGGTTTCGACGTATTCTCTGTGGGAAGACTTTCGGGATGGCGATCTTGCTGAAGTGCCGTCGACGATACCTAGCCCCCCTCACTTCGCTTATATTTGGGGGGACAATATTCGAGACTTATCGGCCGTATACGTCTCCAGGAGGAGCATGAGCTCCACCGCATGGCTGCGAGATGCTGTCGCGGCGTCTTGCCCTCCAAGCGCGGAGGCATTGTTTTCACTAGCTGTCAAAGTGGGAGCTCTGTTCACTAGAGGACAATGGATTCCGTTCTTTGGCATTTGTGAGTTCTGGTATTTGTGGCTCCGCGAGTCCAATTTATGAAAAAATCCGCCGGCGCGGTCATTCGCTTTCTACGGCACGCAGCAACACGTATTACGTTTCCTTGGGCTTCATGCATTGGTGCACGAACTGGTCATAAGCGAGGCTGTGGAGGTTTTGGGGCCTTTAGGAGTACTCACGAAAGCATCATAGTTACACCCGAGCGCCTATCCGAGTCGAGACAAGAAACGTCCTGAGACACGCTCGGAACTTGCCCACTCCGCTCTTGCACACTTTATAAACCCCACTCTTTACCCGTGACACTCATCCCGACGTCCTTGCAGCCCTACTCTATTTCAACATACCGGTTCAAACGATGCGGGATTCTTGTTCCATATCGAGGTTGCCCTGTCTTAATCGCTGCTCCACCAAAATGATTCTTCGGGATAACTCTCTAGGGAAAGCCCCCTTAGCATAGCCCAGTCTCTCGCTGATGGGTGGTTCATGTGGACGCGGTCGTAAGAATACCTCAGAAACTCTTAAACCCCCTCCTCAAAGTTCCATATTTTCCGAGGGACGAGCCAGCCTCGCCTCGCGTTTCACCTGCCTTCGCGACCTGTTGCTTCCATCATGTCTCCATCAGTCTTCCCAGGCTCTGAAAGCGCCACAATGGAAGCAGAAAGGAAAATCATCGGTTGGCTGCTCACTCATGTGAGCTCTTATTCGACGGACAAGCTGAACACAAGGTAAGGTGTTCCCGTGGATTTTGTTGCCAATTCCCCGTTGGAGCTCGGTTCTCGCTGTGCACGACAGCCCCACCGACGTGAGACCTTGCTAAATGCTGAGGCATATGCTGTTAATTTACCTATTGGTGGCTATTCTGGCAAACAAGCGTCTTCGTCATCGCCCTTCCTCCTGCCTATTTCCCCACTCGCACTGTGAATTTGTGCTCCAGCTTCAAATTCTTTTCTACCATTCCTGGAGCCACACTACCCGTACGCCACCATTGCGCCTCTTGGGAAATATTGGCGCTCACGCGTGGCTCGGTGTCTTGGTCAAAATTCTTCGTCCTACTTCAAGCATACTAACGAATGTCCATCAACCCGTCGGAACTCAACGAATATGAACGAACTTGAGTCCGCCTTGGCGACATGAACCCTTGACCTTCTCTAGACAATTTCCCCTTAGAATTGCCTTGGCTTCATTCACCGCGGCAAAATTGGCCATGTATTGCCGCTCACAAGACAGATGTCCTACAGTATAAAAAGCTAGAAATTTTCACCAAAGTGTTTCCAAACGAGCTCGAAACCCTTTCGCCCTCTGCACCATTAAAAATGAAATTCGCATCTATCTTAGGCCTTGCCGCACTCATCCACAGTGCCTCCGCGCACTGTAAGTCCTCCTACAATCTCTATCCCCAAGCGCTAACGGTTGCGCCCTCTGTTACTTAGACATCTGGACCACACTTATAGCTGGCAGCACGTCGACCATGAACGCCGTGCGCCAGCCAAGAAACAACTCGCCCGTCGAGAACGTCAACTCGCAGGAGATGCGCTGCAACACGGCGTTCACGTCCGCGGCTGAGACGGTCAACGTCAGCCCGGGAAGCACAATCGGCTTCAGGCTAGACAATACGCTTTACCACCAAGGCCCGGTGGCGATTTATATCGCGAGGGCGCCTGGGTCTGTTGCGTCGTGGGACGGCAACGGCGCGTCTTGGGTCAAGGTCGGTCACTTACTTTGAAATTTAAGATATGAGCTAAACGGCGGTTAGATCGCTGAATGGGGTGCTACCTTCAACCCGTTCAAGTTCGTGACTGAGGGACAGAGCCAGCTCTCTACCACCCTTCCCCGTGTTCCTTCTGGTGAAGTAAGCCGTCAATTATATCCATGCCTATTTCCATTTATACGGCTTCGTACAGTACCTCGTTCGTATCGAACAGATCGGGCTTCACGTCGCCGGCGCGCCGCAATTTTATATTTCTTGCGCGCAGATCAACGTCCAGAACGGAGGTGGCTCCTTACCCGGCGGTGTCTCAATTCCAGGCTACGTCTCAATGTCAGGTGGGCAGACGAAATCTCCTTTGTTTTCATTCTTCATTCGTCTCACCATCCCAAAAGACCCCGGTCTTTCCGTTAACATCTACTATCCGATTCCCACTTCCTACAGGGTAGGCACTGTACGCTTCTCAGAAAACTATTGTTCGCTAATTGTGCACCTATATAGGTTCCAGGCCCAGCAGTTTGGAGGGGATAAATTTGTCCCCACTCTGGAAGGGAGGGATGAACAACGAAAAAATGAATTCGCTACTATTATTTTTGCAGAAAGTCAATTGTACAATTTGGCAATTTTATGAACAAATGGAACATCACCTACTACTACGAGGATAGTGACCGGATCAAATATTCATTCAAAACACGCCTATCTTACACTTCTCAAACTCCCAATGCAGTTACTCCGTGGCTTTAGTCAAGAAATAGTTGGCGCCCGCTAGTTTCAGCTTGTACGTGTCTGCGAACTTGAGCGCGTCCCAGTTGCGTCGGGTAGGCGGCTCGGCTTTGTGCTCTACCGCATCACTTGGAATAGAAATTCCTTCCGCGGGTTCCTCGAACAGAAGGAAGACTACAAATGATCATGAGTGACATCATTATAGAGTAATATGCCACACACTGTAGCGGTGGAACCCAGAGCCTGGAGGAGGACCCGGAGGGAAATAGGGCGTCGTTGCAGCGTGTGTCTTGACCGCGTATACCCCGTCGGTTTCGGCGGCGTTGGCAGCCGGTAATTTGACTCCCGTCACCTACATAATAAAATCCATAAATGTACCATCCAGTGATACTTGAGATTACGCACAATCCAATGCCTCCATTGCCCATATTTTGGGTCGGCGCGAGACGGTGCGTCGGGGTCCGTCATGACCAACGTGTACGATGTCTCACCGCCCTTGTTGCCGTTGGCAGGCTCGCCGGTTCCTTCCGGGGCAAGCAGCGGGAGAATCTTGATCTGAGGTTCCTCCAAGGTGAGGTTCCGCTCGACTTTGTCGCCCAAGACGACCTCCGTTCCATTCAACGGCCAGGTGATGGAGAACAGGACCGATGGCGAGAACTTGACAGACTCTGGGATCACGTCCGGTATGATCTGCTCAGATCTGAGCGCTGCAGTGACTTTGGTGAGCGGGTCGGACATGCTATTCAAGGTGGAAGTGGTGAAAGACGTCAGCGAGGTCGAGAAACATCTGGCTCTCGCTCCATGATATAGTCCCGTCGGCCCGCCGCGGCCATATAACGGACCGGCCCTTCTCGCCAAGGCCCTGATGCTGGCCCTCCCAAACAGTATCGTAAACATACTCAGGAGGGAGCTGAAACGATGAACAAAGTAAGGAGGAAAAGGCCGGTTCTTGACTCCTGTGTGCGGTATGAGAGCGGCAAGACGGCCCGGACCCAGGCTTCAAGGTCACGTGGATGTATGACGCGTCGCGTCGCGCACATGACCAATTAGGGGCAAGAAAAATGCATAAAGACGCCCATCAATGATTCAAAAAAGAGGATCCCATGCTTCACGACCTTTAGTCACTAATCAGCTCTAAGGCCGCCGACTCAACCGTCATGAAACGCTGAGCAATGAGATGCGTAGGAATTGCACCATGTTACCAGGAGATCTTCCAATCAGAATTTGAGGACAGCAATCGTTGGATCGTGAGTTTCAACTGGGTCTTCTTGAAGTATGTCAGAAGACCGAGCCCAGCATCACTTCGTACAAACAATCCAGGAAATCAGCAAGAGAGAAACGTATAGGGGTCCTAAATAAGTATTGTCCTCCATGGATCAACAAGGGAAAGTGTCAAGAGCGTCGATGTTCATTTCTAATGTCAGTAAACCCATGATTATCTGAGGTGCTCCGACACCGTACGCCGGGCTCTCGCGGTTCTCGCAGTCTTTCCCCGCATTCGGACATATCGGGATACTACTTCCAGGAACATGACATGCGTTTCCCCGCCCACGTGGCACAACATCCCATATCGTAACCTCCATCTTACCCTCGAGCCGATATCTTTTTGGATCTTTGTCTTCGTTTTTATCTTCCAGCGCCCATCGGGGAAGAGGAATCAACGCCACCGTCCTTCCATGCAAGCCACGCGACCATACCCCACAGCTTATTTCGTCTCAGAGCGGCGGCTGACTTCCTGGGTCGCCTTCCTGTTGGCTGGCTGGCGCTCTTCGTAGATCGGTCGCCTAAGTCGCTCGCAAGAAAGCCGGCCACATGGCAGTCTGTCGATTCTGTTCGAGGTTGCCATTCCCGGAGTTCTTAAATAATGAGGCGAAGAGGCTGGCCTTTAAAACGAGAGGATCCCTCGCAAAGGTTTACCCCAGGTCTAGCCATGCGGTCCCTCAAGAATCTAGCAGCCCTCTTGTCGTTAGTTCCTGCGGCATTTGCTCTCCCTCCTCATGAGGTCAGGGTCAATCGCGATGTACTGCGCTCCCGAGCACCATCGGGAAGCAAGTCCGTCATCGTTCAAATGTTCGAGTGGAACTGGGACAGCATCGCCAGCGAATGCACAAACTTCCTTGGACCCGCAGGTTACGGCTTTGTTCAAGGTAAACATTTCAGATATCTGGAAAAATTAACGCTGATCTTCTTGTCATCCTTTAGTCAGTCCACCGGCTGAGCACATTTCCGGGTCCCAATGGTGGACGGACTATCAGCCAGTCTCCTACATCCTGACTTCAAAGCGGGGCGATCGCTCCCAGTTCTCCAGGTAAGCAATAAATGAATATTCTCTGACAACTCACCGACAATTATTTCCAGGATGATCAGCGCTTGCCATGCCGCCGGTGTTGGGGTTATTGTAGGCGAGTTGTGCAGCCTCACAGTCGCACTATCGTCTCACCTATACTATAGACACTATATTCAATCACATGGCTGGAGTCCAGTCTGGCACAGGCGTCGCTGGGAGCTCGTTCACGCACTACAATTATCCTGGTATCTACCAAAGTCAGGTATGTGTGTCCAATACACATTTCTGTTATGCCTTTCCTAAAATGTCGCACTCGCAGGACTTCCACCACTGTGGTCTGACCTCCAACGACGATATCGCTGATTATGGCAACCGCCAGCAGGTGCAGACCTGTGAGCTCAGCAACCTGGCCGAGTAAGCGCCTCCGAAATACCCTCCCTTCCAGCCTCTGACGTAGTGGATATTTTAAGCCTTGCGACTGGGACGGACTACGTGCGCAGTCGACTTGCGGCGTACGCTAACGACGTTCTGTCGCTTGGAGTGGATGGACTGAGGCTCGACGCCGCCAAACGTAATTTTAGTTCGTCTGCCCCTCGACGAGAGGTCTCTAATCCAGTCTCCCATAGATATCGCAGCTGGAGACATAGCGAATATTTTGGGCAGACTGTCAACGACGACGTATATCACCCAAGAAGTGATCTACGGTTCTGGAGAGGCCGTCCAGCCTTCAGAATACACGGGTAATGGTAAGCGCCACCTCATGTATCATAATTGTGGCGCACGAGTTCTTACGTTCCCCCCACAGGCGATGTCCAAGAGTTCGTTCATATCTAAAAGTCTGTGGCGTCATCTCACTAACCGCACGGCTTCAAGATTCCGGTACACCTATGCAGTGAGGGACGCCTTCAACTCCGGAGGGATTTCCTCTCTCCAGAACCTTGATAATAGAGGCAAGATCCTCCCTTCTCTCGTGTGATTCCAGCTTCTCAAGATTTCGACCTTCTTGCCCTTTAGGATGGATCGCTTCAAGTCAGGCCAACGTGTTTGTGGCAAACCACGACACTGAACGAGTACGTCTTCAAGCCTCTCGTATTCCTCTTATAGGTCCTAACCCCGGTCCTCTAGAACGGTGGTTCATTGAAATACAATGCCGCCTCAAACATCTATGTCACCGCACACGTCTTCTCCCTCGCCCACCCTTACGGAACGCCGACCATATTATCGAGTTATTCTTTCTCGTCGAATGACGTGGGTTCTCCCAACAGCGGTGCGCACTCTTGCCTTATTTGTCTCTCCATTTTTCCTCATCGCTATCTCAGGTGCGGGAACGTGCTCAGCGACTGGCGGCACCAATGGATGGCTCTGCCAGCATCGCTATACCGCCATCAGTGGCATGGTCGGATTCAGAAATAACGTCGGTTCCGCAGCGATCAACAACTGGGTATCGCCTCAGTCCCAGCAGATCGCGTTCGGGAGAGGTAGCAGCACCATCCTCACCCTGAGAAGAACACTGATCGATTTTGTGGTTAGGCGCTCTTGGCTTCGTCGCTATTAACAACGCGGACTCAGCATGGACGGCAACCTTCAGCACCTCGCTTCCTGATGGGTCGTACTGTGACGTGATAAGTGGCAGTAGCTCCTCGGGAGCATGTACTGGAACAGGGCGAGTACACTTCTTCGATCGCTGCACTTCGGAGAGAAATATTCATGCCTCCCAACAGTGTCACGGTATCGGGTGGATCATTCTCCGTAACGGTTTCTGCTCGAAATGCCATCGCCATACACACGGGCGCTCTAGGGGCTGGAGGAGGAGGAGGAGGAACAGTTCCTCCTTCTTCTGTCTCCGTCACGTTTCAAGAGACTGCAACCACCGTATGGGGCGAGGTGAGATCCGCTGGCGGATGAACTCACTGTGAATCAACGCTTAATGTCTCCCAGAATATCTTTCTGGTCGGTAGCCTCTCCCAACTTGGATCTTGGACCCCAGCAGCTGCGGTCAGTGCCCTAACGGCGCTCAAGGAAAAGTCTGACCTTTCAACCAGATTGCCCTCTCATCTGCGGCCTACCCTGTCTGGAGTGTGACCGTCTCACTCCCGGCCAGCACCACCTTCCAGTACAAGTTCATTCGAAAGCAGTCGGACGGAACGGTGTGTAGCGAGGCACAGCCACCGGTCGATCATTGCTGATGCTGGGCGCTTAATTGTCCAGGTTGTTTGGGAGTCGGATCCTAATCGCCAGGCAACCACAGGCTCTTCTGGATCTCAAACTATATCTTCCTCCTGGCAATGAGCGCTCTAGGTGCTGGTGGGATTGAGCGCTGGTACCAGCAAAAGACAGAAAGAATGTTAAGTGCGGCTAATCATAACTGACGAAAGAGCTATTCGGAATCCAAAGCAATTGTAGCTAATAGTTGCTCTGTATCAAATTTTGAATGTATACCAAGTCATTCAGACTCCAGTTTCCGAGACCGCTTCCGCGTCGAAGACAAGGCATTATACTTCCTATTTTAGTCAACGGACAGTACGCGCCTCCGAACTGGGCCACGTGGGCCACGTGGGTGACAATTCCCTGGGCTGACCGAATCGGACACCCATGCCAATCATGCTGCCAGTGTTAGATGCTATTTCTGCACAAACTTGTGACAAAACTGGGTATGCTCTAAGACTCTCACAAGCTACTCTTAGGCTGTGGAGCGGCCAAGACAGCCTGGCGCCAGTCTAACCCACAAGTGCATCAACTCACTTAATTAAACCCAGGCAAAAGGTCGAATCCGCTCGTTACTGCGCAAGGAAGCTGTCTCTACGGTCCTATAGCCCCCTGGAAATCATTCAGGCTTCGTATAAATACCGAATGCTGGAGTTGCTGTGGGTAGGTTGTGTTCCTCGATAACAAATACAGATTAGGCATCTCCGGCTCCGACGAATGCAGACACCATATTTAATCATATGGCTTCAATGCAACTCAAAACAGGCGTCGCAGGGAGTCCGCACACTCACCACAACTACCCGGGTGTCTATGAGACGAAAGTTAGTCGAGCTGTTCTCGACGGTCGCGGTTCTGACTGAATGCATCGCTCGCACTCGCCTTCAGGGCTTCCACCGCTGCAACATTACTGCACAATTGCAAACTATACGGATCGGCAGCAGGTTCAGACATGCGAACTTCTGGGCCCTACAGAGTGCGCGCTTCACATCCACGATATTCACTTTCTCCAATCTTCGTTTCTGCTGATGAATCTTGCAACCGAGACGGAGACCGTTCGCGGTCGTCTTGCGGAGTATGCGAATGACCATCTTTTTCTAAGACATCGCTGCCAGTCACACTGGGAATGTCTTGAGAAGGCTCTCAAGGAGGGCTTACATTACCCAAGAGGTTATTCACTGCCCTGAGGATGTCATCCTGCCCTCGGAATGGTGAGAGGGTTTAATTTCAATGCCAAATCAACGTTCAACCCTGATACTTGTAATTTGAAGGCGATGTTCAAGAGTTCATCACGGAACCGATCAAATCTTGTGTGGCGCTTAGTGTTCTATTTTTAGATTCCGGTACACCGTTGCGTGCCTTTAATGGGGGAGACATTGCCGGGTTCCGTAATCTCGAGGATAAAGGTAAGAATAGTTCACTATAAAATGCCTTTGACCACCTGACTTATATTATTTCTCAGGCTGGATCCCAGGTAAACGAGCGAATGTCTTCGTCTCGAACTATGATACAGAGCGTGCAAGCGCCTCCTAAAGTGTCCAAGGGTAGGATGACTACTAACTGCGCCTACCTGAATGGCCATATTTTTTCACTCGCTCATTCTCGGATACGGCACGCCGACCGTCCTATCCAGCTACGCTTACACGTCGACGGACGAAGGTGCTCCTAATAATGGTATGGATACCTGGATGTTCATGGCCATCTTCTCTGCTATAAATAACAATCGATGACCAGGGACAGGAACCTGCTCAGCCACCGGCGGCAAAAACGGATGGTTTTGCCAGCATCGCTATTAGCGAGATGGTTGGCTGGGCGCCAATGACCAATTGGGTGTCTCCTCGGCCTGAACAGATTGCGTTCGGAAGAGATATGTATATGAGGTCCAATTGGCTTCTCGTGGTTATCTTGTGCTCGGTCCAAATAATAATACTCGCGATACTATGCCCCTTCAGTTTCGTGGCAATAAACAATGCCGACGTCGCATGGAACGTGGCTTTCAGCACCTTTCTTCCACCAGGATCGTCCTGTGACGTCGTCAGTGGTAGAAGCTCGTCAGGCCCATGCACTGGACTTGGGTGAGTGCTGTCCAACACGGTACTGATTCTATTATCCATATTCCTTTCCTTAAGCTTTACCGTATGATCTGGGTCTTTCACCGCAACCATCCCGCTCGGAGTTCCATCGCTATCCACACGGTGCTCGGGGCACTGGAAGTGCTGCCCAGCCAGCCTCCATTATCAATACTGTCTCGTTGACTTTCGAACAGACTGTAGAGACCGAGGCCGGCGAGGTGAAGGAGTTTACCAATGAATGCAATGAAAAATGCGCTCAATTTTCGGTAGAAGGTCTTCGTCGTTGGAACCTCATGCAGCTCGGGGCTTGGAATCCGGACTCTGCGGTGCGTATTCCGGCATCTTATCGAGGCGGTCGTCGATTTTTGGCACAGATTCCACTTTCTAATGTGTGGAATGTGACCGCATCCATCCTCTCTGATACCATCTTCGTATTCAATTTCATTCGAAAGACTTCAGAGGGAAATGGTGTTGTTCGCCTCGGCGCTTTTATATATTTCTTGGCGACTGGGCGCTAATTTCCTATTGGGTCACCAGGTCGTTTGAGTCAGACCCCAATCGTCAAGCAACGACGGGGTCCTCGGGCTCGCAGACCATAGCTTCTTCATGGAGGTAGAAATGAGGCCGATTTAGATTCTATCAAACACTCTTTTCTTTGGCGCTCTTTACTCTACATACATCCGCTAGCATTCTTCTTAATAATGACTAATGTTTCAGAAATGAATTTAAATTGTTGCACATTTAATCGGGATGAAGAATCGTGCCTTCCTTTCAACCCCGCCAGACGGCAGGTCCAGGAACCTAATAAAAAAATCAGCATTGCAGGGATCACTAAACTAATGAAGCTGCTTACCGTGTACGAAGTTGGCACTGGGTTGTAGATGTTGACGGTCAAGCCGGGGTCTACAAGGATTCAATCTAGCATTCACTTGTTTAAGAAGCTTTATTGGTTGATCTTACCTGAAGCGGGGACGTATCCGGGAATGTTGACCTTCATCGGGTTTCCAGATCCTCCTCCAGTGATGTTGATCTGGGCACAAGAGATGTACCATTGAGGAGCGCCGGCGACGTGAAGACCAATCTGCTCAATACGGACGAGATACTGCGGAGTTTTTGGTGGTGTGAACGGTTGTAGGGTAGGTAGTTAACGTGAAGAAGACCACGCGTACCTCGCCGGAGGGAGTAGAAGCAGGGATGGTGGTCGTCAATTGGTTGGCGTTGAAGTCGGTGAATTGGAATGGGTTGAAGGTCGCGCCCCATTCGCCGATCTTCGAATACCGTGGTTAGCGAGTTGGTCATCACACTCAACATATTGATAAGATACCTTGAACCAGTTGGCACCACTTCCGTCCCAGCTAGCGACGGAACCTGGGGCCTTGCCGAGGTAGATGGCAGCAGGGCCCTGGTGGTATAGCGTGTTGTCGAGCTTGAAACCGATGGTGCTGCCGGCGGCAACGGAAACGGTCTCGCTCGCAGGGCTGGGGTTCACGTTGCAGCGGACGTCGTTCGAGGTGACGGAGGTGACGGGTGAATTGTTGATGGGTTGACGGACAGCCGCGTTGGACGTGGTGCTGCCCGCGATGAGTGTCGTCCAGACATCTAGGATATCATTAGCAAGAGTGGCTAGAGGAAGGGCTGAAAAGGGTGGACGCACAGTGCGCTGACGCGCTTTGTGCGAAGACTGCGAGAGCTGCGAGACCAGAGAGCTTCATGTCGTGTTGAGCAATGAAACGGCTTGTCGACTGAAGATCTCGACGCGAGGCTTTATACCCTCAAGACGGAAAAACATAGTCACGCATCGCAGATATTACAAGTCAGACTTCTGCCGCTAGGTTGCACCAAGAAAGACGAGAATCCCACCAGCAAACCCCTGCCGGCGAAGGTACGGAGGAATCAGTACGACGTCCCCCTGCCCGGGCACTCGCATCCAGGTAGATATTCGGTGAAATTTGGAGTGACTTGCGACGACAACAACGAATGCGAAAGTGGGGACAGGTAACCAGCCAAGAGACCAAGAATAGAAGCGAGAAAGCAGAACCACGAACTAGACCTTCCGAAAGAGCAAGTTATAAAAGGATTAGATTAAGAGGCGATTCAGTTGACTCCCGCTATTCATAGACGCCCAAATTTACCGGTGTATCATGCGGGAGAGTGGAGCAGAACGCGGGGATTGAGCGTCGTTCGTAAGTCGAAAAACGCGGACAGAGCGAGGTTTTGGGGTTTCTGGATTCCAAAACCACACGGGGTACGGCAGAAATTGCGATATTTATGACCAAGGGAGTCAAGATTCGTTATCTTGATCTCCAGAGGGTTTATCGATATGCAACTATGGCGCCTTTTATTCTTTAAATTTCCGAGGACTCCACCCATGAAGCAGAGGCTAGGTCGGAGAAACCAGTTTTGTCAAAAGCCGGATGCGCAAGCCATGAGATAAGATTAGAGAACCGGAGAATCCAAAATGCCTCACGCAAGGCGCCACAAAAGGCCGCAAACCGATGCCGAACGTGCAACATCCGCTGACAAAGGTGCTAACCTGTGTTAATTCGCAACGAAGGCAAAACAATTCTGTTCGCCGTTGAGAAAGCTTATATCCTTGACGTGCGGGGGAAACTTCGACCGCGACGGTAAGAGGATGATCTGAAGATGATCATGGTAGTAGAAAGCCGACTCTAAAAATAGCGCCGTAAGCAAAACAAATATCTAGCACGTGAGTCAAGCGACTTTCTCATAGTACCACTCCTGGACTCTCAAGAATTGCTTGCGAGACAATAGGCAGGTATGGGCCTGTTCTCAAAGAAATGGAATCCTGACGGCAAGGTATGTCTTGGTGGTTGAAGCTGAGTATCCAGACCCTGACCAAATGTGCACTGAAGCATGTTTACATTACAGGTGGTAGCACTGGCCTGGGACTCAGCCTTGCTCAGCTTCTGACGCGAAAGGGAGCACATGTATCAATTGTCGCGAGAAACAAGGACAAGTTGGACGCGGCCCTTGCGTCATTTGAGGTACCGCCCACAGCTACCACCTGCGCCCATTATCGCTGACATTGTCTAGAAAGAACGCGTGAGTCCTTCCCAAGTCCTGAAAGCCTACTCGCATGCATTGGATACGGCTGCTGCGTCGACCGAGGCACTCGAAGCTGTCTGCGAGCCGTTTGGAGGTCAAGCCCCTGATGCGATAATTATGTGTGCTGGCGCCTCAAAACCCATGTTCTTCGTGGAGATGACCGAGGAGGACTTGGTAAACGGGATGACGAATGGGTACTGGGTGCAAGCTTGGACGGCCTGGGTGCGTTCTTCTAGAGTTCCACTCTATACACACGTCTCAGACGGCCCTTCAGGCAGCAGCCAAGAAGATGGCCAAGCAGCATAGAGCAGGCTCGAAGATCGTCTTTGTGTCTTCCACTCTGGGGTACATGACCTTCATCGGCTGGGCGTCGTACTCCCCACCCAAACACGCTCTACGAGGTCTCGCGGACACGTTACAATCCGAACTGATGCTCTACGGCGTGGATGTGCACATCTTCTTTCCACCGTCGATGTTTACACCCGGGTTTGATGAAGAGAACAAGACGAAGCCTGCCATCGTCAGGAAGATTGAGAGCGCGGACGAAGGGATCACGCCAGAACAGGCTGCGGTGACTTTGTTCAAGGGTGCGTCCTTCTGGCTGGCGTTAGGCCTAGCTAATTCTCGATTGGCAGGGGTGCAAAATGGAGAGGCCCATATAACTGCCGATCTCATTACAACTCTCCTCAGGGCGTCAACGCGTGGCCCGAGTTACAGGTCTAATTGGTTTTTGGACGCACTGTACGACATGGTTGCCTATGTACGTTTTCTTGCTTCATTCATGATTTTCCGCTGAGACAATTCCAATTGTAGATTGCTATGCCTGTCTGGAGATCATCTGTGGACAAGCAAGTTGTGGAACACCGAGAAGAGCATGAGCGTTATCTCTCCCAACAGGGTTTCTTCTCATAGCGAGCCCTTTCTTCCCTTCGTTCGTGTACTCTGCCAGATTTTATATCCCCTTTCTATATGCTTGGCTCCGTAAACTCAATGTGCCATGTATGTTAGGAATTACCGGAGGTTTTCTCAAGAAGATTTGTGCCACTTTCAAACTAGCGGAATGAAATTATTGACGCCGCTGTAGCCCTCTTTCTGATGGGTATCACAGGCAACATTGAAACGGAGGAATGGCGACCTACAAAGATGTGCGGCCAGGAGAAAGGTAGAGCGTCTGCTTTTGAAAAATCCAAGTCTTATTTGATCAGGAAAGAATCGCCTTTTAATCGCAGAAATAGTGCATTCTCGACGAAGCTTCATTTTTTCACTCAAAGGCTTGAGATTGTCATGTTGACCTTCGATGGTGCTCCCAACATATCCCACAACCATCCTGGACTCGAAGTCGGCATTCGTTGTCGATGAGACGCGCACGCGTCATGGGGGCATTTTATCGCGTCTCCAGGCATTTGGAGTTCTCGTGACCCTTGATAGATTTTGAATCGGCAGAGACATATTTCCACATACGATGAAGGCCTCTGGAGTTGATGGACCATTGGAATGGCCGTAGGCTCCGAGCCGCCGCTCCGTAGGCGCGTGGGAAAGTAGTTCCGGCCCGGGACTCCTTGGCCTCGATTCTGTAGGTCGATGATCCTCTGCTTCTTACTTACTTACTTACCAGGCTGCTTCTCGCGTCGAGGCATCTGAGTTATGGATCACAACGGTGGAAGAACATGAACAGCACACGGAAAGTTACGCACATGAGACAGATCGCGGAGCAAGTCGCCTTGGACCGAGGCACGGTCGCCGCGGCTGTCCTCAGCTGAATCTTAGAAACCTTTGTTGAACATTGAAACAACAGGAGGCAGTAGGCATCCGCCTTGCAAAGAACACCAGCATAACCCAATCGCAACGTAGTCCTGTCAGATGTATTCTCGATTTCCTTCGTGAAATCGCTCCTGCAGCCCCTCTTTCCGAAGAATCGCTTCGAACTTGGCAGCGCATGAATTGGTGGTGATTTTGACCCCAAAAAGGACCGCCTTTCGGCAGAAAATGTGAGCTTGCTAAATTAAGCAGCCTTCTAGACTAATGACGTCTTGTTCTTCGAATCGGTCTGGATAGATAAAGCCGACACCGCACAGCGATCTTTCCTCCCCCACGAGTGTCCCCATTCGCCGCCGCCGCCGTCGAAAATGACCTCGACTATCGACCCGAAGACCATTGGAAGGCCCGCAAGGCCTCGTCGTCATGTTCGCACTCTTACTGGTGGGTACCGACTGGTCGAGTCGAACAGGACTGGCACTGATGATGTCAACAGGATATCTACCCGAGAAAGACGCGTCGGGCAGGGAGAAGTGGCCAAAGGGGGACGAAAAGACATGGAAAGCGGGCCTGCGCTCAGTCGATAAAGGTTCATCATTGTTGCGCTGTCGTAGAACTTACTAACGCCAGCGCAGACGTCGACGCCATCACCAAATCCTTCGTCAACCATGTACAGACATCTCTTGCTCGCCAGCCATACAACATTGGTATATCTCGTCTGTGCATTCCTTTGAACGATAGTTGACGATTCGATTGCCCAGATAACCTCGGCGGATACCAGGCGACTGCGTTGTCGGTCAGAGACAACCTTCTGGTACTGTTTGGTTCCAACGAGGCGCATATATCGATCTAACATCTCTCATCAAGGTCAACTGGAACGAAACTCAGCTCCACTACACTCGCAAAGCACCTAAACGCGCGTATTACCTTTCCTTGGAGTTCCTTATGGGCCGAACCCTTGACAATGCGGTACGCTCCACCGATCTAGAGCCCTTCCAATTCCAATGTTCTTTTCAGCTTCTGAACCTTGGCCTGAAAGGCCAGTACAGCGAAGGTGTCCAAAAACTCGGGTTCAGTATGGAGGATATTTTGGAACAGGAACGTGATGCTGCCTTGGGAAACGGTGGTTTGGGCCGACTTGCCGCCTGTTATCTCGACTCGTCTGCTTCTCAAGAGCTTCCACTTTGGGGCTATGGGCTGAGGTACAAATATGGCATTTTCCAGCAGCTCATCTCCCCCGAGGGTAATCAGTTGGAGGCCCCCGATCCGTGGTTGGACAACCAGAACCCATGGGAGCTTCCACGTCTTGATGTCACCTACGATGTGCGATTCTACGGTCAAGCCGAGAGGTTGAGTGATGGTACTGGGCGTGCTTTGTGGCAAGGAGGGCAGGAGGTTTTGGCCGTCGCCTACGATGTCATGATCCCTGGTTATGGCACGAAGACGACCAACAACCTGCGTTTGTGGGAGAGTAGGCCGAAGCGAGGTTTCGACTTGAATTCTTTCAATGGTGGGTCAGTCATGAATTCTAAAGCTCTTTTTCTCACATAGATTGGTTCAGCCGGAAACTATGAGGGTGCGGTCGAGTCGTCGAACAGCGCTGCAGCCATTACTTCGGTGCTGTATCCCAATGACCATACGTACGTGAACATGCTTCTTTTTCTTGAACCGATCTAATTTCCGACTGCTGCAGGACGTGTAAGTTGTTGTTCATATTATTATATCTAGTATTCACGCGATCACAATTCAGTTGGCAAAGAGTTGAGGTTGAAGCAGCAATAGTGAGTTTCAGTTGACTGGCTTGCCTGCATTGCTGACAGAGTTTTGCTTTCCAGTTTCTGGACTGCAGCCAGTCTTCAAGACATCTTACGTCGTTTCAAGAATCTCAACAAACCTATCCAAGAGTTCGCTGATTGTGAGTATCCTATCTAGATTTATTCGTTCTTCCGATCTTAACTTTTTCTTCAGATGCTGCCATCCAGCTCAACGATGTATGTCGCTCAATGGTTCTCTTTGTAATTCATTCTGATCGAAGGTGGTGTTGCAAAGACCCATCCAACTCTCGCCATTCCCGAGTTGATGCGCATTCTGATCGACGAGGAAGATCTTCGGTGGGACGTGGCCTGGTCAATCGTGACGAACACGTTTTTCTACACGAACCATACAGTGTTGCCAGTAAGAGTTGTCCGCGGCAGATTTGAAAGGAATATTTGTTCATTCTTTTTACAGGAAGCACTAGAGAAGTGGCCTGTGCCGTTGATTGAACACGTCTTGCCCAGACATATGCAAATTATCTATGATATTGTAAGTTGTTTCGATCCTTGAAGTGGCGGTGGTACTGACGCCAAGGCGTTGACAGAATCTGTCCGTTCTTTCTCTTATTGTTAAATTAAAAATTGACCCATCGCTCGGCCGTTCGTTAGGTTCTTCCTCCAAGGTATGATCAACGCCAGCGAATCCGAGTCGAGGACATTGACCTGCTTCATCCCAGCTGTTGAGAAGAAGTTCCCAGGAGACCGCGATAGATTGGCTAGAATGTCTTTGATCGAAGGTCAGTGCTGTCGGCTTCCTTGATGATGATGCAGCGTTCTCACTTTTCTCTTCATCAGAGGGCGTGCCCAAACAGGTCCGTATGGCCCACCTGGCTTGCATTGGAAGCCGCAAGGTCAACGGTGTCGCTGAGGTAAGGGCACATTTTTCATAGGCGAGGCAAGTTGACCAACACCTCGTAGTTGCACAGTGAACTTGTCCGCACTACTATCCTGAAAGATTTCGTAGAATTCGAAGGAATAAGCAAGTTTGGCAACGTCACTAACGGAAGTATGTACCCCTTTATTTTTATTGTAGGATGCCGGAATATCACTTACACGGATTGTGCAGTCACCCCTCGTCGCTGGCTCGATCAGGTTCGTACACTACCATTCGCGCCAACATCTTCGTCTGACTGCCCCTGCAGTGCAACCCCGAGCTTAGCGCGCTTATCTCAAAGACGCTGAAACTGGACAAGAGGGTCTGGTTAAAGGAACTGACTAAACTGGAAGGTCTCATTCCGTTCGCTGAGAACAAGGCATTCCGCAAGGAGTGGGCCGCGATCAAGCAACGCAACAAGGAGCGTCTGGCACATTACGTGCAGACTACGTTAGGCCTCATCATCCGCACGGATGCTATGTTCGATGTTCAGATCAAGGTGTGCTTGTCAACGTCTTCGCTGGTGTCAAATGGTGGCTAATGAGAGATTTTAGCGTATTCATGAGTACAAGGTGCCTTCTTCTCGACTTTCTTGTGTGAAATGAAGCTGAGACTACAACACTAGCGTCAAACTTTGAACATCCTCGGTGTCATCCACGTATGTTTCCTTCGCGTAATCGCTGACTGCTTCCTCATCATTTCATGAAGAGATACTTCACTTTGAAGAGCATGACGGCTGCCGAGAAGAAAAAGGTCAATCCTCGTGTGGTTTTCTTCGCCGGAAAGGCTGCTCCTGCTTGTGAGTTCCTCGTTTGTCTGCAGTTGTACAATGGGCTCATTAGCTGAATGCTAGACTACATCGCTAAATTGGTGCGGACTGCGTAGGCAACACTCCTCTCATCTGTTAACTAATGTTCGAATAGACGATACGCCTCGTCGTCAATGTCGCTCGTATCATCAACGCCGATCCGGACACTAAGGATTATCTCCAACTCTATTTCTTGCCTGACTACTCAGTTTCATTGGCAGAGGTTTTGATTCCTGCGTCAGATATCAGTCAACACATCTCGACCGCTGGTACCGAAGCGTCTGGAACCTCGAACATGAAATTCTGTTTGAACGGAGGCCTGCTGTTGGGAACTGTTGGTATGCTTTTGTCTGTTCATTGTTCTCCAGTCTCGTGTTGAAATCTTACGTCTAGATGGTGCTAACATCGAAATTGCTGAGGAGGTCGGCGAGAATAACGTTTGTAAGTCGTGGGCCTTGCACTTTTCGGGATCGACTAAGCTCATGATATGCGTACAGTCTTCTTTGGCCACTTGACCCCGTAATTATCGCCTTTTACTCAACTATGCTTTAACGCTGATCCTGCTACAGAGCCGTTGAGGATCTACGATACCAACATCTCTATCATCCCATTCCAATTGAACAGAAGTGCCCCGCTCTTGCGAATGTTTTGGATCAGATTTCGGGAGGTGCCTTCGGCGATGCTGGGGTCTATGAACCGTACGTTGGACTTGCGTCCCCGTCTTCGTTCTCCCCCTAACTTGTTTCTGTCTTCAATCAGGCTCGTCAACACCATTCGACAGTCTGATTACTACCTCATCTCGGACGACTTCGACTCCTGTACGTTTCATTCGGTTGAACGCCTTCCAGAAGCTGATTGATATTTCTAGACCTTGCTGCGCTCGACATGGTGGACGAGGCCTATCTTGACAAGGAGGAATGGATTAAGAAGTCGATCTACACGACCGCCAAGGTAATTCTTTTGGCAAGTTCAAATCTTCGGCGGACGACTTGCTGATGACTTCCGTGCTTGTTATCTCAGATGGGCAAGTTCAGCTCCGACCGCGCAATAAACGAATATGCGGAAAGCTACTGGAACATCGAGGCCTGCCCCGTCCTTGCTTGAAATTAAAAATTTGGCATAGTGTAAGGTTTGGGTACCCGTCATTTTTCGAATGGACTCTTGTAAATAAGTTGGCAACCTAGCATGTGAAGTTATGTGAATATGTTATACACGAGCAACTCACAATTTATTCTTTGATGTGGCAGAACGCAGTGTAGATGTCGCGACAGGTCACGCCACGAGACTGCTTGTAACGCAATTTGAATTTGGCTCTGCTGTCACAACCCCTTTTGTTCTTGACGTTACATGAATGAACCAAGTTCGTCAAACTTGGCAACGCCGCCCTCGGATTCCTTCTATCCTAATGTACCCTCAATGGGTCAAGATGCTGCGAACAAGACTCGGAGGCCTATTGGCCAGAAAGACTCAGAAAGATGTATGAAGTGAGTGCCATCATCATGCCCACGATGTTCGACTCAAGTTGACCCTCGGTTTCACAGAGTGCTTACTCGAAGTGAGTGAGAATTCTTATCCAGCTTGTCTACCTCTCATGTGCGCTCAGTATTTGGTTATTCAAGCTATAAGGGCAAGCAGAAGGAGATCGTAGAAGCTGCATACGGAGGTGGGATTGGCTCAGGACCGGAAATGCACATTCGAGGACGTGCAATGCTGATGATGTCGACGCACAGGTGCAGACGTTCTGGTGGTCGCACCGACTGGCATGGGAAAGGTTTGCTCCTCATATCGACCTCCGAACGAGACACCTGAAAGTTGCTTTCCAGAGCCTGTGCTTTCAGGTGCCTGCTGTCGCTGACAAGGTGAGACTACGCATTTGTTCAACTCCGTGATAGGGAATACTGAGGGTGACTATCTAGCGTGGTCTTTCCGTCGTCGTTTCTCCTCTGCTTGGTATGTGTCAAGGTTCCTCACGGGGCCGCATATATTAAACCCTGTCCAGCTTTAATGCAGAATCGTACGTTTGTTGTCAGCGTTTGAGGCAAGAGTCTGAGCCTTTGCCTCGCAGAACTTGATAATCTGCGGTCGAAGGGCGTAGAAGTCGCCGCGTTGTCCTCGCAAGTGGATTATTCAGAAAAAGAGGAGGTCAGTGCTTAACACTGCTCTTCCTTGGAATCTTCGTCTTAATGATAATTGCAGATCCAGCGAGAATTAAAACTTTATGATACTCACGTCAGGGTCCTCTATGGTAGATTTTTTAATCTGCCTGCACCACTTGGCCTGAATCAACTCTCCAGTTACACCTGAAAGACTCCGCACTGCAGAATTCCTAGCTTTATTAGACATAATTCACAAGAACCATAATCTGAACCGACTGGTGGTCGACGAGGCTCATTGCATCTCGGTCAGTAGCCTGCTACCTTGAGTACTCCGTCATAAGTTGAAATAACTGACGATTTGCAGGAATGGGGCCACAACTTCCGGGGCGATTATCGTCTCATTGGAAAGTTCCGTGAACGATATCCCGATGTCCCAATCATGGCTCTAACGGCCACTGCCACATCAATGTATGCGTCCCATTTCGCTCGCAGGATATTTCTGCTAACTCTCGAAATTAGAGTCCAAAAAGATATCATACGAAGCCTGAAGATGGATGACAATCACCTTTTCATCGCTCTCCACCCTTTCAACCGCTCGAATCTCTTCTATGAAGTCCGGCACCTCTCAAATCCCGAGCCGCTCAACCAGATGGCGGACATCTTCGATTTCATAACCACCCTTTACCGTCGGCGGGGCAAAACTTCATCTGGGATTATCTATTGTCGGCATAAGAAGACATGTGAAGAGCTTTCAGGCTACCTACGCGGCAAGGGTCTAAATGCGAAGCCTTATCATAGCGGCTTGCCGTATGTGCTTGCCTTTTCTGCTTCGTTTGTGCTGACATGAAGCTAGCAATGCCACATTGGAGAAGACTTTGAAGAGCTGGACTATTGGGTCGTCTGAACCCGGTGGGGTGGATTTGGTGAGATTGGTTTGTCTGTTTTGGTATGTTCCCTGCTGACTTCTTTCTCAGGTCGTTGCGACGATCGCTTTTGGTCTAGGTATTGATAAAGGCGACGTTCGGTATGAACTTTAGTTCTAATTGTTTCTGAAGCATGTCTGAATTGTGTTCCGACAGATACGTCATCCATTATGATATGCCTAAAAGCTTTGAGGGTGCATACAGCTGTGATCAAAGTTTCTGATATCTCAGCTGACGCTTTCGAGATTGCAGGCTATTACCAAGAAACAGGTCGGGCAGGTCGTGATGGGCATGTAAGCTTTGCATAGCTTATTTGTTATGGTAAAGCATTCTTTAATTGACCTGATACTTCGCCTCATTCTAGCCCTCGAAATGCGTCCTGTATTATTGTAAGATTTGAGCGCCCCCAAGGCATCTAACTACTCTCTAATTTTCATTGTCAGCACGGGAGGATGCAATCCGAGTCAAGAGATTCGTCAAAACCGATCCTAATCGACGTCGAGACAAGGAGGACGATGAGCCTACACCTACTCAGAGGGCATCTGGGAGCTTGGATTCTGTAAATGGAATTCCACGAACTTTGGAGCACAAGTCTAACGGACCTGCCCTCTAGCTGATTCAGTTTGCAGAAAGTGCTACACTTTGTCGGCATGTCGTAAGTTCCGTCATAAGACATTCATTGAGAAATCTGAGGTCCTACATAGTCAATATGCCGATACTTCGGCGAACCCATCGATGAAAAGGACGAGGAGCTCGTCAAGGTGTACTGCGACAACATGTGCGATGTATGTCTTCTCTATCGATTCTAATCCCCTCCTCCAATAACCCTCGACGCTTCCAGGTTTGCAAATACCCTGACAAAGTCAAGGCGAAGATCACCAAGCTCTCGACGAGGGAAGATGCCGCCAACCATGTTCCCTTCGCTAAGTCCATCTATGGACCACCGGTAGCCAATGGTGCGGAAGGCCAGTCATCATCGAGAAATACGCCGGGTCCATACGATCGACAGGGTCGCTATGCGGATCGTGGTTTACCTCCAAAGAGGCCAAGTTCCAACTCCGCAGAGGGCTCGTCAAATCCAGCACCAGCAAAGAAGCTTAAGGTGGCGCTGGCTCCTATGATGGGTAGGTTCTATGGAGCTTCCCTCTGTTTCTCAATCTGATGCTTGCATGGTAGTTACGAAACCTTTCGGCTCTGCTGTTGGCCTCTCCAAACCTTTCAGACCACCTTCGTTCGTTGGAGCCTCCACTGCAAAGACGGACGTTGCTATGCCTGCTGCTCCTCCGTCGGCTGGATCGACACGAGTGGCAGCTGCTCCGAAATCTCGGCCAGAACCGCCACGTCAACCAAGGCTACCAGCAACCGCTCAAAGAGCACCTCCCCAGGACTACATAGATGTGGACGAGGAAGAATGTATGCACTTCATGCCAAGACAATACATTGAATACTAAAACGGTTTGCTTCTAGCTATGCAGATCGACCTACCCGAGGTTGACTTACCATGGAAGATTGAAGAATCTTCAAAAGCATCAGTAAATTGTCTCATCTTATTTCTGTCCTCACAAATTTAGTTTCCGTCTCTTTCAGAAAGCTGATCGTAGAAAGGCTTTGGATGGCTTGCGGGCCAGCTTCCATAAAGTGCTCACGTCTCCTATTAACCTTGACGATTACTGGGAGAAGATAACGAGCAGGTCGTTGACGGATGACCAAAGGTCGGTTGTCGTCCACTCTTTTCCACATGTATGCGATCTGAACCTCACTTGCTAGGTACCAAGCCATTTTCCAAGCCGCCGTCGAGCTCGAGCAGTCCGCCATCCTTTATTGTAGCACGTTGGATGGTTACAACACTCGCATCAGCAGCATACGAGATGATATTAGGGGAATGTCGAAGCTTCATCGATGGGACAAAGATGACGGCGATTTTGAGGAATCGCAGGAAATTATACAGATTCTACGAGTGAAGGCGTTGCCGCCGTCTGCGAGGCCTGCTTCTCGGAAGGGCAAAGAGCGTGCTGGATAGTCTGGATGAGGTCGTGGACGGGAAAACGGACCAAAGACAACTTATTTAGATTAGGGTATAGACGATTAATTCCGCTGCAATAGCATGCTAGCTTACACCCGGATGTTCCAAATACGCACCCCTTCCTCGTGTCGCTCCATCATGTCGAGGAGTTTGGGACGCCCAGAGCCTGCTATCATACTGAAAATAGCAGATGTGCCAGCAAATAGTGTGTCTATATTCGAAGATCGTTAAACGAATCGCTGTCCACAGCTGAAGATTGACTGACCATTTTCCTCTCCACACCTGTTGCAGACCACAACGATAGTCTCCTTCCCTTCGTCTTGTGAGCCCAAATCAGCTTGAGTGTCCCCTCCATCCTCATCCTCATCATCTCCTCGCCCATTCGTCCACAGAGGCCGTAACCTCGATGCCCAATAATTCAAAGTTGACCAATCGCTCGTTTCCTCCACCTCGGTTTTCGAATCAAGCCACGCGTTGAGTAATATGAGCACGTTGGCGTTCTGCGCCACGCAGTGGTCCGCGAGCTCGTACGGTCCGCCACCCAGCGTCCAGGGCGATCGTGGGTTCAGGTCCATGCAAATCCCAAGGCATACTGTGTTGAGTGGAGAGGGCAGATGGAAGGTCTTGAAGCCGTCGCCTGTGCATGAGGAGTGAGCTCGGATGGACGAAAAGATTCAAAGAAATTCAAAGAACTTACCTTCTGTCGCCCATGTAAGATCGGTTTCGTACAAGTACGACTTGCGATATCCGCCCACCCATTCGCCATCGGGGCCATAGAGTGCTGCGCTGTTGGTCCCAACTTGCTCTCTCTTCGTTGTTGACTCGGATGTCGAAGATGACTCTGGGCGCTTGTCAGGACCTTCGGCTGGGTTGGGCGCTCCGTTCACTGGCGATGGATCGTCTGGCTTCGGCTCTTCGGGATCCAGAACCTCCGGATATCCAGCTATCACGTAGCACTCCAACTTCTTTGCGAGCTCGGAGCAGAATTGACATGTTGGCCCTGTTCGAGGTTTCTCGAGGAATGGAGAGATTGCCACTGCGTTTTCGAAGACGTATCCTGCAGAGAAAAAAGTATACTGGTAAGTGAGCACAAAAAGTACAGAAACAGTGACCCACCTGTGAATGCCATCTCAGGAAAACACAGAATATCCAGAGATTGGGGTTGGATTCTACACGTTGAAAGGCGGCAAGGTCAGTCACCTCATGATAATCTCTCGGCCATTCGAGCACCAGACTTTTTGCACAACTCCCTAGCCCTAGCAAAATTGGTCTGCACTTGGCCTATCTTCAGACCTCGTTCGTGTAAGCTGCAGAAACGAGACGCTTTGCATGAATCCGTTGGCGACCAACCTTGGGTGAGAACTGAACAATGCCAATGCGAAGGTTGACGCGGGGTTTTGGCATGTCTACGGAGCCCGGAGGATCAATGACAAGAGAAATAAGAGTTCCAATGTACGACTTTGTGGTGAATATTGGGATTCAGTTGCTGTAGTACCGAAGTTCAAGACTGAGAGGAACGCGGACCGGTGTCATCAACTGATAAGATAACGGAGAAGGACGTGCTCGATCATGAATCATCGTAAACTTCAACTTTAAAGACAAGGTTTATATCGTTTGGTTTATTCCCCTAAAAAATCCTCATTGTGTCATAGCATCAAAATGCACAACAGCCGGGACTAGGCCAGGAGTTCAAGCATCAAGCTCCCAGCGGTCACCCCAGATAGTCAACGATAGTGGCCTCCCCTCTCATGAACTCGAAACCCCAAAGATACCCTCCTAATGGAAGATCTTCCACTTCGCGTAGATACGGCTGGGCTGTCTGGCTCCCTATGAACATCCCTGTTTGTAGGCCAGGCACGACCAAAGAGTATAGCTTGATACGGAACTGTGTGTTGGTCTCAGCATTGTCGAGGATGACGGGCATTATGATGCTTCCGGTAGCTTTTCGCGGTGGTTCACCGCGGGCGCTGAAAGTGACGGCTACGTCTGCGTCGTTCATATCTAAAGGCGGTCGGTAGGCTTCTGGGATGGATTCGTACAGCGCCTGTTGTCCAATGAGATCGGTTAGCAATCCAAACCCTGATACCAGCGAGTTTTATCCTTGCCTGAGACACAAAATTGCCCACTCCTGACGCCAAACAAATTGAGAAGCTTCCATCCGTCGCGGGGTCATGGTGCTCCAAAAACCCGGTGAGATTGGGTTTGTTGCCAACACTCGCTATGTCAGGGGCATACGTCCATCTTCCACGATGAGTGTCATCATAAAGTGTTGGTATCTCGACATATTCTGGCGGCTCCGTCGACATTGCGGTAAGCAGAAGAGTTGTAGCAGATGGATGGCCATGTTGGTTCGTGTAATGCCGTAATTTGTGGCGCGTAACCTCATTGGTTCGGATGTTTTCTGTTACGACATCTTAGTAGACAGCAATTGGGTGGAGGACGGACCAAAATATAAAATTACACTACGGCGCACCTTTGTTGAAGAAATGAAATGTTCAAAGTTCACGAGTTTAGTACCAATGTCAATGGTCCTCTCTTGATTTTATCGGAGTGCCACTGTAGGTTCCGTGACGTGCTTATCGATGTGTGGCTCAGTGGCATTGTTCTCGAATATAAAAGGTACACAGACAGGCACATATTTATCTACCAACACCCCGTCCTGATGTCGCCACTCGAATATCTTCACAACCCGTCCTACCCTATCGTCCTTGCGCAGTATAAAAGGGATGGGTGGGGTGTCGGACATGAAGAACACCTCCACTGGGCGCTTATGACGATAACAGACACGAACCGTCTCCGTGGCCACTGCTTCCAAGCAGTAGATAGGGTATACGCAGACGAGAGAGGAAAGGTCTGGTCCCTGCATTATGCTAAGGATGCGTCGCTGGAAAGGACGTCCAAGTGTCTCGGGGGTATCCAGATCGGTTCAGTCAAAGCTCGCAAGTTGGACTCCTTGCTAGAGATCATACAACAACACTCGACGGTCCCGAAATTTGCGGGTTGGAACTGTAGGGATTGGATTTTGGAGGTCGTGGAGACGCTGGCGTGTAAGGGATGGATTCATGAGAGATTCGCTGCTGCCCATGAAGCCGCTAATCCGCAAGAGGTATTCTTGACTGGTCTTCGAATTGCTAGTCGGGCCACCGCTGCAATCCAAGGAAAGGACTTCAAGCCGCAGGTACAATGGCTCGAGTGGTGAGTGGTTCCACATATAGTAAGAACCCTGATTCACTCACAACGACCAGACTGAATAGAGTCGCGATTTACATAGATGTGCAATAATCGTCGATTAGACAAAATATACAATATCCGACTTATTCTCAAGCGTCTGTAAGTGAACCGTCGCAAGAATCAAGGGGCATTGAATCACCTTAAAGTGCCCCAACAATACGGTCAGACAGGTTCTTGTCGAGTTTCCACTCTTTCTCGTAATCTCCTGGTATCATGTCCCGAATCGCTTGGTCCCAGTCCTCGTCCATGTCATGCGTGTATTTGGCCTTGACGTATTCCCAGTACTCGGGATACCAGCCTGCGTGCTCCCAGTCGATGATCGCGACGACCTTGTCTCCTTTGACGAAAATATTCCTGGCCGCGAGGTCTCCGTGAGTGAAAACGATGCGACAGTCATCCGACATCTGGCTGCGTATGGTGCCGAGGTTTCGTTCATCGTAGTACTTGGAGACCTCGAGGAGGTGGTCATGGAATTCGGCGACTGTCTTGAACGGCCCAAATGTCCTCCGACCAGCGACACGGCCGTCCAGGCAGGGTGCGTTCTCCAGCGCAGAGATCTGGAGATCCTGGGGTGCGGGAATGGAACGCAGCTGCTCCACCATGGTTCGAAGCTGCTCGAGGACGTTTGATCGTTGTTCGGACGAAAGCGTTCGCCACGCGTACTCAAGAGTCTCCCCATCGACGCGCTTCATGAGCATGTAATGATTCCAGAACCCGGTGGAAGAAGCAACGATATGTGGAAGAGGAATGGAGGTGTGGGCAGAAACAAAACGAACTACTTTCGCTTCCTCTGGCACGGTGAGCTCAGATAGCTTGAGGATGAGCCCAAATGGAAGGCTTTGCACACGTCCGTATGAGCCCCGCATCACAAGGAATGTTGATATTGACTCGAAGATCACAGAAAGCAGGAATGTTTTGGCCCTTGGAGATGTGTCAGTGGAGACGACAACAGTTTACTGTCAACATACTTGTACACGAGCGAAAACATGGTGCATGCTCCTCGTGAAAGAGCCTGCTATGACAGAAGTCAAGGTTCGTCACGGTAATCGGAGTGGAGTTGCGCCAAGCGCCAAGAATATTGGTTAATCGTCACGCTCACGTGAGATGACGCGACGTGTCGCGTAGGACTCATGGAATGTCAATTTGAGATGACCACTAGATTTATTTTAGATTAGTAGAAAGTGGCCCGTAACATGCACCTCGTTGTTCTACATCGTTGCATGTGTCTAAGGCGGTCGTTCCTGGACTTCGACACAAGCTTGGAGGAGGAACGAGTGTTTATCATGATAAAAATGTTCTTCCGCCGATGATCATCACACCGTAAGAACTACCCTATGAAGTCGAGAATCTAAAAGCTCCGCCGAAGAACCATCATGAGCCATGACTTCCCTCATTTCCACTTCCCGGTCATGAAGATCCAAGTATTTAGCAGCGCCAGACATGTGGGCTACTCGACAGACAGCGGCATGAAGCTTGAGATATTTCGAGTTGGGTAGCTCTAAAGCTGGGTCCGTTGACTTGAAAGTAACGCGACGGGGTTGCGGAAGAAAGCCATGAAGTCGTAAGGTGTGGACGTCGTAGGTATATGGTTGATTCTAGAGTAGAGAGATTGGAACAATGGAAAGACCGATCATTTACGTTGTTGGGCTCACCTGAACCTCCTCGAACCAGAGTTTAAGCGTGTCAAACAGAATATGAAGATCAACTTCCAACGTCAGCCCGTTGGATAATCTGTGCAGATTTTCTCCATCGAGTTCGTCAAGGACGCTGATGTTGGCGAAGGAGTTGACCATTCCCAAAACATTCCCTGAATAATGCTTCTACACTCAATAGGGATCACGAGAGGCGGATTGAAAGGGAGAAGAACCTCTGGGTTTAGACTTCAATTGGTGGACGGAGGGAAGATATGGCAGTAATTAGTGGTCACGACCAGCAATCCAGCCACATTGTAGTGCTGTTGCTCTGCATCTGTCATCTGTTCTACAGCGAGCAAATCGGCCATGCCGGTGACCATGCAGCGATACCCATCGCGTCGTAGAGCCTTGCAAAATATCAGTCCTGAACGTCGAGCCCTGGTGTGGATGCGGACCGACAAAATGTTTGGCGGTAGTATGATCCTTTGGGGCGGGTTCGACCGCAGCGCTGAAGAAAAATCATTGTTCATCAGATGAACTGCTGCGAGAGGAATGTGTCGATCGCGTCGGCGTGCGCACTTTGTCCTGCCGGACTATCAAGAAATGAGGGTGTCGCAATGTGGAAGTGTAAGACAGGCTAACCCACAGAGGCGAATCAAGTGATTGACGTAGAACTCTGCCAACAAGTCCATCTGAGCACGGCTGCCATTACACCGATTGATCTCCTCAGCAACACCAGTCCTCGCAGCGGTGTCGGGAGCTTCGCGAATGAGATGTCCTAAACAGCGAGCCCACATGAGAAACCTCTCGTTGTTCCCCGCCTCCAGTTCGTTTTGCAGACACTGATCGTATGCTTCGTGGATAAGTCTCTCATTGACCGGGCGATAGTGATTCCTAGGAAGAGGTTGCTTGCATGGAAGATTCAGAGGAGGGACTATTACTGGGACTGAGGTAGCCATCGAAACAGTGCAGGGGTTCAACGCCAAAACGACAATAGAGAGCTCGAGCTCGAGGTGCACCATGACGAAACCGATTTGAAACTCCGACTGAGGGCGTTGGCGGAAACGGCACAGCGGCTGGGATCGGTGAAGTTCGGCAAAACGGGCGGCCCCCTGGCATGCCCACCGTTGCCCAAACCGCTCCTGCGTGCTCAATAATGACTTATATTCCGCTTTTTGGCTTTATTTGCAAGCGAGCCCCGAAGAATCGGAGACATGCATGCGATACTACGTCGTCTCTCGCGCTCGGGATGATGAACCTGACCGATGACTGTAGTCGAGGTGCGAGTCTGCTGCTGACACGGAGACACAGGTTCATCGATTTCAAGGCTTCTCCTTGTATTTCCACAACCAGAGAGGGAGAAGAGGGATGCCGGAGAAGATGTTTACCAGTAGTCGTTTCCATGGACGGCTGCTATCGCTGGGAAGCCATCTTTAGCAGGCTATGTTGCAGTGGTTGCTGCGATTGAGCAGCCCCAGGGCTGGAAAATATGTTCGAAGACGACATCAGCCGAATCCAGTGCAAACGTCATGGATTTCCATTTAATGTGAGACTTACTGCGATGAACACTAAGTAATAATTAGTAAGAGAGAGTATCGGAAATAAGAGGGAATATAGCGCGATGCCCTTCGATCTCCTTCTCATAAACGCCATCAGATACGTCCTTGTCCATAAATCGACCCCAGTGACGTTGAGGCACAATCGTCGTTACGCTGATCTCCCAATAATCGGGGAGCCAAGCCGCCGCCTCCCAATCGACGATGCCACAAATATGGCCATCATCGCCGACCAGGATGTTGTGGTGGTTGAGGTCGCCATGCGTAAAGACGGTGGCATGCTCGGGGAGAGCAAAAAACTCCTCCCCTTTGACGACACGCTCTGCGTCACGGCCGGTCCGTCCTGCGAACCCTGTGGCCCATCTAATGTATTCTTGAAAAGCAATTTCATCTGCACAAGCAGGGAGAGGTGCTGCGGGCATTAGAGGCCCACGCACCGGCCCACCGGAGACACCACAAACACGCTTTCCCCATGGACTCGCGAAACTGCGCATACGGGTGAGTATCTTGACCAGATCCACCTTGAGGATGTCATAGTCGACTTGTTCCGGATCGATGCTGTCCAATGGTCGTCCTGGAAGTCTGGTCATGAGTAGGGAGGGAAAATGCCATTTGCTGTCGATGGAGCCGTATGAAATGAACTTCGGCGCGGGCAAACCCATGGCATGAGCCAGGTCCATGGCGTGCCCTTCTTGCTCGTGGACGCGCTCGTGTCGTTTTAGAATGAGGCCAAATGGAAGCAGATAGATGGCGGAGTCGGGTGATATGCCATGGCGGCGCATGTACCACATAGACAGTGGGACCAGCAAGTATTCGTGGACGTAGAACCAGAACCTGCGGACCAGCTTGAATGACGAGCGACTGATCCGGGGGCATTGCAGCGAAACTTGAAGAAGCCCGACACGAGGAAATAAAGGTTTTACTGGGGTCGGGGCAGCGTTCATGGTGGTAAGATTGAAGTTGAATGGTTCAACACGATCGCCGCATGTGGATATTACCCGGCAATTTCCGTTTCTTCCCACACTTGAATAAAAAGCGCCCACAATGGCGTTTTTCTTCTTCTTCACAATGGCCACAAAGCAAATCATCGACACGCGCCTTCAAGTCGGCTCCATATACCTCCTCCTATTTATTCGTAATAGCGACATTAGCAGGGGTTTCCACTGGGCCCTCTATCACCATCGGACGCTGCAGTCAGGCTACAAGTTCAATGTCAAGCAGATGGGTGAGGGATGGATCTGTGACAGCGCTGCGAACTCAAATATCATGAGCTCCTTCCTATTGGATGGTGCATTGCGCATCGGATTCTGCGATCCGGCCGATTCTGATAGGCTGAAGTGGATCGATGCTGTGGACCTGACACGACCTCCGCATCCCTACGACGTCTTCACATGCCGCACTTGGACCATGCATTGCATCCGGGGCCTCATTATGCAGGGATTTGTGAAGTGTAATAATCCCGACGCTTTGGAACAAGAGGTGAAGGAGTGGGCGTCCGCCTACCACGAATCTGCATACAATGGAGAGATGCCTCGACCAGTCGAAGATTGCCAACTTTGCGCTCCTTGAGGCACGCCTTGTCTTTCTTCCTAAGTTTGCGCTAGCTGATATCTCTCCCACAAGAATATATTGCTTACGATAATTGAGTGGAGGTGATTTGGAACCAGTCATACACCCGTTGTATGACGGAAGTACCAATGTACTAGTATGAGACCGTGGAGAATTATGTTGGGCAACTGTTCGAATATTCTCTCAAAATGTCGTTTCATGCACGCGGGGTCACAACATGCAGTTGTTGCAGCTTGCAGGGTACGACTTCTATTCCGTGTATCACGTTCATGCAGCCCTGGTGAGTTACATTGCGCACTTTTGGCTGAAGGAAGCCTGATTTTGCCTTTGAGTGAGACAACAACCTTTGACTCGGGACCCATGGTAAATGAGCCCGCGACGTCAACAATTGCATTTTCCACCCTTTTTCTAATCAGACACCCTGTGCTTCTTAATCAGTAGAAACACGCATAGAAACGCGGCCCTTCGTCCAGATGGAACGAGGGGAACAAGAGGGGCCGCAGTGCATCATCTTCTGCACTCCACTTTGTGGGCGCAACATGATCAAAATTGACCCACAAGATCCAAATTTAGGTTCCCTCTATGGTTCCTGCCCAAAAGCAAATCTCCGACGTTGTTGCAGCCTCAGTACGATCAGGCGGCCAGATAGTAGTATCAAGGAACAGAATCAGCGCCAGCACGGCCGGGGAAACATTATTGTCGACGTTGGTCACCTCGTGCCTTTTTCCCGGTCTTTGTTGTCTTATCGTAAGGATGTACACAGACCGACATAGATGCGGCGTTCTCAGATAAAAAGTGGCGAGTTTCCGCAAATCAAACCAGCGACTCTCTCTTATTTCCAAGCGCCTCGTCGCAGCACCACCTCGTTTCCCCAGGAATCACTAGTGTCCCCAACATGTTATCGTTTCGACCTCCTATCATCGATGGCAGGCTCAAGATTGGGGCCATATACGCCATCTTATTTTTTCGCGACCCCGACCCCGCTGAAGGTTTTCATTGGGGAATTTACCATCACCTTACGACGCACGGTGGATACAAGTATCATCTGAAGAATATGGGACAAAACCATTGGATTCAAGACTTCCAATCCACCGGCGGTGTGATGAAGTCTATCTTCCTCGTTGGGCTCATGAGGATTGGTTATGCCGACCCCTCCCAGAACCAAAATGTGTACAACATTGTCAACAGCGTCGCCATAACCGCCCCGCCGCCTGGAAGTGACCGCTCGACCTGCCGCACTTGGTCAATGTATGTCATATACCTCTTGACGACCCAAGGCTACGTCCGCTGCAAGAATATGGCCATGCTCGAGGAGCAGATCACGGACTGGGCCAAGGCGCATCACGAAACCTCCGTGATGAATGTCCAGCCCCGTCCCATTACCGATTCTACGGTTTGCCAGCTCTATTGAGAGGTAAGGCGTCGCCGTCTTTCAAGTCTATTGTATTGTATTCTCATAACCAACCTTTGTCCTTTGCCTCGATAGAACCGACCTGTTGTTGCCGTATTTAATGCCCTTCTGCCCAAGAACTTACGTAAATGCATATCCTGACGAGTAGAGTGGAGATCGATGGTGTACTCGAGAGTGCAGTACATATATACCCGTTTAGGAAAGAAGTGTTTTGAGGCTTAGAATGGCAGGTCGAGTGCTTCTTTGGTCTTTTATCTTATCAAGTATCATTTTATCACGGGACGGGGTGTGCGTACATATCACAATGCCCACCTTGCATTCAAGTTCTCGTAGACAATGTTCATTTTTGCTGTAGAAGGGAGGAGCTATCGTTTTTGCAGAGCATTTGACGCAGATTATAGATGAGAGATCAAAGCATGTGGCTGATGTGGACTTTGCCACTGGTGGACGCGAGTAAAACAATGTCACGTCCCCTCTTTTACCATGGCTTGTCGGTCGGGTCCGGTTGTCTGTTTGCCCACTTTCATGTACATCACCATACAATTCCAGTATTTGTGTGGGACACAGCCGTATTCCTCGATCATGAGTCAAAGTAAGTTGCAATGTCATCCATCACCTGGAGGAAATCCTTCCTTGTCACCACATAGGTCAGTATACTAGAGACCTTGCAGGAAATTAGTATCTGACGACCTTGTGTCCCTTGCATCTTGTTCAGTGCCTGTTTGTGTAAATTCGAAATGTAACGAAGTGTTGGAATAAACATTAAATAGGGGCAGTCAGAGTAGGTGATTTTGGACGATTTTGGGACACTGTTCTGAGGACGGTTCTAACATGATTTAAAACCCAATCCTCTCCAAGAATCGGACCAGAACCGGTGGAAGACTGTGACCACCCAGATTCTGGAAATTCGCATTTTCATGTGATTTTGGTCATCCTGTCCGTTTCTGTGCCATACTCCTTTGGTATAAGCAGCAATTTTAGAATCCTGAGTATATACACTGTGATTAATGGATAGTTTGACTGAGGCTCCTCTGTTTTTTCCCCCTGCAAAATTGAGGAGTTTTACATTGATTACACGAAAAGGGGGGGCCGGGTGATGGAAGAACACTTGGGTCGTATATTGATGAAGGGGAGGCAGGGCTATTAGGTCATAGAGGAGATATAAAATAAATGTCATCTGACCTTGGTGGGCTTGTGAGGCAAAGGGATAAGTCGCTATGATACATGGTACTCTACTTAAATGCTCCAGCATGTAGACTATGAAATACAAGGAGATAAAAATAAAAATGGAGCCCACAGCTCTGGAGAAAATGATAACAAGGAATGTACCTACATACTGGTCAGGTGCATGGCTCATGCTTAGACCATGGTGGCAACTTCGGGTTGAAAGGGAAATTTTCTTTGTAAAAAGTGGGATTAAGAGGATATTAGGGAATGCTCGCCTGTGGGCATTACAGTAAGTGCGAAGTAAATTATGCATACTAATGGCCATTGTTCCATCTTATTCAGATGTGCGTATACTCTACTCAGGTATAGAACATATCTGAACTTGGGGCAATCCTTATTCTATTTCTCAGGCAAAATATGCATTTATGAAATGTGGGGTACCGTACCCCTCTGGAATTGCATCTCCCTTCAAACTTCAAACATGTTACACCAATTTTCAGAATTCCTTGCAGGAGCCCAAAATAATCTTGGTGTAACCCTTCCAATGGACTTGTTCCAGAATCCATTTTGGAATTGGCCCTCCGATGGACTTGCCATTAGAACTTGGTTTCTTTGGTGGGAGAAATTCGGCTGCAAATATGCCTAGTACTACGGCGTGATGTCACTAGAAATTGTGGAACATATATTGCTGTGTGATTTAGGAATTTGTAGGTCCATATGTAAGCATGTATGTTGGCTAGTGAACAGTACCCCTCATCTTCGTATAACAAAGACTAACAATCTCTGAGATCGTTGTATGAGTGTTTTACAGCATTATAATTGTGAATGAATTATCTTCCGTTAGCGCGAGCACTTCTACGGACCGAGCTGACCGAGGGCAGTATGTATCTAAAAAGCCGACATGCCGAATCTCGGCACGGTAGCTTGGCGCCCACATTCCTATGTCCTACTTAATCGCCAGCTCTACACCAGCGTCGGAGGATCGAATGAAACTAATTTGGCCTTCAAGGATTTCTTAACTCAATGGCTCGATTTCATAGTTATCCAAGATTTGCCCTATTTGTGCTATCATGCATGAATCATAGCATTCTGCGTTCTTAGCTCTCTTTGAATTTGAATGGATGATTATACCATCTGAACCCATAAGCTACGGTTATTTTATACGACATTTTGATGGTGTTGACTGCGCTTTTTTACACCGTCTACGCAAATGCATAAAGGCATCTGCGAATTGCACATGAAAAGTCTTGGTGTGCCAAAAATGGACGTGCCGTGTACGGCGTGCCTGGCACGCAGACGCTCATGGACAGGGCCGAGCAGTGCGGAGAGAATGCCCGCAACAGATTTGGAGGCTGTACCTCGCCGCTCCCAAGCTGCGTCCACGGCGAAAAGCGCCCACCCTCTGCCTATTTCTCTCATAGCCAGCAGAGGCGAGCTGGCTAGTCGTCGCCTTTGACACCCACCACCGGCTATGACGTCCTCAGCAGGTCACCCAGAATACGACGCGAATCTCCTGGCGCAAACGCCAGCGGCGACGAAGGCACAACTTCAGGTAAGTCTGAGACTCTGATCATGCGGCTGCATGGAGGGTTGTAAGGAAGCTGATAAAGGGGTTGCTTTCGCCAACAGGGTGGTTACAATGCGGATCTCTTGAACGAAAAGACAACACCATCGCCCTCACCGCCGTCGCGGCGTACGACGGGCGACGTTGAGGCTGCCCGACCAACGCCAGCGGCAGCCCCACCCTCGCCTCCGAAAGCCCCCTTCTATCGCACAAGAAAAGGCATCATCACCATCGTGGTCGCCCTCATTGTGGTAATTGCAGCAGTGGTGGGAGGAGCAGTGGGAGGAACGAGAAACAGGAGTTCATCAACATTGGCCTCTGACCAGACGGGCGCTCCGGTGCCAACAGATTCGTTCACAACGCAGGACGGCGCACCGTCAGCGACGTCGAGTCTAAACAACACCCAAATTACCATCTCGCAGACTCAGTCGCCGACGGCGGACAACACATCAACTACCGTGTTCTTCCCTTTTCCAACCAGCGAGACCCAGGGCGGCGGCATCTTCACTTCAACTTTTGTCGGAACCCCGACGTTCACTATCGGAGACCCGAGCTCCGCCGATGGTTCGACCACCTTTTCGACTCCTGATGTCCCGATTACACTACCGACGTTCAGTCCACCGACGAGTGAGGCCGTCGGGCCCGGGAGATGATGAGGTCCGGGCATTGCAATTGAGGTGACGTGATCATGCCCATCATGCGACAAATCCTTACTGACATACCGTTTGCAGGCGTACAGCGCCAATCCGCCACCGCCAGTTACTGGACCCCGACGGCCCGCTACGTGCTTGCTTCATCTCTGATATCCTATTCCAATTTATCCTCGGAACGGCCTCGTGTTGAGTATTTAGTGTTTTCTATGTACATACCTCGGTTTTAGTGTGTATAGATAGTCGTCTCTCATTTTCTCTCAATCTTCCCGACAGACCTGCTCATTGTGGCGTGACTGATCCAGACATTTACAGGGATGACAATCATAGAAGGGCTATCGACCTCGCACTGGCTCCAACTAATCATGACCCGGGGTGGCAGGGTACGAGGATCCAGGGATTCTTATCCAAACTGCAACTTAAATTCGGCTATTGAACAAACGGAAGCTCGCTGGCTGTCTGCAACTTCGGTAGATGGCAACTATTGCGCAAAATAAATGGATGGGCATATGCAGGTCAGAAACAATTATTATCATATATATGTATCTCATCAGCTCAATTCCACCCAATAGTCCATGAACAACTCGTTTGATCTTCAGATTCCATGAGTGCAACCTTGAAAGTTGAGGCCGTTATCGTTCTTTGTCGAAGCTCACTTGATGCAGTGGCGACGACCCCATCGCCGTGCGGTACGTCGGAGGGGGCAGGCCCACTTCGGGCAGATGATCCCTATCCGCCTCCCCAGCGTTTGCGATGTGCATTGGTCTGTGTCCACCGGCGCGAAAGCCGGAGCTCGACGAGGCACCACTCGTCGTGTCAGCATGCTGCGGCTGCGGCTGTTGGGACGGTTGTTTCTGGTGCAAATTTCCTAGCGAGGGGGACTTGAGGAGGGCCGCCGCCACTTCCTTCGCGAGCGTATTGAGATTCACCTGCGTCGATGTATGCTGGTCGTATGAGGCGGACGTAGATGAAAGTGGTGGAGAGGGGATATCGGAAGCAGAGGGTTTCCTCTCGATTGAGGAGCTCAGGTTGGTGTAGGAGGTCTTGTACTGGACAACTCTGCCAGCCGAAAAAACGTTTGAACTGGGCGATGTCTCGCCCCTGCGAACAGGTGCAAGAACCATCGTGGAGTCGGTCGAGACCGCTCGCTGGGCAGGAGGCGAGGATGGGGCGTTCACATACGAATATGCGGTATCGACGTGCTTGGTGCTGACTTCGCTGGGGCTGCGGATAGGCGACTTGGCGGAGCGGAAGTATAGGGTGTTCCTGCTGTGTTCTCGAGTATCAAATGGCTCTGGGCTCTCCGGACCACGATTGTGGTTACTGTACCGCCGAACTTGATATAGCCAGTACAAACCCGCGGCGACGAGGAGCAGGGCCAGGATACCTCCGACAGCGCCACCTACTATCGCACCGAGATTGCGGGTCGAGACGCTCGTACTCGCATTAGTGGTAGGCACTGCAGTGCTTAATGAAGTTTCAGTAGAGACAGGAGTGGCGGAGGGAGCCTGGGATGGTGTAAAAGGCACGGAAGTGGTGGGTACAGCCGGAGCTCTGGTGGCGAAGGCGCCCTGGCCTGTGAGAGCGACAGAGAAGGTGGGCTGGTGGTGTGTCAGTGTACGGCCTTTTTAGGGATGTGAAGGAAGGTGTGAGACTCACAGCAGGCGTGCCGGAAACTTGCTTCGCCGCTGAGACAAAGCGATTGTACATTGTTTGATTCGGCGGGTTGATGGAACTGGGCGGAATGAGTGAGGAGGATCAGTTGGACGAGAAGAGTGAGCACTCACCCAACCATTCCTGCTGCACAGTGCGAAGAAGGTCGAGTGGCCTCGCAGAAAAACCATATTGCTGGTACAGTGTTAGTATGACAATATGGCAAATGCAAAAGTAAAGAGAGCTCTATAGAGTCTTACGGCGAAGGATATCCGTAATACGGAGGTCCCAAGTAGGCGCAGAGCCGTTGGAGATGCCTCGTCCAGCCAAACCGCTGTTGAATCCCCCAGGAAGCGGTAAACATGGGTTCTCGAAGGTGCTCTGCGTCACGGTGTGGACGCTGAATAGAGGCATGAGCTAGTAATCTCACAGAAAAATTCTTCACTCTAACGCACTCTCCACCGAAGATGAAGGTTACTGTATCGTTCAACCCGGCTGATAACGTCGGAGGATCAAAGAAACTCCCTGCTACCCCGACTGTGATCTGTCAATCCCAATGTATGACTTTATGAGCGCTCGAGAAGACAGTTAACCGAGTGGACTTACAGTGTGCGTCGTCTGTCCGTTTACTAATACCAAAGTTGTTGCAAAGATAACATACAGGGCATGAATACGAGAAACAATCATGGCTCGAGCATATGTGTAGGCGTCAAGGAAGGGAAAGAGAGCACATTGAAATCAGAATAGACCTGGACAGATAAGGTATCGCATTGTGTTGGTGGGTGGATCAAGTGTCAAGTCTGGCCGGCATACGAACACCAGGATCCAAGGATGGTATGCAGAAAAGTACGTTCCGTTCTTGCGCCGATAGACCGTCCCCTTGCTGGGTTTGCGGGATACCACACGGCATTTACAGGAGCCGTTAAGCGCTGTAAGTGACGATCAGTCGTTTGAGGGTGACTTGAACAATTGCACCGCCCGAATAAGTACCTTTCATAAACGGGTTAAAGTCGTTGTGTGGGTGGAATACAGATCAGGTGGTTTGTGAATGGCGAACAGATTGGGAAGAATTCATGATCAGAAGGGAAAGCTAACTGAGCAGACGTGGGCGTAAGAATCCATTATAGACTTGAGAAGAGATGGACTTACGTTCTCCTTCACTCCCGCTTCCCGAGCCCTGATCCCAATATGTCATGATCTTCATATGCCATGGAAGCTATTTTGGATAAGTACAACTTCACTGCTGGAATGCAACATATAGCGCATTGTTGGACGTGCGACAGCGGGTGAAGAGGAACGCGTGCAGCAGCCTTCAGGTGTTCTGATCTAACGTGTATCAGGTCTTCGGGGAGAAGTGAAGACATGTAGGGGTTCTAACATTGTCAACAAAGACCGATCCAGTCATGCCTTGCTGTCGGTTTCGTTTGAACGTAAGCTGAGGATCACTGCAAGCGTGTCTTGCTCACCACAAAGTGTTGATCCTTTCGGCATTCGTTCGTGATTTATGGGTGCTGGCAGGTTGTTGGATCCAGGAAGTCTTCCACTTCTAAGCGTTGTCTTCGCATTCGACTGTCTTCTGTTGATTGGAGTTTCTGTTGAGAGAACAATTCAGCACGCTTCTGATAACATCCGTGTCTTCGGTACTCCGGTCCAGAATGGTCCAACTTGTTGAGGCTTGCGACAATAAATGAGACATCGAGGAGCGCTGAAGTAATTTCTTCAGAGACGGGGGTCTCCAGGCGGCATTATAGCCACATAAATGGCATTAGGACCACCCGAGGACATTTCGAGTTAAGCAAGAGAAAACAAGGATTGGTGTTTCGTCGGACCGGAATCGGGGTTTCGAATAATTTAAGCGCCGACTGATTCCCGATTCTGGGCGAGACAGCCTCGAGGCAGCCTCGTACCATTCGCCGCCATCGTCTTGAACCTCCTGGCCTCGAGGGCGTCGTATTAACCTCGTAAGCAAGTCATTTCACGCACGAACTGGCTGATAATCACACCTTGCGCAGGGTTACACGATGCATTCGTTCTTGTCCAAGGTTTTTGGACGGAAGAAAGATGACAGGGATGCCTCACCTCCGATGCTAGCCCCCGGCGAACTTCTTGACGGAAAATTCGAAGCAGTGTCACCTAATGTGTCGCCCAGCGCCACCCACTTTTTGGAGCTCGATCAGAAGGCCAACGGGAAAGATAAGGAACGAGGGAGGGACGCGGCACTTCCGCTTTTCAAGGCGAACAAATCGCGTCCTTCGTCGCCGGAGGTCAACACCAGGAAGCTCGATACACTACCCCATCTCTCCTTGAACTTTGCAGACCTCAAGGCCCAGTCTGCGTATTTCTTCGACACCGACCCCGATGCCCACATCCTTCTCACGGATGCAGTCATCGGACAGCGACGTCTCAACCCGATGGAGGCGCTCGTGCTCATCCGGGCATGCTCTCAGGCTATCGTGGCGCGAGGTGCGCGGTTTTCGACGCGGGCTTTCCATGTGGTTCTCACCTTTTCGCCCTAGGACTTGAAACACTTGGCATCATGCATCCGCACTGGTATTCTGCATCACCCGACATCCAACGGCGACTCATTTCGCAATTCATACACTCGCTGGATGCACACAGTCCGGAAACAGCCCTCTCTGCCGTGTCGCCTTCTCCCATCTCTAATTTCGAGTCCGAGCTCAACTTTACACGTGATCCTCACGATGTCGCGGCCGTCCTCCGATGGGGTCTACGCCACGTCCAGTTGGAGGGTGACAGTTTTGGAACAGACGATGGATGGTACAAGGCGTTTCTGGACGCTGAAGCCGCCGCCGACTATCCTCCGAAGGCCTTTTCGGAGATACTCGCACCGAAGCTCCCGCCAGCCCACCTCGAGTTGCTTACGGCGACTTTGGAGATTATCTCATCGCTTGCACCACTCGCAGAGGCGAATAGCACGTCAGGGAGCAAGCTTTCCAAGATTTTCGGACTCTGGCTGCTAACAGCTCGACATGTTGAGGAGAAGGATGATTGGAAGACGTTCTATGCGCGTTGGGAGCGTACTGGTCGCATGTTGGAGCACTTGTTTTTATGTCGAATTCGGTCTGTCCGGGATTGTTCTCTATCTTCTTCTGGAACTAATGTTTATCCAGCGACGAATCAACAGATCAACGCATGCCTATCCGTCTTCTCGAACTTGTTCGCAAGTATCCTTACACACAAGGTCTATCGCCTCCGACCACAGACCTTCAACTTCTCCCACGCCCTCGTTTTACAACGAGCATTCATGACGCTCTCTTCGTCCGTATTGAGATTGAACTGGCATCTTTCAAACGCAAGCCCAAGACGAAAGTTCATCCAGTCGATCTTCTTGCTGATGCCTTCTCCACGAAGGTCGAGGAAGGCGAATATGCAGAGGTCTGGGCTAAGGTCATAGCCGCTTCCAAGGGTGGCGATCATCCTTCCTCGCTGAGCAATATTTTTGCGGATGAGACCATCCGGTTCCTTTCTCTCGTTCCGGATAAGAGAAAGGAGAAAGATGAGGTGAAATCGCCTACCTTCAGCCTTCTTCCTTCTTCTGCGTCTCCGCGCCAACGTTCGTTCTCTGTGACCGAGACTGACAAGTCCGCTCCAATAGCAACTCAACACACGAAGCCTGCTACCGATCCTACTCCAATTACACCAATATCTCCTCTGGCCATTGGAAGTGACTGGGCACAGTTCTCCACCTCGGGATTCATCGATGTTAGCCCTGCTATTCCTCCTCTTGCGTCAACACTCTTTGATACCGATCTCGAGAAGACGGCGCCTCCAGACCCACCTGTGCCACTCTTGAGAACCTTATCTCGACGATCCAGCAAGCGGGCCAAAGCACCGGCCGTTGAACCTGCGTCTCTACCCCGCAAGAGCACTGAGTCCTCTACAACTGCTGCGCAGGTTGAACCAGATCCGCAGGTCTTGGTTAGAGCAACAAACCTCCACATCGTGCAGCTCGATGAGGCATTCATCGATTTCTGGTCCGACGCCCTTCTCGATCCCATCTCGGCGGATTCGCCCACGTTCGTCGTCTGCAAGTTCAAGTCGACGCTGGTTCCCGAGCTCACTTATGGCCCGTCAGGAGTCGAAGTCGGTCAGCTGAGGAAGACACTGAAGTGGCTCGTCTTAGAGCAGGTGTACACTCTCCGCCCCCCGCCGCCTCCTCCCCCTGTGGTGATACCCGAGACGCCGGTCCGCGAGACCGCCAGGCCTTCGTCGCCTGCACAATCGACCTCAGGGAAGAGGAGGTTTAATTTCTGGAATTCGATCTCGAGGACAGCGTCTAGTTCATCAGATGCCTCGCTCAAAGGGAAGAAGACACCCAAGTCGCAGAACGTGAAGGTTGGAGAGATGGGCGAGTTGATCGAGGAGGAGGATGTGAAACCTGCGAAGGGACGTAAATCGCTGGACTCGTCGAGAAAGGATAAGGGCAAGGCGAAGGAGGAAGATTCGAAGCCCAAGGAGGTTAAGCCTAAGGACGAAGTCAAGGTCAAGCCTGAGGAGAAGACCGTGCCTAAGGAGGAGCAAATTAAGGACGGCGTTAGCACCGCTGCCGTTGCAGCGATTGCAACTGGTGCCGTTGCTGCCGGAGCGGCCGCTGCCGTGTTGTCGTCCGAAGGGCCCGAAGTCGTGAAGACGGAGGAAGCCGAGGTTGAGAAGGTCGTCGAGGGCGATGAGGTCAAGCCGGAGACTGTTGCTGAAGTTGTAACGACCGCCGACGGCACGCCCGCTCAGGAGCCTGCCGTGAATGAAGCAGACAAGGCACCAGTTGAGGAAGTCGCGCCGACGCCGGAGGCTGCTGTTGAAGCCGAAGTACCAGTCGAGGACGCGAAGCCTGCTCCAGAGGTACCTCAACCTGTTGAAGCTGAAGCTGTGGTGCCAGTCGAAGATGCCAAGCCTGCGTCCGAGGTCGCTCCTCCCGAAGCTGAAGCACTGCCAGTCAAAGAAATCAAGCCTCTCGCTGAAGCTATTTCAGTCGATGAAGTTAAGGAAACCTCCGAGGCTCTTGTCATCGTCGAGGCCTCAGCGCAAGAGGAGAAGCCAGCAGGTGAGATCCCTGTCGAAGAAGACGCGCCGGCCTCGATCCCCACACAGCTTCAAGAGGCCATCGACTCTGACCACATTGTTCCGGAATCGACAGTCGAAGAAACGCCTGCAGTGGTCGGGGAAGCCACTCCTGCTGCTATTCAAGAGGCTCCAGCTTCTGTCGACGCTGAGACCAAAGATGCCGAGCCTGCTGTTATTCCAGAGACCTCCACTCTCGAAGAGGCGTTTGTTCCAGCTGCGGTTGAAGTCACAGTAGTCGAAGAGGTTGCTGTTGTCCCACAGATTGCTCGTGAAGCATCTGCCGATGCACCCACTCCGGTTGAAGAACCTGCTGCTGCTCGTCTTGCTGAAGAGATTTTTGCTCCTGTTGAGGCAGAGATCGAACCCGTCGAATCAACAGTTGCTGCTCCCGCGATGGCTGAAGCGCCAATCGAAATACCTTCTGTGATCGAAGAGGCCGCCGGCGCCGTTCCTCCTGTGGTAGAAGAGACTTCAACAACCGTTGAGACAAAAGTCGAAGCACCTGCACAAGAAGTTGAGGCTATACCTGTGGTGGCAGCTGAGGAAGACGTGCCCATTCCTGCTGTTGAAGAGGCTCAACCTGAAGCCCAACCAGCTGCCGAAGCACCAGCTCCGGAGGCTGCCGTAGTCAGAGAGGAAGTCAGCCTTGTTAAGACTGAAGAGGACATTATTCCCTCTGTCGTGGAAGAATCACCTACAGCGCTGATCGATAGTACGCCGACCCCCGAACCCGAAGTCAAGGAAGTAACTGAAGTTGGGGCAGACGTAGCGCCCGTAGTCGCAGAAGAAGTTGTAGAGGAAGTCGCTCCTGCGATTGAGGAGGCTACCCAAGTTGAACCTCAACCTCAACCTGCTCCCATCATTGAAATACCGGCTATTGATGCTACCATCGCGGAGGTCGCTGCTCCTCCTGAGGCCGAACTCAACGTTGACAACATTGTTCCTGCGAGCGCTTCCGTCCCTGAGCCAGCAGCAACATCTAAATCGGTCGCTATATCCGAGGTGAAAGGTCCAGACGAGCAGGAGGCCGACGTCATCCCCGCTCCTGCTGACGAGGTCACAGGTACGGTCGAAACGAAAGTTGATGAGATTGTTGTTCCTGTCGCGTCGATTTCCGAGGCAGAAGTCATGCAAGCAGGTGAACCAGGGGTCGAGGGAACACCCGCTGTCGTCAAAGACGTTGGGCCTGTGCCAGCCGCTGTGGAAGAAGAGGCGCAAGTTTTCACTCAACCTGAGGATCAAGAAGTCGCCGAAGTTCAAGCACCAGAAGCCCCTGCGCAGACGGTGGAAGCCTCTGGCAACATCGAGGAGAAGGAACTTGTCGCGGCTCCAGCTACCGTTGAAGAATCCCCTCCTCTGATCAATGATGCCGTTGCCCCTGAATCCAAAGCCGAAGATGAGACTAATGAGACGGCACCTGGCACAGTCCCTATCGAGGATCACGCTTCAGGTCCTGCTGTCGAAGTCTACGATCAGGCCCCAATCGAGCCAGTGTCCACTGAAGCACTAATTTCTGAAGAAACTGACGCTGTCGATGGTGAGGACTTCGTCCTTTCCTCAGCGATTGCTGATAAGTTAACCCAAACTCCAGCTGAAGCGAACCTCGACGTTGTGGCACCAGAGGTTGTCGAAGTGGCATCTCAGGTCGTTGATGAGCCTCCTCTGACACCTGCTGTTGTCGGGGAAGAGGCGCACCTCCCCGCTGAAACTGTCCAGGAGGCCGCATCGGAGGAAGTCGCGCAAGATGTCAGTGCCGAAGAAGTTTCACTTCCTGTGGATACTCAGCCTGATGCACCCCACAAGCCTGAAGCCCCACCACCTGGATCGACAGCGGAGGCCATCGTTGAGTCCTCTACAAAGGCTCAGGACATTTCTACGATTACAGACGTCAAGCAAGATCTAGGCGAGTCGAATGTCCAGCCAATTATCGAACCAGAGGCCCCGGCTCTTGAAGTGACCCCGGAGACTGTCCCTGACGCCGCCCCAGAAACTGTCGAGGAAAATGTTGGACCTGTTCCTACTCCTCTCCAGGAGGAAACTCAAGCAATTACGGTGCTACAAACGGCACAGGAAGATGTTTCCGGACTCGTAGTTGCTACTATTGGAGAGGACGCCTTCTCTCCGACACCTCTCTCTGTTGGAGAAGCTCCCGTTCCACTGGTTCAAGAGACACACGTTAACGTTCCAGTCAGTGTCGCAACTGAGGTCCAAGATGCGGAGAGGGAAGCCCCGCCCGCTGCGGAACAAGCGGTAGCACTCGAGCCAGAGGATGCTGCAGACGCTGCTGTAGCCAATGCAACCAGTGTCAAAACTGTCGAGGAGAAAACAGACGATGCCGTGACACAAGCTCCTCAGGCAGTCGACGAACCAGAGGTTGTCTCGGCGGCTGACGCAGCACCAGTCCTTGAAGCCAATACTGACGCAAAGGGTTTCTCGAATGAGGTTTCCGTTCCAGAAAGCGACCAGGTTTCGGTAGCTGAGGAAGTTGTCGTTGAGGTTTCGCCAGCAGAAAAGGGAAACGGAGTGGCACCTGTAACCGTTGCTGAAGAGAAGCCTGTGGCACCTGGTATGTTTTAAGATATTGACTATTGAATTACATCTGAATCAGAGTCTGTTTGTGTCAAACTAGCTGCTGCGGAGGACATAGCAGAGGAAGGTATACCTCTTCAACAAGAGGCACCTGCACCCTCTAAGCCAGACGCACAGAGTGTGGTCGAGGAGGCTGTTTTACAGACCAATCTCCCTGCCGTCAACGCCGAGGCTGGCACCGACGAAATCACACCTGAAGTCATTGGTTCCTCACCGACCATCGATGAGGGTGACGCTGTTGTTCTCGCCAATGAAGTGGAGAAAGCGGTTCCAGGTGAGATGGAAGTCCATATCCCAGTTTCAATCGTGACTAAATGGTTAACCCAAGCTGCCGGAGCTGAACCAACAGCAGCGGACATCACACCGGCGGGCGTCACGATCTCTGCGATTTCTGGATCTCAAGGAGATGAAGCATCTGCGTCAACAGAAGCCCAAGCTTCAATCCATAGTGAAGGTGTCATACCTGACGACACCCTCGCCGTTGAACCACAAGTTGCTGTCGAGGGTCCCTCGCAAGCTGTTGGAGAGACAGATGCCGCAGTGCCAGAGGCTCCAGCAACAGTGAAAGAACCAACTTCACAAGAGATAACACCCGCTACGGTCGGCACAACCACAATTGTTGACGTCGAGCAATCCATTCTAGCTGAGGCTGAAGCGACCTCCCAAGAACAACCGCAAGTCATCGAGCCAGAAATACAAGCCATTGCAGTCGACGAGCATGCCACACTCACTTTACCCGAGGAAGATGACGAGGTGGTAGAGCCCCAGCCAGAGATCGATGCCCAGTCGACGACCGTCGAAGAGGTTGCGCCTAACTCTGCCTCAACACGAAAGACCGAAATCGCCTCTACGATTTCAGCTGAGCCAGAGACAAATGTTGCCGAGCCTGCGATTTTGTCTGCTTCAGACGTCCAAACCCATTCGGAAATTGCGCCCATCCTCGAACGGGCAGCACCAACACAGAATGAGCCTGAAATTGGCACTGAAGATAGCAACAAGGCAGATGATCCTCAGGTTCATCCTCCGGCGCTCGTGGATACTCAAGCTACAGTAGAAGAATCTGTTGTCCCTCAAGCTCAACTTCTTGACGAAGGCGCCGCCGTTGGCGAGAAAGAGGTTAGCAATGATCCCCCATTTCCCATAATTCAGTGTTTTCATATACAAATCAGATTGCCAACGAAATTTCAACTGGAGAACAAACTTGGCATGCAGAAGTCACTCAGGTCAGTTCATGATTTGGTGATGTTCCCAATTGCTAAAGGATGATTTATAGGGTCTATCAGCTGACATTGCTCCTGTTAAGCCAGCCATTGCAGCATCCTCCCAGCCTCAAATTGTCGATGAGCCCGCTTCACTTGTTGCGCCTGTCGTTACCTCGGATGTAACCGCCAGCGTAGTCGAGGACCCAGCTCCTGATGGACCTAGCGCCGCTGTTGAGAAACGCGTTGCGTGTGCAGACGTCGCAGAGCCAGCTGTCGATGAACCTAATGGCGACAAATTAGTCACGGAACGCGCAGGAGTATCGCCAGCAGATTTAGACGTAGCACCGGCTATTTCTGAGACGGATACTGCATCTACCCCTGGTCCCGATGAAGTCACCCCTGCTGTGGAAGACCCTCAGGTTCTCGCCGACGCACCGGAGGAACCAGGTCAAGGGATTTCCCTGAGTGGCGAGGGAAAGGAAGTCGATCAGGAGGCGCCCGCAGTAGTTAATGAAACAGTTGGACAACCTGCCGTACTTGAAGCTCCGGTTGCGGTCGTTGTGGGGAACGCAGTCGAGGAAACGATGCCAGCTGCAGAGAATCAACCCTCTCCAGCTCCTGATGTGGCACCCGAGGTCGTTGATGAGGCCGTTGCCGCGGTTGAGGAACATGTTGAAGAGCCCGCAGCCGAGCCGAGCCTTCCTGCCGTCGAAAATCCAACCGCCGCGCAGCCTATTCCGGAACAGGGTGTGGCGACTGAAGAGCCTGCATTGGTTGTGGAAGAGGCGGCAGTTTCAATCGTGGCGGAGGACGCGGCGCCAATTGTCGATCAAATTCATTCTTCGCTCACGCCCCAAGAACCGACACGCGAAGAGACTGTTCCTGCAGAAACCACAATACTAGAGGAACGGGAGTCGAGGACAACTGCCGATATCGCCGAACCAATCCCGCAAGCTATAGAGGAATTGCCCTCAACCACGGATGAACCTTCGCAAACTGCAGAGGAACCCTCCTCAGTCGTTCAAATCCCTACACCCACCCCCGAGGAGGTCGAAGGGTCTCAAGAAGGCCTTGAGGAAGCAACATCAGCCGTTGAAGAGCTCACGGAATCTGTAGAAGACGTCGCACCGACGAACGAAACAACCAGTGCCATTGACGACCTCTCTCCGGCTGTGCTTGAATCATCTACTGTTGAACCCTTGTCGTTGCCTGCGGATATTCCAAACCCGACTGTCGAAGAGGCACCAGCCGCCTCTGAGGCCGCTGTAATCCTCGAACAGCCCAGCTCCGAGGTCGTTTTAACTCCTGAGGTTGTTCATGTGGAGGTCAAGGCTGAACCTACACAATTTGTTGATGAATCGAAGCCAGAGGCTGAGGAGAATGTACCTGTAGCGACATCAACGCCATTGGCAGCAGCCGAGGAGTCTACCTCAGCCGTCGAAGAGCCCGCCGTCGAGGGCTTAGCTTCAGAGGTTCTCCCGACCGTTGCAGAGTCGGCTTCCGTCCTTGAAGAACCCGTTCCTGCCGTTGAAGCTCTTCCTCAGGTAATCGAGGTTACCACATCCGTTCCTGATCACCCTACGTTCGCATTCGAGACACTTGTTGGTGAAGAAGCCAACTCCCACAAACCTGATACCTCCGTTGAGTTAGAAGGCGCTATTACGGGCCCAGCCTCTACCACAGACGACTTGATTCTCGCTCAAGAAGATTCCCCAGTACCTGTGGCGGAACCTGAAGCCGTAGCTGTCGGAGAACCTGCTGTTGCGGAAGAAACCCCGACCCACGACGATCCAAATCCTGCCCATGAACAGACAGTCTCCGAGGATCCTACCACAGTCGAGCAGTCAACGACGACGCCGGAACCGCAGGTCAAAGCAGAGCCAGCACCAGTGCAAGAGACACTAGTTCAGGAGCGAACGGCGAAACTAACAGAGGAGACAGCACTTGTCATCCCCACAGCAGATGCGGCTTCATCAAAGGACGAAATTGCTGTAAATGAGCCCGTCGTCGCCCCGCAGTTTGAAGAGACGAAGGCTGATGAAGAGCCCGCTACGATTGTTGAAGAGTCGCCTGTTCTCGAAGATAATGAAACTCTTGGAACCATCCCTGCAGTTATTGAAGGTCTGGGCGAAGACGAGCCAGTTGATGAAACGACACCATCGCCTCAATCCATCGTCGTCTCCAGCGAACCTCGCATCGAACCTGTCTCTATCCCATCTGACGACTCGGCGGACCACCTTGTCGACCTTCCTCCAGTGCCCGTTATCGCAGCGACTCCGGTCGTTCTTAAGGAATCAATCATCCTCCCTTTTCCTGAGCCTTCTTCACCCGAGGCATCATCCGAGCCTGCTCCTTCCAATGAATCAGTCGCCGCGAAAGACAACGGCCTCCCATCAGCGCCAGAATCTGTCGTACTTTCTGGTTCGACGCCTGGCCCTGAGGTTGCTTTGAGCACCAGCAAGCCCGCCGCCCTCGAGAAGACTCTCGACGAGCTCGATTCTAGCTTCAGTGGAACGGAGATCTCGAACGGCAATGGACATCATGTCTCCTCTGGGGATAGTAAAGCTGCAATTGGTATGTTCTTCTCAAGACTTGCCCTTGTCTGACTCGCTAAGCATTTTGATGGGACAACAGCGGAGGGCGCTCAAGCCCCTACTGCGACCAATGGTCAAGCTGCTGTTGAGGACGCCCCCGTCTTTCTTGGTTCGTCATGTTTGATCTTTGCTGCTCGTTTTCTGAGCTCTTTAATAGACTCCGCGGTCCCTGAATCCGTCGAAGACGTTGATGTTCCAGCCAATGGCAATGAATATCGCACAACAGCGACGGAAACGCTCATCGCTCCCGAAGGTATTCTATCTAATCAATCACATTGAACCTCATACTGACCCCAATTACGTCTCTAAGTCGCCACAGACCCTGAGACCGCCGAGAAGAATGACTGATAGGATACTATCTGTACGTCTCCCCGCGTGTCTTGTCCATGCTGGCTCTCATTTGTGTCTAGAGCTGTGTGCATACGATACCCACCTCACCCTCATTCTACTGGACAAATGGACTCACCTTCTATGCTCCCTTTCAGTCACTGCCGGAGCTCGGAATCTATGCGCAATACCCCGCTCCTTCCCTCTGCTGTTCAATCTACCATTATTTGTTTCTGTACCTTCTTGATCACCCAGTGTTTGTGCTCGCACCCATGTCTATATTTCAACCTTTGTTCTGTTATTTCTACCATATATGCTTTTGTTACGACCGTCATGACTTCGTTTCTGCCTCTGCTACCTTTACTGCTATAACTGCTCTCTTCTCGGCATCTTTACTTCATATATCACATCGGAATCGCATCCATTCAACGTCACTTGATACCTTCCATTCATTGCAAGCTGTTACCCCTCTGCAATTTATCATGTTGTTTTGTTAGCTACATCTTGTTCTACTTACTTCCGAATAACTCTTTTTCCTGGCTTCAAATGTGGAGGTATTGGCAGGATCACGAGCAAGCAAAAGATCTTCGCTCAATTTCCATCTCAACCAAGGCTACTATGTATTTTTTTCGTTCATATCATTGACCAGTGTCCTTCGCTAACCGACGTACACGCGGACCTACAAATCACCAAACCAAGTGGAAGGACAATTGAAGGTATTGTCTACTATAAACTGTAAGCCCACCAATTGACTTTGCGCGCCGCAAAGGCTACTATCAGCATTGTTAAATCCAGCTCCTAGCAAGGTTGGTGACTGGGGTGGGCCGAGATTGGCCGTGATGATGGTTACGTAACCAACCAGCTGGAAATTTCAAGTTCTCGAGCAACGCCAAGTTACTAGCTTTATAAGAATTGTCTCAACCTTAAGGCACCTCTCCGGGCAAATCGGCGAGCGTTCGCGCCTTTTTCAACGCTCAGGAAGCACTACGGTTCCTGGGTTGACGCAATATTATTAACTCTCCTGAGAACGGACCGTCAGAGCTACGTGAAGCATCGGAATACGTGTCGGCATTGAATTTGACGGCCAGAGGACCAGATTATTCGGACGGCCGACTAGGAGTATGCATGGAGTCGAAGGGGAGTCCAATTATGCGTTTTATATGACTTCGGTGAGATCTAGGATCCTCTCGTACGGCTTTTCTAACGACCCGACTTGAATAATCACTCGTTTCCTTCCCAAGGCCAGTCCTCGTCCTCGAATGTGAACTGCTTTTCCGTAAAACTTCATCCAAATCTTGTTGGTGACGGGAAGGGTGACTGACAGTGTATACTGGGAGTCAAGGCCTTGGCCGTCCGCTTCGACGAAATTCCAGGTTGCTGTTGGACTGTGTTGGCCTTGTCCACTGATGAACGTCTCTTCCTTTCTCCTCGCTTCGTCTGCATCCTCCTCCGAACCCATGCTTGCATCGATACCCAAATCTGCATCGAAAACTGTGTGCGACACCAACTGCTCAGCGCTTGTTGGAAAGACGTCCGCGATTTTTATCGGAAATCGAGTGTCGTCGGTGTCGTCATGACCGAAGGTGACTTGAAACATGGCGGATTCAAAGCGATCTTCCGCCGGCCCCTCATTCATGAAATCCAATCGGAAGAACACCTTCCCAGGTGCCTCCACAGGCTTATTCCACACGTAAACGGTGAAGTGAGCTTTTCCTTCGTTTGCTCGAGCGATCTGGGTCCGCGTTTCGCGATTTGCTGCCTTGGGTCTGATGATGCATTTTGGTTCCAGGTCGTTGAATGGCTCCTTCCGGTTACTGAAAATAGCGAGTTTTGAAGTCCTATCCTCGTACATGCCCTGACAGTAATGTCCGTCTCTGGCGTAGTGGCTCTCAGCACCTTGAAGAGCGAGGTCGCAATCAACTTACGGTAGTGGATCTGCGCTTCGTCCGTTTGTTCTGCCAGCGACTGGTGAGTGTATACGTGTGCATCATAGCAGGGGATCCTGTACCTCGCTGAATTGATTGCCTCACGTAGACTGTCCTGTGGAGCAGCCTTTCGGTACACTGGAGCAAAGATGGCACAACTACTTACCTCGAGCTCTTCTTGTTTTCTCGAGCCGTTGAAGCGAACAACCTCGCGCCCTCGAAGGAAGTAGACAATTGTTGGATACTCGGTGTTTATAAGGTTGAAAGAATTCGCTGCAGGGCACCAACACATACTCTGGTGACATTATATCTAACGCCTACTTCCTGGATCCCTTTTAACCTTCATATAATTACAGTCTCGGAGCTTTGCGCACCTCTGGATTGCTTAAATCGACTCTCACAAACAACACATCCTCATGCGACGGCGCCTTGGAAATGTTCTCGAAGATTGGCCTCATGTGTGCACAGTAAGGGCAGTATTTCTTGTAGGCAAAGACCACCACGTCTTCATGCTGTTTGAGCTAACCAGACAGATGAGACAACGCAGATGCAGCTGAACAGCAACCTACCAGCTCTTGGAATGCCTCGAGGCTACTCACCTTGATGGGGGCTCCAGCACTTCGTAGGGAGGCTGGTCGGGTATCCACTGGGGAGGCCATCCTTTGCAAGGTGAGGGTTCCGATGTGAAGTTGTCCGGAGTATATCCTGCGTTGAGTGTTATAATGAGATTGGGAATTGAATACTGATCTGTCACTCCGTCCAGGTCCTACTTATCGACGAGGCAGATTGCCTGATCACCGCAAACGATTACGTTTGTCCGTGGTTTGCGTGAGAAGCAAGGCAAGACGCCCGCTCCGAAAGGAAGGTGTTTGACAGGCGCCTGGGGACCTCGGCTGTGTTTGTATAGAAAGGCAGGACCCTGGGGCTGACATATGCTTGTATAGAAGACACCCAGAGACTAACCTCGCAGCATCCTTCTTTTCGTCCACTATGGCTGTCGTTCGACTCACCGGTGTTGATCAGCTCAACGATCTGGTGAGGAATAGTCCTCCTGCTACAGCCGACATGCCAGGCACTCATCGATAATCAGGCCGCCCAGAATGCCTTCACCGTTGTGTTCGTGCATCGCAAGGGATGCTGGCCATGCACGATGATGCACCCAGTTTTCGAACACGTTGTTGCCGACAGGAAGAGGTTTGGAGGAATAGGCTTTGGTACCGTCGACGCCTCCAGTGGTTTGGAGGGATGCCATGTGAGCCAATGGAGTCGAAAGGGTCATTTGCGAACTGAAAACAGATTTGCTGATCAGTTGATACTTGAAGAGTATAACATCAACGGTGTGCGTAGGCTCGAAATTGCCTTCTTCGTACTCGATTTGACCGTGGCGCACTCCTTCCAGTTCCCACATCTCCTGTTATTCCGGGAGGTTGAACTTTTCAGTGAGGTTTCTGGATATGTGGACTTGAAACTACTCGAGGTTGGCTTCTTTCACTGCCATCCTGATGCAAAATCCAACCAATCTTCGCAAGGACATCCTTTCGTTCTCCGTGAATTTCAACTCTAGATCGTATGTCTTTCACCTTTTGTCATACTTAGTCCATTATTTTCATTCGCACCTTAAGATTCAATGCGCAGTTCACGTTATCCGTGCCCGCCGGGGAACCCGCATCTGAGCCTGAGCCAGATACATGTAATAATTCAGTGCGATAATTTGACCCTCAAATGTGAGAACGCTCCAACTCATTTTGCGTAGGAGAACCAAGGGACGTCAGTCATCCAAGTCCATGAGGGGTGGAGAGACCCGGATTCAGTTGATCAGGTAATGCGAAATCGCTGCCTCCCCGTTCCAAAACCCTTACGATCATACCTTCAGCTACTCAACTACAATGATACCACCATCCTCGTCTTCTGCAGTTCCGATGCTCCCTACGTCTCGCATCTTCCAAGTTACTTCTGCCGTCATGAGGCACTGCTTCGTAAACACAACGCGGTGATCCACATTATTAAGATCATTGGACCCTTCAACGACGAGGTGCCGATGTCTCTTTCTCGTCATGCCCGCTCTCTGACACTGTGGAATATGCAGGCGGAGAGTTATTTCCAGCACAAGTTGCTGAAATATGTACGTGTTCTCCAGAGTAATGGCAATTATATTGGACCCATGAATATCAGAAACCCTTCGCAAAAATGTTGCGAAGCAATTTTCTGCTCTCTCAGCACTCATTCCGATTGGATGCAAATATGGGGTTCGGTGAATGGCTTACAACTGGCCTGGAGGCTAGCAAGTACGCCACGTTATTTTACGACACCACATCGTGGATCTGAACGACGTACATGTCCAGGGTCATCGATACGGCGCCTGAGGTTCACGAACCAGCTCTCACTGATATCTATGATATGAAGGAATTCCGCAAACAGGTACGTCTGACTACCTTGCGATGGGCGGTACAAACTCAAAGCAACAGACCGCAGCGCTGTTTAAGCCGGTTGTCGTACTACTGTATGATAACAGTGCGGCATCAAAAGCGATGTATTGGATTTTCTGGGCAGCCTCAGCAGATTCTGAGTTCAAATCATATTCTTTCTTTGCCTTAAACTACATAGAAACGAAGGTGAATTCCATTTTTTATCTAAAACGCGAAATTTTGCTCACTGAGCTTGTAACAGGACGCCGAAACCAAACTGGATCTTCATCAGGCAGGTGGCATTTATGCTCTCGATGTCAAGATGGCCAATTTCTTTCTTGCTTAGGGAACCGTCGTTGCTGTGTATCGGCGAAGCGCTGCCATAGCAGAGAAAAGATTCCTGATGCCTTTTAACGATCTGAAGGTACGAATCTGCGAATACGGTCAAGTGTCTTTTTGTGGACATAACAGTTCGGATAGGAATTCCTTCTACGCGCTCTCGTCAAATCCCCGTCTCCTCACCCGTCGCGCGTTTCCGTAACCCAGTGAGTTATCTTCTGGTTGTCAGGTTCTAATTGTTTACTAACAATATCACATACAGAGACGATAGCTTTCTTTCAGCCATCTATCGACCGTTTTCGCGACCTGGATCGGTGTTAAGTTCCCACTCTCAGGGATCACGCTTGAGTGCTCCAAAGCTCCATAGATCCCGTTCGACGTCGTCCTTACGAGGAAAACCAAACCAGTGCCGAGGAAATTATCAACCTAGAGAAGAACGAGGTTTCTTCCAGCGTCTCGTAGCATCTACAGACTTCTTTCAAGATCCAGAATACAACTGTGTCGTTCCGGCTGAGGTCGCCCGTGAGGGTATCCAGCTTGGACGAGCCAACGAAGGGGGGTCATATTTCGGCATCACACTACGACCTCAAACATTCGAAACGCACCTCAAGCTATCATTCGCGGTGCAATTCGGCCCGGATCGTACGGAGAAAGCGCGCTTCGTTTCTTCTTATCTCAGTTTTACGTTTGGCTACAACGACGCAAACGGGCGCGAGCACAGTCTTAAGATCAAGGACATCTTCCCGAAAGACTACAAAGGCGATCCCACCGTCGTTCACACAGACAATTCATTGGGGGGTGGGATGGCACTTTCGATCGGCGCCGGCGCAGTGGCGTCAATAACCACAGAAGGAAAGGGGTCGCGAGATACTCATTTCTCCCGTGTCACGGCACCTCGAGTGAGGGGCAGTGGCCAGTACAGCGACACGGCTACGTGGACGTTTGAGGAGGACGACGGAGAGGCTGGACGGCACGGTCTCGACTCTGAATACGTGCTTGAGGCCACGCTTGGTGGTGCCTCAATCGTCTTGCAGGACATCTGGCTTAGGTTCTGGGGGAAAGCCGTCTTGGTACTTGGTGGTGGCCATAAACCTGGGAGCAAACAGACATTGCAGATCGGTTCTAGGGAGAACCCATTTAGACGTGTTCTTGATCTCAGCAGGCATGTGTGTTATGTTCTTGAAGACGAGGAGGGGAGTCGAAGTATCGTTAGTGCGCCTTAATTGTTTCGACAGTTACGTAAAAAAAAATCGGTTACTCTAGGACTTATCCGATAAATTGAGCCACTGGCAGTGTACAAAATGGGACTTTACGCGCAGCTCTGAGGAATGCTAATCTATTGCCGTCAAAAGATGTTTAGGCTTATGCTGCGTCTACTATTGATAGAGCGCGTGTGTCACTCGAAGTAGTATATTTAAGCGGAAAGATCGAAGGATTCGTATACGCCTACTAGTGCTACAACGTCTCCTTGAAAAGATTATTCCTGGCTAAGACTCAATCGTCTTCGTCCATGTTCAGTGAGTTGCTTTGAAGGACGAGAGAGCAACGGCCCGGGGTCCCGCCATCAATGGACTTACGTAACAAGGAAAGGAAGAAAGGGATCGGGGGCTGGGACACTCTTCCAGTGACCATCATTTGCCCACTACAATGTCGACAGAACCACCCGCCTACCCGGATATCCCAACTCTCTACGACGAAACACACCGTGGAAAATGGCCTTTCCAACCTGAGGTCGCTACGGTGGGCAACTCGGCCAATATGCTTGGATATTTAGAGCATCACGCCTCGACGACGGACGGCAGTTTCGCGATTTGTATGGCGGGTGGATCGGAGAACCTTGTGTCGCAAGTGAGTTCTTTCTCTGCACGTTGAATGCGATGCGAAATATTCTTAAACAACCCACTCACAAAGGCACTTTACGAGTCGATCCCGGAAGTCCACCGTCCACCTTTGAACACAGAACACGCAGGTGTCGAGGTGTCATTCAGCATCTTCGGATCGTCGCAGAAGGCAATTGGAAGTATTATCATGCCCATCATCCTCACCGACGCTGAAGGGAATACTCAATTCCGCATCAAGCTCTTTGCCCTGGTCATGCCCGAGCTTTTGATGGGGATGTTCATTGGGTACGAGTCAGCAGGGGAGTACTGGCGCAGCGCCTTGCATGGTGGTGGAAAGGTTGTCTACGAATTCGAATTCAAGCCTGGTCAGATTACGAAGGTCGAGTATTGTCGATCACACTGAGCGACCTGGTATGCTACCCAAATCTTTGGAAACTGTACAACGGTTTATAACCTGATATTCAAGGCAAAGACTGCATTCCTGGACAGAGGTTTGGTACTTGACGCGCTTTCCCCTTTGCTTTTGTTGGCCTTCGAACCCTTTCACTTCCCTTAGGATCATCTGAAAGTTGACACCACCAGAAGGGCGGCGACAAAAGTGTTCCTCGAGGTTCCTCGACTTTGACTACCTCTACATTTTATGACAGCAACATCTAGCGCGAGAACGGGGCGTCAAAGATACTTACCTTCCTTTCAAATGGGGTTACAATTATGTGTCACGTGTAACCGACGATTTCAAATTTCAACTGAGAACTCTTTCAAGTTTCAATATTTCAACCTTGGACCATAATGTCTACGCAACCACCCGGCTACGTCGAGATCCCAACTCTCTATGACGAAACCCACCGCGGCAAGTGGGCTCTCATGCCTAACATCGCAAGCATAGGCAACAACGCGAACCTCATCGGATACTTGGAGCATCATGACCCCAGCACGGACGGCAGTTTCGCCATTTGTTTGGCGGGAGGGTCGGGGAACTTCGTGTCAAAGGTAAGTGCGTTTTCATACTTATCTGGGGTATTCCTGATCTTGAATTATCCCTGAAAGGCGTTGTACGACTCGATCCCCGAAGCCCACCGTCCCGCCTTGAACACCGACGAGGACGTCGATGTCTCCTTCAGCCTCCTCGGTTCTACGCAGAAGGCCCTCGGGAGCGTCATTATGCCCCTCGTCCTCATCAACTACGAAACCAACACCCGCTTCCGCATCAAGCTGCACGCGTTGGTCATGCCCCGCCTCTTGATGGGGATGTTCATCGGGACCACGACGGCGAAGCCGTACCTGCGCACGACGCAGTATTTGCCTAGAAATGGGTGCATTTGGGGGTTTGAGTTTAGGAAGGGACAGATTACTCAGGTCGAATTCCAGGGGTGACCTGCGAGTGGCGCCCGATGAGTTGTAGCATTCACGAATGTTGCGTTATGCTTTGTTTCGAGGCCGGAGTCCAACTCATTGCTTTTTCCCGATGAAGCAGGCTTTTTTTATCATAGGTAACGGAATAACGCGCTACAGTTTGCGCTAGTCTACATAAGCACTATTATTAGCCAATAGGTGCCGGATAACTCCGACCTTTTATCGAATCTTTGAAGTTGCGACAAGAAAAGAATAATCTTTCTTCTACCTGCTGGAGCAGAAGACTGCCAATGCTCCCCAATATCTCTATTCGATCAGGCAAGATGGAGAGAAGTAGACGACCTTCCACCCACATCGCGTCTCCTGCGCTAAATGATAAGGAGGGACATGATCATTTATGTGGATTGACGCTCAGATGCTGCCTGTGAGAACCGCCGTCTCTCAAGCCCTCGGGTAAGTTTGAGCGTGCATATAGTCACTTATAGTGCCAATTCTCCATCTTGGGAGCCAATACAGCTGCACTTGACCAAATATATAGTGTACCACTTGATAATTGTCGCCAATTGAGTAAGTGGAGGCCGGGCTTGTCCATAACTCGGCACTCAGACACGGGCGCTTAGTCGCAGCACGAAGCGTCGACTACTCTAGGCATTTATAAACCCAATTTGGACGAGGATATGTCAAATAACGCGGGCCGATATGTAAGCACTTAGCGCATTAAGTAAACTACCTAATCGAGCAAAAGACCCGCAGATCGTGCGGGTTTTTGGCGCTCGCACGCGCGGACCTGACACAGACCGGAGACTCAGAGCAAGAACGTAAAAAAAAAGAAAAAACAGAAGAACCTCCGACAAACTAAAAAATCACAGATTCGAAAGAAAGGAATCCGGGGGATGCGGAATCAGTTTACGAGAACGCTTCAAGTGGTGAGCAGCGGAGAAGCGCCCGCAGCCACTCTCGAATCTCGAAGGCATTGAGATAGTATGGTCAGAGACTAGTGCGAGGAGACGTCGCCGGTGTGTGAGGGGGACAGAATTCTGGGTTTGAGGAATGGTGGAAGTTGGGGAAAGAGACGCAACAGGTCCAGAATTTCGTGCAGAGCCTTTTATAGGGGAGGGGAGTTGCCGAGAGATTGGCTATTTTAAGAATGCTATTTTTAGACTCGTTTAGAGGTGAAGAGGATCGGTCCGCTAGGTCCGTCCTTGTGGATCCATAAAGTCAGCGGCCTTGTGGACAATCTGTGGTTCTTTCTTCGTTTTTCGAATACAGTTCTCAATGAGAATGGGAAGGGAGCTGGGTATTTGGAAGCGAAGATGATCAAAGGATGCCTTTTCTTTACCCGTGTCCACTGCATGTTGAGGCGTCCGCTGATCGTCCAAGCAGTCTGACAAAAATGGACGACTTCTCGTGGCCGATGAATCCTAGACTTTCTCTTGTGTTTGAAATATGGCTACCATGGCCGTTCTCCCCCAATCAACCGCCTGAGAAAAGGGCCCTGGTGTGCATACTCTTCTACCGTTCATCCCGGCTATGGAATTTGAAATCTGAATCCTTGAGTACAGGGTATACAAGAGAAAGAAATCACCAACCTCTTGGCTCGCACAGGCTCTATGGAATTCGTCTCGCATCTCGATTATAGGATGACAAGTGGAACACGACTCGTTTATTTCTCAGTCTGTTGAAGTGAATGGGCTCCGGTGCTTATGGCGGCGAGAACCGCGAGAGACAGTCGAATTTAACGGGCTGAAGGAGCCTGAGCTCCGGTCAGTGATGTTGTCCTTTAGCCCGGGGGACGCGAATTTCGAATGGGATCGAGGTTGCGGGAGGCTCTAGGCCTATGCCTCACCTTGTTCGTGCATCCTGCAGAAGTTTCCTGAGAAAAGGGTCAACTCGTGCATCGAAACTGAGGGAGGTTTTACACCTTGAGGTCCCTTCACAATAATCCCTGTCAAAGGTGTCCAAATGGCAGTGGCGCACGTTCAGGGCCTGACACCTGCAAACCAAGCCTGCGAGGCGTTCCACGACGGAAGCACCCTTGCAAAAAGCACAAACCAAGGCGCGAATAACCTGTGATGCTACGTAGAGTACACATGAGGAAAATAGGAGTCGTGAAACAACGCGGAAATCATGGTGGTCGTATGTAGTTGTATGTGGCACTTGTGCAAAACCCGAAGAAAGTCCGCCGGGGACGCCAACCATGGCGCGCAAGTACAACCAGGGAGCCCAGAAAGAAAAGAAAGCAAGGAAAATACCGAGAAGCCCAGAGAGAAAGCCCACAGAAAGCCCATAAACCCGAAAGCCCAGAATAAATCTATCTCCTACACCCCGCTTGTTTTGGTTTTCTTCCTCCCCGATATGGCGAGCTTCAAGCGTCTGTGTTCGAAGTGAGGAGGATCTGCGATACTGTTGGTGGTCACAGTGGACCTTCCGCCACAACGTCTGGGCTTCCCGGTGTGTTCGATGTCGTAATGGCGTTGCTCGCCGTGGTGGTGGCATACGGTGGTTCCGACGTGGTATTCATCGCGTCTGGCTCGCTGTCGCCCCTGCTCCCAATCGCACCTCCAATCGCACCCCCAACAATCGCCCCAATGACCACGAGAACGACCAGCGCGATGACCCCCTTCCCCCTCTTCGTGCTCCAGAAAGGGTGCGGCTTGGACGTGACGGTGAGCTTCTCCGACTCGCGGGGCGAGGACGACCGTCGCCGTCGTCGGTCGCCGTTCATACGGTGGGAGCCGTAACCTCTGTCTGCCGCCTGCATTTCGAGCGAGAACGCGGGTGAATGAGCGGGGGGTCTATGAATCAGTGCCAAGCCCATGCTCAACCAATACTGTACGCACCTCGACGTCGCGCGACCCCGATGGCGCGTCCTGCTGACTCTGCGCAGTGGACATGGGTGGCACGGCAGGGGGGCCTTCCGCCGGGTTGGAAGTCGGGAAGGAAGAGAGAAAGAAAGAGAATGGAAACCCCGCCGACGTTGCCCATTCAGATTGTAACTAACCGGCCTAGACCCTGACTAACATACTTCGTGCCTGCGATAAAAGAGCGCCTCCTACCCGACACACGGGCCCTTCCCATCAATTCCCGCTTCATCGTCAGTCCCCAGGCTTTGCACTTGACTCTTCTATGGCCATACAAGGCGTACTAAACGACCACGAAAGCCTAGGAATCATGAATCGCTCTTGCCAGCAGGACCCCTAATCGCTCGCATAAGGGATGAAGAGCCCAAGACGGCGGGAAGACACACGGGCGAATTCAATCCCAGCGGCGCTGGGCCACGACTGACATCTGCCTAACGGGTGCCCAACAGTCGCTCACCTGGTCTGATTGCACAACTTTCGGGGTGCAAACAGGACGCACACTGAACCCTCCCTAAAGTTTAATTCCCTGCTTCACCGCTGAATCAAGGTCTCAAAGGATCACCCCCCACAACGTTGCCTATCGCCATACCCGAGTTATAACCGATCCAGGTCACTCTGGCCAGACAACCGCACGTCCCAGGCTTCGAAACATAAGAAGACGGCGGTAAATCGAGCGATGATAGGTCAACTGCACTGCGGGCGGGTGGGGAAGCTGGGGAAAGGCTTGTGTCTTCGCCGAGGGGACTAGCTTGATGAGCTTGGAGGAGCTTGGGAGGGTGCAACAGATGACCGTAAGTGCATTCTGTGAAGCTATAATTGTATCACCTGTACAGAAACAAAGAAAGGTGTCTCCAAGCGGCGATTGCAGTGACCTTCGGGTACGTGGGGGACGCTTCGAAGGCTTCAAGAAGCCACGGTGCCTTCATTAATCTCGCAAGAGCAGGGTGAGCGCCGCTTCGTTTGTAATAATACAGGTGCAGCTACATGTCAAGGAAGAAAAGATATCAATACAGGAAGAACTGAACCGGCGGTGATAGAAGCAGATGTAGACCGTTACCACCTCACGCGAGGCTGACTTGACGAAAGTCTATGCCACGATCACCTAAGAGAACCAGCCCTTTGGCTGATACACTTCCTCCTCCTTCAACTCGCCGTCCCTTCTCTTCCTCAGCGTTTCCAGAATCTGCTTCACGCCTTCCACATCACCCACGCTCGCCTGCCCGTCGTTCCAGTCAACCACAATCGGCCACTTGATCGCGTTCGGGTTCTTCGCCGCGAGCTCCGCAATGCCTTTGAGTGTCGACGGCTTCTCAGCGCCGCTTGGGGCTGTCGGGTGTGCAGAGAGGAAAACCATGGACGGGTTGGTGACCTTGGAGGGGAAGTAAGACATAATTGTCCCCAACTGGTCGGAGTTCGGGGCTGACTCGACCACCTCGAGGTTGAAGTGCAGTGGCTGGCCCTTCGCACTGCCGGGCGGATATGGTCCAGATAGAGATGAGCGTAAAAGATTTAACGCCTTCGTCGACGGCGGCGAGGATGGGTGGTGACTGAAGGATGGTATTCACACCGTAAGTTAAGCTCCAAGAAGTCGACGTTGTTGGTGACTCACAAGATAGAAATTTCCGGCTGCCAAAGATGTCTAATCAGCCTGCTACATGGATTCAGTGAAATTTACTCACTAATCGACGTTTGAACGAATTGAACATAGCTGGTTGGAAGAAGCCTGAAGTAGAGCAAGAGCGACCTAAGCAACTTGATGACGATATTGGTTGGAGTCGGCCCGGCCCGCAGACCCGTGTGAGAGGAATTGTGACTACATTGGGTCAGTGGATTTCCACCCCTATGGAACACCTGTCGTCCAATCCTCCTCGAGATATATTTGCACGATCGTTGATTTAAATTGACTGATAGGTCACCTCAAACTCGGAAGACGAGCGGCGGCTCTTCTTAATTCACAAATCATACTACAGTAGAAGTTCTCATAATGCATAACGCCGGTATCGGACCAAAATCTATGCATTAGTAGAATTATGCAAGACGAACAAGGCGTGATTTTTGTGACAAGATGTGACCACGTGACATAACTTCGGTTGAACCCAGCCGCTCGGCGTCGTTTGAACAGCTTTCGCGGACTCTGCCTGGTGCAGGTGGATCCTGAAGCTGAAGCTTTGAAGCCTCTCAGCTGGCGAGTGAGCTCGAGAGACGCATCTGTGTTGTTGTATTTGATACAGACGCGCTCCAGCTGCTCGCATAGACGTATCACCTCTCCGATCGAGATTCGACATCTTGTCCTCGGCCTCCTCCTCCTCCTCGTCTGACTCAATTTCCACAATCTTCCCCGCCTTAACTGCCTCCTCGTATCTCACCTTCTCCACGATTGCATCGTCGTTCTCAAACCTGAAGTCCATCTCGCCAAACTCTTGCTCCTCAATGGGGTTCAGCATCTGTTCCAATGAGAGGGGAGTGCTTGGTGCAAACCTTCCGTTTACATTCGGTGGGCTCGTTTTGACATTCACTGGCGGAGGCGACGGCTTCCATCGTGATTTACACCCGATTTCAGGAATGTTCTAGCAACAGATCTTGTAGATACCAGGGAAGATTAGATAAAATGACCTTATGATAATGCATAATCGACCCAAAAGGGCTATGCATTATGCACTATGCAATTTGCCCGCTTCCCGAGTTGGTTTTGACCCAAAAGCGATGCATTATGACAATTATGCAGCATGAGACCATGCATTATGAGAACTTCTACTGTAGTATCACGAGTGGCAGCTCCAAACCCGTATTTATTAACGACAAATACGCGGCTCTTTAGATCTATTTACTGAATGTCGGTAATCATAAGAACGGTCGAAAAGACGAAGGCTTACATCATTTAAAACTAGAGGAAGAGTACACGGTGCCATTTTGGTACGAACTGGGTGTCTTTAAATATCTTGTAGAACTTCTCGACCCACTCTACATTGGTGCATAGAGCAAGGTCTTCTTCATTCTCATTGCTTCCTATTGGGACGCACATCTTGTCTTCTCTGTCCTTGACGGCTATCCAGGCTACCCCTGCAGGCATCCGGCGGCAAATGTCCCTCCAACCGGCATTGTAAAAGGCCCACCCGTCTGCGTTTTCCGGAAGAAGCTTGAGAAGTTTCGCATATAAAATAATGTCGTCACCATGAAGCGCGATTCCAAAAGCTTTCGGTGCTGAACCGGTGTCATCACAAAGCGGGAGCGGCGTGCAGACCCATGCTGCGGGCAAGACTATTGGTGGCGCTTCAGAGGACCTATAGCGGATTATGTTATGAGAAATCGAGTTCCGTGTGCGTAGAGTGTCGCTTACATAGTAAATCACTCGTTGGAGTTACTGCGTGGCTTCGATGGAAAAGGCAAAAGCATTTATGGCAGTTTGACCATGTTGATGTACTTAGGCGAGTGTCAGGGGTAGCAGTGTGTTGAAAAGAGGTTATTTGCAGTTCTGAGGGTTACACAAATCCGTGAATCCGATTGGCTTGGGGCCTCCTTCAGCCAATGAAATTTCGGCGATTCTAGGAATATTCGAAGTGCAAATAACCTCTAAAGAGCTGCATTTTGACGCCTTTGCTCAACGTTCCTAAAGTTTTTTGGGGGGAGCAGCCTGCGGCGGCCTGCCTTCCGACTCGGAAGATCTAAAATCTGATGTTGTATACGCCTCGTGTATTTGAAACCGGTCTTATTCACGAAGAACAATAGGCTATGGCGAGAGGCTTGACAAGGTTCGCGGAAAGGAAACCAGAGTCTGGACTCTGGAGTAGTAAGCGCGCATGAACGGGCCGGGCCCCACACAGTGGGGCACTTATCGAGGTCCCGGCAACACCCGGCGACCTGCTTCAACTTAGAACGAGTTTGCATCTCTTTCCCCAACTTCGACCATCCCCCTTCTTCCGTAGGCTGTTGTCCGCTTCCGCCATTACCTCTTCCTTTCTCGCCTTTCCCCCTCGCCTCGAAGGCCGCCCTCACGAGTGGTCGCACAACCGAATCAGTCCGCGCCGATTAGTAGTCACCATATGCGAACACAATCTTGATGAGCAGTTTCTTCCTTATACCCCTTTCCTCCCTTCTGTACCATTCTGTATGTTTGCCTGGAGGAGCCGGTTGTACTGTGGGGATATGGACTTCGTTGTCGACTCTGACTTGTAGACGCGTGTATGAGTGTCGGTGAACCCTGGTAAAATGAAAACCTCAAAAGCATGCACAGGGACGAGGGTTTTCTATGCGATGTCACGCTCTTATCATCTCCTCGTCACCTGCACCGCCGTAACCCGATCTTATGCTTATGTAACCCACTGTCGATCAATTTGGACAGGCGTCCGGCGGCCTGTCCTTAGTTTTAATATCTAATAGTACCCACATTATCGGACCCTCTGGCAGGGTGTAGTAGGAACAGTACTATATCTGAGTTACCTGACCTGCCGGATATCCGGTCAGATATAGTAGCGTTGCTTCAAATCCTCGTCAACCATCGTTTCCCGGTCGCCGAAATTGGCGCCTTTGTCCATATTTGGTTTGTACGATGCCTAAATAAGAATACCGTCATATAGCCCTCCGGGCAGGCCTGGACATCTTAATACTGGCTTTGCATTAGCGAGCTGGGGAACCCTTTCCGAGAAACAAAAATTTGTAAACGAAGTCCAGCACCAACGCCTTAAATGCGCCCTCGCGCGTAGGCGCGATGTCACAGTTAGCAGCTTTCGACGCCTCAGCATTAATTCTGTCATCCCTTATGAAAACGAACAAGCTTAAGCCTGAGAGCCCCTCAATCCACTAGGCGTCAATGCAGCACCAGCACGTCGAGTAAGAACGAAGAGGGAAATTATTTCTCAGGGTACATTACTGTATTAAGAAATCGGCCATAACCTAGAACCTGAACACCAGGGGTGTCCAGGCATTCCAATGGCCCTCCTGGACATAGTGCCGTATAAGTACGCTCAGAAATCAATGAGGAACAGTGGTTTCTTCCTTTCCCCCCCCAACTGTTGCCCAGCTGACTCGGAGATCATGGGCAACGGCAGCAGCGACGAAGCCATATTTGATGGAGTAGAGGCATCCATTCATTAATAATCAACCGAAGCAATGAAAGGCGACAAGTGTGCAGGAAGAGAAAAAGGGCAGCTGGACTCGCTACCCATGGGGCCGTTATCACTCGATCCCATTGCAGCTGGCTTAGTGTAGGCGGATGATCTTAAGATACAGGCAGACAAGCGGCCTTCTCTCCCACTAATAAATTTTGATATAATTTGCTCCGCAGGTGCTACTATGACTCATATTTAATATCAACAGACACTGGGCTCTTTAGATACACTCCACAAATCTTGCCACTGCAGGGGGATTTCAATGGTTAACACTACGACCACAAAGAGGAAGTGGAGGCTCGTACCAGCTCGTAATCATGGCAGTCGCACGTGCCATCTCGGCATGAATCCACTTTCCTTGAAGACCTCATAAACCTTCCGAATCGTGGTCTCATCCATGCATTGAGCGAGTGAAAGTTCAGATCCATTGTGTCCAATTGCGAGGCAAATTATTTCGCATTTCTTCCCCTTGACAAGAATCCGCCTTGTCCAGGGAAGTTGGACCCTAATGCGATGGAGGACAGTATCGTAAAGGACTTGCTCCTCAGACTCGTTGGCAGAGCAAACATTGATCTGGCGAGCAAATGCAACAAGATCATCGAATTCAAATGCGATCCCATAGATTTCATTTTGGTCGTGTTGTCAGAGGGCCGAGTGGCCACCCATCCCGCTGGCAAGGGGGTTTGCGGCGTCGTACTGGCAGGGGCAGGAGACCTATGACAGTTGAAGGTAAGCATCGAGAAGATTCATCAGTGCTGAGCAACTTACATGGCAAGCTTTAAGTCGGCGTTGTTTGGACGGGAGAAACTAGCGCGAGTTTATATCATCCGTCAATTTGAGGTCGATGAGAGTGACGACGAGTGGGAGAGACCTTCTAAGAAGAAAGGAAACAAGAAAGACAAGGCGGGAAGCTTGAAGAAGGAAACAAGGGTCAGCAGCAATCGTCTCAGCGCAAGCTGCCAGCCGACCCCACGCCGAAGCCGAAGCCGACCCGCCACACCACGCTTTCTGACCGTTGGCAAGCACCCCTCGTAAAGAGGATCGAAGATTGTGCCCCAAGAAGTGGTACTTGGTCCAAGTTCCTGTGTATTGGAAATTGGGAATGAAACCGTCCAACCAACGTTTTTATCACCTGCACGGTCAGATAGAGGCGCTGTTGAGCGCCTTGGAGTCGAACGACGGCCACGATGCGGTACGCCTTTCGCACATATCTTTGTCTTGCAATCTAAATCTATTTAATTAGAATGAGATTGAGGATTTCGATAACGACCCGTTGGACGTGATTTAAAGAACTGGATTGAGGTCGAAGAATAATATTGAAACCTCCGCGCAGTATTTCACTTTTTCATACCTTTAATAGTGATGTGCGCTTATGTTGCTCTGTTCAAAATATATATCATGGGTCAGCTCTAATACCCAAATATGCCAGGAAACTAAGCCTTCTTGACCTCTATTCACCTAGAGAGTACCTTGTTTTTTAGCGGCAATTTCGCAGATTCAAGATCCTGAAGCCTTCTGAAACATTTGGGTCAATCGCGCTACCAATCTGACATTGTTCGCTCAGCGGAAGAGAGATTAGGTCTCTCAATTTGATCGACGAGGTAGGAAACTCTCCTTGTAAAACGTTTCATGTTCGGAGGACAGAGGAGATTTTGCTTCATGTCAGCGACATTGAGAAAGCCCGAGGCGCCTTTCCCGTTCGATAAGACGAAGATGCGGTGGGAACCCAGAACGAAAGACGCAAAGCACCACGTTGAGCGAGATGATGAATACAAGGAAGCTCGAACCCATCCACCGTTCTCCGATTAATCGATCAAAGCGCTCTAGGGAAAATACGACTTGTTCACGAATTTATAAGTTAATGTTAATTGGGATACAGCCCAGCGCGATGAGACCATCTATGATAAATTGGTAAGTAAGGGACTCGGGATCAGTTTCAGACACATAGGGAGGAGAGCTTACTGAAAGAGTTGTTGGTGCAGCAGACAGGCTGCGCGGTGCTATAAAAAAAAAGCAGCGAAATCAGCATGGTTTATACAAAGGGGACGTTGGTCGTACCAAGAATTGCCTCCAGCGCCGATGACAGTGATCGGGTTGCAGTTCACACCAACGATCGCGGTAATATCTCCAACGACGACGCCCAAGAGGCCGAGGATCTTCGCGATAGCAGTGTCCTTTGCGGTGCCCGTCTGGTTGCAGCACTGAATGGGCCCAGTATTGCACTGATTAGCAGCCGCGGGAATCGCTGTGGCGGCGGCAAGGGAGGCCGTGGCGGCCAAAGCAGCGGCGAAGAACTTGAATTGCATGTTGGTGTTGTAGGTGGGTTACTGAACTGTTGTGCTGACGGTTCGAGTGAAGAATGGAGGCGCTTGTCCTTGTCTTTTATAGGGGTTTCGACAATTGTTCGGGACTTGTTGGGCTGGGTAGCTTGATTATTGCTTATGTCTGCAGATGTGGGAGCCCAGTCAAGAGAAGAAGGCCAAATGGGTATCAAATCAGCGAGGATGTGTCGTGTCGCATGCAGGCGTGGAGCGTCTTTCCATGGTGGGGCGCTAGTGGATAAGTCCTAGTGAAACAGGAAACAAGACCATTGGCTCGACCAGCATGGGTAGTCGGCGTTCGTGGGTGGACATCAAAGCTTTGAGATGGTAGATGCGTCATTTTGATTGAGACCTCAACGAAATTTCCTAGGAATTGTAAGTCAAGGCAGTGCGGAAGATGCCTTCTTGCAAATTTCCGTTTCGTGGATGTCAAGAGGGACAGAATCACGGGTCCGAGGGCCTATGCGGTCATTGAGCTCATCCTAGAAGATTCGCCGAGAGAATTGAAGACGAATGGCCATTCTTCAGAAGACAAGGGCGTCGGTGTTTCGGACCCAGCATCGCCTATCCACGGTACTTCCAGTAAAGCATGCGTTTGTTTTCGGAGTCCAGACACAAAGCGGAGAAAAAGAAGCCTCGGAAACCACTAGAGTTTAGGGAGAACTATCCTCCTCTATGACAGCGGCGAAGCAGTGACCCAGGAGCAGAGCCATTGACATATTGATGATGGTGGTCTGAAGGAAAGAAGGGGTTTTGTTTACGGCTGCGTTCTCCGGAAGCTTGATCATTTGGACTTTTTTGGACACCAGCAAGGTGTGGCCTGCGTCGTCCTCGAGGCCTTTGGCAGTTGGATAATAAAAGCCCACCTCGAAATCCGACTTTTCCTTCCTGGGGGAGGCATCGCTCCACATCCGTAAAATTGGAATACGAAAGTCGCGTAAAGATGTTTCCAATTAGGTCATGGTGGTTCCTGGAAAGTTGGTCACCAGGCGTAAACGAACGAGGACATGGCATTTACATGGATGAGTTTGGGCTGTTCACTTACAGCACGGGAGAACAAAAGGACACAAAGGCTGCAATCAATAGATTCTCTACGGTAAATTATAACGGTACAAAGTTTAAAAGTCATCGAAGTCCTTTCCACCCGAAGAAGGTAGTCACAAGCGGCCAAAACTATTTACAAGTTGAGATTGACGGGGGTGCAGCCGAAGGCAACGAGGCCGTCTACGAGAAATGGAACGAAAGACTCGTCAGGAAGGAGTCAGAAACGGGGAAGTTATTGATAACTTACTGAAAGAATTGCTGGCGCAGCAAACGGGTTGAGCGGTGCTTCACACAGAATACATTATTCGAATTAAGCAAAAAATCATGGGAGATATGCTCAGCGAAACCTACCAAGAGTCTCCGCCGACCCCGATGACGCTGATAGGAGTGCACGTAAGGCCCACAGCTGCAGTAACGTCGGGGACGACGATGCCTAATAGGGCGAGGATGATGGCAACAGCGGGGGAGTTTGCACTTTGAGCAGTGTCGCCTGAGGATCGGATGGCCTCTAATTTAGTAAAACGAGGAACGGTGTGAAAGAGCGGGCGTATAAGTGGACCTACAGCACTGGAGGTTGCCAGCATTACATTGGCTTGCAGGTATAGCGGGTGGTAGAATATCTCGGGGCGTGGGGGTGGCGACCGCAAGGTGAGCGAGGGCAAGGGTGGCGGATAAGAGCCTTAGATTCATGTCTGCTCTGTCTAAACTCAACACTTGTTGGTGTTCGAGAGGAGAGAAATCTTTTGCTTGAGCAGTTTTTATAGCTTTCGACCCTTCCGTGAGCCGACACAAAAGGACATATTGGACGACTGGTCTTCGACGCATGAATGCATGGTGGCCTGCCGTGAGTTGACGTCGTGAAGAAGATACGTCGAGGTGGAGTGCCGTCGCTCAATCAGAAAAATCCGGGGTGGAGCTCGTAGGAATAGCAAGCAAGGGTTTCGGAGGGCGAAAGCAGAAGCTGATCATCAGGGAAAAGCAAAATTGGGTCATGGCACAGGGTGCACCCGTGGACACTTGTGCGGCCGGTGTCATCCAAGGACGGTGTATTCTCCATTTGTCGTGGAAGGGCTATGCTAATCGCATGGCGGAGAAATAAATATGGTTGGCCACCTGCGCGATCGTCATTTACGAAACGCCACAGTCAGTACCGACGAGAACGTCCCGGGTCGACTTGGCTCTCCACGTTTGGTAGATTTTTAGTCAACAGGGGTCAACAGGGGTCAAACGAAGGAAAAAACCTGACGACATATCATGATCACCCGCTGAGGGTTGTCTTGTCATCCTTATGCAAGATCGGAAGAAGAACGGGTCTGTCGGCGCCCAGTGGGGAGATTATGCAACAGGTTTGCATGTTTCTATCTGTAAAATGTGAGAACAAGATAGTAAGTATAGTTGTCATAAAGAGGCGTGCACCTGCCGTACTGGTCGAGGCTGACTGACCCAGAATTTTGATTTTGCACATCTATTGTGCCCTAGATGGTTACCAATCTCCTAGGGCAGAATGAGGGGTTGGCAGACCGTGCATATGACGCAGGTATTCCTGACAATGACAGTCCACGAGGCTGTTCGACCGAGATCTTGCGAGACGGTCGTATCTACAGTCAATGCATCCCACGAGAGTTTGGCTCGAACCCAAAGCTGGTTAGAAAAAGATTGACAGAACGTCTCGTGGAAAATGGGATATGGAACATGTCTATTTTGAAGTATAACATGACGGCTTCTAGATGTATGGAGGTCCCAGGGCTGGAATGAGAAGCGTAAGTCACGCACCCAAATCGACAAGAAATGCCTCACTTTTCCGGAAGACTCCCAGGGTAAATTCGACGACGAGAAGCAGGACACCACCGCCCGGGGCTAGCCGAAGAACTTTGGGAACGAAGCCCTTGTACAAGGCCGCTACGCCTTCCTCACGTGCGATGGTCACGATCGCGGGGTATGTCCAATTGTATTTGGGTACTACACCAGGTATCTTCTCCGCACCTTGGATGCGTGATTTTACAACCTGAAGGAGTTTCATTAGAAGGACAACCTTCGAGAAACGCAAAGCCAATGACGCACGTCAAATCTGGGTGGGTTTAGATGAGTATCTAGGTTAAGGTTCTGTCGACATAAGGCTTACGGGGTATTCACGAGAGTGCCGGCAAATCCACCAATAGAACCGGAGATGAAATTGTTCAGGAGTTCACCTTGTTGTGTCTTGAAGAGAGTTACATTAATTATCAAGGGGTGAACAATCTGCATACCTCAGGCTTCGGAAGCAGCGCCTTGACCTGGTGGATACATCCAAAGTAACCTCCATTCCAGTACACATGTCTGTCGATGCAGTCAATGACGTCAACGGACGATGTGATGCTGGACAGACCTCCAGAACGTTGACTCCATGCCAGCATAAAGACCTAACAGGCCGTCCTTGCGAATGACCTGCTTTACGACATCCATAGGCCCTTTGTAGGTGCTGGTTTTATCTTGCAGCCTACGTGTGATAAGGGTGATGAGAGCATGGCAGAATTGATGAACACGAACTTGATTTTCACAAGCTCGAAAGGAACAACGACAAAACTTTCCTGATGACCACTCAGTCGCGAAGTTTGAAAAGAAAGAGGTCGAAATTCACTGTCGCCCCAGCGCTGCAACCTGTCAAAACTGACAGACTTTGCGTCATCTTCTTCTCTCCGGACATATCCATATATGTTTTCCCCCAGAAATCGTTGGCGGCACTAAACACCAATGAGACAAAGGGAGACGAAGGATAATTTCCGAAAATTCCACTGACAATTTGACGGCACGTTTCGGGGCCTCAAGCAGTAGGGGAGGAACAAGACCTAAATTATTTGTTCTTGAGCCCATACGGGATACTGTTAAGACCAATGCGAACCTCGATAGAGACGTCCCACCCTTCAGAGGATTCTCAGCGAAGGGGGCGTCAAACAGTAACTAAAGGCGCGCACCCCTCCTCCTTGATGATATTCCTGAATGTTCCGACGAGCCCGAACTGGGCCTGTCCTCTCTCCAGTTGCATACGAGTTTTGACCTGGGTCCGAACGTGAATAGACGGTTCAGCGCGAAAACCTTCCTGTGGAACTTACGACATCTACAAACACGATCTTGTTAATTACTCTATTAATGTTCTTCCTTTAGGCGAGCTCACCGAGAGGGTAGAAGGTCAGAATCTCTGAAATTCCTGCAATCGCACCCGCCGCGAAGTTTGCGATGAATGGTAAAGCTGCGGATCCGGTTTAGTTTCACAAGACGCGACTTTGAGCTGGTTCCACGTACGTTTTGGTTTGTGCTCAGCAGCCATCGCGCAGGGGGGGCTTCAGAACAGAATACCGGGCCACAAGTTAGTGGGAAGAAGGAAGAAATGAGGAACTCTACGGAACTTGCGGCGGACGGACCTGGCGGCTTTATCGGCAAGTTGTGTTCGCGTAGTCACAAGGTCGTGTGACTCCTGAGATTGTGCGTTACACCACGCCGTCGTCATCAGCCTCGATGAGCTATGGTCTACATCCACTCCTGGCAAGAGTTCCAGGATGCGGCCGAGGCTCTCTACTCAAAAGCGCCAAATAACGTGAGTGTTCATGAACAAAGTTCGCCAGGACTGATCTGATCGCCGATTTGCAGACGCGCTATGGTGTAAAATGGAAATCGTCAGAGGGGAAGCTGGTCCTCAAAATCACCGATAACACGACAGTGAGGAGGGCGTTCATCTGTTTTAATGAATGAACTCACATGAATGCTCTAGTGTATCAAGTTTAAAACGAACTCCTCGATCTTTCTTAATCGATTCGATGCTCTGAACCTATCACTCATCCAGAAGATGCAAAACCAGAGACCGAAGGAAGAGTCACCTGCACCTGCACCTCCGGACCTGACTTCACCCGTCAAAAAGGAAGAGGAGGCCTCTCTTCCGCCTTCTTCGTCAACTACGATCCCAACAGCGACACCATCGGCGGGAGGGGTTAAGAAGAAAAAGCCGAAGAAGAAAAAGTGACGATCAGGGCTCGACGTTGGATCTTGGTAGCTGGGCGATATCGAGGCAGGGTGGGCGGGCGGAATTGTGGATCATGTCTTATATGAGTACTGATTACTTTGGTTCGTCGTCCTCGTTTAGCTTTTGCGGTTTGTTCAAGAGAAATCTCACCTCAACCCTCAGATATTGCTCCCATGTTTAGATAGGTCACGAATTATAGTTCTGCGACCGGATCCACGTAATTGCGGCACCCAATGTTACTTCGGTGGCCCTTATGATGGACGTCGCGACAAGTCTCGAAGAAATCAGTTGTCCGAGCAGGATGTCGATGTGCTGAGAGGGTTCTTGAACGACATTTCTCTAGAAAAGTGGTCAATACCTGTTTGAAGATATGATTTTTGCTTTATGATTGACTTGATAACAGCAGCTCTGGGTAGTGGGAACCGGAAATCCTTCGTCCAACACTTGGTGTTTTGCCTGTCAGCAATCTGATCCATTTGAACGACACGCAGCCAATTTATACCAGCCTGGTGCTCTCGCCATCCTCCAAAGGTCTCCCTGTGTAAGTAGAGTGCAAACGACAAAAGGCGTCTCAAATTGCCTTCCTACCCTCATCCCTCACCCCTGCTTGGTCCGCATAAAAGCCTAGGTTGCTTCGAAGAACGATCCAGTTGTGGGCCAGAAATTCTGATTCCCTCTTGAGGTCGCCGGTGCCAGTGATTGGTCAGTCCAGGTCCATGACTACTCGTTAGGCTACTAATGGCAACGCATTTCCTTTCCGTCACAGTCAAGCCTTTCAAGGACATCATTTCCTGTGCTAAGGTTCGATTGCTTTCGATTTTTTTTTGGAAAAGAAATCTGTGGTAATAACCTCAGGAGAGGAGCCAAGAAGATCGAAACGCGGGATGGATAACGAAAGTACACGCCAGCCAGACGAACGTGGCTAATACTGTTCAGTTATATGCAGGTGGGAATGTCGAAAAATCAAAATCACCTCAAACCATGGAAGATATGATCTGAGCGATTGCATTGCCGTCCGGCTGGTGTAGGAGGTCTATCGCAGCGATTAACAGTTTCAGTATGGCGGATAGCAACGTTAGGGAGGGTACGAGGTTGCTGTATATGTGGAAAAGAGTCAGTCTGATATTTGAGGACGCGTCGCGTCAAGGGGGACGCACGGGCCAGGGACGCGATTAATAGCCCGGTCCGACTCTCCGGACCCTTCTCAGGCTCCTGACCATTACAGGTACCATTACGAAGGCTGACAACGACCTCTATGTTTGCCCAGTCCTCTCATCTACTTTTGCCACTCTTGGGGCCATATTCAAGCCTATATATCAAGTTGTAGAGCCTGAATCATCAAGACAATTCCAACAAACGGCGCCATTGAACTCTCGCAGACACGAAACTCGCCCAGCTTTCCTTGTCTGAGAGATTTTCACGATTTCTGTCTAGAATGATAGGCTACAGAATGGTAGGATCCACGCAAGGGTCTATCGCAAGGTCGAGAAGCGATACGACAGACCCGGCGTCTGTCGTCGAAGAAAGGGCTCTTGTACCTAGGAGCTCCTCGCCACCACTGCGCACTCTCGACGACGTTCGCGATCAAGTATCCCAAGAGATCGCCGTTCATACTATCACAAAAGCGAGGTATATGGATGGTGAGAATATTCACAGCCCTCAAATCTATATCTCATATCAGCCTTAGGAGTTAGAATCGGTGTGCGCTTGGTCATGTCGAAAAGCGAGGACGAATACTTCCTCGGGCAAGTAGCCGGGAGGATACAGCACCAGCTATCCCTGCACGAGCACCTGTTCGCCGTCGGGACCACTGCTCAAACTGCGAGGTCAGCCTCAAGTACCCTTATCATCTGCGGTTCTTCCCCAGACTTTGTACAACGAGCTGTGCTTCTCGCCAGTTCGAAGTTCATCGGCAGAGTTATAGCCGCGAAGACGAAAGACTACCGATGGGTGGCGACGATCCAGGATCTCGGAGTATCTCCATACGACGAAGACGCGCTATGGGATGTTCTCTCCAAAGCTGCACGAAGCCCTATGGACCCCCTAGCTCCTCCGCCCGGTTCAAAGGGTATTGACCAGATCCTATCAGAAGCCCGTGCAAAGCTGCAGCGAATTAGCCCGGAGCAGGCTTTGGACGAATTGAGAGAGACCCAAGTGGGTGCTCCGACTTTTTTGGTCGACATCCGACCACAAGCCCAACGCGAGAAGGAGGGTGGCATCCACGGCTCCCTTATCATCGAGCGGAACGTCCTCGAATGGCGCTTCGATCCGAGGTGCACCGCCCGACTTGCTATTGCGGATCGATATGATCTGCGGATTATCGTGTTCTGCCAGGAAGGATATACCTCGAGGTAATTCTATCACATTCTATTTCCGAATAATTAATTAGCTGACCCCACCGCAATAAAGTCTCGCGGCGTATTCTCTGCAGCAAATGGGGCTACTGAATGCGACGGATATCATTGGAGGGTTTGGAGCATGGAGAGAAGCGGGTCTTCCTATTGACCTTGACAGGCGTGATGCAAGGTCGCTCGTCTCGCTCGCGGGGTCGGTCGTATAGCCGTGTGTTTTGAGCCCGGTAGCTTCAGCTGTCGTATCATTGGCCGGAGAAAGAATGGAATCTATTGGATCCAATGGGAGCCAATCATCGCGAGTCCCACTCCTTGGCAAATCCTGAGAAACCCCACTATTCCTGACCGTCCCAGACGTAGCCAACGAACAGATTTCCCCACCACCGAATCTCTACACCCGTTCCACTTCCCCCGCCGGTGATGGCGGCGCTGCTGTCGTCCCTACAAATCCCGCCATCACTTTCGACCTCGTCAATCATCTCAGTGACCAACCCCACGGTCAAGTCCTCCTCGGTGGCGATCTCAATCGTAGTCTTTGGGCCTCCCATGGCTAGATAGCTCGAAAGGCGGGCGGCGAATGCCGCGTTGGTGTATGGCGGTGTATGAAGCACGTTCAACCCAGACCCAAAGGCGCGGTGGCGGATCGTGGGTTCTGTGCATGCATGCAAATGCGGGATCACCTGTAGGAACGTCGACGGTGGGATGAGAGCTATGTGCACGCTGAGCGCATGTCCAATAATAGATCTCATGAGAGAAAACGTACCGACACCTCTCGCTCGGTTCCAGCCGCCCCACACTTCGTCAAGAGCGATAATCCCGCGCTCTTTCATCATCCCGTTGTTCGACCCCGAGAGGCCTTGCAACACGCGTGCTAGTTCCCTGGCCAACTCTTCGTGCCATTTCCGCTCATCCGTCATCATGTCGAGCGTGACCGGCGCGTTGGACATCTGCAGCCCAAGCTGCGAGAGAGACGAACGGATGAAGGTTGCTTCTTCTGGTTCTGTTGCAGTCGAGACTGCCGAACTCGCGGCTGCGGTCAACTTCTCGTTGAGTTCCGCAGCCAGCTTCACCATGTCCTTCGCCTTGACCATGAGGGCCTCAAGATCCTGTAGGGCATCTTTCATGTTATTCTCTCTCCCTTGAGCGGAACTTTCCACCGTCCTGAGAATACCAGCTGTCACAAAAGAAGTAAGCTCGTTTTTCTTCTCATGATTTCAGCACGTACATATTCCCGACATCCCAACGGCATTTGTTGCGTTATTCGTGCTCGTAAGAGCAACTTGAACCTGTGAATAAGAAGGGGTAAGGCGCACCGAGCGTCAATTTCGTCTAAAAACAGTGGCACACCTCCCATGCCTTTCCCTTCAGGCTGCGCTTTAGGGCCGCGTAGAAGGGCTTGTCACCACCTTTACGAAAGCTAATCTTCATCATCTTTGTCGCAGCTCCATCCTCATCGGGGTCCGGGGTGAGAGGTCTCGAGGAGGGTGCTGATTTGAATTCTCCTCTGGGCTGTGGCAATTCTGTACCGCAAATCTCACACGAACGCAGGTACGGGTGGTTGAGAAATGTACACGCAGAGCATGGGACCTCCGTCCGATTGTGGATACTCGAGCTTGCAGCCAGAGATGTGGAGGAAGATGACGGCAATGACGAGGATAGATGGACTGGGGCAGGTGCGGGAATGGCGGAGCGAGGCACCCCGCAGAGCCCACAGACTCGGGCGGCTGCTGGACTTAGACCAGGTGGATTTCGGTATGCGCATACTTCGCATTCCCAGCTATCAAATTGGGCGAGTGGTACCCCTTGTTCACTTGGGCCCGATTCAGTGGGATTTCCAGAGAGGTGCAAAGTAACTTTAGCCGACGACTTGAAGAGGCCCGCATAGTATTCCGTCTGCGTAATGAAGGAAAGATCCAATGTAAACGAGTTGCGAATCTCTCGCCGAGAATCAATGTAGAAGAGACGGTGAGTGGTGACGCTGACGGTTCCGTTCTGGTGCTCTGGGGATTTCTGTGAGCTACGTCACTTCAATTGAACCGAGAGAACATGAGGAATGGAATGCGATATACCCGTCGTAGATCCCTACACCATCCTGATTGGCCAATAGCTCTTCGTCATTATATAGCAGTGCCTGGACGGGGATCGAGCCGTCTACAGAGGTAGTATATCGCTGTAGAGCCATACTGGCTCTAAACGGCTCCGGTCTTCAGCCTCGAGTACTGTTGAGGATAATAGTTGTAGCTATTGTCCGCCTTCAGCGCGACAATCAGCAGAAGATTGTTGTGGTTCAAAGCAAGGAGGTTGACTTGAGATTAGATAACAAATCGCCTAAACTACATCATGAGTCTGATGACTCAGCAGCAAATATCTTTCTTTTCATCTGACTTTGTTGCTCTCATGTCGTTTTTCGACTTCAACGAGCCTCAGATCAACCTACAACGAGCACAGTCGGTGACTCTGTCTCAAAAGCAGGGAACAAAACCCTGTACAACCCCAGGTTTTTGGTAGCCGGCAATCTGCGCAACCTGCAAATATACCACGGGAACCGGTGCCCTCATTCGCATCTCTTTCCCGAGACTTCTGCGAACGCCCTTACCCGGATAATCTAATGCGTGGGCAAATGACCTCGCGGACGATCTTCTTAACTAGTTGGCTCCAACCAGGGCCAGATGTAGCCCCCCTCTCACGCTCGTCTTCCACACCCGCTGCTCATCGTCAGTGGCATACACCACGCCGGTCATCGAGGAAAGATTCACGAGCAGCATCCTGCAAATCCTGGTTATGTCGTGAGTGGTTTTCTTTGGTTATAATCAACGTTCTTAACGTATTCGAATCGTCGAACCAGAAGTAATGCGATCAAGTTTCGTACGCTCATCCTACGCCTTACGATCATCCTCTCCTGCTGGATACGAACGTACCATTCGGCTTTCGCATTAAACGTGACGGTGCAGGATACAGACCCTTCGATTGTGTACCAACCACCAGAGTTATGGCATTCCAGCTCTGATTCCTGTTCTTCTTGTCTAAATCCCGGATTTTCGGCGTCATATCACGAAGCCATCCATCCTGATGTAACCTCGGACGAGGACGACTCTCTAGACTTTTCGTCTGTCCCTAGCACGGTACACTCGACTCATTTATTGAATTCCCCACCTGCACCGACGGTCGGCTCAAATGACGATGATCATCAAGACGCGGATGATCACGACGACAGAAAAGATGGCAAGGACGAGGGCCATTCAGGAAAGGGCAGAAAGCGCTCGTTTTCTCGAGGGTTGATCCCAAGACTCGATGCTGATGACCCCGGGTTCGTCGACCCCTTGATCACATTTTCGTTCAACTTCACTGGTCAGTTGACGCTATGGATCGCTCGTATATCTCTTCTAAGACGACTTTCTAGGGACCGCGATATATCTTTTTGGTATACAGCCTCTTGGTATGGGACGTCCCAACGAACCTCCAACGAACATGAACTTGACTTTTACTCTCGACAACAAGCCCGCGGGAGTGTTTCATTCTACTGGCGTTCCCAGTGCTTCGGGATTTCGGGCAAACACCAATGTTTTGTCGATGACAGCGCTAGAAGACGGTGCACATCAACTGCTGGTCAGCGTCGGTCGAAACTCGACTTTCCTGTTTGATCATTTGGTGTATACAACGAGCAAGACTAGTCCAACCTCGACAACTGACAGTCCAGCTACGCTGCTGGGCCAGAACTCGCCAAGCTCAAGTGTTAGCCCGTGAGTATCAAAATCGTTCCATTGTCGGGTTTTCTTCTTTCGTAGTCGTTTGTCATTGGTCCGGAGTCTGATGCGTCTATTCCCCTCTAGCTCCACCCGGAAACACAACATCGCGACTTTTGCAGGCGCCGTTGGTGGAAGTGTCGGTGTCCTAGCGGTGTTCTCGCTCTGCCTGGCGCTCAGCATCATTCGACGAAGGAGACTGGCTGCAATCAGAGACCGCCGCGACCGCGAATCGCTCTACACAAGTGGCTCCGATGATGCACCTCACATGGTGGGACCAGCCCCATTCGTCCCGAGGTATTTCCCGGGCACCGTCATACCTCCTGATCCCCCCACCTACACGGCTGCACTGGCGTCCAGTCGCGATGGTTCGACGCTATCGGCGTCCATATCTAGCACTCGCTATTCTTCCGCACCACGATCGTACGCGGACATTCCTCCAAGCACACCCCCTCCTCTTTTGGACGAGGCTGACATGATACCTCCTCCTCCACCCTTCCCAGTGGCTATACGCTCGCCACCAGCCGGTATCCTCCAGGAAGGCTCACAAATACCCTCAATACCCGGAAGGGAAGAGACTTCGCACAACACTGCTATCGTGGGTGTCGATCATTCTAATTCTGCTGTTGCACCTGAGCGCGTTCCTTTACTTCAGTCCTCCGATAGTGACTCAACAAGAAGGCTCCCCCCGCCCTCTGGTCGACCAGCTGACGCGCATGAAACTCTGGAGACTAACAGCCATCCGCAGAGAGACGGACCATAGGCGAATTTGCATTATATTGTCGTGTATATTTATTTCCTAAAATTCTCTTCTGGTGGGATAGCTCTATGTCGGTTGATAGAACCCGTCTCGGGAGTCGGTCTACCAACTTCTTGAGGCTACGGTTATTGCGCGACCGAGATCTAGTGTAAGTAGATGCCACATGCCAATTGTATACTACGCATTTATGTCGCGACGACACTCAACCATGAAATTGTTATTCTGACTATTCTTGATTTCATTTCGCTGCTTCGATGCGCCGCAGGAGTGTGAGGAGGACAGTTAATTAATCCCCCGTGAGATGGGCGCACATTTGATATTTCAACAAGTGAAATGCTCACTACGGACGCAAGCATGGAGTAGATATTTATAGCTTCCAGCACCATTGGGTGGTTCTGGAGCTCTGACGTTCGACCAATCTGATTGGTGCGAGTGCGTGTCGGTTTCAGAGTTTCAGAAATCAAGTGTAAGTCAGACGAAGTCTATTGTGCCCACCTAACCGTCAAACAGCGAGAGATAACGGAAGGATCATGTCCAGTGCTTCAAAGCCGTGCCATATGCAAACATACGTATAAAAATTCAATCCGCTTAATCCGTAGCTCAGTAGAACATTGGTCATTTCTGCACCCACAGACCTCCACACAAATCGCGGCGAAGCGAGCTCTGAGAAACAAGCTCGATAAGCTCGTACTTGTCAACTCCAAATAATACCCAGTCCGGAAAATTGTGCCACAAGGGCGCTTTTGCCGGAGGTAGTTGGTGCTATGCTACTTTTTGACTGTGCTACGACAGGAAATCAAGAGGCTGATTGTAGGCTGAAGGCAAGTGAACATGATGAATAGAATATGTCTTTTAAGTTTCGTATTCGTGTAATGGATGGATTATTGCCTGAGATTAGTCCTCACAGGTCCCCGCAAGAGATGATACAAGGAGCAGCCGTGGAGGACTTGGGCAGGCTCCGGCCCGGGACGATATCTGTTTAGGGAATGCCAAGCAAGGACCCACAACTCGTTTGCAAGCTAGATAGGTTTGGAAAACCTCCCAAGTTTCTCACTCAGTGCTAATAAAATTCCCGGTACTTCCAAGATATAAACACTCTTAATATGCAATTGTATCCTCGCTGCCGCTGGCAGGCTGCCACCGGGCACCCTCTCCCAACCAGCAGCTATCCCAGCGTCTTCGCGCATCTTTGAGTTCATCTGAAAGGATGTTTCATCCACGTTCAAATTACTCTGAGGGATCTAGTAAAATTTGCTGGAGGACGACATGAACATTTCACTGAACTCACTAGGTGGTTCGTACAGGGGTGGGAACAGCTTTACTTTTTATAGGACACGCCCTTTCGGGTGACACCGAGGGTCAGACTCCCACTTCAATCAGCACATCGATGAAACTTTGCGCCTCGCTAGGAAGACACAGGCCTGGCATTTATCCCTCCGACTGTCTCTCGGTCTTCTTAAAGTATCAGCCCTCGATTTAGCGTCGACTTTCTTCTGAGAAGCCTCGGAACTGGGAAGCAAACTCGTCTTTGGTTCCAGCCACTGTCGGCCTTTCAGGGTTCCATGGACGTCGTCGATGTCGTACGCCCCAGCGGAATTGTTCTTCCTCACATTTGGGAACTTCCGAGGCTTCTGTTGCTCCACTTAGTGCCGATCCTACTACTGACCCCTCCTCCTGAGCTTGAAGTGCTGGTTGTGGGCTGTGCTGGGTTTGAAAGAGACGACATGCTGTGTGGCTGCAGAACGGTTGTTCTTTCAAACTAAGTATCAGTAAATCGCACAAGACGAACTCGATGACCACATAATTCTCCGACGCATGACGCAGTTCGACTTGACCGTGACGGGGGCGGAATGGAACATCGCAGCAAATATCCTTCCACGCTGTCAGAAACTATACTTAGTGTTCAGGTAATGTCTTCATGGATTTGCCACTCTGTCAATCAAAACGAGGCTTCCAACGTCTAACGGCTCTAATGAGCATCCACGTACGCCACCTACCGATGTTCATTCAACCAATAACTCCCGTTCTTTTGTTGAATTTGAATATCCGCTCATATTCCATGTCCAGGAAAACTCCACTTCGACATGCGACGCGTCGCGTATGTTCGACGCGGGCCATTCTCTTGATTGAGTCCCTGAACAACCTCTCGTCGACTCCACACATAGGTGCAATAATCAGGCAAAACACGATGCAAACAGCCGTTGGAAAAGTATAAAAGGCGCTCAGTGTGATCTCCCATTCTTCACTCGAACGGTCCACACACAGTTCAGTAACCCAACCACACCAGCAACATGCAATTCAAGCTCTTCGCCTCTACTCTGGCTGTTGCCGCCACCCTTGCTGCCGCCACAGACATCCCCGCCAGCCAGTGCAACACTGGGAACCTCCAGTGCTGCAACACCACCGGCACGGCTAAGGACTCCGCTATTGCTGGCCTCCTCGCTCTCGTGGGCGTCGTCGTCCAGGATATCACTGCGATTGTTGGTGTCAACTGCAGCCCTATCAGTGTCATCGGTGTTGGAGGCAACTCCTGGTACAATTTATATCCTCGCCTCTCGATTCAAGCTAATGCATACTTTTTTCTCTAGCACTGCGCAGCCGGTCTGCTGCACCAACAACCAATTCAGTAAGCGCTCTATCCCGCAATCCTATTCTTTCAATTTCATATACTCACCACTCTATTGCAGATGGCGTCGTTGCGCTCGGCTGCACCCCCGTCAACATCAACTTGTAATTTCGTGGACTCGTCATCGTCATCAACAAGTTCCGTGATAGTCTGGGAGGGTGGTAGATGGGTTCGAGCTTCTACATACTCTTGATAATCTCAATACTAAAACCCGACGCATTACAATTGTTTTTCTGCTTGATCATCCCTCTCCGAATGGCTACTAGGGTTTTTTCTCAGATTCAGTTTCTCTCTGCCCTTAAGTCAGGATTTCACTGTTAATGCGGCCGGTGCAAATTTCCTTGGGTATATTCCCGAGGTCACATCCCCTGTCTTGCGGGAACATAGTGCTATTTTTAGACAGTAAAGCACAGAAGGCCGGCCCGAATCAACTTCGCATATTGCCGGTCCACCTCAGCCAATCCTCAGCAAGTTCTTTCTACGACTCCTTATTTCCTCTCTTCATCTCTGCGTTGCCTTACGAAATGTCCAAGTGCGCCTCATCGATTATATCAACATTTAAAGCTTTCAAGAACATCTATTATGCTCACGGGTAAACGACATCTCCGGAGCAAACGTCATACCTAGTTCAACTTCACATTTAATTCAATCGACCACCGACTCCGTATCCCGAGACACATCTGCACGGGCAGGATATACTTACTCGCATTACCGGTCAGGAGAGGTTAACATTAATTGTGCAGGATGTTAACCTTTCCATTTTGTAGCTTGTTTGACTTCGATAAATTGTTGAACGCGTTTTGGCTCTACGCCAAAAGAGGGCCACGTTCCAAGGATAATGGAAAGGAGTTTTGGATTCCGACGCAAACGAGGGTGCCGGCGGATGGTTCCAAACCGACGTAATGCACCACAACCCACGGTATATAATCAACGTGTTTCGCGTCACTCAGACATCGCACATCCTTTGCACCTGTACATCTTTGACGCATAACCAAAATGGGTGGGTCCTTTTCGTCGTATCTCATCGTTTCGGCCTCTAAAAATACTCAAGGAATTGGCTCCACTGTGAAAAGCATGCTCAGCAACGACTACGACCTCCCTACTTCGGATACAGCGCCGACCTTCACCCGTGAACGCGACCCTGTCGTCGAGTCTGGTCCTACAAACTCAAAGAAGGCCTCTACCAAGCTTCCGTTTGGCAAGCCAGCACCTGCTGGTCTGCCCACATTCGAGAAAGATCCCACTGAGATCGCCATGGAGCACGACCTTCACCGGTCTCGCACCAACCGCAGCAGTGCTGGCTATGGCACTGACGCCGCCGCCGCACTGGGTGGTACATTGGCTGGTACTCACTCAGGCGGGCACAAGAGGACGGACTCTACCGGCACTGGTGCGCCTCTTTCATTGTGCTTTGGTTTGCTTCAATGTCTCATTTCTACCGACGCTGCAGGGCGCCCTGATCGTCGTGATACAGTGTTCGAGGGCGGCACTGCGGGCGGCGCGAAAGGAGTCGGAGGTGACCATCCTGACGCTCAGAAGCCAGAAGTCAACGTCGATGGGAGGAGCTATGGCACTGCAAAGACGGCGGCTGACACGAAAGCGCCTGTAGCAAACACTGGTGCTCAAAACGCAGTCAAGACGAATGTGACTAGTCCCAAGACGACTGCTGGTACAAACGTTGTTCAAGGTCCACAAAGTTCGGCTGGCGCGAAGAGTAACGGTGGTCTACCCAACGGAAATGTTGCCCAAGATCTCGGGATGAACGGAGGTACGTTGGATAATGTCTCTTTGGACGCATCCTCATATTTTTCAGTTCTCGGTGGTGCTCATCTTGCGGGGCACACGAAACACAATCCCCGCGACCTTATGCCTGATGGCAATGCTCAAGAGGACACAAACCAGCTCCATCGTATATGCCCTCCCTTCCTCAATAACCTCCGGAGCCTGACCATGCACTAGCTGTTGTTCATCAGAAGGTTCGCCATCTCGAGACGGAGGAAGTCTGTCGTGTCAAGGAACACGAGCGCCACAGTAAGCAGACTTGGAACTGTCTGAAGATGGAAAGCTGACGAACTATTCAGTTCATCACATTCAGCATCACATTCAACCCATCATCGCTCGTGAAGAGATGCCTGAGCAAGTCCATGAGCGTGTATGTCCTCTTTATCGTCTGCGCTTGCTTCCACCTAAAAGAATGTTCTTAGGTTCACCCCGTAACACATATTAGCGAGAAGCATGCGAACAAGGTGGAAGATAACACCTTGTTTGACGGCCAAGTTCGCCAGACTAAGGACAGCGTCGTACGTGATCTTCGTCCTCTGGAAATCGGGGCTCTGCTGAACAGCGAATGTAGTTCCATGTACCCAAAGAGCGGTCGGTCGTCGACAAAGGCGTCACTATCAAGGAACACGTACATCATCATATCCACCACGTCATCCAGCCAGTCATTGAGAAAGAAGGTATGTCCCAGGGTCCCCACTTGTCGCGACCGTGCATGAATCCTTTCTCCCTTTACCGCAGTACTCGATAGGCACCGGATCCATACTACGATCCCGATTCATGAGGTTACGCACGAGGCGCCGGTGGTGCACCAGTCGCAGACGCACGCTTCGGTCGCGCTCGAACACTTCCTCCAGCGCGGAGGCATCCTCGCGGGTGCGATCTCGCCCGACGATATTCGAGGTAAAATCTTGCATGGTGGGCACTGCTCTCGGGATGTCGATGGGATTGCAGAGAAATTGGAGACAGAGCTGAAACTTGGGAAGTCGGTGCGTAACTGAGCCTTTCTGTGATTCTAGGTGATCTGATATTTTGGCTGTAGAACACCCATACGCACGACGATCCCCCTTCGTCCGGGGTTGATGGGAAGAAGGTTGATCTGGCGAAGACGCAGAAGCATTCGCCTGCCACTGCCGCTCCGAATGTCGATCAACCCACTTCTGTCCCGACCAAGAACTAAGTTTTTTTGCTATCCCATGTTTTCTCCAGAAGCTGCTGTATTTTTAGCCCTCGATTCTCTTCCTGTAATTCCTTGTGCAATGCTTTGTATTAGTAGCCTGCTGCAAATTATCACTCGCGTCCGATTGGTGTTCTCTCAGTGGTTTCTGTCTTTTCCGTCGTTTCCAGTGCCACGCTAGTAGGCACATGAGTGAGAGAGCAAGGCGCGTGATGCGTCGCGTCGCGTAATGGCACGCGTCAGTCACATTGACCAAATCTGAGGTCGTGGATTGATGGCAAATGGCTCTTGCTCTTGCCCCTCATCTTGTGCGATCTATACGCTCAAAGAGGTTCACTTTCTGCGAATTCACACGCGTATGTGCGTAAATGTCGTGGATTACACATATATGCGCTATTTCTCGCGACATGAGACTGTCGATCTCAATATATGCGGCCGAGGTGCGAGATCATTCTTTTGTTGCTCGTGTGTTATGCCAAACCTATGCATAGACGAAGTCCAAACGGCCGATGTATTTTGTTGCAGTGGAAACCCTACGGCAACGGATCTTATGAACTTTGACGGTCCAGCGAAGGCCTTTGCCTCATTGCTCTGTACAACCTCGACAACACCATGCTCATTGAGCCACTTAAATTCGCACTGCTCGAATTTAACCCGATTCGACAACGACCTCTCTGAAGATCTGGTTCTCAAACCTTCATGGAGGACCCCGCTATTCAATTCTGACTGCCGAGTACGCAACTAACCGCGTCGAAACTCGAATATATGCGCCTGGCGTCTACTAAGAAGGCGTCTAATAGCTTGATCTAACGACTGCACTCCGTTCTCGGTCTCCTCTTACCTAATTCTGGTGCGCCGAGTCGTCTGGAGTGCTCAACGTTCTTGACATGACGCATACACTCGCATGCTCCCTCTCGTTGATAGATCTTCGAATCACTGGCGGGCTTTCACAACTGGTCCTCTAGACCTGGAGCAGTTCTTTCTCTTCAGCGTGTATTTCTCGGTCTCCTCTCACGATGTCGATGCGCGAACCGAATCTCGACCCGGGACCGCCGACCGTTCTCTTGCTTGCCATTAACGGAAGACACGTTGCGCAAGTAATTGACACCAGCCCTTGCCTGTATGACTGCTTCATTTCGCGTCTTTCTGCTTACTTACTAAATGTCCTTCATCAATCATTGGAAGGAGTCAGCACTGATTCTGGGCGCGACTGTGAAACCAGCCCGACCTCGGTGTTTCCTCGAGGATACTTGTATGCTGCTGAAGGCGAGCTCATGTTTTGTTCAGAGATTCTCCATTGTCGTCATCGTTCGAGCGCTTGTTTCTCTTATAGGGCAGGAAGGCCCAGGAACAACCTGGAGTCGTTGCAGATAGTCGTCAGCTCTAAATTGAAGTGCGCAGTATTTCTTCAGACGCCCATAAACATTTTAAGCTTTTCCTGTGCGACAGGCGCAGTGCAATGTGCCGATCATAACGAAAGGACGCTTAAAAGCCCTCAAATCGTTCGTTCATGGATCGTCCTCATGTCATCAGGCGTGTTGTCTACCTGTGTGGCTTTACGTGGGCCCTATTTTTTTGACAGACTGTTGCCCGAGCCCGACAGGAAGCAGGGGCGGTGTGCTGTAGTGCGCAAGTCTTTTTTCGAACAAATCACTGAGAGTCGAATCAGATGCTGCGGTATGATGGCACGCCTCTTTTTTCTCCACCAACTTATGCTAATGCCTCATGATATATGCTCTGTAGTTTGTCGAACTGATGCGCCCCAAAACACTAACAAGACTTGAGTGCTGTGACTGAATTGATGTGCAGGTCGCGTGTTCGCCAAGAAAGGCAGCGACCATCAGTTTCGGTTATTCTCCTCACTGCTGTCTGCAACGTGCCCCCAACTCCCCTTGCCCTACTTCTACCCCGTCAGCTGGTCATCTCGACCAAAATATCTTCCCCCACAGCCCTTGGCCGACATCTGGAGGTGATAAGGTCGTCCTTGCACTCCAGAAACCATTTCGGCCTCCCCGAAGAGGAAAGACGCCTGTCCTCGACAACGAGGCGTCATTCCTTACATTTCGCAAGTTTTTCATTTATTTGTAGGTCGATTCTTCTCTTTCATATCCGATTGCCTGGCTTATCTCTCCAAACCCCGCTCAACATAGACCACACCGCATTCCGTCACCACTTCTTCACCAATGGCTTCTAACAACGGCGATTCATCAAATATCCACCCTCCAGCGAGTGGGGTGCCCTCATCCTCAACGTTCTCGTTCAAAGCTCCATTCCCTGTCCCAGTAGCGCCCTCCGCAGCCGTCACAGCTTTGAAACAACGACGTGTCTCGCTGGCATCCCCATCGTCACCGCGACTTGTCCAACCATGGAGTTTCAGGGATGAGATGGGTCTGGACGCGCACTCCGCCGACGCCGAGTCAGCATCGACCAGCGAGACGGGCCGTATTATCCCAGAGAAGAAGGGCAAAATGCGCAAGATTGATACTAGCAGGAACAGCGACGAATCGTCTGTCCCGGAGAAGAAACCCCGCAAGAAATGGTCGCAGGAGGAGACGCAAATGCTTGTGGAAGGATGCCAGATTGTGAGTACCCTTTATATACACCCTTGCTCGGACGTCCTGACCCGATTGCGTTAGCACGGAGTTGGAAACTGGAAGACGATACTGCAAGACCCCAACTTGCACTTCCATGATCGTACAGCAGTCGATCTCAAAGATAGGTACGCGAACCCTATACCACCGTCTGCCTACACACGCCAAACACGAGGACCCGCAGGTTCCGGACCTATTTCCCAGACGCTTACAAGAAACACTACCCGAACGCAAAGACCCACCTCTCGAGCAAGATCCGCTCGACATTTGCGGACGGCACCTCGCTCTTCGAGAAGACTCGCAGCAAGCGTCGACGGCCGTTTACCGAGGCGGAGGACCGTGCGCTGAAAGCGGGCTACGAAAAGCATGGCACTACCTGGGCAACCATCGTCAAAGACCCCATTTTCCAGGAGCAAAACAGACGCTCGACAGATCTTCGGGACAGGTTCCGCAATGCTTTTCCGCATCTCTACCAGGCGGCTGGGTACAAGCCCCGCACCGCAACGAAGAAGAAAGTCGATGGTCCAGTGAGAGCTGCCGACGACCAGCTTTCAATGTCCAGCACTGGTCCTGTGCGAAGTCGGCGACGAGCGCAAACAAGCTTGAGGGGTGGTGTTAAAAGCGTACCTCAGAGTGCTGTATGTTCAGAGGATGAAGATAGCTCAGCAGGCGAAGAAGACGAGGAAACATCTGTTTTCAAGAAGCCGAAGATGCCTATTCTTGTCGACAATATTTCGACTTCACCGCTCAAGAAATCCTCCCCTCCCAACAGTTCTCTCGCTGCGATGAGCAACGGCAGTTCTGCCGCCGGCACTTTCACCACGCCTCGCGATTCCTACATGGACCCTGATGATGAGATGGAGCTCATTACTATTGAAACTGACCCGCTCAACATCCCCGACTTCATGCCCAATGATAGCCATTCGGACATGGAAACATGGTCTTCTGGAATCAACACCCCTACACACTCTTCCACTGCTGCATGGTCCACAGCTGGTGCATCCCCAACCTCCAGCCATTTCTCTGACTTCCTGTTGACCGGTTCGAGCGCCGCTGCAAGCAACAACCCTTCAAATGCGTCGTCACCTTTCATGCAAAGACGGAACGATGTTTCGGCCAACAACTTCATTGGCAAGAGTGCCTGGGGTGCACAAGACTGGTTCTCTGCCAATCCTCGGTTGGACGCCAGCAGTGCAAGCTCTTCGTCGTCATTTGTCGATGCAAACTTTTCTCCTGCATCACCCTTTTCTCTCGGACAGCACTTTTCCCATGGCGTACTCGATCGTTACGACCTCTTCCCGCCGTCAATGCCTAACGATATCATGTCGGATGCTGGCGTCGGAGACTCGCACAACTCGTTCACAGAGGGGAGTGGAGGAGCTGGATCGTCCGGGGCTAGTGCGGGCGGCACGGGGTTCAGAGGATACCACTCGCAGATCGCTGGAGACCTCATTTCCGGTGCCAGCGCACGACCCTCCTTCTCTTCGTCGTTGTCCCTTTCTTTGGCCGGTTTGTATGGACAACACTTTGGGGGTGCATTTGGAAATGCAGCAGGCGAGATAGGGTTGGGGCTGGAAGGCATCCCAGAGGACGCTGGTATCCATCCAATGCAGCTGCATGCGCACAACTCGACCTTGCTGGGGATCGAGGAGCTTGGGCTGACGGGCATCTCATTAAACGACCACGTCGACTCCGCTGAACCAAACGCCGCCTCGAGTGCGGACGATGCGATGGATGGCAGCAGCACCAATAACGTACCCGACATGTCGTCGTTCTCCATCCATTCTCCTGACAAGCGGCGCGACCAGCAACAGCAAACGGAGGAGAACGAGCGCGAGAAACTGGCGTCGTCCATCCTCAATGATCCGTTCAACCTTGAGGACCTTGTCGACATGTCTCACGAAGCACATGCCACACCGCCGGCCACGCCTCTCATGACCCAACCCCGACCTATGCGAAGGTCTTCCGGCGGGACATTGCTGAACAACTTCGGCGATTCTGGCCCTGCAAGCGGTCATGCACGTTCCATCTCGGTACCGCCGTCCGAGGCACGCAACAGCGGACCAAGTATGGGTGGGGCTATGGCGATGGACGACGTTGGTTTGCATATGCAGTCGTCGCACAACGTTATGAACTTTGGCAAGAGTTTGCAGTCCATATTCAACCCACCACCCCAGCCGTCGACTCCAAGCCGCCCCCAGCACCGACCTCGCAACTCGGAGCCGATGAGGTTGAGCAACAGCACGGGGTCGATGTCTCCTCCTGCCCTGCCGCACCAGCACTCGGATCCTACGATATTCCCAGCCCACCTCCTGCTTCCCTCAACCCCCGCAGCTGCACTTGCACCTTCGGGCCATCCGCAAACGCACGTCACAGACCCGTGGCGTCTGTCCAACGCCTCGTGGATGAACCTCAACAGCATCTCGCCCAGCGACCTCTACAACGTGCCCTACCTCGACCTGCACTACTCTTTGACCTACGGTCATCCTGGTCTCAACGGACTTGATGTCACACTCGACGACCACTCGGAGGCAAGGCAGGGCCAGGCCCTCGACCTTGCTCAGTCTGCGGTGCTTGCGTCGTCGGGGATGGCAGGGTCGAATAAGGCCTTTGAGTATCCGACGACAGTACGGCCGCAACAACTGACGAGCAAGCCGACGTCATCACCGCCTGATGCTTTCCCTACTCCCGCAGCCGCCTCTGCTGTTCTGGCTGCGGTTTCGAACGAGAGTGCGAACGCCCATAACGGTGGTGCTGGCACCATCCGTCAGTCGCATATCAAGGCTGCGAGCACCAGCAGTGGTGCCAACCTTGGTCGGTCCATGAGCCATCATCGTGGGCAGAGCGCGGTCAACCCGCAGGATCTCATGCTTCGGAACGACAATAAAAGGAAGAGAGCCAGCTGGGATGGAGGGGTGGTTTAGCAAAAAACACCTGGTATTTCTTCTTTTCATTATTTCCTTAGTTTTTCCATCATGCTTTCAGTTTTATCGGCTCTGTGTAACCTATCTCCTAACTGCACTCGATTTTATCATTCTTTATCTCTAGCTGCATAACCTGCGTTGCCCGTCCCTTTTCCCTCCTGCGTCATTTTCCATTGAGCAGTTTCTGCATCGCTCCAGGTTTCAACAACTCTGTACATGTATATCACCCCCACGTTTCGCCCCATATTCTCCTTACCTTTACGACACATACACTCTTAATTCAGCTGTCCTCCAAACGAATCAAATCTCGTTCAATAAGCCGGAAATTTAACGACATAAGTTGAATCGGGAATGAGGAGCTCGGTGGTCGGCAAATTACATAAATGAAATTCACAGATTTCTCACACCTGCTCACTTTACACTGATCTCGATATCAGTTTCTTCCAACCACAAGCCACTCAGAAGTATCAGTCACACACCATGCTGGCTGGGATGACCGTGCAAGAGATTCATATCGATCAAGTCTGGCACAAGAGGGTTCCTTGGGATCCTGCCTTGGAGCAGGTTTGAGTTCGAATAGGACGGTTTCGCTGAAAACCTGCTTACAATTACGAGCGACAGGTTAAAGGAGCACGGATTCCAGTGAAAATTGTGCGTCTCTTGGAACATAACTCCATGCTGGAAGAAGAGGAGCTGTGTGCTGTCCAGGACTTTCGTAACCGGTCCAAAAACCACTTGGATTCGATCCGACAAGAGATATCCATGCTGGAACAAGAAATCGAGAAATTACAGGATCGTTGCACCTTCCTGGAAGCACAGATAGATCCGCGAAAGAAAGAAGTCTTCGCGTGCGATGTCGTACTTTCCCCTTTTCGCCGACTACCCTTCGACATTCTTCAAGAAATAACTCACTGGTGCCTCCCAGAGAAACCCACAGGGCAGATTCGCGACGCACCCATCTCCTTGAGCCAGGTTTCATCGGGATGGAGGAGAACCGTCCTTTCTATGTTCTCGCTATGGAGCGAACTTCATATCCACCTCGACACCCGTCTGCAAGAGGGCCAACTGATTCGATTCATGACCCAGTACCTTGGACGTGCTCAAGGGCAACCTCTTTCACTGACCATCTCCGTCCACAGCCCGAAACGTTTCCAGCTTCGACTTCCAGCTCTCCGAGACGCTCAGCAGTTCATGAACTGGATGTTCTATCGCTGGCCGTTGATTTCGACCATCCGACATCTGTCTATTGTGTCGGATTACGCTTGGTCAGATCTTCTGGACATCCAACATCCCACAAAGGTGGCGGAGCTCGAGTCGCTCGTCCTGAAAAGCTCGTCTCCGCCCAACGGACCTGCGCCTCATGGCTCACTTGGCGGAATGTGGTTAGGGAAGGGGTTGAACCGGGCGCCACGCCTCCGAAGGATCAAGCTCGACGAGAGTGTCCTCGGCGACAACCCTGCCTCGCTCTCCATTCCGTGGTCGCAATTGACCCATATCTTCCTTCAGGAGGCTCTACCAGCGCCGAACTGGATCCTCCTCCTCCAGAAGTGCACCGCTTTGGAGACGGGATATTTCTTCGTCTCTGACTCGTTCCTCCATCAATTGAGCGGATGTCAGACGCAAGATCATGCCACCCTACGGGACCTGAACATCAATTTTATCGAGACCACCCCCACATCTTTGCAATTGCTCCGCCATCGCCGCTTTCCGAACGTAGAACGGCTCGCTATCACCTTCTTGGAGGATAACGAGCTTGCGGAAGATCTAGAACAGCCTTTCGACTTATATTCTCATTACCCCAGTCTTTCAGATCTCGCTCTCTTCTCGCATAGAGAGTGTCCTCTGGACGTTCCATTGTTCCTTCAACATAACCCATCCCTGAAAACGCTCCGGATCTCCATTCAAGTGCGGCATTACAAGAAATTCTTTCGATATCTGTCCCTCAGGAGCCCCTCCGATCCAGATGAATCAAAGGGTGTCCTTCCCCAGCTGTCGTCTCTCATCGTTCAAATATCTGATGAAAACGCCGCCACAGCACTCACAGGCCGCTACCGGGCTCATGTGGCCACCATGATTCGTTCAAGAACCCAAAAGGCCGGAAACACGATTTCTCCCATACGATACTTTCGTCTCATGATGAGCGTCCCTGACAATGTAGCAAGCGAGTTTAAAGAGATCCTCGATACATTCCAAGAGGTCGGCCTAATGTACAGGGTGGATAATTACCTCGACGGTGTTCCCCCTCTCGCGCCCGCAATCGACACTATGGACTTCTGATCGCTCCATACAAATTGACGCCACAACAGAATACTGGTTGGGGTTCCCACTAAGTTTACACTTGCTACATTCGGCGAATGGGGCCCGAGTGACATCACCACCACGTCATGTCAGCAACTGCGCCATCCCCGATATTTAAAGCCTGTGCGTTATTTCATCGCCATCTGAGACTTGAAGCACCAACATCCATCGTCGATATTGACAATGTCGACAGGCGATACAACCAACAGTATTTCCATTTCCCCACCCGGATCCGATGAGCCAGCCTCGCAATGGGCTCGCTCAACTCTCTCTGCGCTCGACACCGAGCATACCAACACCACCGGTCAACCTCCAAGCCTCTCGTCGAATTCATACCCGTATAGCGTTGAGAAAGTCGATCGAGGATTCACACAACACACCCCGGATAGTCCTGGAGTAAAGGTTCCTGGAGCGTTCCCTGGCGCATCCTCCCAAGCGAAGGACGTCGGGGGAAATGCTCAAAATGTCAAGCAGACTGCGCTGGATGCTTTAGAGACAGCGAAGGGATACGCGTACAACGCTGGCGGGGTGGCAAAGGAGTACGCTCAGTCGGCTGGTCAGGCCGTTGGCGAATACATCCCGCCTAGCGTCTCTGCATACTTTCGTGAGTACATACAGTTTACTTTGTCCGATTTATGCAGGACAACTCTGACGTTTTGCCAGCTGGAGGTCTGTCGAAGGAAAGCCACGAATACAGCCTCCCATCCCAGGAAACATCTTCAAACGAACACCCTTTCACATCCGGCGGCGTAGGCACCCTGCCTGGGCCAGCGAACGAGCCTTCCGTAGCGCTTCTCCCAGACGAACGCAACAAGGGCACTAGCACGGCTTCCTCAACCGGCGCTTCAAAGACTCAGACTTCGCCCATCATCACCACGACCAACAACGGCTCCGTTGCACCGCCCATCTCTTCAATCCCCCAACCTCAGGCCACTTCAGCCAAAGAAAAAGAAATTAACAATGGTGGTATCCCAGAGACGATGTGTGGCGAGACCAGCGTCGCGAAGCTCCCCGAAGAGCGGCGCCAGGATAATCTCTTCTCACATGACGGCCACGCGGCAACTGCGCCGGGGAAGACAGGTGGAGTGGGTGTTCTACCTAGCCCAACGAGCAACGCAGGCGCGGCGAAGCTCCCTGAAGCTGAAGAGGTCCGGCAAAAGAACCTCCCGTCGCACGGTTTAGGTGGCGTCTCGGCTATTGGAACGACCGCTGGTGTAGGTGTGCTCCCCGGTTCGAAGAGCGAACTAGGCGGGGCGAAGTTACCTGACAAGCGCGCGCACCTCCACCCACCCACTCAGGAAAAAGTCGTGAGCGCCGGAAGCGGGACGGATGGCGCAAGCACAGATGCGAGCACGCGCAGCCTCGCAGGGAGCCGTGTTGTACCCACCGGCAGCCACGGTGCCGCGTTTACGGGTTTGGGTTCGCCTGAAAGCCAGATGCCAATCCACCACGACGCACCCAAGGCCGACGCACGCGAGCACCCGCTAGCTACCGACGAGGAGAAGAAGTTCGCCGGCAACGTGTTCAAAAAGCAATCCGCAGGCACGGTCACCCCGCCCCGAGTGTCGTCTGATATCGCTACTCCCGGACACGAATACCCTCCATCAGGGACTAAAGGCGGCGCTGTAGGCGCTGGAGCCGGCGGGCTCGCAGGCGCCGGTGGGAGGAGGGGTTCAGAGGGGATGGCCGAGCACGACCACAGGAAATCCGGGTTTATGGATAAGCTGAAAGGCGAGATGAAGGTCATTTCGGGGAAGCTTGGGCACAACGAGGAGAAGGTTGAGGCGGGACGGAAGATGATGGGGAAGAATTAATTTTCTACTCATACAAGGTTTACATAATCTTTTGTCTGCTATCATTGATGTACCTCTATCCTGTACTATATGGCCTGAAATAGTGATTCGTTGCACCACTGACACCATGCTTCGGTCGAGCCCAAATTCAGGAGTTTTTTCCGCTTTTGGATAGTTGCCCGCCTTGGAGTCCATCAACTAAATTTTGGCCTTATTGTTTGAACAACTAGAGTAACTTTCACTGAAAAAATACATTGAGCACGCAAAGTACATGATACGAATAATGACCGAGGTTGGGGTGTATCAGTACATGTCTAAATGTGCCGCCTTAAAGGCGTCTACATGCACGTGTCCAGACTGGGTGGTGGCGACTGGCCAGTCTATCTCTGATGAAGCACGAGGGCGTTAGTCGCCAGTGCCACTAGTAACAGATATGAGTGACATGTCGGTCGAGAAGAGAGAGAACGAAAGAAGCGCTGGCAACCACATACAACCCTCTCGAGGCTTTGCAGCACTTCCGCCACAGAAATTTTGCTCTCTCCGCACACTCTAACTCGAGGTTCTTCCATGACAGCGGTCTCCCGAACACCGTGACTACTGGGTAAATATGGGCGTCACTCACGGCGTCCCGAGCAGACGTTCCAAAAATAAAACCCATGCATATGATATTGACATTTCGTTTCCTCTCCTCCGTCATTGTACCCAGGTAGCCGAATAGGCGCTGGTCACCTGAATGACCTGCTCCGTATACTCCGGCGTTGGGCGGCGGGAATGATACATGTGCACAGCGGACTGCGAGGGCCTCCGTTTCGTGTCAGGGGAAGAGTCTCGAAATACCCTTCGTATTTGTCATGGATTTTTGCATTTTATTTCATTCAATAATAAATATTCAAGCGAGTCTCCCCACCAACGTACGTACGAAGATTACTTCGTGGAGAACTGGAAAAGTAGAGAGTGTGAACTTAGTATTTTTTAATGAATGATCTTCAAAGTTGCAGGGGTTGCTTCTAGTTTCATTTCCAAAGGATTTCAGCCGTTCCTTCATAATGGAATGGCGAAGAGAAGAGGACGACGCCTGAAAGCTTGTTCTTTACAGGTATTCAAATTACGGTTGTCGATTTGGTGTATATTCATGTATCTTGGTCTGGAATGGACTTTTAGTTATCTGCGCTGACAGGCCGAACGCTCAAGGACTCATACAGTATGAGCTAATCGGAAATAATAAAGGTGAAGTCCTCTTTGAGTCCTCTGAATCGAGATAGATTCGCGAAATTTCCGTGACATCCGAGAAGATGAAACGTTAGACTACTCCCGTAACTCGTTTGAAGAGGCGGTATATTGGCAAATGCTCTTGGCGAGCGCCGTCTATTACCAGTGGGGTTGAAAGGTATCCATTTGCGATTTTTTGAACCACCTCCATTATGAGTTACACCAAAGTTGCACCATGTGAAGCCGTCGAAGAGCGATCATTCTGACAACGATGAAAGGATGATGATGAGTGTGGGGTCGGATCGTGTGAGCGGAATGTCTTGTAGCCTCTCGTTAGGGACCGTAATGCGAATGTGCGTCGTCGTACAAGAGTGAGCTGGAGAACAAAGGACGAGTGGCTACGCGTAAGTACTGTGTCCTTATCTAATCTAATCGCAGAGCGGGACCGTAATCGCATCGTCGCCTCCTACAACGACCATATATAAGTCCGTGAGCAGCATGGTTCAAAGCCTGTTGGAAGGATTCGGAAAGAGTTGGACGGCGGCGCAGACGGAAGAACCGGTGCGGGAAACGAAAGAGGAAACCCACATCACGATCAGTGATCGGTGCACGTGTCATTCGATCGCATCCGGATTTGGCAGATATTTCCGCTTTTGGGTTTTTCGCCTTCTCAATGAGAAGGTCAAGGACCTGACCGTCCTTCAGCATTTTCGGCCATAATCATCATCAATAGACCTTGAGGCTTCACTAATTCAGGAACTGCAGCTTTCTCCATGAAGATACGAGCGTGATATGAGGCAGTAAGAGTACAAGTATTGAAGTACAAGAATATATAGCTGAGATGGGGATGCTAGTGGATAGTAGATGATGTGTCATAGGTATTATGAGTCATTAACCCTTGGTGCTGGTGTCGTATAAATGAGATGATCCAAAGAAATGGCATGCGTGAAAGAGGAAGCGTATGCAAGGAAGCGTAAAATCGTCGCAATCCAAAGAGCAATCCGAAAAAGAACATCGCACACATTACGTCCGGAAGAGGGAGGGGCGCGTCTGAATGCCCTCGTCGCTATCATCTTCCCCACTCTCCCCACTCCCCAACCTCTGTGAAATCCCCTCCGCATTCAAACCAAAAGGCCCCACCAAGCCCGAGTCGCTGACCGTCGCCCTCCTCTCTGTACTCCTGCTCCTGGGCTCCCTACTCCTACTCCTCCCGCGCCGACTCTGGTCGTCCACATTGTCTAAACCTGACGAGCGTCTCCGTGAAAGCCGAGAACTAGCCCGCCCCGCCTGCGCCTCCTCGTAGCTCGGCAACCCCTGCATGCTGCTCAAGGGCGGCACCCCGCCAATGAAACCGCGAGCGGCGATGGAGTAGTCGGGCACGGAGGTGAACGCGCGGTGCATCAGGTCTTCGCCTGTCAAGGGTGTTGGCCCACTTTGCGTTGGCATTGAAACGGAGGAAGAAGGATGAGAGGGTTGAGGGTTGTCGGAGGCAGAATGCGCAAGGGAAGACGGCAAATAGGGTAGCTGTTGTTGGTGAGAGCTACCCCTCGATACGGACAGAGATGATATCGATAGAGAGAAGAGCGAATGCGAATGCGACGAATTGGCGCCGGCGGTGGTCTCGGGCTCGTGCTCGCTGATCGTCACTGTCGCGACTCCGTGGGGATGGTGCTTCCCGTGTCCATGCGCGAAAGCAGCGAAGGGCTTCATCGTCGCTTTGAACAGGCTGCGTACACTGTGCCCGTGGTGGGCGATATGCAGCGAGCTGCTGGCGTGCGAGATGCTCGTTGTTGAAGAGGCTGCGTCGATATTCTGCTGGTGTTCAGGAATTGAGGGATTCCGCAGAGCCGGAACGTCGCCCTCACCACTCCCACTCGAGCTTTGAGCTTCCAAACTCCTCCTCTGGCTCTCAGGCCCAGGCCCAGGGCTCCCACTCCGACTATGCACGCGACTCTGCTCCCTGCTGCCCCACCGACTCCCAATCCGACTCGCGTGTCCACTTCCTCGATGTCTTCCCGTCGTCGTCGTCGAAATGGACGCAGGAGCATGCGCACCGCGCAACGGTGCATCGCTTAAGCTTAACAGCAGCTCCGTATTCACCCAGTCAAGGGTGGACATCTCTGGCGCGCTGGCTCCTGCATTGGGGGCGTGTGGGAGGTTGGACATGCTACTGGGCAGACCAGCGGGTGTGGCGGACCCGGAGGCGCGGGAGTGCGGGCCTGAGCCGCCGACGGGCTCAGCGAGGTCAACGGCGATGACGCTCGAGGCAGCCGTATCCGTGCTGGCGCTGTCCCCGCTCTCGACGGACGCTGGCCCCGTCTCGCCGATCCGCCCGACCCACGGGCTCGGGGCACGCACCATTACACCCTCGGGCAAGAACATGTTCGCGATGCGGTCGCGTACGTGCGCTGGATAACTTGGGAGTTCTCTATCCTCAACTGCATTCTCCGTATCGGTCTGCGCCTCCGTGTCACCAGGGACACCCGTCGAGAGACCGAGTTCCCCACAAGCCCTCGCCAGGCCCACCGCGCCCAACACCATCTGGCGCGTCATTACACTACATCCCCGCGCTTCCTCGAGGACGCGCCCGTCGAGGATGTGTACCGGCAGCGAACAGCGAAGCTCCGATGTGTGTCCATCCGCATTGTGGATGAAGATCGCCCAGCGCACGCGGTGCGAGACGGCGATCGGCTCGAGGGCGTGTGTCGGCGTTGTATTGGTCATGGTGATAGTGTGGGAGACGGGATTGCAGGGCGCAGGCGTGTGGCTTTCGCTCTGTGTGTGGGTTTGACTTGAAGGTGCGGGGTTAGAAGCGAGTGGGGTGGTGGGGTGGGAGAGTGGCGATGGGGAAGGTGACTCGCAGGAGGTGTGTGGGATGGGAAGGGTAACATATGTTACGACGTCCTTGTCTTCGAAGCCGTCGTCGATTCCGTCTTCGCTCGATGAAGATCCCTCAGGTGCTGTAGCCACAGGCATCTCATGATTCACACTCGCCACTACCCGCGTCTCTTCCTGGTTCCCACTCCGCGCGTATACCCGCACCGTTTCGTACAGCGTGCTCACGACACTGCTCACCCGTACGCCCTTCCGCATCGGCGAGAACTTGAGAACCGCCACCAGAGTGTCCCCCGCCGCCCACGCCTTGTGCGGTAGCACGATTGCGTACATCAACTTCTCCGGCCATGTGTTCTCGATCTCGAGAGATTGTTGGTACTCGAGGGCCTCGGGCGTGAGCGAGCGAAGGATGTGAACTGGAATGGTGGAGGTGAGGTTGTGAGCGAGGCCAGGCCGTGTGGCGAGTGCGCGGAGCTTGTAGGAGATGGAGGCACCGCCGAGGAGGGGTGTATGGATGGAGGAGGGCAAGGAGCCGTCGACGGAGAGCGAGAAGGGGAAGAAGTGCCGTCCGGGTTTGAGCGTGCGTGAGTGTTTCTTGTCGCCTTCGAGGAAGGACCAATCGTGCGTGCAGATAGTGTAGGTGATGTAGGCGCTGTTGTTCATTAGCCTAGAAGTAATATTTTGCGTTACTCCCCTGCCCCGAAGAAAGAAACCGAAGAAAGATGCACGTACGACTCGTTCGCAGGCATCGGAATCTTCGCCTTCCCTCTAAACTGGAGCGCGATCTCCTTGAGCGCCGTCGCCTCCGTCAGGAACAGATACACATGTCCGCTCAATCTTGCTGGTTCGACATTGGCTCCGGTGCCCTTGAGGAAGATATGCCCCTGCGGGTTGTCGAGGACAATGTCGAGGTGGGATTTCTCCTTCATCGCACCGTCCGGACTTGCGTCTATCGGGTTGTGGATGTGGAGGTCGGGGCTGAGGGAAGAAGGGCCGGGGAGGGCGAGTGGGGGGAGGACAGGAGAAGTGGGAATCGATGTGGCGAACGCGCCTGGCATTTTGTCATCGCTGGCCTGGCTGTCGTTATTTCATTTGGCGGGCGTGGACGTCTTGGTTCGTGAGCAACATGGTGAGATCTCCAGCGATCGGTGATCGCGATTCGTTTCTTCCGCGCTTCTTCTTTCGGCAGGCGCACGCGCGAAAGTTGTTCCGTTTCCTGCCGCCGCTGCCGTGTGTGGGCTTCCTATTCTTTCCGGGCGACAAGTTGTCCCGTGGGTTATGGATCGGCCGAGACGTGCCGTGCCCTGGCCTGGCCGACCGTTCATCATCAGCTAAAACATGAAGTTTCTCCGAATATCAATGGCACGACTTGGAAACAATATTTCAAAAAAATTGAGATTTTGCTTCAAGTTCATTGACGTTTCTCAAACCAACTTCGTCCCGCAAGGTGAAGCTAATTCAAGAATTTAAACTCTGAGGTTGGCCGGTACTGATTCTTGAAAGCAAAGTGAAAGGTCTGGACGTTCTTCCACCAATTGCCGAGAAGCACCAAGGGCTTCTTCAGGCCTTAGACAATTGCTTTATCGTACCCTTCCTCGTCGCGAATCAGAAACGAGGAAATCGAGACACGACCCACACACTCCGCCCAGGAGCGAAGATAAGAGTTCGAAGATCCGGGAGATTAGCCAAAAGACGACGGACGACACCCTTCAAGCTTCAAAGCTGGCGGATACATAGAATAAACGACTGTTCATCTGTCAGACTCGTCCTGATATTGATGTGTTTGTGGAACAAGAGCGGCAAGCGTTTGTAGTGGGACACTGAGTTTAACTTGAGCTTCAAATTAGGATGAATGTATGAACTGAAAGGCAGCTGTAAGTTACCGTACGAGTCTCTCGGAACGCATTCCATACCTTTACTTTAATTTTCGGAACAGCTTCCTCAGAGACTTCTAGTCATGCCCCGCTCGGCCAGGCACAAAACATTCCCGATTAGACGCATTAGGCCAGCTGTTCAAGACACCGGGACGCAGAGCCGAGAGCCCAGGCCGTGGTGCGCCACGCTGACGCCGTGATTTTCCCGGAATGAAAACCACGGGCGCAAGCTTCGAACGAATGGCGACGTACCTTCTGCAATAAAGACCTAAAGTCTTGAAATAATTTGCTGAGACTCAGTTAAATAAGGTCAAATTCTATTTAATATTTAATATTCTGTTGACTTTGAACTCTCGCCAGCATGGCACCCGAATGCCGAGATACACACTCGGCCCGGTCCTAGACTCCTAGCCCTCCTCCACAACCCGACCATCAACGGAGAACTGAGGCCTTCTGCCATGCTCTGTTCAGGTTCTCGCTTAGCGCCGGAGCACCTGGAGCAAGGCACCATGATACCCGGAGCCCATTCAACTGTGACTAATGAATTGATGACGCAGGGAGTCATAGTCCGAGGAAAAGACTTTATTTTTAGCAATGTCTCCTCGGGACGCCGCGATAGTACCCACACGCATGCTATTCACCGGAATCATCACTATTGCCCGCGCTCGAGGCTACAGTCCGACAAAGATGGGATATTAATCGCGGAGAGCCGCCGCGCAAGCGCCCACGGAATAGAGTGGGCGGCGTAAGCACATTCACACTCCGTAGGTCCCAATTCCCGAATGTTTGACCGCGCAGTGAGTCTAAAATTACCGATTCTTGTCCCACTCCAGAGAGTGGAGTTAACCTTTCGCCCGCGGTAGATGTCAGAAAAGATGGGTCCATGGTGCTCCTCACGGCGTTCCGCCTTCTACCTTTCCTTCAATTAATAGAATTTACTACACAATTGAGTGCAGCTCGTCTGTGTTTCCGCTCCAATGATCCCACCAAAGTGCATAAAGGGGTACCCGGAAGCTTCGACTTCGAGCTGCTTTCTCGGTTTCTCGGTTGACGGCGTAACGGTTGATTCTGTCGTCAGATATTTCTGTCATAGAACTAGCATAGGACCCCCGAAAGTCCCTCTAGATGCCTGATCCCGCAAGCCCAATTTTTATCCGGACGCAAACTCCCAAATTTGCACAATTCTTATCCGGAAATCGTCTGAGGCGTCCAAAATCGCCAATTTTTATCCGGATAGGGGATCAGGCCTCCGGACCACAAAATTTCCGGTTTTTTCGCATTTTTCTTTCATTTTTCGCTCCGCGCCGCCTTTTGAACATTTTTGAACCCCACGCACTCGTTTTGCACTCACGATAAAACATGAGAAATGATAAAATTATGTAACTAAGAACCATTCCTCGTCTTCTTCCATTCCGTCGTTCTGTTCACGCTTGCTGAATGCCAAAAAAAATCCTTCGTCCTATCCTTGACCTTGGAGGATACTTCCCAATCTGCCCATAAAAATTGGAGCCTGTTTTCGATGACATCCAGTGCCTTGGGAAGAGCACAGAGAAACACGCGCTCAGAGGAATGAAGTCGAAGCGCTTGACATGCAAATCAATCATCATGTATTGTTGAGCATCGTCCCAACCGTCCCTATCAATCATACTTTTTTGAAGAAAATACTGTCTTGTGTATGGTGGAATGGTTAAGGTGGCCTCGAGTTGCAACGTTGATGGTTCGCCTCCCGTGGAACCCAATTTTTATCTGGACCTGTCTGTGGCCTTGCGCAGTTGCCTCGATTTATCCGGACAATCGAGGGTAGCGTTTTCACCCAATATTTCCAAATTTTATCAGGACAGTCCTGTGGCAAAAACGTCCAAAATCCCCAATTTTTATCCGGATCTGACTCAGGGATCTAGCAGTACTTTCGGGGGTCCTACTAGCATCTATATTTTCAGTTAAATAAATGGTTCCCATTATAAGGACTAAGGAGCCTCGGACATTACGAGGACTTGATGGCCGGTGGTATGCACAAAGAGCAGAATGATGGTGTGGTCAGCACCCTTCAGGTTATGCTTCTTCTTGCTACCTCTCCAGGTACCAGGAATGATTGATACAAGCTTATCGAGATATAGGCGAAGCTATTCTGGGAGGCCGGAGGCATTGGACAATGGGGAGTGGAAGGACAGAAATCAAGTGGCGGTTTTCTTATTTAGGCATCCCGCAAACCAAATGCAGACAAAGGCATCAAATCCAGTCACTGGGAACGCAGGCCGATAGGGGCTTGTAAACTCGCCGCAAATTCTTGAAGTAATAGATCTACTTTATTAAATTCGCACACGGCGAGTGTTCTCATAGGCGCGTGCCGCCTGCTAAGTACCTTCTAGTAGCAGGACTCTTACCATGTCTCATTCACATACCCCGTCACGGCTCGCGATCTTGGTCGCATCACTGATCACGTCCACATGGTGGTCGTTTAACCCCCTTTTGGTGAACGGTCATATGATGTATGGTTTCCAAACGTTCCAAATGAAAATGCAAATAAATTTGGTATACTTGAATACGTGCTCAAGATTCGTCGGCATCGGCTTCAATCCCGGTGGTGTGAACCTCTTGGAGCTCGTGCGGCCGTCTCCGACTTGGTGCACTGAGTGTAAAAATCTGAATCCATCCCCGGCCCCTTTCCCAATGTCAGCTTCGTCGACCTCGAACACGCACTTGTCGGAGGCCTGAACCCAAAACCCTGGGTGCTTGAATACATCTCTGCCGATGGTAGGTTTCAGGAAAGTTATTATTCCCGTCGTATTCCTTACGTCAATTCAGTTACTTGGTAAAGGTTCCCATCAGTGAATGCACATTTTGGAATGCACATTTCGCAGTGCCACTGCCACAGTCTTGTGTTGCCCCCACGTTCAATTGTACCAGCCAACAAATCTCCTTCTTTTCACATGCCATTGTCTTCTGGAGGCGGAACGTCAAACCCGGATGATACCCGCTGTCCCATTGGCAGTCCCAAACGGCCAAGGGGAACGACGTTTCCATGAGAGTAGGCCTCTAGGGATTGGTCCAAATTAAACACGTGAGTTACCGGCTCGAACATCCAACCAGGGCGTATCTATTCCTGTACCCATTCAAGCGCAGCACACTCCGGCCCTGCAGTTCCAACGGGAAAATCCGGCGTCTTCTCCCAGCCCCAGATAGATTACGAGGAGACGCCCTTCCCTTGGTCCCTCAATTCATTTCGTAAGTACTCCGCAGCATCGTAAAAATAGAGGCTACGTTCTGATGGATCACGGGTATAACACTCTACAACGTGTCAATGCACGGTGATGCACTGGTCCCGGGGATCCTCTTTCGCTTCATGGGAGGTATGGAACGGCTATAGTCGATGAGTCCACCGTCTGTCTGGAGATATTTTTTGGGGCCTAGATATCCTTCCGCCAGCACAGACCCGAATTCATTTGGTAGATAGTTTATTTGCTTACATTCACTGCTTCAACACGGTCGCTTTACGGTCATTTACAATCTCTCGAAAGAACGAATTGAGGAGAAAGCACTTCGCCCACCATACGGTGGTAGAGAAGGGTACCTCGTGATTGTTCTGAAAAAACGGAAGTGAAAAATTTCGCCCATTACCGCGCCTTGGAGTAACGTCACTCAAGGATAAATCAGCTACGCAGAATGACACATTTCTGAGAATGTTGCACTGTCATCTCCTGCTTTTGCATTTTTTCTCAGTATGCTGGGTATTTCAACCTTATTCCCAAAAATTTAAATGACAAAGTTGTTCGAATATGCTACCCATTTATTATTTCTTGAGTTTCTTTGGGACGAAGTGTCGTAGGCTAAGGTGAGCGCTAAATTTAGACGCCACCATCAATCTGATGATCAAGCTATAAATGGAACACATTTTGTGGCTTGAAGGAAAAGGACATCCTGCCTTGTCCAATCTTGCCCTTGGAATGAGCTCTATCCCATGGGAAGCTAGGAGCAACAGTCTTCCCGAGACCTCAAGACACCTCAGTGGCGGCAAAAACTCAGCGATGCTCTTCCCGTTCCCCGTGAAAACCCGCCCAGTCGGCTTGATTTCGCCGAGACAAGACTGGTAAAATTCAGGGGAGCAGTATGTCAGTATGCTAGATGTCACCAAGTTCTTCCAGACCAGACGAATTGTCGTGCATTGTCCAAAGATTGTTCGCAAGCTCTTTTAGATCGTCGAAGGAGGTTCCGGCGGAAATAACAACAGATGTCCGCGTTTTCAGACACTTCTCCACGAATAGGGCATATCCTTCGAGAAGATTGGCTGTGTTGCTTGACGTCGAGAGAGTAGAGAGTACTTGTGTCGAAATAGGATTCGACGAGGATAATAAGTATTGATCTTCTTCGCTGGTGAGAGGTGGGAAGGAGCTCGGAAGGGGGTAAGCAAAACTGTGGGTGCTGCCACGAAATGTCAGACTCGAGTTCCTCATTATGTGAACGCCATTCCCCACCTTTTGGTGTACGGTCCTGTCGCAGTGCGTTTCTTTTCAATCCACTCCTCATACGCCCCTATCTGTCTCGGCGAAAGACCTCGAGTGACATCCCACCGTGTGTACACGGTGCTCGACTGGGACGGGCTGTGTCAACAGAAGCACCCAAAGAACGAAGAACGAGCCGCCACAAACCTGGCCTGGGGTATCAATGGAGAAATTATGGACCGCTCCGTCCAGATCTGATATCGAACTGACTGGGAAGACTCCACTCAATTCTCCAAACGGCGTCGATGTTCGCCACTTGAGCTGCCTGCAGGCGCTCGAGATATCCTCGGGAGCATTTCTCAGCCTGGAGAGAATCTTCGGTCACTGAACCGTCAATGAAAAACCGAGGGGAAGCCTTCCAACGTACCGAAGCGGGAGAGTCACGGTCTCAATGTGCGTCGAGAGAATGGCGGATTGGTGGTACTTGCTCTTGGTCTTGCTGGAAGTGAGAAAAACAGGTATCTAGAAGGAAGGAGTCATTACTGACTGGCCAGCCTCTGGGTCCCCGCCATGAAGCCGGGTCGTTGATGGGGATGTTCATCGATGAAAGCTCGTTTAGAGCGCTCAGATACAATGCTTCATTGAGAAACTTTCGCGTGCTCTCGGCCTGGGAAGACGTATGATTGTCAGCTGCTCCCTCTGAGCTTAGTTGCTCACATTTTCGATATCAAGGGATTTCGAGATCCCACCTACACCTAGCGGGAAAGAAAGCGATGGAAGTTTAAGATACTCATCCCGAAAGGATACGAAAAAGGATCCCATATAGCTCCCGAACGTGCTTGCATCGTTCAGGACTTGTATACCCTAGCTCTCGTTCAGTTACATCGATTAAACGCAGCTGCAATTCGTCAGAGAAACGCTAAACCTGTATGTTATCGCAGTCTTCAATTAGAAGGCGAACCGCGCTATCCATCAGTTCAAACTCCTATCGGCCGTCAATCAGCATTCCGTGAGAGAAGAAAGGAGGCTACCCACTTCGTTATATCTTGAAAAAAATTCTGGACCGTCGTTCCAATTGACACTGCCGTTTCCCCAAACTGAAGAGTCGGGGATTCTTTGCAAAGACCTTGGGAGGTAGGAGGGGCGTCCGAAATCGGACCAATACCGGACATCGATCTCGGCAGGAGAGCGAGCAGGGTGTTTCGCCGTCTGCTCAGAAGCTTCTTCCACCAGAGTCTGATAACGACTCGGCTGAATGGGTTCTTGTCTGTGTTCTACAACCTTGCCGTTCCTACACGTAGCTCGCTAGTCAGATTTCTTGATGATTGCCCCCTTGTGACATACCAAAGAACGGCGGAGGTATCACCTTCGCAGGTCTGCGAGCTCCTCAAGCGTCCAAATTTTGCTGTCGAAAGGATACAAAAATTCAGTGATGAGAATCCCGATACAAAATTACAGCCCCACAGTTACGATCGATAACGAGGACACGGGGATATAGCGACACTATCCCCTGAAGAGGTGTTTTCATTACAATGACATGCAATTTTGAGGTGATACGATATCCATACCTGCGCATCAGCAGTCTCACAGAATGAGATATTGGGATCGATGATTGATTCTTCAGAATCTCCATCTTCTCCGTCGTTCAAGTAGGTTTCTTGAGTATTCCAGAAGTGAGTTCCCGTATAGTTTGAAATCTCCCCTGCTTGGATGTAGAGTACCTCTCTCATTGAAGAGTAAAACCAAGACCTGTGGATGGTGGTGAGGATGAGGCGGAAGTTTATCGGTCCATGACGCAAAAGCTGTTACTGTGACCCACGTGATTAGAGTGTACTCGGCAGGGTCGGCGGTCACTGTCAGACTCAGTTTGGACTCAGAGAAATAACAAGCCATTCGAAAGACCTGTCCTGGCATTTCGTTCTGCGATCAGCTTACTTATAACCCAAGATAAATTCGGTTTCTGAGTTCAAGATGACAGGATCCAGCGTCCAAATAGGACGCCGAGCCTGTCTATGTACCTAGAACCTAACTTAGTCGCAAAATGGGCTGGTATATAATCGTAAGCGTAGAGAAGAATGCCCCTGCCGACGATCGATCGGGCCAGTTCTGAAATAAGCTACAGGGCGTGAGTTGATCGCCTTTAAAGCCCTGAGAGCCCCAGGCGCTTCTTCTGCAATTCTCGGTTCATCATCGGACTTAAACGCCATAGATCCATAGGCGGGATTTAACCTCAAAACTTCCACAGATAACAAATAAAGGAGCACTTCATCGTGCCAAGATGGGAGAGCAACGGAGCTAGCCACTCAATGACCTTAATCGCTTCTTTTTGCTCCTCGAGATCACCAATTAGTTGTAACGCTCAAACCCGAGAAGAGTGCGATGAATAACCGCACACCTGCGCGGTATGCCCCCCTAGCCCCTCGTGTGGAATTTGGTCGTATGTTCTAACCGTCGCTATTATAGATTTGAGGTAATCAGAGCGAAGTCAAGCTATACAAAACGAGCGACACAGTCAATTTCCCGAGCAATAGGTACAGAAGTCCCACTAGTAGTACAGCATATAGACAACCCGACGTGATAACGAGCAAAGCAAGGAAGGCACAACCTAGACAAGTAAATTGTCTTGAAAGCAGATAAATTACGAGTAGAATGGTCCTGAACTCTGTTACAGAACAACTTTGAATTTCTCTAGAGCACGACGGTCTTCTGAAGAAAGCGGGGTATAATGCGTCGGGATGCCACCACCGAAATGTGGAGCGCTGTAGGGATGAGGAAGTTGTGGGCGCTTTCCATGTGAGCCTAAGGAAGCGAGAGGGGGAAGAGACACGCGTGGATGAGACAACGCTTGCGGAGAGGCTCGAGGAGAGTAAGACGGCAAGCTTGGTGGAGGTGACGAATAAGAATAAGCCGGAGAAGGCGGTGCTTCATGAAGATGAGGGCCATCTTCAAGAGGTTCACTTTCGTCCGAATACGAGGCGAACCTCTCTGCCCTACCGCAAAGGATCTTGTTACTGAAGAAGATCCCATTGGGCACTTGGATGCTCCTGAGATAGCTGTAAGACTCTATGACCGGCAAGCGGGCATAGTCTTCTCCCTAGATGAAATGAAACGTTAAATGAACTTCCATGGTTCTCACGTGTTGGAAGGGACCTACGGAGAAGTAAGCAACGACGTGCCATTTGCGGGGTTCAGGGGCTCCGGGAAGATTGACGGTTACCGAATATGTCTGCTTGGTCAGGCCGTTGGGCTTCGTAGGTCGATCCTTCCGACGTATAGGAGGAGGGACCACCGCGTTGGGATCGGATGCTCTACGCGCCCTACATACCGTCACAGATATCAGACAGGGATGTAAATCGATGCACTGAACGATCACACCTGCGAGCAGCCTTGGCGTCTCTTTCTTCCTGTGTAGTCTCTATCTTTTCTTCATAGAAGAGATAGTCCCCTCTCATCCGGCTTTGAGACCTGATGGACATGTAGGAGCGAATATGGACGCAAGAAATAGAAACGCGCTTACCATCGCCGTCCGTCAGTCCACCGCAGGAGACCGCCGTCGTCTTGAGCTTCTTCCCAAACGTAGACGTGTCCGCTCTTGAGTTCATCCCTCTCGCTCGCTAACAAGCGACGTTTGAGGAGGGGAAGAATGTTGAGCCGAACGGCTTCAAGAACGATATGGGCGTCATGTACGTCACGAATGTCTAACGCGATGGTGAGCCCAAGATAAGGGGAGAATAAGTAAACGCACGCAAGGATGGATGGGTCACTGCTGTACTCTTGATGAGTCCGTAAGCGCGACCCTGAGTAGGAGGATACATGATAGACAGTGGTGGCGAAATACCTAACCATCACTTTTGCTCTCCAGTTTATATATCTTGTGATGAGTTGGTTGAATCCGAGAGGGCTTGAGCATCGACACTTTTCTCGGGGAGTTAACGGAAAGAGGCAAGATTCGGAAGAGTGCGCGATGTGGCGAAGATGCTCTGAATCCGATTTAGCAAATGGGTGACCGCATAGTTTTGACTTGACGTGATCCAGTATTCTCCAAGAAATAATCGATAGCCGGTCCGAAAATTGAAGCAAGCCGGTGTACTCGTGGCAGGTCAATTTCGTCCGGCGGTACTTCACGCTTATTTGGACGTTCATCTGCTCAGCCATCGGGATAGCTTGATATGACATTCAGCCGTAGCCCTCCACTTTGTTTTTTAAAACCGTCCTTCAACGACACGCATACAAAGCGCACATATGACACTTCTCGCGCTTCACTCTGATGTTCTCCCCTAGAACTCAAGCATTGCACCCTTCAAGCCACGCAGGGGAAACTTCGGATGGCCGAGGTTTTCCCATTCATGGTAACCAAAAGTATCCATAAGTCCTCGTTCGTATTCGAGAGGGGTAAAAGTAGGTATCTCGGTAAATATTCAGTGAGAACACACTCTGAGCATCTTGGCACCGTTGACACGTCTTCTGTGAGAGGATTTTCTCGATCTCAACTGATTTCCCTATCGGTTTCAGACCGCATGCCACCAGATGTCACAAGAATAGTCGAAGCCTTGACATCGCAGTATCACCACTTGCTTCAAACAATGTGAATTCGTTCGTGACTGAAGTCTATGCGCAGCTAATCACCGTGATGACTGCTGCGTTTGAAATCCACCCCGACGGGGCCAATTCTTTCTACAGCCTCTATCAGTACCCCCCCCTCAATTGAAGCGTCGACCCCACTTCCTGCTATAGCATACGGGTAAGCGGACCGCGTCAAAACGACGTATCATTGCTTCTTAATTACAAGGTTTGACTGGTTCTGGGACCCGTGGACCGTGCCGCCTCCATGAAACTCCATGACATCCAGGCTAAAACGAGGTGGCACGCTATCAATGGTCGGAGCATTTTGTGATATAGCTGACGACGGCAATGAGGTTTCTTCACTCAAATATAACTCAAAGTTGAATTCGCGCGAAGGTCTTGGTCTGGCTGGCTGTCTTCCCTTTCGGATCAGCAGAGGTCAGAGTCGGACCGGGAGATCGCGATGATAATGAATACTGAATTTGCTTGCGCCAGGCTCGTTCTCAAGCCTTCTGGCCATTTAAGGCTGCCTAAGACACGGGGGGGATTGGGCGTCCGTAGAGAATTACGTTAATCCGCTTGAAAGTTGTGCCCGGCCCGCCGCGCCACAGAAACTGCTTCCCGGCCCGCCCTTAAGCGCCCATATTGGGCGAACCGGCCCGCCTTGCGCCCTTGTCGCAAACGGTGCTAGCAATTTGGATTGGATGAGAGATGGTTAAATTAACAGTAAGTATGGCGGTCCTAGTTTGCAAGCCATGCACCTTTATGTACTTCAGATGAATAGTGTTTATTAGTGTTGCTTCTGCTCAAAGCCAAGTATGACTCTGCGGGTTGAAACAGGAGCATGACAGACCGCTGGCCGTCACTTGGATGTGGGTTCCAAAGAATCGGGTTTGAATCGAAGGCGAGCCAGTAGAACAGCGTCCCACTGCCCACCATAATTAGATACTTTGGATGCGGAGCGGCGAGCTGGTTCTGAAGAATCCTCCGACTCGTAGGAAGGCCCTAATTCACGAGATATGTCGGTATCGGTAGTGAACAACCCCCAAGGCTGTCTTGGATGTGGATTTGAGTACACGTTGAAATGGGCCTACGAAAGAACAATGTATCAGTACTTTCCGATGGGGCGTTGCAGTAAATTGTGAATCCTACGTGTCCCTCTGGATGGCTATGGCTGACGAACAATGCATGATTCGGCGCTCGCAATGTTCCGATAACTTTTGACTCGTTAAGAAAGCTCTGCAGCGATGCTAACGCAACATACCAAGCATGATATCTTCTCTCTGGATTTGGTACTGGCGACCGTAAACTGCAAGAATGGCATCGACGTTCAGTTGGAACCACATTCTTGGAGCATCCAGAGTCTCCATGTATCGATACTCTGTGGTCTCAGTGCACAAATATGCGGCCTTATGACCGGACTTCAAGGAGTAGGAATACCGCCTTGAGATGTTTTCACTCCTAGGGTGTTTGAGCCAGGTGGCATAGATATACGAAGAATGGACGCACGAAGAATTCAAGAAAGTCAGACGACCGGCATTGTAGAGCATGTCCATAGCTTTTTGAGCTACCGTCCTTCTGTCATGGCGCTGGGAATTAATGGTTGGGCGTCCATAGCCATCAATTCGAGGAAGACGTCGTATTCCAGGATGCTCAGAGTCTTGAGGGCGGTTCGCATTGAAAAGAGTGACAAATTCACCGCGAGGCTTCCATAGATACCCAACAGCGCCGAGTTCAACAGGAGTTGGTTCCCATAGTGGGAGAACGACTGATGAGAGGAGAGTAAGAATCCCTTCGACGTATTAGCCATCAAAAAACGTACGTGACGGATGATATTCGTGAGTGAGGAGTAGTCGATACCGTCGTTCATTCTGTGTCTGGGTTAACCTTTCGTCAATCGGCGGGGGGGATTCGTATCCATCCAGATCAACGAGGTTAATGCGCCCATCTCCGTGTGCAGCAGGAATAGAGATAGAGGAGCTCCTACTGGATGAGGCAGGCGTAAAGAAAACTGGTTCCGGCATCTTGATATCCTCGGTGGCGACCGTACTTTCTGGATGGGACGCCTCCTCATGTTGGTGTGGTTGTGGTGAAACGGAGTCTCTGGCCGTTTGGTATGTCGAATGCGATCCGAAGGAACCAACTAAGACGTCGTCGGCTTCAACTTTACGATCAATACAAGCACCTCGGTCATCAATAAAAGAAAACGCACGAGCGGGACCTAGCACACCTTGAAGGAACTGTGGAAGATCGCTCGGTCTCATGTCTGGCGAAGGTGAAGATTTGTGCTCTGGGAGGTCTACAATAGGTGGGAGGTGAGGAGAGTCGACTTCGTGTCCAAAGCTCTTTCGAACGAGCCTCAAGTCGCGCGCGATCTTTGTAAACGTTGGCCTCTTTTCGGGGTTCTCATCCCAACAAGTTCGAAGGAGCTCTTGCACCGCAGGGATATTGAAGCGGGAGTTTCTAGGAACTGGGGGTCGACTATTGTCCTCTTTTCTATTATTAGGACGTGAGTAACGAAAAAGAAACGAGAGGACTAACTGAGGAGAAAATGGCGGACTGAATCGTCGTCTAAGTTCGGCCAAGGGATGTCGCCCATGGTCAAAATCTCAACGCAACAAATTGAGAATGCCCATACGTCAGCCGGGGCGGTCAATTGGCTTTCACCAGAAAGCATTTCGGGAGGTTGCCAGCGAAGAGTGCCACCTACAGTGTGAGAAAGACATCAGTACATTAGCATTAAGTCCGGAACTGTGGTCATACGCGCTGGGAATGAGCCGCTTATTCTGTAGGCCTCTGACTTCATCTCGCTTTGCCCAAAGTCAGAAATAATGCAGCGGTACTTGTCGTCCACAAGAACGTTTGCGGCCTTGAGGTCACCATGCAGAACCCCCTGACCGTGTAGGTAGGCCATTCCCTTGGCGATCTCGTGCATAAAACGGAAAAGATCCCATTCGCGTTGGACATCCGCCGAATCGTGAGGAGGGGATTTCCCTCTCGATGATCCAGGAGGAGACGGTATGCTACTGCGAACTGGGCTGAGTCCCTGAATGCTCTTCCATTGTGCTGCTGGCAGGCTCAGCGCTCGACCACCCGCGCCTCGAAGCGGCGGAGGGGGAATCTGGGTTGGTGGAGTTCGTAGCCCAAGTCCGGGCGGGGATTTTTCAAGGAGAACGCGCTTCAAGTGTTCGACTAGGCTTCCGTTCTTTAGATATGGGCTAACAAAGAACCAGGGTGGGTCTCCGGTCGCGCTGCTCGCTCCGTAGAGCGGAAGAACGTTCGCATGACGGAGAGTCTTCCAGATCCCCATTTCGCGCACAAATAGTTTGCGCGGCGTTGACTCTGCTAGAACTTTGATGGCTACGGTGCGACCCCTCCAGGTACCCTTGTAAACGTCGGAGAAGAAGCCGATACCGATTTTCTCGTCGCGATCCACTTCGTACCTACAAAGTAGAGACGTTGTCAGTGGGCCTACAAACAATATAGCAACAAAAGAGCGAAAGCGTACTTTGTGATGGTCCAGCTCGGAAGTGACGCTTCGTACCCGCGGCTCATCCTCCTCAGAGCATCTATTCCGTTCTCAATAAACTCGCGATCGAGGGTGTCCCTCCTCCAGCTGCTGCTGCTCCCTCCAGCGCTGGAGCTGGAGCTGGTCGCGCTCTCGATGCTCACAACTGTGGCGGACCGTTGGAGGCCGCCCTGAGGCGTATCCACCTCCTTGATACTAATCCTCTTGACGACTCTTCCCTGAAGAACCGTCTTGCCTTGTGACGAGGTATCGGACCCCTCTGACTCTTTCTCTGCGAGCCGCTCATGAGCGCGCTGGAGCGTCTTGATCGCTTCTGGCATCTCCTGGCGCTTGACTTGAAGCACCTCGACCATTTCCGCATCGCTGCTCGTCTGGAGGGCGGCACGCATAAGCTGGCGCAGGTCAGCGAGATCCCGTGCGTTGTCAAACGTGTTCTGAACAGTCTGAAGAGCCTCGATATCAGGAAGGACGACATCCGTCGACGAAAGCCTTGAGGGGCCGGCGCCACTGTCGTGGATGAGGCCAAGAGCGTTGTTGCTTGTCGCGATATCCGTAACGACTTCCGTCGAATACTCCGTCGACACCAAGTACGGTGAATCGGAGAGGGGCTCGTGTGGCGTACCAACGATGGTTTTCGCGTCAGCGGCTTGAACACCCAATATGGCATCGAGAATGGCCCTGGCGTCTGCTTCACGGCGCTTCTCAGCTTCGCGCGCCTCTTTCAAGATACGAATTTGAATTTTAGTCTGCATATTCAGGTCAACGGGAGGAGTGAAAACAAATTTATTAAAACACACATTGAACAGGGCAAGCGCATCACGAAGAGAGCTGTCGCATCCCGCAATATCCCTCAGGATTTCGTCACGCTTGAGGTATCTCTTCAACCATGGTCGATTTGTCTGCTTCTGCATAAACCGCAAGACTTGGATGTACGATCTATCTGTCTGTCAACTTCCAATATCGCGGTTGTAACAAAAAGGAGCCTACTCCTCCAGCTTCGCGATGGGGTCAGCTAGTTCCTCACCAAGAACGTCGCCAGCTTCGTGAACTTCCTCGCGGATAGAAATAAGGATATCGGCGCAGCGTTCAGTCAACCGAAGACATCCTAGACGGTTCATCTGTAAAATACCAGTGAGCTCGCGTGGTGTCTGGTTGCGTTGCTCCCTTACATCAACTTGTTGGGCCGCATCCCAAATATTGAGGATGGTTCTCGCAGCGGCTTGCAAACCAGGAATAGGGGCAAAATCGAGTAGTTCGACGCCGAGGAAGAGAGCTTCGTGTACAATATCCGCGCCTGTACCCAACGCAGAAACGACGGCCTTCGCCACTTTCTGCGAAACAGAAATTCGTCAGATTCCAAATATGCCAGATAAAATGAAGAGATAAATATAGCCGGTATAGGCTTCACACTTCACGCGTAACACCATCCGCTGGATAACCAAGAACCGGACTCACCTGCCTCGTAGTCTCAAGCGCCTGAGTCTGTTCTGCGGGCACCGTCTGCTTCCTTTTCGGGGCATCTTGCCAAGGCCGAGCCACGTGCTTGTCTCCCCACCACGACGCCTCCATCTTCTCTTCTGCTCCTTGCGCTGTCAGTTCTTTGGCTCCTCTCGCCGGCGACCTTGACCGATCTCGAAACGTCGATTTCATGCCTTCGCCATCGTAAATCGTCGGCCGCGTGACGGATCTGCCGGCAGGATCACCGTGCGGGGCTGTGATCGTCATAGATGGGGCGCTCTTCGCTTCCTCTGGCAAGGACGAAGCAGAATGGACGCGCTGCTGCGCGGTGAGTGAGAAGAAGGGTTCATTGTTGGTCGCCGGAAGGGAGATGGTGGACTTGGTGGGTGTGTTCGCCGGGTTTAGAGGTGAGGGTGTCTTTGGTGTCGGCGTCGAGCCTGATCCCGATGCATCAGGCAACGGTTTCGAGTGCGCTTTCGGGGTAGAGGATGGGGAACTTGACGACGACGACATCAGCAAATACTGCGCGGTGATTCCAGAGCGCACAGGTCACTACGGGTAGGTGGTCGATGGCCGTCAAGAAGGGAGCTCGAGCAACTGACCGAAGTGGGGACCCTTCTCTGTCTTATGGAAGAGAATCCGTGGGAACCGCTTGATGGGGAGTTTCTTTCGAAACGTCGTCGAAGCAAAAGTGTTTGCTGAAGTGTGCTGTTACTTGTGGGCGGCCGCGGATCGTTTGAATGAGCTGTCGAAAGAGTTCTACCTCCTGGGGTTATAAAATGGTACCCCATGAATGACCCTGATATATATACTGACAGACACCCACTTCCTGGACAGCCTCGAGCTCCGCCATCCGGGCGCTTCGTCTAATCGTGTCAGAGCCAGTGGCAACCATCCACAGGAAATCTTCACGTCTCTGTTCCGCTGAGGTCGTTAATAGCTCGTGACGTACTGGCACGAGAAATTCCTCGGCGAAACGGAGAATGTCACGGTGGACCACGATCCGTTGATCCATTGCACACTTGGGTCGACAACCGGTGAGTCACTTTTCGGGAACTCTCACTGAAGACGCTGACGGTTCCCCTTGCATCCATTCTCAGAGCTTAAAAAAAATTCTCACCCACCTCTTCTTGATCGCTATTCATCCGTGGTGGTCCTGCAATGTGCATTTCATTTCATTCGTCTAGTCCGAGGAAGCAGCTCCTCCGCATGCTTATGCCACCAAATTTTGGCAAGCGATGCTTTCTTTGGCAGGTGTAGGGACTTAACATCTTGTAGATCACAACGATGATCGCGGACGTCTAAGGCTTTCTGATGATCTCATGGTGCAAGCAGTACAGCCCAGTGACAAGAGTCGCAGACTCAGTGCTCCATCGTAGCTCCGTAGCCGTGAGTTTATCGGTATCACTGATTTATTGTGCTAATGCAATTCCGAACAGCAATAGAACGTTTGAAAAGCGTCACACCAAAAGTACGCAAATTGTGTTCGCTGGTCGTGCTTCGACCCTCTTTCGGGCGGTATATAAGGTCCTGCAGCAAGGCGACTGTGTAGGAGGGAACCCCTTGATCCGCAGTCCTCCTTGTGGTCACCACCCTACATAGCCGCCCACGTCGGCGTCAGAAACCCCGTCTACCCCTGGCGCTAATCACAGTTTTAGTGCATTCCAAGCTCCATGTGGTCATACTAATGGGCGTAAATTAATCTTTTCTTAACCGCAAACGCGCCCATAAATGATATCCCTGAAAGCATGCACTAGTATACTTGTTTCGTTTGTATTTTAAGTACCTGTCCCATGCCGGACGTCAGCAGCTCCTCCAGTTTTGGGGAATCAATGAGAGGTTATGGCTTGCGATTTTTTCCCGAGTTCAGCCGCCTTTCCGCGCGTATAATAACTGGCCAGACAGGAGTCCACTGGCTCTCGGGCAAGGCCTCGGGTACGACAAGGCGTATCCGATGCCAAGATTTCTTCATTTAGTAATCAACAAATACTAATAATGAGTGATGCGGTGACGTGCCGGCCGCGGTCCTGCTCTTGGATCCCCAAAGTTCAGTCGACGAGACGGATTTCACATGGGCCAGCGGTGAAAGAGGATAACTAGGCTTATCTGCTACCTCTCTCTTCAGTAAATCCCTCTCCTCTGGCTGGCAGCTTCTCGACACGCGATTCTCTACGTAACCTCCAGGACGTGATGGATTCTTCACGCGCGGTTGCGGGTCTTCGGAATCTGCGCCAGTTGACGGGCAAGATTCCTCTGGCAAACATCTCGAAAGCACTGCCAAAGCTAGGAAGGGTGCTACTCTCGCTTATCGTGCTCCTCAACGTGCGTGCATTGCCTTTCGTCTGGCATAGTAAGTTGCAGCCCCTTCGGACTTGCACTCCCGCTTCTTCCTAACCACCGACTTCCCAGTTCGAGTCTTCCGACCTGTGTTCTATCGGCGATTCCGTCACGCATGGATTCGGTTCTTGATGCTCTTCAAGTCGTCGCGGTTGGAGAAACTGAAGTTGGAGGATGCCTGGTTGGATTCTATAACGCCGTTGGAGAGAACCCGTTCACGATGGTTGTGCCGTACAAGACATGGGCAAGTGAGTTTTATGGTCCCTTCTTCCGTAAATTCGGTTCTCTTACCCGTAAACAGGTATCGATGAGAGTGATTTCAATGGGCATTTGAGCAATTCGAGTTATGCGAAGACTTTGGACGGTGCTCGTTTCAAGGCCGCTGTTAACTTGTTCCCTATGTACTTGCGCAGCGGCGGTTGGATAGCCCTGGCTGGTACGCAACCCGACCTCATTGTTGCTATGCCTAACTTGTCTAACGTACTATCAGCTACTCATTATCACTTCATTCGCGAAATCCCTATGCTCGCATCCTACGAAATCCGTTCCACCATTGCTGCGTGGGATCAGAAATGGGTGAGTGCCATAATTTCGATCTCTGAGGTCCACATCTTCATGATTCTTCCTAGCTCTACGTGATGTCCAGATATGTGCGAAAGTCGGACGGGAAGAAGAAACATATCAGAAAGCCGAGAACACCTCTTCCAGGCGGCGACGGTCAAATTATGGCGCTCCGAACGCCTGGTGATGAAATGATCTCCTCGAGCGCCACCCCTCTCCCGACTATACAACCACAAACTGCCAGCGAGACAGAATCCGCTCTGAAAGCCGTTGCAGCAGGCCTTGCCGTACGGGAGGAACCGGATGGTGCCGTTGTACACACCGTCGTTGTCTCCCAGGTTTGCTACAAGATCGGCCGTATCACGGTTCCTCCTGCCCTCATTCTTGCTACAAACGGGTTCACAGGGGCGGAAGGGCATTCGCGTGCGTCGCCCCATCCCCAGTGGGCCGCGGCGAAGAAGATCATGTCAAGGCCTGATGGTGGAAGTCCGCGCAAGTTGAAGGAGCTTCTTGCTGGCGGATGGAGGGAGGCGCCGGAGAGCGAGAGATGGTGGGATCAGGCGCTTGGGGAGAATGTTGAGGCTCAACGTGTCAGGAACCTTGCCCTCATTGAAGGCTTGCGTTTCGGGATGGAGAATGCGCGGAGTGTCTAAAAAGGCAGACTATTCTCGTTGGCGACTAGATTGTAGCTTGCTATATTTATGATACGACCATACGATTGTAAACGTCGGTAGTTTACCATAGGTAGCCCATTGACATAGAACATAGACTAGGAATTTCTCTTCGACTTAGATCAACCATAGTTGCTGTACAGGCGAGCGGGAAACGGAGTATCTGTTAAAAATGTCTCGACCTGGCATTGAAATTCCTTCTGTTTACCCCCATAATCTTCATGATCTTCCTCGTTTAAATAAGTTGAAGAAAGTTCGAACTCTTCCTGAGCCCCTGGAAGGTTCGGACCCCGATGAGGACTCCGGGCCGCCTAACAGCTTTGCTTCTTCCCAACTCCAACTTCTTCCTCTACTCGCCGATTTTGCAAATGGCCACAGATTTCTGGGAGAGCTCATACTAGTAAGTATGCACATTTTTTAGTCGTTCCAACCTGTTTCTCAGCTTCTCTGTAGCAAAAGATGGATCGTCGACCGGGTGGTGTTAAAGCATGCAAGAGATGAAGACCTCCAGTACATTGACCATCCAGAACATCTCGACTTTTTGGCCATGTATTTCGCCAATTGTGAGTTCTTATCCTCAGTTACTCATAGGCAAAGTATCCGAAACCTCGTCTAGTGATAACGAAACTCGGAAAGAAGCTTCAATTTCGCCAGCGAGTAATTGCAACGGCCACGGTGTTCTTCCGGCGGTTCTATCTCAAGAACTCATACTGCGAAACCGACCCATTCACGGTGTTAGCCGCCTGCTGCTACCTAGCAGCGAAAGCCGAGGAGTCACCTGCACACATCAAGACGGTTGTCGCAGAGTCGCGCACGGTGTTCAGTCGTAAGTCAGCGCCTCTGTCAAAGAGAGCACCAGCTAACGCACGCTCAGAAGAGAGCTACAACACCAGAAGCTTCTCGCTAGACCATGCGAAGATCGCAGAGATGGAATTTTATCTTATTGACGACCTCGAAGGCGACCTGATCATTTTTCATCCATATCGAACGCTGCTCTCACTATGCAAGAAGGAGACACCCAACCATACATTGTCGTCGAGTGCAGAACAAGGGAGGGTACATAAAATGGAAACCAAGGATAAAGATTCTGGAGACGGCCGGCTAGAGTTGACACCAGCCGCCCTACAAACTGCTTGGTATGTACAATTCAAGGTCCTCCGCTACCCTTTTCCTCAGCCGTAACACAGGTCGATTATCAACGATACATACAGGTCGCAATTATGCCTTCTTCATCCACCTCACCTCATCGCTGTTGCCGCCATCTACCTCACCTTCATTCTTCACCCGACAGGGCAGCCAGTTCCCACTCAGAAATCCGACCAGGATCATGCAAAGGACGCCGATCCAGAAGAGCCCACGGGGGCCAGCCAGCCTCGGCGATCGTCTCGCCAGGCTAGCAATACATGCTCTCAGCGAGGATTCCTGGAGGAGGACCAAGACCCAGTCGCTTTCCTTGCCCACCTGAACGTCTCCCTTCCGGCAGTGGCTTCCATCGCTCAAGATATCATCTCGTTGTATGCGCTTTGGGACAGATACAAGGAAGATATATCTCCCGAAGCTTCGAAGCTTAACTGCGAGCTCGTCGACTCATCCGGCACGACCAGCACATGGGCAAAGGCAAGCGGTAACAGCAGCCTAGGTCAAGCCGTCGATCATGATGCAGGTTACGTTACCCCTGCCATCTTGTCGTCGGTGCTGCAGCGCATCCGAGAGAGGAAGTGGGTGGACGCAACCCGTGGGTCTGTCGCAGTCAACAAAAGACTTCAACGGGCGCTGGCAGCTGGCTAGCCCACTTGATCTCTCCTTGATGGCTAGTTGTGCCAAGATCCAACACCTGCTCCTCTCAACGCTGTGCATTGCCGTGCTTGACACGAGCCGTCGCGATCCAGATCCATCGGTGCTTCAAGGCTGTTCCATTACGGCTCAGAAACGTCTCGCCGACAAACTTCTAGGTTATATCACCCTCCTTTTGTTGGCCTCAAGATTAGTGTCTTTCTACTTCACGAGTATGTCTCTTCTCCTTATCACGCAAAAACATACCGATTGCGTTTCAGCCTTATCCTCGCAGCCAACCCGAGTCTAGCTTGTTTCAATCCATCCCATACAATATTCTGAGCCACAAGTCCTTGAGAATGTCGAAGAAGACTTCAATTGGATTGCTTATCGATAAGCAAGTCATCGACGGAATCTTCGCTTCATACAGCTGCCGGAGAAATTTTCGCTAGTTAGCTTTCTGGAGGAGATTCTAATGTCTTCTCTTCGAAATGCGGATCGATAACAATGAGACGGCCCTTGCAGGAAAGGGAGCTCCTTCTCTTCGCCATCTCGGCGTCCAAATGTCTATTTATCGACATTCGCTTCAGTGTCACAGTTTCCATTATTATGTTGAAGAAATTTGGAACACTGTATTTCGAGGGGATCGATGAACAATGGACAGGTGGATTTCGACTTGGTTGTGCAATTACAAGAGGTAGAACAATGCTTCTAACGCGTCGGCGGACGTGCGGAAGGTTATTTTTGGTCTCATCTGCTCCCGGGGCAGCGCGTCTCCTTCAAGGCCTGGTGATTTAACAGAAAAGAAACGTTCGTTCTCAGCCTCCGACTCCACCGATCTTCTTCACATTTACCCTCCAGCAGCACGTTTAGTCACCTTCGCGTTGGTTTCGCATTTTAGGGCCCTTGTTTGTTTATTGCGCCCGTCCATTCGAATGCGGACTGACGTGATCCTTGTTCTCTTTGTGATGCTTTTGTTCTCCAAAAACCCCGCCTTATTATTCTTCCCCCACAACGCTCGAGCAATGCCTGACCTAACGACGGCATTTTGTTGTTCTGGATAACAGCAAGTACAATGGTTTTCCGACGTTCATGCTGACGGATACTAAAGGTATATATTCTGTTCTCGTCAACGCCGATTCCCCACTCAATCGAGCTCCAGTTGTGCTCCTTCAGAATCAAGATACCATTGCACAATTTCAAGGAGTAGCCGATAGATCAAATATAGATCTCCTAACGAGGTACGATTATTCTCTTTTTCTTTCATTTCCTAACTGTTCCATTTCATTCACCTTTGTATTTGCACAGAATGGCCCATTCACTCACCACTGGCACTGATTCCTCGAAGTCATTTCTTAAACGTTTGAAGGGTTCAATGAAATGGAAAGGAGCCTCGTCACCCCGTACCGTGGCCATTTCTCACAGAGTCCTCGTCCACCCGGAAAGTGGGCAATTGCGTATCGATGGTTGTGTCGTGGAGCCTGAACCGGGCATGTTTGGAGTTCTTTGCCTAGATGGCGTCGAAATACTCGTAGAGTACTCTACGAGGCTTCCCTGCTCTTTGGTGTCCTCTGAGGGGGACTCTGTTCCCGAAGTCCTCTATGTCAGGCCCGCGCCGAGTGCATCGAGCTTGAAGGAGGGGATGAGCTTTACGCTCTTCGTCAACAGTGCTCACTTCTTGGTAAAGGTCGAGCGAGTGCTAGGGCCAGTGCCCGATCCCGTCTCTGCGGAGCCCGTTTCCGAAGTGCGGCCAGTAGAAATCCAGGTCGCGGATGCGGGGGCTAGCACCTGCACACCCGCTGTGCGCGTTATGAAGACGCCTCTCCAAAGGCTCCGCTATCCTGCTACTCCTGAATCCCTGGCGCCTAATAGGCAACCATATACACCTTTGACTCCGAGCCCTCTGATTCGCCTTGCGGAACTGGCGCACACGCCCACATCTTCTCCAGACAAGCCCTTGCCGTCGCCACCTTTGCTCTCACCAGCTGGTGCTTCTGGAAATAATGACCGTCACGAACGACAAAACACCGACGCCCAACCGGTTGTTAACGACGAGGCCAACGGGACTGCAGGAGACCTGCCCTTGCTGATCCAGTCGATCCTTAAAGCCTCACCTTCTGCCGCGGCGAAAGGGCCAAGTGCTGGGTCTGCGTATCGGAGGAGCTCTCATCATGCCTCAAGGTCCAGTTCACATCACACTCAGCACGAACTTCTGGAAACTTCGCCCATGGAGGACCGAGATTCTGTTGAATCCGTGGCTGGGTCTGTTCCAGGTTCGCCGACGTCGACGCGGACTCCGTCTCTGCGCAGAGCGACTCGAATGCATCTTAATCGGAAGATTAATCAGAAATCGGAAGGGGACGTCGCCATTCGACCCACCTCGAATGAAACACAGAAATCTGGAGGACATCAAGCCTTCCAACCCCCTTCAGCCTCTCTCCAGGGCGTTCTTTCCAACCCACCCCAGCCTGCTGAGATTCCACTAGCGGGTCTAGGAGTTTCGCACTGGAGTCATAGTCGCTCGCCAAGCACCTCCAGCCGCCGTTCTCGTCTTTCAGTCCAGGAACGACTCCAGCAAGAGGATACGTCGCTCACCCCTCGCGCATCGTCTCCTCAGCACATACACGAAGAAGTCCACCTTCATACTCAATATTACCCAACACAGAGGAAGCCCAGCCGCAGCTCTTGGTCTGCGACTCAACAGGTTTTCATGACGTACACCGGATATCCGGAGTCAGTCGAACGACAGGGACACCAGCAGCTTCCGACGCCTCCTCAAAGGCGGAGGACGTTGTCCAAACACGATCCTCCTTTGGAGACACGCGAGCGTAGGGCTGACTCTGACTGTCCCGGTATTGGGGTGATTGGCGCCGGTCGACCAGGACGAAATACGTCGATGCAGCCTCAAGGATTCTTCAATCCAACAACTCCCACTTCTCACCCCCGAGGCGACTTTCCGACTACAGAAGATACTCAAATAAAGGGAAAGGGAAAAGCGGCGCCTAAAAGCATGGGACTCGCCTCTTCGGTGGCGATTCCGCCCGCCGCAATAGACGCGAACATCCCATCGACGACCCAGGTTAAAATCAAGGTGGGGTTGTCGCGACCAGTCTATGGCACGGGCCCTATTGTATCGTTTCCCCTCGATACTGCAGAGGATGCAATGATAATGAGCGGTGGATGTAGGGCCGTGTTCGTTTCTCCAGCGCAAGCGCAATCAATTATAGAGGTCGCGTACCAGCAACCCCACAACAGATACCACCCAATCGCCCCTGGAATGCCACGACCTTCAACCTCTCTACGATTCTAAATTTGGCCTTTTTGACGACCCTTCTCACTGATGATTGACGATAGACACAATGATTATTTATTCATGATTCCGAACAACGGCTAGTAGCCTGTCACGATATCTTCATGCTACTCTAATAAATCTATTTCTGCGCGAAAGGGTAATCAATGTAGCCAAACTCAGGACCCTTTCCTGGAGGCGACGTATAAAACAGGGATCGATCATAATTGGCCAAAGGAATGTTCTTCTGTAAGCGAACAGGGAGATCAGGCTGAAAAGGAGGTTGGTCAACGACAGGCGGGGGTGTATCAAGCACGAAACCAGCGTACATTAGAAATGAAACGACGGCCAAAAGCTATGAGATCTTCGGTATTCGCCGTCCTTTCGAGCGCGCTCTCGCGAGTGAAGTTTCCTGCAGAGATGAGAACCTTCGGGGACCATATATCGCGAATGAAGTCGTTGGATTCCACGATAGCATCACCTCTCTCGGCTTCGGGCACGGTGAAAGCGCCTCCAATTCTCGGTTCGATAGCATGGAGATATGCGAGTGTTGGATGGGCATCCTTAAGGCTGGAGACGAAGTGGGTAAATTGGGGGATGGGATTCGCCATTTTCATCTCTGTCCGTCTCAGAAGTTAAGCTAGCAAGATGAAAATGTTCAAGGATAATACTTACCTCCAAATGGACTCCACGGGCTAATCCTGACACCAGTCCTATTCTCGCCGGCCGCGTTTGCGACCGCACGAACAACCTCGAGGGGGAATCGGCTCCGGTTCTCGATGGATCCACCGAAAATGTCGGTTCGCTGGTTGCTGGTGTCCTGGAGAAACTGATCGAGCAGATATCCATTCGCGACATGAACTTCGACCCCGTCGAAACCGGCCCCACGGACGGCGTTCTTCGCGGCTGTCGCGAATAGCTCGACGTATTCGGTGATTTCGTCCAAGGTCAACTCGCGGGGGATAGCAGTGGGTCGTGAGTCGGGGATAGGCGATGGTCCTACTAGATCGTGCGGGCCTGTCGGGTGAGAAGAGAGGACATCTGGAATCGCGGAACGACCTCCAGCCCAGAGTTGGAGGAAGATGAACGAGCCGTTGTTATGAACAGCGTCAACAATCTGCAAAATGCCCAGAGAGCTGAGAACGAGGAGATTCGAGAGGGAAGAAACGCCCTGACCTGAGCCCATGCCAAGATCTGCTCTTCATTCCAAATGCCAGGAGTAGAGTCGTAGCACAGAGCCTTCGGGGCCACGATGACGCCCTCGGATATGAGCAAGGTTCCTGCGGTCCGACTGCGTTGTTCATAATATTCCCGTGCAATAGGTAGAGGAAGGTTGGATTCCCGCGTCGCTCGGAAGCGAGTCAGAGGCGCGAGAACAACACGATGCTGGAGCGTTATAGGTCCAACTTCAATGGGAGAGAAGAGCTTAGAGGTCATGGTAGCTTGAGGGAGTTCCACTGGGTTCAGTCGCGGATAAGTACGTATGCAGGAGGAGAAATAAATATCTTCCAACGAGGTGGATTGCTGAAGCGCTGACAGATCAAGTTCTCGGTGCTCAATAAGCACGCAAGTCCGTCAAACGCGAAGGATTGTCTGCAGCCTCTTGCATCGACGTTTTTCTTGGAGATGATTAGCAAGATGTCGCCATCGAGTATTGTGAACGCCGGCTTGATAGACTTAATAATCAGCGATATAATGGGCATCCTGCACGCGTGTGTCGATATGGGGAAAGAGAAACTATTAATGCGCCACTTCAGAGGTTCCTGGAGAGGTTTCGGGCAAAGAGAACTTTCAGTCATCGAAAACAAGGTCAACGATGGTGGACTTGCCGCGCAGGGTATAGGGGTGGGATTCAGAACGCCTCGGCTTGTGCGGCATTTGTCAGCAGAGTCCAGACTATGGACGCAGTGTGAGCCTTAGACCAGACATACTTAGCTGCTCCTTTTCTAACACTTCTTGTCTTCAAAAATTTCCCGCCTTCATTTCATTCTCTATCCATACGTTGACGCATTAGCCCAATCTGTCTGGGCGTCTCGCCGAAGTTTAGCAACAACGTTGCGGCAGGACGGCAACATAGGACAACCAGATTCCAACCAGTTGAGCCCATCTCGCCGAGGTGCTTTTCCGTTGTTCTGACTGTTGGACGTCGTGCTAAGTCAGAGAGAATATCGTTTGTGAAAGCCGGTCTCTAACGTGAGTCTCATTCTGCTCGTTTAATTGCGGTTCTCATCCAAGGACTAGTCCGCAGATTGTTTCAAGCCGTCATACCCGCAACTGTAGTATATAGCCGTCAATGTGTGGCATTCATCTTGATTGATGGTCTTTTCTGACCTGTGCTGATAGCTGATTAACGCCTTTTCCAGCGTTTACAACTTGGCTGCGACGAACGAGATCAGCGCGCACGAACAACAATCTATGTATCCAGGAGAAGTACCCTGATGACCAATAATGGCGCACCCATTTGACGACCTTCACGACCTCGCCGGCTCCTTAAATCCTTTACCATCGCCGTCCAATACTCAGTCAGCATCGACCACACCAAACCCAACCCCAACTCAGAAAGACTACACGCAGCAACAACTTCCGCAGTCGAATGAATCGTCTCGTGCCGCCCAACATCTGCCGCCAGCCGCCCGCGCCACTGATGATGCATCGGCAGAAACGAGGGAGCGTGAACTGGAAAAGAGCATCGACAAATTTGCCACCCTCTTTTCCCCATCTACCCCTCGCGCATCACCTGTGCTAGGGCCAACATCACTATCCTCCGCCCCGGACGCGCTCAATTTAAATCCATCAGTGTCATCCCAAACCCCCTTGTTTGACCACCACATGCACGCCAAATCGCACACCAGACCACTCCTCGGTCGGCATTCGCGCCCTTCAAGCATTGTCAGTGTTGGGAGCACGAGCTCTCAGTCGGAATTTGGGTCTTTCGTGGAAGTATCTGCTTTGGATGACCCGTTGTCTTCGGTCATCTCAGATTTCGACGTAGCCGGACTGCCCGAACCGCTCGAACCAACACCACCGAGTGGAGCTGAAGTAGCTACTTCGTTGTCCGATAACACAAGCAGGCCAGCGTCGAGCGAAGTCGATGGTACCCTTGGTACGTCTTTTCTTTCTCATTACACTTGCTTACCTTTAATTCTCGACGTCGCAGAGCCACCACAACGCTATCTGTCATCATCAGCATCCTCCTCGCAGTCCGCCTCAAACCATGCTTCGTCTTCTGTCTCTTCTTTGAACGCAAAATCGACAGGAAAGGTTTACTCACCAGGACAGTCGAACCCGAGCCTTTCCTTCTTCGACAATTTCACCCAAGATGCCCGTCAACGATCCTCAGCGGCTAGGAGCAACCTGCTCGACGAGTTGCTCATGCACGAGGATGATCCAATGTGGTTCATCGTGAATTCGGAGGAAGAGAAGGAGGAGGAAGAGGGAGGCAAGACTCTTCGGGCGACTCCTGCACTCCCTTCTCCGCCGCCTCCGCCTCCACCTCCAAAGGATCCTTCCCTTTTCCAACGTACCTTACACTCAAACCTCACTTCCCGATCTGCCACCCCTGGAACCACGCCATCCCAAACTCCACCACCGTCGGAAGCTCAGTTGAATCAACGTACCTCACGCCCAGACATACCTGTACGTTGCGCTACTCCTAACGTCCCGATGACGCCTGGAACTCCCGTCTTCCACACCGACTATTTTGACGCGCACAACGACCTTGACCACGACTATTTCAAGTCTGTCCAACCGATTACTCCGGATCCCACGACACGGAAACATTCGCGATACGCGTCGTCGCCCGCGTCGGCATCTGGTATTTTCCATCCGACGCGTGCGAATTCGATGACGGTGCCCGCACCTACCTTAGCCCCGCCGGTCTCGTCTCAACTTACAGCATCGCCTCCGACTGGAAGAGATCAAGATGATGAAGAGCAGGAACCCCGTCGTCCAAGTTTGTCAGACTCCGGACGATCGCCATCATATCAAACCCTTTCGAGTCTGCCCTCCAAATGGATGTCATCTCTGCTCAAGAGTAGTAGTCCAGGACCACAGCAAACCCAACACCAGAGCGGTGGCGCACGACCTTCTCTGGAGTCGATCTTCAACCAAGGTAGCTTGGATGCCTCTGATGGCCGTCTGCATCACAAGGCCTCGAGTTCCAGTTTATCGAATCGGAATCAGTCCTTGCCGCTGCCGCAGCAACCGCCGGATACTCAGCCTCATCTTCCAACGCATTCTCACACGTTGCCAGTGCCGTCATCGTTGAATCTTCAACCAACACCTACCTTTACCCACAACAGTCCATTCGCGCCTTCGCCGATCATTCATTCAGCGTCGCCATTTGCACCCCACGTCTATATTCCACCCACTGGGGCACCTGGGTTTAAAGGAGAAGGCTACGATTGGGACAAGGGCTACTCAGACGAGCTCGAGGTCGAGCGAGTACAGGAACAAGTGCGCGAGAGATCAAGATCCAGATCACGGATGGCTGAACGGACGAGAGAGGCGGAGCGGGAAGTTGAAGGGACACGGACAAAGTATCAGCTCCCTGAGCGAGGGATCAACAGCGCAGGAATTGGTAGCTGGGTAGCGGACAACCGCGGAGGATGGGGTAGTGGTTTGGGCTTTCCTTTTGGTTCTGGTAGGAGCAAGAGCAAGTCCCGTGCAAGTCCGAGTCCCTCGAGTTCAGTATCTGGATTAGGTGCCGGGCTGACCGGTCCTGACAGAGCTGGTTCCAGGTCGCCTTCAGTGAACTCGCATGAACGCGACTATAGCACTGGATGTGGCTCTGCCAGGAACACGGAGGACACGAAAGCGACCGGAAACCTCGATTGGCAGGCTCGAGGACAAAACACAAGACACGACCGAAAAGCAACGTCTAGCCCAGGCCCGGCGGGAAATGGCAGTGGGATTGGCGACTTCATCGAGCGGAAGGCAGGAAACGTGGAGTTGACTGGGAGGAAAGAGATGACTACTCCAGTGTTGACCGCGGAGCTAGCTGGATTGGTATGTTCTCTCTTCACTCACCTGTGTCCACTGTCTGACCTGTGCCATAGCTTCGACCTCACTTACCTGCTCTATCGCGCCTTCCGCGCTCCTGGACCCTCATCTACTCGCTCGACCAACATGGCATCTCGTTGAACACACTTTACACGCGCTGTGACACGCACCTTTCGCGTCGGCCTGCTCCAGGCGAAGTTGCTGGGGTTGGAAAAGGAATGCTGGTCGTGATGAAGGATTCTGGGGTGGACGAAGAAGCGCATGGGTCGATATTTGGAGCGTGGATCGCGGAGGGGATTCGATTGAACAAAGGCAGGGGGTATTCGGGTGGAGGCGAGTCGTACGTGCCCACTTACCTGCATGTATGCGCCTTATTTGACCCAGATCCCCTCTTATTTCAAGATTCCTGTGGAAGTACGCCGATGGCGCCCTCAAGGTGTTCAAGACGACCGGAAAGAACAGCTATGTCGCGCTTTGCGAACCGGACTACCTCTCGTTCGGTGGCGGGTAGGCAGAACCTCCTAGTCGGGTGTAAACACGCATCACTCACCTTCGTTTGCAGAGATGGCCACTATGGGCTCTACCTGGACGACACTCTGCTCGACGGATCCTCAGCGTCGTGTCCTACCTTCGACAACGAACCTCTCTGCTCGTACCCAACACGAAGTGCAGGCGCCAAGAAGACGGTGAATTTCGAATGCGTGGGTTTGGAGGTGTGGGCTATGGGGTCATAGAGCCGAGTGCCGTACCTCTCATGAGGATACCGCCAGGCAAGGTTGACACGCTGTATGGTCGCACTCACCTGAAAATGGGCCATTTATGCGCATATATGCACCTTTTCCAGATAAGGCCCGGAGACGCACCGTAGGACCTATGAAGTGCCCATATCATTCTAAATCTCGTCCTCTCCGGTGATTATGCGCCCAGGATGCTGAGCGCCCAAGCGCGTCATTGCTGTCACTGCAAGAACAGGGGGATTCAGTACTTCGGGAGGAATCGGAGGCAGGAGGTGGTGGTTCAGAAAGAAGGGAGGGAGGGGGTGGGTTGGCTCGAAACGGATCGGCCAGTCCGTGCTTTGTCAGCTTGAAATGCATACGCCACACTCCATCAGATGTGTCCACACCTCATTGTGAACGTCAGTTAGGCTGGTTTTCATCCTATCGATCAGCTCTTTTTAGGGCGAGTGTCAGCCTACGAAATTCAGGATGATTTTCATGAAGTCTTTCCAACCTCTCCTCACTTGACATCTGTCGCTCTTTCCACAAACTGGGATCTGACGAGGTAGAAATTAGACTCAAGGCTTACTACGTTTCATATCATGATTGTAATACTATTTGGACTTCCTGGTGGATTCGACACCTCCAGTTGCGTCAAGTATCGTTTTATTACAGCCAGACAGGGGCGTGGGTACTTAGACGTGATCTCAGAATCTGACTCCATCCATCTCTACCCATAACCGCTATGGCCCCAATACCAGGCGAGGACGAGGCCACTCTTCAGCGTGACATTCTCCTTCTATCTGCTGGTCTGCACTCTACAGCACCTTACACACCCGTGTCCACACCCGAAGACTACAAAGAGGCTGATGCAGCAGTCAACTTGATCAATGCTATCGTTGGACTGCTGACGACGGCGACAAATGTCGGGGCGCCAGAGGACGAACGCGATCCTGCAGTAAACCGGGTAGTTGCTGCTACTGTGGTTGCAAATGAAGCGGATCGTATCGAGGCCCTCATCATCACTCGTAATCCCAAGGCCGCTAGCAAGAAAGGGACAGCCAGCGATCGAGAATACCGAGTTGAGTCTCTTGCCAGCGACCAGCGCGAGCTCCGCGAAATATTCCTTTCCTCTAATCCCAAAAGGTCGCGCTTCTTGTCCTGTTCCACTCATGTTTAATGCGGCTTACAGGAGATGTGTCGGGTGGGAGCAGCACATCAAGGACGTCTTCTCCATTTTCGACTCCTGGTCTAAGAGTAGCATGGATTACAGCTTGAGAGAAGTTATGTTCTTTGTGTTCTTCCTTTCTCGCTGCTACCCGAAAATAGTAGCACGAATGCGAACCGCAGAACGTCTTTGGGGTGATCACCCTCTTGTTATCCTTCACGAGTGGACCTCAGGACACCAGCCAACTACTCCTGAAACCTTTGAACTTTCCATCCCGAACTACTATGATGGAAACAATAGCCTGGGAGCGCATGGTTGGTTGGCCTTGCACGGTCTCCAGCCAAATGAAAGCGGTAATTTCATTGTTGGTCCGTCGGACACTCCACGGTGGACTAGTATTCTGAAGGAAGAGTACGAAGCCTTGAAGGAATCCTTGGTGGCCGAAAATGTGAGTGAAATAGTTCTGCACAAATTTCTGACATTACTCACGATCTCGTAGGGCAGCGCCCAAGAAACTTTTGGAGTGGACCACCTCATTCGAGCCTTTGCAGCTTTGGCACACATTCGAGCTCTTGCCTCGTCCAAGCTCTTCGAACGCTTGTTGTTGGCTATACCCGGCCTCATTGATCGTTTGCGCGAACCTAGTATGTTGTCCCTGCATGCACTGCTTCTGTCCTGATCTCAGTGGTCATACAGACTCTGAATCCCATGACTCAGATGATTTCGAAGGTATTCATTCTTCTCCTTTAATGCTTTCGACGAGTTTAACTGAACTAGATGAAACCGTCGAGGATTTCCGCGTTGGCAATCCTCTGGAACGCTGTGTCAAGGCACTCGTTTCCCTAATCCCTTCCATGGTCCAGGCCCTCCATTTTTTAAAATCCAGACCGGGAATATCGTTCACGGTGTCTTTAATCACTTGCCCACCTTCCCCCATTCCGCCCTATACGCCAGCGAATCTTGAAGCGATCATCAACGGTCTATCCGGTACTGTTCTGTCTCAGGATGCCAAGGACTACATGCTTTATGGTTCGGAGGTAGCAATTTACGGCGACAAGAACGCAGAAGAGGTCAATTCAGCGGTTACTCGCGACCACGGTAAAGCTGAACGCCTCAGTCAACTGCTTGGGTTCATCGCCAAAGGGACAGTACATTGCGAGGCCATTATCATGAGCGCCGTCTACCCCTCAAAGGTCGACGCGAAACTTAGTCCTCACCTCAATCCGGTATAGCTCCATGCCACATTCTTCCCGATATGAGTTCACGTTTGCTACCTCTAGACGGGCGAAACACCGATTGGAACAGGCAGACGATGCTGTTGGTTGTGCTAGAGGCTGCACCTGCATCTTAACTCTACGATCCCATCCAACCCTATCATAGTTTCTGGCTCTCACGGCATCGTGTACACCTGGGTCGCTCCTGCGGGTCTACCTCTCACCGTTCTCAAGGCTTTGAGAACGGACTTGGCCAACGCGCTGGATACGGCAGCGAAGAAGGCTCGCAATGCAGTAACCTCAATGCAGAGCAGCATCCGCGACGAGACCGGCATTTATATCAGTGATACAACTTGTAATGCACAATGTCCCTCTACTTGTCAATACCGAGACAATGCGTTACAAGTTCGTTCATTATGAGCTTGCCATAGGAGAAATGAAAGTCGGGTATAGCTTGCGTTGAACACCAAAGGGGATCGTTTTTCAATCTCGGGACGTCGAGAAGCAACTCTGGTAGCAGCCCATCCTCTCTGCAACATGATGAGATAGGATTTAACGACGTTACTGAGAAGAATCTTGCTATAGCGTCTAGGTAGAAGTTACGAAATTAAGTATTATATAGTTCAAATGTTCCATAGTTCAGAATGTCTGGATATCTGGGTGAACATTGAGTGGGAAAGCGAAGAGACAACAAAAAGGAAAGTATGATGGGAGTATCTGATCGCAGTCAGTACGTGAGTCCTATGCTGGGGTATACAAGTACAGAAGCAAAAAATGGCGCAAAGAACGTGTATGGCATAGAAAGCAAATCAGCAAGCACGTTTGAGTCTGCTATAGTCGTCAGCGAGTGTGGCGGGTATGGTGATGAAGGGTGAAACAATCAGAAAGCACGGCGGTCCAAATACCACGAAACATCAAGGATCAGGAAGCTTGCTTGTCCTATCGGGATGGTGTAGAGGGCGTCCAAGCCAGATTCGAGCGTCCTCCGTCAAAGCCCGTGCCAAAGGGCTGGACTTGAGTGGTTGCGAAGCCTTTGGTGGTGATGGCTGCAGAGATGTTGACTGTGAAGAACCTGCAGGCGGCACCATTGGTGGGTATACAGTGCCACCGCTCGAACTGGGAGGAGCCCGCGCTGATGGGGTGGGTATTGTCGGTGAAGGTTTCGAGGTCGTTGCTAGCACCGAAGAACCTGGAGGTATTGGTGGCGAGGCACCCGGAGGAAGCGCGGAATAGGAATAAAAGGACGGCGATGAACGGAAGGGGTCTGTATAGGTGGCAGAGCTCAGCCGTAGAGCTACACTGCTGTTGGTCGAGAATTGAGAGGAGATAGTAGAGGTGGTACTAGCATCGGTGTGTCCTCGGCCGTGCGGGCTCGACGGCATTCCCAGGTAGCTTGTGTTTGAGCCCGACGCGGAGACAATCCGATGCCCGTGTTCAGACGTAGCAGGGCCCATGACATCGTCAACTATCCTACTGAGGTCGACCTGGCTGCTGTTCTGCGAAATAGGATCCACGAATCCCGGCGGCGGCCACACTTCTTCCCTGAATATCGACCCAGATTCTGATGTTCGTGATTTGAGTAGGCCGGGTGCAGGGGAGCCTGTGCGAAGACGGGCAGCCGATGTAGCGCCGACAGCAACGCTGGCGCGGCTTTGGGACCGCATGCGGGGATGTCCAGCAACGTCGTCATCGTAGAACTCTTCTCCATCCAACAAACCCTTGACCTCTTTCTTCCTTCCCGACTCCTCAAAGAACTTGTTCAACTTGCGCTTGCGATATACGAATATCGCCACAAGAAGAACCAAAACAAAACCGATGAGACCAGCGGTCGTTCCGGCTATAATAGCGGTGCGTTGTGACGAGGAGTTCTTAGGCGAAGACTCCACAAGAGATGTCGGTAGGGAGGAGGTGAACTATCAGAAAAACTTCAGAAAAAGAGTACCAACATGTAAGTACGTCCCACCGTACAGTCGTAAGTTGTCCAGAGACAGACGTCACGATTGTTGTGATGTTTTCCGGGACTGACACAGAGCTTGAAGGAAGAAAGGAAGGGGTTGATGTTGGTATTGGCGATGGTGGCGTTGTAGAAGGAATGACATCCGTTGGAGGGGGATCGGAGATGATATTCGAAGATGGAAGGAGCGATGTCGGGTCGGAAGATGGTAGGGCTGAAGTAGGTTCAGAGGTCGGTGGGAGACTAGTTCTGTAAAACATGAGATGCGTCGACACACCCGAGAGGCGTGAAACTCACTCAATTGAACTTGGAGGTAGACTTGTAGGCTCCGAGGTCGGTTCTAAAGACACATCGCTCAATATAATTGAGCTTGAACTGCTCTAGGTGGACGTCAGACCAATTCCCGAAGGCAAGGAGATTATCCTACAAGTACTCACAAGAAGAGAGGTTATGAGATCCGACGGTGAAGGCACATCCTGTCGAGGCGCATGCTGCATCCCTGCAGCGTTGGGGTGGATAATGTTGTGGTTGATATCAAAGAGTGGCTCAGGGCTCCCTTGTCCGTCATTGATGCACTCAGCACTGCCACTACTTTCACCGACGGTCCGGCATCGTCGGAGAATCCCCAAACTACATTCTGAATTTCGTAACTTCTATGTAGACGCTGAAGCAAGATTCTTCTGGACAACGTCGTCAAATCCTATTCTGTTATGTTGCGGAAAGCATAGGCTGCCACCGGAACTGCTTCTCGACGTCTCGAGATTCGACTTTCATTCCGTCCATAGCAAGCTATCCAACTCATCTAATTATAACCGCGCATAATGGACGAACTTGCAACGCATATCTCGGTATTAACAAGTAGACAGTTGAGGTTGTTGTGCATTACAAGTCGTAGTAGTACGCGCAATACATCGGGTCCAATCGACCTACTCCAGATGAACTGGAAGAACAGGTTGGCCTAAGTAAATATTCCCGAGTGGACGCTGGCTAATATAGACTTGCCCATCTTCAAAGAATAGTCCTGGATTCTGCTATGCATTTAAAGATAATGAATAATACTTGTCAAATCAGTCTTCATTGAAAAAAACTGTTTAAGTTTTCGACTAGATGACATATCTCCTCACAACCCCATCGTCGCTCGCACTCCACACCTCAGTGCGACCATCGCTCGTTGTCGCTGCAATGTTTCTGACCGGGTCGCAGTCCACACCGATAAGTTCAGCCTTGACGGATGGTCCTTCAGGGAGAACGTTGGCGACATAGGGAAGGCCATCCGAAGTAGCGATCGCCAATGCCACTTCAGTGCCGCTCCTCACGAAGGCCAGGTCTTCGATTTCTGTCTCGAGACGGCTGAAGGATGTCAATGGAGAGCCGAGCGAACGCGTGTCGTAAAGGGTGACAACTCCGGAAGCCGATCCAGTGGCGAGTAAATTGTCGGCCTCGGAGTAGGCGATGGATGTTAATGGGGAGGGATTTTGGGAAATCGGTGACCGGAAGACGGATTTCTTGAAGCCTAGGTCGAAGAACTGGAATTCGCCATTTTGCAGGCCGCAAACGACGACCTTCGAACTCGTTTCCGGAACCTCGCGAGGATCTGTAGCCGCAGGCGGAGGATGCTCCTCCCCGTCTGGAGGAGCGGGCATTCGATTGCCTGAGCTCATCGACAAGATCGCTGACTGCGGGCTCAAGGAGGAGATAGCTTCACCCGAGGATACGTCCCATAGTTTGATGGTCGCGTCAAGGGAGGACGATACGATGTTCCTCCCAACGCCTATGATAGCAGTATCGGTGACCGGGCGGACATGGCCTCGCAGGGTGCGCACAGGAGCTATCCTCGTCGCGCTAGGGGTTGGTCCGTCGGGTAGATCTGCAGGTAATATGGTCAGGGAAAAATCTTGCCCGGAGGATAGGATGACCCTGGACGAAGGAAAGAATTTGAGCGAGGTCACGCTGCTTAAGTGTGGCCGGGACGCGGTCTTCCATTTCGTCACGTCGAGGGTGTCAGGAATAAGGGTTGTGCGTGAACGATCTAAAGTGGATGTGGGGTACAAGAAGATGGAGCCGTCAAGATAGCCTGTTGCGAAACGCGATGAATCTGGAGAGATGCTGAACGCAGTTATCCGGTGGGGCTTGTTCATATGCCAGTCGTTAGTTAGAGTCCGTAGTTTCCGACGTAACTGCGTACCCGTGAGGCGTTTGCACGCTCTTCATCCCGATATTCTTGTAACGCGGTTGCTACTCTCGTGCGAGGTACGCCGAGGGGTTTGCATGCGACTGCATAGCCCTGTTTATGTAAGAGATCGGATAACGAAATGGTTCTCGAACAAGGTTACTTGTAACTCACTCCGTCACCGTCCTTCGAGAACTCAATCTCCCCTTCCGCTGGGTCGAAATTAACAAGACTTCGGTTATTCTCGTCGAGCTCCGCCTTCACTTTCGCATGAACTGATGGTTCAGATGTCTTGTAGCATGAGATCCAGAAGTTCTCATATGGAATGTCGCCGTCAAGAACTTCCTTAATGATGTCTGGAAATGTATGTTGGATCGTGACGACCGGAAGAGATAGAGAGGACATTTTGGCGTTGGGAGACAGAGGTTGCGTCATTAGTGTTTGGATCGTGAGAGTTATGCGATGAGATTTGGAAGCTTACATACACAACCAAGAAGATAAGATAAGCTCCAAGAACGAACGGTCTCAAAAGCCGAACTTATATCCTTTGGAAGTAGAACGTCGAACTCCCAACCTTGGTTCGACAGCCAGCGCTGACGTAGGCTTCTAAGTGCATATCCTCCTCGGCCAGCGGTCGGTCAGTCATGTCAGTCACCGAAGCTTGGACACTTTCGGCGGCGTTGAGTCCATTCATCAATATGTACATCGCCGGTGAGGAACGGGTAAGAAAGCAATTTATTTTTATGATTACACACGGATATAAGGGACCGTACAATTCCTGAGGCAGTCGCGACCGGGGTGATGGAATAATAACAAGTGCGACGACTAATCCTAAGTGAGTCGCTTACAATAATCCGGGTTCCCTGTAGGATTCTATGGGTTCTAGATTAGCATGTCGTCTTAAACGCAAAACTGGTCGCACTCACCAAAGCCCAGTTCGGCATATTGACCACCGTCCCACTCCCTCCTCCAACAGCGAAGGTAAACACGAAGACCATAACTTGCGTTCCCCCATCTAGAGCCGCCGACAGAAGGAAGTTGTACTTCCTGAACCACCTTGGGCGGTGTTTACGGAGGTAATACTGTGAAAACACCGCAAGGCAGAACGTCGTAAACACCGAGCTGTTGATACCAACGCTGAGATAGCCCAACGTCCCTGTCAAAGTCGTGTTGTGCGTTAAAAAAAGGCAAGGAGATTGGTAATGGAATTCGAATTTAAACGTACAGCAGAGGATGGGCGTGACGACTTGCTTCGCTCCGGACTTCGGCCAGAATTGGTGAATAATCCAGAAGGGCACGGGGACAGCAAGGCCGATAAGGATTGAAAATGGAACGATCTATTTATATTTTATCAGTCAGTAAGGCTTTGGATAGAAGAGTGAATCGGTAGATACTTACGCCGTAACGTCCATCTGGTGCGTATAGGAGGTTTCCGAGGGCACCCCAAGAAACGGCGTCACTGTTGAATGATTGAACTTGTTGACCAGACCACTGAAGAACTGTCTCAGAACTATTCTATCAGAAGAAATGACAGAGCCTTACGATATTGGAGCCCTGAACGTCTAGAAGGATTTCACGATGGCTGCTAATAATGACCTTCATAATAATATAATTCAAGAGGCCTCCCTGTAGTTGTGAAACGGAAGGTGAATACAACATTACTTATTCCCCAAGGTGGGGACTCACGATAACAGCGCCCAGGCACTGGACGGTGAAGGTGACGCGAGGGGGCAGTTTCGTGTATTGACCCATCTTCAAATCGCGGATGAGTCCACGAGCTTGGTCAAGAGTGTTAAATCCGTAGAGCGTGAAATACATGTTCGTCTGGGAGCTTCCGGGAAGCATGGAGGCTCCCAAGATCTGTGTCGCAATAAGTTGGGACAACGAGTCCAAGCTTGGTAAAAGGCAGAAAAAATACCTGAACCAGGTTCTGAATATTGGGAACGAATCCAGTGATGGCATATACAGTGACCACGAAAGGCAGGAAGATGGCCGAAATAATGAGTGCGACAATTAAACCCCACCACGGTAGTCCAGAATGGCCCGTATAGATTGTCGCCATCGCCATCGCGAAGCTGGCCACGAGGACGGCGAGGTACCACCACATAGGAACTTCGGGATACACCTTCATTTTGGCGAGATGGGGATCGTAGTTCTCACCAGCCTGCATCATTCGTCAGCAGAAACTACTTCATGAAAAAGGATAGACGCACCCGATATTTTCTGATTACCTCAATTATGTCCTTTCCGTACCACAGAATGACGTGCATGATGGTTGCTCCAATGGCCAAGTTGGATCCAATCTTGGTAAGAACCTGGGAGCTTGCGAACCATGGTAGACCCTACAGTCAAGTTGAACATAAGGATAGAGCGCGCAGAGATTAGGAGTATAGGCGAACCTGTTCTGCGAGTTTGGCGGGGTCTAGGCGGAAGTGTTCGTCAAGTATCGCAAGTTGATCGTAGAGTGTCCCATTCTCGTAGAAGAGAGCCTGAGATAAGAATGGGAAATTCTGACCGCTCCAGACGTTGTTGGCGTAGCACGCGCAAAACGCGATACTGAAAATAATCACAAAGCGTTAGGAGCCGCCTCAAAAACGGTGAACAGCACTCACATGCAAATGGCGGTTCCGAAGTATAGAGACAGCTGAGTGGAAAGCGGGGTGAAGAGAGCGCCCATAGACCCGCCACCGGAACCAACATAATTCCAGTCAAGGCAGAATGCGAACATTCCAAGACCTTCATTTCCAGCAGCGCCGCCTTTCGGGAATAGCCGTTAGAGATGCAGCAAAATGCGCCCGAAGCGTACGGGACCAACCGAAAATCCGAGTAACCCAAGCACTATTTCGCGATGCAAGACAAAAAATGCTGATCCCCGTTAGGGTTCTGTGGGTCCCAGTTGAACGTTAGCTCTCGGCGATATCAATCAGGTAATAGCAGGGCCCAGGACCGCTACTTACGGAGCAATGAATTCGGGGAACCATTCCCAAACGAAGATGGCGATGAATATCGACCAGAAGAACTTGACACGTTTCTTCTGGAGGAATATTTTCTTGCCTCGATGGAGCGCGTCGAATAGCTGGACCGTAGGAAGCAAATTGGGAAAGACGATGTAGGTGGGATAGACGAGGAAAGCACGCATGAGACCTATTTTTGGATTGTCATGTGTGCGAGGAGGCTAAAAATAGCATGTGGACCCACCTCCGAGGCCATATCCCATCAATTGGGAGCCTTGATGACGGGCCTGGATCAGGATGCAAAGCGGGCACACGGGGAATTCACGTACCGATGAGCGTGAAAATGCCAACGCCGACATTAGGCTGAGTAAATTCACCATGTGAGCAACGACGCAAAGTTGTCGGGTGTGGTAAACGGCGCACCTCGATATTGTAGTAGAGTTCGTCTGCAGCAAAGATGCTGATGGCGAGGGCCGACTCAGCCGCCGTAGTCGAGAAGATTGTAATTGCGACATGCTCCTTGATGTCTAGAAGTCAGATACGGCGTTAGCTATCCTTCTTCGATTCCACAACCTCTAGAATACTTACTAAATGGCCCAGGGTTCATGAATCTCCAGAATGCATTGTCTGTAGTAGTGATGCGAGCATTGCGTGGCCCCGGTACTACTTCTTCGAGCAGAATCCCCAACAAATATGCAATAATTTGAAGGAACAGCTGGCTGACGTATACAGTCTGTGGCCGGAAGTACTGATACGAAGTCAATATGCTAACGCTCACAAGTGATTCTGAATGAAAGCATACGAATATCTGGCCGAGAACGGCTCCAAAGCAAGAGAGTCCGATGCCTAGAAGCCACATCCTGAAGGTGAACGCTGGAAGCGTCGGGTCGTCCTCCAAGGATATAAGACGGGTTGCAACATCAACGTCCGTTTCTGAGATACAAATTGGTCAGATAGGAATATGGGGGATTTGAGACGAGACTCTCACCTATAGGTCGTTCCTTGCCATCCTCTCCGAGATCGATAGCACGAATATCGTCGTAGACGTCGCCCACCTCCTCGTGGATGGAGTGGGCAATCTCCACCGACCCAACCTTCTCCTTGTCTCCTCCCTTCTCATAGCTGAAGGATTCAGAGCGATTATGCGCTGGCTGAGCGGGTAGAGAGGCAAGTGCCGCCATGGGTTCCTGGTGAAACGACGGATGCTCCTCCCAGAGGATCCATCGGCCTTCATATACCACGGCCACGGGCGGGCGCCACCCACGGCAGGATGCTACACATGGTGCATGCGCGATTCACACTAATCATCTTGCGTGTATTTTTGGGATATCTATATCCATTATAGATGTGAATCCAATGGGATAGCGGCGTACACCTAAAAATAGAGCACCTGCCGAAATAGGGATCTCGTCCGCGATGGCATGTGGCGTCCCGGAAACTCGAAAATATCGAGCGAGGGCAATCGCAGCGGTCAATTCAGGAGCGGTGGATTTTCTGGCCCGCTGGACCCTAGCGTCTAAACACTTTCACCGCCGGCCGAAGGAAATAATAATGGTGGCAGCTTCGGTGAAGAAGCTCAAGGAAGGGAGGGGAATCGTCGAGGCCGCGGCGGGTATGTATGCTCGCGCTGATGGTGATTCGGGAATTTCCAGAGATTGAAATTGAGACAGAAGCCTCCTCGTTCAAAATTAGTCGTCGCCTCTCACCTCCACAATTCTGTTGATGACAGGGGCCTTGAAGGAGTTAGACTATCGTGTCGCACAACTGCGGATGTGGGGGTGCCATATGACCTCCGTTCAAGTTCGTGTCCTGCAGATAGCATAATAAGATACCATGAGTGACTGGCCATCTCGGAGACGTCAAGGAGAGCCAGGGACGGACACAGTCATTGATTCAGCGAAGCGTCGTTGCGGTCTACGACTATGGAGGAAATGTCATGGTCTGGTCTTACAGAGGGCTTTCTTGACAAGAAGTTGATATGAGCGATATCTCATCGAGTTCCCTGTAGGCAAGCGCCTGCAGTAAACGAGTCTATCTGCGCGAGGACTCCATCCGGCCCGGGGAGATAATAGTCAAAAGGTGCGGGCTAGTGATGTAGGTTAGTTGTATGATTATGATTACTTGTAGGAGATAGATTATATGCATAAATCCAATACCCCCGTCGGCCTTTCGAGTTCCCTACCCGATCCTGACCCGCGTTGGACGCTTTGAAGAGCATGGGGGTGGTCGCTAAAAATCATGAATGTTCAATTGCGAGATTTCCCGATTCCTTCAGTCATTATAGAGACCTTCCGACTCACATATTATCTTGGTTCATGGGGCAAGAAGGCATCGAGGCGGTCTTGAGTACGTCCTTAGACGAGCCTTCGAAAAGGCCTAACGTCTATTTTTAATCAACGGAAGACCTTGGCGGAACCCGAATAGGAAGAGCGCCGAGAACAACAAGGGCACACTAGTTCTGCCATCAAAAGCGCCATGCTGGATACGACGACCTTCTTCAACGCGCACGCATTCACTCAGGATCCATCTAGATGCTGCATGTGCTTCTGTGCGTATCTCCAGGCCTGGTTGCTCCAAACCAACCAGCCAAAACCCCGTCGTTGGTCCACATAAGGTGCGGTCCCAACATTTGTCCGAGTTAACCTCAGACCCTCCTGATGCGATTCTACAGGTATTGAGTCTGTGCTGCGTGCAGCTCTCGATTTTCAAGCCTGGCAAACCACAAATGCGTTGTATTATCTCCCTGCATCGCTCTTAAACGGCTATGAGGCGTCATTAGCCTTCCAGATGTCGTTGATACCCCGCGCAATTCTCCGGATTTCATTCCTTATCTTCAGTCCAATCTCTTTGGAACATGCCGTTTTGACTCTGTGGAATTGAGAACCGCATGCGCCCGTAACACGGAGCTTCCAACGCGGGGATGCGCACGGCTGGCGGCGGTATGTTGTGCCTTGAAGGTGGCCACGGGAGAGCAATTTCTAAAACAAACGACCTCGGCTCTCACACACCGGCCTTTCCGATCTACCTCGCACCACCCTTATCGAGCCCCAGTTGGAGACTTAGAGAACCCGCACTGTCAGTTGTTCTATACCCACAAACTTCTTTGACTTGAAGAAGTAGAAGGCATTCGAAGGCACCTTGGCTTTAAATCATGCAAATCCTCAATCGCTCGCATTCCCCCAGGTTCAAGATCATGTGCAACCATTTTGCTCGCGACCTATAGCGAGGCGAGCATTAAACGAAACTTGGGCGGTTTCGTTTTTGTCCGTCTGCTACCCCCGTCGATTGATGTGTGCCCAAGCAGCCAAGCATTTCTTGGTCCAACTTCTCTGTACGTCTGTCGTACTGATACATGTGCCCACCTCCGTTCACGGCATGGTATCTAGCAGCTCCTTTGGGATCTATAGAGAGCCAGGGAACTTAAAAAGGTCCTGGAATCCCTGCTGGTCGTTAGTTGACCCACCGGGCCCCCTGCCTCGTCGCAATGGAGAAGGTCGAAGCCCAACCAACTCTTGCGAGGGACCCGGAGCGCAAGTCCTCGACCTACAGCGACGAGAAGGACTCAAAGTACAACGAGAAGGTCGACGTCGCCAACCCGGTCATCGGTGGTGAGGTCTATGATAATATCAGGATCATCGACTTGGACGAGACTGGGAAAGAGCGCCCTATCGGTGAGTGGGTTAGTATTTTGTTGATCTCTTCCTATTCTGACGGTCATAGTCACGGATTTGGATGTCGCTACCCGTCTTATCTCTCTTGAGGACGACCCAACACTTCCTGCCTTCACGTTCCGTATGTGGTTCCTTGGTATCGGGCTGTCCTGCTTCGGAGCTGTTCTCGGTCAAATTTTCGTCAGTTGTTTGCCCAGAAAATCTTGAAAACCCCGCTCATTCTTTTGTTAAACATCATTTAGTACTTCCGTCCTCAAACGGTCTTCGTCAGTCAGCTGTTCATCCAGATTATCGCCTACATTCTAGGCCGAATCCTTGAGGAAATTATCCCGGGACCTGGTAACGAGCGCGACTCGCTGAAGATGACGGACAGCAAGTTCTGGAGGTTCATGAATCCCGGTCCCTTCAGTACATCCATTAATTTGCTCGGTCATTGCGATATCTCAGCCCTCTATTTTAGACATCAAGGAGCACGTCGCGATCACGATTTTCGCCTCAACAGCCGCTGATTCTGCTCTCGCGATCAATATCTTCGCCGCCGACGAACTCTTCTACGACATTCAGCCTAATGCCGGTATTGGCATCTTCACTCTCATCGGTTCGCAGCTCCTGGGCTACGGTCTTGGCGGTGTTATGCGATCTTTCCTTGTCTACCCTACTTACATCGTATTCCCTAACCTACTCCCCATCGTCCAACTCTTCGATGCCCTCCACCGCGGCAAGAAAATCTTCATGCAGAAGAAGCGCGTCAAGTTCTTCTGGGCCGTTTTCTGCGGTATCTTCGTCTGGGAATGGTTCCCAGAGTACATCGCACCGTACGTCGATCCCAGGTTATGGTCGCAATTCAGTCTAACAGCCGTTATCTCCATCTTAGGACACTCACCGGTATCAGCGTGTTCTGCCTCGCAAACCGGGATAGCCCCTGGTTCACTCGTATTTTCGGTAGCGCCCTTTTCCTTTCTTGGTTTGGCCGCGTCTAATCGTCGTTCTAGGTGGTGCTGCCGGTAACGAGGGTCTTGGAATGTTCGCACTCTGCCTTGACTGGAATTATGTCGGATCCGGAGGTGGTTCGATGGGCGCTCTCTTCACCCCTCTTTCGACGCAGCTGTCGTTGTACTGTGGTACCGTGATGTGCATGTGTGTTTCTTCTTTCTCTCTCCCTCTCCACAATCTGAGACCTTGGGCAGGATCGCTTTCTGCGTTCTGTATCACAACAACATCTGGAACGGGCAAAACTTCCCTTTCCTCTCTCAACAACTGTTCAATCTTAACGGCACGCGCTTCAACCAGCGCCTCATCCTCGATGAGAACTTCATGCTCGACCACGCCAAGCTGGAGGAGGTCGGTCTTCCATGGTTCGCTAGCTCGCAAGTCATCTCGAAGGTCGGCTGGAATCTCGCCATTGGCGCAACCGTCACGCATGTACTGCTCTGGTACGGCAAGCTTATCATTGAAGTTATCCACAAATACCGGGTTTGTCCTCCACAGATTCAAGCTTCGTTGACCCATGGATTTACTTCTCATGTCCCTAGGCTGGCGAGAACTACGACCCGCATCTTGCCAAGATGAAGGTTCGTAGATACCCAACGAGGATATACGTAATTTACCGAGCTTCTCTCCTCAGGTGTATCGTGAAGTCCCTATGTGGTGGTATATTGCCATGTTCTTCGCTAGTTTCGCGATGGCTATCTCCACCATGTATGCCGGCAAATCCGGTCTTCCATGGTTAGTCCTATGAACCTTCCACCCATGTCTGCCTAACGTCTAATCTTGTCGTCAGGTGGGGATTGATTGTAGGCATCATCATCTCAGCCATCTTCTTGCCTTTCGTTATCACAGTGTACGCCATCACTGGTCAGCCCTCTTTTTTTCCCATAACACGAGCGCCTCCTCAACGACTTTTCGTCGACCTAGGTTTCTCTCCAAACATCCAGCATCTCGTTCAAGTACGACATATCACCAATCATCTTTCCTTAGTTGATCTAACATGCTAACATAGATGGTCGGAGCCGCGATGATCCCTGGAAACCCTCAAGCCAACATGTACTTCACCCTCTACGGATACAATACGCTTGACCAAGCTCGCGGTCTCATCCGCGACCTAAAGATGGTATGTATACGACATTATCTTACGTTCTTGGTTGTCTGATTGTTCTGTGATACTAGGGTCAATATACGAAACTTCCACCTCGCGTCACTTTCACGGTGCAATCCTTGGGATCTATTATCGTATGACCATACGTTCATCCCATATCTCGTTCCTTGTTCTGACGATCATTAGGGTGGATTGCTGAACTACGTCATCATGAAGACTATTATCAAGAGTCGGCGTGAAATCCTTCTCCAGGTCCAGGGAACCAACGTCGTACGTCGGAGCCTTGTTCACCACGCAACGATTCCTTCATTGACCCTTACCCATACAGTGGTCCGGTCAACAAGTCCAGGTAAGCTTACTCCTATGTCCAATTTTATCATAGGTGCTAACGCCGTCAACAGTCGTTTAACAGTAACGCAATCTCCTGGGGTGCGCTAGGAAGCCTTCTATATGCCCCAGGAGGACGATACGCTGTAAGTCAGTCTTTCCTTCCACGACTTTCTTTCGCTTAGCATCTTGCAGATTGTTCCTTTCTCCATTCTCATCGGTCTCGCTGTCCCCGTGCCGTTCTGGCTGCTGCACAAGCGCTTCCCTAAACTTGGTGCTGACAAAGTCGTGACTCCCATCCTCTGCTGGACCCTCGGCTACCTCAGCGTCGGTATCAACAGCTCCGTCTTCACGACCTTCATGCTTGCGGTATTCTCGCAGTATTACCTTCGCAGGTACCGTCCCGTCTGGTTCCGGAAATACAACTTCCTGCTGTCTGCCGCTCTCGATGGCGGAACCCAGGTCATGGTGTTCGTCTTCACATTTGCCGTCGGTGGTGGTAGTGGTACAGTCATTGATATGCCAAATTGGGCTCTAGTGCGTTGTCCATCTTCCAAAATGTTTTCTTGCGATCTAACTTGTTTTCCAGAACCCGGTGGGGAATCCAGACTATTGCATGAGACTCACTTAACGTGTAGCCATTTCTGCTTTTGATGATCTCCCTTATGTAGATTGGTTTGATTCTCGTTGCGATTGTTGTACGTTTGTTGTGCGATTGTTGTGCGAATGCCAGAAATGAATAGAATTCCCAAATCTATCTAAGCCGGCTAGGATGCCCGAGCCCGAGATTTTCGAAACGTCTAGCGTTGTCGAGAGGGGATATCATGGATATGTTTGCTGAGCAATCGATCAGTCAGCTTCCACGATACTGACACGCATTCGATGGTGTCCGTGTGACGCCAACTCTGTGCCAGCTTTCACGACCTTATAACCACTTCGCGGCTATTGCTGATGATTGCGTCATGCAAGAACTTCAAATCAAGCTGATGATACCTCCCAGCTGAACTATATAAAAGGCGGGGCCGTTTCCCCATCTCAAATCATCAAATTTGCATCAAACACCTGCGTTTCTTCCTCAATTGCACTGCCATGTCGACCTCTGCCCTCTTCCAGCCTATTCAAGTCGGATTATCAACTCTTCAACATCGCGTCGTGCTCGCCCCACTGACGCGATATAAAGCGACCCCTAAAGAGCACGTTCCTATAGTGCCTCTCGTGAAGAAATACTACAGTCAACGCGGAAGCCGCCCTGGTACTCTCCTTGTCACAGAGGCGACGTTCATCGCTCCCCGCGCCGGGGGATACGACAACGTCCCAGGTATCTGGAGCGGTGATCAGATCGCGGCATGGAAAGAGGTGCGCACACTCTTCGTGATCATAGCGTCGCAGGTTATATATTTCGCTCCATCAATAGGTCACGGACGGAGTACACGAGCAAGGCTCGTTTATCTACCTTCAGTTGTGGGCACTGGGAAGAGCCGCGTATCCGAGCGTCCTCCGGGAGGACGGGTTCGACTTCGTCGCTCCATCTCCTATCGGGCTCACCGACGACGTGACCCCCCGTGCTTTAACCACCCCTGAAGTCAAGGAATACGTCCAGCTCTACGCGCAGGCTGCCAAGAACGCGATACAGGCTGGCTTCGATGGGGTGGAAGTCCACGGTGCCAACGGTTATCTCATCGACCAATTCCTACAAGACGTCAGCAACCAACGCACTGACGAGTACGGAGGGAGCATCGAGAACAGGAGTCGCTTCGCTCTTGAGGTTGTTGCTGCTGTTGTGAACGCGATAGGAGAGGACCGCACGGGCATCCGTCTGAGCCCTTGGAACAATTTTCAGAGTGAGTGGCTTGTTTCGAGAGAGGAAGATACGACACTGATGCTCACGTCCCGGGTATCAGAAATGAAAATGGCGGTCCCTATCCCCCAGTATACGCACTTTGTCACTACGCTGAAATCTGCCCACCCCAATCTGTCCTACCTGCATCTGGTGGAGGCAGATGCTGACGCCCCAGTCAATGAGTCGAACGACTTCATCCGAAGAATATGGGCACCCAAGCCGCTCATCACAGCGTCTAATTACAGGAGAGAGTCAGCCCTGGCAAGGGCGGCGGAAAACGCGAATGAGTTGATTGCATTCGGGAGATGGTACATCTCGAACGTAAGCACAGGCGCATTTTCTCTGTCAACCTAACTCCGACCTGCCTTTAGCCAGATCTCCCAACGCGAATCCTGGAAAACATACCTTTCACGCCGTATAACACGAAGACTTTCTATGTTCGTGGGCATTTACCAAATGCCGATGTTGGATATACGGATTATCCGTTCGCAGAATCTGTTGGGACCGCCGCCCAAGTACGACTTTGAAACTATTCTCTGTAGGTTATGGCCCTTCATTGAGGCTGAGCCCCGGACATTTGTTTATGTAGAGATGCGTTTGGATACCTTGAACTAGAGTTGATCTAGAGTCAAATAATAAAGTTGTTGGTTGCAAGAGGGGTCTGTCTCTCAGGCTGCATCCGCTCCATATTTCAGCGTACAACAGCAAGGTATCATTGGTGTAAGATCTAAGAAACGTACACGGATATATATATAGCAGGTATAAGTCAGAAAGCGATACATCAGAGGAATCTGGAGAAAGTCCATCTGCAGCAAGTAGCAGTGCTAGGCCCCCTGTACTAGTGAAGTACCATCTCACATCATCGACTTCCATAGGATGAAGTATGGGCGGTGGGTGAAAGCACATCATTGTGAGGCATGCGAGATTTATAACGCTACGCTCAGAGTCGTTTGTGGTGAAGTGCATCGTTGGCGGCGTGTGTTCTGATATGCAGGGCATTCTTCGGTCACTCGTCAGTACATGAACAAAATCACGGAACCGACAAACGTACCTCCATACTGTACTTGCCCTTCTTCCCACTCGGACCAACCTCGAGGTGTTTTCCGGAGAGTACGAGCTCGAATTCCTCCCGAGCACCATCGGTGTTCCCTTGGCATGCAAGAAGGCGGCCAAGTTCGTAGTCTGCGAGGTATTAATAAACGAATAGATTCGCAGACGATGAGGAAAGAGACGAACGGGCATGGTACACGAGGTGATGGTCGAGTTCGATCTTCGGTCCGTGCTCGAAAACAGCTCGGAAGCACGTCTCGGCAGCCTCTTCTGCGTCCTCCTTCGGAATGCTGACGATTTCCGTGGGGTCCAGCTCAGCGTCAGGATCCTGCGAGTAGATGAGCACTATATAGAAGAGTAAGGGAAAATGGAATGCACAGGATATGCAACATATCGCATGCACACGCCCTTGAGGAACATAGCCAAACAGTAGTCGTCCCAGTATCCACCCTTTCCGTTGGCGTAGGCAGCCTCTCTCTCCTTGTCGCTCTTGCTCTTGTGTTTGTCGAGTTCCGCCAAGAGGCCGTCGACTTCGGGCAGCATTTTTGTGACAATTACGGTCCGCGGCGCATGTGCGATGGCGAGGAAGAGGTATGCAATTTCCAGTGCAGGAAGGGCGAGACGGTGTCCTTGACTGATGAACTTGCGAGCTTTACGAGCTACGAGTTTCTGAGAAGCAATAAGGAAGATATCTTTGACAGGAAAATATGAGAGGCGTACCTCGAGCGGTATGCTCTTCCCGGCGATCTTCTGCCTAACGTGAGGCACCTTTTCCATCAACTTCGTTGCTTCCGCTGTCCGTTTCTTATCGTCGCCGCAGATTTCGAGGATGCAAACTGCCATTCCATACGAGTAGATCGATTTCGACCACTGATCCGGACCAGGTGAGAAATCGAAACGAAACTCGCGAACATAGCAGACGACTGACCGTGGCCTCCGCTTCCAGATCTCTCCAGCAAGCCAAACTCGCCTCCAGGTCCCACAGCGCAAGGTTCGAGATAGCGATTTCCCAGAAGCTGATGTGGTGCAAATTCCGGTATTGCGATTGTGATTCCATAGCTTTGGTGTAGTACTCGATCGCTTGCCGAGGTTGTGAGCGACATAGGCTCAGGCGGCCGGCACCGAAGAGGAAGAAGACGCCTACATAACGTATGCTTAGCAGGCTACGACCGTCTGGAATTGGAATTGTTGAGACGCACCATTAGGATACCGCTTGAGATTCCACTTCAATATTTTGCTTGCCACGTTGATGTCCACGCCGTCAAAGGTGAAGCTCGACAGAACCAAGTGGAAGATGAGCAGCGCCATGTCGCAGATCGTTCTCCTCACTCCCTCGTCCGCTGAGAACAGCGATTTAACATGACAAGTTGAGGACGTCGTTGTCAAGAATATCTTTACTCACCTGCACTAATTGTTGGCTCCTCGTCACCTTCGACCCAACCACCCGCCTTGAGCAGAAGCTCCAACCCTGCCTTGCGATCGCCCTTGTATCCAAAAAGTTCGACCAGTGTGGCGAGTTTGCCGGGAATCAAGCTCAAAATAATGTTGCTCATCCCAACACCAAGGTACACGCCAGACCGGAAATGAGGATCGATACTTCTGTCAACACCGCCGGGTGCCGCTTCGTCCATCGCATCGAGATAGTGCCCAAGTTGCCGGTAGATCGTGATCGTTGTCCTCATATTCAGGCTACGTAGGGCGTTAGACAGATCACCAAGCAATAGAGAATGCAGACGTACGCCTCCTTGATGAACGCCAACCAATCACCCGAGTACACGATCCCCAACAGCGCCTTCTCGAACAAGCTTTCCGCGTATACCAGCTCAGCGTGGCGCTCGACGTCTGTCATTCCCTTGATGAAGCCAATGCCAGACGAGTGCAGCGTGGACACGACGTAACCGGCGATCCTAGAACCAAGAAAGGCCTGCTTCTTGCGATGCTGACTGGCGATGTGATTCCCTTGCTTCGTATGCCCAATTGCCGAAAGTAGATCCTGGAGAAGGACTTAGCTAACGAAAGAAGAATGAACCACCGCCACTCACATCGTCCTCGTAGCTCATGAGGCCCTTGACGCACTGAATAAGCCCATAACCCGTCGCAAAATACAGCCGCTCTTTGGTCTCGTCGCTTTTGTGGCAATACTCCTCGCTCTCAAACATTTGGCTCTTCAAGAACAGTTCGAGCGCGTAGCTGACGCCGGGGAGGTCGAGGAGTGCTTCTGAGGGGGTATAAGGATACTTGACGGCAGGGGGACCTGTGAATGTGGACTGATGAGATGGGGCGAGCTCTTCGTACTCCTTCTCTTGCATGTCGTTGTAGTTGGAGGTCGCTGGTGTGAGAAGAGATGCGTCCGTCACCGCGCTCGGCAGAAGAGAATCCGCACGGCTTGTGGTGCTGCTATCAGACATCGACGACGGAGGCGGCGAGGGCTCTGATACCTCCTTCGGCGTTGAGGTCGTGAGGTGGAAGAGGGAGCTTAGCACCATTTTGTTGGAGGTGGAGAGATTCGTGGGGAGGTCGTTGACGTCGAAGTAAGAGAAGGTGTTTATAGTTAGATTTCATGGCTTACCCCAGATTGAATTGTTACCACCCCCACAGCAATCATATGATTGGACACGAGCCAGATCAGCAAGCGGTGCAAACCCAACAGCGAATCACTCACTTTGGGTTTTGCGAGGATTTAAATTTAAATTATAGGCACGAAAGGTTCAGGTGACCGCCGACTAATGGGCAGTTGACTTGTAGACGAATGATGAGTACGAAGACGGGGATCCGCCAGTAAGTAGGTGACACACATGTGAATGAATGAAAAAAATCCAACTTTTATATCGATTTTATCTCGAATCTTACGGGCGAGACGGCGCCTGCAACAAGAGGGGAAGCTGGAAGGCGGTGCGACCGCAACGCCCTTGGCGCAGTACCGCGTGCGCGTGGCCCTTTTATGGTTGCGTCGGGAATCGGGGTCATTGAGACGCGCTTGGCGCGCTTGATGCATCGGGAACAGCGCACGCGCGCTCAACGCTTCGTGAACAAACCTGATCAAACGAGTTTCAAAATTGATGGCATGGCACTTTCATTGACGTCCGTCCATTCAAGTATCGCGAACCGGGCTTAGGCAGGTGCAGCTCTATGCCATCGTTGGCGGGACCATGACGCCTGCACAGTGCAGTAGACTCGGTCATGAAGAGTTCTTTACTCGACCGCACCCTAAGTTAAGGGCTGCTAAAGGTGCAGTTGCATATCTTTCTGTATTGACAGTGAGTATCATCTAGTTGTTGAACATTCACCAAATGTTCACGTAGCGGGATAGAGCCCACTATGCAAACTAGGCAATATGATCGCAGTTATATAGTCTTATAATGAGAAACTAGAGACCTGACAGATGCAGGACAGAGGTCTAATTCAACGAGAAATATGGCGTCTCATTCTCATGATCTACCAAGGTCCAACTCGGACAGCATTCTGACAACGAACATTCTCCTTAGACTTGAAGTATGTTCTATAAAAATCCCCAATACAATTTTATAAGACCCCGATGCATTTTCATGCACGAGCATTACTCTGAGGTTAATCAGAGTTTTTGGCACCTTCGAGGCATCAGAATAGGCGCCCATCCCTCGACAAACATGCCCAAAATTAGGCCTTGCTATTCCTTCGCGACGGCGAGCACAATATATGGCCCTAGTCTTCTCAATTGACACAAGTTATCCTTAATTCGGTCTCGCTGTTAACCTGCTTATGTGGTTTCTACCCTGGGCCACTGAAGAGGTAGTGCGTTCATGTAGTGGTTTGCCGGCCCGGCTTTGGGAGGCTCAGGCTCACGATTTTTGAAGCCTGAGCCGTTTCCCACGGCCTCCCACGGCTTAGGCTCGGCTCCGGCCTGGGCCGCGGCTTCTCAATATATTTGCAGAAATGTGGGCACGGCCAATATTAGTGTGGTAGATGCACACTAATAGATTTAAATACTTGATATACTTGCTGCCATAGAGTTGATGCGCCAGTAACGAGCAGAAATCCGGGTGAACATCACTTTCTAGACATGATGATGTAATATTTCGGAGACTTTAAATGGTGATCGGCGTGTTCGAGGATGCTAATCATTAGCTAATCATCGGAGAGCGGGTCAAAATAGTTCAGTAAAGGGTTCGGTCACGGAAGAGGGAGTAAAAGTGCGGCCCCTTGAAACTATCCACACGGAAAATTAGTGGCGGCCTGTCACCGACGGCCTCAGGCTTTAGATTTTCGAAGCCTGGGCCGTGGGCCGCCCAAAGCCGTACCCGCGGCTCAGGCTCGGCCCGGCTTTTGAAGGCCGGCTTCGGCCGGCTTACGGCCTCTGAGCCGAGCCGGCAAATCACTACGTTCATGTAATCTAGCAGCCTTTTTCGACCTGTTTTGATTTAGGAGATTTACCAAATAGTACAATAACCTACGCCGGAGGTAGGGGCCTAGAAACTTCCTCCAGGATTGATACCATCCAGCACAGAGCGCTTCACAACCTTTGAAAAGGCAGGAATGTCGCAGAAGCTATGGGCTATGGGCAAATAGGGGCTAGTGTATGTTGGAATCGGGCAATCCGGCATTGTCCCGGATCTTTGAGTAGGCGCCCGTACATGCTGGAATGCAGATTAGTCATCATAGCACAGCTTCGTATAGGTATAGTATTTAGTAGATAGTTGTAGAACCTACTAGATACAAAGTGTGTACAGTATATAAGGACCTCTGTAGGAGGCCTAAATATTAAGTTCTCTCTTCCACTGCGCCAACAGGTTATGGGCCCCGAGCCTCAGTAAAGCGAGTCTCACCACCGTTTACTGCTTTGATCTTATCTCGCTCTCGTCCTTCTCTTACGTGTTATCTTATCACATGCCGGGCCGAATCACTACACATGGATTAGCCCCCGAAACGACGATCACACGCAATCGCCTTCGAGCACGACAGACGAGACACCACCGCATTTGTTACCATTGCAGGCAGCACGGGCAGGCAGCACGGGCATTTAGTCAAGGATTGCAAAAATCCTCCCAAACCTCAAGAACTTCCGTCGGACAAAGAGATCACGTCCGTTCGAGAACAATCAACTTTCGCTTACGAGCGCGGCAATAGTGCCGAGGTCCGGATTAGAAAGGGAATCGGACATTTTGGGTTAGTCCGAGCAAGTTTGCTCATGCATCGCGGAAAAGCTGCGCGCCCCGCGGCATACGGGACTAGGAAATGGGACGCAGCCACGCTAGAGCTGCCACTTTCCCATAGGAATAATTTAGGTTCCTGAGCTAGGTGCTCTGTGGAGAGATCAGGATGATCCTGCCACATACGGAACAAAGACAAGCTTCGAGCTTGATGGAATAGGTTGCCGAGGCAAGAATGCCAACGGCATCAATGCGCTTCGTGCGCAACGCAACGCTTAGTGCGTGCAAGACCGGCTTAGTGCCAGAATAGGCTTTGTGCCGCCAGAGGCTTCGTGCCACCATTGGATGCAGGTAGAGGATCTCCCTGCTAAATATTGGATTTGGAAGAAGGTGGAGGATCTCCCTTCTTGCCAAGAAATTAGGACATCGGACTTGGAGGTAGAGGAACTCCCTCCACATCCACGAATTGGATTTATTAGGCTCAGCTCGAGGTAGAGGAACTCCCTCGGAGCGGTGAGCAGAATTTTCGACGACAAAGGTTTCGGAGCTGCAAGCTCGCCTTCCTCATTTGGTCAATGGATCACATTCGGATCGTTAATTTTGCCTCAGCCGGAATGCCGGATTGAGGGGGAGTGTTGGAATCGGGCAATCCGGCATTGTCCCGGATCTTTGAGTAGGCGCCCGTACATGCTGGAATGCAGATTAGTCATCATAGCACAGCTTCGTATAGGTATAGTATTTAGTAGATAGTTGTAGAACCTACTAGATACAAAGTGTGTACAGTATATAAGGACCTCTGTAGGAGGCCTAAATATTAAGTTCTCTCTTCCACTGCGCCAACAGTGTAAAATAGAAACCGTTGCCAAACAAGAAGCGACAAGGACCACACACTAGCAGTGCATTGAAGACTTTTGAAATCTTTTGCGGACGTCCTGTTGACCTTACCTACTTATGCCCGCATTTAAACTGCCAGAACAAGCAAATGTCGTTTTCCTGTTCACCGAAGAACGTTGGGTATGCAGAAGTTCCTCAGAGCTGCGTAGAAGAGGTACGCAAAACTCCCACCACTACGACTCCAATTATACAACGTCTGCAGACGAATTATTGAAACACGTCCCTAGGTGAAAGAGGCCATGGCTAGTATCCCAGGCGATCTGGTTTATTTATCCGGCCATAATGAACCTCCGACGGAGCAAGAATGCACCAGGCTGCTGACCTTTCGCGATGCAACTAAGAGCAAATTACAGGCTCTCCGAGATAGCATAGATGGTTTCAACAAAGAGACGGAGGAGATCCACGGGCGACATTCCACCGAGATTGACGTACTCAGGTTACAAATCGAGGAATTGGAGTGCAGACTATAGACTCGAGGAGTATGTCGACCCACGTCTTGCTGAGCTGCAGGAGAGACGCACGGCCTTGGAAGCAGAAATCAAACCACTTCTCAAGGAATTGCAAGTGTGGGATGCGGCATTGTCCCCTTTTCGACGACTACCTCTCGACCTTCTGCAAGAAATCGCGCTTTGGAGCCTCCCAGAGACACCTAACCATCGGAGGACGGATGTCCCAGTTTCGTTGAGCCAGGTTTCCTCGGGGTGGAGGAGGGCGGTTCTCAGCCTGCCCACCATGTGGGCGCACCTGGAATACGACACGTGCAGCGACGACTACGAGCCGGGCGGGTTGTTACGGTTGTTGGAATAGTTCTTCTCGAAAGCGCGAGACCAACCCCTCTCCCTCTCCTTGAGCCTATCCTGCGGGTGGTCAGTGGCGACCAAGGTGGATTATTACCGCAAGCTTTCCCGTTCTCGACAAGCCCTGGCTGAGGTCATGCATGAATGCCCTCTCATCGTCTCCCTCAGACACCTCTCCATCTCCAGCGCGTTCCCAATGTCCCTCCTTGTACAGGGGCCCATCCATCTTCCCCAACTCGAATCGCTTATTTTGACCAACGAAGGGAGGCGACCCCGGCCAGCTTCTGACCAAGGCCTCTGGATTCACCACATCCTCAAGAACGGCCACAAACTTCGCAAGCTTATTGTCGACCACAGCATATTGGGGTCGAACGCAGCTCATCTCCTTGCCCCGTGGACGAACGCACTTACCCATTTCTCCTTTGCGCAAGTGATGCAGCCATCGGAATGGCTAGATTTTCTCAACACGGCGACGAATTTACGGAGCGGATACTTTCATGTTTCCGGGTCGCATCCCCTACCTGACGTTACGCCCACCCACACCCGACTCGAAGAGCTGACTCTCGTCTTTCGTCAAATCAACCCCGAATCCTTCAAGCTTCTTAAAGCCTTCCGCTTCCCGAGGGTCTGGCATCTTACCATCAAGTTTCCCGAGGACCTGGGACACCGCCAGCGCAGAGGCCCCGCTTGGCCCGGGCGGTATCACTTAGATGCAAACTTCGCCAACCTTCACGTTCTAACATTCGACAAGTACTGGAACTCCCAAATCCCCTTTACCGAGTTTTGCCAACACAACTCGTGGCTCCGTGAATTGAGGATCGCGATGCCAGTGTCTCAATGTGGTGTCCTTTTCACGATGCTGTCGCTGCTGCCAGACGACGACGCGTCTCAAACGCATGGGCACCTCTTTCCTCGACTTACGAACCTCACTATCCTCGCCTCGACCTGGGGACCTGGGACCGGGGTCGTCCAACTGGAGCACCTCGCCGCGATGGACACGATGTTGGAGTCTAGGATCAATCCCCCTTCTAAGGACGGCCAGCGCTCTACCGTTTGCAAGCTTCAGAATTTTCGCCTGATCTGCGTGCTCGGGGTTCAAGAGGACATTCGCAATGAACTTCGCTATGAACTTGAAAAGATCCAGGATAAATTCCAGACACTTGAGTTGTCGATATCCTTCGATTTCGAGTACCCAAGCCACAATGTCCTTTGTCCTTTACCACTAGGCCATTCTGAGGAATCTATGTTAGACTTCCTGGGAATAGGGTACTTCGAGGATCGGCTTGAATAGTTTCGATACTTTTGGTTAAAATCGTCGGCGTGTCGGGGAGCAAGTGGTGTATGCCAAATCGTAATTAAATTTTACGCCTACACCGTATAGCCTCGAGTGTTATTCTTACTAGATACTTGTTTGTATTGTCCTTGATGGATCATTGTATGATCATTATGTCGTGTGTGGCCAGTTTGTGGCCACTGGACTTCGAGAAAGTTTGAAGTCAATATTTGGTGCTGTTGATTTTCGTGATTCAGGTTCTTGCTCTTTCCCTTCTTCCTCCATCATCTTTACCCGTTTTCTCCTTCGTTCCCTCTTCATTCACTGTCGGATGTCCACAAAATTCAAGCCGAAGACACTCGCTGACGAGTCGGACGACGAAGACGCTTTGTCCATGCTCGACTCCCTCAATTCTACACAAGAGCAACCAGAGTGGATTCGGGACAAGAACGGTGACCTGGACTGGGCCTACACTGCTCGGTGTGCGCGAACATGGAGCCACGACGCACTCCTCACCCATCTCTGCCAACAGTCTTTCTCAATCCCACCGCGGGACTACAACCCGTCGGCGCCATTCGTCTACGCCCGCATGCTAGACGGCGAAGTCGTGACGCTGCCACACGGCTACCGCCTTCCGCTCATGTTTGTAGGGAAGTATATCTGGGAGACGATGTTCAGCAAGCTCAAGGATGAGACGACGTGGAAGAAGGAGCGGGCGAACTTGTTCCATTTATCGCGACTCTGCCAGAATTTATTCCGTCGCGCCCGAGCGAAAGCTCTCAAGGGTGGCATGGAGAAGGGCTGGAGAAGTCTCATGTTCGACCGTCTTCTCGCCCGCTTCTATAAGCATTGGACGACAAATGACCCCAAGAGTGGCCCGAAGTTCATAACTACGCATAGCATCAAGGAGTATGACCGGGATGTTCTCAAACACGGTGCGTGGTGCCCTCCCCCTCTTCCTTTCCGAGCTCATGTTTTGGTTAGATTGGAGAAGGTGGTGTCTACGGGGCCTTGGCTCCGTGCGGATGACAGAGGACGAGGTGAATAATGGGATTACTCACGAGGAGTTTCGCAAAACACTTGGAAAGAACGAACACGGTGACTGGATGCTTAACGGAAAGCACCTCACCTTCGTCACCACAGAAGAGGGTGAGGCGTGGATCTCGACTTCAGAGCTCACGGAGGAAGAGGACGAGGACGAAGGAGAGAAGGGGGAGGACCAAGGTAACGAGGAAGAAAGTGAAGAAGATGAGGAAGAGGTGATGGAAGTCATTCACGTTGGGAAGCGAAGGAGGGACGAGGAACAGCCTGATCGCTCACCCAAGCGTTCCAAGCTAGCCGGATTGCACCAGCCAAAAATGATAAATACCCTCGCTGCCATCAAGCAAAGGCTTGAAATGCCTCGTTCCTCGCCTCCCCGACAAGAAGGCACCTCTGCGTCGGCCCCTGTGGCTTCAACTTCCCAACAGCCCCTGGTATGTTCTCGTCATTTGGTAGCCCTTCGATGTTTCTCACCGATTGGAATAGATCCAGCCCAAAATTGAATATGCCCCAATTTCCATCTCGTCAATAGACGACGTTCCCCGAACATCTCCTGCTACCACCCCTACTGTCGCGATCGCCACTCCATCGACTACCGTGAAGGCGAAACGCCCTCCAAGAGAGCCAACACGAACTAGTGCGCGCAATGTGGCCCGACCTTTCTTGGGGCTACCCAACCCGCTCGCTCGAACCGCCAGGTCGAAACAACCAGTCAAAATCGGCCCTCCACCAAAGAAAGCCGCTCCTGCACAAAAAACCATCGAGCAGACTTCCAGCTCATCGTCATCGTCATCCGAGGAAGAAGAAGATAAGTCAGACGATGATAAACCTTCCGGGGAAGTCACCTCCAAGGCGTTAGAGTTGTTGGTCAAGCTCCTCAATGCCAAGAAGGCTCTCGAGAACGACGCACAGCCGTCTTCGGCCGCTGGCCCATCCACCCGGGGGTCTGGAAAAATCCTGGTCCCGGCTTCGTCATCTCTTGCTTCGGGGTCCGACCAACGTGTGGTTGAGTCCCAACTTCTGAAGTTCGAAGGGCGGTTCCTGTCGATGAAGGAGGAGCTTTTGGGAATTGTGGGTCGGTTACAAGCCCTGGAGAACGATGACCTCCGGTATCGGCAATTGGACAGAAACGGCAACGACAGGGTGCTTGTCGACACTGGGGTCGATTGTACACCGGCGAGAGTCACTCAGGAAATTCAAACCGACGCCGAGGATGTGGAGATGGGTGACGAGTGGCTGGGCGGGAAAGTAACTTTCTACCCAGTAAGGCTCTTTCGAGAAACGGGTATGCAAACCGTCGTGGAGGAAAAGAGGCCCTCTCCAGCACCACGGCTGACACTCGGGAATCCACAAGTCAGCACCGGGCTCTCTGCGACACCCTTTGTTCAAGCTTTGGACCAGGCCCTTGATCACGACTCCCCTTGCGTCGGATCCACCAGCGCCCAGACTGATTCGACATTGGCGCCTTCGGCATCCTACGATCCTCGAACAGATCTGATGCGCTCGAATCTCTTGGATGTCGTCGAGAACCTTGTATCCGCAAAGATGTTGGCCTTGACGCAAGGCATGGTGAAGGCGAAGCAGAACGGGGGCTCGATTTCTGGGACGGAGACTCCCAACGCCCTTGCATCTCCGACACTGGGTGGCCACGCGTCGCAGCCATTCGTCATCAACACCCTCATGGACGAGATCAAATCGATGAGGGAAGAAACACGAGTTCGCGAGCAGCGAGACAAAGAGGAGATGGAAGCTATGCGCCAACTTCACTCCGCCGAAGTCGACGCGCTGAGGAGACGCCTGTCCTACCTCGAATCCCAGCATCGACACGGCGAGAGCAGTTCAAGCAGCGCGACTCGCTATCGCTCGTCCTCTGCACACTCACTGCACTTCGACAGCGGCAGCAGCCACCTTTCTGCCCCTGTTCTGGGCGAGCCAGTCGAGAACGGTCGCCTCAGTCGACAGCGTTACCATCAGCCGAATGGAAGATTCTCACCGAGCTACAGTGGACCGGGCGACAGCGCGGACACGTCCTCCTCGCATGCTTTCAGCCCTCTGCTGCGCACGACGAATCCGGGGGATGCTCCTGAGTCAGGGGGCGCGATGCCGACGCCGACGCCGTCCGAACGGAGTTATTCGTTCACCCGACCTGGGCTTGATATAGACGAGGATATGCCACTTCCCATCAAATCGCAAAGGAAGCAACACATAATGGCACTCGCTCGTGCGCACCTTGGGTAGATTAGAGATTGCTGCCACACATCTTCTATTTGCAACTACGACTGGATCCTTGCGTTGACCCGAAACTTCGTCTCATGTTTTTTTTATGCAGCATCCATCTCACATCACCCACTCGCCACTCGCTCACATCTCGACCGAATGTAATATAGTCAGTAGCATCACCCGATAAAAATAATAACCTTCAGTGTTACGGGACGATAATAGTTTTCGATGTTCTTGAGTGAACGCTTCCCGAAGGCCCTGATTCAGCGAGCAGCCTTTAGCATTTTAGAACTGCATAACTTTTCTTCAATGCTAGATGGAGTCATCGGCTTCTGTAATCCATGGCGAGACCTATGAGGCCCTACGCGTGAATAATCTGAATGCGAGGTCGCTTGATGCTCTTCATCATAAAGAAATTCATGCATCATATACTTATTTCGGAGTCTTTCCAATCCATGCCACACCCAACGATGTTCTTGGTATCCGTGCTTTCAATCCCACGAGTATAATATAGAAACTGAATTGACGCGACACGCTCAGGATGGGCGCTTAAAATTCTAAAACAAAAGATAAATATTCAGCAGCAAAATATCGCATAGAACGATGATCGATGACCCCCCAGCTCTTGTGAGACCGTAGATTGCGCAATCTCCCTATCGCTTGGATTCATTTCTGCAATTCTTCGGGGGATAAAATCCATGTAAGGCGGCCTGTCACCCGCGGTAGTATGGCTCTGGAAGCATGTTCAAATTTCCAAGAGTGATTTTCCGAAGTTATATCTTTTGAGTCTTATGGCTTGACTCCTGATAAGGTTGACTTTAGGACTTTCGCCAAGACAATGATCGATCAGGACATTCCGTGTCCAGGCTGTCCAGCCTCGTCTGTCGCAGGAAGAGCGAGGTGCGAGCTTGATAGGTTGGGCTGGGCCTGAGCGTCAGCTCAGATCGGAACACGGAGCAAATTGGGCCGCTGGGTGGGCGGGACCAATTTGCTCAATGGCACTTTAGCTCGTTCCCCATTCTTCTTGTGACGGACAACTCTAGTGATGTTATGGTGATTATATTCGACCACATTATGTGCGTATGTATGACGGTAGAGCAGTGTGGTGCTAATAACGATTATGAATAATGGATGATAGAGTAAATCTAGGGAAGGGAGGGCGGGTGAAAAACGAGTGTTTGCGAGAAGTCGGCGGCTCTCGAGATGAGCGCGCCGCGACTTCGAGCAATGGAAAGTGGTGGAAGCAAGAACGTAACGTGGGAAAGATCGCCCCTCTAGCTTTCGCTCGGCTGGACGCAGGTGCCAACTTCCACTTTGGTTCATCGGCACCGGGGCTAACGCACGGGTTGGCCGGAAGGGCAGGGCGATTCGATGAAACGGACACTCCTTCCTTCTTTGCACAAAAGGTTGTGCCCACACGGCCATGACTGCCCTCCTCCACAATACATTCACGCTCTAGCCTTATCCCCTTTCCGTCATGAAACTGTAACAACATCCGGGCATATCAGGAAGTCATCCGTGTTTATAGGCACGCAAGGTGGCAAATCTTCGCTCTTTTCCTTCCACCTGCAGTTCCTCTCCTTCCTGCCATTCCACATTTTCTTTGAAATCCCGCATGTTACTATAACCTTCACCTTATCAGAGCATCACCGCTGGGTCGTTCATTATGAAGGCGTTGTCGGTTTCACCTCTACGAGTTTTCCTGTTCGTCGCTGGCGCTATTGTGAGTATTGAAGTCTGTACTCTCGAAGAGACCATTGATGCTCATTCTTCGATGGAAAATAGATCGGTATCCACCTAATAGCCAGCTATAGCCACGAAGGATACGGCCGGATTACCTCCATCTCCCCCAACAAGTTCAGGTCCTCTCGTCCACTACCACCAGTCCCCGTCCAGCGGTTGCCTAACGAACAAATCTACTCCGACAAGCGAGAAAACGCGACGTTTGTTATCCTATGCCGAAACAACCAACTCTGGGACGCCCTTCGCTCGGTAAAGGAGATCGAAGACCGGTTCAACCACCGATATCACTATCCGTATGTCTTCTTGAACGAGGTGCCATTCACGGAGGAGTTCAAATAGTGAGTAACTAATTACCCCGCTTCTACATAGCCCGTGACATTCTGCCCAGTGCTCTAAAGCATATCGCCTCCTCGGAAGTTGAATTCGGCCTGATACCCCATGATCATTGGTTCCAACCAGCTTGGATTGACGAGGACAGAGCGTCGAAGGCGAGACAGAAGATGCAGGACGATAATATCATCTATGGAGGTACGAGAACCATTACACGCCGCTTCTCCCCGTTGTCCTTTTCTCTGCCGACGCGGTCAATTCGGCCATAATGCTAATTCGAACTTACAGGGAGCGTGTCATATCGCAATATGTGCCGTTTCAATTCCGGGGTGTGCCTTCCTCTCATGACCCACCACTCTCGGCCATAACGAGTGCTAACGGTTACCTAGTTCTTCTTCCGACATCCTTTGATGCAGAAATACAAGTGGTATTGGCGTATCGAGTGAGCCGAACGTTCGACTCCCTTCCCCTCTCTCATGGGATTAACGTGCTGCTAGGCCTGATGTTCACTTCCATTGCGACATTCTATTCGACCCATTCCGCTACATGCAAGAGAACAACAAGACATATGGTTGGCTCGTACTACAACGCTATTGTCAAATAGCTCACCAATTCGTCTTCCAGCCTTCACGATCTCCATGTTTGAATATGGAGCTACTATCCCGACCTTGTGGGGTCATGTCAAAGGCGCGTTCCATACTTCGTGTCGCTGTTATGCAAGTTGACAACCCATCCAGACTTCATCAAGAAAAACCCTCAATACGTTGCACCGAATAATGCGATGGGTTTCATTTCCGATAACAATGGAGACTCTTATAACCTGTGTCATTGTGAGTGGCCTCTGCTTATTCATCGTACCGAGTTAAATTTTCTTTATCGCTTCAGTCTGGAGCAACTTTGAGATCGCAAACATGGATTTCTGGAGAGGGGAGGCGTACATGAAGTTCTTCGAGCACCTAGAGGCGCAAGGTGGTTTCTACTATGAGGTGCGTTGCGCTTCTCTTCGGACTTTCGACGCACTAACTCACCTCCCTCGTTCAGCGGTGGGGAGATGCCCCAGTCCATTCCATCGGAGCTGCACTATTCGCGTCGCGCGACCAGATCCAGTTCTTCGACGAAATCGGATACGAACACGCACCGTACACGCATTGCCCGAGGCAAGGGAACAACTGGGAGAGAGGGCGCTGCTCATGCAACCCCGGGCACAACGTTGGTGAGTCCTTGTTTTTTAGCGAGCAGGCGGAAGGACATAACATCGTGCTGACATTCTCGCCCAGATTCTGACGGTATCTCGTGTTTAAATAAGTATCAGGCCTTTATGCATTCCTAGAGGTTTTTTCGGGCGTCTGTGTTGTTGTATTTATTAATAGGAATTTCTTTAGTGGTCGCCGAGGCTTACGTGAGGCGTTGGGCACTGAAGGACTCAGGACTCAGGACGACTAGGCTTGGGAACGCGATCCGCTAGGTCTTGTCATGAACAAACGGCGTCAAGACATAAATAACAAAACGAAGTCTAGCTCAGTCTTCAAGGTTTCTCGGCCGTTGGGAAGTAATGGTACGGTTTGAGTGTGGTAATCGTACGACCCGACCCGGGCCCATGATCTTTCTCCACTCGGCCAGAACTCTATCACTATTGTTTTGGTCATCTGTACTAATCCGCGGAAAAACCCTGACATATCGCTCCTACTGCAGACTTTCTTTATGAAAGCGCGTTTCCTCCCGGCGCCCGATAGCGAACGATTCTTGGTTTGTCAATGCATGCCAGTGTGATTCCTCCTGCGGTCAAGTCTTCGCAGTCTTCGCTCTTCGTAAAAAGAGGATCCGCCTACTTATCTTATCGACTTTTTGGGGGACCAGATGTTTTCTTTTCACTAGGAATATCCACGACTTGCAGGTATAAATGAATGGGCTATGAACTGAAAGCCCCACTGCGAAGACCGTTGACAGCATGGTTAGAACTAGCCCGGGACACGCCCGGAAGCCTGTAAACTAGACGACAGTGAGAAGGCGGGCCGTTTGACTAGTGTGGCGTTGATGGCGAGACTGGTGTTAATTATTCTTTTTGGGGCCATCCCCGTCGTCTCCCCGCGCGTTGTTTCTCAGCTCGTACAAAAGAGGGATCGCCGCTACTTCACATCTACCAAACAAGGGTAGAAGACAGGCCGCCAGCAATCCGCGAGGGCTTCAACCGTTAACGCCGGTGCGGAGGTCGACAAATGAAATAGGGGGGTATTGGTGATTAACGGGTCCGGAAATGACTAGACTTTGAAGTCTGAGCGTCGGCGCTTCAGAGTTCTTTTGGGGTGGGCCAGGCGCTAACGCCTATCTATTTCTGTCTCTATTGCACATGTCAACGACGCACGTTCGTCCCAAAGGCTGTACAGGACCCTGGAACGTTCTCTATTCGCAGTGAACAAGCTGTAGAGCCTTGCAAGGTGAGTGGCGTCTCTCTGACTGAGCGCGCTAGTTTCGCTGACAGGATGCGGCGACGCGGCGTGAGTCATGTCTAATACATATTTAAGCCAGAGTCACCTTTGACATACTTTTACCCGGGAGTGGTGAATAGTTGCCTGCAGATTCTGTCACGCGGTCAAAACCCCCTTTGCTTCGCACCATCACCACACGATGCAAGCTGCTCCTTCGAAACCCCCACCATTGCAGTTTCTCGCGGGAGAATTCGTGATTTCGGCAGGATGCGTTCTCTTTCGAAGCAACCCAGACTCACCTTCGAACGGTCTCGAAGTGTGTATCCTCCGTCATCTAGACAAGGACCAGTACACGCTTCCCAAAGGGCGCAAAGACCGGGGAGAGACGATAGAAGCGGCAGCAGCAAGGGAGACGTACGAAGAGACGGGGTATCGGTGTAGCCTCTGGCCAAACCGCTTACCGACGCGAGCGCCCGCTCCGGGAGTGAATAACGTGCATACGGTGGAGGTCGTGGACAATCTGGTGGAGCCGATCGCGGTCACTATCCGGCAGGCGGATGGGAAGGTCATCTTCTGGTACATCGCGTTGGTGGCGGAAGGGGTAGAGAAGCAGGAGGGGACTCAGATGGAGAGCGAGAATTACAAGTCTGAATTCTTGGCCGTCAATAGGGCTATGGACATACTGACATCCCAAACCGATCGCGAAATCGTCGCGAAGGCATACGAGATTGTCGTTCAAAAAGAGAGACTATAGTACAAGGATTGGTTTGTTTTCAACCCGCGCTTGATAGTTGGTAGGATTTCCTGTAATATACGAGTAATAACTTTTAGTAGCGTTTTGTTAACGTTGGTGACTATAGGACTGACCTGAGTATTTGATTCACGTCCTCCCATGACTCCCTTTCGCGTCTGGACCTTCATCACCCCCACTTGTTTCTGGCCCCTTGTCCTCTCGCCAGCTCTTTTGCGCTCCGTATCTTCCTCTGTCACCTCCCTCAGGGGCGTAGGGCTGGTTTCGGCCTTCGACATGGCGATACTCCTCCGTCTGCACTCCCGCACGACTCCATTGACCTGAAGGCGGCTCATGGGGTTTCTGCACGCGGTCTGAGTTGGGGTCAAGGCGATGGACGGACTTGTCCTCCGCTGGTGTATCGTCGACGTCCTTTGAGTACGTGTCAGGGCTATGTTGCCCAGCGGGCGTTTGGACATTTCTCTGACCGATGAGGCGAAGGGCTAGAGTCCGGATGGGTGGATTTCGGGTAAGGAGTGCCACACCGCCGCGGAAAGTGGTGAACATGTTGTACGTCAACCTGAGAAACGGGGTGGGTTTGTAGCGGTTGCTGGATGTAGGCAACAAGGTTTGCTTCTATTGATTCGGTTGTGGTAGACCTTTTGTAAGTTCAATATGACGTCAGTGCTAATTTTATCTTATCTTATCAGCTCAAAATATGAGTTCGACTACGCAAGAAGGGAAGTGCCAAAGGCAGAGAATTCAAGTTGGTGTTGTTCAGGATAACTACATGCGTCGTTGATTCATTGTACAGTTACACCCCGTAATCACTTGATGTCTCGCAATCTTCTCCCAAATTTCCAATGGTGAGTGGCTGAAGAGATCAGATTGACTCATCCCACATGATGGTGTGTTACGAAGGTTGAGCACGAGTCGAGAGACCATCACCGAGGTCAGATTGATGTTCAACGAGGACGCTACGGGTTTCAGATCATCACGAGCCAGCTGTAGAGACTCAAACCAGCTACAACGAGTAAATCGGGTGCCTTACGAAATATAGGACGGCATTGGATAGGTTGACCAAGAAGATGACCAGGAAGTACAGCGTCCCATCACGCAGGAGAATATGTAATAACCTGCGGGAGATCTTGCCAACGGTCCACCGAGGGGCAAAAGAAGCTCACGGTATTCTGAACGACGAGCGAACATATCCCTTGGTGCGCCATAACGTCAAGAGAAAGACGGCACCGTCCAGGATGAGTGGGCCCGCCCAGAGAACCGCTGTGAAGCTGGGATGAGCATATACGCCTCGTCAAGTCTAAGCCTGGGGTGTACCAAACCAGGTGCTTCTCGACGTCAGTATACATCCTGTCTAAATCCGTTAGAGCTCGTGTAGCATATCTCGTTGGGTGGCGCACCAGGAAGCCGTAGGGCTACATTTATGTGTGTCAGACTAAACCGAAGAAACTCGATCATCCAAGTTGCATACCAATACCAGTGTTCACTCCTATCGCCGATATGACGAGTTGCGCGACACATATTGACAGTAAAAAGGCAAGAATTCTATTGGAGCATTTGTACAATGCATAGACCCGAAGGATCATGAGCACTGAATGAAGAATAGGGGGCTATGAGCATAAAGCAGGCTCTAGATCAGTAGTGCTACTCACAGCCGCAAACTAAAGCATGAATGATTCGTCTCGGGGAAACAATCAACCAGGAATAACGGCTTACTGCTCACAATGGCCCCACTTGAAGCGCCCTGGAATTTGACGAAATTGTCACATCTAGAGTATGTACGCAAAGCACCGACCGTGTCAGAGAGCTCAAGACTACGAGGACACGAACGCACGCAGGCCCCGTCCACTGACGATGATGGAAAGCTATATGTAGCCATCAGCACTGCCCACCGAATTCGTAACAACCAGAGTTACCAACTATTGCCATGATGGACCTAGTCTCATACCAAGATCGTCCACGTGTGGACGGTCTTGGACTAAAGTTGGTCACTGATCAAGACAGTGCGAGGCGTCACGTACACTACATTTGATTTGTAGACCTTATTGAAATCCATTAGACATGTTTAGTTACCGGACTCAGAGTGTGACAGACGAATAATTTGCGCAAGACAGGAGTCGCGCCCACATTCCCGTCTTTGCATGGATCCCTCAGCTCTTCAAGACGAAAACGCGAGTGTATTCAACCAATCTACATCACTCAGAAATCATCCTAGTCCCACTCCTCAGAGTACCAATTCCGGAGGCACTGCCAGTTTCACCTCTGTCTCAAGACTTCCACTCGGAAACCTCGCACTAAACAGTCCGTCAAGCTCATTTGCTACTCCTCGACATCGAAAGAAGCCTGGGGTACGAGCAGGGACAGATCTTGTGGTTGGCAGAGTTGAGCCGTGGCCATGGATCGGTCGAACTGTGCCTCTTCACTTGCTCGAGGAGACATCACAGGAGATAAACGGCCATGATACGAAGAACTGGCAGATGAAGCTGGCAAGAAAGGTCCTTGAAGGCCATGATGCAATTGGTATTGCTGGGACCGGTGCTGGGAAATCTCTGGTTTTCGGACTTCTGGCTCTCGCAGCAGAACTTGCAGGTTCTCCGGGGATTGTGATTGTCCTCTCCCCATTGAAATCACTGCAAAAGGATCAAGTGAGTGCCTAGTAAATGAAGGTACAAGTACTCATCCATCTTAGGTGCAACGCATTAATACTTCAAACACAGTTGTGCGTGCAAATGGGATTGATAAGATCAATCTAACAGCAGTGGAAATCAACGAAGACAACAAGGACAACAAAGTGTTTACTCGCCTTGAAGAGGGCCAATATAGGCTCTGCTATGCCTCGCCCGAGTGCTTGCTGCGAAGTAATCGTTTCAAGCAACTTTTTCGCACCGAAGAATTTCGACGCAAGCTTGTCGCGGTGGTCATAGACAAAGCACATGTCATTGAGGCCTGGAAGGACGAGTTCAGGAAAGACTATGGCGAGCTGGCAGCACTCAATATCATTGTCGGAACGGAGGTACCATGGTTAGCACTCACCGCGACATGCTCTACCTGAACATTTGAGATCATCTACACGACACTCGGGATGGGAGAATCATGACCGTTCTATGGCATAGACTTGGGCTCCGACCGGCCAAACCTGGCGCAGTGGGTTAGACCGATGGAATACTCGAAAATCTCAATGGCCGACTTACTTGCTTTTCTCCCTCGAGCACCGCAAAATCTGTCCGACTTCGACAAGATCATCTTCTATTTCTTAACATGACAGCAGGCACTTTGCACCTGCACCCTCTGCCGCTCTCTCATCACCTCTCCCAAACTACGCAAGGGTTTGTTACCATTTACCGCCGTGAATTCGGAGGCATACAAAGAGACCGTCATGGACCTCTTCCAAGACGGCAAGGCACGCTGGATCTTCGCGACAATTGCAGCTGGAATGGGCATGGACATTCCAGATATCAAGATGGTTGTCATATATGGCATCAACAAGTTCGGTAGTGCGTTTCAGAAGGGTGGGCGTGCAGGACGTTCAGCAGGGATGAAGGCGACAGCCATGTGGTTGATTGAGCCATGGGTTTTTGAACCGAAGCCCGAAACTCTGGACCCTGCAAAGCCACCCAGCAAGAAAGCCATCGCAGAGAAGGAAAAGCGAGAAAAGCTGGACCCACCTACATGCGAGTACATAAACTGAGCACAGTCTCAGGACTGTATGCGCCGATACTCGGCTGAACACTTCCGACCTCAACCAAATTTGCCCGGATTCCCTTGGTACACTGGAACCATGGAAGGAATGAGCGATCGCAAAGATGGAGGTGGATCAGAGTGGGTAGAATGGGAAGTCATCAAGCAGGAAGTAGTTTGTGGAGAGGGTGGTTGTAGTGCAGCTGTTTGTCGTCCATCTCACGATGTCATTGTTGGGCCGCTGTCAGAAGCCGAGCGCAAGACGATTTCCCACCACCTTCAAATACTTCGTTCTAATGGCGACAACTTGCCAACCAACATCGACAACGATAACCTGGAGTCCAACAACACTGAAGATCTGTCTTCCAGGCCTGCAGCTGGCTCCACCTCCACCCTGCGCTGCTCGAAGCCAGAGCGCGAGAGTTTACAACAAGCACTCGTATCTTGGCATGACACTTACTGGGCATCAGTCAAATCCAAGTTTCCCTTCTTCTCGCGCCATTGGATCTTGACTGACGAGAATCTGGGTCGCCTTGTGGAGCGTGCTCATGTCATTCTAAATGCCACAGAAGTCAACATCTCAGTCATACGTGGTCTCATTAGAACTACAGCAGACGATGCTACTCTGGAATCACTTGTGGGAGTCCTCAATGAATTTTGTCAGGCAAGATGAGAACGTGACCTGCAGGAGGCATTGGAACGGCGCCCCAAGCGTCACTGCCGGCGACAGGCAGAGGATCCCTTCAGCAACTCACTACAATCCACATCTCAGCAACACACATGGCAGGTTCAAGGTTATGAACACAATCGGTACGTCTCAAAAAATGTCTAGTGTTGAACTACTACTCACTTATTAAATATCAACATTTGAAAAGGGACACTCCTGTTGAAACTCAGGGTCAACCCCAGAATCCACCTCCAGTACTCCATTGGGATCTGCAAATGCCTCCACCACCTCCAGATCATCCACCTCCAGGCTGACTGCCTCTCCAAAACCTGCCTCAGGATCTGAACCATAGAGGTCTGTCCCTGCAGCACCTGTTTGGCAAAGCCAATGTTGATACATACTTCTTTCTGTCAGCATCATCATACCCTCCAGTAAGACATCTCGCATGGGACAGGCTGGTGCCTTCTTCTTTTGGGTCCGGGTGCTGGGCTTTGGGGCGACGCGAGTAACTTGGCGGTTGCTAGTAAATGTATGTAGCTTTTGCACCTTGATGTCAACACATAGTGCCGCGATGTCGCTATTGATGCTGACCTCTGTGTGACCACGATTGAAGTCACTGACGCCAAACCAGCCAGATACCTCACACGCGAGTTTCCGGAGGACCTCGACGCATGCCGAGGATTTTTCCTGGATATGAAGAATGGATGCACAGCTTCCCAGGGCGGCGAACATGTTCTGTTGTTGTTGGGGAACTCTGTTAGATGGCTCAAGGTAAGGAAAAAGACATTCTCACCTTCGTAAACCCATTGTTATGTTCTAGATATAAATCTGTAGGGATTGAGCGCCCTCTTCTTCCCCAGCAATTGATGAGCCAAGTATGCTTGACAATCTCACAAAGAAGGTCAGGAAATTCATGCTGAAATTGGGCCTTCATCTCAAGAATTTCGTTACCATAATTGTGACAGCCTGCACCACGCATCATGAAAACCCAGAAGTTGTATACAATCCACATCCGACCAACATCAGCGTCACGGATGGCATCACAAAACTCCCAGAAAAATAGGCTGTCGCGCATGAAGAGGATTGAATGTGCAAGAAGCTCATCTCCAGAGTCCAAGGCGTCTTGTGCTGCCGATGTTGTGGTGTACTGCATTACAACCCTATCCACCACTGCATCAAAGTCAGGGCAGGATGGTAACCAGTCCTTCAAATTGGAAACTGAGTCCTTATGAAGGACCAACCTTATTTTAATGTTAGGTAGTTCATGACTGACAGCAGGTATATACACTTACCGAGTACAATCAAGAACATGAGCAACAAGAGAGTGGAACACAAGTTCCTTTGCCTTGTTATACTCAGGCTTCTTGGGGTCAAGCTTTGAATGACGAAGGAGGTTCCGATGATGCTCCAACAAGCTGGGATTTGCCTGTGCAGGTGTTTCAAGGTGTGTCTGGAAAAGCATGTACATGGCATTTAACTGAAAGTGAAATGGCATTGCAGCTTCCTGGACCCAGTTGAACCAAAGAAAGCTTGTAAATTCATATTTTCTTTCATCAGCCATCAGCCGGAGGTTTCGGATCGTGAGCCAGTCTCCGACCAAGAGATGAAGCTCAGCCTGAATAAACTCAGCTGCAAGTCCCAGAGCCTGCATGAAGATCTGCTCGACAACACAAATTGTTCCAGCCACAGAGGATTCCTCATTCAAGGCCACCAGTGGGTAAAATTCAGTCTTCTCGTGGCTGATTCATCGGATGCGGGGCTTGAGCTTCTTTGTGTGCTTGTGGAGGACCTTTGTGAATTTTCTCTTCTGCATCTTTCCAGGAAGACATGTCAGTAGAATGCTGCGGACAGCATGCTTGAAGGCAGACAGTGCATGGGCATGGTGCTCTTCAGTGGGTTGCAGAGATTCTAGGGTAAGATTCTGGCATAGATTTGCCTGTTTTCGCCCCTCCGCAATTGACAATGCTGCTGCATATGCTTCTTGGGTAAACTTCTTTGGAAGGGAGAAAACTGCAAGAGTGGTGGCATTAATTTGATGAGTTGCGGAATCGAGCCGTTGAGATGTTGTGCGCAAAGTAAAGTTGATGTTGTCGTACACCACTGCCCACAGATGATTGGATTTTTGGACAAAATTCTGAGCCTGAATTTTTGCGTCTTGAGAAAGAGATCTTAATGCATTTTGAATGGTTCTGATTGAGAATTCATATAGAAAAGCAAAATCACATGCAGTAGACAAGAACCCACTGGTAGCTAACAGACAGACCCATGTGGTTGAATGTATCAATGATCCTGCGGCTCGCACCTGAACTGGAGAGAAAGACCCCCATTACAAGCTGGAAAGCATTTGTGGCACAATTTCGAAAGAAAAGAAGCATGCTGATGATAACGACCAAGATCTAGCATGCATAATTCATGAACACTTCTCAGCCCTTGTATGTGTTGGTCAGAGAGATAATTTTACTTACCTTGTCTGCCATTTCCTGTTTGCGATGCTTAGGTGACCCTTTCCACCTCTCATAGTCATTTTCTGCTGTGAGCAGGGTAGTGAGGAGGAGAGTAAGGCAGGGAAGGAGCTGGGAGTATGTTTTTTGAATCTTGTTCAAGCCAAAGTTGGTCGTTAGATAGGGAATGTCCAGGCCAGAGGCAGAGAGGCGCAGTTCGGGGTCATGATAGGCCTTTGTGCTTTCCTTGACCATGATCTCTGCAGCAGTTTTTGTAGTTACTAAGTCCAGTTCTTTGCTAGCTTCTACAGAAGGAGCGTTCTTTGCCCATGCAGCCATGATACTTGCAGGCGCATAGGTGCTGTTGGGCTGGAGGCGAAGACTTTGAGCGGCTTGTTGTGAGCAACCGTAGAAAGCGATGACAAATTCATTTGTGGTGCGCCATCCAGCCTTCTTGAGAGCAGTAACACCCTTTTTGACTTTTTTCTTGTTTGATTGCTGTCTGGGGGGCATAGTAGGCAGAATAAGAGTGATACGGGGACAAGGCAAGATTAGATGCCATTTGATGGGCTGTCCCACGCTGTGACCTACTGTGACGCCGGCAACTCAAAGGCAAAAGACTACAAAATCTGGCTTGTCGACTTCAGCATCAATTTTAAGGATAAATAAAATCGATTAATTTCTGTAAAAATCATAAAACGGGAGAGAAGACATTATGAAAGGTGGTCTCATGATAAACCTAAGGACGGGGTGTAGTCATTCTTGTGCTATTGCGTCTAGAGTGCCAAACTTTGCACTGCCCTGATGAAACCCCTACCTTGTTATAAGCCCCAATCATGTTCACGTGGTGGGGTTTTGATGAGCCTAACGATGGACCGGAGAGGAGTCACGTATCTGTTGAGGAGGAATAGAAGAGATGCACCCGATAGTTTGCTCTTCCAGATGCGCTCAATCTATCGCCAAAAATCAGATATCCTGAAAAGCATTAGATGGAGTAAAAAAGTTCCCAGACCTCATCAGGAAAAGTCAAGACTACGAGACAATACGCTTTAGCAAAATGGCAATGCACTTGGAGGCAAGAGGCGACGTACTGTGGTCATACGCCAAGATCAAGAACCCGGCCAGTTGGGCATACTTTGCAACTCGTCTGCAGGAGGTGACAGTTGTTGGCTTTTCGAGCATGTTGAACAAGGAACTACGACTCACAGATTGTTGGCTATGCTCTGCAAAAGCTCAGGAGATGCATTACTTAGCGAAGAAGACATGGACGAAGGTGGAGGTCGTGACGAAGTGAGCTCTCAGAAGCTGGGGGAGGAAGAGACTATCGCCTAACAGAATCAAAGGTCTTGACTTTGATGAGCCCTATACAAGTCACTGCCATGAAGGGGCTGTCCTTAGAACGGGAGACGGGAGAAGCTCAGCCATATTCATCAAGGCACTTCGCGAAGGTTCACCTTGGGTAACTGTTCCAGAGGAAAGAACAGGTCCTAAATAGCATTGGCGCTGAGGAATTGAGTTGCTCTAGGGTTCCAACGGCGAGTTATCTGACATCAAGATTCAAACCTCAAGGAAGACTTACCATCATGATGAAAGGGAACATTTTACAGCAATGATTCCATCCATAGTTTCAACAGCACTTTCCTTGAGGACGATGACAGCTGGGCGTCATTCGATAACATAAGTGCTCAAGCAACCTCTTCTGGGAGCGTGAGTGGCTTAAGGTACAAGATGATGTTCAAAGCATCCCGGGAGAGACCCTGGAAGTAAACATCAATGGATGTGGGAGAAGAATTCGGAAATTGGCGCCAGCTCGGCCTAATCTGCCGAAGTGGTCGGATTTGAGTTTGAAGTCACAAGAGCATCCGTTCTTCAGGCGCTACCCCATTCGTGCTTTCAATTCTCAAAAGGCTTATGACTCGGAGTCGCCCACATAAGTTGCTGCTCATTAGGCCACTGAAACTGTGCGATAAATTGATTGGAATTCGGACCACGATGTACCAGCGGAAGTGAAGGAGGCACTCGAAGATTTTCTACGAGGAACCACACTGAAGTCCATCAAATTGAGCGCTCTCGAAAATTTCGACTTCCGCGTGTTCAGGGCAGCAAACGGTATCTGTCGCTTAAACATGTTTGGGGTAGGGTTCGTCCAACTCGACGATTGGGATGGCTGCTGTCGATGGAGGTCAGGAAATCCAACGATACAAGCTCGATGAAATGACATACCACGTTGGAGGGTGTGATGACTTGGAGCCATTCGTACGGCACTTGGAGAGCCCGAATTGTGCCCTCGATTTTGCTTCACTTTCCTCACTGACTCGGAAGATTCGGGATCGTGAGGACCTTCAAGGTGCTAAAAGCCTTTCGCTGATTTTCAAACTCTGTTGGTCACTGCAGTTCCTTGAATTAATGATCAACTTTACAGCCCCAGGCCGTCCGTATTCCGTTCTGTTGAAACTAGGTTTGTTCCCGACCTATCTCCCCTTTCAGCGTTGTCTATCTTGACTTTTATCATTATAAACTATGTTTAAACACCACGGTTGAACCATGCTATCCGCCATCTAAAGTCGCTTCCACAAGGGAACAAATTGACGAAGCTCTCCGTTATTGTTTACCTCGATGGCGATCCAACGACATGCATAGACGACGACGAGGTGTAGGAAAGAGTTGGTGGAGTTCGACAGAGAGATAGCTGCTCTGAAACGGACGCAACTACGAAGTTTGCGGGCCATCATGATACAGTTTTCGATTTTTGGGTCCGGTCGTCCGCAAACGTCGGAGGCCCTCAAGGATATCCCTTTCCGCTCTTCGAGGAGACGGGCGCAGTGCACGTAAGTTCAGCCACCGACTTCCGAACTGGAGAGTGTTTGCTGACCTTTTTCTAGGTATCAGTCTCTCATAGTCTTACACGTTATCAGAGCATGAAGTCGTGAGCTAATCGGAGAGGAAAAATATTTCAACGGCTCTGGGTGGACCATTCGGATGGCGCAGCCGGTGCCTCCCTCCCTACGTCGAATTTGGGCCAAGGCTGAGCTTGTCACTGGAGGAGTGACATGAAGAGAGGTATAGGGTCATTATCCAAGACTGGCTGAATTTTGAAGCCTGAAAGATTAGTGGGTAGTACATTATTACACGATACCTTGTCTAAAATAAATAAGCAACCACATTCCGCGTTAAGTATAAACATCCGATCACCATCTCAGCAGATTCCTCGAACTGTGTGAGCTGTTTGTCAAGATGGACGCACGGTCCTGCGACTTGTGCGTCTCGACGTCCTGTCCCAGGTTCCCGATCGCGAGCGTAGCCATGCTGCTAAACACGATAGATGGCTTGGGGGTACCGGTGGTTCCAGGGCCGGGTAATGCTCCTGAAGCGACGGGATTATTGACACCCGCTGCTGGGGCTAGGCGGAGATTGAGGACGAGGCGAGAGACCATAACTGAGGTCAGCATGACGCTCAGTGTTGTTGCGACTGACTTGAGGCTGTTGGGCGCGAGCTGCAGAGTTGACGTGTGATGAGACGAATTCTAAGACGAGGATGAGGGCAGCCGGACTTACGAAGAATAAAAAGGCATTAACTAGGTTGACGAGGAATATTACTAGGAAATATAGTGTACCGTCGCGGACGAGAACATGAAGGACTCTGCAGGACAATAACTCAGCTTAAATCACTAGACGACGTGTCAAACGTACGGTATTCTACCCGTGGAGAGAATGTATTCGCGGGTGCGCCATAGCGTCAAGAAGAAGATTGCACCATCAAGGAAGAGGGGCCCGGCCCAGTTGACCGCTGCAAAAGAAGATAAGAGGGTGCATCGGACGTCGATCGAGGCTCGCGACAGACCGAACCACTTTGTGGTTGCCGTCAAGAGGCAGCCGACGAACGCAGGACCAGGGGGCAGTTGCAATGCTGAATATAGGACATGAGTCACGGCAGGATCAGGGGGAGGTCATGCTGAACACTTACCTCCAGCATTGCTGATTCCAACCGCAGATGTGACGAGTTGTGCGATGCATATTGACGCCAGGAAGATCAGGATGATATTCGAACGGCGGTATAGGGCATATACGCGAAGGATCATGAGCACTGTCGATGGACGAAGACATTCTCAGTAAATGATGGTGAAACCCTCCCGGATGGTACCTACGTCCGCATACTGGTAGAAAGCAGGCGAATTAGATAATAATTTCTATAACGGACTTGAGGCGACTCACTGCTCGTTACTACAATGCTCGAAGCGCCAATAAATCTGACGAAATTGGAACATCTGGGATAGAGAATGGCTCAAAAAACATGCAGAAGTGGCGTCTAATTCCGAGGCTTACTTATCGCCAGTCCATTGAGGGTGATGATACGCTATACGAAAATCAGCATAATCCTTCCCCAAGATCGAAAGGAATAACTTACCGGTGACGACTACGATAGCTCGTAAGAATGCAATATATCTATTGAGGAGGAACAGAATTGATGCTCCTGTCATTGGCTGCTTCCAAATGCGCTCGATCTGCGTCCATCGTTCAGCGATAAATCAGCAGGGTTGTACCATTTCTCGAACCTCCTCATTAAAGGTAAGACCTGAAATAAACACTTAATTGAAGTCCCGTTAAGAAGGAGCTCGACGTACCATGATCGTATACTAGGATAACGAAGGCCGCTAGCTGGACGTACTTTGATAGACGGCTACATGAGAAGACGCCTCGCATCAGCAGGACTGCAAACAGAGTTGAAACGAGAACGCACAGATTGTTGGCGTAGGTCGCCAGAACCTCAGGACTGAGAATACCTGCGGCCGAAGACATGACAGGAGCGTCAGATATTCCATCTTGCGGCGAGGGTGTTTTATAGTTGCCTCCCAAAACGGGCCGTAATCCGCAACATAAAGCAGGAACCCGCGAGATCTTGGAGCCTGGCGGGTGAAAGCCAGAGAACCACATTCTCACCTGCAACTGAACGTTTCACTCGAACACGATAAATTGCAACAGTTATCGACTTACCCCACCCAGGCAGCGTGATGGCTTCGAGATCAATTTTGCCAGAGCGAGTGATGCAGGTCATAAACATCAATTGAAGAAGCATCCGTTTGCTGTGCAGATTGCGTCCCGAGACCTCACGTCTGTCAACTTGCAACATTTTCAGAAAGCAGAAACCCAGAAAGGGTATAATGAAGAGCTCACCCGACTCCATCATGATTAAGGCTTTCTCTGAATCATTGATCCTACGGATCGTTTCAGCGAACGCAGTTACGCAATTCCTCTGGAATACTAAAGAGGTGTGCGATGTCAAAGGGGGGATAAATCCGAAGGCGAGGTGGACAGAGTATTGGACTCTCAGTTCTTTTTTTTTCTCGAGCCCCTGCATGACGAGAACGAACCCATTGGAAAAGTTTGTCGGGAAAATGGCGTTGTGGATAGCATGTGTGATCTTCTTATTTCTTTGGAGATGAGTGATATCGGGTGTCGGTGAATTGGACGCGAGCACGACTTCAAACGGGGCGAGAGGATAAATTGTGCCAGCACTTCGGTTTCCGGTTTCCGGCTTACCCAATATCTCATCTTATCTTATCAGTTGGCTTAGCCGAGTGAACTTCATCCATTTCAGATTCCGTGTTTCCGGGTTGCCGAGCTCCCGGCAATCGATTGCTACCGCCCCGATAGGGATAAGTGTAGTTCTTTAGCATGAGATATTAGTTTTAGCATAATCTTGGCGGCGACAGGTTTCCGGAAAAAGGACATAAGTTGCCAGGATCCCAGGTTTCCGCTGTTTTTGCTGGTTTTTGCGTGTTTTTTAGGTTGTGAAACCTGCGGAATCTGAAATGCAAAGTTACTGATGTTGGCATGCACCGGTGACGTAGCGCAAGTGCCAGGGCGAAGGAATGATTTTTTCACATTAGACTTGTGTCAAGGCCCTTCTTGATAGGGAGTTGAAAGGATGATGATGAATGTGGGGTCGGATCGTGTGAGCGGAATGTCTTGTAGCCTCTCGTTAGGGACCGTAATGCTAAAGTGCGTCGTGCCTCTGTCGTCGTACAGGAGTGAGCTGGAGAACAAAGGGACAAGTGGCTACGCGTAAGTACCGTGTCCTTATCTAATCTAATCATAGAGCGGGACCATAATCGCATCGTAGCCAACCTCTCTCTCCTACAGAGTACTTAAGCAGTGCAAGAGCGTGGTTGTCAGGATGTACTGGAGCGTGGGATGAGGGAAGTTTATCAGCAGGCCTGGCGCAGTGATGCTGACGTCACCGGTTGTGACAAAACCAAAAACAATTTCAATTGCGCCATTCAACTGGTGGTGTATATTATTATCATTATTTGGATTGCAATCCCCTGACCCGAGGCTAGTTTGGCACTTGTTACTTCAATACGTCATACGAAAACAGGCGCTAAAATGTGGAGGACCCTGGCAGCGTTCCTCCAGGAAACACACCAAGGCGATTTTGCTGCAGGGGTCTACGATTCTAGATCCGGAAAGGCTGCCAGGCAAAACAACTTGCACCTGGTCTTCTGAAGTTACCACCTTGGCTGACGGGTAAACTTGCGATCATAATAGCGAAAGCAGAGCACAGGAGGCGACGTTGATATTATTTTTTCTTTAATTATCTTAGTTGACTATTGCTCACCTCGCTTCATTTGTCCTGAATTTTGGTTTGACATGTTGCTAATAACCATCATCAGGCGCAAAGATGGTCGTACGTTCAACCCTCATGGACGAAATTTTGTTATAAGGTTACATGGTTGTCAGGTCGAAATATTCCTGTCAATTTCAGTGTTTCGAGGAAACGCATGGCTGATATAAGGGGTGGTGAGATCATGGCACCCAGACAGCTCGGACGAATGCGGGCGTCTATCCAGTGCCTGAGATACTCGAGAAAAGGAACATCGAAATTTGATCCGAGTCCAGATTTGGCAGTGCGGGCGCCTTCATGATTTGAACACGGCTTCGGCAGAACACATACAATCATGATAAATGTACAAAGGGCACTATTTTTAGGGTTTTCTGGATTTATGTAAGTGAGTGGGAGAATTTAACTTGTGACGAGCCTCTGTTGTAGGGACCGTAAGCATGTCCTGGTAGTTGACTGAGGTCAAACTTGCACTACGTCCAGGCTGAACAATGCTGTTAGCAGGTTAGTATTAAGGGTAAGAACGGGATGGACCAACTTACTTTGATTTAGAAATTCCCGACGAGGATGGAGCGAGTGGCAGGGGTGTAGCAGAACCCTCCATCAAGACGCGTCCCACAGGTCGAAAGCTGGTTGCAGCTACCGCCGCACCCAGCACGGTCGCAGAACCCGACGTTGTTCGTGGCCGCAAGGCAGTTGGTGTTGGGTGCGTTAAGACATGTCGCACCCCCGTTGTACACCGTGCAAGCGCCACCGCAGACGTTGAACACGCGCTGGCTGCAGTAGGTGACCCTGGTGGCGAGTATGTCGCGCTCGGTGAGCGGGTTGTATGGCTCGCCGACGTAGGTGATTTCTGCGTCGGTGGTGGCGAGCCAGTGGTCGAACTCGGCGTCGGTCAGGATGAACGATGCAGGAACCTCCTAATCAATAATTTCCAAACATGAGCTGGGCACAGTGATGGCGACGGCCAGAGCGTTAACGTACAGGGGTGGGGCTCGCGACCACCACGGCAGCGAGAGCGAGGAGTACAGCGGTGGAGAACTTCATTTCGAATGTGAATTGGAACTTGGGAGTGAATCCGGTGAAGGTTTCTGGATTTTTCATCCTTTCGAATACCAGCTTTTATTCAACTCAAGCCTCCTAATACGGGTGAGTCTCGACCATGGTGCAGGAGGCGCGGTGCCCTTAAAGCCCGCATCGGCGCCTTACCTACGTTTGGAGAAAGGGTCTCGGTTCGCCTTGCGCTCTCGACACTTGTACGCGTAGCGTTTGCTCACACCTGACGGACAGTAAAGAGTTCCGGAATGTTGGCGGCGCAGTATGTGTAGTAATTATTGACAGCGAAGTCTCGGATAATAACTCTGAGGGAGGCTTCGGTGTTAAATTGAATCCATCCAGAAGTCGAGGGCGGTGAATTTGGTGATCCTGCTGTCACTCGTCCGACGTCCCCAATCTATAATTATTCTATAATTCCCTCGAAGAATCTCAACTATTTCATCTCAAATTTCTCCCTCTTTCCCTCTGCACATAGGTTGTTGGAACTTGCAGCTTGTGTAAACATCAATATAAAGAACCCTTCGATGGGCGCTTGAAGCCATCCATCTCGCGCGAATGTATCCGCCCAGGCGGGTTATGGATGACAGGACGGGCGCCCGGAAAGATGGGCGGTTCAAGCGCTCATGCATATGCTCCAGAGATTCTTACCAGTTTACATCTAGTTCCACGATAAACCTGGCTAGGAAAACGGGCCCTGTTCTCCCGAAAACGCGCTCGGAACTGCGCAGATCGATTTGATACATAGGGATTTTGTACGGTCTATTCAAAATAAAAATCAATAATAGCCTCATCGTGGTAGATCCCGATACAACGGCGGTGCACAGACTCGGACGGGATAACATAGCAGGCACCACCTAGGTAGTCAGGCGGCCGAGATCACGTTACGCGACAGAAACAAAGGGCCAACTTACGGACCGATGGTTCAGAACCGTGGAACACAGCACGCTACACGAGGTCAAAGGAAAGTCGAGCGCAAAGACTCCGAGATTTCCCTGCGATTCGGTTGGGGGATGAGCAACCTGGTACGCTGTACAGTCAGACTCCTCCCCAGAAACTCGTAGTTGTTCCAGGCCATAGGCGGCGAGCTAGGCCGACAGATAATTGCGAGTCGTAGGCTGTCGTTAACTCCTCCTCCTACTCTCTACCCCCAAACGGCTTGTGCAATAAGTAGGTGAAATATGTATATGAATCTCCGTCGCGCAACAGACTGGGCGCAAGAACCCTTCATGTCGAATCCGACAGGAATACTCATAGAGATCAGCAAGGTCGTCTAAAGGCCAGGGTCCCCCAGGGGGCTCGTAGAGAGTCTATTTCCTCTTCGACTGTGAAACCTGTGAGTAAAACTATGCCTCGGAACTGTAAGAGTAATACTTACAATCACTATAGCACTCATGGATCTCTCGTCCTGCGGGCACAGTGGTCCTTCTAGACTTCCCGAGCGTAGTTAGAACTACCAATGACCCGATACTCACCTGACTCGAGACACAAGGCCGTCGACGAAATTTGACAGTCCCACCAAAAAACAACGAACTTCATTCGGCGCGAATCGGCACGTTGGGTGAAATTTTCAACATCGGGTATAGTCTCGCCCTTCGAACAGGGAAAAGCACCCATCTGATACCCAGAGAGCCTATGTACGATGTAGCTGGTATGTATCCCCTGTGTCCCGTGTACGAGCGGGAACCTTCGGGTTGGCAACGGTGTTATTCCTTTCCGAGGTAACCAAAGCCGCCGCTCGTTTTTCGTCGAAAGTAAGACTGGATTTCTGACAATGCAGCTCTTTTACCCCCTACGAGGAGAAAATGCGCAAGTATTTGCTGTGGCCCATCTTAAGTCTAGGTTTGTTGTGGGCGTATAAAAGGGGCAAGAAAGGATGCTCGGAGCTGGTGACGAGGTGACGTGTTTGGCACCGGGGGGGCTGTAAACAATTTGAATGGACTTCAACGGTTTCAACATTCTCAGCTCGTAACATTTCCTCAACTTCTCCATTTCTTTCCTCTCGACATTTCACGCATAGTTCACCATCGCGGCTGGTATTAAAGGGAATCAGGAGGGGGATACGGTCATTGGGAGGCATCCAGAAACGCGGAATTATCTGTGCACTGCACATGCCGAGAGCACGCACTTCAGCATCTACGACTTCTGCCAGCACCGCGAACAGACGGTCATCGAGGGTCCCGAATGGCTCTGGAGATGGGGAGGGGGGATCCGGGACTTCAATCTCTGCCGCTCAGCTGGGGAACAACAAGTCACAGACCTCAACGACACCCGATGTCCAAACGAAATCGAATGCAAACGGCAACGCCGCCGACGGCCCATTTCCATGGCGGCATCCCAACGAGCTCGCGTACATCTGTCGACAAGACTGGGCGCAGGATGTCATGATTGAGTACCTGTGTCAGAAAGCGTTCACCATTCCTCCCCGCGATTCGAACACCTCCGCTCCTTTCGTGCAAATCACAGGTCGAGACGGCACGATCACCAACCTCCCCCGGAAGTACCGTGTACCGCTGCTTTTCGTCGCCAAGTTCCAGTGGGACTCGCTCCGTTTGGTGTTAACTTCTGCGAACCCGAAGGCGGAGTGGGAGGCGTATAAATTCGATATCATCCACATTTCGCGACTTTGTCAGCATCTTTTCAATCAGGCAAACGCTGCGAAGAACGCCGCTGGGCCGAAGGGATTAGACAAACAATGGCGGAGTCCCATGTTCGACCGTGTCCTCACCCGGTTCTACTACCACTGGTTTATCAGTCAGGATATATGGATCAAGAAGTTCTGGGAGGAGTTCGATGAGGAGGAGTACGAGAACGATGTTTTGAAATATGGTGCGTTGGTTTGGCTTACACCATAATACCATCTATGCTGATCTCTGTTCTCAGATTGGGTGCGCTGGGCGCTGAAGGGACACAAGGGGTTCGTTCTGACGAAGGAGGAGATTCAAAGTGGGATAACCGCCGAACAGTTTATGAAGGGGCTAGGGAGGAACCCAAACGGCGTTTGGATTTGGACAAGTGGTGCTGATTATCTCCCTCTTGCATCACCACATCCTGCCCCTGAAGCGGTTGAAGCCATCACCGCCGTCACACCTTCCAACAACACTGTCGAAGTCAAGCGGGAGCAAATCGAAAGTGTTCTCTCCAGGGATACAAAAGCCCCTCAAACAACCCCAGCTTCAACGGTTGCCCTGGCCGTACAATTCACTCCCGATCCCGCACCAGCTCAGCTTGCTGAACAGGATGCCAATGTTGGAGAGAAACGCGCCAGGGAGATTGACGACGACTCGTCTGGATCGAAGGCCAAGAAGATCAAGGTCTGAATCTTCGTTTATGAAGTTTGGCTTCACAATTTCTCACGAATCTGTTTAGTTGTGTGAACAACGCAGGGGGGCTAGTCCGATATCAACACCTCCACCGCCCTCTACATCTGATACCGGTCCACTTCGGCCCAATGGGTCCTCCGCGGCTCCCAAATCTGGCGACATACGAAAGGGATCAGAGTCATTGCAGGACAAACAGGCTGCAGATTCAATAAAACCCACAGCCTCAGATGTCACGGATACCGTTGAAGGGCTATCGTTGGTATCCTCTTCCAGCCCTCTGTCATCCCCAGAAGCTAGTCCGGCCCGGCAGACCGATGCGCCACAACTAACGCGTCTGGCACCAAAGCCTACATTGCCGAAGGCTGTCAATGGGACTACCGCGACAGCTGACTCTGAGCGAAACGCTGGAGCGACTCTGTCTCAAATTGCAGCACCCTCGGGTCCATCTGGCGAGAAAGTCGACGCAAAAAGCACTATAAATATCAAGAGAGCTGCCGTCCCACCGCGCGCCTCTTCTGTGGATTCTATCGCCTCTTCTCGCTCGTCCCCGACCCCAGGCGTCCACTCGTCGTCGATTGTTGCAGGCTCTACGCCGATCCCAGCTCCAGTTCCTACACCCGCCCCTACTACCGAGAAACCTTCCCATATTCCCACGACTCCGTCTCTGTCGCCTATTAAACCGCCCTCTGCTTCCAAGTTTTCTTCTTCTGCCGATTGGACGTTCGGTCTGTTTAATCCCTTCCTTCTACGACAGTCACCACCTCCAGCCCAGCGACCGCCGACCATCCCTTCCGAAGTCTCTCGCCCTCTTCCTAGTAAGGCAACACCCCCGGCAGTTCCTCTGTCCTTGACCACCGTAACATCGATGTTCGAGGGCGCTCAAGAAGCGCTGGAAAGGCTGAAAGCCAACAATGAAACTCCTACGATGCAGGACGTTCATGCCTCAGGTACTCAAGAAGTTATTTCGTCCACTACGTCCACGACGTCGGAGATGTCGATAAGTGTTGACGATGATGCTGGTGTCGCCGAAACGTCTGAATCGGCCGATCCTGTGAAGATGGTGGTTGAAGGAGAGGCAGTTGCGGAGGCTCGCACAGAGGAGGGTGTCATTGGTGCTAATGACGAGGAAGCGCCGGCAGCAGAAAAGACGAGAGCTAACTCTGTTCAACGGCCCCTTACAGCGCACGATTACATTGCTGTACGCGTCGCCGAGATACTTCCGCCACGGTCTCGTTCGCCTACGACACTGAACGGTGATTTAACTCAAGAACCACTGGCTTCGAGTCATTCTATAGTATCAGAAGAGGGGTCACAGAGTACGGTAATTTCTAGCGCACCGCAGCAAGATGTCGACAAATCAATATCTGCCGACGTCTCGTCTCCTATCCTTGAAGCGCCCTCAGAGTCAGAACCTACTACATCTCTGACTCAAGACAAGATGGATGTCGATGAATCAGCGCCTGTTCCGAAAGCATCGACGTCTGTGGCTCTCTCTAGCTCGACAGCCTTAGAAGGGACGACGAGCAAGATCGAGGAACACCCACACCCAGCTTTCAAACTCGTTCGCAGCTTGGCTCATTTCCTTGCACCCCATGAGCATGCTTCGGGCGCCTGTTCCGTCGCCGACGCTTCAGGCGCATCTGACAGGGCTCGAACTCCTTCTGCGCTTCCTTTAGTCCTTGCTTCTCGATCTTCTCCTGGCGGGCTTCTGTCGGAGCCGGGTTCGTCGTCAATTGGTCACCACGTAGACGCGCTGGCGCTGGCATCAGTTTCTTTGGCCAGGGATTTGCAGACCCTCGACGGCGAAGAACGCAATCGGCGGATCGATGAATGTGATCTGCTTCTTCAACGCCGGATTACGGACCTACAGAGCGCTGATCATGGTTCCTCCTGGGCCCTAGTCGCACCGGCCACGAAGACATTGATATCAAGAGAGGTGATGACAGAACCTCCATCTACATCTCTCGGCGTTCAAGCGCTCGACGTGGACAATGCTGTTGGCTTTGAGCGCAGAGCGGCTTCGTCAGTCCCTGAATCCCGACGATTGCCTCTCAGTCCAGATGCAACGATGGTGGACATTGCGTCGTCCAGTTCGCCACCCATGGAAGCGGCATCCCATGCGGAGGAGTCGAAAGCCGACGCTTCCAGGGATTTGACCAGGAGCAGGTCTGTGACGAGCGTTATGACGGCCGTGATGAGGAATGTGGCGGACCTCCTGGAATGTGCGTCTGGAGATGGGACAATAGTTAGGAGCGCCAAGGGCAAAGAGCGGGAGGTAAACATAGACGGAGGGCGATCGACGGTTCAGTACGACTCACCCATTGTTTCCGCGTTGCTTTCGGAGTTCAAGTCGATGAAGGAGGAGTTGAGGCTTAGTCGGGAGCGGAGTCGGGAGGAGGTGGAGACAATCACATCTCTGTATCGGTCGGAGGTGGAGTCGGTGAAAGAGGAGCTGAGGGCGACGGAGGGCAGGAGGAAGAGCGAGATAGAGACGCTGAAGCGGCATCATCAAGAGGAGATGGAAGTCATGAAGGAGGCGATCCGGGTTATCGAGAAGGACCGAGAGAAGGCCGCAGAGCAAGACGAGGAGATGCGAGCCCCGCCTCGCGAAATCGCCGAGCTGCGTCGTCGTGTGCTGTCTCTCGAAAGCCAGAGCCGTGCCGGGTCTCATGCGTCTGCTGCACTTGGAGGGGCATCTGGAGTGTCGCTTCCACGGAGGTCAAATCATCATCCTCTAGGCCACCTACTCAGCATGGATGAAGAACAGGAGCCGGTGGTCTCGATACCTGCTCCGCTACATCTGAATGGTGGCCTCGCCTCCGCTTCTCCTTCAAAATCCATTACCCCGACGTCGGACCATTTTGCTTTCCTCGTAGGAGATCGGATGGACATTGATGAGAACACTCCTCTCCCCATAAAGTCGCAGCGGAAGTACCATGCTTTTGCATTTCCTCGTCAGGCAGGAAGTTGAGCCGTGCGGACCGTGTTTATGATTTGTCAATGACTTTATTTCTTTATTTTTGTGAGTCCTCCGTACCCGTTCCTCTGATGCTTCGTGGCTGACTGTCTGCGGCACAGGTGTATGAATACGTTATGATCTCTTAGTTCAGTTTCTCATCATATTGAACGCCGTTGTAATGGGTCACGCTTCGAATAAGCTTGCCCTTGCCTCGCACATTCGCCTGAAGCACGCCTGTATATTACCCGTGGTGCCCGACCCCTGTTCAATACCTCGGACTTCCTGGGCAGTACCCTGATTATCAAGTGAACGTGGATCTGCGTACGTACCGATCCCGCACTGATTCACCCTCCGTGATTGCTTTAGGTTCATGCCCGCGAGGCTCCCTTCACATTTACCAGGAAACCATGCTGACTGACTCGCAGATGCTTATTAAGTAGGGTAAGGCCCTTTCACGGCATCCCGCATAAATTCCATGAATTACGTTCTACTACGCTCAAGTTCCGCTTTTGAGAAGCCATTATGGGCATGAAGCCGATCTACGCACTGGGTGCAGAATGCCTCGCGGAAAACAAGAAACATTTTTCCAACCGAATTTCGAGATTTGAAACGAGATTCCTTTGCTTTGCCTGTCGAGGTGCAACCACCTCGCCGAGAGATAGCATGATGGAGCTGAATGAGTGAGTGTTCGTCAATATGACGGTCAGCACCGAGCAAGGCGGCTTCAAGCGCTTAGTGAAGTTGGGGGGCGCTTACAGTTTGACACCCGTCGCAGAAGAGAGGAGCGCGAAATTCGTCAATATGCAATTACGTACAGCAGAGTCGTTCCGGTGGAGTGATTATAAAACGGAGATGAGAGGTCTCGACACTCGTACTTAGCTCACAGAATCTTGCACCAATTAATCCCTTGCAATTGACGCCCCTGAATATTCTCTTCGGCCTCTCTCCCCGTTGTAAGATAGAAAGTAGAACAGTAAAAAGTCATCCTGCCGCCTTGGAATAACTTTCCTGGAACAGCTACGTTGCTGAAAGCTATCTGATGGGCTACATCTGGCTCTTGACCGGATCGCAAGGATTCCCGAGGCTTTGGCTCAACTATCCGTTGGCCTCGTGGTTTTCAACCGCTGCACTCCATGCTTTTGAACCCTCATTTCCGTGGGCTAGCCCTTCGTTAGCTTTCCGTCGCACAATAATGGCTCCGCCAACTTACACAGCTGCACAGTAGATGCATGACCCTGATAGTCTGATACCATGCTCTCCCGACTTTACATCCCCATTTCACTGGATACAAGTGCTGTCAATAGGCCTAGTTTTGATTTTGATTTTGAATATACAGCCAACGAATCACCCGACGCCAATGTTAGTGTCAAACCGACCTGCGCAGTTACTACAGCGTTTCCGGAAAATCAGACACATTGACCAAGCCAAGGGATCAAGGAAGTAGATGTGAACTGGTTAGAATCTCTGAGGCCTGAGCGATTGAACCGAGACCCAGCCGTCTTGCCCGTAAATTGCGGGAGACGCCCACGCTCGCGGACCGCAATTGCCGCCTGGACGTCTCCGACCACATGAACTGCTAAGCTTATACTAACAAGCGGGTTAGCTCCGCTCCAAGCGCCCGTCACACGCTCTTCTATTTAGCTTGTCTATAGGAAATACAATTTCCAGTATGAAGGGAAAATGGGCCGGCTGCGTCCAGCCTAGAAAAGGTAGAGGAATAATACGATGGGACGACGTACCAAAACTCGACACCCTCGATTTATGAATGTATTTCAAGAATTTGACACCGAACTCTCCCGCAAAATGATCCTTTTATCGCTTCGCTGTCAGAGATTCGTGCACGGACAGCACCCTCATCATTCTGGAACTCTTTCTTTTCCGTAAAGTATGAGTAAGCGCTGCGCCAGTCGCTGGATTCTGCCACGCGGTGTACAAGTATCGAGAGTCAGCTGGCTTTACGCAAGGTGAACAAAGACCTTTCGCCGAACACAGAAAGAGCACTGATGCGGGTTTCAAGGTCCATTCAGCTACTCTAGTGGAATCTCGACTAACCTCCGTATCTGGAGGCTTGAGTTGTATAAAAGCTGGTGTTCGAAAGGATGAAAAATCCAGAAGCCTTCACCGGATTCACTCCCAAGCTCCAACTCACAGTCGAAATGAAGTTCTTCACTGCCGCCCTCGCTGTACTCGCCGCTGTCGTTGTCGCAAGCCCCACTCCAGTAGGTCCTCGCCACTCATCATCTCCCTGCCTCATTCATCACTTTGTTGATTAGGAGGCTCCCGCGTCGTTCATCATGACCGACGCCGAGTTCGACACTGGCTCGCCACCACCGACGCAGAAATCACCTACGTCGGCGAGCCATACAACCCGCTCACCGAGCGCGACATACTCGCCACCAGGGTCACCTACTGCAGCCAGCGCGTGTTCAACGTCTGCGGTGGCGCTTGCACGGTGTACAACGGGGGTGCGACATGTCTTAACGCACCCAACACCAACTGCCTTGCGGCCACGAACAACGTCGGGTTCTGCGACCGTGCTGGGTGCGGCGGTAGCTGCAACCAGCTTTCGACCTGTGGGACGCGTCTTGATGGAGGGTTCTGCTACACCCCTGGCACTCGCTCCATCCTCGTCGGAAATTTCTAAGTCAAAATAAGTAAATCAGCCCTGTTCTTACCCTTCATACTTACTGACCTCGCAGCAACATCGTTCAGCATGGACATCGTGCAAGTTTGGCCTGAATAGCCGACCAGCAGGACAACTCGCACTGTTACGGCCCGTCCAACTGAAGCTCGCCACAAGTTAAATTCTCTGACTCGTTTATATAAGCCCACGAAACCCTAAAAATAGTGCTCCTTTGTAACATTTATCGTGATTGTATATGTTTTCCGAAGCCGAGTTTGAACGATGAAAGCGCCCGCACTGCCTAATGTGGACTCGGATCAAGATTCGATGTCCTCCGGCCCTGCATTGCGTAGACGCCGGAGGCGTCATGACCTCACTAGCACGTGGGATGAAATCACATCCTGCTAGTCTTTTGATGTCAGTCAAGTTCGCCTTTCGGCCTTGACACGACGTCTTCCATTTGACATCTTTAATTCTAATGTCTTTCCCTTTAACTCGAGTTAAAGTCTGATACATAGCAAAGAAATAAAGAGACGTACTTGACTCGAGGGCCTCAATTCCATGGAATATTGTACCATCTCGGGAGCAGCTTCATGATGCCTCTGACGTCTCCGAAGCACGGGGCTCTTGCAGCCGTTCCGGAACCAGAGTAGATGACTGGACAACATACATCTCTGGAGGTCTTGGTCAGTGAATCGGAGAATTTTAAATAGCAATTTACATGCCGCAATTTCTGATAAAATATTAGTGAGAGCCTCGCGTGAGTGATGACCCCAGTACAAGTAATACAAATATGCAACACGGATGCATATTGCCGCGAGACGGAGGCTTACTACTCCTAGCATAGCGAACGATCCTTTGAGAGCCAAAATTGAAAGGCAATGGGGTCGATAAGTTTAACAGGCGAAACAAGATAAGTAATGAGTACCCTATCCGTCCCATTTTAAGCGCTTGACACATACAACGCGCTTTAGGCAGTCGGTGTAGAAATGTCAAGAGTATATGCATATGGGCAAGGGGGCCGGTAGGAGCGCCATGCGAAGAGAGTCTAGGTTGAAAACAGGAGTGTGTCGCTGCGTGGTGGCGTGGGTACCGGTGACTGCCGATTGGCTGGGAGACAATGCCGTCTCAGTGCCGTACATATTCCTACGCCATTCTTTTTTCCAGTGCACCTGCAGTCCGTTGAAAGCTGTCGAAAGTCGACCTGAAGGCAGCTTTCCCCAGGAGATGGGCCATGTACAGGCCACCACCCGCATTCCAGTGCGTAGACTTCACAAGAAGTCTCTTAATTTCGCAATTGAGATCATCCTCGAACGTGAAAGGGAAAAGCCAAGCTACTCGAAGTTTGCAAGTGGTAGGTGAAAGCAGAACCTCTTTGGAACATCCGACCTCGCTCTCGTTCACTTCATTCTGACACAACTCCCTAGCAAACGTTCGTCAAGGCACAAGCAACCATACGTGATGTGCGACTTGCATCACGACGAAGCTCACTTGAGGAAAGAAAGGCAGCACATTTCGCGGCACTGACGGACGTCGCCCACTGCAGATGGGCTGCAACCGGTATTCGGATGGGGAATGGTGCGTCGCCGCAGGGCTAGAATTCGAACACATGTAGGTATCCGATTGGGTTGAATTATCTCGAGTTAGAACGCGTCATTCTTACCCTCGTCCACGTATCGAGATATTTCAGGGGCTGACTCGGACTATCGTCTCGGGGACAACGTCCGACATCTCCCAAATGCCACGGTGCTATCGTCCACGATGTCCTGAATCCTCCAAATTTCGTGTTCTTACATCCAATGAAACTTTAATGAAGGCTACATACACCGTTCGTGTTCGATATGGTGCGCTTCGTGCCTTCAATCTCCTCGTCTATTTCTTTATTGATTGTGAATAATGGAAGGCCTATTAGCAACGCATTTTCGCATTCGCTCTCCGAGCACTCTTTCTATCAGATTTTAAGCGGTCCTGGCTCATTCGAGGTTCTGGAATCTGCGCACCATTTTCCCCGCTTATTTCCCTCACGAACGCGTCGGAATCTGTAGCGCCGGGAGCGTCGAAGGTACCTTCTTTAGCGGTCTAATCAACGACTCCACGCCCTCATTTCCTTGGAAGCTTTCACTCTTTCGGGCGGTGTCTGAGGTAAGTAAAAGCGCCTTCTCATTATATTTTGGGTATTACAAACTACCTTATCGTAGCTCACTTTGCGTTCGCTTCTTGACATTCTGTGCGCGTCGTCCAGCACAGAAATGGACGATTGACCAGAGAGCGGTGCTTAATCCACGCCATATAAGTGTGTCTTCACCTTTCCTCGTCTCCGTTCGGCTCTAAGGCATAGATGAACAAACAGGGGCTCCCTGTGGGAAGCGTTGGCGGTTTTTAAAACTACATCGGCCGGAACCGCCCGGCGGTTCCTTTAACCGTTTGAGGAAATGTAAAATTAAATGTGCCTAAAAATAGCTAAATAGCTGCCAATCGGGAGTTAAATTCCCCATCATCATGACGTTGTGACACTTATGCACGCGCAGGCCGCGGCTTTTCATGACCACGCCAATCGATCGCGCACAACTTCGTGTTTAAAGTCACTTTCTCAACGGACTTACAGGTTTCTCCCAGCATTGTTTGGCAGCGGCCTGTTTGTTCCAATAGGCAACCAAACAAAATGAAGAGAAATCCTTCATTTTGTTTGGTTGCCTATTGGAACAAACAGGCCGCTGCCAAACATAAGGTGACCACATGATGCTGCCGTCGTCACTCCTGCCTCCGACATGTTGCTTCTTCCCTCCTACCTCCATCTCCTACCTCCATGTCTACCTTATCTCTGTTCCGATCCCCCATCTGAAGCTCTAGATGGGCGTATGTTTGCTGAAAACTTGACAAGCTCACCCGTAGAACTGAACTACGTGTTCCGATCTGGCTGATCCGGACTCCGATGGGCTGATCGCGGCCAATTGGGAATGTGAGTTCCGATTTTGTTGAGTGTATGCGCTCATTTCCATTCGACTTCACATATCTATGCTCCTTGTCAACTGTGGACACCTATTGTCCGGGAGGCAGCTCCCAATTGTTTACAAAGGTGCCATCTGCGCCATCTCCCTCCGCATCAGCGACGTCGCTCTCCGCCCTACGCCTCGTCTACTCTACTACCTTTGTTTCACCCGCACGATACCTGGTCGTCCATCTCGTGTGCGTACACACCTCTCCACCACCTGCGTCCTCGATGTCGACCTCCAGCTCAGGTCCGGGGTGGGCGTTCAGGAGTTTGACGCGGAACAGGCGCAGTACACGGTTCCTAAATCGCCCCCTGACACCTGCACCGCAACTCCATCGTCCGCATCAACTTCAGGACCCATCTGCGACACCCTGCCCTACCCCCGCTGGACTACGGCTATGGGTACCGTCAACCCCGGCCCACGCATCCTCATCCTCAGCAGTACCAGTGGTTCTCTCAACACCGACACCAACACCGATTTTTGCCCTTCAAGTTTCAACCCTTCCGATTAACCGTTCACCTGCTCGGATTCAGACCCAAGGCGTTCGGTGGATTCGACATCCCACTGGGCCAGACAAGCACGGTTACGGGTGGTATGTATGAGTATGGGATAGGAGCGATAAGACGAGGAGGGTTGCGCCAAGGATTGTTGGTGGGCGGGGTGCAGGTGGTGTTGCTGTTGGGCTATGCGGGGTAGGAGGGGGATAAGAGGGAGGCAGGGGAAGAGGAGAGGATTGCCCGGGCGCTATGGGATGTGCTCAATGATAGGTGAGCCTCTTTTCTTTCTTCTATGGTTTTGATCCTTCTTGGAGCGGGTGATGTGTTTTCACTCTCGTGCTTCAAGTTTCTCCTTTGTTCGTTCATCCGTTCTTGAGCAATATGTGGATTTTTGTTCCGCCTCTCGAGAGATGTTCACATTTTCATTTTTGTAGCCCTATCCCTTTTTTTTCTTTGAAGCGCTGCCATTCGGAATTTGCTCTTGAGCCCCGTTTGAATCCTTCCTTCATGCACCCTATCGGCGGTCCATTAATCGTGGCGTTTCCGTCTCCCGTTTCAAATCTTTCACGTTCTATGCTGTACATTTCGTCCTTTCGTTCTTGGCTACCCTTTTTCTGGCTGATTGCTGGTCTTCCCTGCTCACCACTGTCCCTTTCTTCGTTGACGGAGCAGTTCGTTGTGATGTGCTTCACGAGTTGCAAGTTTGTCCTGTGTTTCGGTTGCTGGTTCTTACCGTGCATTTACGGGCCTCTTTTCGTGTTTTAGCATTCCCTTCGGCATAGCATGTTGCTGCCGTTGGCTTCGTGAACTCTCGCGCTCAATATTTCGGTGCGTATATATTCTTGAGCAGGAGATAAATGATTTATCACCGTGTTCCTCCCACAGCCCACCGCCGCTGCTATCCCACAATTCCCGATGCTGGGCCATGAAATACCACCCGGAATGTGAAACCTAACGCTGCTCGTTGAAGGAGGGGTTCTGAGGATTATCCACCTTGTCAGGCTTGGCAACACGGTGAAGGACTGCAACGAGCGTAAGTGCCCATTTCTACACGAGCGTATCATGAACTTGCCTTCTGTTGATTTGCAACATGTAGCCCTTGATTTGTTGCAGCTCTGCCTGTGCATTCGATTGAACGCCTCCTGATGTTGATATGTAAGCGAACGGCCAAGAGCAGGAAAGGCTGAAGATACGGTGAGTCATCTCTATGCACAAAAGGTCCCCCACTCAGTGCATCCGCCGGAATACAGTCCACCGCTGGCGCTGTAACGATCTCAGGAGTCCGACGCACAATCGATGGAGATCCGACGCAAGAGACCATGCCTATGCGAGATTGACGGCCGGAGAAGATAGGGAGGGCAAGGGTCGATACAGGTATGAGGCGCAAGACCTAGCACAAGCCATGTAATTACCTCGGGCAATGAAATTTACTATGAATGTCGGCAGAAAATCATACACGTAAATAAAACCTAGCTCAGTCAAGGTAGAAAAACCGCCAGAGCTTAGTTGTATTAACCGCCAAAAGAGTCCTTTTGGCGGTTATTTTCACTTTCTTCCGGCAGGGCATAAAACCACCAGGTGTAGTTTTATATATTGCCATACAGGTGGTTATTTCAAACACTTATGCGGGCTATGAGAATTAACTGCATCCTGGCGTAGTTTTTAAAAATGCCCTGGCTTCCCACAGTGGGCTGGCATCCCGATATAGACCGCCAGCCCGACCCAGTGATAAGATAACGCCACCCTCCGACATCGTCGCTGGCGGGAGAAGCTTTGCTGGCCAGATCCCACTAGTACTGCGTAACAACGCGCTGTCTTCTCAACGCGCCCTATGGCCAATCAATGCCATGGGCGCCGACTGACAGTATCCTTCATTTCTAATGCGATAGCTGGCAGCCAAGTCAGCTACATCAATTTGGGTAGTTGTCTCTACCATGGTCTCAGATGCGCCACACATTCTCTATGAAACGTGATGATCGCTCGAGCGATTGTCAGGATCAGAGGAGCATGTTCATCACGATGGCGGGCTTGTTCTGCTGCTTCTCCTCATTTTTCACAGCCAAGATGGTTGGAGCTCGGGAGAAGTCGGACTTTTGGGACAGAATCTCGACCGTAGATGGTAAGTTCTCCCGTTTGGCCTACTTGCGCCGCACCATCACCTCTCACGCAATGATCCCAAGTTCATCAAAGAAGACAGCGTTAACAGCTGGGACCTGGGCGGTGTAAATAGGTGACGGTTGCGGACCATTCACCTGACTGAAACGTCAAGCTTTTTGTCTGATTGCTCTGCTTTCGGTTCCAGGACTACAGCCCGTCGCGTGTTTCCCGTCGGAAGGCTTACGACAATATGCTTATAAGACGGCGATGGATGATTTCTGACACCTCTTCCATGTCTTCCCTCGCCGGTATGCTCGAACCCGAGATTCTGACCAACATTGCCCGCACTCTGTGAGTCTTGGAGGTTCTCCGCGATAGATCACTAACGAAAAATCATTTGCCCAGTCGGATTTCAAAATCTACGCAGCTCGCCGGGTTCATAACCCTAGTATATGATCATGGTAAATCTATCCTGTCGATTGATACGGCAGGCTCACTCGTAGGCTCTTATGTAGTTCTAACGATCGATGACGAGGTGCGTTCGAACTTCCGGCCAGCGCATTCCAATTATCTCTGATTGACAGATGCAGGCGGAACGCATCTGGAAGGAACGCTTATCAGGAGCATCACTTCTTTTCCTCCTCAACAGATATGTCTCCTTACTCCGAGCTATTGTCGGTATCGCAGGTAATTGGTCCTACTGTAGCCTACTTGATTAATTCTAACATGATGTCTGCACAGCGTTTCACCACCCTCGGTGGGCAGGAGCCATGTACGTGCGCGGCTGTGCTTCTTATTTGTCGAATTAATGATTAGTTGTTGTTGCGTTTAGATGCGACCATGTTGTCCACTTCCTGGGCTCTTCGAGTGTTGTAGTCACGAGCCGTAAGTGACCAGCGAGATTTGACGAAAGTATCTCAATGAACTTCCCTGTGCTCGGCCAGTATGCGGATGTATGTAGGGGTCCCTGAACTGCTCTTCGTCGTCGGCTCATGAGGGCGATCTATTTCTATTACTAGTGCTTATGATATTGCGAGTCTACGCCCTATACCGGCGTTCAAATACGCTCCTGGCCTTCCTACTCTCAATATGGATCGCACAGCTCGTTGCGTCGGCAGTAGGTGTAAGTAAAGCCGAAGGTGAGTACTATTTACTTCTGGACCTTGTGTTCTTAATCTTACCATTGCCTTATCCTTAGCCTTGCAACTTCCGCCCGGACCTGGTTTCGTCGGTGCGTCGGGATTTCATCCAGGGCGAGATACCACTGAGGAAGAGATTCAGGATGCATCTTGTCCGCGCCAAGCAAATGGTTCGGTACGACTCGCACTTGAACCAGGCCGCTAAAGCCTCTAATTGTCTCTTTCAGCCGTAAATTGGGCCGGCCCACTCATCTTGGACGGTACCGTCTTTTTTCTGACGCTCTGGCGCACACGCGAATACATTTTCTCCTCGGATAGAATACCGTTTGTCCAGCTCGCCTTCCACATGACATCTATTAAGCTCTGTCACTCGCAGATTACTTCATATCCTAGTCCGTGACGGCACGCTGTACTTCTTGGTGATCTTTTTGGTCAACCTTTCAAATGCCTTCCTATTCTTTGTACGTCGTCTCCGACATCGCATCACAATTGGACAGCCACTTATTTCCTTTATCTCACAGTTCGCCCCTCAAAATCTCAAGCCCGTTACTTCGCCATTGAGTGTCATGCTGACCTCAACTATGGTTTCTCGCCTCGTCCTCAATCTCCGATCTGCTCCTTCTGCTGGGATTAATATCGTCAACACGGCTGTATTGCCTCGCCCGAACACATCCATCGTGTTCAGCACGATGGCTACGCTTGCTATTGGAAATATGGGAGAGGATGGGGCCCTCGAAGGCATCCAAGCCCGCCTCCGTCAGGTATTCAGACAGCTCAAGAATTCCCCTGGATCCCTAAATTATAATTATAATGTTGTAATTGTATATGGTATTTATTTTTAATATTAGACGCGAACACGAAGTACCTACTTAACCTGTACTGATAAATTCGATCGAGGGTACTCGCAACGACGTCGGTGTCGGGCCTTGACACCGCTGAGCCTGCGTGACGTTGTGCCCGATGCGGCCCACAACTTGTCACCGTGACTGGCACAACCACAACTTGGCCATCACTGGCAACCACCGGCTGGGTTGTCGTTCAATATTCAATGCTTTACTTGAGCTTGAAGCTTGAACGTTTGAACGTTGGACGTTGAACATTGATTCCAAACCCCGATTGTTAAACACTTCAACTGGAGACAAACGCAGTTCAGCTCTCGGCATGTCCCTAGCATCCATAATTATTGAGACATTTCTGACCTTTTCTTTGTTCTCCTAGGGCACTGAGTGAGGTTTTCACTATGCCATCCGTTCCGATCGAGATATGGTCCGAAACCGCCTGTTATTCACCCCGCCAGACCCTTGCATCCCTCTCGCGGGTATCTGAGACCCATCTAAACGCGTGCCGACCTATCCTGTATCGTAACCTTTCTCTAAAGAACTCACGTTCAAACCACGAGACCATCTCCCTTCTTCTCGACTCCTCCCTTGCTGTGAGTTGTGAAAGGTTGGAATTGATAACGGATACCCCTCTGAAACAAGCAGCATGGGTGCCGTTGGACGCCATAAAGCACATGGAGAACCTTCGAGTGTTGGTTCTGGGTGGTGCGTCACCGTTTCCTGACAGCGAACACCAGCAGGAATTCGTCGGGGTCTTGTCGAAATACTGCCCAAACTTGAAGGAGTTGGAAGTGAATGTCAGTTCACAGCACCCGAGGTTTGATATTGAGCCGTTGCAGGGGGACTTCGGTATAAAGGGTCTAACAAAGCTGAAATGGCTGTGTACACGCGGTGTGTACCTCTGTCTTTCCAGCTGCTCTCCTGAGCGCTCATTCCTCATCGTCAGGGGTTCGTATCGCAAGCATGGCACTCCATTTTCCCACCCAGCATCTCGCTCTCTCCTTCAAGCATCCAGAACGACGTTGACCCATATTTCTTTCCCCAATGAAATTGACGACTTCGAGGCTGCAAATATCGTTCAATTCAGCGCCCTTCATTTTCCGGTGCTCCAGTCATTGGTTTTAGGACCTTGGCTCGATGTCTTCACCGAGGAACCACCGAGCGCCCTGGTTCGCTTCCTCGCCGCTCATCCAACCATCACCGACTTCGACCTCGGATACTTCTCAGACGATGAATTCCGTGCAGATCTCGAGCCCGCTGCCCTTCAAGCCGCCACAACTCCCGTTCTTCCTGCTCTACGCCATCTCCATGCCCATCCATCGCCTATTTGCGATCTGGCCCGGCATGCACCATTGTGCTTCAAGTCGCTCACGTCTCTGGAGGTGGGAACCGGTCTCGAAGAAGACGTTCCATACGAGTACCGCCAGCTTTTCACGGCTCTCAAGGCCATCGGCGGCCTGCCAAACCTGAAGAGGCTTCGGTACTATGTTGGCGAGTCGGAAGGAGACGACGTCATGTGCATGGAGGCATTTTCGTCTCTTTGTCCCCTTTTGGAGGTATGGGCGGGCGACCTCCCTTGGGAGTTGTTGGGACATCTTTCGAAGTTCAAGAATCTACGCGAGGTATTCGTCAGGCGTACGACAATACCCGAACCTTGCCGTCTGTCCGTCACCCATGAAGCCACGAATTTAGGATCGAAGTGTCTACAGCTCTCAAAATTTGTTGCTAGATACACCGGAATCCCAAGGGCAGTGTTCGTCGTCCGTATTTCTCGAAATTTGGAAGAGTGTATTACGTCCACCAATCTCAGTGAGGAGGATCGTTCGTTCGAGGAGATACTTGATTGTCACCCATGACCGCGTTTATGAACACCGAGCCGTCATATCTGAAGCGAACCAGAATTGGGTAGCGTACTTAATTCCCCCCATTTTACTTTTGCGAGAGTTACGGGGACTTTAAATAACTTGAACTTGGTTTGTAATATCAGTGCATCATCCATGATCTGACATTGGGTTTGGGGCATATACGTTAATTCATAAAGCTCTTCAGGCTCAGACGATTGCACACCTCTGTGCTTTGGCCACTCCAGGCTCGACGTAGGCGCCCCATTTGTTCACTTGAAATTCATCAAAGTCCTTAACTGCTTTTCATTCAACAGGTCATTGGCCGACGACTCGGAGATCACGGACATGCGACAACAAGATGGCAAGAAAGTCATCGCGCACCAGGAAGGTAAAGTCTCGGCGTTCGAAGCAAGCCAGCAGCTAAAGTATATTAGTCTGTGAGGGTTCAATCTGGAATGCCAATATCCGCTTCGCCTCCCTCCTCAAAACACTTTGCGAGGACGAGGCCTATACGAAGGCTATTCATCCACAGTACATTGGGGACCGGCGACGAGACCACGGATTCACTTAATCTAACATAATTACATCCAGAGTCATGACGCAACTCCTGACTTGCAGAGTTGGCCGCACTTCCGTCTTCGAGGAATACACATGGTCGAAGCTGCCTGTCCCGTGGGTTATCTACGATCTGACCTTGAGGCCAGCACGTGTCCCATGGGGAGTCTATTTCGGAGGAGTGTTAGCTGGTGAGATTGGGAGTGATGAGAGAACCTTGGACGCAGCCGATCCTAGAAAAGGCAAACGCTTCACGCAAAGCGGTCAAAGATATGGATAGGGGTGGGAATCCGTGGGATGCCATATTGGGCAAGAGGCGAGCCCAAAGCAAACCCTTCTCCCGAACCACTATGTTGGCCAAGCTACACCTCGAGACACGGCGCACCCACTCAAGATCATCAAAAAGACTGACAATGGTCGGAAAAGTATAGAATATCTCTCTCCCGAAGAACTTCCTCTGAGGAGACGAGCTGTGTCTGCTGAATATTTCAACCATGTTTACTATCTGGAGCATTGCCTTCCTTCCATCCAACAAATCGTCAAGAGGTTGCACGCTATACGCGAGGAATACGCCCTTTCTGCACGTGCAGTCAACAACGTCGCGAATAACTCAGCCTACACAATGGGGAAGCTATCCAAAGTCTATATCCTAACGAATGGTTGGCCATCATTCGTGAATAGGCTAAGGGGCGAGCTGCTCAAAGACGGGTGGGAGGCGGTGTTTGGTACACTCGACATGGAACGTGCGGTTCCGTGGTCGTCATTCAATGCACGCCACGAGGATGACTCGTTGGCTTTGACGAAGGAAGAGCGCGGCGTCAGTGTTGCAATCGACATGGCACTTGCAGAGCGTGCGGAGGTTTTCGTTGAAAACGGGGTATGTATGTCGCATTTCGAATTCGCTATTGCTTTACGCTGATTGCCTTCTCAGTTCTCTAGTCTGTCGGCCAACATCGTTATGCTGCGCGCAGCGAGATCCTTTCCAACCTCTTGGAATCGTCTGTTGTAGTCTGACATGAAGGGCTTAAGACGTACGTAGAGTATGTCATGCTATACGAAAGTTCGCTCGATGAGATACAGTTATTCAAATAATCTACAGGCTAAAATACATTTTTGAACCTATCCAGTCGTGCAACATGCACTTCAAAACAACACAATCTGCTTCTCCAAATCCCACCCGATTTTCGAGAGTAGTGCTAATGGGACCGTGCGTTATCAGCTCTTATTCCATACACAAACGAAGAAAGCAACATACTTTTAACCGTCTGCTCCATTGTCGTTGGCCCACATATACATACCAGTTTATTCTCTCCAGGTGCAGGCAGGTGTGCGCGCAGCATCTCCTCTGAAGGCCTCCCAGTGGAGTACTTCCAGTCATTCGGCACATCCTTGCCCGTCAGGCTATGATGCATCTTCAGCCGCCCACTTCCATGCACCTCATCCAGCCGCTCAAAGTCTTCTCGACAGAGGATATCATCGACGTTGCGGTTGACGTCGAGAACCCACACATCGGGGATTTCTGCGTCTTCCGAAGAAGTCTCGTTGAAGATCGCGCGTACGACCTGTAGGATGGGCGTCACCCCGCTTCCGCCACACACGAACCCTATCTCGTCGATCGGCATGGAGTGTCCATGGATTTGCGCTGTGCGGTGGCCGAGCCACTCGAAATGCCCAACAGGGCCCTTGACTTCGATCTCGTCGCCGACGACGAGCCGGTCGAATTCGACGCTCATGCGGCCGCCGAGGGGGAATTCGGGGCACGGGCGGTAGATCCTGTATAAAGCTGTTAGGTTAGTAATCACCAATTCGAAAGCAAACCACGTACTTGATCAAGAAATCCAAGAAGCCCTTCGTGTTCTGCGCGTCCGAAAGCGGCGTGTATGCCCGCTGCACGATCTCGCCCTCGCCCTCACCCCTCCGCCGGATCCGCACATACACATGCATCCCCGTCGGCAACCCCAGCGCTTGCTCGTCATGGTCCAGTGCGAACCTAAATATCTTGGCGTTGTGCGATACAACCCCAAGCTTGATCAGCTCGATTTTCTTCCACTTTTTTGCATGGAGGAAGGTACCCCCTGGACCGAGGTCGTCGGTTTCTTTTTCTGATGTAGAGGGTGGGGAAGAGGGGGAAGAGACGAGCGTCCCGATGTGGAAGTCGGCGAGCTGCTGTTTCGCTGCGGGGCTGTGGATAGCAAGGAAGTCGTCCGTGGCATCCTCGCCGGCGACGAGTTGAATAGAGGGTGCACCGCCGGGGTGCTTTTCTAGGAAGCCGAGGCCTTCGTACACCTCAAGACGAGTCAACTTTCAGGAAGGTTGTCGAAGGAACTATGTATTACCTCTCCGTTTACGACGAACCAAGCCTTCTCCTTCCCTTCCTGAGACTCAAGCTCTTCCCTGGAGATCGTCCGCTTTACGTCCGGGTTCGTCATCACGATGGTGAGTGCAGCGGGCCTCGAGACCTCCAAGACAGTCGGCGCCTTCGCATCTTCTCCTTTGGCGAACCGAGGATATGCTGGGTCGAGGCCCTGGTCTTTGAGTCGTTGCATCCAACCACCTGGTTGTGTGCCAGCCACTACAGAAGGATAGTTGAGGGCATAGGACAAGACATCGAGAAACAGAACGCACTGGTGGGATGCTCGAAACGCAGTTGTCCATCTCCGAGATCGTGAATGCACACCTTGAACCACCTGTCGCAATAATAGTCAAGTCCTGAAAAAGAGCGCACTTAGGACCGAGACGACACACCAGTTGTTCATCATCCCAGTCGGATTCCAATACATATCCCTGGGTTGCACTGCCAACGATTCGTCCATCGCCCTGACCATGATCGACCCCGCACCCTTCAACTCCTCCATCGTCGCCTCGCACTCCCAGAAAGACCAGCAGAAACAGTTCTCGCCTTGCTCATTCGTACCCAACACGCCATAGATCGGGTCCACGCCAAAGTCTTCCTCCTCCACTTCGCGGAAGGCGTCCTCGAAGTACGTAATCTGCGCAAGCCGCCAGGAGCTTCCTTCGTCGAGAGTGATCTCGACACGCGTGATTCGACGACCACCGCCAGCGTAAGCATATCCGCGGAGAGCGTAGGTGGAACCAGGTGCATGGAGGGAGGTGTCGAGGATTTCATCGTGGTTCGGATAGGCGATCGCACTGTTCACACTGAGCTCTCGTATGAGGTATCTGGGTTGGAAGAAAGTCGATGAGATGCGGTTGAACTGGCATTAGATCCACGGAAGCTACATGCCTTGGATCGTACCACCAGTGCTTCTCCGCACGCGCCTGCTCCGCCGTCAACGTTGTCGGTAGGACCTTGTTGTCGTGGAAATGAAGGTGGTGTTGGCTTTCGATGGGCGAGAGCTCGATTCGTGCTAGCCATTTTACAGAGCGGCCGCCGATTTGGGAGGGGACAACAAGGCGGAGGGGGAAACCATGATCCGGCTCTAGTCTATCTCAAGATGAAATCAGGGTTTGGCGGGGAAGAGAAATAGAAAGGACTTGCGGTAGCCCGTTCATCGCCCAGGCCAACATCATCCCTTTGCTCTTGTTTCGAGCCCAACTAAGTAGCTGACTATACGTGCTTCAGTTCACATCTCTGCGACGAAAAGGGCTTATATACTCACCTTGTGCCGTATGGTCCATTCGGAAGATCGTCTGAGCCCTCGAAAACAACGTGCTTTGCACCTTTCGTTGGTCTGACATATTCCAGAAGATCGGCGAGGTACACCCCAGTGAAAAGAGCTGTCGAGACACCCCCTGCACCCCACGAGAACCCGAGAGATTTCGCGACCACATTTTGCTCCTTTCTTCGATTTCCTGCGCAGACCAAGGTGATAGGGAGAGTGACGACACGGAAACGCGTCCTGAGATTGGCGAGGGTAAATGTGGTTGGGTTTGCGCACAGCCTAAAATAGCAAAGACCACCACGGTCACTGTCAGCCAAGCCAAGCACATCGCCAACGCCCACAACTGAAAGCGGGACGTTGGTTGATCTTCAAATTCGGGCTCACCCGTGGACTTTGAGCTCCCACTTCTCCGCCCGCTCGAAGTCGACTTTCGGTACCGCGCCGTGGTTGCGCACAAAGAAGAGGTTGGTAGGCGTGATGAACCCTGCGGTGTAGAGGTCCCTAATCCGTGCCTCGGCGTTGAAAGGGTGTTTTCCGGTAAGGCGCACGAGCCTAGAGTCGCGCGTGACCCATGAGTCGGGGGTATCTCTGCCAGGGACGGTGATGCCCAATGAGGGCATGGCGCTGCTTGATATAGGACGGCAACGTACTTGTCCTGCGCGTCGATCACAGCGCACGCGCTTTCCGGCGGCAGAAGCGGAAGCTTGAGATCAGCGGGAAACTGTCGTGCTCGACGTTCAATGAAGTGCGAATCATGCTTCGCGAGGCACGTTGGAAGGAATGGGTAAGGCAGTTGGACTCCCTTCTGTTGAGCTAGCGGGTCCTTGTCAATTTCGGCGGTGGGTGACTCAAGAGAGGAGGGTGAGGTGGTTCCAGACGTGGTGTTCGAGTTAGACGAACAATACTCCTCTAGAATAGCCTGGGAGGGTTTCTTTGAAGCAGTGAGCGTAGCCATCGAAAGTAGATAAGATTTTCGCTAATGATAGACCATCGCAACGAAAGAAAATGTCAGCAAAGCGGGGTAGATAAGAGAAAGTCTAACTCACCAGAGGACCGTCGATCCTGGGCTGCGAAGGTAGCAAGACAGAATCTGGTGGGTGTACCGTGCAAACAACCCTCGTGTTGCTCGTGTGGGCTATTTCTCACCCGCCTCCGCGCAGGAAAGAAGGGAGAACCAGAGAAGACAGGATGATTACTGAGGCCTATCAACGCCATACCCAGGCCCCTCAGGATATTTGGTGATAGGGTTTAGGCCGACAAATCCTATGGCCTCTATTGGGTGGATAAGGACTTTCAGATAGAAGAGCGCCGCCGTTTGTATATTTCGGAGAAAGGGGATGATGTGGGGATAAGTATATCGTTCTTCGTGCCTTCAACGGGAGATAAGAACTGGGGGTGTTATCTTTGGCAGTGCGGAGACGGCTTAGGCATTCGGACGTATCTCTGGCTTTCATGGGGTAACAGTGAGGTGTACGCGGACGACAGCAAATATAAGTACATGAAAGTATGAAGCTTGAATGGACGCGTTACGTGAGCGCTTAGACAGCGTCAGACGTGATTTTTAGCCCGTTTAGTACTTGGGCACCCTAACAGGAAGCAGGATGGCGTTGAGAGCGACGCAAAGCACCCCCATTATCCAGAACGCCTGCCCCGCTTGTGTTTGGAAGCGGAAGATGATGGCGAAAACGATTCCGCCCAAGTTTCCGAACGAGCCGACAATGCCAGACATAACGCCCTAAAGATAGTGTTCGAGGGTAAGCTAAAATTATCTGTTTCTATGATGGTCGTGTGAGACTCACATTGTTGTACGGGTTGCAATGAGGGACGAGGGCGAAGTTGGCGCCGTTGCCCAACTCGGAGAAAATCATCGCCACACCGAACACACCCATCAAGGTAGGCACTGAGTGGGGAATCGACGATGCTCGTTAATACCAAGCAATGATGTGGAGAAAGGAGGAAGAAACAGCACTTACGTTCAGAATCCCCGTTTACCCGGGTGTTTTGAAGATAGAACCCACCCCCAATCATGGAAGCTCCCATGATAAGGCCGCAGGCAAGCGTCCAGATCTTCTTTCCTCGTGTGCCGTAGTACCGATAGACGACGTCGCCTAGATAGCCACCCAGAGGTCGAGTAACCAAGTTCAGGAAACCACTGGGAGAAAGGTTGTCAGAGGCGACGGCGAGTAGGAACATTCGAGTACGCACAAAATGGAGGTGTAGTAGCCCGCAGTGGTCTGATCGAAACCCTGCCTCTTCGTCGCGAAGAGGTGGTATAGTACGTCGGCCATCTTGCTATCAATAACCAGCTCGATGCCGAACGTCGTGAGGTACGCAAACGCCGGCAACCAAGTCAACGGGTTGAGGAGGATCTTGGCCGTGCTGGCCAGCGTGAGGTGCTCATTGACTGCAACGTCGACCGTCGACCGAATGGGGGGTTGAACAACAGAGCCCATCTCTTTCTCCTTCTCGGAGACGCTAACCACCCGCACCATGCCGTGGTCGGTGGAGTCCTTCTTCGAGTCCTTCTCCGGCGTCTTATCGGTGCTGGTAGACTCGGACTCGACGAACTCGTCGGCAGCAAGGGCGGCAGCGGGGATGTTGTGCCGCTGGTCCCAGGTGCCGGCAGGGTGATCCTGTCCGAAGACCATGGTCAGAAGGGCGGTGGTCAGGAGGATAGGAACGCTAGAAGTTCGAATGAGTATTTTTGCGTTTGGAGGATAGGAGAAACGTACGGGACGATGGCGAAAGCAGCCCTCCAGGCGCTGTGGGATGAGAGGCCCCGGTCGACAGTGAGGCTCTGGAAAAGAGCGACCATGACGGCGAACGTTGCACCACCGCTTCATGAAAATCAGCGAATGTCATCAAGGTAGAATAGAGGAAACTGACCCCATGTTTCCCCAGCCGCCAACGAGCGCATTGGCCGTCCCGACGCAGTTTTTGTCGAAGAACGCTGATGTCCACGCCTGGCAGGGGACAAACGTCGCTCCGAGGATACCAATGAAGAACCTCAACACGTAGAGCGTGTTGGCGTCCTTTGCCGTTCCTGCAAGGCCAGAAGGGATGGCACCCAACACCAGGAGTGCCGCCATGACCTTACGAGGCCCATAGCGGTCGATAAGGGGCCCGACAATGACACGGATGACGAGCGTCGAAAGCAGGGCGATGATGTTTGAATTGCCGACCTCCGCGTTGGACAGGCTGAGGTCTGACCGGATGGCCTCTGGGATGAGAGGTGGGAAGGCGAACCATGATAGGAACGCGACAAAGAATCCGACTGTAAGAGATTTATAGTGCCAGGAAAGGGAAGAAGTCAGCGATAGCGGTGTGGGGGCGGGTAGATAAGACTCACGCCATGAGAGGTGGAACGCCCGCGAGTACGGGTCGTTGAGGTTGAGAATCGGGATCGTGTAGCTCTTCAGGTTGAGCGGATTCACGATAGCCGGCTCCCAGAGGTGCGACCTCTTGAACCGCGGCGCGACAGCGGTCGTTCTCTGGTTTTCGGTGTCGGACATAGTTCACTGGATATCGACGAGCACGAGTAATGGCACCGCAGACTGCGTGTGGGATTTTCGAGGACAGCTTTTTATAACTTATCTCGAAAGCCAATTGTGGTGTCGAGATAACGATATCGCCTCATCCTTCCATATTCCATACTTGCCCCTGCAATTCCTGCCGAGGACTACAAAGATAAGATCACTACATAAAGATACGCACCTCCGCACTGGACTCCTAACTGCCTTCTTCCTTCGGCTTTAGGGAGCGATGAAGTGAATGGGTACTAGGCAAAGCGTTCTGGGCGGCACCTCGAAGGAATTAAAGGTCTTATCCACGTCACCTGTAGGACAGACTTTACGTCGATACTTCAACTGTAGCGCCGCAATTCCTATGCGATAGGGGAAAGTTCAACGACGTTGAAGCCAAAGAGGTTAGAGGTTGGCAATTCAACCATTCCGTTTGACTGGTGAGACGAAACGGGCGTTCATTTCCTGAAACAGAACACGAAATTGAAATTCGGAGCCACCCGAAGGCACACGAGCAATGAGTCCATTAGGCGGGCCTGTGGCAGACCATTGAATTTAGTTTGAAATACCTAATTGTGAAGGGTAAAAAAGTAGTTTCGCTTTGTTTTAACGCTTAAATAGACGGAGACGTTGGGTCGAGCTCAGTCAAGGTCGGTGACTCCTAAATGAGATCTCGTGACCATCGTTTACCACCACGTGCCTAGACGCGTGGCTAAATTTGGAGCAGCGCCTCCCTAATGTGGCAGCAAGTTTTGCCTTTCTCTTCCACGGCTTCTGCAGTTCATTGCCCTTGTATCTATCAGTTTTAAATGGAACAATCAAACGTGCATGTTTGGTCAGTCTAGCAACATTGTGGATGGCCCCACTACGTGCAAGTACAAGCCCGAGGAGTGGACGTCGACAGAGGGCAGCGACAATCCTTGACAGGTAAACTTACTACGGACTTATAGCCTGCGTGAAATCTTCTTTATCCCACGATTCCCGTGGTTTAAAGGTAGGGTGGATTGGATTAAAATGAATAACATCCCGAACCATACGCAACGACTCGGAGCGAACTCTAGTTCACTCACCGCGTAATCCGGAGGCCCGCGGTCCACGTCATGAGGGAGCTCCTATGAAGTCGAATTCTTTTGTTGACAGCTCGAAGTATGTTCGTATAATGGCTGTATTTTCGGATTAGAGCAAAGATCATACATGAATGTGCAGAATTAGGGTCTCGAACAGAACACGGTTGACGGAGGCCTCCTCCGTGAGCCGAAGAACCCCACATATGTCAGCCTTATGTTTATTTTGGAAGGGTTGTGAGTTAAGTACGTCGGTTTTTGCTAAAGCGCCTCAAATATTTGATTTAAACAGCGTCTCAAGAAGGTTGAGGACAGTTGACCTTGAATATCGAGTTACCGAGAAACGAAGAATGAGGCATAGCCTCGTAGAAGCCGTAAGAGCCGAGCGCTGAAGCCGAGCGCTGGAGGTGTATCTCCGGCGTCTATTTCTAAGATTCCCTTGGCCCATGCGTTACGTTCTGCACCGGTAACTCCGCGAGCTTGTTCGACAAGAAGCGGTCTGCTAGGTCTTAATTTTCGCTCTTTCTCTTGTTTCCCGAGTTGAACTAGCATATGTTGTAAAATCCGCAGTGCACGCAGTGCCGACACTCAGGCTGTTCTCTCGCTCAGTTTAAAACGAATTCAGTCAACAGCTCAGAGTACCCATTCCCATCTCTCAATGCCTCCGAGCCACGCGTTTTCTCGCTCCCACTCGCAGGGGCACAGAAGTCGCACTAATGAGGCTCGGCCTCAAGAAGCGTCCCAAGAGAGAAGGGATTCTAATTCCCAGTCCAGCCAAAGTTGGCCTTCACGCCCAAGTTCAACATCGCATTCAAGCCACTCTTCCCACAGCGCCCAAACATATCCTAGTGTTCATGCACCCCAAATTGTCGACTCTCTCATCCTCGCCAGAGCAAGACTTCGGCCACAGCCCACTCTCGAGACGCGCCTCCACGTCTCGCCTTCGCGCTCGACGCAGTCGAGTCATCGCGCTCGTTCGTCACCGTCGCTTTACAGCTCGCGCCCTGCCTCATTGCCTCCATCGAGGGTCGCTTCACATTCAACTTCGTCCTCGAGCAACGGGCGATACTCGAGGCGCGGCGACTCATCCACATCCACAATGCGACCTTTGGTGATGTCTCGGCGATCTCCCCAACCGGCGCCTATTGCAACCTCGGTTGCTATTTCCTGTCCGCGATCGCGACGCTACCCTCTCCCTAACCCAGTCATCATCAACGTCTACACCTTTTCAATGCACTCGTACTCATACCGCGCTGCCTAGATCCGCGTACCTACCCGTCCAAATGTTAGACTCTTTCCGACTTCCAACACTCTACTTTTAACTTTTGATTCATCGCATTTCTTTCGTTCTCATCGCTCGGCCTCCTGCAGGCACATTCATTCGTTCACTTGTTTTGGGTCGGTTCTGTATTTTTTTTTCTCCGCCAGATTACTCACTGTCGCTCTTTCGACCTTCGTTTCTCCAGTTCCTTGCTGCGAGGCTCTCCCACATACATACCACGTTCTCTTTACTTGTTCTCCGACTGTATAGGGCACCTGTGTACACCCGTGCAATGCCACCACATTCATTTGTCTCCTTTCCGTCGTCTAGATGATGGGAGGATCGTCGATCGATATCCTCAGCATGTGTTTCTGCGCTTTTCAGTCCTGTTGGTATAAGCTATCTCCGTACGGTCCCGTCTTGGCACGCGAACTTTGCTCAGAAATCGTCGTCTTTGACTGCCGTGAACCCCGCGACGAAAGAATAGTCTCATGAGAAATTGACCTCAAATTGGCCGTCGGATCTCGATCTCCCAGGGATATGTCCACGACTGCTCCCATATCTAGCTTCACCAAGTAATCGATGAAGACGACTCCTCGATATAGCGATTCGTTTGTGCGTTTGGGGTGGAAATCGCCTCTTCCAGAGGCAGTGTACAACGGAGGTGTCTGGATCGTCTGAGCAACGACCCTTCTCTCTATGCAAACCCCAAGAATTCCCGAGTACAGCAGACATTGTTTGGGGATCCTGGTGATCGGGTTGTCGCCCAGTCCCTCAGTCCCCAATGTATCTGGAATGTGTCACTAAATGGCGTCCTGTACCGAACTTGCTCGCCTGTTCTCTGGAAGAACCGTCTTCGGCGCTAGTCTCCAAGGTGCAAGATACTTGAATCTTGATAAACCCGAAGGATATAAGCTCGGCCTAGATTCTTTGGGGAAATAGACCTTTGATGTGTGTCCGCTATCCCGAGTCGTCTAATGGTTCTTCCTACGGAGCTATTGACACCGGACAGGCTGCGCATGCACACCACAGACAATAACCGTGGTGGGCCTGGGATACGGTGTTGTACTTGCTCCTTGTGTAATTGTGTTTTTTTATTTATGAGGATTGACTTGGTGACGGCGCTATCCCAAAACAGTAAGTCGGGACATCGGGAGTTATTGCCGAGTGCGGCGGTTGCTGTTGGCGGGCGTCTATTCTTCGGCCACTCTTTCAGAGGTGGTTGTCACCCGCTGGAGGGCAAATTTGTGTTCAGTTAATAAAAATATATTCTACCGATATAATTCGTACAAAGAACGCCTGCAGGGCAGTCTTCACTGCTCCTCGTTCGGCCTAAAGGGGATTAGAGCTAGAGATCCCTTGACTCCCACGCCCCACCAGACAGAGTGACTCGGAGCGGGATATACGAGTTCAAAAAAGAAGCTGTGAATTCTTGCTCGGATCGATGGCAAGTGTCCCGAATGAGATACCATTGGAGACCTCAATGGCATGCCGTTCTCGCAGGAAACATGGACGGGTGCAACCGTGAACCCCGAGCGCGCAGCAACAATGCACACTTTCATAACCTTTGTTCACAGAGACCTTGTTAGGCTTTATCAAACTAGTAGATATCCAAGAGCACCGCAAGAGAGACATCCGGATAAGGTGAGGAATTAGCAAGCGATGCGCAGGAGTAGTTACTAGGGCATTGCAGAGAACACTGATACCAGCATATGCCTGTGTGTCCATGTACGCAAGACAGAGAACAAAAGACAAACTAAACGCTTCCACGTCTTCTATCTGGAGACGAGCTGTCAGTCTGTCCACCTGTTGGCTGATGATTGATATGTCCGAAATTGATGGGCATGCCACTTCACCTAAGTTCAGGAATGGGGGCTTAAAGTACTTGGCAGCATACTCTACCGAAATGTGGGGGCGACATAATCGATCATAGGTACCATATGTCCCCCATATACCGTCTATCGTATCTGGGAGGGGAAACCGGGATAACACCCACGCAGCCACTGTGACAATGGTCAGCAAGCGCCCAGGGTTCTCTCAAGCGCTATGCTGTCACCCTTGTAGTAGGCCACTTCTCGAGTGATATTACTACTACCTGATGAGGGATTGTCAGTCCACCCTTATTGTCTTCAACAATAGAGCGGATAAGAAGCTCACAGGTAAGCTACAACAAACCCCTCATGGTAGCTGTCTGAGCTTTTCATGGTGTCAAAGGAAGGGAATACATTCTATCAATAATCCAAAATCCGAGCTCGAATCTCCGAGAACTTCTCAACCCTGTCCTGGAAAACAAGCATGACAGTGGGTAGCAAGTTCCCCTGGAACCATCCTGTACTGTTTGGTTCTTTCTAATTCCGCAACTAAGTTTCAAAACCCCCCGGTATTTGCCTGACCCCCCAAATGTTTGAGGCAGTTTTGGACTCCGCCACTCTTTTCTCACATCTTACCTGCGAAAAATTTTGTTCAAGTTTACCGTCATGCATTATGAGCTAAACCTCTGACACTGCAAAGGCGACATGCTCAGTATCCTGGCCTGGCTGCTGACATGCCTCTGTTTATGACTTGGATTCCTCTGTCCTCCTTTCGTCTCACCTCGGCGACCTCGCTGTCGTCAGTCCTCTCGCCGTCATGGGTGATTGCAGCAAGCCAGTCCCGGCTGCTAACCACTTCCTAGTATCGTCACGCACAAGTTGTCCAGCAACTTTAGCCTTCGCCAGCTTCGACTGGACCGATGTCACGCACGAAAGGTGGGGTAATCGTACGGAGATCACCGGGTAAATATCCCCAACAAGAAATGTTCAATGAACGTATATGGGCGTCTATAATTAGGTCATTTTTCGACAGTCCCAGGGGGACTATGCCCTGGATCTAGATGCAAGATGTCACTAACGATATCTATGCTCATATTCTTAAAATTGTGGGAATTAAGTGTGAATGCCTCAGACTCAGAGCGAACTCAGTTCTCGCTCGAGCTTGGAGCTTGGTGGTGAGCACCAGGAACTCTATTTGTCGATCTCTCCGCGAAGCTTCGCAGCTGGGCGGTGATTAAAGTGTTACTAGATTTAGGAGCAGCCGAAAAACCTAAAATAATACACAATTCGAAAATAAGCATCCATCAGCAACACCTTTTTGTCCGTCAGTCAAATATCAACTTGGATCGCTGTTCGCAAGTGCTAGTGATATTTGTCCCCTGAGCTGTGCGCATCACGTCCCATGAACATCTCATTACGGTTGTATTGTGCCAATGCACCGCAAATACGATTATGGCTCCTCTGTGGCATACCTACTGATCCGCTCCTAGAGATATAAATCACTGTGGACGCCCACAAAGGCCCTTCGGAGCTCCTCTAGTAGATCCCAGTTCGACCTCGGAAACTCGCCATCTCGCGTAGTGTAGAATCCTCCCACCCAGTGAGCATATTGATCGCACTTCAGGACTTCACGCAGAAATGGCAAATTCGTCTCACCGAAGTTCAAGCACACGCTATCGATCAGTGTCGCCATCGATAGTCCCTCGCCATTCTACCCACTACCACTCATACAACCACCTCCCCTATGCCCATCTTAACGGTACTCCAGTCGCTGACTCAATCACTGGCATTATCACCCAGCCCAGAAGACACATTCAGCGACTCTATCAGCCCCAGGCTGTCGAATACGACGACCATAGACACGATTCAAGCCAATGGACTCCCCCTAGTTCGCCCTCCGTCATCTCCTCATCCTCATCCTTTCGTTCCTCGTCCGTCGACCCATTAATTCTCCCAGATGATAGCATCGCCGATTACGAGCTGCGAAACACGCTCGAGGTTCCCATTGCCCATGAGCGTTCCCGTAGAACCTCCACTGGAGCTGTTATTTTAAGGTGCCAGGAAGCCTATTTTTCCGGCTCTCCCAATTTAGCGTCGTCCAGGTCAAGGGAGTCATCGGGCTCGCACCATTCCATAGCCCGTACTTCCTCCTCACGAGCCCCCTTTGCCAACCGTCGCTCCCCTTCCCCTTCGCCAGCTCACTCCCACAGTCCGGCATCGCCGATAGTTATTTCTGTGTCGTCGAGTGGCACAGTTATCACGTATATCAACGTCCCGCCAGCAATGCCTATAGTTCAACAGCACTCACGGACTCCCTCTTATCGTCGTCGACGCGACGCGACCTCGTTTGAAGGCTCCCAGACGGCTCGACCTCACCCGAAACCAGTAGTCCTCAATGTCCACATGTACACCATCCATCCCCCTTCGTCTCCCGTCCTTTTTCAGTCATCTCGTTCTCTGCCTCGAACCAGTCGCCACTAGTCCTAGACAGAGCCGACGGAGATTTTTGGTCTTGCGGTTAATGGCCGTTCTTTTCCCTGACTTTTTACGAGTTACTCGAGCTCAGCCTTTTCTACTCTACCACAAATGTTGATATCCGTCCTAACCCTCTTCTTGTTATTCTAGCAATTGTACTAGTGTCACCCATGTACATGTTATACCCTGTACCCCAATTCATTCCGTGCATGGCCATAGTCTCCTCCGTTTCTCGTATACTCAAGGGCCTACGCCAACTTCTATGCTAGTCTTCACGGTGCCTCCGATCTTCTCGCCTGAGCAGAGGGGTTCGTCTTCTATTCTTTGACCTGTGACCTGTCATCCTGGGTGTTATTTCACACATTCCGTCTGCCTCATGGCCAAGTCGCGCGCGTCTTTCTAAGATTAACCATTAGCGTTCAGCGCGCTTGAATGGATCTTCACGACGAAGAATAGACGAACTGTGAACGACGAATCTAGAACCGGAACTCGGTCCGGGCCGTGGACTTGTAGGTCCACTAGGACTTGCCACGCCACCCAGGTCATTGTTCGTACAGCCATACGCGTTCAAGCCAAGCCATGGAATTCCACACCTATACCGAGGACGCGTATTTCGAAGGGGGGACGTCGGCCTTGGGAATATCCCATGAGACTCGCTCGACCGCGAACGCCGAAAGTGGAGCATCACAGCGCGCTTTCATAGCCTTCGTTCCCGAAGACCTCGTTAAGCTTCATCGCGCGGGTGTAGAGTGATGGGGCACCTGAAGAGAGCAATGCAAGTTGGGAAAGGAGATAACGGCCCTCATGGATGGTACTGCTGTGTTCGAAATCGCTGGCATGTGGTTCGCGCCTAAGTTCACGGCGTCCATATGTAGGTGAGCGCTTAAAGTACTCCGCAAGGCGATGCCCTTTTCCGAAATGTGGAGCTGACGCGCAGACGCAACCCACCACATGTCCCGCATATACTGTCTGTCAGCACTTGGAGGGGGATCCGACACAGCATATACGTTGTCACCAGGGTCAGAGAGCATGCGCGTGGTTTTCTCAGGTGCAGTGCTGCCTCCCTTGTGGGAAACCTCTCTGCTGACAATTAATCCTGATTCCTGACAAAAGACTGGCATTAGTGGCACCGAGTCCTACAGACTTCCGTCCGTACAACCGGCGGGAAGGAAATATTTAGTACGTGCTGTTGTCTGGTCTCATTGTTTCCAATAATAGATTGGATAACAATCTTGCGACTGAGCCATAGCTATAGGTTCGATCAATCTAACCCCCCAGTCCACATCTCCGCGATTATATTTTAAAGAAGAATAACAGTACCCTTGACTTCATCACGTTGTCAGTCCGAGCGCCACAATCATTGATACGTCCTTATTAAGCCTGTTCCCCTGTGGAAGTCTTCCTGGGTCTCGAGCAGTTGAAAGAACAGAAAGAGAGAACAGGGTGTGTCACCCAGTCGAATGGAAGTCGATGCTGCGCTGCGCCAGAGCGACGTATGATCTGACTCATTCCAACTCCCCCAACAGGATATGGTACTATTCCCTAATTTGTCTCTGTCTTGCCTGTCTCTTGCACTGTTAATTAGACCATTCCGCAGACCATTCCGTAACATATCCTCGAGTCATGTCGGAACTCTTGAAATTCAATCGCCACCAAATCTGGCACTGGAGAGTCAGGCGCAAGACCTGCCAATTATATCAAAAACGGTGACTGACTCTCCATTTTCGGACTCTCGTTTGACACATTTACATAGGAGACACGTTCAATAGGAAGCGGTCTGAATTTATTCCGTCCATTAAGACCCCGCGACGGCACGGAAATGGGTGGGTGCCGAAGGAGTCCCGCTTTGAATTCAATATACTCAATATTGAACTGAGAAATTTGATTCGTTGCAATGTTCTGCAGGGGATCGACATGTCTTCTATATCTAGGAGATGCACTCACGTAGAGCGCCTAATGATATAGGCGCGCAATTACCAAAAGAGGAAGTCCGAAGGGCAAGTCGCGTCGGGCTGGAATCACCTCGCATGACCACCCACAAGTGGTTTATTGCACTATACACACCCTTTGCTTTTGTGGAACGAGTGAGTCAGATTATTCACAGCCTCTGATTCCAGTACTTCCCCCAAGCGCACCGAAATGGGGAGCATCCGTCGTATTTTTGGTCGAAATAAATATTCTACGCACAGCAGGAAATATAGACCCGCACTGCTGTTATAAGAGGCGGTAGTGAAATTTATTCTCTTCTGTTCCTTCGCTCGCGCGTCATCCATGACTGAGAACAACTCTTCTCCTCGCTCGCCGGTTGATGAAGTCGATCATCGCAAGCGGATTCGCACGTGGGCAAGCGATGTGCATCAGTCCCTCGAGAACGAGAATAACCAGCAACGGCGACTCCCAGGGACATTCCCTTCCGACAGTAGCGGCGTTTCTCCACGTCCTTTACCTTCTCTTCTTGTCCATCACGCTTCACGTCATGAGCCCCACGGTCCCCACCCCCAGATCCGAACACAAGAACGTTACGGTCCAGTCCAGATCGTCGACTCAATAGACCTGACGAGGGATCGTTTAGAAGCCCATCGCAGACCCCACTTACCACACACTGCGCCCGCCGACGAGCGCGGCCACCCACGAAGAGCAGATGGCCATCCCCCCTTTCAACCGCTTTGTCCCCGCCTCCCTTTCTCAGCGCCGCCACAGACATCCTCCGAATCATCGAGCTCTACGCTTATTTCCATGGGGTCCCTCCGCCGAAGACGGGACGCTGAAAGTGACGACGATCGCGTTCGGCCTGGAGTAGTAACGCCGAGTACTGCTCGGCCACTACCACAGCGCCCATTGGCGTTTCCACCGCGCTCACATGTGAGCTCACCCCAAACAGCCCATGGAACCGAAGAATCACCTTCGTCCCGTACTTACCTTCTTCCTCGCACAGTAGACCACTTCTTGCCGACTCACGCCGTTCCCTCTCAGCCTATTCCCCTTCCGCCAACATTGGTTCATCGCGAGCCAGCCAGTCCATTGCAATCACCAGTTCACCCAGTGGGGGCTCATTTGCCTATCTCTTGGACCAACAGAAGTCCTTACTCTTCTCGCTCGGCGTCACCTTATGGAGGCCCAATTTCGCCTCGTCAATACCGACCATCTCCATATGCACCGCGTTCCTCATCTCCATCTTTCTACACACCGCCGACGTCTCCATACAGCACCTCGCCTTTCCCATCTCATCCACCCCCGCCTAACTCATCGTCCCAACCAGGCACAATTATCGTCACTTTCAACAACGCTCCTCCACTTCCCACCTCTGTCGCACCCACTGCGGCTCGAGTAGATGACCGTTCAAGTTACTCATACGGCACGACAGCGGTAGCGGGGCCGCGTCCGTCTATTCCCTCGCAGAACACGTCGCCCTATATTGTGGTTATAATGCCCCCTCAATAGACGGTTGTGATGAGTGTCTACGACCGTCGCCGCCGACCGCCCTCTGAGTCCTGAGGTTAGACGGTCGGCGATAATGGTATGCTGTCGTTCTGGAAACATTTATCTTCATCCTCCTGTGCGATACTTTCTTCAACGTCCTGCTGGTATGCTGCCTTTTGCTGCTACAGACGTGAGCTGTGCTCTTACTTACATCCTTAAAGCCGACCAATTCCAGTCCATACGTGGCGTTTCATTCTTCACGCTATCCAAATGTATACCCTGCACTCGCATAACGACTCTCCACTTGCATTTATTTTGCTTTCTATAGTCGCTCTGATACCCACTGTCTCATCATCTACCTAGTCTGCGTATCCCGTTCAACATTATTCCTTATTCTTCCGTCAACATCGTGTTCCAAATACCCAGCATCTTCGTTGTATTACACCTGCTTTCGAGTTTGTCCGCTCGTCCTCGCTTTCCGCGCTTTCATTTACTGCATACCTGACGTGCATTTTTGCTTTCGAGATCGTCTTCGTTGCATGTTACTCCAAGCTCTTTCGCAGTTTCGGACTTTATGATCCATCCCTACCCATCCATGTATTGCCTTAGCGTCCTGAAGTGATTGTCTTTACTTGCAGGAGATAATTTTAATGCCCGAAATATAGGAATAGGGCGAACGGCCCTTCTGAGGAGAGGGTGAGTGCGACAAAATCCTTTTACAGCGGCTCCAGACCTCCCTTCAGCTTGAGCTCGGCATAGAACTCGCCAAGAAGAAGTTTGGAGGACACGTTGAAGTGCCGCTTCATACCCTAATAAAAAGCCGAATAGGCGTAAGCGCACAGCGAAGAAATTTTTTACGCATACCTTTAAGGCATCGAAGCGTTTAAACGCCCTTATAGTCTCCCGATCGCGTATGAGAGAACTTTACTAACGATTCAGGGAACGTGGACATGAGTTTTATTTATTCGGTGGCGAGATACGAAAATACGAACGTCACTGCAAATCGAGTAGCATTTCAGTACGAGAATACTTCATGTCTGACATCGATGCGGTTTAAGTGGCCCTCCACAAGGCAAGAGACTCAGAATTTGGAGAGAGGTCGTGTTTAAGTGAAGTGCCTGAACTTCATCTCTCGGGCTCGCGATACGCCGGCTTCTTATGAAATCGTAGTTCTCGGGATGCGCTTTTAAACAGAAGGAATGAGATAAAGAATGCATTGGAAATTTGGAATTGAATATTAGACCCTTACGTACCTAGCATCCGCCTTTCGGCGTCGAGAATCGCTCCTACAGCTGTGCGATGAGGTCCTATTCTTCCGATTTGGACGACATTTCTCATATTGTCATGATCTTTACGGAGTCGTTCACCTCTTGTGAGTACCACCGACATAGGAATTGAGCAGTAAGTGCGGCCCTTGACGCAGTGTTGACGCGGACCGGCGCGGGCCGTTGACCCTAACCTCACAGAGCCCTGGTGACTTGAACTTGGGTAAACGCGTCTTGCTTTGACGCTTACACCATCTCAGAATCAGAAAATCCTCAAGTCTAGCTGGGCTTTTCTGCGGGTCGCGCCTGTCTCCGTCACATCCCCTCTTTTCAAGGGGAATTTCCACGAAACTCAAGGAACATTTTCTGTTTTCGAGGTATAAATAACATCGTCAATTCACCGAGCTCACCTACGTTGAAACGTCTGAATCCACGCAGAATCTTCAACCATGAAACACCTTCCTCAAGAAATATGGTTCCTCATCGCCAGTTTTGCCCATCCACGCGACCTCCCATCTCTCGCCCGCGTGTCCAGAACTCATCCACATGCCTGTCGACCAATCCTCTATCGTAATCTTTCCTTGAGGAACTCCCGCTGGGCCGACGAAACCATGTCTCTCCTAGGGACAACTCTGGCCCTGAGGATCGAGAAGCTGGAGCTCATCACAGACGCTCCAATACCGAGCCAATGGCCGCCATTGAACGTCGTCAAACACATGAAGAACCTCCGAATTTTGACCCTCCAAGAGGCGTCTCCATTCGCAGGTGAGCGGCAGCAACAGCAATTTGTCGCCGCTATAGCTAGCTGTTGTCCGAAGCTCGAGGAGATTGAGGTTGACCTGCCACCAGAGGCTTTGGGTGATGAGTTTGGTCTGCAGGGAATACGAAAAGTCAGATGGACGTACTCTTCTGGTACGACTTTCTTCGATTGTTAAGCTTTCTGAACTCACTCTTCGTGTGCAGATATCAATTCACTGAGCATCCCATTCTCCGACAGAGCCTGCCGGTGTCTCCTTCTGGCATCCCAAACGACGCTGACGCACATATGTTTCCCTGGAGACATCGACGATTTCGAGGCGGAACACATCATCTCCTTCAGCACCCTCCATTTCCCCGCTCTCCAATCACTCGTTTTGGGAACTTGGATAGACGTGGACTCACCCGAGATCCCTACGGCCCTCACCCGGTTCCTTGTTGCCCACCCCACCCTCACCGAGGTCTGCTTGGGGTACAGCGCCGACGACGAATACCGCATCGAGCTCGATCCGAGTGTCCTCCACGCAGCCACCACCCCAATTCTTCCTGCTCTCCAGCGTCTGAAGGGCCACCCGGCATCGATTCGCGACATCGTTGCTCGCTCGCTAACGACACTGGAGCTGGGGTCTGGCCAGGACCCAAACGTGCGATTCGATTTTGCCGACCTGTTCGACGTCCTCCGGGGCATGGGCAGCCTGCCCAACGTGAAGAAGCTGGGGTACTGCGCGGGTGTGTCGGCAGAGGATGACATGGACCTCTTCTCCATGTGCATGGATGCCCTCTCTACTCTATGCCCGCAGGTAGAAGTGTGGGTGGGCGACCTGCCGCGGATTGGAACGACGCTCTGGTCACTTGTGGAAGTGCTGTCCAAGTTCGCAAATCTGCGCATGGTATTCGTTAGGTTGTGGGATGTCCCAGCACCGCATAATTTGTCGGTGCTTGATGGAGCCAGGGCATTGGCAGACCAATGTCCACATCTCGAACGGTTCGTGTCGAAGAACGAAAGCGGCGAAGGGGTGCTGGTCATACGTATTTTGCGGAATGAAGACGGGCGCATGACGTCGACCACTCTGAGGGAGGAGGATATTACTTTCGAGGAAATATCAGCATGATTCGGAAGGTGTCTCGAACACACGGATTACGGTGACAAATAATGAATTAATAGCCCTTCTGTACCTCACGACGACATTCCTGCAGTGCATACCCTCTAATTGATCTCAGCATGTATTCGTCGGGAACTACGTACTTATCGATCGTCTACTGTATAATAAATACGACATACAAGTACAAAATCATGGTTCCAGATGAACTGAGTCCCGATTAGAGGCAGGCTTGGATCCCTTCGACGTTTCGACTTCCTCTCCCATATTTCCGATAGCTATCGTCGCCATCGTGCTGAATACGATAGATGTGTTCGGGCGTGATAACGTGGCAGAGTTGACCAGCTTGACCCCGGCGGCAGGGGCAGAGCGGAGATTTAGGACGAGACGGGAAACCATCGCTGAAGTCAGCATGACAGTCAATGATGAGGCGGCAGATTTAAGGTTGTTAGGGGCAAACTATGTAACGAATTGCAGATTAGATCTATCGAAGGCCTAATGTGAAGAGGGTGTGGACAACTTACGAAGTACAGGAAAGCGTTGGAAAGATTGACCAGGAAAATCACGAGGAAATAGAGCGTGCCGTCGCGAACCAGAATCTGGAGTAAACTAAGAATAAAAGTATTGTTACACACCTCACGAAAAAGCAAGATAAATGGACGTACGGGATTTTGTCCGAAGAGCGGAGGTATTCGCGCGTGCGCCACAGCGTCAAAAAGAAGATAGCACCGTCCAAAATTAGCGGTCCAGCCCAGTTAACGGCTGAAATCGAGAATCAGATTGCCAGAAACAGAACTGGCATAAAGCGTTGTCTCATACCAAGCCATTTACTTGTGGCGGTCAGAATGCATCCTATAAGTATTAAGTACGTCTTCGTCAGTATGATCGACTTGTAGGTTCGACCAAGGTCCTTCCGTACCGACAAACATGGGACCAGGAGGCAATTGCAACGCTGAGTATTAGAGGTAAATTTAGTAGAGTAAAGCATTTCGTACTCAAAACTCACCTCCAGCAGTACTTATCCCTACCACCGAGGTAACTAGTTGAGCGACCCAGATTGACAGGAGTAGGACCAGAAGGGTATTTGAACGATGGTATAAGGCGTATACACGCAAGATCATAAGCACTGGAATTAGTGGGAATTTCATCAGAAAAATCAATAGGCCGTATGACGTCCAAAAACTGCATACGTCCGCATACTAATGAAGTAGAGGGAATTTCAATGAAGTATCCTCGTCGAGCATCTCAGTTAACTCACGACTCGAAACGGAAACACTTGAAGCGCCGAGAAATTGGACAAAATTAGAGCATCTGAAAGAAAGTTGGAACGACGGCAAAACGACGGTTCAACAGCAACACTGATGAATGATCCACATACGCGGTGCCGGTCCATTGGGGGTGATGAAACGCTGGACAGACCTCGATATTAGAAAGAATAATCAAGGAAAAGATACCGGGGCTCCCGGCTGATTACCTGTGGTGGCCACGATAGATCGTAGCGGCGAGATATATCTGTTCAGCAGGAATAGAAGCGAAGCTCCTGATAGCCGATGTTTCCAGATGCGTTCCACCTGCAAATATCTGTCAGAGACGACCCAAGTTAAGGGGCCGCAAATTTCAGAACACCTCGTCGTCGAAAGTCAAAGCTAAATGGCAATTAGCAAACTGCAATTGGCAAGGAATAGGCGATTTACCATGGTCGTATAACAGAATCACGAATCCTGCGAGCTGTATGGATTTCGAGATCCGACTGAACAGAACACTTTCGTCAGTCATTATCTGGAAAGTGGATAAGATGGCGACTCACAGATTACGGGCGATGCTAGCCAGTATCGCGGGCTCCAGTGTGCGAGGATGGGAAGACATGAAAGGTGTATCAGGGTATCCAGTGCGCCGTTTATAGTACCGAAACCTACTGTCATGCTCCAGTTTAGAGTTGAACTAACCGTAACAAGTAAACACACGCACAGAAAACCTGACGTTTCACAGTTTCAGTCAGGTGTATGATGCACAACCGCGATCTATTGAACTCACTCGGGTCCCAGCGTTTAAGACTGTCTTCCTTGATGGACCTGAAATCACGAGGCATCCGCTGGTGATGCGGCCAAATGGGAGAACTTCATGTCGATGAGTAAGATTAAGTCCCAGAAGTTGGAATTCTCCACGCAAGACGAGAATAACCAACGGGAAAGCTTCAGCGCCGCAATGGTGTCACATAGGCAATGTGAGCCGGACACTCGAGACGAGGAAAGCAAAGGGCTGATAAAAAGGGACAGAGCGGAGAGAGTCTGGATCTACCAACGGAGAAGGGGCCAATACGAATGCTGGGGTTCGCAACTTCTGTTTCTGCATCGTCCGTCCAGGGCCGATCGAGGAAAAGTGTTGGAAGACTAGTCGGCGAATGTAGAGAAGACTGGGATCCGGAAGACCTTGAAGCTTGACCTGCTGAGCAATATACGTTAGTCGCGTGCTGAAGAGACGAGGCGTACTTACTGTGGCCTGACAGACAAACAGCAGGAGTTTCCCGGAGACGACCGCGTTCCGTCATCTGAGTGCATCTTGTTCAGTGGCTTTGGGTACTGTAGACGCAAAGAAGTTGTGGATGTGTTCAAGCAACTTTGATTATCGATGCATATCTCTCGAATGCGTTGTTTGATCTGTAGAGCTTCAAGTAGCTGCTTCAAGAGACGGACCATGGATAGCTTGGGAAGGTAGGCGACCATGCGAAAATGGGTGCCCAAAGATCAGATAAATAGGCTAAGCATTTCGATGTTGTGGTAAGAGACAAGCACGATCTTGTAGCGAGCATAGAGCGGCGAGGAGAACTGGAAGAGGCCAGTATTAGACTGCTTAAAAAACTTTGGGACGTCTTTTCAAAGCGAAAAAGACACCACCAGCGCCAGATAGCACTTAAGAATAGAATGACTCACCCTTGACCCTAGGTCCCCGACAAGCCCAAAGGAAATTCTCAAGACAGAAAGCATTGTCCCAGAGTTCTCGGGCTCTTGATTGCTGTAGCAGACTCGCGTGTAGAGTAGCCAAAGTTTCGTCAGTAACGGGAGATGGAAGGCAGCAGATGGTCCACGATAAGATACCAACGTTCAGGGGAGCTGGCAACACGCTGGTGGCGTGGGTACGCCGGATGAGTTTGCCGAAGCATGCCGATTTGCTGGAAGGAACCGACCCAATTGGTCCGCGTGTGGGAAATGCGGTGCAGCCCGACCTTTATTCCTGGGTTTCATTTTTTCGTCGAGCAGTTAGGTACAGGAAGGTGAGTTTCCGAATACTTGCGGTCGGCCCCAAGTTAAATCCACAAGGTGATAGAATCGGGTTGGAAATCCAATCCTCATGCCGGGAATTATGACACCCATCGTACCAACGGTCGTTTGTCGAACTCCAGTCTGGTGTCTAGTTGGAGCCTTCCGCCACATAAACCATGATCCGCCGTTTCACCAAATGCGGAAACAATTGCCGTATTCGGGACCCCATAACTAAAGCAGATCGAAGCAGACCAAAATGTGCGAACATTGCATGATCCAATACATCTAGAACCGACGACTTCAATTTGCTGTTGAGTGCTTTTCATGCGCACCGAGCTGCTCTAACCTCACATCGATTACTCGCCGGAAGAAGGTCAAAATGGCCATCGGAGCCCCGGTCTGCGGTACCAGAACATCAAATTCACAGTGCCATGTATAGGTGTCCGAACCAACCAAAAGTATGGAGGTCGTGAGCGCGCATTGGGATTTCTCCCAACTCTATCATCACGAGATCGCGAGACAGAATGGAAGTAACCGTGTACTACTGATGAACGTAGCTGCTATTCAAGCACTTCTCATCAGAGTACAACACTCCGACTTGAATGTGTAGATGTGATCTGTAAGTGTATCACCCCTCAGGCCTCCATCGTGACTGCCGTTAGCGACTTGAATCAACCTCTATTTCTAACTGACATATCCCCTCACCTCCTAGTGGCATTTATAGATCAAGTCAAGCGTCCCAATCCCCCTATCTCCCTTGTCATCCATATTTCTTTTCTTCTTCGCATCAGCGAGGCCTGGCGCTTTATTTCTTTCTTTTTAAGCCTCCTTCCTTCCTTCGTTATCTCTTGGCTTATCCGACATGCTATTCCTCATGAAGCTGCTGGCCTCCTTCACTACCTTGAGCTTGGCTGCCACAGCTGCTGCCGTCCCTATATTTTCATCCCGCGGTGCAGCGTCGAGAACGGCAGGAGCGGCCTACTGTAGGTCGACGTCGTCATCCATGACACGCCTTCTCATGCTCTTCGCAGTCATCACGAACGAAGACAAGAATTTCGTTGTGGTAAATAGGATCTCTCCTGACGGTTCCGTGGTACGCATTTTATCTCTGAACCTTAGGTCAACTTTGACATTCTACACTCTCAGAAATTAGCCGGGGCGATTTCGACCAGAGGACGTGGCGCCGCTGGAGCGATGGAAGCGCCGGGACCAGACCCGCTGTTTACACAAGATGCTGTCAAAGTTGGCGGCAGCAACCTCTTCACGATCAACGTAAGTTTTCCCATGTCATTGCGATATTCACTGACGTCTCACAAACCACGGCCAGGCGGGATCCAACACCGTCGTCATGTTCAGCATTGATGCCGCCGATCCCGCTCGTTTGAAGATGGTTGGCAATCCAGTGAGTTCTGGCGGCGAGTTCCCCGTATCCGTCGCGTTCTCGGCTGCAAGAAATATGGTCTGCGTTGTGAACGGCGGAGCTGTGACCAACGTCAACTGCTATAAGCCCGATGCCGAGCTTGGACTCGTCGCTATTCAAGGCACGAATCGCCCACTCACCCTACCCGTGCCTCAAACGACGCCTCCGACTGGTCCAGCAGGGACCATCTCGGACATCATCTTCAGCGAAGATTCAAGCAAACTCCTCGTCTCAGTCAAGGGAGTTCCACCGACCCCTGGGTTCCTTGCAAGCTGGGACGTCGCCGAGAATGGGACGCTCTCGGAGGAGTTCTTGTCTAGCCCACCCGCGGAAGGCGGACTTCTGCCATTCTCGTTGACGCTGGTCAATGGAAAGAATGCGCTACTCGCGACTGATGCAGGGGTTGGGTTCGAAACTTTCGACCTAAATACCTTGAATGGAGCGTCCTCCTCCCCGGCTAAGAGCCAGGTGGTTCCGATTGAGGGTCAGGGCGCGACGTGCTGGTCCAATTTCTCCAACAAGACTGGGACGTACTTTTTGACTGGTCAGTAAAACCGTCTTCTTTGGCTATTCTTTATGAGCTGACCAACGCAAGATGAATAGACATCATCACGAGCATCGTCACTGAGGTAGACGTCCTCGACGATCTGTCCGGTAAGATCGTCAAGCAGTATCCCCTCGCCCCGGGGTCCGCCACGATCGACAACGCCATCGCTGCGCTTCCAACAAATGACTTCCTCTATGTACTCTCCCCGAATGCCACTGCCATTGATGTCATGGCTTTGAACGGTCCAGGTCAAGCGACCTCCGTCGGTCGCTTTGACTTCGGCGCAGTGGCGGCAAAGCTTAATTTGCCTGTCAGTCCTACCAGACTGCAGGGCATGGCTGTATTCGTGAAGTCAGTGTAGACGATGGAAATTCTTTGTATAATAGTTTGGTGCCATTTAAACAAATTACATAGTATCAGGCGACGAGCTGTGTCTAGGCCGCAATCCGCAGATTCAATATTCAATACACGAAACATTTGGTTACGTAGAGGAATACAAAAATCGAAACAACTCTATGCCTCAGTGGCGATCGTCGAACTTCCAGCGCCAGCGGGAAGCGCAATCTTAATTCCAGTGAAATTCCGGCTCTTCCGCCCGCCAGCTTGTGCCTTCGATCCACTTTCCATCTCTATGCTGGTTAGACCAGACAAATAGCCTTGCTTTATCTGGGACCTTAGATGGAGCAACGCGCGACTCGGGAGGATTGTGTGGAGTGAGCGTATCATTCTACGATGAAAAGACGTTAATTTCAGTTGGCACATCCTATGAGCATTGAGGAGGGAGGATATCCACGCACGAAACTGCAATAAAGCGATATGGGATGGGTATCTACAGGCCGATGTCAGCGCAGATTAGTGAAGGGCGAATGAAGTAGCCCACAGAAGTGTTATGATTCAAGATGATGTTGATTAGAGAAATCACTGGATAGTTGTTCCATCGTTAGAATGCCTCGTCCATACACCCAGGGCGGGAACGAACAGAAGAGATAGACGTAGTAGATTATCCCTGCCCGACTTGGTGAGAAATCGAAATGAACGGACGCATGAAGTAATAGGTGTTACCTTCTCCGTAAACTATCTTGAACAGGGCAGTACGCCCACTTCTTTGATCTGACACGGCAAATTAGAATTGAATAACCGAATTAAAGTCAGAACGAATTATGACCGCGGCCTCACTTACATGACCGAAGCGTAGCAGTGAGCATAAGCAAAAGCATCACTGCCGAACAGACATTACTGAGGATATGGCAAAGGACAGAGGAAGGCAATGGATTCCGCACGCACCCGTGTCCCAAGCCAGGAAGAATTCGAAACTTGATGACTCGTCGGCAGCAGCCACGATACACCCCAAGAAAGGCGGTGGTAAAGCTACATCTAGAAAGTTCAAAGAGATCAGACAAAATTATAGGAATGAGCTGCTGCAAGAAAGCGTACATTTGATGGTTTTGACGAACACCATGAGTAACGCAATCGCTGGGATCCATGACCCGGCGAACAAGATGGCAAGAAGGAATGCCATGGACTTCTTACGATTCCAGACTGCCCACACGCGAAAGCAGAGGACAGCTAGAAGGGCGATGGACGATATAATTAGGGCACTCGATGACGAAGGGGAATGTAAGCCCACCCTCCGAGGTAACTACTCCGACTATCGAGAAAGATTTCCAGGCGTAATTGAGGCGTGTACATCGCGTCTCGCTGATATTTTCCCCGAAACTTACTGAAAGAAGGGGAAAACGTGGTCGGTCAGTCGGAGTCAGCGAACAGATTTTCTCGATCAGAGAGCACTTACTATACATCCCCAGCCCCATGATGTCGATAAACGGAATATACCGTTGGATAAGGAAAAGGGCTTTCACGATCGTCCACTTTGATGCCCAGATATGCTCGACCTCCATCCCGAATGTGAGGAAGTAGTCCCATAGAAATACAACGGTGGCGGCGACTGCATACGGAATGATTTGAGGGCGTCGAGTTCGAATGAGCGCCTGAGCGAGACTTAAAGCACACGGGAAGACGCACGGTCTATGCGCTGACAAGTAGTAGAACGACGCGCGGTTAGATTAGCAATCGTGATATATCAAAGACGGGGTGGAGGTACGGACTTTGATTACGGTCAAAACTCTTAGATTTTCTACAAGTACGGCGGGGTCCATTGCGACGTTGCACAAGTACGCAGGGTCAAGGAGACCGAAGGTCGGAGGTGAACAGAGGGTCAGTTCGTGTTAGCACTGTGTGACAGTGTTGAACAGCCCTGAAAGTCCGTTAAAATATGACGCTGAGCTCCATCTGATGGTCAGCGAGGGCTGTGAAGACCGAGGTTATCAGCATCTTCTAGTCCCCTTGGGCGCAATGGAAGATGGAAGACAGCGGTCGGACAGATGACCTATCTTAGCAGGTCGTTTATTTGTCATGAGGATGATAGCTATGATGATTGCCTTCCCTTCTCCAACGGAGATCATCTAATCAGGTTGATATCAGAGACATGGACATTTTGTGAGAACAGCACTGCATATAAACATGCACTTAACGTTGGGAAGTTCTTGATGAGGAAGACGTTCCAGCGGGCATTCCGGATTCTTTTCCGCTCCTCTCTCGCAGAATTGTACCCATCAGACGCATGGCTGGCCACGAATACTGTCTCTGCGAAGCATAGACCATTCCCCAACATGGCTCCGGAAAATGTGGAGTGAAAGCGATACCTTATGCCCGTCAGGTTTCTGGGGCCGGAGGTGACGGCTGTGGTCCAAAATATTCGGTTTGAGTGACGCCTCCAACCAGGAAAAAAGTCTCATGCACTGACAGCTAGCCGGAATTGTGCGAGGGGAGCAACGAAGATGCGAGAAAGCCGATCAGGGGTGTCAGAGCTCAAGCACTCGAGGCTGAAGCCAATTCCATGATCTGATGCCACCGGGAGAGCTGGAGAATATTGAGATGCCTGAGGAATCAGGAATGGTGCACGAGAGACGTACCATAAACATGAGAGAAAACAGAGCGGCGCCACCAGGTCAAGATATGTGCTCGAGTAGATCAGTTACCTGCTTCGATGATATCTTCACGTCGATGATGTGTTGCACTAGTAGGAAGAATCTGCGACGGTACAAGATGGTAGCAGAGGTAAGAAAGGTTCTTTCTCCAGTGAATGAACGGAAATGATAGAAGGCATTCGAAATAGCTGACACGGGCGATGTCGATGAACATCGAAGCATTTAAAGAGTGTAAAATATTGACGTTCACGTTCAACATTGACGCGCTAGGAGCGCTCTTGAGCTGATGAGCTGAAGCGTACGAGTGGCGTGGGATTCGGACCTTGAATGGAGTTGCCGAAGTCTGCCGATTCACTGAGAGTGACAGTTGCGTTTGTTTAATCTTATCTCTTCACTACCCGTCCATCTGTTCCCCTCGAGCCACTGGTACCTCAAGCGCAGTGTTGGCGCCCTAATATACCTTCTCTTGGACATATGGAAGGCGTAGCAAAACCCTCTACAAGCCACCTGGGTGTTCAACAAGACTCAATTCGCCTTCGAATCCGGCGGCGTGATGGTCAGAGAGGGCACGAGTCTCCGACAGCGAACAAGTACGATTGGCTCGGTGCGTGCTCTTTTTCCATGGTATTCTTATATCGCTATTAATTGTTCCGTTAGATTATTCATGGAATTGGGACGACGTCGACCGGGCCCCAAAGCGGCGAGGAAGTTTCTTTACAGGCAACGTATCGCACTTCTACTCAACATCGGGCTCCAAGAACATTGAACCGCCTCCAACGATGGTGAAATAAAATTCTACATGTATTATGTATCTCATCTAACCCGAATACAGAGCCGCGATGCCTGGACTAACATTCTGTCTGGCAGTCGAACAGGAATCGGGCTATCGGTCACACAAGGCGAGAATAGAATCTTCAATGGCGTACGGAAGGCCTTACAAGACGACATAAGCGAGCTTCGCAGGGATTGTCGCTCGAAACTCGCCAACATAAAGGCGTTGTGTGGAGAGATTGTCATCCTGGAAGAAACAATGGCTGATAGACAGGGAAAGCTCGCGATCGTGTCATCCCTCACCGCCCCTATCCGCCGACTCCCTTTAGAGCTGCTCACAAGGATCTTCCGGTTAACACTGCCTAATCAAACCCTCAAGGACCCTGATCAGACATCCTGTCATCAGTCACCCCTTGTTCTTTGCCGTGTCTCCAAACTCTGGCAGAACACAGTCGTGAATGACCCTCTAATGTGGTCGCAGATCTCGTGTCGCTTTCTCCCCGAACAGTCCAACTATGGCTTCGACGGCGATCCTCCCGATAGCGAACAGAATTATGACAATATATCGCAGGAGATCCAGTGTTTCTCTGACCGATCGGGTGTTGCTCCTCTTACCCTCCGTATCACTGACTATTCAGCCGATGCCCGCGCACCACTGCCCGAAAATCGAAGGCAGATCGCCGAGAAATTACGGACGCTCTTTGCAAGATGTCGCGTACTGGAATTCGGAACTAATCGTGCATGGACAAAATCAATCCTAGAGAACCTTCCTTCGAACACTTTTTCAAGTCTGGAAAATCTACACTTGGATCTCAGTTGGAATCCTTATTCCTCGCGCACACAAATTTTCTCCAACTGCCCTCTTCGGCACTACAGGTTAACTACCTTTACCCACGCGGACCTCACGAATATTTCGATCCCACACACTCGACTGGAAACGTTCGACCTGAGCATGTCAATCGCCCCCGACGTTTCGCCTCGGGACTACATTCAGAGCTGGCGCTCATTCCTCTGCTTGTGTAGCTGTCTTCACGCAACGAGTCTCGAGCTCAATTCTCTCCCTACAGCAGAATCAAGACTAGAAGATAGCACGATTTCGGAGTCGCTGGACGTCTGTACACCCTCAACTTACCTCACGAAGCTCACGCTGAAGTTCGCCCTTGACGCGAGCATTTCAACCCTCCTCCGTGGCATGGACTTTCCCGCCCTCGAATTCCTCCATCTCGCAGATTCAGCACAGGCCCCAGTATTCTCCTTCACCCCAGAAGGTACAGATTTAGCAGAGACAATCGAGCACGACATGCCGTACATCACAAGGCTGACGACACTCTGCCTACATCGGATGAAGATCGGAAGCGCGGACCTACGCACACTCCTGCGCTTGACACCACGTCTCGAGCGTTTGAGTGTTATAGAGACTGCGCAGGCGCTCGTGGATGTGAGCGCCTGGGTTTCGCGGGTGACCTGGATTGAGGAATCGGCTGATCTCATTTCCTTCTTGACCATTGACGAACACGAGAACGAGGAAGAGGATTTCAGCCCTCCACTCCCATGCTTACGGGTCCTTGCGCTGTATTCAGGTTATCGGCGATTGACCGAGCCCATGCTCCCTTCCGCCTATGCGAACTTAGTACGCTCGCGATGTAGATGGGCCCTAAAATCACCAGCCTCCACACGAAGCGAGTTTTCCAGCGAGACGGGAGCCCATGCTGGAAACGCATGCCTCCCATTCAAGCTAATCTTCACAGTGGAGCAACCCAAAACAGCGGCCTACGAAACTATCAAGAAGGCGATGGAGGACGAATTTCAGGACCTCCCTCGTGGGGTTCTGCAAGTCGATCACGCGTTGAAGCTGGAAAATCCGCCTCTTCCTGACGGCTTTTAGGCAAGCTCCCACCTATTCCTGAAGGCTTTTAGCACAATAAATAGTAATTTGATTGCTGATTGACGGCGGATTCTCTTTTGGAGGAGACATTCGCAATATGATCGAAATTATGGGCATTTACATAGTTATTGCGTAGCTTGCAGAGTCCCATCCATCCATCCATTTGTCTAGAGTTCGAGTAATGAATAGATACATTGCACCAGTGAAAAATTCGACCAAACCAACAACTTCGTCATCAAATGGTTCCTAGATCCTACGCCTCCATGTACAACCCGACCTAGCCTACTCTCCCAGCCCCATGCATCTGCAATGTGGCGACAGCGTCAGGCCAGCCACACAAACTGTGAGACTCCCTTCCTCGTCATCGGGGGGATAGGACGTTGGGTCCAGCTCTATCCCATCGGCGTCGTCCCTGACCACATCCCATACCGTCTGAGATGGGCCGGCTACCCGGGTGGCTTTCTCCTTGCACACAGACAACAAGGCAGTACTGTAGAGAGCGCCGACGGCGACGCGGACACAAACCTAGCCAGGCCCGCCAGCACACCCCACATGTCCGGCGAAATGATCGTCACATCGAGATTCGGGATCAGCGGGATGCCTCAGGATTGCACAGGCAGGTCACGTATATCGAGATATGCACTTCGATTCCTGGGACCTTACACACTACCCAAACTGAATTCTCCCAACAATATCATCCAGCAACCCCAACATGAACGTTACACCCGCGCCGCCAGCAACCAGGAGCCCCGAGTCATACTGTCCCAGGTCGCCCGACGACCTGCCATGCAGAGCATCAATCATCCCCGATGTGCAAGTTCGCGTTGGTCCAGGTGTTTCTTCTCTTCATTCTGTTCTCAAGCCCAGCATCAATCCCGAGCCCAATGGCCGAAGGGCTGGTAGTGTCGGCAAGAATTTCGTGGGCTGCTTCTCGTGCGTAGCCGCCAACGTTGATGTTGAGGGCACTTGGCCGATCTCCGCTGACCTTCGCCTCGCACAGAGAGAGAGGCCTTGAGGGTAGGAAGAGGGCGAGATAGAGATGTAGGTGGTGTGGTAGATGCCGGTAGGGCGAAGATCGCAAGAGGGTGCATCTCGAAATTCGAACACCCATCCGGAGAAGACGCAGAGCCGGACGTGCTGTCCGGCGAGTCGGCCTGAGACTTGAGACTGAGGTTGCATACTTGGGAGATGTGGACCTACGAGCGGAGAAATGTTAGTGAGGAAAGAAAGAGATAAGAGAGGAGAGAAAGAAAGAAAGAAAGAGATAAGTATAGAGAGTCGACACGTGACCAGCTGTCTAGACACCAATGCCAACGTCGGAGCTGGGACAACATGTTGCACGTCCAGCGAGCGAACACGGGTCCGGCTGGGGCTGGCCGGTACATAGGAGAGCGAGAGCAACGAACTTGTTGGAAGGAGAGAACACGTACCGACTGGTGAAGAAATCCATCTTCGATCTTCAACCAAGTTACCAACGTTTCAGCCCACAGCCTCCTCTGCTCCACAAGAAAATCGTCCGGCAGCATGGTCCATCAGCGTCAGGGCCTCAAACTCCTGCTCTTCATTCCGTTTCCTCCTAGACTCCAGTAGCCGACAAATGTATGACGAGAAATTGAGGTCGGGCGGCTGAAGCGGACGCGGTGGTGCATATCTGAGCCAGCCGTAGGCTGAAGAGCGGGCGGTGTGCTTAACAGGTCGTTGGCCTGGAGAATTTGCTTAAGAGGTATGTGGGAAAAATAAACTTGTGCGGCGAGGTCGGAGGTCGGGGTCGAAAGGCGGTGTTCTGTATGGTGTGGCATGATTGCTGGAGGAGACCGAGACGACGGTGAGGAGCTGCGGAGTAGAGTAGTTAGAGGTTGTTAAAAATATCGCCAATGCAAAAAGAGAACAGAAGAGGAAAGAAAAAGGGAAACGATGAGAGAAGGCAAATCAACACAACGAAGAAGAGAGGCGATACATAAGTAACAGCGGCCGCACGGAACAGACGTCGACGAGAACAACAGCGAGTGGGCATGGCCACGTACCAAGAAAGATCCAAAGGGGCCGTTTAAATATCGACGTCGACATTGGAGCTGAGCCAGCGAATTCATCCTGCATTCGCGCCAATACCGTACATAGGCAAGCCCTGCCACCATCTCCTGCTCTCCCCTATCCAGCGTTCCACACGAGAATGACGAGGTCAGCCGCCATCTGCACCCTTGAAAATAGGAATCCTGTACGGCGACTGAGAGGCAAGGCGACGGCTGTTGGTGCGTCGTACTGACCGATCGGGGTGGAGGGTGCAGTGGCGGACTGAAAGACCAGGCAGAGAGAGGGCCCGGGTTGAGATCTGAGAGGTTGGATGTACGGTGGCGGCCGGGCCAGGATCGACGAGCGATGTAGTGGGTCGTCCAGAGGTGGTCGTTTTGAAGGTCTTGCCGGAAGAATAAGGAAGAGAGGTTGAGGGTGGTACGTATGAGCTGGAATCTGGAATGTAAGGTGCATTAAAACTTGGAGATGTACGCGTCGATAGAAGATGAGGTGGGAAGGAGGAAGGCCGAAGGACAAGAAGGGTGTGCGGAGAAGGGCGGGATACGCACGTACGAAGCTAAAGCACGCATTTTGCACTTCGAGGCTCGCGACGTGCAGGCCGATGCCCAACTAGGAGCCTACCATCGTTCTGACCATTGCTCCTCTCTGCCAATTGCACCTCGCCCGCCCATCTGCCCAATGGGAATGCCGTCGTCGTTAAGAGTCGTCTGTGCCAGGTCTGTGCTTGCCCTCGTTGATGTTGTCCAAGCCTGGCTCCGCCTACGTGATGCGTATCCGCACGCATGTATCCACCCTCTCCGGCTGGGCTGAGAGTAAACATTTGCACTAGGAGTGCACGGGGGGCATGCGGTTCATGTTCTGCGCTGTGGTGAGGCGGGGGCTGGAAGCTGGTGAGCAGAGAGACGAGTGAAGCGGGGGTGTTCCTCGTAAGACGTTCACTGTACGATCGACAAGGCCCAGCAGGAGAGGAGTCTGCAGTGCCTGAGTCAGAATTTGGTGTCGAGAGAGAGAAATACTCCGAGGATCGAGGGCACGCTACTCGTAGTAGCGAGGAATGAAGAAGACAAAATATAAACAATGCAGGGAACTTACCTGAGAACACGGCAACGGTATCCTCTATTTTACGTCGGTTTTAGTCCGCAGACGCTGCTTTAGAGACGTATTGAAGGCTGGAGGAACGCCGCGAGATATCGGTGAATCGTTGACTGGGACATAGAAAGGACCGGACTCACGTATCCCAATCTTCACTCTTGGCTTCTCCGACGACTAGGAGTCAACCCATCATCGATTCATTCTTCTCCATATTGACTAGTTTTGCGCTTGAGGCGTTGTCGAACAGATATGTGTGGACGTGCTAAGATCAGGACATGCTGGTGGCGTGGGAGTCGGAGTGTGAACTGGCTTTGAGGCTTGAGGCTGCCGTGTCTCACTGACGCTTCCTTTTGCCCAAAACTTCAAGCTCAAGACCTCAAGGCCTCAAGAGTCGAGCAATCTTACAAACCAATGGATCTCGAACGTTTAATTAAACGCACAGCGAGAGCATATGCAGACCATGTAGATGCTGCGCAAAATTCAGAAGAATCAATTCACCTTCAAATATGGAAGCACGATGGCGGCCTGGCAGCACAGGACTCCCCGACAGCGAACAAGATCAAGTGGCTCGGTATGTATACAAGTTTCATGGAATTCGTTCGCCTAATTAAATATCGAACAAGATTATTCATATACGTGGAATCAAGACGACGTTCAAGACGTGACCCTTATGCGGGAAGGGGATTTTCTTGCACGCAACGTGCCGTATCTCAACATCGAACCGCCCTCTACGATGGCAAGCCGAAAGTTCGATGCACCATTTATCTCAGCTAATCCGAATACAGAGCCACAATGCTTGGAATAACATTCTATCTGGCATTCGAACTGGAATCGGGCTACCAATGGTCACACCAGACGAGAATGCGATCCGGAATAGTGTTCAGAACACCCTACAGAATGAAATTCGAAAGCTGCGCAAGGGATGTGGTTCGAAATTGGCTAAAATAAAGGCATTGTGTGGAGAGATTGTTGCTCTGGAAGAGACGATAGCCGACAGGGAAAGACAGCTCGGAATTCTGTCGTCCGTCAGCGCTCCCATCCGCCGACTCCCTACGGAGCTGCTAACGAGGATCTTCCGGTTCACATTGCCCAGTGGGAACATCCAGCCCGCAATTTTCAAATCCCCACTGGCTCTTTGTGGCGTCTCCAAACTTTGGCGGGACGCAGTCGTGAATGACCCTCAAATGTGGTCGCAAATCTGGTGTCATTTTCCCACCTGTGAATCTGCCCCCAGCAAGGAATACGACAAGATTTTGCAGAGAATCGAATGCTTCTCTTGTCGGTCGGGTACTACTGCGCTTACCATCGAAATATTCGAAAACTCCTCCATCACATTTGATAATCGAGCACGAATCGCAAAGCAGCTGGAAACACTTTATCCAAGATGTCGCGCACTGAAGTTTGAAATCAAAGGCGCATGGGAGCATTCAATCCTACAGGATATCCCTTTGAATGCATTTTCAAGCCTGGAAAGTCTATACCTGGATCGCGCCGGGAATCCTAACACTTCCGAAATACAGCTTTTCTCCAATTCTCCTCTTCGGCATTACGGGTTATACCTATTTACCGCCCTGGACCTCATAAATATTTCAATTCCACACCACCGTCTCGAAACCCTCGACCTCATCATGTCAGTCAGTGGAGACAACTCACTTCGGGACACCGTTCAAAGCTGGCGGTCCTATATGTATTTATGCTGCAATCTCCGTGCAGCAAACATCGAGGTAGATGTTTGGCAAAGGTGGGGAGCGAAGTTCGATGACGGCATGATCTGGGATTTTCCATCCGTCCCTACTCCAACAACTTCCCTCACGCAGCTCACTTTAAAGATTGGCTGCGACGCAAATGTTTCCACCCTCCTGCGAGGGATGGACTTTCCCGCCCTCGAATTACTGCATCTCGGATGTAAAGGATTCGTGACCGCAGCAGAAGTGTCCCTCGTCCCAGAAGGTGCAGACTTGGCAGATACCGTCGAGCGCGACATGCCATACATCAGAAAACTCACCACACTGTGCCTGTCTGGATTGAAGATTCGCAAGGAGGATCTCCGTACGCTCCTCTGCTTGACGCAATGTCTTGAGCGTTTGTGTGTGTTCGAGATGTGGGAAGAAGCGGTCCAGGAGTCACCCGACCTTGTTTCGTTCTTGTCCATGGACGAGCACGAGAGCGAAGAAGGGTTCAGTCCTCCACTTCCACGCTTGCGTGTTTTGGCCCTGTATTCTGGCCCACGGCCGCGGTTGCTGGCCAAGTCGAAACCCATGCCGCATTCTGCATACGCAAATTTAGCACGCTCCCGCTACATGTGGATCAAGGAATCACGGATGACTGCAGGAAGCGAGTCCGCAACCGAGTCAGGAGATCAGGCAGGAAGCACATCTCTTCCGTTCAAGTTCGTCTTCACAGTGCAGAATGATAAGGACACCAAGGACTATTACAAAACCATCAAGGAGTCAATGGAGGACGCGTTTCAGGACCTTCCTTGCGGAGTTCTGCAAGTAAATTGTGCATCCAACCTGCATCGCAATGCTCCTCTTCCTGAAGGATTTTAGAAGACTATGGGGTGATCATGTGTTGACCAAGAATATACTTAGCTATTGTGCAATTGGCATTATCTTTAACAGTCTAACATTCAATCCGCAGAAGTCCTAGGGGATATGGGTTGAACTCTAGTGTTATATCGTCTACAGATGCGGTGGTCATAGCCGTGATGATGTCCATCTCGTCCGACCCCAATCACGTCGACGACCGTCCTAATTCATTGCTCTTCTGTGTACAGCCGATTTGTTCAGAGAGCTAACGTCTGATACGTAGGACCTTTCTGAGCATGGCTTTTCTTTACTCTTGCGTCGCTGAGGAAAACCTGCAGACGTCTGATGCATTGGCATCCAATGCCGAGTGTTTTTCAACGTCGTTGAGTGGTTGTTCGCTATCGCAATCTCCTCAACGTCTCTTCTCTTCCTCTTCCTCGTCGCCGCCGTCTTCAACGGCGACAAAATCTTTAAGGTCTTCTTCAGTGCCGATCGTTGGTGATTGTGCCTGCTATTACTTATAATTCAGACACCAACTCTCGGCCTCATGCGAACATTGGTTCCAGGAAATACCGCATCAAGGTCAAGACCGCGTCGTACGTCGGGTCGCAGCCATCACCCCACTCGTAAACGACACCTTAGTCCTTCTCGCCATCTCCTGGCGCCTGACGGCCATTTCTTATGGAGAAAACGATCCACGAAGAGGGACAAAGGTGTTCTTGCTCGGGAATTACCTCCCTCCAATTTTGAGGGGCCTTTTTCAAGACGGTCGGGCGTAGTACCTGTACGTCCGTCTTAGTATGATACCCAACCGAAATTCTTATTGTACGTAAAACCAGAACCATCGTAACCGCCAACCTAATGGCCGTTCTGATACTCTACCTCCCTGTCGTCCCGATCGTCTACCGTTCGATGTTAGCGATGCCCAACACCGCGCTTATGAACATCATGGCATGCCGGGTGCATCGACGGACGAAGTTGGGACTCTACTCGCAGTTAAAATTAAAAGGAAAGAAATATGAAGAGGGGGGAAGGATCAGATGGAAGATTTAGTAGACGCGATATCAGCGATGAGTAAGGCCAAGATGCGAGGGGGAATTGAATTATTGTTCGGAGAGTTAACAGGGGTCAGGCGACATAAGCTGCATGATGAAGGCTGAAGCTCTTCGTAGAAGGTCGAGCGGAACGACCTGGTGTGTTGTCGGCACTTAGAGCTAACCAACAAGGCGATGGTTTTACCATGAAGATACGACAGGCCTGGCCATCTCCATTTTGTCTGCGATGACGGGCGCTGAGATGGCCATCCTGTTCTGAGAAAGAATGCAGCGAAGCTGAAAAAAATCCTCGACGGATAAAGGAAACCAAAAAGGCGGGAAGCCAGGAGGACGAGGAGGGTAACGCAGATGAAAGAAAGGCGACATTGGGAAACGAAGGGTATCAGCAAGTGCACACGCGTAAGCCCTCAGCTCGCCCCTCGAAGCTTGACGAGCAATCCTCTGCCTACAAGCAGTCTTCCCGGGTCGTAGTTCCGTTGGACTAAGCATCGCAGAGACATCAATGAGCTAAGGGACTGGTATCAGCACGAGGGCGATCAGGTTCAAGGAAAGCAAGGCAAAAGAAGAAACTAAGCGTGCATGAAGCACCCGGTTGTGCGAAGGTAAAGTCAAAGTCAAAATAGTGACCGAAATGTATCAACGACATCGAGAAGAAATTGGAGTTGACCTGACGAAAAGGATAGAAACACTGACATAAAATCCTGGAGATCGACGCAATCCTACGGTTCCTTCTCCTTCTTCAAAGCACGTCTCGGCCCTGCTGCAACCAGAGCAAGATGATAACCCACTCCGAGAGCACTGGCGGTAGGGCTTCTCGCTACCGTCAAAAATGGATGTTCATCACGTCCTTGAGGCTCGATATGCGTTGAGAGTATGATTGTGTCGATCTAGAAAGAGATAAAAAGGTTAGAACGTGCTGCAAGCGAGAGAAACGGCGCGATCGACGTGATCGAGTAAGGATATGAGGGATTCGGAAACGAAATGGCATGTGACTGACTTACGTTCAGCCGTCCATAAGTAATATTGCCCTCCAGCGGCCCATCGCCGAGCAAGGAAGGCTGCGCTTTGAGTCGTGTGCTCTTCGTCCACGGGAGGTATGCTGATATAACGAGGCCGACATCTTCGCCGAAGACGTCGACAAAATCGCGCTATAAACTGCTCGCCTGCTGCTCTGGTCCTGGTGAACGAACGTATCGATGGCGTTCGAACTTCGCTGGATAAGAAGCTTGGATTAGCTCTGGTTTAAATTTCGGAAAGGCGAGAGTCAAGGGGGAGAAGACGGTAGCAGGAGAAAAATGAAATCACAAATGTATCACGATTCTCACATAACGAAAGGACGGAACGAGTGCACGGAAGGCGAGAAGGGCAATGGAGAAAGAAACGATAAGACTAGCAAAATCGAAAGAAAACATACCACGCCGTTTCCCTGTTCCTCCGCTGCACTTCTTCCGAAATGAACAATGGCGAGTATACAATCAGCGGGGCTACTTCATCTAAATCACAATCGAAGGTTAGCCTGATGTTTGAATTGCGGGCGAGGACGGCGAAAAGATGAAAAGAGCGAAGGAAAGTGTCGATGTAAGGTGATGGAACAGAAAAGGAGATGACTCGCAGTAGGAAGGGTTACACAATGTGGCCCAAGAAAATACGTGTCGAAGAGGAAGGAAGCGAAAGAGACCCACCTTGGCTCCTGTGCCCTATCCCTCCATCAAGACGCTTGTTCTGGCGTCGTGCCATAAATTGGTATATGGACTTCCTCCTTCCTGCAAGGCTGCACATGAACTCTTGGCTCCTAAAGTGTTGGGCATGTCGGCCATCTCTTCATACCGTCTCCAGCAATCCAGCTGCCTTGCTCCTTGTCTACCTTCGAGAATCGACGCAGATGGCAACGTTGTCGAAGGAGCAGAGGGTGGTCCAGAAACCACAGCAAGGCCCGCCAACCCTCCACATATCCAGCTGAACAATGATCCATGGAGGTTCGGGTTTGACAGGATGACGTCGGGGCTGCGTAGACAGTTGACGTAGATTGAGATGTGCAATTAATTCCTGGAAGCCGGCGGATGCGGAGGAGAGCGAGGGCGCGGCTACGTTGGCGATGTCGTTAAGAGCAGGTGCGAACCAGTCGATCAAGCCTATAGTTCAAATCGTTCTCATCAGCAGTTGTTCGGGCCTGAGAAAAAGGAAAAGAAAAAGAAAACGCACCGAAAGACCTAACACACTTCCCAAGCTCAATACTCCTTGCCCTCTCGCCTCCTTCCCCCCTTCTTCTCCTCGCGACGTGGCGAATGATGTCATCCAACAGCCTCACGGTAAATGTCACACCCGCCCCGCCCAGGAGCACCGAGTCATATGCACTGCCCTAGGTCGGCCGAGGATCCGCGATACGGCCCATCGAGCATCACCTGGACGAGCACCTCGACGCGCAGGTTCACGTGGTGCCTTTTCTTCAGTTTGCCCGCCTCGATTGCCTTCGTTCTCTTCAGCAAGTATCACATCCGCTGCTTCTCGCGCGTAGTCGTCAACATTGACATTAAATAAGAGCGCAAGTTCAGTCTCCGCTGCTCCTCGTCTCATACCTCGTACCGAGAGAGATGCATTGAGGGTATACTGTGACGAGGGCGAGACACAGGTGATGTGGTAGATGGCGGTACGGCGAAGATGGTAAAAAGGTGCGCCTCGGATTCGAATTTGAATACTCGTCTGGAGAAGACGCAGTGGCGGACGTGCTACTCGGCGAGCCAGCCCAAGGTTGCGAGCGGGATGCGAATCTTTGAAGACGAAATAATATTAGACAGGAAAGAAAGAGGTGATGGAGAGGAGCAAGGAAGAGGACGTACAAGCGTCATCTGCTTCCCAACGGGTACGAGTACGGCATCCTTGATTCTAATCTTGAACATCCTAAGCAGGATATCGGGCCCATCCAATGCAAATACGAGGTATATCCACGGGCTGGCGCAGATGGTGTGGTAGCACATTGTGATGAAGAAAGCCGGAAACACCAATACGCTGATCAACGTCAAAATATCAGCATCAAGCCAGCATCAAAGAGAGTTCAACCCACTGAACCGCGAAGAACGAGCTCCACGCCCACCGCCTTACGACTCTCAACGAACTCAGCACGATGACACCCTGACCAGGAAATGTAGCAACCCCGCTCTGCTCCTTCTGTTCATCCATAATCTCAACACAGTACTCCATGTGGTTCCTAATCCACAAAGCGCCATGTACGATCACCGAGACGGACAATGCTATGCCCGGCCGGTCCAGCAGTGTAGGAAGTTGAGCTTCTCGTACCCCCGTCCTGCGCCGAGGACGAGGAAGAGGATGGAGTTCTTGATGGCGAGAAGTAAGATGGGGCCCAGCCAGTCGAGGGCGAGGAAATCTGGATATAGAACGGTTAGATTAGATTGGATTTATGAGCGACAAGGATATACGTGCCTTCAAAGTTGGAGTTGGAAATGAGAGGTGCCTTGACTCGGACCTCAATGCAGAGAACAACGGTGAGGGGGTATGCGGTGACGACAATGACTGCGGATCGACCGTGTTAGCCCAAGTAAGAAAACGAAGACAAAGGTGAAAACTCACTCTGCCCCAAGTTGAACCCAATCCCCGGCGACGTCCAATCCCGCATGGTCAATGCACTTCCTCTCCGTGTCGTTCCTGGCTGACCACGTCGAGGAGCTGCAGAGCGGGGTTAGAGGTTGCTACGTAGAAATAACATAAAGACAAAAAAGAGGGCTGGAGAGGAAAATGAATAGAATAAGGAAGTGGCGAGAGGAGCCAGATCGACATATAACAGCGGCTCCATGAAACAGACACAGGCGAGAACTACCACGTACCACGCAAGGTACAAGGGGGCCGTTTGGTCACCAACGTCGACGTTGGAGCTGAGGCAGCGAATTTCGCGCTGATACCGTACGTAACGTAACTCCTCCCCGCCATCTCCCCCTCCCGCCCCATCCAACGTTCCACGCGAGCACGACAACTCACGAGGCGTTGATGCGCCGTACCAACCCTTCTGCGGGCGGGGGGTGGGTACGGTGGTGGACCGAAAGACTGAGTAAAGAGAGGATCGAGCTCTAAGATCTGAGAGGC